TGGGGCGTCTCCAGGGCTCTTCTGCAAACCTCCATCTCTCCGTTTGGTTGCTCAGCACCCAAGACATTCAGCATGATCGAGTTCGTGCTGGTGGTAGCAAACGACGTGAATCCCTTTGGCATGGGCAATCCGGTGATAGATCTGACGTGGGCTTCAAACTGGGAGGTCACACAAGCATCAATCGTGTAATGGCCAGAGTTGTGAGGACGTGGAGCAATCTCGTTGATCAATAGCTCTCCATTGGCGAGAAGGAACATCTCCACCCCAAAAATACCAGCTCCAGGAAACGACTTTACCGCATTGTCTGCCATAATCTGCGCCTTTCTCTGGATAGTGTCGTTGACCCTGGCAGGAGCAAATACCGTGTGACACACATTATTGACATGGATTGTTTCAACAGTGGGATAGGAGTACACCTGACCATCCGTGGCTCTAACCACCATGACTGCCAATTCCTTAACAAAAGGGGCCCATTTCTCAGCATAAAGAGGCCTATCTTTCAGAACATCAAGTGCCTCAGCAATATCAGCTGCTGTCTTCACCACAAAGTTTCCACGACCGTCATAGGCCATGGTTCTGGATTTGAGCATGTACGGGTATCCGTAGCTGGCTCCAACAGCGGCCAGAGCTTCCGCAGAAGACTCCACATCTGAAGACTCAGCCACAGGAATTCCGTGCGCAATCAGGTGTTTCTTCTGTAAATATTTGTCCTTGATCAACTCCAAAGTTTCGGGCATTGGGTAGATCTGAATGCCTGTGGTGTCACGGATGTGCTTCAGAGCTTCTGTATTCACGTGCTCGATTTCCACAGTGAGAATGTCACATTTGGCTGCCAGCTTCGCAATGGCTTCTGGGTCGTTGAAAGAGCCATCAACATGCTCGTCAAGGGCATTTATCTGCTTTGCAGAGCTCTGGCCCACGTCCAAAACCACCGTTTTGATGTTGAGTCTGTGCGCAGCCTCCACAATCATACGGCCAAGCTGGCCACCTCCTAGAATGCCAACTACCTTAGAATCCATATCTAATTGCTTATTGTCAGTTTTCCGCTAGAAAAAAACAAGTTTGAAACCTGTTAATGGTTGTTCTTCAGCAGAGAGAGCCTTTGCTCCAGAAACTGCATTTTATTAATTTATCAGTTTGTTGAAACACGACTTTTTGTCATTATCTGACTCTGTCGTCGATAAGCTGGGGAAATGATCAAAAGTGGTGACAATAGATAAACTTGAATTGGATTTGAATTTGAGAAACGGTCTGGGGTATAAAAGAGAAAAAAAATGATGATAAACACTCTGTTTTTATCAAAATGGCTTCTTTTCTGTAAAAATAGCTGGTCCTTTGGGTTTAGTTAACCTCTAGTAAGCTCACTATTTTGGCTAGAAATTTGAAAAATATGAATAAAGATGAAAAATCAAGGAAATTCAACTACAAAAGTAGCGGAAATTCTGTAGTTTTCTTGATCAGTCCAAATTCGTCTCTAAACCAACTACAATGCACATCAATGAAGAATATTAAACTAGATAGAAAAAACACACACACGGTCAGAAGCCAAGCCAATTAGAACAAAACGATCCCCGAATTTGCAACGAAAAAAGCAGTATGTATAGTCTGTTGTAGCGGAAAAGGTCATGGCTCGAAGCTTACTTTCCGTGAAAGAACTCGTGGTCCATAGCCTCCTTAGCAGTCAGTCTGTTCTGGTGGTCGTAGCGAAGCAGATTATCGATTAAATCAATCACCACCGGGTCATCGGAAAGGGCTCTGTTGTTGTCGTTGATAAATGCTCGCCATTCCTTGCGTGGGTACTCTCCCAAAATCGCATCATATTCAGAAGAAAGCTCGATTCCGTACTTATTGCAATATTTGGTGAGGTCTTTGGTGCCCAACACCTTGGCGATCTTCACCAACTGGTCGTTGTTGGAGTCACCCTTGAAGAAAGGTTCTTTTTTGAACACAATCGCAGCAATCATCGCACCAACGGACCAGAGATCCAGCGAATAGTCATACTGTTGCAAATTCACCAGCAATTCGGGCCCCTTGTGATATCTACTTGCCACACGGACATTGAAGTCCATGCCGCGATGGTAAAATTCAGCCAGACCCCAGTCAATCAGCTTGAGCGTCTTGGTGGTGGGGTCTATCATAACATTTTGAGGCTTAACATCTCTGTGGATTATGCCCATGGAATGGCTGTAATCCAGCGCTTGGAGTAACTGCGTGAAGTAGAAACGAACGTCGTTCCGCGAGAATTTGGGGTACAGAATCCGGAAGTCCACATTATTGACTTTCTCGAAAATCAGTGCTGGAATCCGCGATTGCGAATCCTGTATCAGGTCATACAAAATGACAATGTTGGGACCCCCAGTCAGGTTCTTGAGAATTTTGATTTCACGGTAAATCTTCTTCAGCTTAACCGGTTTCAACACCTTGATCACACATGGCTTATTGTTCAGCACATTAAGCCCTGTGAACACCTCGGAATACTTTCCGCGACCAATCTTTTCGACGATCTCGTAGTTGCCAATCTGGCCCCACTGGATCTTGTAGTTTTCGTAGTCCCAATACTCCCGGTCTCGTTTTTCGTTGGCATCGGCGTAAACCCGTGCAACCGAGTATGTGTTTGCGGACTGAGACATGGAAAAAGTGTGGGAGAGTCAAACGTAGAGTTATCCCGTGCTTACTGCGACACTATCCGTGATCAAAATGACACTATCCCTTACTAGTCCCAAATCTGTCCAATATCAATCTAAAAACAAAAGCTGACAACGACGCCAAACTCCTATAACTTGCCGGTTTTCCTCTTTATCCCCGATAGACTCCAAGGCTTTACCGGACTAAGTTACTTCACATGTGGTCAGACGGGCCACGGACTGCCAACGTATCTGGTGAAGATATTTTGAAAATGGTTGGAGCACTACCATTTCTAGACTGAGTTTTGGAGCTGATACAGAAGGGAGATTTTGAGGGACAGAATACTGGTCAAGAAAGCAGTGTTTTTCGCTGCAAAAAAAGCCATGGCTTATGAGATGATATTAGGCAATCTGAATGTGCCGCCTCTGGGTGGTTCGGGTACTTCAGTGCTGAAAGGTGAGTGGTGCTACGCGTGAGGCTTCCGCGATTGGCAGTATTAGCAGTCAGTCCGTTCTGACCGTTTACTAACTTCTTCCAAGACCTTAAACTTAGCTCAAAGAAACATCATTTTGAATTGGAAGCCGGCATTGTGTCAGAACTCAAGTTCGAGGCATTTGTGGATACCCGGAAACTTCCTTTGAGTGTTCTCCTTGGAACATGTCATGGGTACAACTGCTCTTCAGAAGATGAACCCACAGAATTATACTTTCGCCATATGTGCAAAAAAACGCGATTTCAAAACATGTCATATTCCACGGGCGATCTTGGGTTGCTGTTTAAAGACTCTCGAGGCCGGTATTTGATGTTCTATATCCTTGTGAGACGGCTAAAAGCGTCCATTCGGTGTTGCTACTGGATTCCAGACCATGAGCGTGCTCGTGCTGTGATGGGTTCAACCGAAATAGCCAAAAGAGGAGACGCTATTGACAGGTTCTTGCAGAAAAAGAGCGAATCGCGTATGACTAGCAGGCCGCAATCGCCACTGGAGATTTCAGCTCCCGCTGGCGCGGCTCCTGAGTCGCAGGAACCACCCAAACAGTTTAGGAGGACATTAGAGCGAGTGATTCTGAGCGCCTTTCGACTTCGTGGTATCCACAAACAGGACAAAGAGGAGTACAAGGAGCTGTACTACACCGTACATCGATCAACGCGTTTTGCAATGAGGCGCTACTTCCAGAGACATGAGGTACCACCTATGGTGGAGGTTCAGAAGGTTGTTGATGGTCTATTGAATTTGCTGGATGTTTGAGGAAGGGAAGAATAAAGGCCATGCTTCGTGAATCTTGTGCGGCGCCTATGAAGTGACATAATTTCTGTCACGTGACATATTTGGTCGTGTGCAGAAGCGAGATCTAAGTTTATCTCGTCCCAGGAGGGAAGGCCGTAGAGAGGTGTCCAAAAGGGCCATCTAGAGCGAGGCATGGACAGGGACAGACGATGGGAAGAAACGCACCACCTGGTACAAAGGGATAATAAATGCACTGCCAAGGCGCTCATACTGTGCGAAGATAATGCGCGTCTTCATTCCCGCCTCCAAACCCAACAACTTTCTCGCTTAAGTTATGGAGGTTTCCACTGGGCTCGGTTGTGCTCTCTCCCTCCTGCCGCTTTGGGATCACCCCCATCGCCATAGGTTTCCTTCTTCAACACAACAGATTGCCAAATTGGGTAAACGCGGTTAGCGTGGCGTTTTTTTTGAGTCAGATGACAATTTTTTTTTGATTTGACATGAAAAAAAGATTCTTCCCTTCTCTAGTGATGAACAGGAGTCTCTTCATTGGCGAAATCGGAAGCAGAAAACGCTAGAATGTCTTGCACTTACAGGGATTACCAGAAGGTGATCAGGCTGGCGCTGACCAGCTCAAAGAAACCGATGACGACATCGGCTGGGGTTTCCAAATGTATGGACTCCACCAGCAAACCAAAGATCACAAGAACAAAAACCGGATGTCTTTGTTGTCGCAAAAGAAAGAAGAAGTGCGACGAGCTTCGGCCTAAATGCTCTGGGTGTAGGCGGAATTACCTTGAATGTGTGTATCCAGACCAACCCTCTCCAGACTACTGTCCACTGACCCCTCCTTTATCTGCTTCTGAGGACGAACCAAGATCTCCTCTTAGTGATAATGAGGTACTTACACCCAAAGTCATGACTATAGAGGCTGATCCTACGGGACTCACTACGAGTCAGTTGTCTGATTTTGTGGTGACCAGTGTGGATGCGCGTGCGGTTTTCGATTCTGCTCATCCAACCATAGGTTACCAGAGGTTTCCCAAGCAGATAAAGATCAGCAGTTTGTTAAACTAGGAGAGCTGAATGTGATTTGATGGTTCAATAGCATGATTTCAGTCTGTCGAAACGGAAACGAGATTGCGCCGCATCAAAAACCATTGTGGAACGGCCACAGACAGCCACAGACAGCCACAGACACTACAACCCCATGTCCGACTATAGGATGCCTTCCCAGATGGTATATCTCGTCTTGCTCGAGATTTCAGCAAAAAATTTGAGATTTGCACCGAGGAAGTTTCAATTACAGGTTTAGCCACTTCATGGTGCACTGGATGGAGTGTACACTACTTTCCAAGCCAGTGTACGAGAAGACTGGGAGGCCATTAAAAGACCACTGAGCACAGACTAATACCCACAGAAAAGTGTCAGTACTCAATTCTGTATAATTTATGATTAACGACTTACGATTATTACAAGTGTAGAGAGAGAGTGGAGTGTGACCGAGGTTCCTGCTACTTGAAATTTCCACTACAAGCATATTTTTCACACACAATTTGGATTAATCCACTATATTCAAACCAACCAATCCAAAAGAACGAACTCTCTACTTAATGCTTCAACTCCAAAATGTCTCTCAGAACTTTGCCAAAAGCAACGGTTTCCTCGTCAAAGTATCTTCTAGCAGTTAGCTGCAGATTGATAGGAGCATCCCTGAAGTTCGCAGGAATATACTTGTCATGCTCGATCTTCTCAAGCTCGGACCTGGGCTCAATTTTCTCAGCAACATCAATAGATGGGTCCTGGTGAAGACCTGTAGGGAACACCAAAGTAGGCAAATCCAGGATGTTCCACAGAGAGGTGTAACCCCAGTAGTATGGGCCCTCAACACCATCGTAGGCACCAACAGGCGCAGTACCAACGTATGTCGGCGAGATGATGAAGTCGACTTTATTCTGGACAAAGTAGTCCAGATAATCCTTTCTCAAAGAGTCTCTGGTAACATTGAGGAAGCGGTTGTCGACGACACTGTAGGACTTGTCACCATCACCAAAAGAGAGAGCCCACTCGGTAAGAGGAAGGAGAGGCTCTCCAGAAGGTTTCACCATATCCTTCTGGAAAAAGTTACCATCACAAGAGTACATTTTGTTGACGGTTTCGTAGGCCTCTTTGGTGCGAATAGGATCAAATTCCACCACCTTGACACCAGCACTAGTCAATTTCTCCGCGACATGCTTGAGGCCCCTCGCAATAGGTGCGTGGGGTCTCACGAGTCCGTCATCGTACATTATAGCCACAGTAATCTGTTTTGGGTCGGGCTTTTCAAGCGAGCGCCAGGGGACTGGAATACACCAAGGGTCGTAATCCCATGGCTTACCGTCGTTGATATACGCCTTCATGAACAGATCCACATCATCCAGATCACGAGCCAACGGTCCCGCAACGGAAGGAACAGATTCCTGGCCCTTACCCGAGGAAACACCTCCAAGAGTAGAGATTCTCCTGGTAGAAGGTCTCAAACCCCAGCATCCAGAGAAGGCAGCTGGAGCACGAATCGAACCACCGATATCGGTACCGACTCCGAGAGGAGACGCTCCAAACGACACACAGGCACCTTCTCCTCCACTGGAGCCTCCTGGGGTCAGCTTGAGGTTGTAAGGATTGCGTGATCTTCCAACAATGTTGTTGTTGGAGTCCAAATGCATCAGACTCTGGGGTTGGTTAGTACGCACGTAAAACACAGCACCGAGGTTTCTGAGGACGGTGACGGTGACTGCATCCTCCTTGGGAATGTTTGTGAGCCAGCCAACCCAGCCTCCGTTGGTGATCTTTCCGGCATGACCGATTTGTTCCTTGAGAGAGATGGGGATACCATGTAGAGGGCCGGTCAATTTGCCGGTTTTGGCAAATTCCGCGTCCAATTCCGCGGCACGCTTGAGACCCTCACCAATGAAAAATTCCATGGCAAAAGCAGTGAACTGCTGGCAAATCACAGCACGGTGAGCAAAAGCCTTCAACACCTCCACAGCTGTCAACAGGCCCTTCCCCATGAGCGAAACCAGCTCCGTGGCCGGGGTATCTGTGAGCTTGAATTCATCCTCAGACAAAAGCTTGTTATCGTAAAGATACGCTACCGCATTGAAAACTGCATCGTCCGCAAATTCAGGCACTTCGCTCTTGTACTCGTCAAGAGTATTTGCAGCCAATGCGGCACGGTACTTTTCAATTTCAGGAGCCCACTTGGCAAACAGCTCGGGATCCGAGCAATCGTTGGTGAACTTGTAGACAAGATTCTTTGGAGCAGCAGTGGACATTTTGGGGAAAATCTGCGTTTTAAAATTCGGAGAATTGTAAGTTTCAGTTCAAAAAAGCACGCACTTTGATCCGTATATATAGGCAGGTCAGGGGAGAGAGTCCAGATGCGCCCGGCGGAATGCCTTATCGCGCGTGTGTCCGGATTGGGAAGCTCGATCCAACTTTCAGCAGCCGCCCGTGGTCAAAAGGGCAGAGGGAAAGGGTTGAAAAAGAGAGCAGAGAGGGAGATGCTTGGATAAAATTAGTGGTTCCAGCGAGCTAAGATGATCCCATTTCATAAGCGCAAATTATATTTCAAAACGGGAGGGTATTAAGTGTTGGGTTTGCTATGGTGCCGTTTGGAAAGCTTATCTTAGACTCTCTTAACTAAGGCTACTTGTAGTACCCGACTCAACTAATCTGTCAATGCTCGGCGTACCAGATCAAACGGGCTGGGGTTTAAAGCACAGCAACGGATGAAGTCAAGACCGTTGAACTTCATTATTATTAATTGCCGGGGACAACACTCAAACGTAATATAAATTTTACCTGGCTTCGTCTGTCTTTTCACTCTGCCCGTGGAGTTTTCTCATGCTGAAAGACTGGCATGAAAATGACGTGCCCGAATCAAATCCTCCCTTTCATCGGATTTGGCTCCCTAGACCTCATCAATTCCTTTGTCTTGTTTCCGTTCTCCCGTTGTCTACTGTTCCTCTTCCCGTCAAGACGTTTCTACTCCAGAAAAGTCCAAATATTCCGCTAAGTGTATCCAGCTAGAAGCCAGAAATCAATCAGTTATTGCAATACCCGTGTCCCCCAATTTCCCCACCTTTTTATCGTTTCTCCGGCTTACCAGCTACAACACCTACCTGCCGCATGAAGTACTATCGCCAAACTACATCCCTTTTGTTCGCCAGCCCTCTAGTGAAACCTACCAATGTCATCTCGACATACCATTCAGTTCCCAAAAAAAGAAAACTTGGCTCAAACCATTGAGCCTACAGCCACCAAGACTAAGAGGGCTGCCAGGCCAAAGAGGATTAAGTGCAAGACTGGCTGTTTCACCTGCCGCCGCAGGAAGAAGAAGTGCAATGAGGTCTTTCCGGTTTGCTCAGGATGCTCAAGGAACTACCTTGAGTGTATCTGGCCTGCCGGTGACGAGGTCGTCCCCAAAGACTTTGCGGTGAGACCCGCCAGCTCTCATACACTTGAGTTCAAACATGCTGGCAGTGATGAAGATTTCGATGTCGATGTCCCCGGCAACATGCTTGGAGTGACTGATTTCGGTATTATTGTTCAACGAAACCACAAACCTGCTCCGTTTAAGGAGCTTGTTTTCCGATTGGAAGATAGCCGGACTGATGAAACACCACCACCAATAGATTCAGAGAGCGCCTACGGGACCGACGTGGCTTCGCCAGAGTCCCTATCATCTTTGGACTGTGACGACATGAAGCTTGTGGCATCATCGGTTTCTTCGCTTGAATATGATAATTCTCGTTCTGCGAAACTGGTGCCCTCGTCGCTTACCTTTTCCACGGGATTCATTCCCAACGTGGCATTATCGCAAGAAGAAGCTTTGCTCTACCACACTTTCATCACCGGGTTTATCCCCTCGGTTTCGCCAGAGCATGCGAATCCTCTATTGTCGCCCGGATTTGTGTTTGTTCCAGAGGGAAGCACGTCGGAAGTGCTTCGTGAGATCTTCTTTGCTTGCGGTGCTTACATTCTCGCTTACAACGATCCCGCACGAGCAGACCTTGCGATGCAGCGTTACTCCAAATCTATCAAAGCTGTACAGCGTGTCATTAGCAGCGGAGACGTTAATGGAACCGAGGACTGGTTGTTTGTTGCTATCCAGTCTTTGTGTTTGCGAGACCGTGCTGCGGGACTCGGAGCTTCACGATGTGCAAAACACATTGCTGGTGCCTACAATTTGATCCAGCAGAGATCGGCACTTGGAGCCCACTTCTTCACACCGGGTGTTCGTACTCTCTTGGATAGTTTCGTGTTCAACTACACCATCGTGCTCTATTTGTGTACTGCAGACGACATCCGCGCATTGCCGTCGCCATTTGCGTTCTTCGACAGATACAGAGAGTATCTCCAGGGATCCGTTTATTCGGACGAACTTGCCGCTGTTCCTTGGCTAGACAACCCAGTGATGGGCTCTTCTTTTTCGTGTTTCGAGATTGCTGCCAAGCTGTTCTGGCTGTTGAGAATGCATGGTGATGCTGAGACTGGGCTTACTGTTTCGGATGAAGAATATTTCTCCACGTTGGCACGAATTCGTTTCGAGCTGAACACTGCCACGGCGAAGCTCGACTACTCGTGTGCCCAGCTTGACATCGTCCTTGCTTCCTCACAAATACTACCAGATGCATTCCCCAAACCAGATAACCTGCGCGTTAATCTCTGTCTATCGCGAGTCATGCTTTTTTCTCTTGAGATTTTGTATGCCAAAATGATAGATCACACTTTGGCCGCTTCCTGCTTGAGTGTTCAGAACAACATTTCCCAAATCGTGGAGACATACACAGCTGGAGTACCACAGAACGACCACTCGGCGTGCTTGGCGCTTTGGGCTCTTTTTATTGGTGGTACTGCGGCAATCGACCCAAACCATCAGTTTTTCTTCAGCCACACGCTCAGAGAGATCTCGCGGGTTTTATACTCGGATTCTGCACTCAAACTGGCTCTTGCTTTGGAGCATTTGTGGGACAATGAGGTTCAACTTGGGACTGCGGCTTTTGATGTGTTGCTTACGCGGACCGGGCTTGAAGGGTTATCATTTTGAAGAATTGGAATGCGCGAGCCGTCAATAGAGCTCTCTTCGCTTTTTGTGTTCATGCTTTTTTTTAGCGGCCGAGAGGTCCTTTTTCGTCCTATTGCTTTATACCCACACTTAACATAGTTTAGATTAATTGCGAGATTTTTATCAATGTTCCTTGAGGTAGTTGGCATTATTCAACTAGCCACCTAGTTTTTACGGTAGGGTGTTGGCTACTCCCCAACCTTTCGGGCAAAATCTGTTTCATAAACTCTTTAACTAATATTTTTTCTACAAATCTCTGGTCAAATTGACATGGACAGCCTTGCTCTGAGTGTACATGCTGAGACCATACTCACCAAGCTCTCTGCCAAAGCCAGACATCTTAACACCACCGAAAGGAGCACGGAAATCCGAGGAATTGGTACAGTTGATCCAGACCTGGCCCGACTGAACCTTTCTAGCAAATACATGGGCCCTGCGGAGGTTTTCGGTGAAGACATAAGCTCCCAGACCATAGCTGGAATCATTAGCAAGACGAAGAGCATCTGCCTCAGTCTCGAACTTGGAAACCACCACAACCGGTCCAAAGATCTCTTCCTGAACAATCTTCATGGATTGAGTAACATCAGCAAAGATCGTTGGTTGGACGAAACAACTCTTCTCATTGAAGCCCTTGGGCACACCACCACCGGTGACCAGAGTAGCACCCTCGGCCTTTCCAGATTCAATGTAGCCCAAAACACGCTGTTGCTGCACCTTTGAGACTTGAGGACCAACCTGAGTGTTTTCAGCAAAGGGGTCACCCTGTAGGTAGATCTCTTCAACGTGAGCCTTGAGCTTGGATACGAACTCGTCGTAGATGGAAGAATGAACGTAAACACGAGATGCTGCAGTACAAATCTGGCCCATGTTATACATGATTCCAAAGGCAGCCCATTTGACGGCCTGGTCCAGTCTGGCATCGTCGAAAACAACAAGGGCGGATTTTCCTCCGCATTCCATCGTGACAGCCTTCAGGTTGGCAGAGGCCAGTTTCTGGATGGTCTGTCCCACCAAAGTAGAACCGGTGAATGAGACTTTGTCAACGTCCAAGTGACTTGCCAAAGCCGAGCCACAAACACGGCCCAGACCAGTAATCACGTTGATCACTCCGGGAGGGAACCCTGCCTCTTTGACGAGATTACACAGCATGTACAACGACAGAGGAGTGTTTTCAGACGACTTCATCACCACCACGTTACCCGAGGCAATGGCAGGAGCAATCTTCCAGATGGCCATGGCCAAAGGATAATTCCAAGGAATAATCTGACCGCACACTCCATATGGTTCGTGGATCGTGTAGATCAACTTGTCTTCAGTCGCAGGAATCTGCTTTCCGTGTGATTTGTCACACCATCCTGCGTAGTATCTCACGACATCGATACAGTGGTTGATATCGTAGATGGCATTGGTGAAGCGTGGTTTTCCAGAATCCATTGCCTCCACATCCGAAAGAAGTTCCGCGTGCTTCTCCATCAGAGCAACCAGCTTGAGCATCAGCTTGCCCTTTTCAGTGCCGCTCACGGAGCTCCACACATTCTCGAAGCATTCACGGCCAGCCTTGACGGCAGCATCGACGTCTTTCTCAGAGGCGGCATAAACGGTGGCGATATCCTCTCCTGTAGCGGGATTCACCGAAACCAGCGTTTCCTTGTCGATGGAAGCCACGAACTCGTTGTTGATGAAGAGTCCAGTAGGCTGGACGTATGTTTTGCCGTTGGGCAGAGTGATGGTAGTTTCTAGTGGGATTGACATAGTAACAGGAGCAAGAAGCAAAGAGCAACCAAACGTGAGGAAAAGGAGAAAGAAAAGAAGAAGAAAAGAAGGAGAAAAGGTTCAAGTGAAAAATCAGATAAGCCCTGTTCCAAACGCGGAGGCGGCTCAGCGGATGAATTCAGTTCTTACCGCGGTAACTCGGCCGGGCGGCGCACGTTGATTAGCCCTATCGGGAAGTCCCAGGCGCCCGGCGCGGGTAGTGTAAACACCATTTGGTTATCGCGAGCCGCATCCCTGCATAATAAAGTGATTTGAGACGGTGCGAATCTGGATCGTAGGGGTTGATACCTGCTAGGGAGTTTTGATGCTAGATCGGATCTTGTGCAGTGTGAACAACGACGGTTTATTGACTTCTGCCTTGCTTCTTTCTATGTACTATAGCTCTGCTGCTGCTGCTGCTTCTAACGCCCGTCGCCAGGCCGAGTCCAAGGTCGTGTGGAAGTTCAAATTACCTCCGCACGACCGCATCAACCTTTTGAACTTTTCAGCAAAATATTTCAGTTTGCCCTTTGAGCCTGCGTACACCAAAATAATCCTACTTAAACCCAAATCCAGCAATTTTTGCTAATTTTTTTCAATGTCGGACGAAGACTTTTCGGATAACGAGTCGGCAATCTCTATCCGCGACGGAACGACGTACCTGGGATTCGTGGATGTGCCCATCTCAGAAGAAGAGAAGCCAACCATAGAGGATACTTTTATCGGTGGCGAGCCTCTGTGGCTCGACTCAAGATCACCACCTCAAGAGGACCTCCTATTGTGCAAGTCGTGCACTTCGCCAATGGCGCTGCTGCTACAGAGCTATGCCAATCTTGAAGCTACCTACTACGATAGAGTACTCTATGTTTTTGCGTGCAAGAAGCCTGGATGTAGGCGGCAAAACGGCTCAGTCAGAGCTTTACGTGCTGTGCGCAAAGACCCCAAAGCCATGGCTAGTTGGCAAGAACAGGTGGAAAAAAAGGCTCCCGTCGAAGCCACGCGTTTCGACATTTCGAAGGAGATTTTTGGTAGTTCTTCCAACCCGTTCACGTCTGACACGCCTAACCCGTTTTCCAGTTCGGCGAATCCTTTTGCGCAACCAGAGCCCAAGCAAGAATCGATATCAGAGCCAAAGACGGAAACAAAGGAGACGCAATCAACTGCCAAATCTGACACTCCAGCCAAGACTTACGCCTCCGTGGCAAGTAGCGGAGTGAAGCCCAAGCCAAAGCCGAAGCCACTCAGCGTTAAGTTGCCCTCTCACCCAGGCTATATTCTCTATATGGATGCTGAAAGTCTCAAGCGTAAACCAGTCGAGGCTCCAATCGGCCAGATCGACGAATCGGCTCTTGACACAGAAGTTGAGGCCTCAAATGCTCAACTGAACCCACTCGCAAAACAAATGGCAGACATGTTGGACGATTCACAATTCCAGAAATTCTCCAGCAAAGTGGCCCATAACCCACATCAGGTGCTACGGTATGATCTCGGTGGAAAACCACTATTGTATTCTTCTGGAGACTCAGTCTCCAAATTGTTCTTGGACAAAAAAGGAAGATGGCGTGACGAGTTTCTGCTTGCAAGACCAGGTTTCAACCCAAGTGGTCAGCGGCGCTTTGAGCTGCAATTAATGCCCAAGGCCATCATTGATCTTGAATCAGATCTTGAGAACATAGATGAAGGAATGGAATGGGGTACAATTGTGGTTTGCACAGATGTGGAGGATACAATGCCGGAGTTGGATGAAAACCATGTTGGTTATGTTGAGGAATATTGTGGTGTTCAATGGGAGGAGGAAGTGAAAGGTGGTGAGCAGTAGAGCAGTATAAAGCAGTATAAAGTACAAAGTCGCTGTGAAAGCGAGAAGCTCGAAAGCTCTTCAATTACATCGATGTTCTACTTGCTTGAACTTTCTAGATCTTTATAGTACAATCATGATATAGCCTAACACAACTTTATCACTTGGTAGTTTGTGCTTTGAGCTTAAAGCTCTCCAACCTTGGTTTCATATTCTGGCCTCATGACCATCTTCTTTATCTGCATCATAGCCCAAGATCTCGAGCAGCCTGAATCTTTGCAATTAGGTCGTCAATATCGGCAAAATTATAGTCGTTAACAGCAAAATCGCGGTGAACGGGTTCGTAAACATGGTCCTCGAAATCGTCATACTTGACTCTGCAATTCTCGCAATAGCCAGCCGTACAAACGTCACGCCGCCTCTCCGCCTTGACAGCTTGTTCAATCTTCATGCGTTTGAGTGACTTGTTAGGCGTGTCTTCATCGCGAGGCGCGTTGTTGTTCGGCGTTTTAGGTGGATTGGCCATCTCGGCAATCGTCTGTTTTGGAGGTGTCTGGGGACCGTCATCCACCGCACGTTTCGCAGGAACAATAGGGTCAAAACTCACAACCTTCTTCTTGTCGTTCAAAACACGTCTCGAGGTGAACGCTTTGGTTGGACCCAACCCATTGCCGACACCACCACCATTTGTAGCCACCGTAGAAACAGATTGTTGAACCACACCAGAGGCCTCGATCTCGCCAAATGCATTGTTGAACTTCATGCCGGAGTTGGCATTAGATGCCAGGTTTGAATTCATCCGTGGCAACCGCGGCACCAGTCTTGAAGCGGTATCCACTGGAGCCGAAGGTGGAGAACAATTCAACTCATCCCACTCGAGCTTGTATTCCCTGCGCGTCTCAGCATCTTTGAATAGTCCCGGCAATGCAGAACAAGCTACTAGTGACTCCCGAAACTCCGCATTTTGTCTGAAGTATGCCAAACGCTTTCTGCGCCTGGCCTCCGCGTTCAAATGTGCTTTGGGCCCATCGGAAACGAATAACGATCTCCCATTGGTGGAACGGTGGAGTCTAGGATATGTTTCATCTGCATCCTTCAGTGCCCACTCCTTCACAATGATCGGCCTATACTGCTGCTTCAAATCGTAGACGTAGACGTAATAGCCGGTGAAATAGCGAACGTCATCACGTTTTGCCGTAGGATCACGGTCTGTTGGCCCATATAGCTTCTCTTGTTGTAATAAGGAAGAAAGTTTTTTGGAATCAGCTAATCGGTCTGGCTCTCCGAGGTCTTTCATAAACCGGAACACTTTGTCATAGGTCCACACTTTAAGATGACCACTGCTGGAAGCCAGACGGAAGGGATCACCGGGTGGATAAGTCTTGTTCTTCTCGAACTGGCGCCTGGTGATGAAAAGCGTTACTTTATCGCTGAAAAAAAGAGCAGTCCGTGCACCTAAGGCCTCCAGTGCCTGTTTGGCCGCGTTCCTCTCTTTTATCTGGGTCTCGGTGTTCTCGTCGTTTTCGAAGTAAACCAGACTCTGAGGTAAGATCTTCCGCCATTCAGCCCGCCATTCGCTCATATTAGTAGCAACTTTACGCGGCTCCACTTTCTTGTTGCTTCTCGAGAAGTCCTCGGCCCGTTGGTCCAACAAAGACCGCTTTTGCCGCGACTTCGCGAGCGTGGTAGTGTTGGTGCTGTCCTTCAATGGCATTCTAGAAGCGACTGAATTGGCCGAAATTGGCCTTGTTTGCTGTGGCTTGTCCATTGTGATGGTATGTTCAAAATTTGGTTAAAAATGCTATGGCTGGGAGTTTGTTGACTTGATCTGCCAAATTGTCATCGACAACCAGGCGACAAAACAAACAAACAAATGCGAAATGCTGAAAATTTGTTCTCAAAGGTGCGGAAAAATCCTGAATAAACACCTGGCCTCAGAAACTCAACTGTGCCTTTCCAACGGATTTTTTAGCACGTAAATCGGTTGGAAATATGATCAAATCGAATTGGAACAAGGGCTTGTAGACAGGAGTGGGCTCCTTGTACACAAATCCACGCTTTTTCTTAGGAAGTGCGACAACCAATAAATACGCGTTTGGGTTAGAACACGACATAGTTCACCTCCTCAACAGCATATATCACTACTTATTACTAAACCACCTTGTCTACCTTCTACTGCATCGCTACCATGCTACAACCAAGGTCGGTGTCGTCGTTGCTGTCACAGGTGCTTATTCCGTCTCCTTTAACACCCGGAAAGAGGCCTTTATCAATTTCGCTACTGTCATCCTCTGGAGACCCCCTCTGCTCTTGTACGAGTGCAGCTTCGGCCTCAGAAAGAAGTTTTGACCTTCAAGCTGGCTCCAGCAACCCAACAGAGTACGGTTCAGTCCAAGCTTTGGACCCCTCCGAAAATTTGAATGCTTACTCGCTGGTGGCACTAAATCTATGGAACCGCCATTTACAGGAAAGAGAAGCAGAAAACACTACGGACTGGTTGGAGGTGAGCGTTGACCGGTTCAACGTGATTCTCAAAGCTGTGGGCGGTGTGGAAAGCCCGAAGTGGCTTTTGTTGATGATTTGTGAGGCTGAATATCCGAAGGGACTGGCTCTGAAGAAGGTGGAGAATCTTGGGGTGCTAATAGACCAACAGACGTGAACCAAAGAGGAGTGATATCACTCCGTATAAAAGCAACTTGATACGATAGAATAGTGGATATAAGTATTAATGGATAACATGGAAAATCAGCAAAGAAAAGATAGAAAAAAGTAGAAAAAGGGCGTTAGGAAACTGGTATGAGAGATGATGGATAATGCAGAACGTGATGCCAAAGCAAGAAGTTTGAAAGCTACAGCAAATTGGAATAAGAGCCTGTTCGACCCTTAAAGCTCGTCTTCACAGCGAAGACTTTTTCTATTTCCCATCATGCTCATCCTCCTCATCTTCAGACATCTCGACATCATCATCCTCTCCAAAACTCACATCGTCCTCGTCGTAACTGTCTTCGCCTCCAAAGAAGTCATCGCTGTCAGACAAATAGTCCTCTGCAACGGCCTGGCCGTAGGCATCATCCGTAGTGGGCATCGTGAAGTCCCGAGGAATGTCCTGCTTTGACCGTGCAACCTCAGTCTGCACTTTGCGCTTGTACTCCTCCGGATTCTTACGGTAATCAAGCGCTGCATCCACATTTGCGGGACTCGAAATGTTGGGATCTTCTAGCAGTGAAACGATCGATATCAGTACCGAGCGCGAGCTCTGCGCGGGCGACCAGGTCTCGTTGTCGGGTTCGTCGGATGCTTCGTTGCCAGATGTGTGCAAAATCGAGATACACAGTCTTCCATCGCGATAGACGTTTGGATGGTAGATTGCCGGAGTGAACCGGAAGCTTGGGGGCGAGAAAGGGTAGTCTGAAGGGAACTTCATCTGGGCCTTTAGATAAGCCCCATTGTAGACAGAGTCCTTATTCAGTACCATAACCCCCACATTCCACAAAAAAATGTTGTCGTTGTCGAGTTCGATATGGAAAGATGGAATCCCTTTGCGTGGATCCGTCAGCTCGCGGAATTCTCTATGCAAAACTCTTGCTGCTGAAGAAGCCATCTCGAAAGGGGTGAGTCAGAAGGCTTGGGATGAAACTTGGGAAATCTGGTTTTTGATGGACAAAATGCTCCGAACCTTTCTTAAGAAGTGTGATTTCTTCTGGAAACTTTCAGATCCGGAATCGGGTAAAAATGGAATGGAATACCGAATACCGCTGGGTGGGTTTGTCAACTCTCTCTAGCGCTGGATACGGCAACAAAACTGGTGATCACCAATCAAATTCGGCCCAGCGCGACAGGTGCGGAAATACTCAAAAAAGGGCAGAAGGTCTGTGCAAGCTGGTGCTTAGTACAAACAAAAATTTGACACCTTTGTGGGGAGGAAAGCGCTGATGACAAACAAGAGCTCAAACGGGAGATAGAGGAGGTCTCCTGGTGCGAAATGGCTGAGTGCAAGTCTCGTGACGGGGAGCAAAGATATTCACGGCAAAATACTGCTGAGCGCTTCGCAGTGGAAAACTGTTTCTTGCACACAAAGACGAGGCAAAAATGGCGTGGTAATACGGTGTTGAGAAGAGATATGGTCTATTCATGGAAACGAGCGATAATCCGCAAAAATGGCGTACACAGGCCGGTCCCGCGGTCGTGCCCCGGATAATAACCTATTTTGGGAAGGATTTGAGACTGGGCTCGTTTTAAGTGGAATAACCAACACAGCGCCGCACGTTCGTGGGGTGATGCCGTTTTTCGAAGGTGAAGAATGGTTGCTACGAGCCGATGATAAAAACGCTTCAAATGTCAGTTGTAAAGTGTAAAACACGGAAGATGAAACTGCTGCCGATGGCAAGACGAGAGTGGGTTAATCTGGTTCAGATTGCACTATAGAGGACACTCTAGAGGGTGAACAGAGATCTCAAAAACAGTGTCCAATTTTTAAAGTTTAACTCACAACGACACTGCCTTTACTTTGAGACCCCAATAGCACAATGCCCTCACCATGTCTCATCTTTCTTCAAACAGTTTCGTAGACAAGGCTCCGTACCTCATAGTTCTCATTGGCCTCCTCAATGTCCTCCCAGTTACCAATGAAGTCGTCTCTTCCTCTGACGACACCTGGAAGAGTTTTGCCTCCACTGTAAGTCTTCCAGATCTTTTTGGCCGACTCATCGGTGCCCAGATCCTTGTAGGTAAACGTGATCTTGTTTGCAGCCAGAATATTGGCCAATCTACTCGTTCTGCTGGAAACCTGGAAACCACCAGCCAATGAAGTGAAGAGATAGACAGGTTCGTCTTCAAACGTGAGTTTGTCTTCTTTGGGAACATAGACACCTTTAGAAGGTGATGCAGCAGGAGCTGGCGAGGCTGAAACTTCGGATGATTCTACCTCTTTGGCCTTTTCAGGCGTTTCAGGCGTTTCAGCTTCCCCCGTTTTGGTTTCAGCTTCATCGGTTTCCTCCTCTTTGGTCTCAGCCGCATCAGCTTCTTCGTCCTCTTGGGGAACCTCAAGCTCGCTCTTCTCATCACCCCCAACCAAATTGAGGGCACGATCAATAGCATCTTCCAGCTCAGGTATCTGCGAAAACTGATCACCCATAAGAGCTCCTTCTTCCTTCAACTCCTCGCTGTCAATCCCACGATCCACACCAATGGCATCTCTGTCGTTGGCTACACGCGAACGCGAGCGAGAAATTGACCTTAGGTAATTCAAACTCGCTGTCTTCGATAGTGACGCACCAGGGTCGTGTCTAGGCTTTCTCTCGCCTAACCCAAGGGGCTGCACGTAGTCGTCGTTACTTAAAGCACCATGATACGAATCTCCACGGGCCAAATGTGGCTTGCTAGTTCCCGTTCCTTCGCGAGCTGGAGAGCCTCCTTGCGTGTATCTCTGTTGAGAGGCAGCTCTGGACAGAAGTGGTGAGTTCAATCCTTCACGTGCTCCTGCTGGGACAGTGAACGAAGCATCTATATCCGCAGCAGAGTCTGGGACCTCAGGTTCGACCTCTTCCACAGTCTTCGAAGGATCAAACTCTGGAGCCGAGGCCTCGGGCTGATTTTCAGTCAAGGCCTCTTGGGAACTGCCGTTATTGACACCGTCAATCACTTCTTGGAGACTAAAGCTCTCATCCGGCAACAATCCGGTGTTCTTCCCAGTCCCCAAAGGAGACGACACTCGAGGACTCGAAACCTTGAAAGTTGGTGCTGGAGTCGAGTTTGCGGAAGAGTGGGTCTTCGAAGCCGGGGCTATGTACCGGTCACCGTCACCCCCAAAAATGTGCACAGACTCAGTGTCTACCGGTTCTTCAGTCGGCACAAACGGCTTTGGTTTCGGTTTCACAACGTCATTTTCGCCATCTTTCAATTTCTGGCTGATGTGAAGTGACTCTTGCTTCACATGACCTTCATCGTCCAAAACCTTATCGACGAACTCGCCTTCTTCATCGTTCATCAGCACTCCCTCACTTTCCAGCTCCTTCAGAGAGACGGTAGAGTCCAGTTCATTGTGCAATGGCAGAACCGCTGCAGGACGGGATTGAGAGCGAGAACGGTTGGATGATGCGACTGAAGGTGTGTGGCTATCAGCGAGCTCAGAGCCCTGGTGGTGGTTTCCTCTGATGGTCTCTCCTATCAGCGACGGGGTCTGGGTTCTCTCGAACTCCCCAACTTCAATGTCCATATCCATTTTGAATAGTGATCTGGAACAAGCAACTTGTAAGTGTGTGATTGGATGTCAGATATCGAGTTTTGACTCGAAATCACTCAGAAGAAGTATTGTCCAATGAGATTGTCATCGCACTTAAGTCCACTTTCCAAAAGAACCCCGGGCTGCTGAGCTGTCATATTCGCACGGGCAGAGAGTGGGCCAGCCGTGGAGTTGTCGAAAGATTTTGTTGATGTGAATATAGATATAAACAGACAAAAAATACAGAATTCCACCAGATGGAAATATCGCCCAGAGTGGGTGGACACATATATGTAATCGATCTTATCTAGGCCTAGTCATTGTGTAAAGCGTTTTGGTTATGGAGCATGTCAAGATCTTTGTAGGCGTGATAAGCTAAGATAAGATAAGCTACCATGGGTTATGCTATTCTGAACAATATAGCCTTTGGTCGAAGCCGGACGAAAATTTATTCCCGGTGACTTTGGTCCAAGGTAAAAATGGGTTGTTCCAGTCTACTGCTTTGGCCAAATTATGTTCATTTCTGCGTAGTTTCTTCAAGTATTCACGCCATCACACAATGCCTACACCAAACGATGGATTGGATGATTTTTTTATGGGTTTTGCACATATATATATGACTGCTTAAACTATTCACTGATCAAGATACTCTATAGGCGAAATTGCAAAAATTCGCACTTTCACTTGATTTCTCCTATTATTTGACAAGACTCACAATCTTTGCCTTGGCTTTCTCGACAGATTCAGGCGATCCGGTCACCTTAACCACGTCCGACTCAACGTTAAGCTTTGGAATATCAATCGTTACACCAAACTCAGAACATATGTCTCTTCTCGTCGACCCGCCAGCTCCAATGATCCGTCCATGCCTCTGTTTGGGCACAACCACTTCCTCGGTAATCACGTTCTCGAGATCGTGGACAATCTTCTCGATTTGAGCTATGATCGACTTCACCACCTCATCCTTTCCGGAGCAAACAATTTCCGACTTTCCAGACGATTTCTCGGGAATTTGCATGTATTCTCTCCACCTGGGCGCAATAGCATCGCCACCGCCAGCCTTGCGGATGATTTCCTTCCTCACAGAACCGTTCTGGCCAACGAGGGCGTAGTGATACTTGGGGTTAACGTTAACACTGAGAGTTACGTGGTTGTCGAACTCGTCCACAATATCCTTAATCTTGGCTATTGCCTCCTTGTTAGCTGCGCGACTACCAACAACCTCAAATGTTGTGAATCCAGCCTTCTTCTCGTCTTCGTCGTCGCCGTTGAAGTTGATCTCCACACCCGTAACCGCAGCAATATCCTTAATGCGGTCACCGCCCTTTCCTATCACTCTGGAAAGCGCCTTGACTGGCACTTTAATTGTCTCCTTGTAGCCGTTGTCCTTTTCGTACTGCAACAACGCCTTGAGCTCTTCCTCCACCTTGGCAACTCCACGCGAAGGACCCTTGACGACAACCTCGTCCACATTGTTGGTGGCATTCACAGGTGGAAAGTGGATTGAAACAGAATATCTATCTTGGAGTCTGTTCACATAGGAGTAATTTGGACCAATCAGCTTTTTGTGGTATTTCTGTTCCACATGAAGTCTGAGTGTCTTTTCGTCTGCCCATTGCTTTTGAAGTTTGTCCAACCTCTTGCAGCATTCGGAGACATTCGATTCTAAACCAGTGAGCTTGATATCGCTGGTCTCGGCATCTTCCTTCCTGTCATGAACGTCAATTTTGATTTCAAATTCATCCCTCAATGCATTCAGGTTGGAGCCTTTCTGTCCAATTAACTTGGCTAAAAGCGATCTGGCAAAGGGAACAGACAAGCTATACTTCGAAGCAGTCTCATAGTTTTTGGCATCGTAAATAGCCTTTTCAAGACCGGACTCAACCTTAGAGACTGGTTCCTTGAAGCCATGGATCAAGAAGCTGTCTGGAGAAGAACCCTCGGTGTTCTGGTGGAACTTGATGTTCACTGAATCGGTAGCAAGCTCAGACACAAGAACTCTCAGAGAAGAACCATGTGGGCCTTCCAAAAGTTCTTGGTCAGCAGAAGGGATCTCAACTACACGGGTGACAATATCCTTTGACTTCTCAATAAGCTCAGCAAACGAGGCCTCGACTGTTCTGAGTTTGGCATCGATCTCTGCAAGAGATGGCACAAACTCGCCTTCTTCAGGAAGAGAGACCAAGATTAAAGCTGTGGAAAACGTTTTCTTGACAAGAGATCCAAGAGGCACAATAGCAACTCCATTGTCAACGGCAACCGTTGTGTCAATCGACTTGGAGACAAAAGGGTCAACACCTTCAACCACCTTAACAAATGACGGCGAAATGCTGTTCACCCTATCGACGATTTCTTTTCTGGTGGCCTTAACAGCATCTTTCGTTTCTCTCTTACAACTTATCCTGATTCCAACAACTTTGTTTGACTTATCAGCCAAAAAGTCATAAGAAGGACTGGCAATCCTAACATTGTGTTTCTCGCTCAGCTCGTCAAAGAATCCCGAGTAGTTAAAATAGGCAGCCAGCATTTTGGCGTGCTCGTAGTTACCACCGTGAGACTTTTCAAGGTTGAGAGCATCCACAAAATAGTCTTGGGATCTCTCCTTTCCGATGACAACGGCCTTTGCAATATCAGCAGATGTACCAATGAACTCAACCTGCGAGGAAGGATCGTCAAGATCTGGAACGCGGATCACCACATTGGCAGTATCGTATATGTAGTTGGGATCCAAAAGCTCGTGTATACCCTTTGGAACAGTCTTTAACTCAGACACAATTGTAGAGTCCAAGGCCGCGAGCAAATCCTTGATAGTCTCCCTAACCTGTTGCACAGACTCTCTGGGACCTTCTACCGATATATGGGAGAACCGCTGTTGACGGGTAGGAGCATTAATGCCAACGCCCTCGGGAAGCTGGATCTTGCTGACCTCAGCATACACAAAAGGCTTCAATTTGCTGGAAATCGGTATTTTCACAGATAAATTCTTGGTGTTTTCGTGAACGATTGCAATAATCATAGATTTAGCGATCTCACAGCCTTCAGCGTCACCTTCAAGCACAACAGGAACCACGTTATTGAAGAAATCATCTTCTGGAAGATCAGATTGTGGGGTTGGAGTGCTTTCTCTCCCGATATCAACTTTAACGCCCGATTCCTCAATGATCGGCTTCAAAGTTTTGCCTGCTGATCCAATCACCACGGAACGGAGTTTGGCCGGAATTGTGAATTTGACGACCACTGGTTTCGTAAACTCCTTAAGAATCTGCTTCCTCGTCTTCTTGACTTTTTGCTGGGGCCCATTCAGTAGAAAAGTTCTCTTTCCAGTCTTGGCCGAAAACGTAGACTCGATACTCACCCCATTCTCAACCTTGATTTTATTGAGGACCTTGAGCAATTCGCTTCTGGAAATGTCCGCCTGCTGGTCCCCGTCTATGAAAAACGTCTCAGAAACGTTCTGAGAACGAATCGCAGGACTTTCTTTGCCATTTTTTGTTTTGGAAACGACCACGTTGGTCACCATTAGAGGGCCCCATTGTGGTTTGGAAGAAGATGAGGAAACCTCGTGACCCAGTACTGGGAAGGCCTCTTCATTGATCTTCAAAGGCTTCACGGAAACCAGAAGCTCATCATCAGGTTCCTCGGAAGTGGCTGCAGTTGATGGCTCCACATCTGTTCCTCTGGACGAACCGACCGACGGTTCGGTAGCAGGAACAGATGATGTGGGCTCTGACACCGCAGCGTGACGGGCTGCCAACAGTTCAGCCGGAGAAGACATTTGGCGAAATCAGACAAAATACAGCTTTCAAGCTATGGTCTAAATGAGAAAAAAAAACTTTTGTTTTGGCCGAAAAGTTGGTCTTTTGGCTTAAAGGAACGGAACTCTTTGAACAAGGCGAAGTCGAAAAAACCACAAGAAATATCTCGGGTTAGGCTTCGATTTGAAAAAAACAAAGATCGTGGCAGAAATTGCAGAGGCGAATTGTAGTATCTGACCAAAATTCGTCGCAACCAAGAAGAAACTGAAGGGAAATGTCTTGTTGGGGTGGAAACGGTGAGCTGGTTTGTTCCTTGGCGAGACGAACAAGGGTGGACGCAGTTGTATCGTGTAACAACCAGACCTGCAAATAAGCGAGGTAGTGGACGACGGATTCCGATCAAATCAGATTCTAGATCTCGTCGCACCGGAAGTTTCCGGTGGGCTAAATACACGGAAGAGGAAAATATGAGGAGGGTATATTTTGAGTCCAGAGCTGATATCGAATAAATGACAGGTAAATAATGACCCTGCTATGATTATTTCGACTCGGAGTTCTGTCGTGAGCTATCGACCAGTCTCGGGCATTGATGAAAGGTGCATAAAGAGATGCATATACATATCCGAGGGTGCTCCGGACAAATCTCCCCTACGACGTCCTCCTACAGGTCTTCTTTTTTCTTAATTGACCATTAACTAAACCAAAATAGTCAAAACCGAACCACTCACAACGTAAACAAACCAGTACGCTTTTTTCCAAGCGGGTAAATTGCAATGGTGGCTGCAAAAAGCCCCACACTGATGCCAATGGATACCTGGATCATGACGACACCAAATGACAAAGTGCTGGAAGAGCTCGTCGAAGTAGTGGTACTTCCAGTTGTAGAGTTCACAATTTCATTTGCAGTATTAATACCAGACAATAAGGAACCTTGTGAAGCAATTCCACTGGGAACTATCACGAAAATCGCAGGAAGCATCGCAGTGACTGCCACTCCTTTTCGGATTCGGGAATACAGGTTGGCCAGAAGACCACACATGAAAGCTCCAATTGCTGACGTGAACTCGGTAGCATTCGAGAAGTGGAGCCCCGAGAAATATGACACCACATAGGCACCTCCTGCTATGATCACCATTGGTGGAAGTTGCTGCCATCTAGCCTGGTTTACCAATGCCAATCCAATAGCAAACATAGGAACCAGCAAAAACCGGTACCATGGCGAAATTTGATGGGCCGTACTGCAAACAGTCTCGGAAGTAGCTCCGTGATCTATCCAGCCATAGAGAGCAGCTCCCAACGTGATTCCAAATCCTAGGAAAAGCGAATAGATGATGGCATAGAACATTCTGACTGCACCGGCAACCAAATTCCGCGATTGTAACTCTAGAGAGCCACACAAAATAATATAACCCGGCAAAATCAAAGCGAGAGAACCCTGAACTACTGCAGAGAAGCATATCGTCTCTTTGTCGTCCACCGACCCTAGGGCCCTCCCCAGGAACGAAACAACGATACTGGCACTTACTTCAAACACTGAAGAGTACAAGTTTGACCTGGGCGCAACAATGTATTGTAACACTCCAACCAAACAACCAATTCCAAAGGAAACGGGCATGTCTATCCAACCACCCTTGAAGCCCCATGTAGTCACCATGGCACTGGAGAACCCGTAGATGAACACGCATATGTAGGCGTTGTACAGTGGGGGCTTTCTCAAAAGAGCCTCAATTTTCTCAGCAGCTTCTTCAACTCCTATAACATCGTGAACAACGTCCTTGTAGATCTGGTGAGCATCATCAAGTTTCCCCAAGTCTAGACCTTGCACACACCGTACTAGTTGCATCTCGGAAGTTCTGGTAGCAGCATCACCAAATGAAACAATCATACAACCAGGAAAGTAGATGAACTGACCATCTATTTCCAGAACCCTGGCCGTCATAGTCATATACTCCTCCAGACGATGGGTGGGAGCTCCATAAAGCATCAACGTTTTACATAGCTTGAGGATGAACCGTTGACGTTGAAGAACATCTGCTATATGAACGGTGATTCTGGCCTGTGCTTCCAACCTCTTTTTCACAAGACGGCTCTTCATGGTCTTTCCTTTGTCCTTCGGGCGAGTTGTAGCGAACCGGGGCATATTAAGTTTCTCAGCCTCTACTTTCCCCTCGTTGATCTTTGCTTCGGTTAATTTCTTGCCAGGGAACAATGAATGAGTGTAATCGCCTATGGTGGAAGACATATCACCCAAAGTGTGGCTGGAAAATCCACGTCTGTGACCGCGACCCCTTTGATTGACATCGGTCTCAGAATGGCTTCTCTCCAGACTAGGCCGAGGTAGCGAGTTGGTGGAGTTAATCCTTTTGAGTTTATCCAACAATGATTGGTGATCATAACCTGCATTCACAGACTCGGTAGGAGTCTGTGACCCCGATCTTGGCGTGAAAACGCCTGAGTCTGATAGTCGCGAAAATGACTTACCAAAGCCAGGATTCTTGTACAAGGTGAGTAACGAAGACAGGACACCCGCACTCACCTTCTCTGGTGGAGGAACATAGTCATCATCGTTGGGAGCATTGTCATAGTTGAGATCGTATCCTCTCATATAATAGTCTGGATTTGGAGCGTAGAAGTGGTTTCCTTCCATTTGAAGACTAGAGCCCTCTTCCATCGTTGTATTTCCATGCTGAGCACCATTTGCAGACGGACTTGAATCTGCAATACCACTGGGTGTAAGTGTAGCACTAGAATTGAAACCGTGCTGTCTCACTATTCCATTGGCTTCATCATTAAGTTGCTCTAGATTCATGTCATCAAGTGGAATGTCCACATCATAAATCCTTGCCTCTTCATCGGTCTCTTTGGTTTGATCTGCCTTAGAGGCACCAGGAGTCAGTCCTCCCGAAGTAATGTTTCCAAAATTCATCAGTCTATTCAAGAACCTTTCACTTTTGCCGCTGTCCATCGTTTGAAGGGTCTCTGCTCGCCTTCTAGCGTGGCTCGTAGAATCGTCGGTAGACACTCTGTTCATGCTGAGTCTGTCCCGAATAACGTCCCGAAGGCTCTTCTTTGCTGTGATATCAGAACCATGCGAGCTCCGCCTGTGACCCGAAGAACTGGTTTCCGAAATCTCTTTGTTGGTTCTTTGGTCCAAATTATCCTCTACCGCATCTGAGGCTTCCGAGTCAGACGATGAAAACGCCTCATCATTGGCCACTCTCGGCACTTCCTCACCCCTGAAAAGATCCATTCCAGCATTCAGAGAACTGAAGGTGTGATCTACCTCTGAGTCTAGCTCCGATTCCAGTCTCCTTCGCGTCTCATCCTCAGTGAAGTTCTGACCCCTACTGCTCCCCTCGTCTAGCTGCCGCTCGGATTCGTACTCGTGTTTCGGCACGCCCTTTTGGCGAAATGTAGGAAGCATTGGAATCACTTCGTAGGACCCTTCCTCGTCATCGTCTTCCAGGATTGGTGTATCACGCATCTGACGATTATGGAACTCCGAACGGCCTGATCGTCCTGGACGATGAATGCCTTTTGCTTTGCCTCTTCTACCACCAAAAGAGGACTTAATGCTTCGCTGTGGTGGCTCTACCACTTCATCGTCGGAATCAGAGTCCAGAGAGGATCCCCTGCTTGGCGAAAGCGATCTCGCCCTGTTCAATGCTTGTATCCTCTTGTTCACCGACATTGTTCCGACTTCTCATTAATTCCGGACAAAAGGTCACTCAAAGCCATTCACAAATATAGCCAGCTAAGAGTTTTACCCTTTAATTCTAAAAATGCGATAGCAAGGTTTGTTCTCGAGTTTGTTTTAGAAGTATATTTGAGCAGAACCGCATTTCCCAGGCTTATTTGTAGCAATGACGTAAACTGCGGCCGGTGACTTATATAATCGATGACATAAGCAACAGTACTCCCGAACGCGTCTTTGGAACTTTGAAATATTTCATGGGATATGGTGGTTGAGCAGGTTAATAAAGCCTGCTAATATTGCTTTTTTTTGAGTGATTTTACTCATTCCATTGTTCTTCTGTGTTTATTTCCTTAATCTACAGCCTCGTCGATGTCTATACCTGCCAAACTGACTCAGACGCTGACCCCCGGCGAAGTCAACTTCCTGGCCGAGAACGAGATGATAACAATACTGCCCAGATATTCGTTGGATAAACTGCAGCTTATAGGAGTAAGTGTGCTGTGTCAGAGATTGTTCCAGTGCCTTTATTTTTGCTACCTATGCTAACCCTTTCTAGACGCGTATACCGGCTCTCAGACCAATGAAGAGAGAACAGGTTCCAATATGGCTGGCCATAATCCTCAAAAATCAAGACAAGTGCAATATCGTGATGCCACAATGGCTCACAGTGAGACAACTCAAAGCATTTTACGATCAAGAAGTGAAGAATTCAGACCGATTTGCCCAGCTGCCATGGCACTGGATCGAAATTTCCAAGGCATTACTGGAGAAGTGAGTATACTTGGTAGCAACCAGATAGTTTGCGATACTAACCCACTAGGGCTTCGGATGATATGCCAGACAAACCTCATGAAATACGCACAATAATACAGGACTTAAGGGAGATCAGACAACTTAAAGCCCGGAAGGGTTTAAAAGAGTTGAACGAGAGTTATATCCAACTGGACAATCTGAGTCTATTGGAGATCAACGAATTGAGACCGTTCATTGTGAAAGTAATGGACCAGATGAGGAAACTGAGTGATAGTGTGAATAGTGGCGAACAGTGATCAAACATGAAAGGAGAAAGCGCTCAGTTCAATAAGTGTTGAACTGAGCACCAGCAAGTGATCACCAAAAAGAATCACCGATATTTGACCAATATCCCATTAACCTCAATACGCAATTGCATAGAAACGTCTTTTTGAAAACTCACACTAATACTCTAAGAAAAGATGCACATGAAACCGAACAGTACGGTAGCTACCAATAGCAGCACAGGCCCAAGTCATGATGGCCAACTTTGCGCCTGCTACTCGAAACTCCTTGCCCGAAAAATCTGCTAAAAAAACTCAAACTTCCATATATCAAGACCTTAGCAAACATCAAATGATCCAAGCAATAATAAAAATTGTGGTCGCGGTCTCTGAGCTAGAGCCCACATTACTTGCTATGATCCAAGGAATCGCCCAATCGGGTCATCTTGCAGATAAGGCTTCACTTGCATGAAGATGAGATCTGCCCTTCTACAGGACAGTCACACGGAGAATCGACCACAGATATCCCATGTACATCGAGATGATAGGCAATCACCAGAATTCAACAGGAATACCTGAGACTTTATACTTAAATAAATCAGATTGACGAACAAAGCGTAGCTATAACTAAGAACTATTGTTCCAACCTGATTTGGGCAGTACACATCAGAATACTGGCCTCTCGCTAAATGCCCCATATTTACTCCAAAACGTTAACTCCTCTGCATTTGCAAGAACAAAGACCAAGAATTTTTCTCTCAGCAGTAATTTGAAGATCCAAATTGCAAAATCTCTGCCTCGGTACTAGTCAAGGCTTCAAGGTTATTGAAGTGGTATCGCAGGACAAAGGCTTATCTGTCATACAAAATCCTCATCACTGGCGCTTGTTCGGGCCATTGCCGAACCACACAACAGATTTCAAGTATTGAAAAGACAGAAATACTTGCAAACGTTCCAGAAAGCTATCCGTTTTTATCCGCTGAATTTTTGTTTGAGTTCGGAGTGTTTTTCCTTGTTAAGACGATTGGTGAGTTTAGGCTTTGATCTGGTTGTGACAGATCAAGGAGAAACACACATTGGCGAGAGTACACCCAAAACTTCAATTTTTTTCTTGATTTCAGGTCAATTAAATGCCCATTATGAACAGCGAATATTCTGTTAAGTCTCTGGAAATTCCTGTGAGGGAATTGGAGAGTCGCTACCAGATTATTGGACCTCTTGGCAGTGGGAGCTTCGGTACAGTCTCCTTAGCTAAGGCAAGACAAGGAACTATGGAAGCTCTCTTAGTTGATGATACTTCCAGAGCGGGCACGATGATGCAATCGGTCGGAGATCGTCCTTCAAACCCAACCGTTGCCATCAAGTCGACAAATAAACGGGTAGTCAAGCTGAGCGATTGTTCCAGGCTGAAAGAGCTGAACTTCATATGGGCGATCAAGGCACATCCAGCACTTGTTCAAATTTTTGAGGTGTTTGTGGATTCAAAATCTTTCAAGGTGCAAATTGTAATGGAAACCATGGACCAAAACCTCTACCAGCTCATGAAAGCCAGGAAAACTACTCTGTTTTCCCCTCGCACTTTGAAGAGTGTTCTCAGCCAACTTCTAAGTGCAATTCGTCACATTCACAGGTGCTCATACTTCCACAGGGATATCAAGCCAGAGAACATCTTGGTGATGCAAACTGTCAATTTTTATGGTTCTAAGGAAAACATCCCTCCTAACCGCAAAAACGACTCCTACATCGTCAAGCTTGCAGACTATGGATTGGCTCGTCACGTCCAGAACACCAAGCCCTACACAGCTTATGTCTCAACGAGATGGTACAGATCTCCCGAGATCCTACTGCGGGACAGACAGTACTCATATCCTGTAGACGTTTGGGCTTTTGGATGTGTTGTCGTTGAAGCTGCTACTTTCTCTCCACTGTTTCCAGGAAGTAATGAGATTGACCAGATCTTTCGCATTCTGGCCAAACTGGGATCTCCAATCCCACCTTCATTTTACAAAGGAACCCCGGTAATGACAGAATCCAGCATTGATTCCGACGACGTGGTAAACGAGCCTTTCGGAGGATACTGGCCAAAGGCGTATTTGCTAGCCGAGAGCTGTGGTTTCAATTTCCCTTTGGCAGAGGGTGATTGTTTTGAAAATATTCTATCAAGAAGTGACCTGGGATCCGAATTTTGGAAGCTAAAGCAAATAGTGAGATACTGCCTTACATGGGATCCAGCAACTAGAGCAACTGTTGAGGATATATGCGCAGAAAATTACTTCGACGACAGCGTGATCCGCGAAGATGACAGGTTGAAGGCAAGCACCACCAACCCCGCACCAGACTGCAACTTACCTCTGAGAGGTAGACCAGAGCCTTTTGCTGGGCTTTCAACAAAGTCGCACAATGTTCCAGATCTGCCTCCACTGGAAGATTACGTTTCAGAGAAGCAGACAGTATCGAAGACCGAGCAATTCGATTCTATAGCACGGGCTTCTCGAAACCTGGCCAACGATGAAAACTATGATCCTCGTTTCTCAAAAAAACTCCGGAAGCTGCCTCGAATTCCGTCCAAGTACTTTCAAAAACAGCAAGCCGCAACAGAGGCGAGCGACACAGGAAGCATTTACGACCATGCCACACCAGAACTTGTCGAAGACATCCTGTATTCGTCGGATAATCCTTCCAACTATGAAAATGCCGAAACATTTGACGAAAGAAGAATTATTGACAAGCTGTTATACGATTCTCTGGATGCGACGTGGAACGAGAATGAATTTCAAAAACTAGTGGGAAGTGATTCTCTTTTGGATTGCGAATACAACGACAATTCGTGCAACCTCTCTCAAAATCCAGAAGTCACCAACGGTTACATTGACGATCAAAGTAAGAACGTCTACACATGGATGTCATCGTCTAGACCATTGGATGCTCGATTGTATAACGAGTCATTGTGGAACCATCATGATTACAAGCATTCTCCCACATGAGGCTACGCTACTACGAGCTTTTTCTTTTCTCAATTATTAGAAGTCACTTAGCTACCATGAGCTTCGCTTAGCATTTACGTATCTTCATTTTCATTTTCATTTTCATTTCTTCTTTTTTATATTTTGCAGAGGTCTTACGGTATTTTTCTCATTCATTTTCTTCACTTCGTAGACTTGTCGCTTTTCTTCCGCGTGGGTAGTTTGACAAATGAATTGGATTCCATGATTCGTCATTGAAATTCCAAGAAATCTGCCTTGTGATCCATTTCCTCTTCAGGATTTAAGGCACCGATCTCAGAATCAGCATCATCAGAGTCGCTGCCTGATATTACCAAAGAACCATCATCAGATGTTCTCCACGAAAACACAGAATCCTGATTGATAGGGCTGACTCCGTCATTATCCTCGTTTCTGACGATGTTGTGACTAAAAACTTTGGGCCTGACGTGGTTGAGTCTACAAGCCGGCAGCATGGGACATGATCCATAATCAATAAAGTCAGGACAATCCCAGCTGTGTCTGAACTCGCAATCACGACCTGCCTCGCAATAACCACCAACAGCAAACGGCCTACACACCACATCATTGGTCTCAACCTTATGGGTGTAAAGACAGTTCTCATTTGTACAACCACCGGCAATATTGAAAAACTTGCACGAAGGTGAGTTATACTGGGTGGGCTTATGTTGCAAGAGGCAGTCAGCCTTGAAACAACTTCCTCTCACAAAGTCTTTGCAGAGAGCGATTCTTTCTGGATCGTGGATGAAACGGCATGTTTCTCCATTCCTGCATATGCCTAGTAGAAAACGCGGAGATGTTCTGTTAGTAAACGTTGCTGAGTCTGAACTCTTGAACTCCAAATACTTACCAGCTCGTGAATAATGTTTGCAATATTCGCGAGTTCGCGTGCTGGTGGTGGCTGTTAGAAACTCTGGTTCACCAGATCTCAAAGAAAAAGATACGCACGGTTCAACCCCGTTAGGCTCAACTACCAATTTATACTCAACTCCGCGAGAGGTCTGGTACTTGAGTCCGTCTATGGCGATTTGGTGCGGAAAGTTGGGGATGGGGTCAGACACTAATAGAAGCCTGGTGGTATTTTTCACCTGAACGAACTGGTGTCCGTTGATAATCCTCCTGTTAACATCACCATACATAAGTCTGTTGGCTGAAATCGCTTTCAGAACCGCCATCCTATGCCTCTCCGCTTTTAATGCCAGCTTAGCTTCGGCTTTCCGAGTGGCAATTGCTTGTAGTCGCTCCTCCTCTTTAGCATACACCTTCTCATTCACCAGACTGAGACCACGTTTTGTTACCTTTGACACAAATCTGTCTCCAGCACCCACAGGTATCTCCCCTTCATGCTCTGAGGGATCAGACAGTCCGTTTTCGGGGTCTGATGGCGTACCCTGCGCTAGCACCAGAGTCAGGTTTCTGTGTCGAGGAACGGAATACCGACCTCGGCCCCTGCTACCTCTAAACCTTGTATTTTGAACAGGATAGCTATACGAAAACTTAGCAACCTTTGAACCGGGATCGGCAACGGCCTTTGGCTCAACAGAGCCTGAAGCTGTCTGAGTGTCTCGCTTACGCTGCTCTATCTCCTCTGCATTAAGGTTGTATTAGTATGTCCTGTCAGGAAATCGAAAAAATCATAAAATACACACCCTTCAACTTGTCTATCTTAGACTGTAGCTCTTCTCTGGTATCACTCATTTTGAATGAAGTGAAATATACGTCACAAACTGCTTTTAGAACCAACCCTTTAGTATAACGATTGACACATAAATTTATTCTTTGTAGTAAACATCTGATTTAACCCGATAAAAATTGGCAGACATCTCATCACCCACCCGATGATGAATGGCAGAAGGCATGAAAACTAGTTTGCTTAAACAAAGCACTGACTCTTTTCACCTATCAACCCTGACCACACAAGCAACCATGTCGATCGAGTTCAAGCAATACAAAGCGAAAGAACTTTGTCTTCCTATGCTCAAGACGGTTTTGCCACTGGACGATGAGTCGCTGGGTCAAATATTGGACTACGCAGTAGTGAACCTCCACAACAGGCTAGAGGCTGAAACCCATTTTGTGAATTTGCTTGGAACTTCTCCTGATGCGCTCAAATTCATAAATGCATTTTTGGTGCTGATATATGGATTAACAGATGATGAACAACTAGGACTCAAAGTGCCGAAATCTTCGGCCAAGAGTAAGTCTGTAAAGGTTGCCTCACTTCCTCAGTCCAAAATAGCCGCCAAGATGGCACGTTTGGCCCAAACAGAGACTCAGAACCGAAGCAGATCACCTTTATCGCCAAATTCAACTGGAATCACCACTTCGCAGCTGATAGACCAACCAACAGAATCGACACAGCAAACACAAGCAGCCAAAAAGGCCAAAAAGAAGACTTTGAACAACTTAAAAGACATAGAATCTGCTCTTACAGAACTCGAAGTGGCAAATTCTTCGGAGATTTCAAGCACTGCAAAGCGCTATTGCAACTGCATGGGCACCAGGCACCCTCTGTTTGAGATGTTTCCGAACTGTTTGAACTGCGGTAAGATCATCTGTGTGAAGGAGGGGATCCAACCCTGTTCATTCTGTGGCAAGGAGCTATTGTCTAGCTCAGATTTCGCTGAGATCCAGCAAATTTTGGAAAGAGAGAAGGAGGAGTTGGAAGGAAAGCCAAAGGTCTCGACTATCGTGCAGCCCAAGGCGAAGAAGAGAGAAAAGATTACAGTCTCATTGAATTCCACAGGAACGAATAATTTTAAAGAGCAAGAGAGGTTTTTCCACAAAGTTGAAAGGAAACTGGAACAAGACAGGGCAAAGGAAGCGGAGGAGGCCTTGCAGCTGCAGGAGACCAAGAAAATACAACAGCAAATTGAAAAGTACGAGTCCACCAAAGACAAGGATCCTGAGCTTCTGAAGGCACAGGAAAGATTGGACAACCTTTTGAACTTCCAGGAGAATGGTGTGGAGAGAACGAAGATCATTGACCAGGCAGCCGATTTCGAGACTCCAAATTCGGCCTCTAGTCTGTGGGCGTCTCCAGTGGAAAGAGCCATCCAGCTGAGAAAGCAGCAGAAACAGCTAAGAAAGCAGGAAGAGCAGGAGAGAGCAAGAAATGGCAAGGGAAGACATGTGGTGGATGTGGTGGTAAAAAATGGCAAAGTGTTCCTCCACGAAAAAGCTCCCACAAGTCAAGAGACGGAAACTACCGAAGAGGACAAAGACATCAACAAGCTCCAGGAGGAGCTGACCCAGGTCAAGATCAAAGAAGATAAAGAGAGGTTCTCGAATATTTGGGATTATAAGCAGGACAAATACAGGTGGCAGAAGCCTATGTATCTTTCAGCTCCATCAGACACGAAAACCGAATCTTCTTTGCTGGAGGCTCCATTATTGGTGAATGCTGACTTGAAGAAGGTGCAATTTGGCAATGAAAACGACATTGAGGATAATCTATTTAGGCTGCCTGGCATATAGTTGTGTGTAAATAGGGAAGATGCCTGGTCATTAAGCAAAGGTTGCTTTACATGATAGGCGAGTCTCTTTCTGAGACATGATGGAAAAAAAGGTTAATAGGTAGGCGATCTGAAGTTTTATTTATACATGGTAGTAATGGAGTCTATATAACTGAAATAGGTTGACGCCAACTTTTCAAGGGCTCCACTTCTCTACAGTGTAGCCAGGCACCAATACCAATTGGCCTTAAGGCCCTTTGCTATAAGCCAGGTCTAAAGTCTTTCTTCTCTTTTAGGCAACCACTCTTCAATCTCTGAAATCTCCAGATGAGGCCTAGTAACTCTGCTCTTTATTCCTTCTGGCCATTTGGGATTCGATCTCCATCTCCATAACCTCTCTATTTCTGGATCAAGAGCACCATTCATCTTGGCCGATATATATCTTCCTATATTGGGGAGAAACTTGAAGCCATGACCTGAATCACCACAAGCCACATAAACATTCTTTTTTCCAGGAACTTCATCAACCAAAAAGTGCGAGTCAACAGTATCGCTCAACCAGCATACTTTGGAATCCAGCAGCTTATGGTTTTGGAGATCCGGAAGAGCCAGTCTCAAGATCTCCTTGGCATGCTGGTATGATTCAATAGGCACTGTGTCTTTAGGATAGTCAGTATGGTACCGCGGTAGAGTGGTGAGCTTATCGCTTTGAAACGGATTCTCTACTGTGTTTTTGCAGTCAGCAAAGGTCAAGGCTATCTTCAGCTTTCTTGTCTTAGCATCGGGTGGGAAGAAATAGCCAAGTTTCGCACTGAAGAATACGGGAAGTCCCTTATACTTGTCATATTCTTTTGCACTCAGTTGAATATGCGTTACGAAACACCCGGTGGCCCGAATCTGCTCTTCCAAGTCAATCAGATGGCCGGTCGCAGCTCCAGACGCTACCAACACTTTATCAGCCGTGTAAATAACTCCCGACTTCACCCGTACTACCCCGGACTTCACTTCAACTACTCGGCCATCGTCACCGAATTTGAACTTCACACCATGTGCCAGTGCCTCCTGGTAAGCTGCTATCAAAGCGTCCGAGGAGTGGCCGTATCCGGCATTTTGATTGTATGTGGCCTTGAAATCATCCGGGAAATTGTTGTCCTTAAATAGGGGAGCAATTTCCCCTAGCTGCGAAGAAGAGTTTATTTGCACAATATTCTGGTTTACACCTAGGGATTCCAGATTTTTCAGCGACTTTTGCTCGTAGGATGCCCTGGCCTGTGACTCGGAGGAGGCAGCAGATGCATTCATGGTGATCCGACCACATTGGTGAAAGCAATGCTTATAAACAGCTGAACATGACCACTCATTGATGGCCTCAACAGCCATCTTGACATACACCACGTCGCTGTACTCTGCCCGGATGATTTTGTTCAGGTCATTGGCCGCCGACCAAGGAGAGGGTACTGGATACGAATCCAAAGCAAGCACCTCCACGCCTTGTTTGGCAAGTTGAATAGCTGTAGATAGTCCAAACACACCACATCCAACTATAATGCAGGTCATAGCCAAAAAACCAACCTGTCAAGAAAAATAACAGTGCTAAATCTTAAGAAAGACACTTAAACAGATAAGCTCGCGTTATCTGAGAAGGACCACAAAAATGGGATATTCACGTGACAATCCCATTTCCACGATTGAAAGAAAAATTTCACATATAAAAGCTCAGCTGGGCGCCCTCCTCTTTACCCTTTCTCTTCTTCCTCCTCCAATCATCAGTAGTGGTTATACTATCTCTAATAAGATATATAACATACTATGTTATAGCAACCTTCCAGTGAAGTCGTTGGTCTGACATTATGTCTTTTCATATGACTCACGTCAGCTGAGTGCTTTCCGACTTTTTTAACAGGAAAGTCACGGAAAGCATTCCGTTTCCGGTTCCTTAGAGCAAACGACCATACGCTAGTGAAAGACTGACGACCGATATAACCCAATACTTATCTTGGGCCGTGCGAGTCGTCCAACTAGACGTGTCGGGACATTCCAAAACCAGCATACGCAACCTTGTATCGGTGAAAAGCGTAACCTGTATCACCAGTATCGTGACTACTATCATGACCTTTTCTTACCTTAACAGCCCTCTTCAAGTTTGTAAACTACAATGAACGTAATCGTCAATTCTCGTTATGATGAAGAACTATTTACAATGCTTCCAATCCTCACGACAGCGTGAAATCAATATCCGCCTCTAATCTCACCTGCTTCAAAGCTCTGGCCACTTGGGAAACACTTCGTGCTCACCAAACCCATGCGCTATTTCCCCTTGTCAATTACCTTGTCATCTAGTTCGGGCTAGCAGCACCGGACCCTCCAGCCTCTCCAGCTCCAGCTCCAGCTGCTTTAGTCTCCTCAGCCGCCTTGAACTCAGCCTTCAGACGCTCCATGGCCCTGAAGACCTTACTTTGTAGATACAAACTGCCTCCCTTTTCTTTGGCATTTATATCGAAAAGATAATTGTACTTCTCCTCCACCTTCTTGGGTGACAGTTTGGTCATCTCGACATCCAAAATCTTACACGCCTCGTCTAAGGAGATTCCTGTATCTCTCACCTTCGAGGCAGACGACGCTGTCTGTTTAGTTGACGTGGCAGCCGCCTGGCGGTACGCCTCTGTGAACGCTCTTCCAAACACCTTGGCTCCAGTGAAAACCACCTGAACGAGTAGTCTGTGTGCCTAAAGAAATCCCGAGTTAGTAACGGTTTTCACAGTATCAGAATGCAAAGGAACTATCGTTAATATCGACTTACCATCTTTCAACAGAATTAACCCGATCTAGATCAAGTTGCGTGCTTGATCAAAACGATCAAAACTTATTTTTGTTAAGATTTCACCAGATTTCGACCCACCTCGCCCGGCACCAGAGGCACGACATCCGCCACCCAAAGTCCTGCTGAGTGGGGCACGCCCCATCGCACCCTAAACGATTACACTGTTATTGCTCGTTTAGCCTTTACAACGGTACTCAGACCAGTCAGTTAGAGACAGTCGTGCCACCGGTTTGGCATTTTGCACTGTTAGGGAGCTATTCCAGGTCTACAGGGTTCTTTGTATATTTGCTATCGTTAACTTAGCCAAATTCGAGTTGCCGCCTTCATCTAGACCGCTCTCTCTGATTCTACATCGCAAGCTATCTAACGCCACAAAGATGTCAGATCAGGGCCCTTCAGACTCCAGAGATAGCGATGCAGCTGCTTTGTTGATGTTGTTCCAAAGCCAGCCTCAAAGACTTCCTCAACCTGAAGAGCAAAATGTGGAACCTGAGCGGAAAGAGGAGAGCGATACGGCAAGAGCTCAACTGCAAGATCAAGAAAATGGCCAGCCGAAAGAGCCACAAGAAGAGTTTAAGTTCGTTAAAATCAAGGAGTCCGTTCAAACAGCTGATGTGTCAAAGAACCAAGCTCAAGATCTACAAAAAGACCCAGCTTTAGAAGCTGCTTTCCAGCCTGCTTCGGCAGCCCTGTCTTCTTCAGCTTCCTCTTCATCTTCATCCAGCTCTTCCTTGAATGACTCAACAGATTCTACACCATCTGTGCCGAATAATTCTAAGCAAAGAAAAAGCCCGCCCCTGCAACAGCGAAACAACCCCACTTCCAATTCGCCTGGCCCAGCAGCAGCTGCTTTGGCTACAAGCAACAATTCTAACATAAAGGCTGTTGTTGCTGCTGCCGCTCTGGCTGCTGCCGCTGCCACTCCGATGCCATTGATGAATTATGGGAGCAAGACTTCTGAGACAGAAGATGTTCCAGTGGGTGTTCCAGTGGATGCTCCTGTCGAAGCAGTGGCTATAGAGACCGAAATTGCGGAAGTAAAGATTGTGGATATACCGCCAGAGCCGCTGACATCTGAAACGGATGTCCTGAAAACTTCTGAAGGTGAAAGTGTGAAATCTCCCGAGGCTGTTTCGTTGCAAGCAGCTCCATCACCAGAGAGAAAAGTTGAATTTTCAGTTCCCGTTGAGGAGACTCCTATTGAGACAATCATCCCGGAGAAGAAGGAGAAGAGGGCCAGAAATGTGCGAACCGTCAAAGCTGACGAGTCCAGCAATGATGATGTCACCTACCGCGTTGATCCAGATGCTGGCATTATCGGATGCGCGTGTGGATACGATTACGATGACGGCTTCACGATCCAGTGTGACCGCTGCTACAGGTGGCAGCATGCGATCTGTATGAACATCAACACTGCTGCAGAGGCTCCAGAAGAGTATCTATGCTATTTGTGTGACAAAACCAGGGATATAGATCCGACGGAGGCCAAAAAGAAACAGCAGTACTTTTTTCAGCCCAAACGCAAACGCAGCAACAATAACCTAGACTCAAACGAGGATCAGAGAAAGAAGCAGGCAACCTCCAAGAATGGCGAGCAGACTCCAGCAGGTCCTACTGGTTCCGGCCCAAAAGAGAGAAAGCCATCAAACCCAAGGGTAAGCAAATCAGGGAAGAACAAGAAGATAGAAGAAGACGAGGAGGGAGATGTAGACATTTCTGTCTCTGGATATCAGGCTTTCTACTATCCCATCGTGTCAAATGGGTACAAGAGCTTGGATATTAGGAATTTCTGTGATAAACTGCCTACTCTGCTGGCTTTTGACGGTGGTGTCAAATCGCTGAACAAAGCTCAGTATAAGAAGATGACTACTCCATCTAAGTTCAAGATACACGTGAAGACTTTCTCGGAGAGCTCAAAGCAAAAATTTATGGGCATATCCAGACTGGGGTTATTTACTGGTGGAGCAGCCGAAAAAGGGGACATCATTCTGGAGCTCCTAGGCGAACTCGAATTCAAACAAGAGTATACCGATGACACAAGAAATCACTACCGCATTTGGGGATGTCCCAAGCCGAAGGTGATTTTCCATCCAACACTGCCTATTGCTTTTGACTGTCGAGGTCTTGGAAACCTTTCAAGATTTATTCGGAAGAGCTGTATTCCGAACTGTGAAGTGGTCACCTTCAACGTTGGCGGTTCCATTAAGTTTGGAATTGCTGCTACGAAAGCTTTAAAATCAGACACGGAACTGACATTGCCTTGGGAATGGGATGTTGATCATCCCATCAGACTCATAGCATCGGGCAAATCATCTTTCGACTCCCTCGGTGCAACCGAGAAACAGTTGTTGATCGATTCGGTGGAAAGCATACTCGCATCGTGCGAATGTGGGTGTAGCTCTACGGGAGATTGTTCTCTCTACAAGGTAAGGAAGGCCAGCTCTTATTTGCTGCGTTCGACTAGAAAAAGTGGAACTTCTGCACCTGACGAAACTGAAAGAGATTCGTCTTCGGTTTCTACCTATATGCCCATCCATGAGAGACTACAGGCTCGTGATACTGCAATATCAAAGAAAATTGAAGAAAGTGGCTCCAGATCCATCGGAGTGACTAACTCTTCCGAGGAATCGTCTCCAAGGGAGGATGCCGAGACGGGATCAGAGGAACTCCAGTTCTTTGTACAGAAGAGAAAGTTTGGAAAGAACCTACTGGGAGGTTTGAATGCCGATATGCTTCCGCACCGGTACAGGATGGTTCTTAAGTCTCGGAATGCAAAGGAGTCAGACGAGGATACCGCCCCATCTTCGGATTCCCCTCATTCTCCGTTGGACGATTTGCCTGTTCCAGTCGACGTGAACACCCTTGCGTTCAAGACGGTCCAGCTCATTCCAATGGAAGATCTGGTCAAGGGTGAAAATGCTAATATCAAGACCGAGCCTATGGTTGCGATTTCGGCTGCAGCCACTACAAATGCTCCTCCACCGGCCTTGGAAACTAGCGCTCAGCCGAAGAAGAAGCTCAGTTTGGCAGACTACAAGAGGACCAAGAGCGTTAATAAGTGAACAAAGCTCCAAAGAGAGAAGTGTGTCCAGAACAGGTCGAAAAGAGGACAAAAAGAGGACCAAATACAGCATAAAAAGAAGGCCAAAGCTTTCACAATTGATGATTTACTGAGTTTGCGATTGAATAATGATCGGACACTAAAACACATGATGTCTTATGCGCTTTTCACCAAATTAATTGAGAATTTAATAGGTTTCAACGAGTTAATTTCATTTCTACTTCATATCCCGACATGATGAAAAGCTTCATTTCCAAGACCTTTTGGTTATTTTTCAAGCTGATTGCACCCCCCATTCAATCAAGAACAGGCAAAAACTGTCCTACTATCAACATCGGAATGTCAAACACGTCTCTTTTGATGGTCCACACACATGCACAACGCAAATAGTCATTTTCAACAGCCTTTCGTAGCACACAATCCGTGAGATGGGTTGCATTTAAGTCTCCAAAAGCCATATTACTGAAACTTTTGAAGTACTTTATGGTGCTCTCATCATCCATGAGCTCCACGATGAAGGTCCTTTTTGAGAGAAGAGACATCTTGGAGTAACCAGTCAATGTAGCAAACTCGCTGGTAAGAGCTACAATCTCACCTGTCCGTCTCCAGATAATTGTTGGTGATGGAGAAACAGATATGAGGTTCTCATACTCAAGTAGAGACCTCTGGAACGACCTTTCAGTGAAGATAAGATCGTTCTCGTACAGCGACTTGGTGGCCGAGATGAATGAAGGCCGGTATTTGGCCATGCACTTGGCAATTTCAATCAGTTGTTCCCTATTGAAACGTTCTTTCAGATATTTGATCAGTGAGTGATATGCGTTTGGATATTGGTAAGATTTCACCACGTTAGTGAGGTAGATATCGTCGGGCACTCTGATGATGTGCCGTAAGATCAATGGTGAAGTATATCCTTCTTCCTCTTGGATCTCGTTAGGAACTTTGCTTGCAGTATTTGGCATCTGACTGTGTTTGGGATTATACTGATAAGAGTTAGGAGTGGCATTATCTGGATACGACGAGATCATTGACCCGTCTTCTCCGAGCTGGATGAACGGTCTCAACGAGAGGTCGGCCTCGAAGTACTCAGACGGCGAAGGCGGATTCGTGGTTAACAGATCAGTCAACTTGACATACTCGTCATTGGCCAGGTGGGACTGAAATGCCTGCGGCTGATGAGGGGAAACACTAGAATCGAGCCCGTCGCCTTCATTTTTCAGACTTAATCGCTGAACTGCCGTGTTGATGATGTCTCCAGATACGGACGTAGAATCTTCTTTCGCATTTATCGGTACCTTAGACCCAAGGTAGAACAAATGTTGTCCCGTTGGCTGGACGTAGCCTGTAATATGATCTCCGTGTCTTGGTGGAACTGAGGCATCACTGGATCTGGCAAAGTCATCCTCCATACTGGCATCACCAGCGCTAGACCCTATCGATCGCGATCGGCTATGACGATTTCCCGAAGGTTTGCTAACACGACCTTCGCCACCTGAGCCGGTTGACATGTAGCGCGAGCCTCGTCTTTCCACATCTTGACAGGGCTCCTCCACGCCTCTCTTGACGCAGTTCTTGCATGGCCGCGTGGAATCGCATTGGAGATGTTTTGAGTGGCAGAAAGTACACGCCCTCTGAATGGGTCTTCGGGCCTGCTTTATCTCCGGAGCAAGTCTTTTCGTCATGAATCGAATATGAACTGAGAGATTTGATTTTTCACTCAAATCTCGTTTTGGTGGAGTGGTGTTGATGCGATGGGAACCCCGGGGCAACTCACTTTTCGCGGGGTTGAAACTCAGAAGGCGTCGTCAAATTAGGCACGCCACTCAAAAACAAAAATTCGCCGAGGAAGTTAAAGTTTAGAGATATTTGACGTCTTCAAAAGAGTTGAAACCCTCGAAATATATTAACACAGTGGTAGTTGAGATGCTGTGGACAAGACCAGTCAAGTCCCGGGGAAAAGACGGGCCGGGTAGAACACAAGTTTGGTTACCCGGGCATGTTTGGCAGGTTGAATCTGGGGTAGACCGAGGGAGATGTATGCTCGCATTTATAAGGGGAACTGGATATTGACGCGATTTTTGAACTGATGAGTGATTATGCACGTACCAGTGTGCACTGCTTTGAGGAGTTCAAGTTGATATTTTGATTTTAATGTAACCAAGCATTGCCCACCCAGGCTACAATTTGGCATTGCACTAAAACTTTTGGCCTAATTTACATATTTATACAGCTGAGAATAAATAGTGTCAGATATGATCTCCTGGTGTCTATGCGGTATTTGTGATCTCCATATTGCCAGATACCTTTGGCACTTGCAACAACTTTGGTCTCCAACCCATTTCACCCAGTTTACTTCTCTAAGCATTCCCTTAAACACCGCCACACCGTCTCCAATAATTCTCGCCTCGGCAAAAGCTCCGGAAACACGACACTGATGGCGTAGTCATCAGCATCCGAGATTTGATGAATCAATTGCATCACAAATATCACATTAAAACCACTGAAACATTCGTTGATCATCACATCCAACACCCGGTCCATGGGATGGAACTTCTTCTCGCTGAGATAAAGACTCATTCCAACGGCCGCTTTGGCCTTAGAATCTTCGAAACTAGCCGGCTTCAAATATTTTTTCCCAAAAATTTGTCGTATCAATTTGCCGAAAGATCTTCTATATGTTCTGGTCTCGGTCTGTAATCCTACTTTGGGAAGAATAAGAATCGTCTCGCTCTTAGTCATGTCTGTCTTCAAACTAACCCAGTCCGTCACAATATACGCCAATGTTATGCTTACAAACAGTCTGAAACATAAGCATAGCAAAAGGGCCTGTAGCGTATTATTCTCATCAGATATCCACCTGATGGTGGGTCCGAAAACGTAACCAATAGCATACTCAAATGCAGGAGCACCAGAAATCTGGTAAAAGACACAACTAAAACCAGCAAATAAACACAGGAGTATTCCCAATCTATAGAACAGCAAAGAGCCATCCGAAGGTTCGCTGTTGGTAACTGTAAAGTCTGCGTAGTTACACTGCGAAACTTGGCCTTTGAGTACGGAGCTGAGTGTGCTATCTCCTGCGGATTGTGTGTATCTTGTTGTTCCCCCAGGGCCACATACAGTTGCCCTCAAGACATGAGCGCGCGCCATGGGACTCAAACCGAGAAAATTGCCCAAATAAAGGTTGTGGACCGAGAGTCAACACGAGCCTCGTCCCTACGATAGTTCAAGATGTCCTCCTATTAAGGCAGTGTCAGGGCTTCTGTGCGGCACATAATGGGAATTTCCGGGGTTCACCCCAGAGATCTCCAGTCGGTCTTTTTTCACCGAATTGGAAACGATTTTACCGAAATATTTCGAGTCTATTGGGTGCGGCATATAGAGCTTCATTTATTTAATCAGGTGTAATTTTAACAATTTTTTGCACCATTTCTCACCTGGCCATCCACCCTCCATCAACAACGATGCACTCACCGGTGATGTAGTCACTAGCTCTCGAAGCGAGAAAAACAGTGGCTCCCTTCAGATCCTCCGGTTTACCCCATCTTCCTGCTGGAATCCTGTTGACTATATCGGCATTAGCCTTAGGATCAGTCTCGAGATCGTTCGTCATATTAGAAGAGATCCAACCAGGTGCAATAGAGTTAACCTGGATATTCTTGGGAGCCCACTCATTAGCCGCAGCCTTGCTGAATTGCAAAATTCCTCCCTTCGAAGTGGTGTAGGGAGCCACACGGACTCCTCCCTGGAATGAAAGCAGAGATGCAGTGAAAATGATTTTGCCATGAGTACCCTGCTTAATCATATCTCTTCCAATCTCTTGGGTGAGTCTGATGGGGATATTAAGGTTCACGTGCAACTGCCTGTCAAATTCAGATTGCTCGAAATCCTCCAGATTAGCCCGTGAGGCCGTTCCAGCGTTGTTGATGAGGATATCGATTTTTCCGGAGGATGACAGCTTATAGGCAGGCTCAACAATTGTCTCAAACACCTTATCCAGGGCTGTCTTTTCGAAATCTGCCTTTATAACAGAAATCTTAGCTTCTGATTCCGGGTTACTTGCTTTGATCAAGTCAATTGTTGGCTGGGGATCCGTGGTGTCACGGTGAGTCAGAATCACCTCCGCCCCAGCCTCATATAGCCCTACGGCCATGTACTGGCCAATACCATTGGTAGCACCAGTGATAAGGACAACTTTACCCTTAAGAGAAAACAATTCAGCAGACATGGTTGATATTTCGAGACTTAGAAGGAAACTGTTGAAAAATAAGCGAGAACAAGAGACTCAGCCGGTGGTTAAAACTTTTGAGAAACTGATTTGGTCCGTTATTATTAGGGTGATCATCACGCGCAATCACATAATCGAAGTACTATTCGATACGGTGGATACTCAATGGTATCTGGAGGAACTTGCAAATTGGATAACCCGTATTCATTAAAATTGCAGTAATTTTTGAAATCTTTGGGCGAAAGAACCCAGTTACTCGATTATAGTAGAACACCCCATGTCAAGGGTATGGTCGTTAAGCAGGGTCCATGAGCCACAGTAGCCACACCTAATGGTTCTCGATTCCAAAACAGTAACATGCCCGTTGTCATGCAAAAAGCGATCCGAATATAATCAAAAGTTAAAGCATGGAAAATTTCGATTTTTAGTTAGCATTGATCATGAATTTTCAGTTGCATAGTTAAAACGATGCCAGGGTTTGAATGTTCGCTCCCGATTTGGAAACTGCATGTGACTCAAAGAGTTCGAGTGAATATGCATGGCTCTAGCGGGCCGTTTTTACGTATTTAACTTAATTTTATCTCTAAATTCTCGCAAATGTTTCAAAGTGCCACTAGTTGACAATCGTCCATCTCAATATTCAATTCCCGCTACCCAGAAGCCACTTGCTCGTGACGTAGTCATCAGCCTTGGAAGTCAGAAAACGGCCACTACTTTTGATGACCGTGGGTTTGCATCCATACACCAGTCGAGATTCATCCCAAGAAAGGCAATCAAATGGTGGTGAAATTTCGGTCTCTGAAAAAAAGAAACTTCTTCAGCTATGTCTTAAGTGTTTCAATTGCAGCGCTGATGCGAAAGAGGGATTGCCCAATCTGGCAAACGCCCCCAACGTCAAGCAATCTCGATGACGCAGTCCGCACATCTTTGTAGTCAATGGCCATCACTTTCGACACCCAAGTACTATTAACTAAAGCAAAGCATTATCTGGAAGCTTTCTTAAAATTCCAGAGGGTGAGCATCAAGTTAATTGGATTTAGACCAGCATGCAGGCGTGCACTATGCAAATTGATAATAACACACGACACGACCATCGCATCCGCCGATTACGCGCGGTCTGACCAGTTGACACATGTGAAGGGCAGTTGTAGTTCATTTTGAGGGTGGGCTTTTTTTTTACAGGAGCTACACAGTCAGGAAGTTTTGGTGCGACTGGGTTTGTTCACGTGAGAGCTCCAACACTGCCGATTAAAACCAAAGCCGTATACTTGTTGGGTAGTAACGCGCGTCCAGAGAACCTCTTAACTTTTCAGTACCCACGGCACCTCCACAGCGCAGATGGAGGAGGCTGAAAAGCGACATTTGACTCAGCAGAAGACGCTTTTGCGATGGGTGAACTCAAAGATACGACAACCGCTCCAGCATATTGACCAGCTTTGCGGATATCCCGGGAGAAGCTCCATTCCTCTTGTTGAGCTAGTTTGTGCGTTATGGGATGGCTTTGACCAAAGCCTTGCAGATAATAAAAAATCGAATGCGCAGCTGAACCGTATACATCGGGTGGAAAAGACTGTACAAATCATGGATGTTTTGGTGGAAAAAGGACTGATATGGCAACGGTTCGATGCAGCAAAGTTAGTGGATGGAGACTCCAAATCTATATGCAATCTCCTGTTCACACTTGTGATGGAATTGGCCAATGTTGAGCTTGCAAATCTGGAAAAAAGCCAAAGCATTGCACATGCTAAAAAACGGGACTTTTTAGTTCATTGGTGTCACCAGTGTACTTCCAAGCATAGAATAACAAATGTTATAGACCTATCTTCAAGTTGGTCCAAAGGAAATGCCATATATGCAATGTTTGACCATCTGAAGCCTCGGGTGATTGATTATGAAGAAATGCTCGAAACGAAGTTGCCAGAGGCGAGAGCCGAAAATTTGGACTACGTGCTGGATCTCTTTACGGAGTTCTTTCATGTTCCAAGACTTATTGATGCAGAGGATCTGATGGTTGATAGGCCAGATGAAAGATCGGTCACAACACTTGTAGTGGAGTTGTTTAACTCGGTGCAGGATATTAGAGATAGAGAGAAGGTGATTGCTGAAAAGGAGGTTCTTGGAGGGAATGACGGGTTCCGGGTGTTCGTGGACTCTATGCTCCAAATAGTGGAAATGAGAACGGAGGTGGAAGCGAGTTTCACAAAACTGCAGGACTCAGTTGATGTGCTCTTGGAAAATTTAGCCTCGGAAAAAGCTGCTTCGAAACGAGCGCTTGCAACAGGCTTGAAACTGGATACAATTGGGAAGAGTAGTGATCTCAAGTCTCGACTCAAAACGGTGGGCTTGCTTTCAGGATGCGAAGATATCTTCAAGGAGATTTTGGAGATTGTGAAGGAAGAGACATATAAATTAGAAGCCCCTGAGGTTAAGCAGAATGATTTCGAGAAGTTGCTGAAGCTTTGTGAAGACAGGTTCACCAGACTACTACATGGAACAACTGCAGACGTCGAGATATATCTTGACGAGGATCTTTTGGAGCATCTTCAGCTGATTACCAAGATGTCAGAGGATCTGAAAAAGATAAGCAATTTTTCGCGAATGGCGAATAGCGCTGCCAATGGATGGGACGACTCGTGTGAGTATCGTCTCGGATCTCTCAAACGAAACATCCAAGACCGATTGGTATTTATCCAAAAAGAGATAAGAACGAGAGACCGATTGGCCAATCTCGGTTCCAAAAAAGTGGACAAACTGGCTGCCGAGATGGGAAACCTCAATCTTGAAGAACTGGACTATGTCTTCAACAAGTTTGACACTGGCTCCAAAGGATATCTGAACAAATCAGATACAAGAAAGGCAATCACGTTCATGTACTCGGAAGTGAATGTTTCCGCTATAGAGAAAGCTTTTGAGGCATCTCTTGCCCAGACTGGAAGGGTTCTCCGCGGGCTTTATTTTGACGAGTTTGTACACCTTTCCAAGACATTTGGCGATGACGAAAGCGACGACAACGATACTGACGACGTCCTGTCTTTGTCTAACTTTGGTATTCTGAGTCTGTTCAAAGAAGTCAGCAATGATTCAAACACAGTCAAGATTTGCGATCTTGAGACCAAATATGGACACGATGTTGCCGAGAAACTCAAGGTGTTGATGTTGACATCTATTGATGAAAAGAGCCTTGAGTATGCAATATTTTTCAATGGGGGATTCAAGAACATAGTCACTCCAAAGGAGCTGTTTATGGCCGCGAGATGAGGTCACCAGCAACAGTGGATAGACATTATGTCCGATATACCTATATAAGCTACGATTAACGATTATACGACCACTGTTATTCAGTATGTAAATGATAAAGGCGTTCTGGGTAATACGACTAAGATTGCTCAGATGAATCTTCTGGATATTTTGGTCATGTGTTTGCCCTCAATCTCATTTCATTTCATCTCATCTACCTTTTCTATGCCCACCTTTTCTTATCTTGCATGCCAATCTGCACCTACCCCAACTCCACCCCACTTCTCTAATGTAAACCCATTATTCACCCTATAATACATTGCTATTTTACAAATTTCTCCAGTGCAGAACACATCATATTGTCCCCATTAACCCCAGTAGGACTATTCAAATAAGCATCCTCCCAGAACTGTAGATCCTCCTTGCTGAAGAAGTTGAAACTTTGGGGCGGTGTCATGAACGATGTATCCTGTACTATATCCGGAAGCTGGATCTTGCAGACCTTCTGCTGCTTACTCAAACGCTTCCGCTTTGACTTTATACCGGAGAACAGCTTCTCGAGATTCTGATATCTGTGGCGGGCCTTACGATTACCCCTTTCACTCATTGTCAGCAGCAGATCTAGCGAGAACTGGATGTAGGACTCCGTCATATCAGGGTCATCAGAGCCCATCGCGAGGAAGATGGCAAAAGTAAGTGCAGTATGGTAAAGATAATCCGTATCGCTTGGACCGTGAATGGCAAACATATCTGTCTTGTGGAGATGTGTTATAATGTTGAGAGAAAGCCCCGCCGAGCTGAAACAGTTGCTGATAACACTTTGAAGAGGACCAGACAGAATAGAACGGTGGTAATTGCGCTCCAGAATTTTCACCAAAACAGGTGCCGTAGCCAACTGAATCAGAAGACAGTAGAATAAATGGACCGTTAACACAAGTCTCCTTTTCATATTAGACATCGAAAGCATGTGTGTCAAACTGGCATCGTCTGGTATGGACTTCTTCCAGTCAATTAACCTCTGCAGCATCTCCAATACATCCTTCAGGAAGACCTGTCTATTTTGAAGAGAACCCTGCTTCTGATAGACGATATGGTTAACTTCCTCTGCCAAGCGACCAATCAGCAAGAAAGATTTCAGATGCTGTCTGCCCATTTTCAAGCTTGGTTCTCCGTAAACCAAGCTCAAGGGATACTGTCTAGTAATAATCTGTCTGTCTAGAAGCATCGCCTGTGCATCTTTAACTGAAAGAAACCTGTTGATGATGTATGTGGTCCAGAACACCACACGTCCGTACTGCACCTCGACAGATTCTTCATCTAACTCACTCTCTTCTGAAAAATCATCCCGCCTGAACATACCAGTGCTACTGCACATCTGTAAGGCCAGTCCCGAATATGTGAGTGCGTTGATATCGTCTCCTATTGCGCGAAAGTAGAATGAGGCCCCGTTCATGAACTCAATGGCTTCAATCGGATGTGGGGTCTCCAATCGTAGATGCTCAAAAGCACGCCATGCTGCAATAAAAAATGGCAGTCCAGCCTTTGAATCAATCGGTCTCGGGTTGCTATTGTCGTAGATCTCTCCCAATGCAAGTACCATCATCAGCAAAGCAGGCACCCAACGCTCTTCTTGCGGAAGAGTTTCTGGGAATACGATACACGGATCTTCTTCTTCTTCCTCTTCATCTTCTCGCATACAGTACTCGGCAACTTTGGCCTTCATAAGATCGAGTCTCAGGGGAAAGCCAGTGTGGAAACACGCAGTCAAGATCAGCGAGATCGCCCTCGTGCGCGTGATGTTCGGCACATCCTGGTGGCGAGCCTCGGAAATATATTGCTCACCAATTGAATTAGAGCTGGTAAGGATGTCATATTGAAGAGCCTTATACTCAAGGCTCTTGAGCTTGGACTCCAGAACGATCGCCTTGCGTTTTGTCTCGCTATACCTGCACGGATGTCTCGTTTTGGCACATGCCTGGCACGGTATTGTTCCGGAGCATTTTGATCGCCTTGATCGGCACCTGTCACACCTGCTAAATGTTAGTAACACTAGAAAACAAAAGGCGATGGGAGTGGGAAAGTGGCGAGGGTGGCATGAGCTTGTAAGCCTGTAGATAAGGGAAATCGACTGAAAACAAAAAGAAACGGCAAAACCCTAGAGATAAGGCAATCACCGATTCACAGCGTTTTCAAATATCAAGCTCACCAAGAATATTGAACAAAACAAGCCATTTTTCACACCATTTCTCTTGTCCTCCCCCTCAAGAGTTCAAATCAACACTTACGCAGCCTTAGACCTGGACCTCTTTTCGGTGTTTCTGGACATTCAAAGAAAAGCCCGGAGGATACCAGGCAAGCAGAAAAAACAAAGAAGCGAGAGAAAAGAATAAAAAAACGGCGTAAAAATGAGAAGAGCAGCTATTCAAAACGATTTCGAACTAAAGCCAAAGTGGGATATCTGCTTCCTCAGGGACCCTCTCTAACTTTATTCAAATAAGCCCAAAACGGCAAGTATCCTGCTTTGAAGAGAACCACGGTTTATAATATGGATGTAGCCCTTGTCCAGATGTGGTGGTATATTAGAAGGGGCAGAAAGTGCACGAAGGATACACAGACTAACACGGTTTATCAGGTTTTATCTCACGTTTCCAACAGGTACCATGGTTTAGCTCTGCGAGCTCCACACAATGCGGGTCTATTAATATATAAAGAAGAAAAAACCAGGAATCATGCCCGCTGAGACGCGGCCAGTTGCTGCGCGCTCAAAAGAAAGCCAAAAAAATTCTTAAATCCCCCCCCCTCCAAAAAGGTACGTCCCTCGAATGGTTATGCGGCCATGTCGGATGACGTTCATTGTTGCAGGGAAGATGTGTGACGCTGTGCAAGATGGAACATAGGTAACGCTAGATAGGGAAAATGGGTCAGGAGTTTCGAAGCAATAGCGGGGATCTAGCAGTGATAGTTACTTTCTAACCACGCTACAAACTTTTGGACAACCCTTCCCTCCAATAAGTCTCGAACCCAGACACAGATCAGTTGCCTCAATCCTCCCACACTTCGATCCCTATTAAGGTTGAACTGGCAAGGATCTCGGAATTTGGCTACATACAGAACAGCCCAGAATTACGGCACATGTGCAGTAGCTGGTAAAACACACTAAAATGCTAGTTTCACAAGCCTCCCCGGAGTGAAACGGCTACCTCTACGAAACAATAGGATTGCTTCTCTATGAAATGCGAAAAATATTCTTTAAAACGCATATACGGATCCACCCTGGATGCACTATGTCACCGGGCCGCAGGACGTGTGCCGACCGAGTTGCGTTCCGGTTGAATGAAACGCGGTCGGTTAAAAAAACACAGAACAGCTATTTTCAGCGGGAAACGCTTAAAACTGGTACAAAAGTGATCCAGGCAAGGAAAGGGTTTTCGTGTGTCCGTTACAGCCCAGATATGGCATGTGTGCTGTAAGCTGGGACCTCCTTCAAATGTGAGAGAACATTTCTTGGACAAAGCCGTCCGGCCAATGAGGCGCCCGGATTTGGCTCAGACGTGAGGGAATTTTTTTTCTGCGTGTGTGCTTCAAAATGACACAATAAGCATGTACAGAAAGAGCATTATGGGCCCATTGATCTGGTCCCGTCCTTATATATGCACCGCTAAAATAACACGGGCTACGTAGCCTTGAATTTCACTAAAAACATCACCTTGTTCGGAAGTGGCCAGCCTGATATCTGCCGAATCCATGTAGAAAGTTGTCGCGGAAATGCCTACAGTAGAGGCATGAAACTTGGCTGTATGGCGCTTTTAGGTCATCGAACGCAAGTGTCAACTTGACCACGCATTTATCCCCGATTGGGAAGGCCGTTCCATCTCGAATTTGAGTGTTTGTTGCTGTCGGTCCCAGATCCCGAAGCATTTGCAATTGGCATTTCGAATGTCCCGACTTCCAGGGAATTGTCGTATGGCGCTTCTGGACCGTCACGTGCCAGAAATTGGCTAGATATCCAAAAGTTTCTTTTAGACGCATTTAACCGTGCGTCTGGCCTAAATAGGTCTAATTGGCATTCGAACTAAAATAGATTTAGACATGTTTTTCTTTTGAGATTTTTTAGTTGAACTTTTGCATGTGATTTTCGCAACAAACATCCATCGTCTGGAGATCGCTAGACTCTGATATTCTCTGATATTGTCTGACATTTATTAGTATGAGGATTGGTACCAGAATGGCACCTGCTGAGATGCCTTACGTTGGTTCCTACAATCATCCACTAGGCTATTTTGATATACTACCGTATTTACAAGTATATATTAGTGACGTCTGGTTTTTTTAATATCGTCAGTTTACAAATAAGCCGATGTGAACCGATATTGATTGGAAATTGTAAAAAATATCTTGAGGTATCTACAGGTAACTGACTTACTGTCATGCTTTCACCTGCGCCATCTGGTATCCCTTAGTCAGTATCCCCTACCCTTCATCTTTGCATTTGCTACCCCCAGTATATCTAAGGTCGCTGGTTTGATATCCCACTGCTTTTCTGGGTTTCTACTTTTTGTGTCACTCAGTATATTCTTAGTTTTCAATTCTACACGTTCCCCAGGTCGTGCGTGCACCCAATCCTTGTGATAAGCTCGGTCTTCCTCACCGTACACGGTCAAGCATCAGAACGCGATCGCTATCAGTAAACGTTAGCGGACAACTTGTAAAAACCAATAGGAAGCCATGCAATGTGCCACGTTTGCAATTCCATTTGCTTTCAATCCGTCTTTCTTTAGATGAATTTTGGTCATAATTATATCGCCAAAAATTAATTCCCAATGACACGCGATTACTATGCCAAGAGAGTGAGAGAATGGCGAAACCGCGAAATAAACCCCGTGAGAATTTGCCATCCGGATCCTATTCTGCTCCAAATTGGCTATTTGAACAACGGGTTTGTTCCAGTGGAGTCTTTGGACCTTCAAATAAGAAATGCGCCTTTTTCTGAACCGAAATCAGCCGCACGTTTGCACTTGGATGATGATTTCGTGAGGGACGCATGGCAGTATGGACCAGGCTCCGGGTTTGGCGAGCTTCTTGATTTTGTGACCGAGGTTACACGTGAGATCCACACACCAGCTGCTTCAGACTGGGCCACCGTCCTTGACTGTGGAACTACAGACGGATTGTCCAAAATTTTCCATGCCTTTATAGATCGTGGAGATTGTGTTCTGTGTGAGGAATTCACCTACACCCCGGTTCTTTCATCTCTTGCTTGTGTTGGTGGAATGACTGTTCCGGTGCCCATGGACGCTTCAGGAATTGATCCGGATGACTTACGACACTTACTGGCTAATTGGACTACTCTTAGACCCGGATACCGGTTCCCCAAAATGCTATACACCATTCCCTCGGGCCAAAATCCAACGGGAGTGACTCAGTCGTTTTACCGGAGAGCCGAAGTGTACGACGTTTGCCGCGAATTCGATTTGCTGATTGTAGAAGACGATCCATACTGCTATTTGGTTTTGGAGGACTTCGAGACCGTTGATGAGTATAAGCAGAAGGTGCCCAAATCCTACCTAGCACTCGACACAGACGGCCGTGTTTTGCGATGTGAGTCTTTCTCAAAGATTTTTTCACCTGGGATTCGTCTTGGATATATTGTTGGGACACGTGAGTTTATCGAAACACTCAAACTGTACTCCAATGCCATCAATGGGCCGCCTTCGGGGGTTTCACAGATGGTTCTTCGGTCTACTCTCGAGGCATGGGGCTGGGCTCCTGGATACTACGAGTGGCTGATGCAGATTTCACGAGAATACCGCAGGAGACTGGATTGTGCTATAGCATTTTTGGAGAAGTCAAAATTGTTCCAAATGGGGAAGATCAAGTTTTCTAGGCCTTCGAATGGGATGTTTCTCAAAATCGACATAGCCGTCCCCTTGGACTCCATTTCGGGGATCAACGATTCGATGGACTCTCTTCAGCACACTTGCCATGAAAATGGCGTTGGTATAATTCTTGGAAGAGACATGGTGGCTAGTGAGCAGACAAGTTTAGTTGCATTTATTCGTATTGGTGTGAGTGCTGTCGATGATGCGGAGGTGCTCTGTCGTGGACTTGAGAGGACGCTGAGGTCAATCGAAGTCCTGGGGACTGGTAAAGGCTGAGCGTCTGGACTCAATTTTTCCAATATATTCAAACATCTATGCAATTAACAGCTCTACGTGCTGGGATTTTATATCATATTATCCATTAATTTTGCTATATAAATTGACTGGACTGGACAGATAATTTCCCCTGCCAGTCAGATCTGAGAAGTTTTGATTTCAGGGTTTTATTAGGAATAAATCACTGTTTAATTTTTTTGAATAAAAAGAGAATTATTTGTTTATCTTGTTCTCTCTCTCTCTCTCTGATATTTTTGTCGTCCTTTGACTTTCCCTTCGCCCTCGCTGTATCTTTCTAGCAGCACTTCGATGAGCCGCACGAGTGTCTTATCATCTGCAAGCAATGCATCTACTATTCCAACTTTATGAGCTACATTCTCAATCACACCAACTATTAATCGAATCTCAAAATGTCTTACAACTTCGACTGGAAACTCTCAACGGCCTCGAAATCAGCAACGATCAACACGTTCCCGTGAGTCTGGAGGTACGTTGAAGGAAAAGCCGAATCAACCGGGTGCCTTATCGTCTCGCTCAATGCCTTCTGCTTATTTTTTCCCAAAACAATGATGGCCACCTCGGCTGAATTATCCAGCACAGTTGAAATTCCAACAGAAAGTGCGAATTTTGGCACCTTGGACTCATCGTTCTCGAAGAAACGAGAGTTGGCAGCTATCGTGCTCTGAACCAACGACACTTTACGGGTAATTGAGTCTCTGGTAGAACCAGCCTCGTTAAACGCGATATGACCTTCTGGACCGAGTCCACCCATAAAGAGCTGGATTCCACCATAAGATTTGATCTTGGCCTCGTACTGGGCACATTCAGCTTCGACGTCCTCGGCAAGCCCGTTAAGGATGTTGATGTTCTCCGGGCGAAAATTGACGTGATCAAACAAGTGTTTGTGCATGAAATAGTGATATGATTGAGGGTGATCTGGCGAAAGTCCGAGATACTCGTCCATGTTGAAACTGACCACGTTGGAGAAGTCGATTCTCTTAGCCTTATATGCTTCCACCAGCTTGGCGTAGACACCTTCTGGGGACGATCCAGTGGGCAGGCCAATCACGAACGGCCTTTCAGCTGTTGGGGAAAAGTCATTTATTTTGGAGATAATGTACTCGGCAAGCGCAGTGGACGCTTCCGGTGGTGTTTGGTAAAGTTGGAGTCTCCTTGAAGGGGTGTTAGTGATTTGTAGGTCTAAGGCATAGCATAGTTAAGCAGGACTGTATAGCCCAATGTAACTCTAGTCCCGAATAGATCGGATCGTAGTATAACTCACATATTGGATCTCTTAGCAGGTTGCGAAAAAGTCAGCGAGATCAAAAGAAAAAATTCCAGGGAAAGATAGGCCTGTTATATAACCTACAGTCCTCGAGCCCCAGCCACCGGAGAAGGTCTCCGCAGCATGCGATGGGCGGTTGTAACTTGTAACGTTGCAGCCGCTTAAAAGCCGGCGCTTAACTATGGATCAAATTTGCTCGCGGCACGCTGATAGATTACTAGATTATATGGTTCTTTCGAGTCATGACCGTGTTGATTTGTGATTCATCTTCCATCTAGGAGATTCAAGATCTGGTTTGCCCTGCATCGATCGAGGTAAAAGTGGTTTCTATGGTCGGGTTTTTTTGCCGGGGTGCAACAAAGCGTGTGCGGCGCAAGAACATCCAACTCAATAATTTGATGACATAATCATTATATAACATTTTTAGTCGTCGCACTTAAGTTGTTTATTTCAGGGAGGGAGCCACACACAAACATAGCTGGACCGCCTCCACAAGCTTCACCTCTCTTCTTTCTTTCCACCTTTCCTCAGCTATTCGAGCCACTTGCTACAATGTCCGGAAGGTCAAGACAGGATGTGCGGAGACAGTTGTTTCGCGGCATCGGCTCGCGGATGTCCTCCAATAACCACAACAACAACCCACAGCAGCAGCAGAAGCTGGGCGAGGCTGCAACCACCCAACAGCCTCCGGAGCTGGTTGCCACTGCCAGCGGCGGGTCTTCTGGCTCGTCTGCCTCAGTCGCAGGTAAATCCAAGCGTTATGGATTGGGGTCGTCGAAATACAGGGTCATCACACCCATACCGTCACGTTCTCACCGAAATGCAGGACTCACGCCGAGCACAGTCTCGAGTTCCAGTACAGTAGCTAACAGCGAGATGGGAAGTGGACGTACGGACAAGCTGGTGATACACAGACACGAGGATTTGGACCTGGTGGACTACGATTATCGGACGTTTTCGTCACGGCATCCACTGAGAGCGTCCAGTGTGCGAGCATGGGAGCAAGCAGAGTCTGCAGCGGGAGTTCTGTTTAGTCGTGAGCGCGACCTAGACGAGCCTCCGCAGATTTCAACGTCCTCAGGTCTGGTTTTGGTTGAGGATGCGAATCCAGTGATACAGCTTCCAGGGGTGAGCAAACCCGAAACTGACAGATTGATGCGACTCCAGGCCACGGGAACAAGTGCGTTTGCTCCTCCACCGCAGGATTTGTTTGAGCAGGCACAATCTAAGGACAGACGCGGGAAACGGCGTCTGTCGCTGCTAGCACCACGTGAATCTACAGCGTCCAGGAACGCCTACAAACTACGGTTGGACGCCTTGTATGAGGCCAAGCCCGATGTGGTAGGCGAAATGGACGTGGACGAGCTAAGCGAGATGAAGCAGTTGAACGATCAGCTTGAAGCCGAGCTAGACGAGCTCCGGGTTCTCCGGAGACTCCAGCGGCTGGATGCCGCACCGTCGTACGACCATCTTTCTGACGAAGCTACGCCAGGTATGTCTGCTCCTTTCCAATTACAAATATTGCATTTCATTTACTAACTTTTCACAGCTAAAAGCAAAATCCAGGCAGATTCACGACGCCAGATGCTCAAGACTCGACTGGATGAGGCACAAGCCACCGATGGCTGGTTCCAGGCACAGCCGCAATTGGCAGAAGACTACTGATGTGAAATGACCACCTTTATAACGAACCTGTATAACTCCTCCGTGCCAACACGATTCCATCCAATTGAAGATCAATTGGTTTTGAGACCAGCACAATTCTATTGATTTGTAGCAATGAACATTGTTAAACTTCAGGTATGTGGTTTTTATTTGGTGGATAGATTTGCAGGTTATGGAAGAGGCTGTGCCCCTTTGAGAGGCGATTATGGATTTCACTCAAACGGCTCAGTCTCCATCCGCTTTTCCCGCAATATTCTATTCTGAATTTCATGATCTAACAAATATAATTTGCAGAAAAAATTTCCAGTCCTTTCGCAGGAAGATCTGTTTGCGGTAATCGAGGACTTCCGCAAGATCGACCTCGATGAGAAGGGTTGGGTTGACAAGCTCCAGGTCATCGAGGCCGTGAGCGATTCGGGAAAGGCCAGCTACGATACCGTGAGAGAGACATTGAAGCATGTATCTGTGGATGCATCTGGACATGTTGAATTGGACGATTATGTTGAGCTTCGCGCTAAGCTCAAGGAAGGCCAGACGCAGCCCAAGCAGGCGGGGGGTATTACTGAAAGCTCGGTGACCTCACCAAACGCCAAGGCTGGAAGAGTCATTGTAGGCGGAAGAACTTCTGGAACTACTCACACCATCAACGATGAAGAGAGAGTGGAGTTCACGCGCCACATCAACTCAGTGTTGGCTGGTGATGCTGACATCGGTGACAGATTACCGCTTCCATTGGACAACTTCCAGATCTTTGATGAGATCACCGATGGTTTGATTTTGTCCAAGTTGATTAATGACTCCGTTCCGGACACCATTGACACCCGTGTGCTGAACTTCCCCAAGAAGGGTAAGAAACTCAACAATTTCACCATGTCCGAGAACGCCAACATCGTGATCAATTCGGCCAAGGCCATCGGATGTGTTGTGGTGAACGTTCATTCTGAGGATATCATTGAAGGAAAGGAGCATCTTGTTTTGGGTCTCATCTGGCAGATAATCAGAAGGGGTTTGCTTTCCAAGATCGACATTAAGCTCCACCCAGAACTGTACAGGCTGTTGGAGGACGACGAAACCCTGGAACAGTTCCTTAGGCTTCCACCAGAACAGATTTTGCTGAGATGGTTCAACTACCATCTCAAGGCAGCCAATTGGCACAGACGAGTGGCCAATTTCAGCAAGGATGTAAGCGATGGTGAGAACTACACCGTGCTGTTGAACCAGTTGCAACCAGACCATTGTTCTCTGGCTCCTCTGCAAACGACGGATCTACTTACCAGAGCCGAGCAGATTCTGACCAACGCCGACAAGATTGGATGCCGCAAGTATCTTACGCCCAATTCGCTCGTTGCTGGTAACCCCAAGCTGAATTTGGCGTTTGTGGCGCATTTGTTCAACACCCACCCTGGTTTGGATCCTATTGAGGAGCACGAGAAGCCCGAGATTGAGGAGTTTGATGCAGAGGGAGAGAGAGAAGCGAGAGTGTTCACTTTGTGGTTGAACTCTCTTGATGTCGACCCGGTGATTGTCTCTTTGTTTGAGGACCTCAAGGATGGTACTATCCTGATCCAAGCCTTTGAGAAGGTGATGCCAGGCTCCGTTAACTTGAAGCATGTCAACAAGAGACCGTCATCTGGAGCTGAGTTGTCCAGATTCAAGGCTCTAGAGAACACAAACTATGCGGTTGCTATTGGAAAGGCCAACAGATTCTCTCTGGTCGGAATTGAGGGCTCTGACATTCTGGACGGATCCAAGATACTTACGCTTGGTCTGGTATGGCAGTTGATGAGACGTAACATCAACAACACTTTGGCCTCGTTGAGCCAGAATGGAAAGGAGGTCACGGACTCAAACATATTGAAGTGGGCTCAGGAGAAGGCTTCTAAGGGAGGTCGTCATTCGACCATCAGATCGTTCAAGGACCCTTCGTTGTCTACTGGTGTGTTTTTGCTGGATGTGTTGAGCGGACTCAAACCAGGATATGTGGACTACGACCTGGTCACCGAAGGAAGAACCGAGGAGGAAAGATACGCAAATGCCAGATTGGCTATCTCGATTGCCAGAAAGTTGGGAGCTTTGATCTGGTTGGTTCCAGAGGATATCAACGAGGTGAGATCTAGACTGATTTTGACGTTTGTGGGCTCTCTGATGGCCCTGGATTCTTGAGCTCAAATTTCAAGCAAAGTGCCAAAAAAAAAAACAACCAAAAACAGACGAAACGCCTTTCTACAGCAATATTACACATCTACATCCCCTTCTTCTTCTCTTAGTTTCCCCATCCTTTCCTAATTTTGGTTAGTCTGTGTATCAAGTAATTTTGTATCCTATTGTATGATTTGAACTAGCCATTTCGGAAACAAATTGGTCCACCTGCTCATGGCTTCAAATGTGCAACTCTGGTCTCAACTATCTGATCTTTCAATTTTTCGTCCCATTCTTTGCTCAGTGCGTTAATATATGCCCGTACGTCTTCTGCTCCAGTGCCATCTATCTCTTCCGTCTTGACGGATGTCGTTCCATTAACAGATGTAGAGCTTCCATAAAACAGAGCCTGCGAATCAGACACAGGATCCGCCTCCAGTGCTGCAAAAATGGGCGCCGTGGAGGCATTTTCTCCAGAGATGTTATGCCATGGTGAACCCAGTGCACGTGCAAGATAAAACAGCATCAACATACCCCAATTAGCTAGGACATTCAGCGAAGCAACCCAATTGGCAGAAACAAAGATACCCGGATGTGTTATGTAAGTGGTGATGCCCCTTTTCCTGAAACTCTCGAATGTGGCTAGATGGAGCAAGTTAAGCAGTCTTTTGGAGCCCTCGTAGGGCTCGTCTGTCTTCAGAAGCTGAAGATCGCCAAAAGAAAGAAACTTCGGAGCTGACATCAAAGAAGAAATCCAGACTACCCTCCCATCTTTTGAGTTGGCCAATAGCGTAGAAATCAAGTTGATGAAGTAGTAAGGCCCGAACACGTTAGCCTGGAACATAACCCCAAGTCCGTCTCCAGACTTCACTCCGACTCGCTGAATTTTATAATCAGGGTTTGTGACAGCGTCAATTGGTCTTTTGATAATTGCCTTGGTAGCACCAATCCAGTCAATTCCCTTATAAACGCCATGCGCAGCATTGCAGAACACATAGTCTATCTGGGTGTACTGCTTCTTTAGGTCGTAGGAAGCACACAAAATGGACACCATATTGCTGAAATCCACCAAAACATAATCAAATTCCAGTATCCCGGATCTCTTGACATTCTGTGCGTTATGTTCTTTGATTTTGTCGATTGTTTCCCTAGCTCGAGGAAGCGTTCTAGAGGTCACTATTAGAGTCAATCTAGAAGTCGGGTCGACTGTCTCCAGTAGCCTGTATGCGATCCCCAGCCCGAGATTGCTATTAGTACCAAGTATAAGTGCAATCTTGTGCGACATCGGAAAATCGGAGAAGTGTTTTTGAGAGAAAATTGTTGACTGCTGGCCTGCATTAGTCTGCATACTTCATCGCTTGGAACGAGAATCACGATTCGTATGGTTGGGCGCCCTGGCGCGGCTGAACGAGAGAGTCCAAGACATTATGATATTTGCACGACCTGAGATAAGCTTTTTTGAGTATTCCACTCCCAACCCCATAGTCTGAGACACAGTGCCAGATCTGAAACAATTGGATGCAGGATGCCACATACGTTTGTTTTATGTTCATATCCACTTTAACATTTTTGCATCCCCTGAGCTGCTTGAACTGGTGCTATAAAGCCGGCCCAATGGCTGATACATTTGTCAATGGTGCTTCCGGTAGCTATCCAAAAATGCTTTCTGAGGAAAACATCGTCTTCAACATATCAGCTGACTATCGGCTGGTAAGCCTCCTGGGGGAGGGTGCTTACGGAGTGGTTGCGCTGGCGCTTCACAAACCAACAGGCACTAAGGTTGCTATTAAGAAGATCAATCCATTTGAACGGCCTCTGTTTTGTCTGAGAACTTTACGTGAAATAAAGATCCTCAAGCACTTCAAGCACGAGAACGTCATCCAGCTGCATGAGGTGCAAAAACCCGCAGACTTCGCTAGCTTCCAAGAAGTGTACTTAATCCAAGAATATATGGAAACGGATCTTCATAAGGTGTTGAGCAGTTCCTCCCAGATCAGCGATGATCATTGCAAATACTTCACTTACCAGATTTTGAAGGCAGTCAAGGCCTTGCACAGTTGCGATATCATTCACCGTGACTTGAAACCAAGCAATATCCTGCTGAATTCGCAGTGCGATCTTAAAGTCTGCGACTTTGGTCTCGCCCGTATTCATAGGGGCTCTCTGGGAAAAGACGAGGCTGCGAAAGAATCCAAGTTCAGTTTCTTGACAGAATACGTTGCTACCAGATGGTACCGTGCTCCTGAGATAATGCTGACTTCTTCCCAGTATTCGAAGGCCATAGATATGTGGTCAATTGGGTGCGTACTAGCAGAAATGCTACTAGGAAAGCCTCTATTCCCCGGGAAAGACTATAGGCACCAATTGGTGCTGATATTTGAGATTCTTGGGACCCCTACGGGAGAAGACTATTATTCCGTCAAGTCAAGACGGGCCCGTGAGTATCTCCGCACTCTCAAATTCTACAAAAAGATCCCTTTCGAACGGTTGTTTCCTCGGGCTAACCCGCTTGCCGTTGACTTGATCGAAAAGCTGTTGATGTTTGATCAACGCAAACGAATAACTGTGGAAGAGGCCCTGGAACATCCATATGTATCGGAATACCACAACTCCGAGCAAGAACCCTCCGGTGATCCAATTCCCAAAGATTTTTTCTATTTCGATGACCACAAGGAGGACTTTGATATTTTGGACTTGAAGAGAATCTTGTATACCGAAATAATGGGTCGTGCGGCTTAAGAGCACGTGGGAAGGGGCAGAAGTGGCAGGAAGGTATGCGCGAAATATGGACGCTTATTGATAGCAAAATGCAGCTTTAGCTCTCGGAAAGCTGCAGAAACCTGAAATGGGGAATTAATGATAATGGCGCTAAAATATTCGATTGAAAGTTAGTTCTAGCAGTCTACAGAACTCTGATATGGGGCTCATTAGCAACAGTAGAATATCTGCAGCAGGTGGGCTCTATTTGGGTCTCATTGAATCCCAAATTTCACTCGATACTCAGCGATATCTCGTTACTAATCTTTTCTGGCCAAAAGCTGCACTCGACCTTATCTTCACCTATTTCTCCCATTTAGCCCTGCCAGCCTCTTTTTTTTTGCCAATTCTAGCCCCGGCATATAGTGAAAACCGCCCGCAGACTGCCCGCAGATTATGGGCGGAGTTCCCTTTGTGGAAATTGTGTTGTGCACTACAACACGCCAGAGGCTAACCTTTAACGCATTCAAAGGGATGCCACACGCCGTCGCATGTGGTCCACATCTTGGACCCAAGCTCTTCTGTTGCTGCTTGGCCCTCCAGTTTTTCGTTGTTTCCTACCTCAAGGAATTTGAATTTACTTCAAGGAATAATGAGCCGCAAACAAAGACTTTTGGTGCTGTCAGCACTGATCATGACGATAGTGCTTGTGGTATCTCTTAGCTCTTCGGAGACCCCGGCTTTTGCCATAGCAAACACGAACAAGGACTCGTCTTCTGCTGCCGATTTGTTGAGCCAGTTCAGTGCTAGTAATGGGAAGAAGGGTGAGAGTCCTGAAATCAAGACTGGTGAGAAGGTTGGTAGTCCTTCTGGTGCTGGGTCGAGCTCTGGATCTGTTGGTTTGACCAAGGGCTCTTCTGCCGGTTCGACCAAGGGTTCATCCTCTGACTCTTCTACGGGCTTTAAGGATTTACAAGATACTCACGACTCGAAAGATGCTGCCGACGCTAAGGCAAAGCCATTGACTGGCTCCAAGGCAGAGACCGGCTTCAAAGATCTCCAGGACTCACGTGGCTCTGATTTGGAGGGTTCAACTCAAGATGAGGAGGCCCCAGGAGTTGCCGATGCCGGCAAACTGTCCAAAGATCTATCTGACCCCGCTGAGGTTGTGGGTTCTAAGGGAGCCACGAAGCCAGCCAAGGGCTCGTCTGACCATACCGGCCCCCATGGTTCTGGAAACATCTTGAAAGACTCCGCAGATGCCTTGGTCGATGATGCCGATGGTGGAGTTGATTCTGGCGCTTCGAAAAAGCCTGCCAAGACCCTAAAATCTTCTGCTGGCACAGATGACGAAGATGAGGACAGTTCCGTGTTTGACCCGGCTAAGGAGTATAATGATATCATGAGCATGGGTCCCGTGGTGATCTTTTCCAAGACAGGTTGCCCTTACTCTCGTGCACTCAAAGATTTGCTTAACACAAACTACGATATTGTCCCCGCGCCAACAATTGTGGAATTGGATCTCCACACCCACGGTCGCGAACTACAAAATTACCTTGGCGAGACGAGTGGCAGAAAGACTGTGCCCAACTTTTTCGTCAACGGAGTTTCTCGTGGAGGTTCTGATGAAATCAAGACTCTCCACGCAGCTGGAACTCTTCTCTCCGAGCTCAAAACCTGGGGTGGGAAGCTCGTCCAAGTATCCAAATTGGCTGCTCCTTCCAACCAGTGAGATCTCTAGAACAACTCAGGTTTTTGCGGGTTTATATATCTTCGGGGTTTTTTGCAGGCGTGGTTCAGGTTGATGATGGCTGGTTGCCTCGACTTTAGGCAGCCAGGCTCTTTTAATTTTAGTTCTTTGGTAGAGGATGTGAGGCTTCTTGCGTCGTCTACAGTTATTCGCTATATTCCAGTTATTTCGTATAAATTGAGAATATTTGGTGAACCTTGTGTAGACCAGCGTAAGTGGGGCTTATATTTCATCAGATTGTGGGATTTATCTCCTGGAAACTTTTTCATTCCATAGTGAAAAGCCAATTTTAGCATTTTAGCTATGCCCACCTTAATCTGGGGGTCCCCCCATTCTTTGACCCCGGACATATTTCGGCCAATATGAGCCGTTTCTTTCAGTCGTCTATCCCTCATCCAACTTCCAATTTATTTCAGTATTTCATTCGACAATATCAAACAATGTCAGAACAATCGCAATACCTACAATCCCCTACAATTGACCAGGCTAAACTAGTGCAAGTCAACAAACCGGTGTTCCTACAGCGAAAAGTCACCACATCCCAAAAGGTGCTCCAAATCGCGAAGGATCTACAACTACTCGGGCATCAAGAAGGGGGATTCTTCAAAGAAACAGACAGATCTCCATTATATATGGAAAACCCATATTCGGAAAAAAATACCAACTCATACAGACAAGCAACCACTACCTCCAAAGACAAAACCATCAGCAGGAACTACTCCACATTGATTTACTACCTGATCACTTCAGAGTCTGCGATCGGGAGACTTCATCGTAATCATTCGAGGATAATACACATACTACAAAAGGGAAGGGGCCAGTATGTGTTGGTTTACCCAGATGGGACCATCAAGTCGTTTATCGTTGGATTTGACTTTGCTAACGGAGAGGTCGCGCAATGGGTTGTTCCCGGTGGCGTATATAAGGCCAGTTTCCTGCTCCCGTTAGAAGAAGAGCCAAGCGGTGATGACTGTTTGCTTATCAGTGAGGTTGTAGTTCCTGGTTTCGAGTGGGACGATCATAGATTTATGGAATCCAAGGATGAGCTGAGCGAACTTGTGGGTGAAGAGAAGGCTGAAGAGCTCGGGTGGCTGTTGGGATAAGAATATCAAACGCTATTAGACAATATAGGCTAAACCAAGGATGTTTATTGTTCTAGCACCGTAAGTCACTGGGTGTTCAATATTGGAATATTTGAGCCGCATCATAAACCATTTTGTCCACGTGATTGTACTCAGGGCTAACACACCCTCCGGCCCATCTCCTCGATCAGTTTTTTTCTGCGAAAAATGTCCTCTGCACGACTATGTGAAATCCAACCCTCTCTGTGTTAATGTTGAAAACCTTCATCTCGAGACATAGTTTTTCAGTAGAGTTACACATTCAACAACATACAAGATGGCTACTGAATTGACAGTTCAATCTGAACGTGCTTTCCAAAAGGTGTGTATCATGTTATATCTAGGAGAAATATTCCGCGAGAGGTATTGAAAGGTTTGCGAGAGGGTCAACATGACCGAACAAGACAAGAGAGACATCACTGCTAGGGACATCTGTCTTCCACCAAAATGAAAGAGAATGCGAGCTTTGAGGCTCTAATTTGTCAGGCCTAATGAAGTATATGACTAGTACAAGCTGTACTGAATACCAGCCAAATTTCCCGTGTCAGATTTCGAGGTTACGAAAATTTCGACCACAAGAGTCTGTTCAACATCAACCCTCGAATATCACGAGAAATTGCAATCCTTTGGTTTTCCTGATCTAAAGTCAGATCCCTTTCAAGAACCCTCGAAATTTCAGCCTTTTCCGGTACTACCAGAAATGTTTTACTAACCCATATTTAGCAACCTCACATCTTCACCAACCCAAAGGCCAAGGCCACCAGACGTACCAAGAGATGGTATAAGGATGTTGGTTTGGGATTCAAGACCCCAAAGACTGCCATCGAGGGTTCATACATTGACAAGAAGTGCCCATTTGTCGGTCAAGTCTCCATCAGAGGTAAGATCCTGACTGGTACCGTTGTCTCTACCAAGATGCACCGTACCATCATCATCAGAAGAGAGTACCTGCACTACGTTCCAAAGTACAACAGATTTGAGAAGCGTCACAAGAACTTGGCTGCCCATCTTTCTCCAGCCTTCCGTGTCAACGAGGGTGATGTCGTTGTTGTTGGTCAATGTAGACCTTTGTCCAAGACTGTTAGATTCAACGTTGTTAGAATTGCCGCCTCCGCCAGCTCTAAGAACAAGTCTTTCAGCAAGTTCTAAATAAGGTTACTGCTAAAATAAAATAGTTAATCCATTTAATTTGAGAAGATTTGGTAGAGTCTGCTATTTTTCGGTCGTTTGATGAAGTCTCAAGGACTATATTGAACGGTGTTGATGATTAGCCATTCAGGATCTGAATATTATAGAAATAGCTTCGTAATTACAAACTACCAAATCTACAAGACAAAGGTGCCGTGGTGGAGTTAAGAAAGAAGAATAAAACGATTGATAGCAGAGAAGCTACATTAGCCTCTTAACATAGTCAATACTGCCAAATGTTGGGATACCGCGAACAGCAACCTTCCTTTATACAATCTGAAATCTAGAATAGACGCCAAAATCCACCAAGACTATGCCAAATAAATAGCATAATCCAATATTTTTTCCCCATATACTCCAAGCACCTAAAATGTTAGGGTAGTGTCAAATTTTAGGTTACCCGGCCCTGGGCCCATCCCTTTCTCGCCTCTCCTTGCAAATTTGCCCTTGAATTACCCTCCCTCTTTCTTAAAAAACGGGTAACGGCTCGTTATCGATATGGCGAAATCCGAACATCAACAAGAACTGGGTGGTGCCCAGGCATTATTGGAGCTTGGAACCAAAAACAAAGAAGCTGGTTCTAGAAAAGATGACGACAGAGATCAGTCTCAAGCCCAATCTCAGTCACAGGCCCAGCAACCACAGCAATCACAACAATCGCAACAGCATCAAGAGCCGCAGCAGCAATCACACCAGGCGAATCTAAACGAGGCCGTCGAGGATGCCGTCTTGAAATATGTTGGCAGCACATTGGATGCCGATTCATCGAATAACGGCAATGTCAGCAAAAAGAGAAAGGTATTCACAACGGATGATATATCCAACATGGAGTTCCAGCAATGGACCACCGGCTTTTTGGCAGATGATTTGCACGACGGAAACGAGGATGATTTCACTTTCAACCCAGATCTCAAGAAGATCAAGGCAAAGCGCGATTTCAAGAAGCAGAGCAGTTCTGCTCAGGGTTCCGGGCTCAACGTTGATCCCGAGTTGACCCATTTGGGCTCTAGTGAGCACGACCAATTGGTGCAGGCTGCCATGAGAGATGCGCGTGCGCTTTCTGTGCTAGGCCACTTGGATGCCGACTATTTGAGACACGTTGGTTCCGATGATGTGGATGATAGCAACGAGCAACTGGCTGCGCAGGCTGTTGCGCGTGCTGCAGGTGTCAAGGCTGATTCGGGAAACCATTCTCTGGCAGAAGCTGCGGCTCTCGTAGAAGCTGCGGCAACAAAAGCATCAAGTTGGGTCACTACTTCGCCCCAGACAAAGATATTCTCGAAGGAGGAGACAGATGCGATCAAATCTTTCGTGAAAGATTACTGTCAGATTCATGGAATTTCAGAAAATGACGTGTGTAGGCGTGTTTGGTCGAACGAGAGAAAGAAGGATGGCTTCTGGGAAGCCCTTCAAAAAGTGTTGCCTTTGAGATCAAGAGCTTCCCTTTACAAACATGTGAGACGTGCCTACAATGTGTTTGATCTCAGAGGTAGATGGGGACCCGAAGATGACGCAGCTCTTGGGAGACTCGCCTCGGAGAAAGAAGGCCAATGGAAGCAAATAGGGCTTGAATTGGGTCGTATGCCTGAGGATTGTAGAGATCGATGGAGAAATTATGTCAAGTGTGGAAAGCAGAGGAACTCTGATAAATGGACTGACGAAGAGGAGGAGAGGCTCAAGTCTGTCATCCACCAGCTGCTGACTGAGGGAAGCCAGGACTCAGTGATTAATTGGACCATGGTGAGTGAGAAGATGGGCGGAACCAGATCCAGAATCCAGTGTCGCTACAAGTGGAATAAGCTGCTGAGACGAGAGGCCGCGGTCAGGGCCAAAGGAATTGACATCAATGACAGGCTGTGGTTATTAACAAGAATGAAACAGGAGCTTGAGTCCGGTTCAGAGGAAATTCCCTGGGAAACCCTGGCCAGTATGCATGATGCACAAACCTGGACAGCTACTGATTTTAAGGTGTGTTTCGAGATTATGAGGTCCAGCATAAGGGATTTCCGTAGGAAGTCGCAGGCTGAAATTCTGGACCTATTGCTCCAGGATCTCTCGAACGACATTCAACACCAGGCCAAAATCGCGGATGCTTTAGGAGGCGATCAACATCAGGACGGAGCATTTGACGAGTCCAAGGTGAAGCCCCAACATCCAACCGAAAAACAACTGGAGGCCGTGGCCGTTGCGGCAGTCCAAGGCACAGACGACTACATATGGAAATAAAAAGTGTATAGTACGAAAACAGGCTAATTTAAGAGTCATTGGAGGCCTCTGAAAAATTCGATAGTCAATCGGTTGTAGCCAATAAGGTGTGGAGAATGCTCCATGCAGTAGTGTCCCAATCAGTTCAAATCTAATCTAAGCCATCTTCAATGCCGGTGTCGGGATGAGAAAGTTGAACAAGGGAATGCGAATAAGGTTGGTAGGAGAAAGGCTACAAGAAGCGCAATCCACCGAAACAATTCACACCAGTAAATAAATAATTGTATAATATGAAACCCCCCAAAAATTCCTGAGAAATTCCAAGCGCTTTTGCCGAAACGGCACCCTTTCCGAGTTCTTGATCTGCCTGGTTACCCTACCGCCAAGCACCCAATTGATCAAATAGATAAAATTCTCGCAGCTAAACTGGCATTTCAGGAATACAGAAAGGTACGGCCCAAGTAGGAAGATTTTCACGAGGTTATTAATTCAGCAAAACACTTGATCTGAAACCTGAAATTTTTCCGTCTGATTCACCGAATTCTGCTAAACTCGTCAAGATGCCGAAGGCCGCTGCTGTCAAGATCAAGACCGAGCAGCCGGATTCGAGGCGAAAGCGGAACCGAGTTCCCATGTCCTGTACCATTTGCCGGAGGAGGAAGGTGAAGGTGAGTTAAGACGATTTGTTTTTGGATTTGTTTGAATGCTAACACCTGCAGTGCGATAAACGTAAACCCAAGTGCGCAAATTGCAAGAAGCGAGGGGTTCAACACTTGTGCCATTATCTTGTTCCTACCTGGGCGAAGCCTCTTTTGGATGAGGAAATTGGTGATTATGCGGTAGAGGGTATGGGACCTGGAGATGAGGATATGGACATGGATAACTCCTCGTCACAAGAGGACGAGGAGGAGATGAATGAAATGCGTGCCACGATTCGCGCTCTGGAAAAGGAAAACGAGATGTTGAAGCTGAAGAAAGCGAATAACACACCTCCTATTTTCCACAGTGACGAGGTTGTGGAACTCACCAGAACGAACTATTTATATACGACCCAGCCTGTTGCCACGATGATCAAGTTCCCAATCGCATATCACATTGGAGTGTTTTCGTGGATGTTCTTCGTGAAGAACGACTTTGTCCTGAACGATCTGTGGTCCAAGATATCGGGTTTGCGAAAACATTATGACTCTGCTTATGGGGGCCACCATAACAGCCCTAACAACCTGTTGGAAGGAGAAATTGATTTCACAAGCAGTTTTGGCGCGTTCAAGAGAGAAGACAGATGTCCCGCGATGGACCACGAACCGGCGTCTCAACAATGTCCAGTAACCGGCAAGGCTGGTGCTTCATGTCCTTCTGGTTCAGATAAAGCTGCTGAAGTGATGCCAAAGTATGCTTATTCATCTGCAGATGCAAAGAAAGAGGACGATGTCAAGGTATGCCCTCTTATGATTGGCGATGCTAGGGCTATGTTCAGAGAGAAAATTTCCCAAATGTCTTCTCTATATACGGCGTCGGCTTCGGCGCCGCCAGACGTGAATAACACTTCTCCTCAAGTGACTGCAGTTTCAGCGACAATTCTGGGTGAGCCATCCAGGAACCAAGACGGTTCTGAATGCCCGGTTGTTGGATGCGACGCCAACTCCAAGCGTCCAAAAAGGCAGAAGAAGGTCAAACAGGTAACCGCACCTCCTTCTGTCAAGAAATTCAACTTCAACGATACAAAACAAGCTCTCAATCTCATCGAGAAACAACTGCCCAACAGGAAGATCATCTGGTTGCTGATAGATCGCTTCTTCGAGAATCTGTATATACATGTTCCATTTGTGGATGAGGCTTCTTTTAGACTGAAGATAGCCACCATCATTGGATCTTCTTCTCAGACGGTTCAGAAGGTGAAACTCAGTGACTACGGATACTGCTATGGTGAAGAGTTCCTTACCATCATGTTGATGCTGGTCATTCTGAGACTCAGTTGGTTGAGTTTGCCTAGACAGACAGCGAAGTTATCAACCGTGGAGCAGACATTGATCAAACCGGAAAACATTGTGCCAATGGTGCTGACCGATCTGGTTAAGGAGACTTTCATGAACATGAAGATAGTGACGAGGCCTTCGGTCACAATTCTTCAAATAGGTCTCTTCTTGAAGTACTACAACATATTTAGCCCCGAGGACGGGTTTGACCTTGATGATACTGGGTCTTCCACGAATATAGAGAACACTGCGAATCTCAACAATGAACTGGCTAACGTCACTGGAGCCACTTTTCTGAACGAGTTGATAACTCTGGCAAAGACGATTGGTGTCAATCGTGATCCTCTGATCTTTGAGAACTTTGCTGCTGGTTCGCAGGAATCCATGGGTCTTTTCAGGAAAAGACATCTATGGAGAAAACTGTGGTTTGGACTCTTGAATTTGAGTTTGGTAACGAATCTCAGCCTTGGTGATTTGAAGAAAGGATTGCCCATTGAGATAGACAACGATCCCAGGTTGGGAATTCCCTCAAAGACCTGGGACACAAAGTTACCTGGAAGTGTTGAGGAAGATCTCTTTGATAGGGCATTCAGTGGGCTTGCTCTGATCAAGGAGAAAAAGATCGTGGAGAACTTCAGGATCGAACAGGAAATGAATGTTTTGCTGCACAATGCCATGGATATGTTCTTCAGCCTCAACCGTCCAGTTTCCAAATCCAAGGTAGATGATTTGCTGGAGAGGCTACGAAGGACTTTGAGTGACGACGGCATTTTTGAGGTTCGAAGCTGTTTCCAAGGAGAATCTAAGAATGTGGTCGATCTCAAGGCCGACAAATTTGACAATGCCAACAAGATTTTTCGAATGAAGACCCATCTCGTTGGAAAGAGCATGAGGTTTGCACTGAACTATCTCATGTTCCTGAATCACGAAATCAAACTCAACAATTTTAAGGGAACTGAGGAAGAACATGCTATTCAACGTCGGTATGTTGCTGAGTATTTTGAAAGCACTCTGCTATTGGCTATAGACAACTACAACATTTTTGTTCAATTCTTCTTCGAGAACAACGAGAAGAGGTTCCCTGATTCCACCGCGGAATTGATGGTATACCCGTTCTTGATGATTCTGAACCATAGGTCCATGGAGTTTTTGATCTCGTTGATCCTGAGACTTCAACAAGATGTTCCTTTGAACATTGAGATACTGGCGAAGAATGAAATTGATAAGAAGGATCTTCTCATCAGGTTGTTCCAGTATCTCCAGGTCTTCCTGAGCAAGATGGAGTCTCTCACCAAAAAGTACTACTATGCCTGGCGATTGAGGAAACTGATCAAGTTCTTCTACAAAGTGCTTTTAAACTCGAACAGATTGTTTGCGTTCAACCTCAAGAATGCCCCTCCGTTGCTCCCACAGGCTCCTCTTTTCAAATCAGAGCCCAAGAAAGAAGAAGTACACTGTCCGATCTACAAAGACCTCAACACGAACTTCATTCCAACTCTTTCGAGCCAGAGGAAAGAAACTCCCCTACCCATTGTTCCCGTACTGCAGTCGCACCAGCCGATCGAATCGCCTCTTCCTTTGACACCGACGTATTCCCAGAACCTCAGTCTTGGAATGGCTACGCCTACGACCAATTCCACCGTAGAGGACCAGCAGGATGGAATGGACATGATGCTTGGGTTGAATGCCTCTGAGATGGACTTCAACTTCTTCAACGAGCTGAACGAATTTGGAGCTGAAGGAAACCTCATGAATGGACACGGCGGGCTGATGACAATCGAACCATCTGCCTACATGGAAACAGAGATAGACTTTACTTATGTCGACTTCTCTGGATGAACCTAAAATGATTTTATAAATGATAAGTTACTCACGACTATAATGCTTGGATTTTAGAGGTTGTAGATAATTTGTGGGAGAATTTTGGTCCGTCACTAGTAATGAATCTGCAAGTGCTGACCTGCATGCTGCATGCGGCTCAATAGACCGAGCTGCAGAGGATGATCGCAACTGATAAGACATATGATTGATTTGTTGGAAAGGCACAGTCTCTTGACTTTCCATTAGTTCGTTCCTTCTTCAAACATGGATAAGAAAAAAATTAATATCGTTGTTCTGGAGTTAACGGTCTTGGGTATAAAGTCTCAAAATTTAGAGATTTTTTGAAAATTCAGGATTTCGAAAATTTGGAGCACGCATTTTTGAGGAGAACGCTGATGAGAAACTTCCTAGTCCAAAAGACGCAAAATTTCAATTATTCCTTTATTCTTCATTCAAAGGATAGGATTTTATTCTCCGTACTAAATAAGGTCGATGTCTATGTCTAGAGGAACCAAGTCCAAAGCCTACCCGACAACTCATCTGCAAAATGCAGAGGCAAGGTCAGTGCCAAATAAGCCGACATAGCAGGCGATTGAAAGTCTCGGCAGTATCGGCGTTGGTCTGGAGCAAAATGCTTCGTTGTAACAGTTACCCATTAAATCTACGGCTCATACTGAAGCCTTATGTTAATGCATTTCTAAGCCTTCATGCGCGCGGCTACATGTGAACTCTTCCACATCACCGCGTCTTTTTCTCAAAATGCCCCTGAACTTGTCAAATATGTAAGAATCAGACAATGAAGAGACCGATGTCACCTTTTACAGCTCATTAAACAAGCCTTGATCGGGCGAATTCGGCGTATCCGCAAATATCAGCCGCAGTATACACGGAGTTAACAATGCTGACACTTCTCAAAGTGACAGAGCATGGTGGCAAGTTGCAAGACTCGGTTTTAACGAAAGACACTCTTTAGATGATCCAGTACTCAACCATTGGGCCACACTCAAGTCCCAAGTCTTCGTTCTAATTAACGTCCGCACCAGTTAAACGCGCTACTGGAAACGTTGATGGGATAATTTTAGAAGATGAACGGCTCAACTACTTTAGGAGAACTGGACTCTTCCCCCGAGTACCTCACGAAACCGTCTATTCGTCGCAAAAGACATAGAATCCCTCTCTCGTGCAACGTTTGCAGACAGCGAAAGGTAAAATGCGATAGGAATCGTCCAGTTTGTGACGTTTGTGTGAAGTACAACGTTGGCCATTTATGCCAGTATGATTATATTGAGGAGGGCGATGGGTCTGGTAAGAAAGAGGCTGAAGGCGGTAAAAAGCAAAAAACTCAAAAGAAAGCCAACAATGACACGAACCCAGCACTGAAGGTATCTTCGTGTCCACTAAAAGATAATGGTAACAATGGTTCACCAAAATACCCTGCGGTCTTCAACAAACAGCCCTTAGTGCCTCCAACAATCTCTTCACCAGCTCAAAACACCTTTGAGGCTAATGCGGCCAGGTTTCAGCCTTTGCCGCCACAGCTAGTTCAGACGAACCCTTCGGCTCTACCGGTTGGAAATGGTTTGGGCCATCATCACGTGCTGCCTCCTATTCCGTCGTCATTCAGCAATTCGTCTCCACCCGATAGAAATGCCCCCATTCAGACAGAGCTGGAGGATTTGAAGGACAAAATTCGGAAAATCGAGGCATCGATTGCTATTGCTGGTTTCTCGGGACAATCTATAAGCTACGGTCAAAGTGCAAGCAGTTTGGGAAACACACCACCGACTCCTCTGTCAAACCCTACTTTCAACGCACCTAGCCCTGGGGTTCAGAATTGGGAGTCCAAGTGGGATCAGAACTACTCGGTTCAGGAAAGCAAGCACTATAACCACGGTCCAAACCACTTGCCTCCTCCGCGTCAATTGCAGCATCGTCTTCCACCAGCTGTTCCCCAGTCGCACAGCCAGCCTTACAATTCGAGACCTGACTTGAGCAACAGTAACAAATCCAATAATGGCATATTGGATCCATCTCCTGCGAGCTCCATGGATGGAGGAAGAGGGAGCACTGCAAGCAAAACTGGCGTCTTTTCCAATCCGGAACTGCAATCCACATTGGATCCAAATGAGACTCTGAATTTTCATTCTGGTTACATTCCTATGCATTTCAAGGAGTCAAGGGTTGTGAATCATGGCCCACTTGCATGGATTACAATGGTCAAGAAAGACCCTTTTTTGAAGCAAATGTGGAGCAGAGTTTTGAAGTTGAAGAAACAGCGGAAGATTTTCCCTCATGATATGAATACTAGAGACGACAAAGGTAAGGATGAAATTGGAATTGACCACGATAATGACAACGATATGGGTAACCCCAAATCACCAGTATCTAACTGCCATGGGGAACGCATTGGTTTTGACTGTCCTTCTAACAACGAAGCATTTAAGTCCAGCGGAAAACAAAGCGATCTTGACGACGAGTTCAGAGATCGGATGCTTGAGAATGAAGGTATCACCGATCTTCAACCCTACAAGAAGGCAAAGAAAAGTCACAAAGAGGAGGGAAACAAAGAGACATTGCCTTTGGGTATATCTGTTGACAAGCGTGAGACAGAGCTGACCACAATAGAACACGTTGAGAGATGCCTGCCTAATAAAAAAGCCTTATGGCTTTATATCGACAGGTTTTTCGAATGGGTTTATCCCTTTATGCCTTACCTGGATGAGGAAACATTTTGCACCGATGCAGAGAAGATTTTTGGACCAAGGTCGGATTCGGAAGAGAAAATCGAATCGATCACTCTCGTTCGGAGACTTGATTTCGCAACAGTCGGAATACTCTTACTGGTTTTGAGATTTTCGCACCTTTCCCTAATGTCTAATTCGGATAACGCCGTGGCCGAGAAGCAGATGACGGATGAGGAGAAATACCTCCTCAAATTTCCAATTGGTGTTGATGTCACCGTTGTCGCGCAGCTATGCCTGAACCAGTTCAGATTGCTAAGAAGATGTACTCTCACCATTTTCCAATGTGCACTGTACATGAGACTCTACCATAAATATGCACCAGAAGATGGAGATGGAGGAGACGGAGGAGACTCGCAAATCTTCACTGGTATGTTGATCCAGATGGGGACCTCGATGGGTTTGAATAGAGACCCTGTCAATTTTGAGCCAATGTTTGTAAACCCAAGGTTAGCTAATTTATGGCGAAAAATCTGGTATTGTTTGCTGTCATTTGATTTTTTCCAAAGTTTCGCGTTGGGGAACCCACAGACCTCTAGGTCCAACTTTTATGATTCGAATCTGCCAATTTACTCCTCTTCTGCTTCAAGCATCAAAAACGTGTATCTTGAAGAGGAAGTTATCGCAAGTATCAATCGTCGTTTTGCATTGGAAGTGAAGCTCCAGGAAATCGCCGAAAAGGCACTTGACCTCAAAAACCCACCCAAAGTGGTGGATCTGCTAAAATCGCTGACCAGCTTGCGCGAGTTTATATACACAGAATATGGCTCCTTGCGCAAAATAATGATTGAACCAACAGACGGTGATCATGTCAAGAATATCCGGAAAGTCAAGAGGGTGGTGGAATACTGTGAAGCCAACCTTCTAATCCACCCCGTGTACTATCATATATTTCTTCACTACGAGGACGTGGACAACTTCGACGTCTGTTCCCATCTGTCGAAGGTCATATTGAAAGAGATCATGCAGATCGTCTCCAATTTTTTTGAATTGCTCAAGACAAGTTACAAGTATGTCGGACGCGGGTTTGACACGATACTGACCCCATGTCTTGAGATGGCCATGCACAAAACCCTTCAGTTTCAATTCTCATTGTATGTTAGGTGTGCCCATTTGAAAGAGCAGGGTGCTTCAAGCTTCGAACTGGATCAGGCCATGGCGAAGTTCCTGGAACAACTTATCCACAACGTGAAGAACTACTTGAAGGGATTACAAGTGGTGAGTAAGAAGTATTACTATGCTTGGAGGATGAGCAAGGCACAGAACTTCATTTTGAAAATGTTGCAAGACCTTCCCGCGTTTTTGAAGTCGGGGGTGTTTGAGGCATCAGAAATTCCTCACAAGAACGCCATTTCAGGTTTCGGGGCGAAGGATTTCCAGAAGTTGGTGGATATCATCGATATCCAGAGTTTTCTACAGGACCAGGCAAAAGAGGAAGGTGCGTTCTCAGACACTTTTACGAATGCGTCCACCATCTCAGAAAATGCACCGGAAGAAGATCCAACCTCGGATGATATCTGGATTCAGATGTTGAAGAGTCAGAATGATGATATCAACACTACGTTCCACGACAATACCGGCCAATATGCAGTCAACTTTGACAATAGCACAAATGATTTCTTGAAGTCGACTGACATTGACTTTGAGCAGATTTTCGGTGGTGAATCAATTGACGTGCCCGTAGATGCATTTGCCGACTTGCCATTTAACATGAGCTGGAACAATCCTAGCCTCTCAACGATATGATTATTTATTTCTCGGCTATCTATCCTTTGAAGTGGCACACCCGCAGTTTAATTGTATTTATATTTTTCGTGCACTTGTAGGTGTAACCGATATATAACCAGATAGAGCAAATTAGCAGAGCAATTTATATTGCCGAATTTCCCCAGGCCAGCGCCCATTTTGAGCGCACACGTCGAAGTCATCTGCGGTTTCTCCATTTTCGATCTTTCTCCTACTTTTGAACCATCACATACAATAGACAAAGAAAAATCCATGAAGTCTTTTAGTCGATTGGGACTTTCAGGATATAACCTGTGGCTGGGAATAAGGTCTGCCAGTACAGCGAGACCGAATCCCATATTCCAGAAGAAGAGCCTACTCAATGCCAAAGTGGTTGGTGTGGTGAGTGGACTCGGAGCACTGGCTTTCGGTGGTTATATAGCGAATGATGGTGGATCCGTTCAGGAATCGACTGGACATGCGATTACCACTGCAGAGAGGATAGCGGTTGTTTCGGGAGCAACTGTGAAGTGCTTCTTATTGTATGGCAGGGCCTTGAACAAGACCTACGATTCGGACAAGGAGAGGGAGCTGGCGATGTCTGAATGTCACAAAGAAGCGGCAGAGATTACGTTGAAGGCACTGGAAACAAACGGTGGCATTTATATCAAGCTGGGCCAACACGTTAGTGCTATGACGTATCTTCTGCCTCTTGAATGGACCGATACCATGATCCCTCTCCAGAGCCAGTGCCCGGAGTCATCGCTTGACGAAATTAGACAAATGTTCAAGACAGACATGGGAGTTGAACTGGAGGAGTACTTTGAGGAGTTTGAGACGAAACCGGTGGGAGTGGCGTCGCTGGCACAGGTTCATGTTGGTGTGTTGAAGTCGAACGGTAAGAAGGTTGCAATCAAGTTTCAACATCCCTCCTTGGATGAGTTTGTGCCATTAGACATTCTCATGACGAATACAGTCTTTAATCTCATGGCGACGGTGTTTCCCGAGTATCCGCTGACCTGGCTGGGCGACGAATTGCAGTCTTCTATCTACGTCGAGCTGGACTTTGTGAATGAGGCCAAAAATGCCAGAAAAACGGCTGCCTATTTCTCAGGGTACAAAGGATTAACTGCGTTGAGAATTCCCGAGGTATATGATGCTCACAGAAGAGTCTTAATTATGGAATACGTTTCGGGTGCGAGAATGGACGATATTAAGTACATGGACAACAACCACATTTCGCGCGCCCAGGTCTCGTCTTGCCTGTCGCATATTTTCAACAACATGATCTTCACACCAGGAGTAGGTGTCCACTGTGATCCTCACGGAGGTAACCTGGCAATTAGGGCTGTTAAAAAACATTGGTGGAACTTCACTACTCCCCACAACTTCGAAATCATTCTCTATGACCATGGTCTGTACCGTGACATACCCCAAAAAATGAGAAGGGAATACGCGCGTTTCTGGCTGGCAATGCTGGACAAGGACCAGGATACGATGAAGAAATACGCCAAAAAGTTTGCCAACATTAATGACCAACAGTTCCCCGTCCTGGCCGCTGCCATTACAGGGAGGGATTTCGACCATGCTCTGAACGGAGGCGTGACGACCACCAGGGGCGATGCTGAGCTAGAAAGGATGAAGGAGTCATTGGTAACAGAGGGCCTATTTGTTGATCTGATGTCGCTTCTGGCAACCGTCCCCAGAATTGTGTTGCTCATTCTGAAAACCAATGATCTAACGAGACATCTAGACGAGTCTCTTCAAAACCCGCTCGGGCCGGAGCGTACTTTCTTGATCCTAGCAACATATTGTGCTTCAACAGTATACGCTGAGGATTTAGAAGAAAATTCCAAAAGACGCGCTTTCAGTTGGCTCAAGGGCTATGTCCGAGCATGGTCAGCCTACCATCAGAGAAGTCTACAATTATGGATGTACGACGGGGCAATGATCCTCCGCAACTTATATAGTTGGAACTAAAGAATTAATACCAATTATCGCGATAAAAGTAAGATTCTGCGCGACAGCGATCCATTTTTAATGCAATTGTCTAATTAGGCTTACAGTCTTGGTATGTACATAGAGAAGGTGATGAGCCATTTGAGAATCCCGGGCTTCTTAACTCTTTTGAAGTTTCCACTCATTTCTTCTATCCACAACACTACGCCCAGGCCAAGTTGTATTTTTTGATTGATGTATCACCTGTTTAATCTGACATGACAACTCCAACAGATCGTGGGAACAATCCGCGAGGGACAGAGACACCTTCATCAACACACTGGATCCGAGAGCTGCGTGGACTGTACCCAGCGACTACATCACAGATGATCTCTTCTACGATACAGGCTTTTGTGGAACGGGACAAATCAATGAATAGTTTGCTTGCGAATACCTCTGAGAACATGACGACGAAAGCGAAGGACTTAAGTGCGACGTTGGATGAGAGGAACACCACTACTGCGTCGTTGCTCGAGAAGTGTAAGGAGAATCTGGATTGGTTGAAAGAGCTATAAGGTTGTGATACCACCATTTGGCATTCCCGGAATTGAAATAAGTGAGGACATCATTTATAGATTGAATTTGCAAAGCTATGCCGGATGCTGCGCTTGGCCCCACACATACAAGATCGCCCTCATTTCCATACCCTGGCCCCATACCCCCAGGTCTATATGCACCATTTATCTACACCCTTTTAGAAATATTTACGAACCACCCAATGTGTACGCCTTCTTTGATAGTTTTTTATTCCCGATCCTCTGTTACTCAAAGGCTGAGGCCGTCGGATTTCAAATCACGTGACTGGGCGTAAAGTATGCATGTAGGCGCATGGCTGGACACACGAGGCTTAGAGACTCGAGCGATGAAATAATCCCTGATTATGACCAACGCCCTCAGTGCCAGAATTCCGGATAGAAAGACCAGAATTGCACTGATATATCTGTGACTTTTTTCGAATGTCATCAAACCTTGAGTACTCGCCGAAAGATTCAGTTTACAAAGGCACAGAAGCAAGGAAAGCCCTGCATGTCCACTAAACTTTCTTGCTTCTTGCTCCGACACCACCACCTTAAATCCCTAGTATCCTTTGCTGTTTGTCGGAAAATCAACCGTCCGTAGATACTGCTCATTAATGCCCGAAGGCTCTCTTCAAAGTCCGAAACGATACGAGAGAGGGTGGAGATAGTGAGATATGGAGATATGGAGATAGGGCGGAGATAGGGTGATAGGGCGAGGGCGGGCGCCTTCATAGATGAAAATTCGGGTTAACAGTCGGAGATAGTCACCCTTATTGCCGCAGCAATCTACGATTGAATATAAATATAAACCAATTCTGCACTTCATCCTCGGCACAAGTAAATATAGCTTTAAGATGTACTGCAATTGATCATTAAAGAATGACACTGGAAGAGGGTCCAGATTATACAGAGGCAATGGCTCAAGATGAGCTTGAGCCACAGATTACCGATCCAGTGGAGCATTCGGGTGCTGAAAATTCGAATAGTGCTGTGTTGACAAGACTATCTACTTTTACCAGACAAATGTCTCATAAGCTCAACCTGTCGCGAGCTGGCACCATTGCTATCGACCCTAACGATTTCGAGCTGCAGCAGATATTGCAAACTTTCCTGAAAAGGGCTGATAGTAATGGCATTGAGCTGAAATCTCTAGGAGTTGAGATGGAAGATGTGACGATTTTTGGAGTTGATGAGACAGCTTCGTATGCTTCGACCATTGGTGAAATTTTAACTGCACCCTTCAGAGTTGGCGAAATACTTAGAAAGATCTCCAGTAGGAAGGCAGATCCAGAATCAGGATTGCGAAAGGTGAATAAAGACATAAACTTGGTCTGCACTCCGGGCGAAATGGTCTTGGTACTTGGAAGACCGGGTGCTGGATGTTCCACTATGCTAAAGGCTATTGCTGGTGAACTTGAAGAGTACGTCAGATATGAAGGCTTGATCACCTACGACAACGCCCCACAGGAACAAACTCTCAAGGTGTGCAAGAAAGAGATTGTCTACAATCCTGAATTGGACGTTCATTTTCCACACCTCACTGTGGATCAGACTTTGAGGTTTGCCATTGGGTGTCGGTGTCCAGAGTTTGATGTTCCCGGATTCTCCAAGAAGAAGTATGTGGATACTTTTAGAGACATCTTGTGCACAGTCTACGGACTTACCCATGCTAAAAACACAAAGGTCGGAAACGACTACGTTACTGGAATATCTGGTGGTGAACGCAAAAGAGTTTCCATTGCTGAAGCAATGACTGCGAAACCTGCTGTTTTGTGCTTTGACAACGCTACGAGAGGTCTCGATGCCTCTACGGCCCTAGAATTCACAGAGGCCCTTAGAACCTCAACAAATATCATGAAGATGTCTTCATTTGTGACTGCATACCAGGCTTCTCAGAAAATCTACGATCTGTTTGATAAAGTCGTTATTCTGTATTTGGGAAGACAGGTATACTACGGCAGAACTGAAGATGCCAAGGCCTATTTCGAGACCATGGGCTATGTTTGTCCAGAAAGGCAGAGTACAGCCGAGTTTCTAACTGCTGTTACTGATCCTCTTGGGAGATACGTGAAGCCTGGTTTAGAGAGAAACGTCCCACACACGGCTGATGAATTCGAGGCCTATTGGAAATCTTCAGCGGAGTTTGATGCCATGAAACGCGAAATCGCAAAAAGAAAGGCTGATGTGGATTCTGTTAGGACTCTTGAGATACTGAAAGCATCTCACATTCAGGAAAAAGAAAGGCTGGCTAGGTCACAATCGAGGTATACCGTTAGCTATCTGACCCAGCTGAAACTCTGTACCATTAGAGCGTTTCAAAGAAACATGGGTGATAAGAGTTATACATTGACCACCATATTTGCTGGAACTATACAGGCTTTTATTGTGGGATCCCTTTACTGGAATATTCCTGAGTCCACAAACGGTGCATTTTCCAGATCAGGTACTATTTTCTTCGCTCTGCTGTTTTTTGCATTGATGGGTATGTCAGAGATCAGTACGTCGTTTGCCAAAAAACCTATTTTGACTAAACAAAAAGGATACTCATTCTACCATCCTTCTGCTGAAGTCATTGCATATGTGCTCAACGATATCCCCATCAAATTTTTATCTTCCGTGTTGTTTTCAGTGGTATTGTACTTCTTGGCCGGCTTGAAATCTGATCCCGGTGCTTTCTTCACGTTTGTGTTGTTTCTCAACCTAGCTTCCTTGGCTGAAAGCAACCTGTTCCAAGCAATCTCATCCCTATCACCTAATGTTCCTGCTGCCAATGCCATTTCAGGTATCCTGCTACTGGCTACGTTAGTGTACACTTCGTACATGATCCAGAGACCCTCGATGCATCCGTGGTTCAAGTGGATTTCGTACATTAATCCGTTGCTCTACTGTTTCGAAGCTTTGATTACAACTGAATTTCACGGAAGGAAAATGGAGTGTACGCTGTCTCCCAGTGGACCTGGTTACTCGAACGCACCAAATGGAACCCAGGCTTGTGGTTTTGCTGGTTCTGTAGTTGGTCAGTCCTGGGTATCTGGAGATTCTTATTTGAGGAAGTCCTACCAATACGAGTTCTCTCATGTGTGGAGAAATTTCGGTATAGTGATGGGTTTCATCTTTTTCTTCATTACAGTTAACTGCATTGCTGTCGAGGTGTTGAAGCTGAGCAAAGGCACGGGTGACCATCTGATGTTTTTGAGAAGCAAGACAAATGGTGATATTAACAGTGCCATTGCTGCCACCGAGGAAAGCAAAAAAGTTCTGGTTGCAGACGCGGAAACTCAGAGTACGTCTCGAGGATCAGTGGCTGATGAGCTTGAACAGTATTCTCGAGCCTCAAGTGACAAGGAAGTGTTAGAAACTGTCAATCATTTAGGCAGCAAGGAGATATTCATGTGGCAGAATCTCAATTATACCATTCCTGACCGAGGATCCAATCGTCAACTTCTTCGCGACATCCAGGGCTATTGTAAGCCAGGCACTCTAACTGCTTTAATGGGCGAGTCTGGTGCAGGTAAGACTACTCTTCTGAATGTACTTTCAAGAAGAGTCGATATGGGTGTCATCACTGGTGACATGTTAGTTGATGGTAAACCAGTCGACCAGTCTTTTGAACGTCGTACCGGTTACGTTCAGCAACAGGATTTGCACATTCAAGAATTGACCGTTCGCGAATCATTACAGTTTGCAGCCCGCCTGAGAAGACCAGTTTCTGTTCCTGAACAGGAGAAAATGGAATATGTGGAAAAGATACTAGAAATTCTGGAGATGCAGCCTTATGCAGATGCAATAGTGGGCAGTCCTGGAAGCGGATTAAACGTGGAGCAACGTAAGAAATTGTCTGTTGGTGTTGAGCTTGTTGCCAAACCTTCCCTCCTGCTATTTCTTGATGAGCCAACTTCTGGTTTGGATTCCCAGTCCGCATGGGCTATAGTTCAAGTTGTGAGAGGCCTGGCTAATGCAGGCCAAGCCATTTTGTGTACCATTCACCAGCCCTCAGCTACCCTGATTGAAGAGTTCGACAGACTATTGCTTTTGAAGAAAGGTGGCCAAACAGTTTATTTTGGAGAAATTGGGAAAAGTTCCAGGAAAATGCTCGACTATTTTGAGAGTAGGGGTGCGCGTCTGTGCGAGCCGCAGGAAAATCCTGCAGAGTACATTTTGGATGTCATTGGGGCTGGAGCGACTGCCAACAGTGTTGAAGATTGGCACGACAAATGGATCACATCTCCAGAATTTGAAAAGGTCACCCAAGAAATTCAGGAATTGATCGCTGAAACTGCAAAGAGACCAGCAAGTATCACTGATGAGAATCTGAAGAATGTCTTTGCAACCTCATATCTCTACCAAGTCAAAAATGTCCTTTGGAGGACGAACATCCAGCTTTGGAGGGATACCGATTACTTTTTGGGTAGAAGTTCTCTGGTAATTATAGCTGGTCTTTTTGTGGGGTTTACATTCTGGGATCTCAAATATACAATTGTCGGAATGCAGAATACACTGTTTGCTACTTTCCTTTCTCTAATCTTGGCATCACCTCTTTCGGCTCAGATACAGGCCAAGGCTATTGAGAGCAAAGAGCTTTATGAAGTTAGAGAGTCAAAGTCAAACACATACCATTGGTCTGTGCTGTTGATCTGCCAGGTGCTGGTTGAAATTCCATACTGCATCATTGCCTCCACGCTGTATTTCCTGTGTTTTTACTTTCCATTGAAAACTGTGTCGACAGCACCTGAGATAGCTGGATTCTTCTGGTTCACTTACTGCGTGTTCTTCCAGCTTTACTACATCACCTTTGCCTTGTGCACTGTGTATTTTGCCCCAGATTTACCAACCGCAGGCCTTCTATTTGGCGTGTTCTTGTCGTTTATTGTTTCCTTTTGCAATGTTGTCCAGCCCGCAACACTGGCTCCTGGTTTCTGGAAGTTCATGTTTGATCTTTCGCCCTTCACATATTTTGTGCAGAACCTGCTAGGAGTTACGCTGCATAAGCGCAAGATTCAGTGCGGGCCACTTGAATTGGCAACTTTCAATCCACCAGCGGGACAAACTTGCGAGCAATGGGCATCCGCTTATCTTCATACCGTCCCGGGGTACCTGACCAATGCCGATGCCACAGAGGACTGTGGGTACTGCCAGTATTCCGTTGGGGATGAATACTTACAAACACTTGATATCAGATATTCAAACAGATGGAGAAACATTGGGTTCTTCTGCTGTTATATCATCTTCAATATTTTTGCCATGTATGGTATGTACTGGCTTTTCCGAGTACAGAAGATGTCGTTGATTGGATGGATCAGAAGTAAGGTTGACCAAAAAAAGGCTAGGCGAGAGAAGAATGCGGGGAAATTAAGTTGAACTTTTTGAAATTATTATAATAAATCGGTTGTTGTTCTATGTGGACTTTAATGTACGTGCATTCATGCAAGAGATAGATTTCCTTGCTGCCCTTCAAAAATTGAAATTCAGGTGGAATATTTTAGATAATTCAACCATTAGAATGCTAATTCATAAATTTTTAAGGGGTAATCATTAAGTTGCGGCTCTCGACCTTCAGTCGGCCTATGCCGGAGGTCATTACCAATGAACTCCGCTGCCACCATGCACTATTGTAATGTAGGGGCACGCTAGCATGAGATTCTCTCAGCCATGCCGGACCTCGGAGTACACACGCCTTTTGATATTCTTTTGATTTGCCCGGACCTCGGAGTACAAAAGCCTTTTGACATACCCGGTCAATTAGTCATCTAATAAGACCGATGCATGAGAGGCTACCGCTTCAAGGAATCGCGCATCTGTTATAGGACAACGTAGTAACGATTTCCGAAAAAACGGAGATAACACACACATTGTTTTTGCTCGGTCCAAAGTTAAAGACCCGGGGTATAAGTAAGAGGCATAAACCCGACATGATGGAAAGTAGAGACTGGTTTCAAACCATATCCAACTCTGCTTCAACAGACCCTTTTCATCTCAGAAAGCTCTCGACACCTGCAAAATGCCTCATCAAAAAGTCTACTTCGTTACTGGTGCAAACCGTGGTCTTGGGTTAGCATTTGTAACTCAACTATCTGCCGACTCATCCAATATCGTATACGGAACCGCGCGTGATCTCGCTTCGGCTGATGCTTTGAAGAAGTTGGCTGCATCGCACCCCAATTTCACGCCACTGGAGGCCGACGTTGTCAAGCCAGAAACAATCAAGAGCGCTGCAGATGTGGTAGCCAAGGAACATGGCTACGTGGATGTGTTGATCGCAAATGCGGGTATAGCAGAAACCTTCACTCCCATCAAGGACATTAGTCTTGACGAACTGTCTCGCCATTGGGAAGTGAATGCAAAGGGTGCCGTGATCACTTATCAGGCCATCCGCCCACTGGTTGTGAAGTCCCAGGAGAAGAAGATTATTTTTATCTCTTCAGCGGCAGGTTCTGTTACGGGATTTTTTTATCTCCCAAATGCAGGATATGGCTCGTCAAAGGCAGCTCTTAACTACATTATCAGAAGTATCTCAGGAGAATCTAAGGACGAAGGTGTGAAGGTGCTCGCTTTGCACCCAGGTTTGGTAGCCACCGATATGGGAAAGAGAGGCATTGCTGCGGTTGATATTAGTTCGATGAATATCACAGTATTTACCCCAGAAGAGAGCGCTAAGGCTATGATTGAACAGATTGAGAAGTTTGACGAAACTGATAAGTTTTTGAACCTTGATGGCACCACCGCGTTATGGTAGGCTGGCTGTTCATATGTAAATCTAACCAAGGAGTTTTTATATGTAAAGTCTACGTATTATAAGAACTAAGGCTATCAAGAGCATCTCATCTTCTGAACTATCCAGAAGGCGCAACCTGCAGCTACACGTGCGGCTGCCCCGCACACCTCATGCCCGATAACCGGCCCGGTGGTGGTTAAACGGAGTGTACCACCCAAAAGGGCGGTGCTATGAATCATCTGTCTTGGACTGAAAAAAAAAGTGACAACGGTCTTCGGCTTTTCTCCACCCTCCAATTCCACTGTTGTCAAAAATGTTCAGAATATTGACTAGGAGTTGCGGCCAGAAGACTGGATTGACCCTCTCTGTGAGAGCCTCTTCGTCCTCGTCAACGTCCGCGCTGGCGTACAAGACGCTTCACAGAAATAGAAGGAGACCTCCTCTACCAACCTTGGACACCCCCAACTGGAGTGCCAACGCCGCAGTTTCCTCGATTTTGTACGAAACTCCGTCACCATCCAAGGCCCCCAAGAAGCAGCATGTGCTCAACTGTCTTGTGCAGAACGAGCCTGGTGTGCTGTCCTTGGTTTCGGGGACCCTTGCTGCAAGAGGATTCAACATTGATTCGCTGGTTGTCTGCAATACCGAGGTCAAGGATCTTTCGAGAATGACAATTGTCCTGGACGGTCAGGATGCTGTCATCGAACAAGCCAGAAGACAAATCGAGGACTTGGTGCCCGTTTATGCCGTTTTGGACTACACCCACACTGAGATTGTCTCCAGAGAACTGTTGATGGCTAGAATCTCTCTTCTCGGTCCAGAGTACTTTCAGGAGCTGATTCAGCATCACAAGGAGACGTTTGACGATGCTCCTTTTGATATTCGGTCGCCAGAGTCCAGGTTCCATCCTAACAACCTAGCTCCATCGGAGGCTTTGAGACAGAAACATCTCCACCTTGACGCTATCACCAAGCTGACCCACCAGTTTGGCGGAAAAGTTGTTGACATTTCCGACAGAAACGTGATTGTCGAGGTCAGTGCAAAGCCACAGAGAATCTCCTCGTTCATCCAGTTGGTGCAACCATTTGGAATCCTTGAGATTGCCCGTTCTGGTATGATGGCCTTGCCAAGATCGCCTCTTGAACACTCGGACGAGGACACCACGCCTACCAAGAGTGCGGACGATGTTGTTGATGCTTCCCAGCTTCCACCTGGTTGAATAAACGAGCTGGGTAAAGTGACTCTCAGACGACTTCTATTAGAGTAGAAGCTAGTGTATAAGCTAGTATGAGCCAATTGTGAGTTGAAGCAGACCTAAGCCAACGAGCCAGAATGATGAACCAGTAGTATAAGCAATTGTAAGCTAGTTAAGGGTAGCCCCAAATAAGCCTACACAACCTTATGAGCCAATATTTATATATAAAAAAACCAAAAAACCCACCAATATCCAAAAAAAATCCATTTATACCCCAATACTAGCACTTCCCTTTCCATTAACCTTCTCAACAGTCAACTGACCAATAAAGCTGGATACCAGCAAGTCCACCAGAGCATCAATATCAACATCGACGGACCCGGATCCCAGCACCTTTTGCACTATCTTTTCAAAGAGTGGAATATCGGTAAGAACCAGAATAACGTGCTCTAACTGTGCCTGAATTAGCACCAAATAATTTTTTTCATTCTCTTCATCGTCATCAAGAACATCTGTCGTTGCGGGTTTCCAGTGTTTCAGATTTATCTCGCCAAACTTAGAGGATTCATACAAAAGATCTGCTGTTCCCCTTATGTCGGTTACATTGACGTCAGTCCTCAGAAACCTCGGAACACTCAGGAAAATCTTGAGATTTCCATCAATAGTTGGTTCATTTGATGGGTCCATGAACTGAAAGGCGATATCTTCCATGGTAACATTCTTGAGCAGAGATCCAAGTTTATCCTTGACATCCAAGCCAAAGGACACCGGTACAGTCATCTTCTCCAAGATGCGGTTCACCATCACTGGAAATTTGTTGTCTTTGGAAGCCGATACAGTGAATTTAACGAGACTATCGTCAACGGCCGAGCTCAAAAAACGGGTCAGAGGTGACTTTTTGTCATCACACCGAACATTCACTGAATCGGGTAATGAACCAACAGAAGCACTGACTCCAAAATTCAACGGATTTGTGGAAGAAAGCTCCATTTTGCCGGTGGAGAACTCCAAAACTGGAATCGTAGGTAAATCATTGCAATCATTTAGCAATAATTTCCAATTGACAGAAGGGACGAAGAAACCTAGTGGAATATTCAAATCACGAGCAACGTTTTGGATAACGGTTTCAAAATCAACATGGATGCCGTCATCACCCTGTTCAACACTAAACCCTTTGACCTTAACATTCTCCTTATCCAGATTGATCAAATGAGTAGGAAGGGCAAAGTCCATTGGGATTCTGACCTTGGAGATGGGCATAAACCCATTGAAAACCATGATCCGAATACTTGCATCTCCATAAAGCTTGATTTGCGCATCGGGGTTCTGGATCATCTTTTTCAACACCCCAAGAACACTATCTGAGTTCGGATACACCGTCATTAGAAGCTTCAGTGGGGTCACCTGCTTGTTGCGAATCCCAACTTTGAACGGTTCAACAGAAACCCTCCCAAGGTCATTATATTTCTCATAAACGTCATCGTAAACCAGCATGTCAACGGTGTCCAGTTTGAGGCTTAAAGAATGCAGAGAGAAGCCACCAACTTTGAATGCCTTCCTAGCAATCTGGTCGTCAAGAGCATCATAATCAATAGTGTGTTGGCCTTTAATCACCAAGTCAATACCACCATCCTTTTGAAGACCCGCAAACCCCACCGACTGCACATTAAACTCGCACATTTGGTCCACAAGATCGCCTATTTGCGGCCCTATATGAAGTGCCAATCCTGTTACTGCTGATATCAGCATCGTAACGAAAAGTACTATGGGGATCCAAAAACCGTAGTTCATTTTGCGGCGCTTGACCACATGCCTTGTTGGTTCAGAAATAGAGCTCAAGAGAGGAGTTTGTTCCGACATTTCAAGGTCGTCGTTCTGTTGAGTGTAAAAGGAAGCGAAGAGTGTGGGTGGCATGGGGAAATAACGTTTAAGACTGTTGATGGTAGTGCGAGAAAATAATATGGTGAATACACTACTGAAATGGCGTGCACCAACCGTCATATAAATATTTTTCAGTAAATGCTCCTTCAAAGCCACAAACTGTTGAGGACAGACAGCATATATATCATCACAGAAATGCTATATCTAGTTGGGCTTGGACTTTCATACGAGTCAGATATCACCGTTCGTGGTCTGGAGATCGTCAAGAGATGTAAGAGGGTATACCTAGAGGCGTACACTTCCATCCTGATGGCAACGGATAAGGCTGGACTTGAAAAGTTCTATGGTCGCGAGGTCATTCTGGCAGACCGTGAGTTGGTTGAAAGCGGATCAGATGAAATTCTTGCAGGTGCCGATACCGATGATATTGCTTTCCTGGTAGTTGGGGACCCATTTGGAGCAACCACCCATACCGATCTCGTGATTCGTGCTAGAGAGCTAGCCATCAAGGTAGAGACAGTCCACAACGCCTCGGTGATGAACGCGATTGGTGCATGTGGTTTACAACTCTACACTTTTGGACAGGCCGTTTCTATCGTGTTCTTCAACGAGCACTGGAGACCAGACTCCTTTTACGACAAGGTGATGGAAAACCGCCGCATCGGACTGCACACGCTGTTGCTACTGGATATAAAGGTCAAGGAGCAGAGTTGGGAGAATATGGCCCGAGGAAGACTGATTTATGAGCCTCCCAGATATATGGACATTGCCACTGCTGCTCAACAGCTGTTGGAAGTGGAAGAAAAGAAGGGTTTGCAAGCATATACGCCGTCTACGCCGTGCGTGGCTGCTTCGAGACTTGGATCCCCAACACAGAACTTTAAGGCAGGAACTTTGCAGCAGATGGCTGAATACGATGCTGGAGAGCCTCTGCACTCTATGATCATGCTCGGGAGACAAGTTCACGATCTGGAACTGGAGTATCTGTATGAGTACTGTGACGATAAAGAGGCATTCAAGAGTGCTGTCGTTGAGGACCAGAAGTTCTTTGCACCAGCCCCATACATTGCGCCCGAGGAAAATTTTTCTGATTAAGCGAGCTGTTGAGGAAAAAATGAGAAATAATATAAGTTGTTTCAATCATTTAATTTGGATGTCGCAACCGGCCCTGCGTAAGCGCGATGCTTTGCCAATGGGTGCAATATCAGTCCCAAGATAACCCAAGATAACTCTTAATAGCTTTGCTTAATTTTATATGAACTCCATTGAATCGTACAGTTTGTAAATGGACGTGGTATTTTGGTACAACACCAAATTGTAGAAACTACCAATCGCGAAATGGCCCAAGCCCAGGCCACCATCGAATATTGCACGATATCCGTTCAAAATCGTCCCCTCTTCATTTATCAAATCTCATTTTGAGCCTCGTCTATCCGTATCAAAGTCTTCAAGAACAAACGTCTCCTGGTGAGGCACACCCTCCGGGTCTCTAGCGGCCCGGGCAGCAGCAAGCGCAGCAGTGGCATTACCGGGCCGATATACCAAAACCACAATCGCAGAGCCTATGATAAGCGATATACCAAACAACGAGATTATGTTTGGAAATTTGCCCCAGATGGCCACATCGAAAACGAGTGCAAACACTAGTTGAGAGTACATCATAAAAGCCCCACGGCCCGCTTTTTCTCTCTGAACACCAGAAGTAAGCAGAAATTGCATTATGAATCCGGAGAATCCGATAAGTGCAAAAAGACACCATTGACGGGTATTGTGAGGAGTTTGGAACGACATGGAGGGAATGGCTAGAATCGCAGTGCACGAGACTACGCAGCAGATCAGGGCAAAATACGATACTGTAAGCAATGGATGAGCCCTCTTTCCAATGTAGCGGATCGATATCATTGCTCCAGAGGCTCCCAGAACACCAACAAGAGCAACACCCGTGGCAAGCAGTCTTTTCGCAGGGTCGTGGGTCTCATTATCGCCCTTGGCAGAATCGAAACGACCATGGAACAGAAACTCTGGTCGCGCAATAAGCAAAACACCACTGAAAGAAATAAGCCCACCAATGGCCTCTACCTTGGTGTATCTTTCCTTCAACAGAACCCAGGCTGCCAATGCGGTTACAGACGGCACCAAGAACGTGATCACCACAGCATCGGACACAGTAAGGAACATGAGTGAAAAATAAAGTCCAAAAACCCCGAAAAACCCGGTGACTCCACGCAGAGCCATCCAGATGCGCAACTCGGCGGGTCCAAATGGAAATCCCTCAACACGACGTATCCACATGTACAGAAAGCAGCAGACATACGTTATACCCATCCGCACGAACAGGATCTGGAGAGGGTGCAAAGGCTCCTCGAAATCTGGATCCAACTCAAGCAATTTGCATGTAACAATCATCACTGAGTTGAACATCTGTGCTAGCAAAATGAGGAACATCCCCACGTTCTCTAGAACAACATTGTGGTAGAATCTGGAGAACCATCCCAGTTGTGGCGAGTCAGGCCTGCCTGGGTCCATGCTCAGATCGAGTTCATCGCCCGAGTCACTTATATCAAAGTCATCATCGCCTTCTAATAGTCTCCGGTTTTGGCTCATTTTTTTGGAAGCGAGAAATTTGCAGCAACAGCGATAGTAGGAGAGGGATTGTTCTAAATCAAATCTCTTCACTTTTCCCGAAAAGCCACACTTTAGGAGGCTCGCCGGGCCGATGATGAGTAGTGTTATGAAGAGTTATATCGCCGCACTGACAATTAAGAAAAATTAGTGCGTGGATCAACAGATTGCCGCACAAAAGCCTGCCGATTGAGCCATGAGGCAAACCGCTGGGCATTGGGTTGTAGGACCACGCAGTCGCTTCTCATAATTGTGTGAAAGACGCTGAAATTCACTGGCCGCCAATAAACCTGAAATTAAAGTCCCGTTTAATTTTACAAAAACAAAACCAATGATGAAGGATAAGAGCTGGGAATCATCTCATGTCATAGCTAATGGTGTTTGGAAACGCGGAAAGTTGATTATCCCGGACGAAAGCTCGAACTTTGGGTAGCGCACATCCATATGTGAGTACACGTCAAAAGTGGGTTGATTTTACAGTATAAACTTACAGCCGCAAGAGGTCAGGACATCCCCAGCCATTGCCTGATGCTTCCTGGTAGTCCTGATTGTCCTCTAGTATCTCTCGGAATTCAGAGCATCAGTGGCACCAGCGGAACCCTTGAGATGCGTGGGCTCACCAAGTTTCCCGATTCGGAAACTAGGAGCACTACGGTATCCCTTACTGTTTTGGGCTTATCTATGCGGGATTCGCTTTCCCAATCTGGTCACAAATTGCACTATCACCTTCTCCAAACAGGAGCAGATATAGAAAGTTTCGTTATAAAACACCGCTGCGTTCTCCCCTCGGTTGTTTTGTTCCTCTTATTTCCCGTGACTAACCAAGAACATCTCTTCGTCAGATTATCTACTGTTTAACGATGGAAAGATTGTCCCAAATTGCTTTGCAGACCACCGCCTCTGCGGCCCCACCACCAAAGCCTGCCCATCCGTTGGATCCGCTTTCGGTTTTGGAAATCAAGGCTGTTACCGATGTGGTCAAGGCTCATTTCAAGAACCGTGACATCTCCTTCAACACTGTCACTTTGAGAGAGCCAACCAAGAAGGCTTTCCTCGACTGGTCCGAGAAGAAGGGTGCCTTTCCAGCGCGTCTTGCCTACTACGTTATCCTCGAGGCCGGTGTTCCCGGTGTCAAGGAGGGTGTAGTGGATGTCAACGCGCTGTCCGTCATTGAGCTCCGTGCTCTTGAGGGTGTTCAGCCTATCCTGACTGTTGAGGATTTGTGTTCTACCGAGGAGGTGATCAGAGCTGACCCCAATGTCATCGAGCAGTGTGTGCTTTCTGGAGTTCCAGCCTCGGAAATGCACAAGATCTACTGTGACCCTTGGACCATTGGCTATGACGAGCGCTGGGGAGCTGGACGCAGACTTCAGCAGGCCCTTGTGTACTACAGATCCGACGAGGACGACTCGCAGTACTCGCACCCATTGGACTTCTGTCCTATTGTCGACACCGAGGAGAAGAAGGTTATCTTCATCGATATCCCTTCTCGCAGAAGAAAGGTCTCCAAGCACAAGCATGCCAATTTCCACCCAGATTCTATCAAGGAGAAGTACGGAGGCTACAGAGTTCAAAAGCCAATTAACGTGACCCAGCCCGAGGGAGTAAACTTCAAGATGACTGGTAACGTCATGGAGTGGTCTAACTACAAGTTCCACATTGGTTTCAACTACAGAGAGGGAATTGTGCTGAGTGACATTTCGTACAACGACAAGGGAGAGGTCAGACCTCTTTTCCACAGAATCTCGCTGTCCGAGATGATTGTTCCTTATGGTTCTCCTGACTTCCCTCACCAGAGAAAGCACGCTCTTGACATTGGTGAGTACGGTGCCGGTTACATGACCAACCCACTGTCTCTCGGCTGTGACTGTAAGGGTGTGATCCACTACTTGGACGCTCACTTTGCAGACAGATCAGGAGAACCAATCACCATCAAGCACGCCGTGTGCATTCACGAGGAGGATGACGGACTTTTGTTCAAGCACTCTGACTTCAGAGACGCCTTTGCTACCTCTATCGTCACCAGAGCCACCAAGTTGATCATCTCGCAGATCTTCACCGCTGCCAACTATGAGTACACCATTTACTGGGTTTTCCAGCAGGACGGTGCCATCAAGCTCGACATCAAGCTGACCGGTATACTGAACACATACTCGCTCGGCGATGACGAGTCCACTGGCCCATGGGGAACCAGAGTTTACCCTAACGTCAATGCTCACAACCACCAGCACTTGTTTGCTCTTAGACTTCATCCAAGAATTGATGGTGAAGGAAACTCTGTTGCTGCTGCTGATGCTTCTGCTGCCGAGGCTCCTCTTGGTTCTGCCGAAAACATGTACGGTAATGGTTTCTACTGCAAGAAGACCACGTTCAAGACCGTTGGAGAATCCTTCACTAATTACGAGTCTTCCACCGGAAGATCGTGGGATATCTTTAACCCTAACAAGACCAACGCATACTCCGGAAAGAACCCATCTTACAAGCTTGTGTCTACACAATGTCCTCCATTGCTTGCAAAGGAAGGCTCCATCGTGTACAAGAGAGCTCCATGGGCCCATAACACGATTTCGGTTGTGCCTTATGAAGAGGGCAGATTGTACCCATCTGGTGACCACGTTCCTCAATGGTCTGGTGATGGAGTGCGCGGATTCCGCGAATGGGCTCAGGACACCTCTGCCAATATTGACAACACTGATGTGCTGGTGTTCCACACGTTTGGTATCACGCATTTCCCAGCCCCAGAGGATTTCCCTGTGATGCCTTCTGAGCCAATCTCTTTGATGCTCAGACCTCGGCACTTTTTCCTGGAAAACCCAGGTCTAGACGTTCTTCCATCGCACGTGATGACAACCACCGGTGCGAGAAAGGCTACTAATGCTGAGATTGCATCCAAGACGGACTCCACTTCGAGACTTGCTTTCGGCTCGACGTCGGCAGCCGGTTCTTGCTGCAAGAGGTAATTTTTGTTTATAGCGGGTGGCTAAATATTGAAAACTTGAATTCAAAAAAAGGCTGTAGAGATTGGAGTACGTAACTGAGAGGAGAAATAGAAGGGAGGACAGGGTAAAGTTGGCGATGTGAGCCATGCGGGAGTATATGCGAGTATGCATCTTGACTGTGGGGTTATGTAATACTTGTTTAGACCATGAATCAACAGCTAGGCTTGGGCGTCGCAGGCAGAAATAATTTGCGAACAAAGAAAGCAGTTGAGAGTGGCTCGGGTATAATTATTGCGGAATATTTTGAAAAGATGGTTCAACGAGATTGTTCCACAGTATAGTTCTGCACGAAAGCTGAACCAGTGAAGGCTCTATCATTCAATCTGTTACAACTCGAGCCTGTAAATTTGGCCTATATTTCCATTCAATAGTTTTATACATAACATTAACATTTAAAATATATGAAGCCATCAATTTTTCACCTAATTTTTCAAGCCAATTGCTCACATTAACGGTTCACACCAGTTCCTTCAGGCGATAGTCATCCTCCATACTGATCCCGAACATAGACCACTACTCTACAATTGTTCTCGTGCCACAATATAATTTTGTGACATAGAATATACAAACTACTGAGAACTCTGTGGTTTTACTCGCATTGAGCCAGGCCCCTTGATTTACAACTACTTATCATAGTTCTTTGGGTCAGATTGCCTATAGAAGTTTTTTTTCAATATCGCTCTTATGCATATTCAATTTATCACTTCTCAGCCGTCCTCTTCATGTTGCATTTCTTCACCATACTCCTCAATATGCAATTGAAACATCTCCTTTCCTTTTTTTACACTCTACACCTCAATTCACCGAGTTCTCTGAGGAGCCTTTTTCTCGGCCCAATCGGCTCACCTTCGGCTTTCCTCCAATTCATCTCTACTCCTGCTTCATCAAGAAACGAATCCATTCATATATAATCTAAACAATTCTTCCAAAATCTCTTGGATAAATCATCTTTTGTTGTGCATTTTGTGTCTATTTGGCAACCTGTTGCAGAGCCTCGAGGACCTCAACCTCAATGGCAGCCTCTGCAGCAATGGCCTCGTCGGCAGAAGTCAAGTTCTTCTGGGCCTCACTGAGCTGAGACTTGATAGCCTCAATGGAGAATGAGTCCAAAGCATAAGCTTCAATGGCATTGATCGAAAGCTGGGAGCCTGGAAGGACGGTGACCAAACCACCGCTGATGAAGTATTGAGAGGTCTTGGATGGGGACTCGACAATCTCAACCACACCTGGCTTGAGCTCCTCAACAATAGGAACGTGATTGGCCAAAATACCAATCTCACCGGAGGCAGCTGGCACGTTGACCTGCTGGACCTGCTGCTTGACGATGAGCGATTCGTGAGGCAGGGTCAGCGACAGGGTCAAAACGTCAGGGTTGACGGCGTCGGCATAGGTTCTGCGCAACAATGGTTGGGCTCTGGTAACGGATCTGATGGCGGATCTGAACATTTTAACGGGATGTCGGATGGTTGATTCGGGGAAGAACTGGTTGACGTAGCTGGGTGTCCTTGATCAACACTCCAATTGGGGGCCGCAGAATTTGGGCGCTGGGAGGTGCACGGAGGGAGTAGTGGTTGTGATGTTGGTGCTGAAAAATGCTTAGTGCACGCAAAAATAATGATAATTTGGTTCAAACACAACCAGATGAAATAAAGAAGGACACATTCTTCTTGTCCCTGATTCACTATTTTATTTATTTTGATGGTTGTCTTTGTAAAAGTCACATTCAAGTTCCAACTTTTAACCACCTCTACCTTACAATTGCGACTCACATAGACAGGGTTGAAACGTTCACATATTTGATGAGACACGCAACTTCCGCCGAGCCGCACGCATGCATGTGTCTATACATGTAAATGTATGCATTAAATTCCCTTGTTTTACCTAAAACTCAACTAACTCATGATAGTCCATACCATCAACAATACCAGTGCAATATTTCAGGTCTTTTAACTGTTTGGATGTCGGATTCCACGTCTTGAACTCGTCAAAGATGCGTTTGCCCACAGCATAACCGTCCAACTGAGTCTTCAGGCGTAACAACTCCTGAAAGAAACCCCGAATGCACCACGGAAGATGGTACGGATTCGACTGAAACCGCTTAGTATTAATCTCGTGGAGCCTAGAGGGAACCTTATGGTAGAGGTTGGATGTCTCGAGCGTGTGCTCGATTCCGCGCAAATAGACGTCTCTCTCAGCAAATACCTTGGAATGTCCACCATTGACAAGTGTTCCAGAAAGATACTGGCTAATCTCAAACAGCATTCCGTGATCATTGATTCCTAGATTTATCAGTTTGAGACAAACATCGAGTAGGTCTACAACGAAATCGCTATTTTCAGCCTCTGCGTCTATATGAACGCACCGAAAGATATTGGGATGATCCAGATGGATGCACAGAGAAGAATTCAGTGGGATCAATTGGTCAGTAGTCGAGCCGATAAAAGTAACCTTGACGTTGTGGTCCAGAAGAACATCTAAAGACGTCACTAGTTGTTGGGACTGGTACGTCATTGGATCCTGGAAATCGAACAGCTCCATCATAATCTCATTTTCGAGCTTGGAGTAAGCGCGAATGGCCAGCTTTGAGTCTAAGCCTGGAAATGGTCCCAGGCATATACCTGCCATATTGATTAATCCAACCCTTGAAGCATTTGCCAAATGACCTCTTTGCAATAGCTGGGCCACTATATGGATAGTCACTGGAACACCTTGTGAATGAGAAGCAAAAAAGACGTAGTCTGCGGTGTGAAGAAGATCCATCCAGTTATTCAGCAAAATAAGCAAACTGGCAACCCGATCAAAGATCTTTCCCTCACCATCGAGAGCTATAGTCTCTATCTCCAGATTCATACCCTGTTTAACTGCCCAATATTCCAGTGCATCCGCAGCAGACTCCACGAATTTGACAGCAGATCCAGTGGGTTGGGCAATGAGGGTCTTCACCATCTTGATTGGTAGGTATCCATGCACACCAATGATCACAGCCTTCTTAACTTTGGTGTCCTTGCTGGAAGGCAGTTTTTCGTCTCCTTCGATGGTGCCAGACTTAGAGAACCAGGGTAAGTGATATAGATGCTTTTCTTTCTTGACCAGGGGAACCATCTGACTCCACCAAATCCTGGTTCGCGTTTTAAACGTGAGATCGCGGTAATTTTCATTAAGTAAAGGCAACACGCGACTTTTTTTCACTTCCAATTCATCTTGGGCCCCATTGGCATGCCCATTTCCAGACTTTAGCAAGCTCTCTTGCTTTTCTTGCGGTGTCTTGGGGAACTCACCAGTTATCTTCGCAGGTCGGTTCAAGCTGTCTGTTCCCGAAACCGCCAACTCCCCAATGGAAGACGTATTTGCGGCGCTCCGCCGTAACCAGAATCCCCATGAATTTCCCGTTTGTGGAGTAGTCTCTACGGCTTTTCTCGCAGCCTTAGCGTTCTCCTCCGAGTCTTTATTGGAGTACACAGACGCCAGTGTGGACTCCTGGGGATAGTCCTGCGGCGACGAGGAAGCATTTGCCCATGTCCATGGCATCCATGGATTATAAACCGGTTTCAAAACACTACCACTGCGAACACTGCTATTTGTCTGCGACACTGAAGAATATTCTGAGGCAAACTCGCCGCTGTTCACCACAGCAGAGATCTCGTTGGGCATCATGCCTTCGGAAACATGCGGCTCCAGAGGCTTAGACATAAACCCAGATATCGTAGGTACATAAGTAGCAGGGTTAATCCACTGAATCCAGTTCTGAGGCAGCTGGACATGCTGTTGGGCCTCAACCTGCTGCTCCACGGTGTCTTGAGTGGTCAATTGCTCCTCCGAGGCAGTCTCTAAAGACGCAGCCTGCACCTCTGAAACAACCTCAGATAAGTCCTGTTCACTCGGAACTATTAAAGCCACACGGATGTCCGAATCAAGCACTTCTGGTGGTGGTGGAAGAGGCGGAGGAGGGGGGATCGTCTCTCTGGCTCCCCAATACCACCACGGTTTCTGTTGTGGCTGGGCTGGCTCAATCGGCTCAATTTCAGCCAAACCAGTCTGGTCTTCACTTATGGAAGTTTCGGTCTCTTGTTGTCGCCTAAAATCACGAAGCGTTACCAAATTCTCTTCTGCGTTGCCTTCAGTCTCAGGTTGGTCTCGGATTTGCGGCTGATCTGCCTCTGGTGATCCTTTGCGTGACTCCAACATTTCAGGCCTTGAATCTTGTTCGCCAAATATACCTGACTGCTTTCGTAGAATATCTGGTGTCACAACAGACCCAGCGCGCGCTTTTAGGTTAGTTAGCCATGTGGAGGAGAGCGACTGATGGGATGGCGTTCTATCAGACTCCGACAGCACTTTAACAGTGTCCAGCACCGGAGCAGCATTATCAGCAACACTAGAGCCCCCTTCCGGTTTATCCATGTTTCCGGTGTGTGGTTGGGAAATGCATTAACTGGTAACAGGTCAGATAAGACGCCTCTTCTGGGGAGGTTAGACTGATAGATAGTGATAGTAACAGAGTTATGAGCGATGGCACGCAACATCAGACCCTTACTGTCTGTCTACAACATTACAAGATTGCGGCTTGTCCCACTCTTTCACCCACCAAATCGACAAATAAACATGGGTCCAAATGACGAAGACGAGAATGGCAAATTGTTTAGCATATCGCATTGTGCGGTGAAAGTGGGAGAGATCAACCGGTTCGTGATCACGTTCGTTCCGAACCCAGATGAGCCGCCTCTAAACGGGCTAGGGAAGTCACTCTGGGTGCGGATAAAGAACGTCGAAATGGTGGCTCTGAGAGCTGCGTATCTGGCTGGACCGTTTACTCTCTATTGCGATGTTCGTCCCGAAGAGTACACACACAAGCAAGCTTGTTTCAGCACGGCTGACCAACCATCATACGAGCCCAATTTGTCGCCAGGACAAAGTTTCTATGCGGAGCTCCCTATTCACCTGCTTAAAGACAAATATACCTGGACGGTAGATGTGGTCAGTCAGATGATATTTTCATCAACTGCCGAGACACATTTCGAGCTGTTTGTGGGAACCAGCAAGAGTGCATTACATAGACAAAGGCCCATAACGCGCTACCCAGAACTGGATATCACCATACAGGATACTCAGGATCTTTGGAATATTCCACCGCGAATCCCAGAAAAGCCGGTTCATCTTGTGCTGCTGACACATGGCTTGCACTCCAATTGTGGTGCCGACATGTTCTTTCTAAAGGAGCGGATTGAAGAGGCGGCCTTTGAGGCTGGGCAGAACGTGATTGTGAGGGGTTACAGAGACAATGTGTGCAAGACAGAAAGGGGAGTCCGTTATTTGGGAGGCCGTGTTGCGCGATATGCGATCTCTCAGGCAGAAGAGTTCAAGGCCACTAAGATCTCTTTCGTAGCCCACTCACTGGGTGGATTGACACAGGTGTTTGCAATAGGGTACATCGCATTCAACTACCCCGGCTTTTTTGACAGGGTCAAACCCGAAAACTTCATCACGTTGGCGTCGCCATATCTGGGACTGACCAATGAGAACCCTGGGTATGTGAACTTGTTTCTTTCAGCTGGGATTGTGGGAAAGACGGGTCAGGACCTGGGACTCTATGGTCTCACTCCGTTACTTCTTATGCTCCCCGGTAATCCCACCGCCAAGATTTTGCAACAGTTCAAAAGACGGACTTTGTATGCCAATTCGATGAACGATGGTATTGTTCCTCTGAGAACCTCAGCTCTATTGTATTTGGACTGGAGAGGCTTGAGTAGAGTCAATGACGAGAAGACGAAGGATTCTTTGCATCACCAGCGCAACAGTGAAGCAACAGGCTTAAGCCCAGAGAATATAAGTGAAAACGGTGCAAATGTGGGGGAAATTCCACGCGACAGCGAGACGGCAACTGAAGGAGTAAACGCTTCAACCACGGGGAATGCCGTTATGGACTTGGGAAATACCTTGAAGGATATGATGGTTTCCCCTCTTCAATCGGTGATGGCATTCTGTGCTCCGCATATTCAGGCAGAGGGCAGAAAGAGTAAGAAATACAGACGGTTCCAAACCATGAGAGAGGATGGCTACGAATCGGGAGAAGATGACGATGGAGTCGAAGGGTTCATTAACCCACTTCCAAAGACGTCTCTCATGGAATCTGCAACTAAGGTGTTACTTCCACCCGCTCCTCCCTTTCAATACCTCGTGAACCCCTCCTCGCGCGAAGAGGTGATTATCCACGATCGTATATACACAGAGAAGGACCTGCCAAAAGAACACAAGAAATCGAAATCTCGGCTGGAAATTTTGAAGGAAAAGAGGGACATAGAGGAGAGAATCGCTCGCAAATATCATCGAAATGCAGCGTGGAGAAAGGTTCTGGTGAAACTCTTGCCAGATGCTCACAACAACATAATTGTTAGAAGACGATTCTCCAATGCTTATGGCTGGTTAGTAATTGACCATCTCGTGGACAACCATTTTGGCTCTGAAGCAGATGTTGGAGTGGACTCGGGACCGGAGCCGCTAATCGAAGATGCCGAGTCTGACAAGAACGAGGAGAAGTTCGAGAAAATTTTGCTGACACAGAAGGAGAAGGATGACAAACGTGCCGCGAAGGAGGCACGAAAGTATGGGGCTATGAGCCAGAGCTCCAGCCAAAGCATTGGGAGAACGACCCTAGATCTCCATAGGGTGGATACGAACGACACGAATGAGACAAAGGGAACAGTTTTGTCAAATGATGGTCGTTGGATCAACGACAACGATTCCGACTACTATGACGGACCAGCTGGGATCTTTTCCAACGCTGGAGAGGCGCTGGAGGCACTCAAGGCGCAATACCAGAACGGAATCTTCACTATGGTTAACAACGAGGATGAAGTTAGGGAAGTTGCCGATCCAGGAAACTCTAATGTTGAAGGGGAGAACATGAATGTTCACGTGATGGGCAGTTTCTATTGAGTGGAATTTTATGACTGACGAATCGATATGTGAAATATTATGTGATTTTCAAGACGATACATAGGGCTTGGATAAGCCAAAGTGGGCAGGTTATGAGTTACCACGGTCTAGCCATTATCAAACCGCCTCTTAACCACCATTAAACCTACATTGTGCCGTAAAATAATCATTTTCATTAGTCTTTTCTTGCTGTTTACTGGCGATCACCTCACCTTGCGCAATAAAATCTCGTCCACATACCTCGTTTCCAGTGAATCGAGTCCCAGCCTAGACTTGAACTCGGCAGCATTTCTCTCAGGGCTCGGATCAGCAAGTACACTACACGCCTGGACTAAACGACTGTAGTCAAAAGTCTGGGGAAGACCCAGTTGTTCCCAGAGACTAGTAACATCTAGACGCAACTGCTGACCGCCAAGGGGGTTGAATCTTCCGACCCGGATGATGTTTGTGTCAATATACTTGGCCAGAACGCTCGACACATGCGATAGAACAAACAGATAGTCCGATGAGCAAAATGTCGTTTTGACGAATGTAAGGTCTCTCGAAAGAGTCACAATGGTTTTCGTGAGTTCGGTGGAGTAAGAATTCTTCAAAGAAGATGTGGTAGACCATGAATTGATTGCGAAATAGTCGCGCATAGAGTTGTTGATTTCTCTGTCAAACAAAGTGACCAGGTCTTTTTGTATCCTGGCCAATAGTGCTGTGTAATGCTTGATTATTGAGTCAAAAAACGTCTGTGACAGAATTTCATCAGCGGAACTTTCAGCTGGCGGCGTCAGTGTGCCGAGATTTGAGGAGATGGAAGAGGCCATCTCTAAAATAGCAGTTCTAGCAGCGGCCAATCCAGTGGATTGAGTCAACTGAGACTTCTTCTTAACATTGAGAGAACTCCAGAGCTGAACAAAAACCAGCTGTTCGCCCCAGGTCTCCATTGCTTCCACCATAAACTTCAATGAGCACCAGATACGACACACACGTTCCAATGGCGTAATATGACCTTCTTGCTGTCTTTCTTTGAGAATTCGGGTTTCAAAAGCGTCTCTGCCGCTCTGAAGCTTTTCATAGTAGAAGTTCAACAGTTTAAGCTGGACCTCACTCAGGAATTTGAGCTGGTGCTTTAGAGCCAGATTCTCGTAGGTCTTGGTGATGCTCTCGATCAAAGTCTTGAGATTGAGAGCAGACTTGGTGGGCTTAGTTTTATTGGACTCCACTGCATCGCGATCAATGGCAAATGCGTCTGACATATTCACGATCTCGTCATATCTTGCTGAAACGAAATCTTTTTCGTTGCTTATCCAAACCTCAAATACCTGCTCGTTGAAAAGCACTAGATCGCCTGTCAGACCAAGCCAATGGTGTGCGAATGGTGGTCTGAACTTGTACGTAGATTTCAAACGTTGGTCAAATTGCTGAAGTTCAAAAACCAGGTGCGATAGGTTTCTCTTATGACTAACAACTACCGAAAGATCCGCGGCCAATTTTTGTCTCACAGGAACAAGCAATGAGGTGATGAAGAGATACGCAAAGGGCTCTGACTCGTACGGTGTGTCTTTTAAGCAGTTAGAGAGCAGGAATGTCGTCAACTTCAAATGCTGCTCCAAGTATGTCTCAAAGTAGTTCAAACACCATTCTGGCTTATCGAGCCTATTTGTCTCTCCCTTTCCCTCAAAGTGATACACAAACCTGTTTCTGAAATCCTGGGCTAGGACGTCAAAAGCCCACAGAGATTGCGGGTAAACAGCATTTCGATACATGATGTCTATCGATTGGCAAACCAGCAAGGCATGCAAGCCATCCACCACAGTCTTAGAGGTTTTGGCAGAAACTGAGTGAATATCCTTCCAAAGACCTTCCTTTCGTATGGTTTCTGCCAAAGAATCAGTGGCAAACTCCTTTAAAGGCAGCACGACTTCAGATACTAGCTCAGTAAGCTGAGCAACACACTTTGAAAGCTCTGGCTTGACAGAATCTGCCACTGATGATTGAATCAACAAATCTATTTCAGCCACAATAACTTTCAGAGCACCCGTTATCTCATCGAACTGGGTTTGAGACTTCACTTGACTGGTCTGAAGCGTTTCGAGCTTTGTATGGATCGATTTGGCATGCTGTTGTACAGAATTGGATTCTTGTAGCTCGAGTCTTTTTATAAGCTGTGGTCTAACTCCGGAAAAAAGCGACAGCGGACCATACTGAGCTATCAGAGAATCTATCTCACGCAAACTCTGCTGGGTGTCGTTCTTAGCAACAAGGTCAGAAACGAGTACGAGCAGATGTCGCGATTCGTCGGAATGATGCGTGGAGGAAGAAGCAATGGCCTTCAATTGAGTACGTTCTTCTTCCAAAGCACTCACAATGGAGTCAATATTAGCAAGATCGTCCAGCGACGAAAATTGCGAGTTTAAAAACTCAGTTGTCATGGTGGCTGGTGAAAAGAGCTTGTAGATATCGTCTTTTTGCCAACAAAAACGGTTAAGGTATCGCTGTCAGATGATAATTGTGTCAGTATAGGATCAATATTTGGAGATGCACGACAAAACTGTATGCCCTTGAAGGCCGAAAAGGATACGGCTGATTAGGTGATGGTTATAATTTATTAGTTGTGGATAAAGACAGGACGGGTTATGGTGACAGTAGAAGTTATGGGAATGCAGTGATTTGTGGAGTTCGTCGAAATTTGGCGGAGTGGTCAAATATCAGAGTGTAGTTCTGGTTGAACACTCAATCATTCAAACCGGAGGTGCAGGGGAATATAAGTAGCAGCTTATCAATGTAGAGTGTAGAGAACTCTTGAGCTCTGTTCCATGGTTATCCTGAAACTTTCTTTTTTACTCAAACATGTGAAGCTCAGAGTGGCTCCACTCAAAGCCTCGTCTCGGATCCAAGGAAGAAAACGATCTCCGGGCATCGGGCACGTCCGGGTGGAAAGCTGCCCCACGTTACCCCGGATTTGGTATTTAATGTCTGGGCGCCCCCCGATGAAGGGTTGAATGGAAAAGTTCATGAGACTTTGAAGTTTATTTTTGTTTTCTTTGAAAAAGTACATCCACACTTATATACACGCATCCACAGTTTATTTCATGAAACGGTTCGTCATCCGCTCGGTGCGCGGTATGGCCACGCATGGAGTTTCGTCATCACCCATCCGACTGGAGGTACTCGGATACGACAGTTCCTTCATCACCATTGCGGTCGACGGCAAAGTAGTCAGATACAATAACGTGTTTCTGCGAGATGCATGTGAACGACCAGGAAAGTCTATCCATGCCGATTCTCGCCAAAAATTATTCACCACAGCGTCAATAGAGACTTCTCTCCACCCAACTGCAGCTCCTCACGTGACACAACAGGGCCTCGAAGTGGACTGGTTTGACGGAGAGGGCAAAATACCTCACAGATCGTCGTATTCGGCGGATTTTTTGAAAAAATATTCCACAATCCAAGCTCGCCGAACTGATGTTCAGCTTGAAGAACCAGTTCTATGGGATGGAGCGGCAATTCGAGAAGCCCTGCCGCGCATCACATTCAGCCATAACGAGTACATGCATAATGATCATGTGTTTGCGACAGCGTTGCGAAACCTGAACAAATACGGCCTGATTTTTGTCAATGGAGTTCCAGATCAGTCCAGCTCAGAATCATGGTTTGTTCAGTCAATAGCGGAGCGAATTGGTTACGTTAAACGTACGTTCTACGGAGATTTGTTTGATGTGGTTTCTAAGCCCAATGCTGAGAACCTGGCTTACACCAACACTTTTCTCCCACTACACATGGATCTTCTGTATTATGAATCGCCACCAGGAATTCAATTGCTTCACGCTATTCAAAATTCGACAGCTGGTGGAGAAAACATTTTTTCTGACTCTTTTGCAGCTGCGCAGACTATTCGCGAGAAGGACCCGCAGGCTTACTTTGCTCTGACTACTGTACCTGTTCCGTACCATTACCATTCAAATGGCGAGCATTACTACTACTCAAGGCCTGTGGTGGTTGAGGACGATTCTGCTGGACTTTCTTCGCGATTTCGGGAATGTAATTACTCTCCGCCTTTCCAAGCACCTTTCGAGTTCGGAATCACTCATCCCGTATCGCTGCAGGTCGAAGAGGAAGTTGCAAAAGCCGCAGGGGTTTCGCGGGAAGTTGCCATGATGAACAATTCAACAAGCGCAATGGAAACTGGTGATTCGTATCTTTTCAAGGATTTTCTGGACGGGTTTCGAAATTTCGAGGATTTGGTGAATGACCCAGTCAACCAGCTTGAGGTCAAACTTGCGGAAGGAACGTGCGTTGTTTTTGACAATCGTCGTATTCTCCATTCACGCAATGAATTTAATTTCGTAAACGGAAAAGGCGAAAGATGGCTGAAAGGATGTTATCTTGACCGGGATTCATTTCATTCCAGGTTGCGGATGTTAAACGAGGAGGGAGCGTGAAAGAGAAGACGACTTATAGATAAGACAAACGAAGCCAAAGGAGAGCTTGGATCGTCTTATGAAAAATATCTTATTGAGACCCTTGATGATTGTACCCGGAATCCTTCTTTCACATCAAGAATAGTTCCCAAAACCAGAATGATGTATTTTTCGATCTTTATCAAAGCAACTATCAGCAAACCTACCATAATTTTACAATCTCACTACTATAATCATATAACCTGCCTCTAAAATTCCTTTTCATAAACGCCTATGAAAATATCCCAGAATTGCCTCCAAAAAATGGATGTCCCTTATTGTACTTCCCTTATCCGTTGTTCTGTCTCAATGATCTTCCTCGGATCCATCCCCGTCAGAGTAGTTCGGTGGATCCAAAGGTGCGTCCTCTAGCCCAGCACTGCGCATACTGGCCTGCTCAATCGACCTCAAGGTAATATCCTCGTTGTCTTCCACCTCTGTAAAGTCTGCCACATCCCAAAAGTTGGGAGGAAAGTCTCCGTCGCGTTCCATGAGATCCTGAGGATCCACATCAGAACTATCCAGCATCACATCTTGCGAGAAGGCCTGATACTCTGGTGGTGGTGGACCGTTACCTTCCAAAGGCGCAAAACCCCACTTCTTAACGTTACCCTCGATGAACACATAGCCCGCCTGGCCAAAGTTCACATGAACCGCACATCTGTTGTTCGCACCAATCGTGGGCCACAATTTTGGATGCCAGTTTTTGACATGGCCGCCGCATCCGCCTTCACTCAGCTTCTTTCCATTGCGTGTGAAAAACACTGTTCCTGACCGTGACCTATACCCGACTCCGATCACATCTCCCCTTTCCACCTTAGGGAATATCCCCAGACCGGAAGACTCGTCAAGGGAAAAAGATTGATTATATCTTCGATCGCCGTTTGAATCGTATGCGAGCGATTGCCGCTGGCGACCAGGCAAGCGAAAGTATGGGTATGGGTAGGTGGCCAGTCCAATAGAGATCACCGTTGACTCCGGGTCTGCCACGTCGTATATCTTGGCTTCAAAATAGTAAACCTCATTGGCCTTGGGCACTGGCAAGTTTGATTGAACAGATAGCTCGGAGCCTGAACTAAGAAAGTTTATTTCCGTCTTAGCGTCCACCTTCACATCATCAACGACAGCCAAATTAGGCTTGAATTCCCAAGCAGAAACACCCTTCTCTTGAATCAAGAGTAAATGAGAAAGTGAGAGTTCCTGGGTGTCCGTCGGATTCAGCCGCTGGAAATCTTTCCCCTGGAAATACAGCTCTTGTTCGTTAGGACTCAACTCAGCAAGCGCGCGAGCATCTTCCTCAATCTCGAGCTGTTCATCATCATAAGCACCAGGAATGCTATTTGAAAGAGAGATTCCAGCTTGGACTAACCGCTTGAATATCCATGCACCAAATGCCACTCCTAGAACGAAGACAAACCCTAGCGCCATGCCGCTAACAAGAGAGAATGCATCCGAACCAGAAGCGGCTTGCACGGCAGGAATCGGCACGGAATCAACACCAGTTATCCCCATAGCAAGTATTAACAGCCCAGCGAGTGGCGAGAGCCGTATCGCATCCATGGCAAAGTTTTGTGGTGAAACAAAAAAGGGCTATGCTCTTGAGGCTAGCTTATTGTCTTAGCCTTATATCCCAAAAACAGCCCAACAAAAGAGCGGAAAAACACAAGCAGCAAAACAAGAAACTTTCAGCAATCTGAAACTGAACCTAAAACACAGAGACAAGCTTGAATATAACCTATTGATAGAATACTTGTGGTCTTAGTTGGCAAGGATAAGACAAGAGAGCTGCAGAGGCAACGGGGGCTTACCCGGAAGAGATGGCAGAACTTCGGGAGTGAGATAATCAAGAAACGTAAATCGGTAGATACACGTCATTTGGACAACAGCAGAGCGGACATTGAGGTCTATTTCACGAAGCGAATACGCATACACTTCTTGGTGAACAAGAGTGGTTTTTTATGGGCTCTGTACAAGTCAAAACGATGCTGCACCAGCAGAAACTAGAACAATTCACCCTTGCCTTACGATAGGCTCCTGTTTCTTCATCTTCTCTATCTCATCTTTCCCCTCACCACCTCCAGAGTCCGAACAATGCTTTGTAATGCTTATGCGACCTAAACGAGACACCCAAGCGCACGCCAATCGTATAAAGCAGAGGCAAACACCTCCTAATTTCCAGAAGAGCTTTTTCCTTCTAGTAATAAACGCTTAAAGTAGCCGTTCCATCTCCAACCTACACGAAACGCGTCAGCCCTCACACGCTGTCCCATCATTCGTGTCGTTCCCATCGGTTATAGCACTCCACTTCGTCTCCACCTCTTTTTGTCTTGTTCGACACCTCTCTTGTTCTCTTCTTCTTCAACAGCTCAACAAGACATATCTCGCCACTCAGCAATGACCCAAGAACCAGTATACATTGTCAGTACAGCTAGAACCCCAATTGGTTCATTCCAGGGCTCCCTTGCCTCTTTTGGCTACGTTGACCTTGGTGCTCACGCGGTCAAGGCCGCGCTGGCTAAGGTGCCCGCAATCAAACCAACCGACGTTGAAGAAATATTCTTTGGAAACGTGTTGCAGGCCAACGTGGGCCAAGCTCCAGCCAGACAGGTTGCCATAAAGGCTGGTCTTGGTGAAGATACTCCAGCTACTACCATCAACAAGGTTTGCGCTTCGGGTATGAAGTCTATCATTTTGGCTGCCCAGACGATCATGAGCGGAACTGCGGATATTGTCGTTGCTGGTGGTGCCGAGTCGATGACTAACACTCCTTACTACCTTCCAGCCGCACGTTCTGGTCTCAGATTCGGGGACGGAGTTGTCGTGGACGGTGTTTCCAGAGATGGTCTTCTCGACGCCTACGACGGAAAGGCCATGGGTGTTGCCGCTGAGAAGTGTGCTGCTGATCATGATATCTCCAGAGAGGATCAGGATGATTATGCTATCTCCTCATACAAGAAGGCCCAGGCCGCACATGCTGCCGGTAAGTTTGCGGCTGAACTTGCCCCTATTACCATCAAGGGTAAGCGCGGCAAGCCAGATGAAGTGATCTCCATCGACGAAGAGACCAACAAGCTTGACGAGAAGAGATTGCGCACCGCAAGAACTGTATTCAAGCCAGAAAATGGTACTGTCACTGCACCAAATGCATCTCCAATCAACGACGGTGGTGCTGCTGTCGTTTTGGTGAGCGCCCGCAAGCTCGCTGAGTTGAACTTGACCCCACTAGCCAAGATCAGAGGCTGGGGTGATGCTGCGCGTGCCCCAGTTGACTTCACAATTGCACCAACGTTGGCTGTTCCAAAGGCTTTGAAACACGCCGGTGTATCTATCGCAGACGTTGACTTCTTCGAGCTCAATGAGGCTTTCTCTGTTGTTGGTTTGGCCAACGCCAAGAACCTTGACATCCCACAAGAGAAGCTCAACGTATACGGAGGTGCCGTTGCCCTGGGTCACCCACTGGGATGCTCTGGAGCAAGAGTCGTTGTCACATTGTTGTCTGTGTTGCAGCAAGAAGGCGGAAAGATTGGTTGTGCCGGTATCTGTAACGGTGGTGGTGGAGCCTCTTCCATTGTTATTGAGAGAGTTTGAACCAAGGGCTGCAAAAAGGCATTACACAAGAATTTGCTAATTGGAAAATGAACTCTACAGATCAAGAGTCGTGTGCGTTGATTGTCTTCGATTGGGTATATAATCCTACAAAAAGTGACAGTCACACAAGTTTTTTGAAGCGTAAAATTGATAATTGTAAGGACTACCTCTGTTTCTTCCTCATATGCATCTGATCATTCGCATTATTCCCAAAAGCACGTTTGGCCCCGGTACCACCCAACATCGAATTCGTCCCGTGCAATTGTTGGTGCGAATGTCCGCTCATGCTGAGAATATCATTATCGTCCTTTTGGATCTTTCTTGGAGGATATTTGAACTTGGAATTTTCAAATATATTGTCGGTCACACGCGGCAGTTCAGTGAACCATTTGTGTGAAAGCGAGTTCAGAGCGTTGACCCTTTTAGCTGGATCGTAATCAAGAAGCTCAGAAAGCAACTTGAGGCAATTTTTATTGGATCCCCCAGCCGAGTGGTACCATGCACGTAGATTTGGCGGAAATAGTGTGAATTTTGCCAATTGGGGATACTCCGGATAGTTCTTCAGAGAGCTCCATCTCTCCGACGAAGGAGTACCCAAAATTTCCACGATTTTCAATAGCTGGTTCTCCTGAAACGGCACCTGTTTCTTGTTATCCATCTTGGACTCTTCTCCCTTGAAAATAGGACGAAGAGACAAAAGTTCAGCGAGAATACACCCAACTGCCCATAGGTCTATAGCAGGTGTGTAATGGCGTGCTCCCAGCAGTAACTCAGGAGCTCGATACCAAATTGTCACCACCACCTTATCTCCAGCATATAGAGATTGAAGAGGATTGTTGAACTTCCGGGCTAAACCCAAATCACCAATCTTAATGGTTCCATCGGAGGTCACCATTATGTTCGCTGGTTTGAGGTCTCGATGAACTATCCAATTTTGATGCAAATATGATAACCCACTCAGCAACTGGTACATCGTGGATTTAAGCGTTGACTCTGGAATTGGCTTCAGGTCCGGGTGCGAGTGGTTGTGGATGATCTGCAGCAGATCATGTTCAGCAAACTCAAACACCATGTAGATACACTTGCGTTCCAGGATGATTTCGGTCAACTTGGTGATATTGTTGTGGTTTAGCTCACGACAAAGCGACATCTCACGAATAGCACTCTGGGATATACCTGTGTAGTGTATCACCTCGTTGTCTTTGCTGTCTGTCTTGAACTTCTTGATTGCGTACAATCCATTTTGGTCCACCCGGTCTTTGGCCTTATACACCTTACCGTAGGTTCCCGCTGCTATATATCCGAGGATTTCATACTTCTTGATAACAGAAACTCGCACCGCATCCTTGCGCTTGCGATAAGGTGCTATGGTGAAGAAATCGTTGCCCGCCATACGAATTGGCTGAGACCTGTTGAAGCCACCAGATTGTGGCCCACTACCGTCCATCATAGAACCATGACCAAGCCCAAGACCAACCCTATTAGAAGGAGAGCTGCCCGAGCCAACCATGCTGGAAGACGTCTGCGGTTGACCCCGCAGAAATTGCTGCTGGAGATTCGACATCCCACAGTGTAAATGAACCTGTGACTTTGTCTGTCGCTATTGCTCACTAGCGTATAGGGCGGCAAATCAGCACTCCACAAATATATTTAACCCCCCGATACGACGTAAATCCTGTCGCTCACAACAACTCCAAATCCACAAAAATAGCTTTAGCCAAACTCCAATTTCTCTACTGTAAAGTTACCGCTGTTTCTGGCGTTTAATCCTGATACCGCAGTGGCATCCACCCCTCTAAATTTAGAGCGCTTATAGTCGAGCGACGCACGACCACGCCATTTCCATGCCTGATTTGAGGATCATTGCATACGCATCCACCACACTAAACATTATATAGTACAAGACACACAAGTTGTGAGAATTTCAGGAATTGCAAGGAAGACTCAAACTTCTGTGGTATTTATTGCTTGGACGTTCTTCCTTCCATTTTGCTCTTATTCTTCCCATAAACACGGATTTTGGAAATGGACACACTAGACGTGCCCCGCCAGCGACCTTTCCGTCTGGGCGGCGGTTCCAAGTCGGAACTGTACGCCGAAAACGATCTGGAGAATGTGGGAGATGAAAAGTATAGTCGGGTGTTGAAGCCATCCGTTTTAGGAGGGAGGAGGTACTCGGTGTTGCAATTGTTCAACCCTTCATTCTACGTGTCTCTGTTTACACGGTACAAGAAGACGGCAATTGCGCTGATAACGTTGTTGGTACTATCTGTTTTTACGGATGCGCCGTTTGTGCCACACATATTTTTCAGAAACCCACAGGTGGTGATAATATTGGCTGCCAACGAAGGTGGTGGGGTTCAGAAGTGGAAGGGTGCACAGGAATGGTCTGTCGAAAGATCTTCAATCAACAACAAGAAACAGTATGCACAGAAGCACGGCTACACGCTTACTATCAAAGACATGACTGTGAAGAGGCGGTACTCTCATGAATGGAGAGAGGGCTGGGAGAAAGCTGACATCATCAAACAGACCATGAGACAGTACCCCAAGGCCGAGTGGTTCTGGTGGCTGGACTTGCACACTTTCATCATGGAAACTCAGATTCCGCTGGAGGAGTACTTCTTTGAAAATCTAGACAACAAGACTTACCGTTCCGTGGAATATTTCAACCCGTTGCAATTGCCGGTCGACGTCCCATACGTGGACGTCACCAAACCGGTAGAGATGATTATTGCCCAGGATTGTGGTGGCTTCAATCTTGGATCTTTTTTGGTGCATAGGTCCGAATGGACAGAGATGTTGCTGGATGTGTGGTGGGACCCTGCATTGTATGAACAGATGCACATGATTTGGGAGCATAAGGAACAGGACGCCTTGGAAACTTTGTTCAAGACACAACCGTGGATTCGTGAGCGAATCGGGTTTGTTCCACTGAGAACAATGAACGCCTTTCCACCAGGAGCATGTTCTGAGAGGGCTGATGATCCGCAGTTCTTCTACCACAATCGCGATTTCGTGATCAATATGGCAGGCTGTGAGTGGGGAAGAGACTGTTGGGGTGAGATGGAGCACTACAAAGCACTCAGCAAGGCACTGCACCCAAAAAAATGGTATAAACTGTGGTTGTAAGAAGCTACAATCGGCCATCTGCATTTCTAAATAGCGGCTTTATAAAACGTGCTCTGTTTTAATCTACCCGAAACCTATGGTAGTGGACGAGCACAAAACAATGGTCGTGTGTCGGACCCAATAGTCCCATCTCTCTCACCGAGCTCTTGAAATGTCTCTAATCCCTTGTCTTAAGCCTTACCTAAACACTCAACTCAATCGCACTTCTCTCGTCCTCAAACACAGCATAGTTTGCTGATTCTATCATGGCTGATCAGTACTGGCTCAACGACCAGATGGATTCGGACGATGGGATGTCCAACTTCCTGAATCTTAATGCGATGAACAACGGTTACAGCCAACCACAACAGACACCAGTTCAGCCATCCCAGGAATTTGTCTCCTACAACGACTTTAATGATGTGCAAAATTTCCAGAAGATGAGACCTTCGCCCAACGGAATGAATTCCTTCAATCCCAATGGAACCAATGCCACCAACGGTTCAAATCCCAGTTCACTTTCTGGTGCCACAAACGCTGGAATGGACCCAATGTCGATTTTGGAAAAGATGCATGAGAAACAAAAGTCGATCGGTTCCAATTTCGACTTGCAAGACCCACAAATGATAATGAGGCAGCATCAAAGTACGTCAAGTACTCCTGTTTCGTCGTCGTTTTCGCCAAGCATGATGAACCAGACAGCTCGTATGCAGATGCAGCAACAACAACAGCAACAACAACAACAACAGCAGCAACAGCAACAACAACAACAGCAGCAGCAACAGCAGGAGCAACAACGTCAACAACTTCTCAGACAGAAACAAGCTCAAGCTCAAGCTCAAGCTCAGGCACAAGCTCAGGCACAGGCACAGGCTCAAGCTCAAGCTCAGGCACAAGCTCAGGCACAGGCACAGGCACAATCCAATCAGCAACAGCAGCATAGTCAGTTCATCGCTCAGCAACAGCACCAAGCACCCAGAAACCAACAAGTGCAGCAGACTTCGCGCCAACAGGCATTCCAGCAAATGCAACAGCAGCAGCAGGCAATGCGTTTACAACAGATTCAGCAGCAGAGTATGGGTTCTCCTGAACATATCATGGGATCGCAGATGTCAACTCCAGTAACTGACCATTCACAACTGGATATGCGTCCGCCAATGGGTGCAATCCCACAAAGAGTTTCGAGCATGCCAGTGCAGCCTCAACAGGCTCAACAAGTTCAGCAGCAAAAAATGCCTCAACAGCCAATTCCTAACCAAAATCCTAATCAGAGACCTAACCAGCAGAGACAGATGAACCAGGCCCAGATGAACCAGGCCCAGGCAGAATTGTTCATGATGACCCTGAACGATTTCTTGAGGCAAAGAGGCATCCAGCTACCGCCTACACCCATAATAGATGGAAAGAAAGTGCCTCTTTTCTTTCTTTATCTCTTGGTTTCCAGATTGGGGGGCTCTGAGAATGTAACCAAAACTGCAAAATGGCCGTTTGTGGCTTCCAAGTTCACCATTGCAGTTGAGACAAACCCCGCTGCCGTCCGTGAGGTTGAGAATGTCTACAGACAAATTTTACTGCCGTTCGAGAAATACGCTTCAACACCTCAAGGTCAAAAGGATCTGTATCAGAAGAAGGCTTACCTGCAGCAACAGCTCCAGGCAAGACACCAAAGACAGCAACAGGCTCATTTACAACCTCAGCCTCCAGCTCAAGCTCGTTCCACTTCTCAACCACATCAACCCGTTCCACAACCTTCTCCGTATCAGCAGCAGAGACAGTTTACTGCTCCTTCGCCTATGAACCCACAAAATCCGATGCAGCAACGGTCTTCCCAGTCTTCATTGGCATCGCCTCAGGGCATCATTCCCACACCTCAGAGAAACTCCCCGGCAGAGTACATTCCAGCCCAGGTTAACCGGTCGGGCGATCCGTCCCCACTGCCTGGTCCAGGTCCGCAGTCGGCGCAACCCCGGTCAAGAACAACTTCTCGGAAATCGTCTTCTGCAAAACCCGTGACTACGGAACCTGCTGCTCCTGAGATCATCCATAACTATGTGCCATTCCAAAAGCTGGTTGAACTGAACGGTGGCTACGACGTGAAAATGCTTGCTCAACTAAGCGATCAAATTGACCAGGCTAGACCTGTCTTTCTGTTTGCACCTGAATTGGGTGCTGTTGATGTGCATGCCTTGACTATGTCATTATCTGGTGGATTGGACCCAGAGATCAACACTGCTCTGAATACACTCTTGGTTGTCTCCACCGATAGCAATCTAATGATCCCACTGTCAGAATGTCCCGAGCTTTTAGATGCGATTACGATGGTTGGGTCTTCGTCTTTGAAAAAGCTGGTTGGGTCCGATGGACTCAAACGTGATGACCTGTACCAGAAATACGAGAGTGATGTTCTCTTTCCCACGAAGATCGACGAGATATTTGACCAACAAAGTGTCAGTATGAGTGGAGAGAAGGATGTCACAATCACCGTGGACTCATTCACTGCTGGCCATATCGGTGAAGCGATTGTATACCCAGACGCTGAGAAGATCATCGTTGATTTGGATGACGAGAGTGAGTTAGAAGACGACGACGACGAGATGAAGAGCAGCAATGCGACATCCTATTCTTCGCCTTCCTCACTGGATTCTTTGTCCTTAGGCGATGACTTGACGTATTTCAATCTTCCATACTACATGGATGTGCTGATCAAGTGCAGGGAGGAAACTGAAAATGTGTTCAGCGAGATTCATAGCAGGTCTTACAACGATAACCGTATCATGCTGTTGGAGCAGCTGAGTACAGTCACAATGATTTTGAGAAATCTTTCATTCATGGAAAGAAACAGTCACTTTTTGGCATTTAGTTCTCCGCTCTTGGACTTCGTCTTCCAGCTTCTCTACGAAGTTGCTTCAAACCCCAAGAAGTTCATCTTCTCTAGAAAGAGATTATGTTTCTTGAAGGATGCTGCTCTGCTGCTTACCAACATCTCACACTTGGTTCAGTTGAGATCTGCAAAGGAAGCGTTGTTGGTGATCATGTTGGCGGCATCTTTTGGGAACAGTCTTAAGAAGTCTGAGATCGAAGAAGGTTTGTTGATTCCTGAGTATTTACCACAATTTCACAAATACCAGCCATATGGTATTGACATACTGAGCAAGCTTATGGTGAGAGATAACCCCAACAAGCAACTTTTCACAGCTGTTGTTACTGGCGAAATTCAAATGGATCTGTCCATCCCAATGACCGAATCGCAGAAGGAGACGGTAAAGATGATCAGGTTGTACGCGGGTGAACCCAAGGATGGGAAGTTGATCACTAACATGTTCACTTTCTGCTTATCTGTTGTTCCATTGAATCTACTTTCGAGGGGAGTGGCGGCTGTTGCCGAGAGGTCAGTAACAATCTACGAGGCTCTCGTTGCAGCCAGAATGCTGGTCGAAATGGTGTCCCTGGACACTTTCAGTGATAATGTTGTACTGAAATGGCTTAGCTCACCAGAAGGGATCGGGGCTGGTTTACTTAACCTGGGATTCTCTCTTGCTGCTATAGCTGTGAAGACCAGAGAGAACCACAAACTGGGTCTCATTGCAAGCGAGAGTATCGGCCTTCTGAACTCACTGCTGGGAAAAGCCATTGAGTTTTCGGAAACGACCAAGGAAGGTATAATGGATCTCGCTCGTCTGCCCAGACTGTTTCCTTCTGTTGAGAACTTTGTCGGTGCAATCGTCACCTCCAGTACAGATTCGAGAGTTAAGGCTGAAGCCGTGATTCTTGCTGAGCATGTATCTAAGCTATATCAGCTAGTCCAGCATGTGCTTACTGAATGATGGAATGATCAATAACGCAACTATGTCTCACAGATGCCTCCTTCAATGTACAATTATAATAATGCCATAACATTTCAAAATAACTCCTCCCGTAGAAACGAATAGGCCTTATGAGCAGCCTCAGCACCAATTATCTGGGTTAGAGCTTCCTCTGACATCTCAGCAAACTCCCTTAGGTTCTTCACCTTCTTTATGATCAAGTTGTAATTAATAGGATTGATCCCTGGAATTGTCTGCAAAAAGTCTATCGCGGACTCGTTATATTGCGGAGGGCCATCCGTCTCAGCAACTTGGTCCTGTCCAGCAGCCAAGGCCCGCTCCATGTCTGGTTCTTCCAATGAGGCTTTCAGCTCTAAAATAGTCTGTGCAGTCTGATATGGCGAGGAAGACCAGATTATCTTGAGCTTGGGGAATGCAACAAGAAGAATCGTAAGCTTAGACTGGATATCCTGTTGAGACAACTTGGAGCGTATTGGATTGGCACTGCTTCCTGGACGTGTTCGTAACTCACTGAAAGGCTCGAAGGAGAATGACATACCCTCATCGAACTCGATAAGCAACACGGGCGTTTCGTAGTATCGAAACATCTGCTCACATTGGGAGTACAGTCTTCCGCTTTGGAGACTTCCAATCAAGTCAAGGATAGATTTCCTCTCCAGACATATCTTAGGCGATATAACGTAATCTCCAACAGCTATCTGCAAGGGAAGAATCTTCAATCCAATACGATATAACAGATTTGGGAGAGATGACCGGAACTCTCTCATGTCAACAATAACTCTTGCGTCCTCCAGCGATGTTCTGAAATTCGAGCCTCCTGCTATTCTGGTATTCACCACCTGGGATTTATTTATCGAAAACTTGTCGTTATCCTCGTCTGTCCTGAAATGGGTTGCCAGACTTGCTTTCTCGCGAATCAGCTTGGTGAACGCATCCTTTTCCTTCTTGATGTCAACAAGATGTTTCTGCTCCTCTATGGAATCTCCATAGTACATAAAGAATGTCTTGGCTGGGGAATCCTGGTTCATAGCCTGGTATACCTCGATCTGTCTTATGAAAGACAGATGGGGCTCGTATGATATAATGTAAGAAGGCATCAGCTCCTGCAGGAGGTCGTCCTTGATGGAGTCAAATGTCTCCACAATGACCTCGCTCTTGGGGTCAACATAGTCATACACAAACCTTGTTCCATCGTTTTGGACAGAATATTCTTCCAAAATTTTTAATTCGTCATCTTCACCACTATCGCTCATGTCATTCTCTTCTTGGTAGTGGTTACCCAGATTCTCCACTATTTCTACGTCCAGCATTTCTTGGTCTGTACCCATGCTTGATGCAGCATGCAGCCTGCCCACCGCCGCAACTGCAGACGCACCTCTGGTCCTTCTTCTTTTCGTATCAGGAACTTGTCCCCTTCTAAATGTCTTGGATGTAATTAATTCAGGCTCAGGCTGTTTTTGAGCTTGCCGACGTCTCACTTCAGCATATTTCTTGGACTCCATCTTTCTGGATTCTTTCCAAGTCAGATGCTCCACGAGTCGTTTGGCCATCAATCTGCGTCCGGCAGAATTGGTACCATCAGACTCTTCGCGGCTCAATCTTATGAGAGTCTGCAACTGACTGCTTACCACTGGACTGGAGCATACAATCAGAACAGGCCCTGAGGCGTTACTATCCGCTCTCCTGGCAATCGAAATGTCCTCCAGAATAATCATCAACTGATCCCATTTGGGTAATGGCTCCAATAAATATGTATTTTGAACTGCTTTGGTCGTCTGGTCCTTGATAGTGTCTAAAACCCTCTTTTTCGCATACGAGACAATTGTAGTTGCTTCAGTCAGATGAAGCCATAATGCTTCACTCGGAGGCCTAATGAGATCGAGAACACGCTGGTAGAACTGAATTGAGTCCTGAACCAGCAGCATGTTCAACAAGTCTTTCAAGTCGCCAATATCATGAATAACCTGTCGAGTAGTAGGAGTAACTCTGTGCCAAACAGCATCCAATGCTCTTCGTATTGACGACACAAAATCGTGATCTAGAACATTTGCGACGTCCCAGTAATCAGAAATCACGAGAGGATTGTGTCTCTTGAGCTCATCAAGGTTAGCCTTCACACACGCGATAAGCGCTATCTGAATTTGTTTCATGGACTCCGTCAGAGAGACATTGATCTCGGTTACTGTATTTGCAGCTGACACCTCTTTCCCGGGCTTGTGCCTGACGGCATCCGACAACGACAGTCTCACATCCACATGAAAACGAGGCCACAGCATTGTCTTGGATAGTCGCAAATCTTTCAATTTGGTATACAGAGGCCTGAACCCAACCTGAAATCGTTCAGGCTGATCGGATAGGGCCTTCACAAAGCCCCATTTGTTTCGTTCGCGGTAAAGATGAATAATGAAGGATTCCCTCGACGTCTCAGAAATCCGCTCCGCTCCTAGGATCACCAACCCAGTAATGAGATTGGCATCAATAACCTCACTCACCATATCCACCACAAATACTGTGGATGACACAAACATAATCCCTCCCTGTTGGTAGCACTCTTTTCGTTTTTCAGCAGTGGTCAAGTAGTGCAGATTGACAAACCGTTGCCCTTTGGACTTGGGGTCATCATCAATCCACGACAACTCCATCAACTCTTCCGATATCCTCTTGAATTTTTCCTCGGCACCAATGACAATAACAAGACTCTTATATTTAACACCTGGAGCGCTGAGAGCGTGTAGCATGTTTGCTGTGATGGTTTCTAACCCCAGACCTCGTCCTAGTATTAGCAATGCATCAGACGCCACCATCTCCTCAACTATTCGCTGCTGGTATTTCAAAGGCACAGAAAGAGACACCTCAATTGGGTCAAGTGTCGGATCAATTTCCTCGTCTTCAGAGTCATTTTCTTCTCGCGTTACAGGAATCTCGCTATTGCCATCTTCCCCAAACAGCTCCGCATCAAAGCCCTCATTACGATCCACAGGAACCACCGCCGAGTCATCGTACGATCCGTTGACTATCTCCGTAATATGGTCTATCTGATCCTCATCATTGGGTATAAACAGGGGCTCTTCTGACATTTTTGCTCCGCAAAAACTAGCAGAAACCCGGTATTTGGTGGGAGTGGAAAGTTTCATTAGAAAGGGTGTGCACTACCCCATATTGCCGTTTTGGGACGCGATGATATTTCAGCCTTTCAACTCTCTGGGGAGAATACAACATGCCCATACAACTTGCTTATACCATCCAGGTTTGAATATCCTTCAGCCAACAATCTGACAAATGGCCACAATCGTTGAAAAGTACAGGCAGCTTCCGGAAGATGCAGCGTTTTTTTCGCTGGAGTTTTTTCCTCCAAAGACGGAGACCGTAAGTGGAGTCATGGAAGGGTCTTATTGCGTTACCACAGTACTAACACCGGTTAAAGGGACTTAGAAACCTCATGGCTCGTCTAGGCCGTATGTCTGCTCTCAATCCCATGTTTGTGACTGTCACGTGGGGAGCTGGTGGATCGACCCAGAGCAAGACGCTGGAGCTAGCGGCCACATGCCAGAAGGAGCTGGGTCTCACCACATGTCTGCATCTGACATGTACGAATACCGATCGCGAAAAGATAGACCATGCCCTCAAAACAGCAAAAGATAACGGAATAAAAAACATTTTGGCTTTAAGAGGAGATCCTCCTAGAGGCGAGGATTTGGGATCCGGGTCTGGAGAGTTCCGCTATGCAGTTGACTTAGTGAGGTACATCAGAAAGCACTATGGTGATTACTTCTGTATTGGTGTGGCTGGATACCCGGAGGGTCATGTGGAAGGATCTGATGATTCTGAGCAGAGCGTTGAACACGACTTCCCGTATTTGGTTGAGAAATTGAATGCCGGTGCGGATTTCCTGGTCACCCAGCTCTTCTTTGACGTTGATAAGTTTTTGGAATATGAAAAGAAAGTCAAGTCTTGCAAGGAGATAAAGAATGCAAAAGATTTGTTGATTCTTCCAGGGTTGATGCCAATTAATGGTTATCAACTGTTCAACAGAGCGGCCAAGCTATCGCATGCTTCGGTTCCCAAGGAGATCCAGGATAGATTTCCGGACTCTATCCAAGGTGATGACAACAAGGTCAAGGAGGTTGGTGTGCAGGTGTTGATTGAAATGATTGACAAGATCTACGGAAATTCAGACAAGAAGATTAGAGGTTTCCACTTTTATACTTTGAACTTGGAGAAGTCCATAGCTGAAATTATTGACCGCTCTCCCGTTTTGAGCAAGATTTTGGAAAACGATGATGTGGAAAATGCGATCGATGAAGACGTGGATGCTGATGATACTGAGGCCAAGCGGTCGAGATTTATCCAGAACCTTGAATCGAGGTCCAACTCCAACAAGGTGATCAGCGACGAGTCTCAGCCTTTGGCCATCACTACGTCTGACCTGAAGAGCTCTAGTATCGGAACTAAGCCTTCAAAACGTACAATTTTGGCCATATCTCTGGGGAAAGGAACTCTTGGTAAAGATGCTACCTGGGACGAGTTTCCAAATGGTAGATTTGGTGATTCCAGATCCCCAGCTTACGGTGAGATAGACGGATACGGACCAAGCTTGAAACTGACCTCTTCAGAGGCTTACGAATCATGGGGTTATCCAACCACTGTCAAGGACTTGTCCAAGTTGTTCATAAACTATTTGTTGAGCAAGCTTAAGGTTCTGCCATGGAGCGAGCTAGGACTCAACTCCGAAACGGCCATCATCCAGGAAGAACTCATAAATCTCAACAAAAAGGGATATCTGACCATTTCGTCCCAACCAGCGACCAATGGAAGCAACTCCACAGACAAGATTTTTGGATGGGGACCTGACAACGGGTATGTGTACCAAAAGTCGTTCGTCGAGATGTTTGTTCCAAAATCCGAATGGGAATCTGTTCTGAAGGACAAGCTGGCTAAGGATGAAAATGTAGGATACTATAAGAGTGATCTGGAGGGCGCCTTCGAGACGAACTTACCTGAATCCAGTGCCATGTGTGTGACCTGGGGTGTTTTCCCAGACCGCGAGGTTGTTCAGACAACACTGCTGGGTGAAGAGTCCTTCAAAGCATGGAACGAGGAATCCTTCAAGATCTGGAAAGAGTGGCAGAGACTGTACCCAAACCGCTCCAAGTCCTCGGACGTGATCCAGTACGTGCTGGATAACTACTGTTTGGTGACTGTGATTCATCACGACTTCCAGAAAGAGTCGGCCCTTTGGGATCTTCTTCTTGATTAAAAAAACGGCACAAAGGCATGCAAATTTTCATTATCATCATTACCGTAAATTCTGATACGATACCAAACGTAAACTTCATCAATCATTAAGCTCGTCAACCGATCCACCGAGAAATGTCACGTTCCTTGTGGACAGCATCAGAAGCCCCAGACTGCTCCTGGTGTTTTTGTGGACTATTAGCTTGGAGCCTAGTCGTATAGGACTTCTTTGAATGGGACCTCTGGGAAGACCATTTAGAGGATCCACGCCATGATGTCTTATGGGCTGGCGGAGGAAGCCAAGGGGCTCAATCTCAAACCCATAAACAAGGTTCCCGCGAGAATCTTCCAGAGTAAGTTTGAACACTTTGAACCCGGTATCAACGATTTCACCTTTTTGATCTCTATTTTCTCTTGATTGGATCATTTTGGAGGCCCTGACTGTATCGACTGTAACATTGTTAACGTCCCGGTTGGCTGTCCGATCTCTCTCTGCTTTTGAAGTGCACACATCAACGATATAGACAATTTGGAAGAGTATGTCTTTTTCCAGAACGCCCGTGAAATTGTGGAAGTCCCCAGACAGGGTGTTTGAGATGGCTGATCTTGCCTTAACATTGGGGCCAAACTGCAGCGAGTTCGGAACTGACTTCGGCAAATCCGCCAGTAAAAAGTCCATAATGTAGATCAAAAAATAAATATGCAATTTCTCACTTGTTCAGATCACTAGTTCAGATGATATTAGCTCGAGGCTCTCAGACGCGTTTGGCTTATCAATGCACGGTGGAGTTTTCACTGCTCGTGCTGATAAATAAGCTTTTCAATTGTAAGACTTTATAGCCAGCACGAATATCACTTGTCCTGGCCTTATTCCCTGTTCTATGTCCTACAGAAACAGAGCGTGATCCAACGCTAACGTGCAATTCTCCAATCAAATGTTAAAATAATGTAACAACACAATTTATGTCACATCTCCAAGGTCGTGGAGTCCCACCAATTTGTAAGCCCACCCCGGATGTCGCAATCTCGTTAAATCTCCGCATAATATGTCCACAGGAAAGTTGCACTTGTCTTCTTCCTGGATGAACTTCTCAATTCTTCATTGAAAACACCTTATAGACGATATTTCAAGAATTTCTAAATTATCAGCTATATTTATCCGCAAGATGGTGAGCACTGCAAAGTAAGTATTTGGTACATGGTGATTTGGTCTGGGAATAGGTTTGAGTGATTTTTTGGCTCACCATGATAACTCGTTCAATTCTTGCTAACCTCTATAGATCAACTGTCTCTTACCCCCTCAACACTGGAGCGAAAATTCCAGCAGTTGGTTTTGGAACGTTTCAGGCTACAGATGAAGAGGCGTATAGCTCGGTTGTCGCAGCCCTAAAGGCTGGCTACAGACACATCGACACCGCCTGGATTTACGGCAACGAGTCGCAGGTCGGCCAGGCAATCAAAGATTCGGGTGTTCCTAGAGAGGAGATTTTCGTCACAACCAAGGTTTGGGGAACTTTCCACCAAAAGCCACTCGAAAACTTGGAGATTTCGTTGGAAAAGCTAGGACTGGAATATGTTGATCTCTGGCTCATCCACTGGCCCGTTCCATTGAACCCTAATGGTAACAGCCCAAGGATGCCAACCAATCCAGATGGAAGCCGTGATGTAGTCCCTGAATCGGAGTGGGACTTTGTCAAGACCTACGAACTTGTGCAGGAGGCTGTTGCGCTGGGTAAGGCCAAAAGCGTTGGTGTATCCAACTTTAGCATCAAGAACTTGAAGAAGCTCCTAGCTGCACCAACCACCAAAATCGTCCCTGCAGCCAACCAAGTCGAGTTGCACCCTCTTTTGCCCCAACCAGAGTTAATTGAGTTCTGCAAACAGAACAACATTGTTGTAGAGGCCTACTCTCCATTGGGATCCACTGGCTCTCCAGTCCTCAAGGATGAGACTTTGATTGCCATTGCCAAGGAGTACGAAGTTTCCCCAGCTACAATTGCCATATCCTGGGCTGTTTGGAGAAACACTGTTGTTCTTCCCAAGTCGGTTACTGCCTCTAGAATTGAGTCGAACTTGGAAATCGTACAACTGAAGGACGAGGATGGAGAGAGAATCAACGAGATTGCGAAGAAGAACGGTCCAAAGAGACTTATCAATCCTCCATGGGCTCCTTACGTTGTTTTCAACGATTAGATTTACTCTTAGAAGAGACTTCATTACCCTATGGTCTAGTCGTTCTTAAATTTAAATCAGAATAATTAATCACAGAATAAACTGCAAATCAGAGGCTAGTGAAATGTCATTATCTAATACATTATTTATTGGTGTTCACGCACGACCTCCCACGCGTTGTTTACTGCAGACGCGATATCCCATCTATGTCTTAAATCTGCTTTGTTCAGCTTTTCCTTCCTCCACAACCTGAAATGTCGCTCAACAGACGAGGAAACAAGCCCTATAGGAAGGAAAAACAAGCTGGTATTGAGAGTTTTTTCTTCTCAGGTGGTTCCTTGAAGAAACGCTCCGAGCCGTTGAAAGAGGTTCCATTGCCTATCTCCAATGCTAACACTAAGGACATTTTCAAGACATTGTCAGGCACTTCAAGTCAAAGTTTTGAGGACAATGGTGATTGTGATTTACAAGAAATAAGCATGCCCAAAAATTTCAGAGTTCAGAGTGTTCCGAGACCAGCTGCATTTTCCAAGAAAGTATCAACGAGCTCCATCTCCAGGCAGCAACTGAAGAGGCCGTTTGATAGCATAGGATCGTACTCGAGCACGCAACAGAAGGACGAGGAAGAGCCTGAGATTGTTATTGTTTCCAAACTCAAACCTTCGCTGGTTTTGACCAATCATGGGACATTTAGCCAACATTTGGGATCCAAGCCAGCATCGCCAGCTGCTGAAAAGTCGCCTCAGCCCTCGTTTGATTTCGAAGGACTTATGTCTTCAGTCAAGCCTCGAGCCCCCAAAAAGTTGGCAATAAAGTACAAGCCCATGACGAAGTCTTCTTCGTCAATGTTTCAGTGGAGTGCTGAGCAACAGGCTGTGATCGATTGCGTGTTGGACCAGGATCTTAATGTGTTTTACACTGGTTCCGCGGGTACTGGTAAATCTGCACTCACGAGAGAGTTGATCCGTCAATTGAGGCAGAAGCACGGCGAATCTGCTGTGGCTGTCACGGCATCAACAGGCTTGGCTGCAGTTAATATTGGGGGTACCACTCTTCATAAGTTTGCCGGCATAGGTATTGGGGTTGGCGATGCTAAGCACCTAGTTGGAAAGGTCCTAAGTAACAATCAGACAAAACAGGTCTGGAACCAGACAAAGGTGTTGATTATAGACGAAATTTCAATGGTTGACGTTACCTATTTCGAGAAGTTGGATGCAGTTGCGCAGGGTGTGAGAAAGATCAGAAAGCCATTTGGCGGTATACAAATTGTGCTTACTGGGGACTTTTACCAGCTTCCTCCGGTATCCCAGAACACCCAAAAAAAGTTTTGTTTCCAGTCGACAGTTTGGAGCCAGTTGGTGCAGAAAACAGTTCTTCTCACAGAGGTTTTTAGACAGCAGGGAGATCAACGGTTGATCCATATGTTGAATGCCGTGCGGGTGGGTCAGTTGACTCCAGAGATCATCCAGGACTTCAAAAGCTTATGTAGACCAGTGGTCTATGAAGATGGGATTATGCCCACCGAACTGTACCCTCTGAGACACGAAGTACAGAGAGCCAACGAGAATAGACTGAGACAGCTTGAAGGATTCCCTCGCACTTACACAGCCAAAGACATGCTTAAACAGAGTCAGAATCCGGGAGATCTTGTTCAATTAGACAAAACAGTCATGGCAGTAAAAGAGCTGGTTTTGAAGAAAGGTGCTCAGGTTCTCATGCTGAAGAACATGGACGAATCTGTGGCCAACGGTTCCATAGGAAAGGTGATGTTCTTTCTTCCAACAGGCATCTGGGATGCTATCAGAGAGACACTTTCGGAGAGAGAGATGGAAGATCAGGACATTCTTAATGGAGTTGACTGCATCAGTGCTATATTCGATAACGCTCCAGAAGATGTGCTGGATTCCATGTGGAACAGTCTCAAGGAAAGTGTTAGAGAAAGGCTTCTCTTCCACTGGAGCTTCTCCCAAAATGTTCCCAAAAATACGCCCGTGTATCCAGTAGTTAGATTCAGTCTTGGGTCTCATACTTCTCGGAGCGCTTTTAGGGCTATCACACCAGACACATTTGTGTTGGAAAGCCCAGGTAAAACTTTGGCTGAGAGAGAACAGCTGCCTCTTCTTCTGTCGTGGGCTCTCTCTATTCACAAATCTCAGGGACAAACTCTTCCAAGAGTCAAGGTGGATTTAGGAAGAATTTTCGAGGATGGTCAAGCGTATGTTGCGTTATCCAGAGCTGTTTCTGCGGACACACTGGAGGTAAGGAACTTTGATCCTTCGAAAGTGAGGGTATCCAGACTGGTGGCCGAGTTCTATCAGAGAATGGGCAAGGCCTAGTGAGTTGACTATGACCGGTGCATTTGTATATTTATATATTGCATAAATTTTTGAACGTTTTTCAACATTTTTCATGCCATGACTCGCTTGTATGGTGACTGTAGGCGGCAGAATAGCTATGCTTGTTCATGTATGTTTTTCACCTGCATGAACTACGGTCATAATCCGAGCCGCACGACCAGCATTTGCCCTCATCGCGTCGAGCTAAGATAATTAATCTACTCTTTCTTTTCTCAAATCACATTGACATTGTCGTTCGCAATGTGGGTATTATCGATTCCGCTTCATGGAAACGAAGATGGTGAGTGGGTATATTGATTTCTGTATTCATTATCTTCCTAACCTTCTATAAGTTGTTGTTAGACACCTGCTTCGACCTGGCAAGACCTACAAGATTGGCAGGGCTGAGGGGAACGACTTTCTGCTTTCCAAGCAATCAATATCAAAACTTCATCTAGAGATTCGTGTTGGAGGCTTTAACTCGTCTAGTGTGAGTAATCGTCTATGTTTTTGCAAAGCCAGTCATGCATGTACTAACGGAGTTTCTATAGGAAGAAGCCCAGGTGGAAGACGTGGGCTTTTTGACCCCGGTGACCATAGTCACTTCCAGCAAGGCTACAACGGAGCTGAACCGTTTTGCTTTTAAAGCCTCACCTGAAAGCCCGCGAACCATTCAAATCACAGAGAGAAAAAATATACTTAGGCTTGGGTCACTGAAGAGAGAGTTCTCACAGATCGAACTGCACTGGGTAGATGTTACGGTTGGATGTGACGACAAAAGTTTGACGAAAGAACTATACAGATTGGCTACGCAGGTAGACTTTCGGATTCCAATTGACATGGCACGCAAGCTCACATTTTTCGTGGCTTCAAAAGTGGATAGTATCGCCACAGCGAGAGCACTTCTATTACAAACGCCAATGGTGACTACAGAGTTTCTGGGAAAGCTAGATCCTGAAAAACTGGAGCATAACTTCGATAAAAATATGCCCCGGATGTCTGATTTTGTTCCAGACGAACAGTATATGCCAGACGAGAAAAGGAGACGGCTATTCGAAAACGTGCGGGTGATAGTTAAAACAGAGTCACTTCATCTTTCATTGTCCCATGTTCTGGAAGGGTTAAATGCTGAAATTATTAATTACGAGGATGGCATGAACCTGGAAAATGCGATACTAGTTTCGTCGAATCCTCTTGACGGTTTTGCTGATCTTCAAATGTTGATACAAGCGATCAAGAACGTGGATTTGGACTATGTACAACCTCGGGCTCGTCCCACCAGGAGGAGGATAATGGCAGAGTATACTGTGCAAGATACGCTGGATGTGATGTTTGGTGGTGAAGTTGCTGACACAAAAAAAGTACAGGTACCGTCCTCTCAACCGGTATTCGACTCTAACGAGTCCGTGCCAGCTTCGAATGATAAGGGTGAAGCTGATTCCGAAGTTCTGCAGCAAGAAGAGGCAGTGTCCTCAGAAAAAAAAGTACTCACCGCACAGGCCACATCGCTCAAACACAAACACAACATAGCCGAAGCTATACGAATGACCAAACAGATAAGAAAAGAGAGCCAGCAGAAGGACTCACAAATTCTGACAGGGCCAGATTCTTTGGAGGAGCCCAAGATCTCTGTTACGGTTGAGCCCGCAATTCTGATCAGACCGCAAAAGGTTTCAGATGGCCATCAAGATAGGGTATCTCACAATGGAAATGTGAAAAACTTCAAAAGGTTCCGTAAAACCGGAAAGAAATGCACGGGAGGCCAGTGGGATGGCTCGCGAGTGTTCCTGAATCTTGTGGAATTCAATGTGAACCCAAACTCCATATCCACGAAAGACAAAGAGTTTCTGGAGGGGTTTGCAGAATCATTCAACGAATCGATACAAGACTTGGATAAACAGATGCAACCGCAAAAAAGTCTCCATACCAAAAGACGGCCACAGCAGGCGGCCGTTTTGATTGGCAAAAAGCCAAGGAGTGCGACACCTCTTTTTGTAGAGGAGGATGATGATATCGAAACCAACTCTGTTGCTGGAATTTCACCCGGAATGAGTATTAATGATAACGACGACGACCATACCCCGAAATTTCGGTTCAGCAGAGGCTAAGTTTCAGCTGAAATCTCCTTTGGCAAATAGCGTGATGTTCACCCCCAGCAGCAATAGAACAGAACATGCCACAAGCACAAATACAGGCCCAGAACCGGCCGTCTCGATCTTTTCAGTAGCGTAGTTACGCACAGCTTTGAAGTAGTTGTATCCCGGTATGATCAGGCAGAAGAGGGATAGAGCAGCAAACAGCGCTCCAATCGTCAGCTTGGCGGCTGAATGCGATGAACCAGCTCCACCATCGCCATTATCGCCATCGTCACTAGAATCAGTATCAAATCTATAATTTAGCATAACGGAGCAGCAACCAAGTGCAAGAACCGTTGAAAACCTGATCCAGCTCAAAGTAGTTCTTTCCGTCATCAGCAGGTCTCTCGGCTCAGACGTCTTGTTCTCGATAATCAGTCCCGCATGTAGATTCCTGTGGAATCTGTCCAGAAGCCCCTCCGTTTCTACTGCACCATATTGGCTTGGCATAGCTAAAGTTCTCGAAATGAGTTGCAACCACTTAGTAACAAGAAGAAAGACTCCTTTTCCTTGTTGTGTGGCTCAGAAATGTATGGTACCTCATCAGGTCGTGTACTGGAAAATATTCTTAGGAATTTTTTTTTCTCCTACAACATAAATTTTCCTCTTTGTCAGCCTCTCTACTAATAGGTTGAGTTACTAGTTCACATATTGGTTTGACAGCTGTTTCAACTGAAATATGTCTAATTATACACACTTGGATCCGGCTACCCAGCAACAGCAAGGCGGTGTTGCCACCCTGCTCTGTTGTAACTGTGGTGCCCCTATGGATGGATCCACAGGTATGGTAATGTGCTACGACTGTATCAAGCTGACCGTCGATATTACACACGGTATCCCAAGAGAGTCGAACGTTTCGTTTTGTCGTAACTGTGAGCGTTTCTTGCAACCACCAGGACAGTGGATAAGGGCCGCCTTGGAATCCAGAGAGTTGCTGGCACTTTGTCTTAGAAGACTGAAGGGTCTGAACAAGGTTAGGTTGATCGATGCGTCCTTCATTTGGACTGAGCCACATTCCCGTCGTATTAGAGTCAAAATTACCGTTCAGGGTGAAGCTATGGCCAACACCATCGTTCAGCAGACCTTCGAGGTTGAGTACATCGTTGTTGCCATGCAATGTCCGGACTGTGCCAAATCTTACACAACCAACACATGGAGAGCTGCTGTTCAAATAAGACAGAAAGTTGCTCATAAAAGAACGTTCTTGTATCTTGAACAGCTTATCCTAAAGCATAACGCTCATGTCGACACTGTCTCCATCAAAGAGTCTAAGGATGGTTTGGACTTTTACTATGCACAGAGAAACCATGCCACCAAGATGATTGACTTCCTCAACGCGGTTGTTCCCGTCAAGTCCAAGAAATCCGAAGAACTTGTTTCTACCGATATCCATTCCGGTTCTTCGCAGTATAAGTTTTCGTACTCCGTCGAGATTGTGCCACTGTGTAAGGATGACCTGGTCATCTTGCCAAAGAAGCTCGCTCGCTCCATGGGAAACGTCTCCAGACTTGTGCTATGTTCCAAGGTTTCAAACACTATTCAGTTCATAGATCCCGTTACTCTTCAAATTGCCGACTTGACTGCCAGTGTTTTCTGGAGAGCACCTTTCGCAGCTCTTGCTGAGGCGACTCAGATGATCGAGTTTATCATTCTTGATGTGGAGCCCGTTGGTGAGAGAAAGGGCAGATGGTTGCTCGCTGATATTACATGTTGCAGAGCCTCAGATATGGGAGTCAACGACAAAGAGTTCTACATAAGGTCGCATTTGGGTGGTATCTTGCATCCAGGAGACTCTGCGCTGGGATACTACACCAGCAACTCGAACTTCAACTCCGATCTCTGGGACAGCTTGGACACAGAGAACATTCCAGATGTGACTTTGGTGAAGAAACACTACACGAGGACCAACAGGTCTATCAAAAGAAGACAGTGGAAGCTTAAAAGAATGGCCAAGGAGCACAACGACATCGTCGCCAACGACGAATCCAGACAGGCCAAGCAAGAGGCAGAGAGGGCTGAAAGAGACTACGAGATTTTCTTGCAAGAATTGGAAGAGGACCAAGAGCTCAGACAGACTATCAATATGTACAAGGCTGGTGTTCCACAGAAAGATGAGAATGACATGGACGATGAAGATGAAGACGATGCTCCACAAATTGATATAGATGAGTTGCTGGATGAGTTGGATGAGATGACTTTGGAAGGTTAATTTGTTTTAATTCTGAATATCAGGAAATGGGAGAATTTAGAAAATTATCTGTAATCATGGCTTACTGGTCATTGCTAAAGAAACGATATGTTCCGCTTCCTGAAGTTTCCCATCAGTATTTCATAAATGTATTTCTTTGGAGTTTCATTATAAACCCTGCAAAAATATCTATGAAGAATATATATGCCCTTCCAATCTATACGTCGCAATGAAGAGAACTCCGGCTTCAATATTTTTCGTAATCCGCCTTATCGGCACGTGACAATATGAGTGCGACACGCTTCGTGCGATATCACAAAAGACGCCCTACAAACATGCGCCTTCTCTTAACCTCCTACTCTTTACACGAAACCATGACGGAATACAAACATCACGCAGAAAACAGCACTCAACAGGTGATTCAATCTGCTGAGCCATACGACTTGGAGTTTGTGACTCCAAAGTCGTTTGTAGACTCTTCGTTTTTCCAGAAGCTAGGTAGCCTCAAGCTAGACTCCTACAAGCTGGATAACTCGGCCAAGGACATTTATGGGTACTATAACTTCAGGTCTATAGTCAACAACTCAGTTCCGAGTATAGCGCTGAATGATTTATGCTTTGAAGACTCGAACGAACTGGAGAATTCTCTGTGAGTATTTATTTAGTGATCTATTGCTGATCCCTTGCTAACTGATTAACTAGTCCTGCGGGGTACAACCTCATAGTCAAGGGCTCTTTGTTCAACGTGAACACCATTGAGGAATTCAAGAAAATAGATAAGGCCACATTTTTGAGAGAAGCTGGCTCGAGGGTATGCAATATTTTTTTTGTTTTGCTCCCGCTTGCATTGGACTTTTGAGACTAACAACTATAGATGTATGATAAGATCCGATCAGGCGAGGCTTTCAAGAATCCCCAGGCTCTAATGGAGTTCAATTTGCTGACATTTGCAGACTTGAAAAAATTCAAGTTTTACTACTGGTTTGCGTTTCCAAAGTTGACGATTGACTGGGTTGTCATTTCAAAGACGGTATTTGCTTCTGACTCGCGGATCAACTATCTCGAAACTTGGCTCAAGGAAAATCCAAAAGAACAAGCGTTTCTGCTATCTGGAGATGACATACATTCGCTTAGTGATATTGATCTGTTGGAGGAGGGAGCTGCTTGGACATTGGGATTCATCGACACCGGGACGACCAAGGCCAATGTACCCTCGTACCAGCTGCAGAACGTTCTGGCCGCGCTGGCGATTAAAGGCGTCCGCAAAGTGACTGTAGATGTGTTCAGGTTCAACCACAGTGCTGACAGTTTTTCAATGGAGCTCTCATTGAAATCAAAAGAAGACTTACCAGAGACATGTCCCCGAGTGACAGGGTGGGAAAGGACTGGGCAGAACAAGTTGGGTCCTAAATTGGCCAACCTCGGTTCTTTGATTAACCCTGAGCAACTTGCCGATCAAGCTATTGATCTGAATCTGAAACTGATGAAATGGAGAGTGTCTCCTAATCTTGATTTGGACACAATCAAAGCGACAAAATGCCTGCTTTTGGGCTCAGGGACTCTAGGAAGCTATGTGGGCAGGGCGTTGCTCGGATGGGGTGTTCGCAATATCACATTTGTGGATAATGGAAAGGTTTCATTCTCCAATCCTGTTAGACAACCATTGTTTAAGTTTGATGATTGTTTAGACGGCGGTGCACCCAAAGCAGTAGCAGCAGCGGCAGCTATGAAGGAGATATTTCCTCTGTGCAATGCAGTGGGATATCAGCTGGAGGTGCCAATGGCTGGACACCCCGTGACTAATGAGGAAAGCCAGAAGAAACAATTTGAACAACTTGCAGAGCTGATTGAGAGGCACGATGCCATTTTTCTTTTAATGGACTCTAGGGAAACCAGGTGGTTGCCCACGATTATTGGAAATTCCAAGCATAAAATTGTCATAAATGCAGCCCTTGGCTTTGACAGCTACTTGGTGATGCGCCACGGTTGTCTGAGACCTGAAACAGACCTCACAGCTGAAGATCAGGGAGATAGATTGGGATGCTATTTCTGTAATGATGTCGTTGCTCCATCTGACAGTACTACAGACAGATCTCTGGATCAGATGTGCACTGTCACGAGGCCTGGTGTGGCTTTGATAGCTTCTGCTTTGGCAGTCGAACTCCTAGTTTCCATTCTTCAGAATCCTGAGAGGCAATACGCCGATGCTAATGATAGTAAGAATGCAACCATATTGGGGGAACTGCCTCATCAAATGAGAGGGTTTTTGCACAAGTTTGAAACAGTCAAAGTCCAAGCCACTAACTACAAATACTGTTCGGGCTGTTCGCTCAAAGTGCTTAAAGAGTATGAAGACGAAGGATGGGAGTTCGTCAAAAAGGCTTTGGAGAGTTCCAAGTACATTGAAGACCTTACTGGACTAACTCAGGTTCACGAGGAGGCAGAGTTGGCAGCCGAGGGTCTCGAGCTTATTGATAGCGAGGATGAATGGGAATAGTTTGAGTTACTGTGAATGCTTGTTTGAATGCTGCATAATTAGCTGATCAAGACATTAAGGTTCTAACAGCCCAGTCAACACTCAGGGTCCTCAGATCGGTGTAGGTTTGACCGGTTCCAACGAAAAGGATAGGAATTCCTGTAGCGTAAACCATGTTAACCATGGATCCAATCAGATCTCCGACGGTATCACACTTGGAAATGATGAAGAAGTCCAACGTTCTTCCGGCACCAAAGGCCTTATTAAAGTTCTGAGCCTGAAGAACAGAATCTGTCCCGACCAATGCCTCACCCACCATTATGATCTTGTCTGGCTTAGCAGCCTTAGCAAAGCTTTGCAAAGGAGCCATCAAATGAGCGTCGTTGTGTCTTCTTCCGGCGGTGTCCATGAGAACAATATCAAACCCGTTCTTCTTGGCATGCTGAATTGCAGACGTAGCGATCTTGGCTACCAAATCAGCACCACCATATCCTCCCTGGAACAGCTCAACATGCGAGATTCCGTCCTCAGAATCAGTGAGCTTTTTCAGATTATTCACGTGAACATTCAATTGCTCAACAGCACCTGATCTGAAGGTGTCACAGGCAGTAATAAGGACTCTGTAGTTGTTCTGCAATAGCCAGAACGCTAGCTTTGAGAGGTTAGTGGATTTGCCAACACCGTTGACTCCAACAACAGATATCACGTATGGTAGCTCATTATTATTCTTCTTCTTCTGTATCTCCTTCAGGAGATCAATCGAACTGTTCGGCGTCAGCAGTTTCACCAACGCTTTTTCCAGGGATTTTCTAGAGGTTTCCTCAACGGATGTGAAACTTTGAGTTGTAGCACCAGAAAGATCTTTTTCAACTTCCTGAGCCAAACTGCTTGCAACTGTAGGCGCAACATTCTTCTTCACCAGATGGTCTATCAATAACGATTTCGTCTTGGTTATGTCCTCTCTTGTGATTTTCTTTCCACCCAAATACTTTCTGAGGAAGCCAAAAGGCTGCGTCTTCACACTGGAAGTTTCCTCACCCCTATTTGCTTTGCTGTTCGCTAAAATGCTGTCTATCTCAGAACTGAGGTCACTAACCAGGAACTCACCTGTCTTGGATTTGGCACCGAATTTGGACTTATCTCCCACAAGCTGAGCCAATTTTGAGTCAGTCTTAGCCTCATCATCTATATCTAGTGTCGAAAAGTCCAAATCGACATCGGACACATCGTTCTCAATGACACTTCCATCGGCTCCCCATTTCCTTCCCTTCTTGGAGGCTTTCTTAGCGTTCTTCGCTAAGTCTATCTTGGAAACAGGAGTCAAAACAGGTTTTTCATTGGTTGCATCATCTGCCAAAACATCACTGCTGACTTCCAGATCACCCAGCTTGAGCTTGAAAAAAGCATCGAACTTCTCCTCATCGGAGTTGAGGTACAACAGCTTGATGGTTCTCAGAAACTCTTCAACTCTCCTGTAAGTAGTCAACGAAGAATAAACCACCACGAAGTACAAACTGGGCTCGTCATTTTTAGTGTATTTCACGGTGTATCCATCCGAAGTGTACGTCCCCACGAAGTCTGCACTATCGTAGTGCTCATCGTCATCGGCTGATAGGTCCTTCCTTTCAGATATCAGGATATCAGAAACAAATGAATTTATAATAGACGGTCTGAAATTCTTCTGTTGTTCATATTTGTAGACCACTTTGCCACTGGGAGCAAATATCTCAAAGAGGTCAACCATAACCTTTTGTTCGTGTATGATCTCTAGGGTTCTTGTTAAACGATCGAGCTGTTCAAGGCTGATTTTCCAGCCCGAAGACGCTGCTAGATCATGCACGTGACGATTTTGCGATCTGATGGGACACGACAAAAATTTAATTTTTTTTCACTTCCTCTATAAGGGAAAGATAAGATTGTGCACCACCGTCAAGAATATTTAGACTAGAACGAACTGCCAGGATGTCGAGGTTCGAGGATCTAGGAGTTTCTAAATGGCTCTGTGAGGCCCTTGGAAGTATGCGCATCCAAACGCCTACCAATATTCAAACAGCATGCATACCCAAGATTCTGAAAGGCCATGATTGCATAGGAGGAGCGAAAACAGGTTCCGGTAAAACAATTGCATTTGGCGCTCCCATGCTTACAAAATGGTCCGAAGATCCCTCCGGTATATTTGGTGTTATACTGACACCTACCAGAGAACTGGCGTTACAGATAGCGGAGCAATTTGCTGCGTTGGGTGCTACTGTGAACCTCAAGGTCGCGGTGATAGTTGGTGGTGAAGATATAGTTGCACAGGCTTTGAAACTACAGAGTCGTCCTCATTTTATTGTTGCCACCCCCGGTAGACTTGCCCATCACATTTTGAGCAGTGGCGAAGACACGATAGGCGGATTGAGAAGAGTTAAGTACCTGGTGTTGGATGAGGCTGATAGACTTTTGACCGAGACGTTTTCGAGTGATTTACAGCGTTGTTTTTCGGTGCTTCCTTCTCCAGCTGAAAGGCAGACTTTGCTATTTACAGCCACCGTCACAGATGCTGTGAGATCTCTGAAAGACAGAACCTCCTCGAAGGGAAAACCTGAGCTATTCATTGCCGAGCTGGATAAGGTGGACGAAGTCGCGATTCCCTCGACTCTGGCTATTTGGTACATTTTCATTCCATCATATGTCAAAGAGGCATATTTGCATAATGTTCTCACTCTTGAAGAAAATAAAGACTCCACGGCAATCGTTTTTGTGAACAGAACCCACACTGCGGAAGTGCTGAGGAGGACTCTGAGAAAGTTAGATATCCGTGTGGCATCCCTGCATTCTGAAATGCCTCAGGCTGAGAGAACAAACTCGCTACATAGATTCAGGGCCGGAGCAGCCAGAGTCTTGATTGCTACCGATGTTGCCTCCAGAGGTCTCGATATCCCCACAGTGGAGTTGGTCATTAACTATGACATACCTGCAGATGCTGATGACTACATCCACAGAGTTGGTAGAACAGCCAGAGCCGGGCGCAAGGGTGAGTCTGTGAGTTTTGTTACTGAAAAAGACGTGCACAGGATCCTCGCCATTGAGGAGAGAATCAATAAAAAGATGGTGGAGTATGAGAAGGTCACAGACAACCAGATCATCAAGGACTCTCTTCAGAAAACGAGTAATGCTAAGAGAGAAGCCTTACTTGACATGGAACGCGAGAACTTTGGTGAGCACAAAGAGGCTCAAAGAAAGAAGAAGGGCCTGGGAAAACCCAAAAAGGACAGAAAGTTCAAGTCCAAAACTGAGCTGGATTAATGGTGAGCGGTATAAAATTTTTAAGAGTTAGAAAATGCATATAGAAACATGTAAAATAGAAGTTATACTCGTTCATTTGCCTTTCTTCTGTCTGTCAATATGGGCTCGTAAAACCTTTTGCTTATCACGCAAAGACATCTTGGCTTTTCCTTGAACCTGTCTCTTATGAATCATCATGACGAAATTCTTCTTACGAGCCTTCTCTCTGTTGGTGGTAGAGTGAGGAGTCTCAATCTTACCCTTCTTAGAAGCGAATTTTTCTCTTCCTTCACGTCCCTCCATAACATGCGCCAATCTCTCGTCTTTTCTCATCTTGTGCTTACTGGCACCCATCAGGTTAATGGAGTCGATCTCGTCTTCGTTGGTCATCTTGGATTTACCCATAAGCTTATCGACACCGGCCTCGGTTCTCAGCTCTTCCAACTTGGCAAAGTCAGCTGGCGTCAAGATACGACTGGAAAGCAGGTCGGTCATGGCCTTTTCTTGCTCAGCCTTGGTCTTTGCCTTCTCAACGTCCAACTTGGCCTTTTTGGAGAGTTTCTTTATTGGTTTCGGAATGTCTGACTCAACACCCTCGGCAGCATCATCAGCTTCTTCGTCTGAAGAAAGGTCAAGATCAGAGTCGTTTTCCTTGTTGACGTCTTCTGGTTCAGCTTCGTCTTCCGAGTCTGAAACATTGTACTCCTTGTCGGAATCGACCTTGATCCAGTCACCCTCCACGTCGCTTTCGTCTGCAGAATCTTTGGCTTCAACGTCCCATTCGGCATCATCGTTTTCATCCGGGTTGGCACCGTTCGCAAGCTGTTCAAGCTTCCACTTGGCAAGCAGCTCCAAGCCTGGAATACCAGTAACAGTACCACCTTCGATACCGAACTTGGGCAGACCAGACTTCTCTCCAGATTGCATCTCCATAGAGGCCACTTTTCCTCTGTCTTTCCTCTGCAGCATATCCGGGGCAACTTCTCTGTAAAGACTGATCAAAGAACGAGCAGCCATCATCACAGGCTTGGCCTTGGAACTTCTGTACTCAGTCAGATCCTGCAAGAGGGGAGCATCAATAGCCAAAGGAGCTCTTGCCAGAATTTCTCTGATAGTGTTTATTCCAGCAGCAGCAACCTCGGAGGCAACACCCTCACTCACGAACTCATCTGCTACCTTACGGACCACCATGGTTATCGATTCAGGTGGAACAAGATCATGGGATGACTGAGCTGCAGCAGCCATTATCTGCGTGACATTTCTCTGTTTCGGATTCAAATACTTGAGGAAAAATGAGTAGATTCCCAAAACTGTCAGCTTGTGGGTACCAATGAGACGAGATATCAAGTTCATCAGCAGAATTTTCTGATCCAAATCAAACTTGTTGGAGCTCTTTCCCATCAAATTTTGATTGTAGAGTTGTTCGGCAAAAGTCTGTGGATCTCTGAGAAGATGAATGGCTGAGAAGTTCAGGTAAGTAGCCGAGTGTTTGGCATTATTCTTCTTCTTCATCGTTTTCACGGCATTCTCAAGCTTCTTGCCTCTCTTCGAGGACTTCTTGTTGAGCAACATCTTATGCCTCAGTTGCTCAGCTTGGTCTTCGTCATCACTCGAGTTCTCTTCAAAGTTCTCTTCTCTTTCCTTGTCAGCACCTAGGAAGAACTTTACACCAGAGATGCACACCTTTGCATCCGGGTGGAGAGTGGCTTGTGTCATCAACTCCACCGTTCTGGAGTCATCCCATATACCTCTTCTCCACAATTCTCTGGTGAGCTTGGTGGCCCACAATCCATTAGCGTCACGCTGTTCGAGCAAATTGAACAGCAAGGCCTGGGTGGATCTGTTCAGCTTTTGATTTTTCGTTCCGGTATTCACCGACTTTAACAAAGTCACCAATGTACTGTACACCTGTTTTCTCAGAGCCTTGACATGTTGACCAGATCCCGCCTCAGCAGTATCGTAGGCAGAAAGCAATGGAAAAATCGTTTTGATCAGACTCTCAGCATCGATCACACCCTTATTGCGCAACATCACCAGACATTGGATGATTTTCTCCCTCAGATCAGGCGATAGGTCGCGATGATTGTTGATGAGGATGGCTCTCAGCTCATCTGGGAACTTGGCTGTGTCCTTAGGATAACAGGAGCAGACGGCCGACATAAAACCGATCAATTCTGCAAACTCCTCACCATCCTGGGCGGATGGGTTCATGAGATAGATATCACGAAGAGACTCATAGTGCGAGTACTGCTGCAAAAACTCTTCATGATACGAGGCAGGATCCCTACGCACAAGGTTCTGCAACAGAATGATATTCGTAGGCAAAATAGCGGCTCTCTTCCTTTTGACCATTTTTATGCTGATTAATTCCTGGTAAATTCAACAAGTGGTGCAAAGTTGGGACTTGCAAAGATACAACACTAAATATGTTTAACAGAAGCGGAAAAAAAAAATTCGGCTTCTCATCGGCACCGCCACGGCGGGTGACCCACATGTGGCGGGTGAGATGGGGTCGTGGTTTGTTTTGATTTTCCATCCAGGAGAAATTAGTATTTGGATCAGCTTCACGCGTAAGTCATTACAGACTATCTTGGATAGCTATAACATCGCTGGAATCACCATGAGTCAGAATGCCCCTCCCATGGTAAGTGCTTATTATTTTGTTCTGCAGTTCGTGCTTTAAGTGATACTAACTGATTAGATGGGAGCGCCACATGTATTCACAGAGCTACCATTGCTGAACCAGGACAAGCCTTCAGGCAGATGTCTGCAATTTACAGACTTGTCTGTCAACGATTCTGGCGAGTCTTACGCGAAGGCATTCCAGATCGAATCACTTGCGAATCTGAAGGAACAAGAGGCCTTGCTCATGATTGATCTGTTGTATCTAATGAGAGGGTCTGAAGGATCATATGTTCGATATGTGAGTACCTTCACCCACGACGACTTGAATCGAAGAATCCTTGGGCCCCAGTACAAGACCGGTAAGGTTCTGTATATATCGCACAAAGAGATCTGCAAAAGAATTCTGAAAAACGCAACTGTCTACTATGCTCTTTCTGCCTTCGTTGAATTCTACGACTCAGTGGAGTATGGAAAGACTATCCAGGCTCTGTGCTTCCAGATCAAACAATGTCTCCAGGTGTATGATGACTTGTTGAAGAAGATAGAGTTTGAATGTGCCTCCAATAGAAAATACAACTTGCAGGCCATGGAGCATGATTTCAAAGTGAGCATATCCAGCGAGATTGATGCCATGTACAGGATTACCACGCAAATCCACGAAGGGAACATTCACAGATCCAGCATTGCAGTGAGAAGAGGCATGCAATATGATAATATGAGGAATACACTTTCGGATATTCCCTTATTTGCCATTTCAGATACTTCCTGCAACAAGTACGTGAACGGAGGTGTGGTGTTGGGGATGATTTACGAGCTGATCGAGTTGAATAAGTCCGACACGCGAATCAGGTCTTTTTTGACGAATGTGTACGAGGAAGTATCAAAACCTATGGTGCAGATGCTTAATCAGTGGTTAAACCTGGGCCAGGTGGACGACCCCGAAGACGAGTTTATCATCACACAGAATGAGGAGTTGCCGTGGAGCTCGGCTAGTGAGTTCTACTGGAAGAACAGATTCACTTTCAAGACGGAGTCTTTGCCCGTCCAATTTGCGGATTCCAACTTGCAGCATCAAGTAATAGATACCGGGTTGTACTTAAATGTCCTACGAGCATGGGGTGTCGACCCAAGCGATCTGGTTGGCAGAGTCAATGTGGAGTCCTTGCTAGAGGACTCGATATCGTTCAAAATAGAGGACGCTTTTAAAAGGGCAAGTTCCATGATGTTGATCCTCCTGTTTGACGAGAACAGTGCGAGTCTCAAGGTGATACTGAAACAACTTGTGAAGCACCTGTTGGTAGTGGATTCTGACTTCTTGAACCAAGTATTCAGCAAGACGATGCCACAGCTTATGAAATCACGCTCCAAGTTCAGTATAACATCTTTCCAGAACAACTTCAACATGGTGTCTTCAAAAGAGACAATTGGCGGGTTCAAACTAAACGAGTTCATCTTTCCTGTTCTGAGAGAGCAAACTTTCGCAAGTTCTCTCCGCAACATTCTGAACTCGAAGGCCAACGATTGGAAGAAGATTTTCGAGGATGGAGATCTCTCCAAAGTGAACTACATGGTTCAGTCTATGTCCAGCAAAGAGCTTGTCAATCCTACGCTTAATGACAAATCCAGATCGATCGAGTTCTTGGATTTAGAGGTGGAAATACCGTTTCCCATGAACATTTTTGTTTCCAAGGTCCATGTTTCTGAGTGCCAACTCCTGTTTCGTCATTACTCGTACCTTCACTTTGTGGAGCAGTCCCAGCTGATAGCGTTTGGAGAGATCAGCAAGCACGCGAACTGGAAATGGAGATTCAGAAATCCAAGCATACGGCAGTGGATAAGCGATGTGCGGCAGCTTCACTGTAGAATGAGACAGGTGGTGAGCGTGTTTGGCCAGCACTTCAGCAATTACGTGGTGCTGTACCACTGGCAAGCGCTAGAAGCCAGATTAAAAGAGGAAACAAACGTGGATGATTTGCAGAACTCCATAAAGACGTTCTTTGGTCAAGTGATGCAATATTCGTTCTTGACTAACATGACTCTGTTTGACGAGTACACTCAGTTAATGGAAACGATATTGGAATACGACAAGTTTTTGCTTTCTCTGAGGAAAACACTAGTGACACTAGACTCTGATCTATTCGAGCAGAATAGAGAAGCGATGAAGCAGGGACAGGAGTTCGACCCGCAAAAGGCAAGCAAGAGATTCGAGAAGGCAAAAACGTATCTGGCACTAATAGAGGCTGCGTTTCAGCACAATCTCACCCAGTTCAACAAACGGTTGGAATACTACGGAAATAAAGGGACGCAGTCGTTTTTGGTGTTGAATGAGGTCCTGTCAGACGTTTATCACAGAGAGGATGATTTCTACTGAAAAAGAACGAAATAGGATAGTGTATACGGAAATGAAATGATAATGTGAATCGGTATCAGAGGCAAAAGTAAGGCTATCATCTAACGAATCAAGAAAGCCTGCACGAGTCAATGACGTAAAAGGACGAGTCATTTATATCTCTAGTTGACTCCTTGAGGTGACTCTGGCGGAATCAGACTATCTGGGGATTGGACCAATCAGAGGTATTTGCGCCGCCAGATCGGTCTGATTGCTTCTGCAAGGGTCCTCCTGAGCCAGATTCGAGCGGCATCAGGCGCGTGAGCAGAGGTGGAAGATTCTTGACGGATATGATTCCTGTAAGTTTACCGAAGTTTGATTTCCATTATCCGGTACATGGTCTGTCATCCAGACTCATTGTTATTACGAGTACGGAATCAAATGCTTCCGAGTCCACTTAATTATGGCCAATTAAACCGGTTCCCGTTTAGGTCGCAATTCTGCCGCGTAGCCTAAGTCGTGTCTGCACTGGACCGTAAGTTTGGGCTCAAGTGACCCTTTGGACTCAAGGCGACGAGTTATCTGAGTATTTCAGTCATGAAGACAACGGATTGAATAAACTCAAGTTTGTCTCGGAAGCTGTCTTGATCCAACAGAGTCACGCCAAAACCTAATCCACAGGGCTTTAGCTTCTAGGCGGATAAACGCACTGAGTTTCTTTTTGGCTTACGCACACGCCCACGAAGAATACGAGGCTGGGGCTTATCGGTGGGCGGATATACACACATTGATCTTTATCGCCGCCTTACCGAAACCAATTTGGACTAACAACCATCGCCGATAAGTCAGTTCATTTTTTGTTGAATGTTCAATATTCCGCTCTGACGACCTTCCATGGCTCAAAACTCGTAATTTGTAGCTGAAATATATTTATTCAACACCAATTATGTTTTGGAAGGCTTCAGCAAGTCCTGAAATATATATCATCACCAAAAAGCCCCAGGCTGCCAGTGCGGAGAACGGTTGCCATTTGCAGACACGACTTTTTTTCAAAAATCAGCGTCCCAAAGACGTAGACTGCATGTTATGCAACGCGGTTGCAACCTACGATAAGGGATCTTCGATCTTACTGTTTGAGGGACAATTTCCCCTTTCGCCTATAAATAATCTCGTGGGTGCCGTCTATTGCTAATTGTTTTACTCGTTAGGATCAAATACTGTGGTTTCCAGCTCTTTCTCTTTGCGTTTAAAGCAAGCAGCACAATTTGGTACTAGCTTCCTACTTAGACTTAGACCATGAGTGATATTGAGAAAAAAATGACAGACGAGAAGGTCGAGCCAGTTGCCTCGATCACAGAGGCCGATATCGGGACGAACAACCTGATCACGACGATTACCTCGGTTCATGGACGTGAGGTCCAAGTCACTGGTGACGTTGACGAAGCCATGAGACTTGCACTGAAGTCCAAGGGTATGGTGATAGATGCCGCTACCAATAAAAGAATCCTGAGGAAAATTGACATGTACATGCTTCCCTTGTGTTGTTTCCTTTATGCATGTCAGTTCATGGACAAAACCTCCAACTCGCTGGCGTCGATTATGGGTCTGCGTACCGACCTTAACATGGTGGGCGACCAGTACTCTTGGACGGGTACTGCATTCTACCTGGGCTACCTGTTTTTCGAGTTCATTGCATCTTTCATCCTTCAGAGGTTTCCTTTGGCCAAGACCACCTCCATTTTCATCGTCTTCTGGGGTATCATTCTGTGTCTGCATGCCACTCCAAACTATGCCGGTTTCGTCTTTTTGCGTACCGTCCTCGGAATGGCTGAGAGTTCCGTCACCCCCGCCATGGTGATGATTACTTCACAATGGTGGAAGAAAGACGAGAACTTTTTGAGAACCGCTTTCTGGTTTGCTTCCAACGGATTTGGTACTATCATGGGTAGTTCTATTGCATATGGTCTAGCCAAACACGCCGACTCGTACAGCATCGCTCCGTGGAAGATATTGTTCGTTGTTGTCGGATTGATGACCATTTGTGTTGGAATTATCTTTTGGTTCCACATTCCAAACACACCAGCCGAGGCATGGTTTTTGACCGAGGAGGAGAAGTTGTTGGTAGTCGAGAGAATTAGAAGCAACCAACAGGGTTTCGGTAACAAGCACTTCAAGAAGTCTCAATTTATTGAGGCTCTTAGAGACTACAGAACTTGGCTTTTCTTTGTTTTCGCTCTGGCCCAGGATATCCCCAACGGATCCTTGACTAACTTTGGCTCTATCTTGATGAATGAGGATTTCGGTTATACTACTCTTGAATCGCTGAAGATGGGTATGATTCCAGGAGCGATAGAGCTTGTGGGATGCATCGCGTGTGCGGCTTGTGTTGGATTTGTCAAGCACAGATTGGGTGTTTCCTTGTTTGTGTGTGCTTTCAACGTTGCTTGCTCGTGTATGCTTGCGTTTGCCAAGGACAACAAGCAGGCGAGACTGACGGGTTACTTCCTGCTGACTCTCCAGCCAGTTGGTTTCTTCTGTATACTCTCTTCGTTTGCAGCGAACACTGCAGGACACACCAAGAAGGTCACTGTGAATGCCATCTACCTTATCGGTTACTGTGTGGGTAATTTGATTGGTCCGCAGACTTTCATAGCGAGCCAAGCTCCTTCATACAGCGGCGGTAAGATTGCAATGGTTGTTGGATACGCTGTGTCTTTTGTTCTGTTGATCGCCATCTACGCTTCTTACTACTACGACAACAAGGCAAGAGACCAGGCTGAACTTGAGAGAGGCGGACCTGCTCAGTTGATAGAGAATGCTGAGTTCGCAGATTTGACCGACTTCGAGAACCCCAACTTCAGATACTCTCTGTGAGAGGGTCTTCGCTCATGGCTTCCGCTTTTGCCCATTTCTTACCCTGTTTTTTCTCTTCTATTTAAATGTCAGTTTTAGCTTGGTTTACAATATTTTACGGCAATCCGTTTATTTTCCAATCTTCTGAATAGGTGTATATACTGCACTTGCATAATCTCAAGCACGAGGTGCCTTGCAGTTATTTAGTGTACTCGCTAAATTAACGCCGCAACATGTACTTGCCGAAGCTTCACATGCGCCCGAGGCTTTCCCCGCAAATCAAAGGCATCACCGAGCACAGTCTACGTGGCTCGGAACTTGCCTCTTGACAGGGTATAAATAGCGGTGTATTTCGAATCTTCTCTTGCTGATCGGTTTAACAAATTATCACAAATCATCAAAAAGTTTTTCATTGTAATGGAAAGACTATCTCAAATCGGAAATCATCTCACATCGGCAGCTGCCTCCGATGCTGTGGAAAAGGCAAAGGCCAAGAACCCAGAAGACGCTGTTATTGTCAAGGCCTACAGAACAGCTCTGACAAAAGGAGGAAAGGGTAAATTCAAAGATATCAACTCAGATGTGTTGCTGAAGAAGCTGTTGGACGGGTTGTTCCAAACTTTGCCCGGATTTGACAAGTCCATTATTGAAGACGTTGTTATAGGCAATGTGCTGAACCCAGGCGCTGGTGCCAATGAGCACCGAGCAGCTATGCTGGCAGCTGGAATTCCTTCTTCAACCCCGTTCATGGCAGTCAACAGACAGTGTTCTTCGGGACTAATGGCTGTGAACGATATTGCCAACAAGGTTCTTACAGGTCAGATTGAGTGTGGTCTGGCCGGTGGTTCCGAGAGCATGTCACAGAATTATGGGCCTAAATCTGCTCCTGTTATTTCACCAGAGATTCTCAGAGATGGTCAGGCCAAGAAGTGTTTAATTCCAATGGGAATCACCAGTGAGAATGTTAACGAAAAGTATACCATTCCAAGGTCTGATCAGGATGCTTTTGCCGCAAGCTCATACCAGAAGGCTGAGAAGGCCGTCAAAGGTGGTTTGTTCAAGGATGAAATTTTGCCATTGGAGGTTGAAATTGAGGCTGACGATGACGACGATGATGATAAAGAGCCGAAGAAGACCACAATCGTGGTTGACACCGACGAAGGCATTAGACCCGGAGTCACGGCCGCCTCTCTAGGAAAGATCAGACCAGCTTTCAAGAAAGATGGTAGCACTCATGCCGGTAATGCTTCACAGGTTAGCGACGGTGCAGCTGTGGTGTTGATTATGAGAAGGTCTTTGGCAGAAAAACTCCAGCTACCTGTTCTGGGCAAGTACATTGCCACCACGATCGTTGGTGTTCCACCTGAAATTATGGGTGTTGGCCCAGGTTATGCTATCCCAAAGGTTTTGGAATTAACGGGAATTCCCAAGGAGGCCATCTCAGTGTTTGAAATCAACGAAGCTTTTGCAGGACAAGCTCTGTTCAGCGTTAAGAGGGCAGGCATTCCTCTGGAGAAAGTCAATCCACGCGGTGGAGCCATTGCCCTGGGTCATCCTCTTGGTGCTACTGGAGCGCGTCAAGTTGCCACAATTATGAGAGAGCTCAAAACAGGTGAACTTGGTGTGACTTCTATGTGCATTGGAACTGGTATGGGTGCAGCTGCCATTTTCGTAAAGGAGTGAGCATTTCAGAAACAATATTTGTAAAAGCCAACCGCATTTTCATGTCTCCTCAATACACGTATACACTACAGATGAAACATATGGCTATTCTTAAGTTTTTTACTTCAAAAAAACGACTCAATGGGAATGACATCAGTAGCACTTTTGACAGGCTTCACGACAGAAGCCACACAGAATTGAGGTGCACACGCCACTCTGCATAGGATTTTTCACCTTACTCATGCAGGTCTTATTTGCCGTACACTGTCCTTGTCTGTGCTTACCAGAAAAGAAACATGGATAATTCCCTAATGCCTGACTTAGAGCATGGATCGCATGTCAGTGGTGACTCTACGCCGCGTTCTAGGTCGGTTCCTGCAATCGATTCGGGTTCCAGCTTGGCTGATGGCACTCCTCCAGCTGGAGAGCAGAGGAAGAAAAAGCCTCGGAATAGGAAGCCCAAGGCCAAGGTGGCGATAGATGCTGGATCGGGTTCTGCACCAAATCCTGTGAATACACACCAAAATAAGCGCGAAAAAGTGCCACCCAAGTTTTTAGAGCTCAAGAAATTGGCTTCCCAGTATAAGCCCTTGACGGTTAACGGTATAGCTGTTTCGTCAATTCGCATGTCTTTGGCGGATTACCTGCGCAAAGCAAGTCAGTCATCTGATCCCATGTATCTGACTCTAATTCTGAAACCATCAGACCCTGATTTTGCATACGATTTGGACGTTTTGAAGCTTTCGCTGAACATACCAGGCAACTATCCCTTCCAGGGCTCCAAGCCAGAGATCGTAATTCTCAACGATGACATCCCAAGGGGGTTTACATTGAATATCGAGGCCGGATTCAAGTTGATAGCTGCAAAAGCTGCGGGGAATAAACTCGAAAAAGTTATGAGCAAGAAGAAGAAAAAGAATACCAAAGCTCCCGAAAGTGAGCCTGGTGACAAAACCATAGACATCGAAATGGTCAAGGGAAATGACCTAGCATCCATGATCATGACCTTAGACAAGTATCTTGAAACATTTTTGGCCCAAGAAAAACGTGAGACCATAAAAATAGTGCGCAGAAAACCAACCATACCGAAAGATGTTACGCCAGTACCTGTACCAGCAGTGTCTATGGGCCCCTCGTCACAGCAGAAGAGGCGGGCCGAGGAGCTCAGTCATATACCACAAGAGGTGCTGGAGAGGAGAGCAAAAGAAATAGATTTGTTCTGCCAGAGGTTCAAGGACTCAAAACCAAACTTATACAAGGATACATCGCAAAACACGATCCTTTCGTTGGACCTGCAGTTCACAGAAGCAGACTTCATAGTGGAGATCGAGGGATTGCAAGAGTTTCAGATAAAGAACCTTCCTATAAGACTGTATGTGCCGCAGGAATATCTCTGGAACAAGAAGAAGTGCTTGCGCATAGAGGTTGCGCTTTCTAATCCAGATGTACTCCGCATGATCAATACTATTCAGGACAAAAATCTCAAGCTGGTGTTCGGGAAGATGATGACTAACCTCGGTACAAACTTCCAAATTGTGGCAATGGAGTTCTGTAAAGACAATGCGGGAGAAGGAGATGAGTCTCAGAATCTATTCCACTCAATTACATCTCAGCTGAACTTTTTCATTTCGAATGTGGAGAAGTTTCTGTATGAGAAGAGCGAGTTCGTAAAGTGGAACGAATTGAGAAAGCAGAGCAATTTGGAGGTGCTGAAATTGTACGGATGAGAGGATAGCCGCATGGTTGAGTGTATGCATGTATGTATATATATATGTCTATATATATATAGATATCTTTATTTATTATTTTTTTCAATCGGATACTATATCCTGTATCTGGAAAATTGTCTTATGTAATCAGAACGTCATACCCGTTAATCCTCGGACCTTGCTCCTTGTTCCTTCAGGCCAGGAATGAGGTGTCCAACGGCTTTAAAGGACTGCTGTTGGAGACAGATGCGAAAAAAGGTCCAAAAAGTAAACAAGGTTCAATTAATCGCATACTTACGTTTCCAATATAATATTTCTCTGGAAGCCCTCAATTGGCCAAACATACTGACACTTTCAGATCGTGAACGAGGTCGGTTATACCATCCCGATTGGGAAACCAGATAGGCCATTAGCGATGCGCCCTTGATCCGGGCTTGATAAGTATAAATAGGGAGCAAATTGCTCTATTCTCTTTCAGCAATCATTATTAGAAAAACTCGAGGCTCAATTCGCAATTAGCAACAATGTCGCTTTCTACTACCATCAAGCTTCCTAACGGGAAGGAATACGAACAACCACTTGGACTTTTCATTGGGGGTGAATACATTACCCCGGAAGTTGACTCCAAGATCACCGTTATCAACCCATCGTAAGTGGAAAGGAGAGAGAGGAGTTGGCACTCCTCCCCCTAAATTGCATTCTTAAATATTGCACTCAATGAAATATTAGTGGACTAACATTTTTCCCAAGCAACGAAGAAGTTATCACCGAGGTCTACGCTGGAGATAAGGCTGACATTGATAAGGCTGTCGTCGCCGCCAGAAAGGCATTTGAGTCCCCAGAATGGAGAGGAATTGCCGCCTCTGCTCGGGGAGATTATCTGTACAAGATTGCACAGATCATCGACAGAGATCGTGAGCTTATTGCTTCTATTGACTCGATTGATAACGGTAAGCCACTGCCTGAGTGTGTGGAGGGTGACCTGGAGGAGGCCTATAACGTTTTCAAGTATTACGCTGGATTTGCCGACAAGATCACCGGTAAGACCATTGAGACCTCACCAGAGAAGCTCGCTTACACAGTCCAAGAGCCATTGGGTGTTTGCGGTCAAATTATCCCATGGAATTACCCATTCATGATGCTTGCCTGGAAGGTTGCTCCAGCCTTGTGCTGTGGTAACACTGTCATCTTGAAACCATCCGAGGTCACTCCTTTGTCTGCACTCTACTTCGGCAAAATTTGCCAGGAAGCTGGTCTTCCAGCAGGTGTGGTCAATGTAGTCAATGGCTACGGTAAGACTGCTGGTGCCGCTCTCAGTGAACACACTGGTGTTGACAAGATCGCCTTCACAGGCTCCACTGCTTCGGGCAAGTTGATCATGAAGGCTGCCGCCAACAACCTCAAGAATGTGACCTTGGAATGTGGAGGCAAGAACCCATTGATCATCTTTGACGATGCTGAGCTTGACCAAGCTGTCAAGTGGGCCCGTATCGGTATATTCGACAACAAAGGTGAGGTGTGTACTTCTACCTCTCGTATCTACGTGCAAGAGGCTATTTACGACAAGTTTTTGGAGGAGTTTGTTGCTCATATTAAGGATGTCACCGTGGTGGCTGATCCTTTCGGTGAGAATACCACTCAAGGTCCACAGGTCTCCAAAATGCAGTACGAAAAGGTTCTATCGTACATCGAGTCTGGTAAGGCTGAGGGTGCAAAATTGGCATACGGTGGTGCCAAGGCTAGTGAGAAGGGTTATTTCTTGAACCCTACCGTTTTTTCTGATGTCCAAGAGGATATGAAGATAAATAAGGAGGAGATTTTCGGACCCGTGGTCGCCGTTTCCAAGTTTTCCACTGTGGAAGAGGTCGTACAGAAGGCTAACGACACCAGCTATGGTCTTGCAGCTGCCCTTTTCAGCCAGAACGTTACCCAATGTGTTACTGTTGCGAGTAAATTGCAAGCTGGTATGGTATGGATCAATTCTAACAACGATTCACATTTCGGTATTCCTTTTGGTGGCTACAAGTCTTCTGGTATTGGTCGTGAGCTAGGCCCTTATGCTTTGGATGCATACACCCAGACCAAGGCTGTCCACATCAATGTTGGACTGAGAGTTTGATCAGTAAAATGTAATCGAAAAGTGTGTTTATGCTACCTTGAGCAGGACTATTTAGCAAACGTAAAGGAATAAAAACGAAACTCAGAAAACAGAATAGCGTGTCAAAAGAGTGTATCGGAAGAATGTGCCGTTTATCTAATCCTCTTCGGACTCGGCTTCCTCAAGCCATTTCAAGAAAGGCTTAGCGGCCTTTCTGACCTTCTTGGAAATGTCCTTTGGAACGTACTTCTTGCTCACCTTGGTACCCCAATCGACAATGACGTCCTCGGACAAAATGTCCCTGTCATAAAGCTCCATCAGGATCTTTGGGACCTTTGGAATGAGCTCAGGGTATGTCAAACCCAACAGTCTCTCGAATCCACCGAGAAGAGCCTTCTCGTGGTCATCAGAGGTGACCAGTTTTTTCAAAAGACCGGCATGTTCGTCAATCTCGTCGACAATATCCTCGCTGAACAGAGATTGGGCCAAAACTTGCAAGGTATTCTCGTCGTCAACGATGTTCAAGTCTGAGGCCTTCTTGTAGATCTCAACGTCGGATGGGAACTCGTCTTCGTCTCCCGAGTGGGCGGCCAACAGCCACTCTCCCAAAAGCTCGAAGCTGTTCTTGGTGGCAGTCAGTCCTTCCATGGCCTCGGCTCTGGCCTTGACGGCCTCGGCAGACACATCGACAGCCCATTCGTCATCCTTGACATCAATTCCACCGACTGGAGGAGGAGCCTCTGCCTCCAACTCGTCTTCAGAGGCATCGTCATCCTTCGCATTGGCCTTATGATTGGCAGCAATATCGGAGATGGACATACCACCACCAACAACGTTCTCTGAGGCAGTGGCGGACTTCTTGTTCTTCTTCCCGCCCTTGGCTGGTGGGTTCTTTAAGATGTAAGTGGCAAGTTTGTGACGAGGGTCAATCTGGCTGATCTTACCACACGCCTTACAGTCACGCGTGAGACTGTCATCCTTGTGGATTATGATCTCGGTTTCAGGGTTGGAACACGAAGGACAAAGCACAAATTTCTTAATGAAACCATCCAAAAGGTCCTGCAACTTGGCAGCATCGTGTGCACCGTTGACCAGGTATCTGTCACTGGTCTCGTTGATAGAGGTCAAAGCACCGAGTTCAAATCCAAAGTACTTAATCACATAGGCTGGGGGTCTGTTCAAAGCTCTGGCAACTTCAGATGCATTTGGAACAGCAGTCTTGATACCGTTACCTCTACCTTCGATCTTGGACTGGATAGGAGGCATCTTGTAACGGTAGAAGGGATCCGTGTTATCACGACAGATGTTGATGAACGACATGGTTGGAGTTAAAGTTTTTGGGAAGGTTGGTGATGTTTGAGATCAGTTGAGTTTATTTCGTGGGTCTCTTTGCTGGTTAAATGATGTTGAGAACGCTGTTCGCTGAGGCAGATATAAATTCATAAGCTCCGTCTGGAAGATTGTTTGTGGATGTTTTCTGGGGTCAGCGTTAAGCGGGAATCTGCTAAAACCAGAGGTTACAGTTCTTTTGGTCAATGAAATAGAGCTGGTATCTTAGGAAGAACAGCTGTTCAGAGCTTGTCTTGTTACAATTGAGTCAGCCAAATGCTCGTGGAAGGCTGAAAGAATTTTTTGGTTTTTTGGTGAACGCACGCAGCCACAAAGAACAGGCAATTGAAATTTCAAATCGAATAAATTGTCAAGGAACATTTAAGTTGGTCTAATTAATTTAACTGCTGAAAGAGTGTGCAACAAGGTTCTGGGTAGTTTTCAGAGCCTCGTACTTGACGGTTGGATTGGGCGAGTTCATCAAGGTCATGATCTTGGTCTTAGCACCAGTCTTCTCAAGAACCTTGACAACCTCAGGCCAATGATTGATGATCTGAGAAACATCGTGACACACTATTGCTTGGTTCAAGAAACCTTGTTGCAATGCGCTGCCATCAGTTTCGTCCTCATTTACATCCAAAAGCGTGACCAGCTTTGTCAGTATCTTCCAGTTGTTCTCCTTGAAAAGACCAATGTTTTCAATCCAGAACTCTTCTGATTTGTGTGGAGGAGACCAGCTGAGTTTCTTGGTGTTGAGCTCATTGGCATATTCGTCGAATGTGGTCAAGGTATCCACGGCATCGTTCAACACTCCGAGCAGCTTCTCGAGGTCTGCCTTGAGCTCTTCGTCCGCCCACTTTCTCTCTATCAATTGCTTGGTGACGTCGAGTCCTTTCTTGACGAGCAAATGCTTGATAACGGCCTCATTCTTTGGGACATCCAAAAGATTCAATATCGAGGAGATGGACAGTCTGACGATCTTTTCCTTGACCGACTCCCTGGCATTAGTGAGTAAAAAGTCAATGCTATCAGGGAAGAAAACAGGCAATTCAGCTGCTACCTTCTTGCTAAATGTCAGCAGCCATACGGACAGAATACAGTAGTATTTCATTTGCAGGTCACCTCTTCTGTCGCTCATCGCCTTGTACAATGGTGGGAAGCATTTGGCCTGGTACTTCCAGAATATGTCTCTATATGGCTTGATGCAAAGCAACTCCTTGATGCATTGCACGCCAAAGTAGTTCAGGTTGATGTTCGTGGATGCCAGGAGCTTCACTGCGAGGAATTCGAACAAGCTTTTGAGGATGTCTTCGACTTCAGTCTCGGATTGGTTCTTCAGTGGAGAGTCTATGATAAGCAAAGAGGTCAAGTCATAGGCTGCAACCAAGCGAATTGCCTCATCGGATGAGTTCAACTGTTTGAGAAGAGGTCTGTATGGTAGAGACGAATCGATGCTGGACAAACCCAGTAAACTATCAGAGATCGTTGGCAGTTCCGTTAAAAGGTCGCTTATCAGTACAACCAAATACTTGGTGATATCGTCTCTTTGAGACTCATTCAGCAAAGCAAAAATCGTAGCAGCATAGATATCCTTTTGTTTCAAGATTGCGTCAACTGTGTTCGCGTTCAACTCTCTATCCAGAGCCTTCATCTGCTTGGCCTGGTCATTGGTCAATTGGTCGCTTTGGGCGAACGCTTCCCAGGGAATAGGTCTCGATCTTATGCTTGAACTGATGTCATCAATATAAGTACTATCGACGATGAATGGTTTCTATAAGAGAGTTAGTATAAGCAAACTTGTAAAAGGCACCCAGAAATGCAGCCGTAAATGAAAAGAACATTGAGCCTTGACATGAAGAAGGAGCTTGGACTCCCCTCAATGCAAAGCGTTTCAAACTTTCACATCTAAAATTCACTCACAATTTCAACTGTCATATTGATTGAGGCAATCTTCGAGCAGAAATATAATCAACACAATATTCTCTAGAATGGTCGGATCACAAAACAGAAGGGTGCATCCCTGATTATCGCTAAGTATCAAGAATGGCTGCTCTCAGTATTCCTCGGCCGGACACGTCAGGGTAATTGGGTGAAGCAGGATTTAATAGAGAGCCATAGCGAAAAATGGGTCGCAAAAGCGGTTATGTCTTGATTTTGGATAATGCGTAAAGTACTGTTTGTTTTTAATCTTTATAGTCTCAATTTTGTAATAGAATTCAGTTTCTTGGCTTGAAATATTTATTTGACCGGCATTTCATGGACATTTAACACATGCGCACTCTGAGCCGCACCTAGCCAGAATGATTTATCATCATTATTCGTCACATATCTATTTACATGTCTATCTAGTCCTTCCCAGCACACTCGGCCATTAATTCAATGACACGCTCAACGTTCTGTTTCCTCTGAGCGCAGCATGGGACGATTTTCCAGCCCTTTTGCTGGACGTAAGATTGTAAAGCCAAGAATTTGTCTTCAGTATCCTCCAAATCGGCCTTGGTGCCCACCACTAGTATCCGCTTCCCCTTCATTCTCAGGTCACCCATTTCATTCACCAGAATCTCCAGGGATTCAATTGGGTTTGGAGCATCAAGCCCAATCACAAAAACAAGTCCACCGGATCTCTCCACATGTCTCAGAAAGCTCAAACCCATGCCTCTATCATCTTTGGCTCCTGCAACGATTCCTGGAATATCAGCCACTGTGAATGGCGTCTTGTCTATTCTTAAAGGTGGAATTGTACCAATTGAAGGTTGCAATGTAGTGAACTCCCAATGACCAACCTTGGGCCTCGCGTTGGAGATTGCTCTTAGCAGAGTGGATTTTCCAGCATTAGGCAGTCCAACCAGTCCAAGATCAGCCAGTAACTTGAGCTCAAAAATAAAATTCCCTTCAAGACTCTCGCGACCAATCTTTGCGAATCTTGGGTTTCTGATATTCTTTGTCAGAAAGTGCATATTTCCGAGGCCTCCCCTGCCTCCCTTCAGTAATAAAATCGGGGTTGGAGTGGGCTTGCTCAGGTCAATACCATCTATTGGTATCAGATCCTCATCCAGCTCGTCGATAGTTCTCCTAATATCAAAAGCTTTAACTCTCACATTTAATTCTGTAAAGAACTCCCTCTCCATATGATACTCTTCGTCTTTCTCCTTGAAGACCCAGCCTTTTCCGTCCTGGTGACTGTTACGGAACAACTGTATGAACTCTGGAACTAGAGCATGTTCGTGCTTGCCTATGGCTTTGACCAAAAATGTCTTTTCCTCGTTATTCTTTCTGGTCTCTCTGATAACTTTGGGGGAAGGGCACCATTTTACTGTGGTCCCCACTGGAACTTCGATCACCACATCTCTTCCGCTTTTTCCATCCAGTTGCGCTGCATGGCCCTGTTCACCATCTAAGGCGATGTACTTCGACTTTAGGTTGTGCAACGAGTGCAGACCGGGAACTGCTTGTATGTAAACGTTTCCACCATCTCCACCATCTCCACCGTTTGCTGGGCCTCTGCTTCTAGTAGGATCTCTCAAGAACGAAACTGCTCCGCTTCCACCTTTACCAGATCTTAGATAGGCCACCTTCAAGTCCGAGAATGGTTGGTTGTTGTCTGCCTTAGGACGTGTTTTGGAAGTCCTACTCGAGAAGGGGGATGAACTCACAAAAAAAGAAGAAGCCGGCTGAGCCAATATAAAGTATGGGCTTTTTTCATCGGGTTCTGAAACTATCTTGTATTCGTTGTACACCGATTTGGGTGTCTCGACTACACCGTCAATGATTTCGTAAGTCGATTGCGGTTCCCATATTTCTTCAACCTCTCCTTCCACTTGTGGTGTTGCTCTGTTGAGATCATCAAGCCATTTTGCATTTTCCGCAATGGACGGATAGTTGTCGGGCACCTCTGGGGGAGGAACTGAGCCTTTCGGGCCTCTCTGCAGTTTGGGAAACAGACTCGAGAAATGTCTGCTATTTGGAGCAAATCCTCTTCGTATTGCCAGCCTTGAATATCTGAGCATCCTGAAGTGATTTTCTTATAGAATCAAGTTGCAAAAAAAAAAGAACAAGTCAATCTACCGTAGGTGAAAAATCCATTGTGGAGACAGTTTGGAAATTTTTGGTAGCGTGTAGACGAAAAAATAGAGCAAGAGCTCGCACCCAGGTTCGAACTGGGGACCAACAGATTTGCAATCTGACGCGCTACCACTGTGCCATACGAGCAATCACTGACTGATTTTGTTTCATTGTTAATTACACCGTGTAACATCTTTGCCAGCTTGCAAACCTATATTGACCAGTAGTTTATTGACAAAACACAATTTCACTAAATCCGTTGTTGAAATGAAGTATCCAAAAGCTTGTTTTGGGTTATAGGGCTTATTCCCGATTGTTCTGCACGGATAAAAAGTATTTTTCCATTATATGGCAGTGCAATTCGATCAACCCCCTCATTCATTCTCAAAGATAATACCACTTACAGCTTCAAACGATTAATACTTTTGAAGCATGAACTTAACACCATTGTATCCGTTTTATTAATTCATATGCGTTCTATTAGTTCCTCTTAAATTGTCCTTTATGCAACTTGGTTTCATGTCGATGCGGCTAACCCTTTAGTTTTCGCGAGTGCCTGTTCATAGCAGCTAATGAGGTAACAGTTGTTAATGCAAAAGCTCTGGAAATCGATGTAGTAGTTTGTAACACACTCATAATCATAGGGAGATCTGGGTGGAACCTCTTCTCCTTTTCTGAGTTTGAATGATATGCAAAATTCTCCCCTTGGAGAACACAGAAAGTGGGTAGAATCGTCCTCGCTCCACTGTTTCTGTATCCTCTCAGAACGACTGAGCAGCGTTATGGTTTGTCCATCTGCAAGCTTTACAGATATCTCAAACCGGAACTTTACCGCAGCTGAGTCCTCGTCCACCAAAACGTGGAGCTCGTTATCAGTAGGCTGGGTCTTGTCCTCAAACTTTTCATTTGGGTTTGCAGTGCTCAAAGGGTCTCTCAGCGACTTGAGGGACCCAAGTTGGAATACACTGGACATCATGTGGTTCTCTTTTGCTGTGTTTCTGTTTCTATCACGTTTGCTATTCAGTCTGTTGGTCGAATAGTAAGACAACTTCTCGGTCTGACGTTCGTCTATCTCGGCTTCCATATTCTTGAGAAGGTCTATCAGCTGCGCAGCATCAATATCGCGAGTCATATCACTTGATCCTTTACTATCGTCCCTTGAATGCACCGGAGAAACAGCACTGGAGTTCAGGCATTTGGTCTCGTACATCTGGCACGCCGCACTTCTCTCCGATATCTGGGGAGAAAAAACACTAATGAAAAGATTTTGGGTATGTTCCACACAAACCTGTTCAATCTGGGACGGTTGCCTTCTCGTTGTGTGTGTAGAATTCTCACCTTCTTTATCGGCGTTGGTGAAAGCATCGGACCACAAACCACTATCGCATATTGTCTGCGAGGAGCCACAAGAAGTCAGACCCGTCACCTCGGCCACCCTTTGGTTCAAACTGTACAAACCAAGCGCGCGGGTATCGCTATCAGTCTTCAATAAACGCGTCAACGTTGTCGAATCACACTTTTTCAGCACTCCCAGCTGGAGTTCTCTGGGTAAACACTGGAAATTGAAGCTCATCGTGTGTGTATTTCTTTTGCGCCTGGCTGGATATTTCGCTCTGGTATTTATTAACAGGTCAATAGGCACGTTTCAAGCTTGGAATAACTCAGGTTCATATACCAGCACAAGTTTATATACTTTATTGACTCCGTACGGTGGTGTAAATGTGTGAACACAAAGTGATTTTGTGGTTTAATTTAAAGGTGAGTCAAAATGCGCCAAAATTTTATGCACGTCCGAGAATCGGAAAAACTAACCCGATTTCACCCTGTCGGGGTTTTCGCTTGTATTCAGCCATACGCTTAGAGATTTGATCTAAAGCTGGTGCTTCATAAATTTATTCAATAATATCTTACATCTTTGTTAATCTGCGTAAACCATGAATATATTTCACGTCTTTTTGCTGTATTGCGGCAAAATCACACAAAGAAACACGCCTTTGGCCGTACACCCGGACTCCCGGAGCTGATCGGGAGAAGAGCCCCGATGAGCGGGTGAATAAATCTCCAGATATTGAGATCACCAGACAATCTAGTCCGAAGCGGCGCCAGTGAAAATACACCGGATGACCCAATTCCACTCCACTATCTGCGAATGTTTCCTTGACTTCTTTTCGAATGCAGTGATCAGATTACTGTCGTTTTCGTTGCACAGAAGTAGAGTCCGATTCTTGCCTAATTTCACCTCGTCTGTGAACTCCGAGTACGTTGCTCCGAAAGACTCTAAGATACCTCCCACAACCTTGATTCCTCCGGTAAGGTTTGCAGATAAATTGAAGTGGAATCCGGTGAATAACAAATCACCAGAAGTCTTTCTTCGTGTGTAGTTCTCCAGCAAATTATTTATATCTTCTGGTCCGACTTCGGTATCTCCAAATAACTGCTTCACCTTCTCGTTGGTGAAGTCAATGTACTTGCTCAAAGGGTAGTCTGTCACCGCAGGTTTCAGCTTTTTAAAATCCGACAGTCTTGGGGCCACGTCCAACGTGCCCAGAACATCCGTCAAAAACTGGGTGTGAAGCATATAAGTCAAGCCTTTGGAAACACTCATCAGGAACTTTTCTGTCCTCAAAATAGAAGGAGCTATGATACAGTTCTGGTCATCTTGAGGTTTGTCTAACACTTTGATGCCTACCGTTGCCAATTTCTTCAAGTCTGCTTTGCTGAGGGCATCGTGCCCGGTTATGACCGTGACAATGTTGTATGGCTTCCCATTCTCAGGCTGTATATTCTGTTTTGCCTTTTTGGTGGAAGCTTTTTCAGCTTTCTGGGTAGATGATCTTTTTTCGTGTAGCGTTTTTGGACGGGCTCCAAGGCCAGTGTTCTCTTTATCATCGTCGAATATGGCGGTAGATGGTGGGGAATGCTCATGTTTTATAGCTTCTGCGGAAACTCCCGTGCTCTCACCTATCTGGACCTGTGGTAAGGGTTCATGCCCAAGTTCCTTCTCAAGTCCTTTCTCAATCTGCTGTTCAGAAGTCTGCTCATTCGCATTGGCAGCCCCTGATACCAGAAGATTTTCACTCTCAGAATCACTGACTGTCATGGCAAGGTCGTTCAGTAGGACCTCCGCAGTTATGTCAAACGCACCGATTCCAGGAACGGTATTCTTATCTGTATTGCATGGAAAATCGGACTCGCTCTTGCCAAAGTTTTCGCGAAATACATATTGTTCTTCCAGCCATTGATGAGAGACGATCTTGAGTCCCCAGCTTTTAGCAGCATCGTATTTCTTTCCAACAGCTTTGGAAGCTATCAAGTGTGTGTTTGTGGGTTTCAAAGTTTTGGTGATTTTGGCCCCCAGTAAGATGGCCAGTTGTTGTATGTAGGCTCTCGCCTCCCCGGTGTAGTTGGTTTGACATAGGACGAAAGACTCCATTGAAGACAAAGTTCCGCTTGAGAGCGGGTAAGTCAGAAGATTGCGGTGAGACAGATCATGCTCCAATACGAGATTAAGAAATAACAAAATATTTCCAATCACCGGTTTCTGAGAGCTAGCCATTTTTTTCAAAGCGATCTTATAACGCTCACCAGATCGGAATCTAGTAATAAAATGAGTTGACTCTTTGACGTTTTGCACTATTTTGCCAGATTGACTCTGTACCAGCTCTGCTATGCTCTTCATGAGTCTCGCGGAAAACTGGAAATCATCGTTGAAATAGATTTTGTAGGATTTCAGTGCTTTGCCAGTGGCAGCCGTTCTGGAAGCCGTTTTGGAAGCGGTCTTGGTGGAGCTGGCTACTCTGGTGGGCTCGAAATCGTCCTCGTTCTGCACCGCTTTCAATAAAAGAGTCTTCTCTAGCCATTCCGGTAACACAATTTTTATTCTCTGAGGCTCGCCAGTAACCTCCTCTACCGGATTCGCGTCGTTGAAATGCTGTGCTATCGAACACTTCTCATGGGCCATATCGAGCGTCACCAAATGAGTCGTACTCTTGGTGAGTTGTTCAGAGTATTGACCTCCCAAAATGACAATGGTTTCGTGAATAAATGCTTTATCGTGTTCAGGAATCGACGCGCAACAAAGAAACACGTCCTTGAGTAAATGATTTGGGTCTGACGAGTATGGGTTTGTAGGAACAAGTTTCCCACGAGCCGTAGAACTCAAGAGCCATGAAGTGGTCACAATCGGTACAAGTCTTCGTTTCAATTCCGTAAACTGTTCCCTCGGTTCATCGCAAACGACATGTGAAATTCTATCCAACTCATCCTCAGACCTCCACTTCTCATATAGTATGTCTTCCTTTTTAACTCCATTACTAACCAGAGCAAGAGTTATATCAGGAAGAAGCATATGTTCAAAGTTGCCAACGACTAGGAACACAAATCCTCCAAAGAGGGACATGTTGAGGGTTAATAACAATAATAGGGTTTGTTCCGTCTTGTTCTCAGTTCATGAGATCTAAACGCGACCAAATAGCACGCGTAGATAGTCTGTCATTTTGTTACGTGCCAGTACCGATATCAGCCTAATGAGTTGGCAGGTTGATGCTAATCATAGGATTCAGCTCAGTCTGAGACCGTCAATTGATCTATTATAACTATCACCATGTCGGATCCAGAAGAGCTGATAAAACTAGTAAGTTGGAGTTGCACGAGCATACATTATTATGTCAAGCCCTGTACGCATTGCTAACCAGTCAACAGGCAGAGAAGAAGGCAAAGCCTAGCTCAGGATTCTCATCCTTTTTCTCAGGTAACTCAACCTACAGATTCGAAGAAGCCGCGGATTTTTACATACAGGCAGCAAACATCTACAAAATACGCCGCGAGAATCTCACAGCTGGTAAGACCTTTGAAAGGGCTGCGGAGGCCCAGTTGAAGGCCGACTCCAAAGACGAGGCGGCCAATACCCTCATTGAGGCATACAAAGCATACAAATTAGAGGCACCCGGTGATGCTGCTAGATGTCTTTCCAAGGCCATCGAGTTTTTCGTGCTCAAGGGACAGTTCAGAAGAGGTGCCAATTTCAAGGCGGATTTGGGTGAGCTATATGAGAATGACTTGCACGATATAAAGATGGCGATAGCCTCCTATGAAGAGGCTGGTGAGTGGTACAGAGGAGATTCTGCTCTGGCTCTGTCCAACAAATGCTTGCTGAAAGCTGCTGATTTGTACTGTGAGGATGAAATTGGAGACTATCTCAAGGCCGGTGGTATCTATGAGAGCATTGCAAAGGGGTCGCTGAACAACAATCTAGCGAGATGGTCGCTGAAAGATTATTTCCTCAAGGCCATACTGTGTCGTTTGGCTTTGAACGACTATCCAAGTGCTGCTGCTTTGCTTGGGCGCTTTGTGTCGTGGGATTCGACTTTCCAGACCACTCGCGAGCACGAGTTTGCGGCCAAGTTGATTGACTCCGTCAAGGAGGGAGATTCGGACGGAGTGGCCAATGCGGCCAGAGAATACGATCAATTCTCGCGTCTTGACATATTAAAGGTGAGGCTGCTGAACAAGATCAAGTCTGGTATCCAGGACGCCCCCGAGGCATTGGAAGATGATCTGACATGATGATCAGTAGTCTGCCGAGTATGATTCATTTGTTTTTGGTGATTCTTTTGGATCTTAAACTGTGTTTTTTCCTTATAATTTGCTTTCCCCCAATAAGACCTCGATCATAGTTCAGTCGTTATCCAGATAAAGCACTTCATTGACTGTGCTCAAGGGCAAGTCCCATATACCAGAGGTGGGATGGTAGATGTACTTATCACTCACCGTTTTGTCCTCGAAATTATTGAATTGAGTAACGACGACTCCGGTGTCATCGGATATAGTTCTCGCATCGTCCAGCTTTGGGGTCTTGACCTCGATATTATAAAGTGCCAGGGCAATGTAGGTGTATACCATACTGATGAGGATATAGCTAGGTATGGCAACGGCCCACCATCTGGACGGATAGTAGTAGATCTGGAGATAGTTCAGTGTGGAGTCTGGTAAGAGCGCCCAGAACAACCAGATGAACAGAAAGATGCCCGAAATCACATATGAAGCAAATCCCTTGTATTCTGCCTGCGAAGTGACGTTGGTAGACACAGTTACATCACTCTCTCTAGCAAGTAGATCCGAGACGTTGCTTGTTCCATCCACCAAACCCGGATATCCATTCGCGTTTTCCCTGGAAGGTTCTTGCAGAACAGGCATCGACTGGTTTTTGCCCAAACCATAAATCGAAGGCAGTAACGAGGTGAGGGAGGTGGTGGAGATGGATATCCTGGATAGTGCTGAGGTCCTCAACCCTGGCGAGGCGGACGATTCCCTGGTCATTTCAGGCTGAGCATTCGGTGATACAGACGGGGCCTCTGTTAAGTTAATCTGAGGTCGTATCATTGTACTTTTGGTTATATTTGAAGCATCCGTTGTTAATAAGAGGAATGTGCTGTTATCAGTATATTTAACCACGAAAGCATCTCTCCATCCATTATCATATCTGCAAATGAACTACCTTAGCTCCAGGGCTCCATCACCAGGCCCATTCACTTTCTACAGTCTACCCTCTCAGCAAAATGCTTGATTGTTTCATTAACGTCATTTGTGGAGTATAAATATAACAGTAGATACTTGATCAGAATACTCGGGAATACATGCACACGCCACGAAGGGCAGCCAAACAACTGCCCTCTTGACTTACTCTGGGCTCACGGCTTGGGCAGGAGGTGTTCCCGCAGACTCGGCTGTATTGGAGTCCGGTTTTGGGCGACGCCCACCACGGTTCTTTCCTCCGCGAGGTCTTCCCTTGGAGCCCTCATTCTTAGGGCCATCACCTCCGCTTAGTGCCTGGTCTCCAGATCTAGCAGACTCGGGACGTGTAGGAGCAGAAGAACTTTTTGGCTTTTCAGAAAAACTTTTGGGTTTGTCGGACCTGCGAGGTCCCTTGAAACCAGGTTCTCTGATTTTATCGGTTTCGGATCCAGCATTCTTTCCATCCTCGGACAAATGGGTGGATCTTCTTTCACGTCTAGGTCTAGGTGCATGCTTGGCACCGTCTCGTGACCATTCTCCATTTTCCGGAGCCTCTTTAGAAAAAAGATCTCTTCTTGCCCGTGGCTTTCTTGGATTGGAACTCTCCTTAGCAGAGATGGTGCCTTCATCAGAGCTTGACTTCTTGGCTGGTGTGGATTTGATCTCAGTTTGGTCTTTCACCTCATCTGGGACGTTAGGCTCAGATACCGGCTTAGATCCGTTCGACTCAGACTTAGAATCCCTCGATTCAACTTTTTCACTCTTCTGTTCAGACTTAACGCCTTTCTCGGACTTTTCACCCCTGAATTCAGCCTTCTCAAAGTTTTCTCCTCGTCCATTTCTCCTCTTAGTGCGTGGAGGTCTCTCTCTTTTGAACTCACTCGCGGGTTTTGGTCTAGGTTCCTTTGCAAATTTCGGCTTGGGTTCGAAAGGAAGTGCAGAAGCTCTCGTGGTGGCATCATCACCAGAGTGGTTTGAAGGAACTACATCGGACTCCTTTTTTGTCAAATCCTCCTTTGGTCTTTTCAAAACGGACTTGGGAGGCTCCGATTGCGAGACGCTACCATGGCCATTCTTTGAAGATCTTTCTTCAGCACTCTTTGAAGGTGACGGAGGATGGGGTTTTGAGGTACCTCCCGTCTTTTCTGCAGCTTTTGAAGCGGCTTTTGGTTTCGGGGCTCTGGGAGCTCGCTTACTGATGACCGGTTCTGGATCATCGCCTAATCTAAAAGTTGTAGCATTCACGGACATGTGCTTCAATTTATCCTCCACCTCAAGTTGCTTGGCCACGAAGTCAATGGGCTTGGCATTTCCAAAGGGATTGGGTTTGGGATGAGTTGGTGCTGGAGGTTTGAGCTCCTCGTGGAATGCATTCGGATTGTGGATCAATTCTTCAACCACCGGTGGAACTTTAACATCAATCGGTTTGGCAGCTCCAAATGGATTGGGCTTGGGCTTGGGTGGATTTGGAGAGGATGCTTGTTGCTGTGGAATAGTTTCGGGAGCAGCTTCAACCGGAGCAACCACAGACTGAGTGGCTTCAACCGAAGGAGACTCGACCGGAACAGAGTGAATAGATGGTTTCACTGGTGCAGCTCTCACTGAGCCAGCTTGAACTGTTCCGGACGGTACTGGAGCAGCTTGGACGGGAACAGCTGGTGCACTCGCGTTGAAAGGTCTAGCGTGAGGCTCGCGCACAGTTTTTGGTGGTGCTTCTCGTAATCCCGCAAGCCTGGCATCCTCCTTGGCCTCATCATAACCAATGCTTTTGTTATATTGCTGGACATCATTGAAATCCCCGAAATCAGCTACATCGATTTCCACTCTCGATCTCTCTAGAAATATGTCAGTCCACTTCAGCACTTTGTTCATCTCCGTTGCCGTATTCACCTGGATAAAAGCACACTTTTTCTTCGAATTGCTGTGACCCACACCAAATCGTGAGGCTGGAGGATTGGGATCCACCAAGGTCTTGCACTTCTCAAAGTGCATGAACCTGGACTTGAACAGGTCCTCGATCAAGGAACCAGTGGTGGTTTCCGGCAAGTTGCTGAATTTTATGATGAAAGGTCCACCCGATTGCGAACTAACCTGAGGTTGACTATGTCTGCTTCCGTAGTAACTGTCGTGGGACGAGTTGCCGAAATGATCATAGCTAGAGCGCTTCCCAACCGGTACAGAGATGGAGTTGAGGTCGATGTCGTCATCTGCCCAAGAGCCCAACGATTGGTCAGCGATGAATTCGCTCAAGGACATTTTGCTTGTCTTTGGTTTTTGGCCTTGAAAATTGGGTTAGTATGCCAGATGGTAGAGTTGGGGCGAGGATGTTTTGGCTGGTCAATCCCTTCCCACTCAGAATGGCTTTAGCCAACAATCGATAGCTCCAACCTCTAAAACTATACCCACCCATATTTGAATACACCTCTCACTATTAACAGTTTGTTATAATGGCGAACTATGCTGTTTTCACGATTCAATACGAACTTCCTTTAAGTTTCAACAGTTGTCTCCCGAATCCTCTTTCTGCTAGGGCTGGTTCTTCTGTTTTCGGGAAGTGCCCGTTTGAGTGGGGATTCCCACTACCTTTTGGGGAAATTGGGTGGCATGAACCAGGCGAAAAGAGGCCAGACTTTTCAGATTGGAAAGGAAATTGCTGAAAGTAACAGCACTGTAAGAGCATATTTAGTAAGTCTGATTTGAAATATGACCCCTTTTTTTTCCCATGGAATTGGCTGTTGTAATGTTCTTGTTTGGCGTGAGCTGCGTGCCCTAAGAGAAGGAGCTTGGGAGCATCCCAGACTCCTCACGTGTTGACATGACTGTGAAAATGAAACGAAACCAAAAAATCCTCAATGAAACTGGAAAGTTCTAAATTTCTAGCATGCCATGTCTGCCGAGTTCAGATCATAAAGGATGACCAACTGCCTAGCTTATTCCATTTGCTCTTCAGTCGCAAAGTCAGCAGTTAGAATACGTGCGGCTCACGAATAGAGGTCGTCCGCCAACAAGGAAATTGCTGATGTCTCATTGGTCTCTGCCAATGGGACCATTTTCATCTCTAAACCACCGTCAAGAGACTTCCTCAAACAACTTTTGTATTCTAACAAAACAGCCCAATACAACAACACATACAAAATGCCTTCGCCACAAAGAATCATCGAGATGCAGAAGTTCTATCAGTCTTCTAAGAAGCCTATCTACATGGCTCACCCAAGGGCCAAGTACTACCTCGTGCCATATGCCATTGGTTTGACCCTCTCTGTGTCTGCCAGTTTATACTACACCGGCCGTGCTGTGTTTGGCATCAAGGATAAGAAATAAGCTGAGTCTGAGTAATCTCATGATAGCCAAAACAGCATATTGATAACAGACTGTTCATCAAAGAAAGCTCCAACTAGATTCAAGAACTGTTGAAACTCTTGTTGATCATATGCATATTTATCATGGGAAATCCCGCATACTAAATATCTTATTGAATGAAAACGGATCATCGATTTTGACTACTGGATTGTAGAAAAGTAATGTTGGCAGATGTGAGATGGCCTATGGATCTATTAATGATGTCACTGGATCTTTAACCAATGCGTTATTTAGTATACCAACGAATACACTGAAAGACACATTGACTGAAATACTCTCAGATGATATCTAGCACGGTCTGATTGGTTTTCCCGCGTGTTAAGACGTTTTATCCGAGGAGGCTTCCAATGAGGTTTCCAATGCATTATGCAGTATGTTGCGCAGTGCGTTATCCAGCATGGTATATGACCCATAACGACTCTACCAAACACTTCTAATACTGCTTCGACTCATAAGTCGGGAAACACGTGTTTAACACATCGTCAATGGCCATAGAAAATTTCGCCGCAGAATCATCGTCTCCGGTACTCACCCGTCTGAATCTGCTTGACAGTTCGGCGCACTTCGCGAGATTAGCACTCAATTCCGTGTTAGACATGCCAATTTTGTTCAGAGAATCGTCCCCTAACGACGTGCTAGTTCCTGAGTCAAAAATGTCTCCTATTATCCCGCTGGAGGAGCTCATGTCCAAAGAAGGGACTGTATTGGAAAGACTGCGTTTAGCGATGATGCTGCTCAAATTAACCAGCATCAAAGCTGAAGATAATGCGGCCAGATGAATTTGGTTTGACAAGAACGCAAAGTAGGAGTCATTTTCAACCGAATTTACCGCATCCACCACTTTTTGGGCATGGTATAACATTGATCTCATACTGAGACTATCTGCATATTCCAAAACAGTAGTTATGGAAGGAGGACTGGCAGCCGCGTCCTCACCCATGCTCATCTTGTTCAGATGGTTCTTATAGGTCCAATTATAGAGTACCATGAAGTAACCATAATGGTAGCCCATTTCCACAAACTCGTTGGCGGGTTGGTCAAACAAGTAACCCCATTGCTCTAGCCAGTACCTCAATTCGTCCCTCACAATAGGGAGCGCTTCCCGCACCGTATTGCCGCTTTGAATAAAATTATACACCACCAGGTGCAAAGACAGTTCAGCAATCATTCTTCCATCAAAATTGGTGGATCTTGGTAATTCCAGAATTTTCCTCGAAATTCCAAAGCCAAGTTCATCAATGATACTTTGGCGACCTGACAGAATGCAATATACCAAATGCACCAAAGAGAGATGGTTCCAGACTCTGTAAGTAGTCAGTTTGTGGAACTCCTCATCAACTCCTTCGTCTCTGTTCACGAGCAATGTCCCCAACGAGTCTTTGGTAATAAAATGCTGAAGAGCACATCCAGATAGATACCATGCATCGATGGTGAAACTCTCTGATGAAAATGACAATCCGTAAATCGAGAGTATCACCAGTGCCTGTAAAAACTCCAATGACTGTGGTATCTGCAACATGCATGCATTGAGGTCGATCTGCAGAGTGTGCAGCAGGAGTTGATACACCTGCTTCTTGAGATAGGGATCACTGTATTTGAGAGCTAATGTGCACGCAACCGTCAGAAGCAACGGACACCGAGCTCTCAGCTTCTTCATTATCATCTCTGTAGTAAATTTTTCGGGAAACGAGACCCATCTGCCGTATCTATCTCTAAAGTGTTGCAAAAGAGTGGAGGCCTGATCAGCAGAGAGAATCTTGAGAGTGATAATATCTCTCTGACTGGCAACCGAAGAATACACAGGGTTGAGTAACTGTTGAATGGGTATTGGTAGCGCATTCTCCGAGCAAGACGAGCTGTATATCATGTATGGAGACGTGAGAAACGCAGAAGATGGTTTGCCGAACGTCCTCATTGAGTTGATATCAACCTCCATACCACCCTTTATCCTCACATGGTTTAAGTTATTGATCGGAGTAACAGGAGTATTCGCTGTCTCTTCGTTGGAACCAACAATTAATGCTGGTTCGGAACTCGCCTCGGTGCGTGGCTTTGCAGACGGCGTCTTGAGTATTGCCAGGATCTGGGAAACATCGCGCTGAATAGTCTGCAATTTTGAGTCCATTCCTACAGTACCGCCTGGCATCCTAAGAGGTCTGTTCAATAGGTCATTCGCTCCAGAAGGACCGAATGCACCGTAGTCTCCGTCGAGTTGGATCCCCGCGTGGGGTGGTACGTTGTCCCTCTTTAACGCTTCTTCTTCAAAAGAGCACACCCTTCCCACAGAAGAGCACCGTAGACATCCAATGTTGTTGTTAAACGCAAAACACTTGGATTTTTGCTTGCGACATTCATTGCACGCTTTCGCGGCTTTCTTTGTGATTTTGCGTTTCTGTGGGGCACCCGAATCTTCCGTAGAAGATTTTCTCTTGTTTTGTTTTGCCTCGGCAAGATTCACATTTATATTGCCAAGTTGCAGCTCTGGTTGTGTGTACTGCAATTCTGAAATAGTCAGGACCCTGCTGACGGGTCGGTCGGTGTCCAATGGGGTTCTGGTAGTTTCGTCAACCCGTGAGGTTGTTGATGTATCCTGGTTTGGCATTATCCGGGAATAGGGGGGCAGACGGCGAATCAAGTGGCAAATTAGATGACCAATAGACTGGTGAATGGCGACTCAAATGCCCAATAACAAATAAAATATATCTTCACCACTGTGTATATCAGGGTTTGAGTGCCGATGTAACTTCCAAAAGATGAAAAATAGGTGCGGCAGATTGGCTAGGAGCTGCATCCGTCGGATGTACTTTGCCTTCCACGGCTGCGATGATCGGCTCGACCGGGCTCGACCGAGCTCAAACAGTGAGGTTAAAAATGGAGTTTGAGGGTCTTCGGACAAAGGTTAATACTATATGCCATGCTATCTCATGCGTTTCAATAATATAAACTGTTTCTATATGGGTTGGTTTGGCTGTTTTAGGCGTAAACTTCTTTAATACCTTGACACCCTTCTATGCTACTAATAGGCTTTTAGTATGTCCCTACCTACGCTAATGAATTGACACCCTGGATTGTATGTAGAAGATATATAATTGGCACAACAACGATGTAGCATATAATGCTGCAACATTCTTTCCAATTTACGCCTTTCTTCTGTCCAAAGGTGATTTCATTGGAGCCAAAAATCACTCTTAGCTACCAGATCACTAAACTAGTATGCCAGTAGCTCATATTATTATGCTGGAGCTGGCGTGCAGTATGCGAACATGCATCAGATGTTAATTCAATACATTTACGTACATTTTCTTACAGCACATGATTTCTTAACCCAAAAAGATTTTATTAAACCGATACAAACGAAAAATACTAACACCAGAACTTGTAGGCTCTGTAGTAGAATGGCTTGGAGGCAATAAAGGCCTTCTCCTCGGCCACCTCCTGTTTGAGCAGATCAAGGTCAACCTCTCTTCTGCCGCTGTCAATGTCCATCTCGTCGTTGGTGACGTACAATTTCCAGTTCTTCTTCCAGAGCTTGTGGAAAATGTAGAACACCAACACGACTGGAGCAGCAAGGTATGACTCAAAGAACACCTCGGCATCTGGAGAGGCTCCAATAGGCCAGAGGGCAACCCAGAACTGAGCAATCAAGATCAGAACGTTAAGCAAAAATCCGTACCAGGAACCCCAGATACCGGCCTGTGCGGTGAAAGGAAGCTCATCAAGGCCACGGCCCTTGGAGTAAAGAGCAGATCTGAATCTGATGTGGCAGAAACAGATGGAACCCCATGTAAAGACAGAAGAAAGACCGGACAACGCAAGCAACCAGGTGAAGACATCGCCCTCCTTTGGCGAAGCAGCAATGAAACACAGAAGACCAAACACCATGGTGATCAGAATACCAACCAAAGGTCTTCCTTCTCTGTCGATGTAACCAACAACCTTAGGGGCCAGACCTTGGTGGGCGAGGGCAGCAAGTGTACGGGAGCAACCGTAAACAGACGAGTTTCCGACAGAAAGAACGGCAACCAGAATGACAACGTTCATGACAGATGGAAGTCCAGAGATACCAGCATTCTTGATAGCAATGACGAAAGGAGAAGCGGAGGCATCGTAGGAAGAAGCACCAATGAGCTGGTCGGATGTGTATGGAACGAGCAATCCGATCAGAGTGAGCGAAATGATGTAGAAAAGGGTGATTCTCCAGAACACTTGCTTGGTGGCACTTGGCAAAGTCTTTCTTGGGTTGGCAGACTCGGCAGCAGCAAGACCAACCAATTCGGTACCAGCAAAGGAGAAGGCAGCTGTCACGAAGACAGAGCAAACACCCTTGAAACCAGCGGCAAAAGCACCTGGATTGTGCCAGTACTTACCACCGATGTAACCACCGACTGGACCTCCACCGGCACACAGTATGATTCCCAGAATGATAAATCCAACGATAGCAAGCACCTTGATGATGGAGAATACAAACTCTGCCTCACCGTAGCCCTTGACACCGAAAAAGTTGATAGCCAGAATTAGAACGTAAAATATCACCACAAAAGCATCTGAGTTTACTTTTTTAGCCCCAGGCCAGTATTTCAGTACAATAGAAGCAGCAACCAGTTCCAGAGGTAAAACAACTAGCCATTGGAGAGCGTAGTTGTAACCCATAGCAAATCCCCACGAAGGGTCGATAAAACGAGTAGAGTATGTAGAGAAACCACCAGAAACAGGGAAAGTGACAGCCAGTTCACCAAGTGCCTGGACGGTACAGTAGATCATGGTTCCTACCAGAATCCAACCGATAAGAACACCGGCCGGTCCTCCAGTTCTAAGGGCAGTTCCAGATCCAACGAAGAGACCAGTACCAATGGAGCCTCCAATGGCAATCATCTGCAAGTGACGTCCTTTCAACGATCTACTCAAAGGAGAGTTGGCAGTGGCAATAGCAGCCTTTTCGGCATCACTGAGATTTGGGTCAATGTCGCCAAAATCAGCAGGCCTGAAAGATTCCTTGAATGATTGCCATTTTCCAGTCTTTGGAGCAGAACCGGTTGGTTCGTAGACTTCGCCAGACTCGACGTAGGCGGAAGAATTTTGAGATACCTTCTCCACAGTTTCTTCAACCTTTGACATTGTTAGTGATAAGGTAAGGAGAGACAAGTATTGCGGAGACGAATATCGCTTGGGAAATCTAGGTATATATACACTACGGACGATAGCTCGAGGGTGGAATGATTATGCGTGCATGTGTCATGTAAGGCATTCTAAAGTAGCATCCTTAAGTCAGATAAACAGCAACCTGGCATCTCATTGGCTGAAATTCCGCCCCCTATTATCGAAGACAATTCAGATCGGACGCCATGCAAGCCTCAAGGCAATCTCGGGCACTATTATCAGGTGCACAGTCCGCTATCTATGTTGGGGCTTCCTTCAGGGTAGGCTGCAGCAGCCGTTTCTTTTGTGCAGTGTGCCGCACCATGCATCGCGGCTTGGCCGCAAAGGGCGGAACTTGCTCTCAAAAGGTGAATGTTCGTGAAAATATATTTTATTCAGGAACGATAGTAGATTTACTTCAGATGATTTTTTTACAGTAACACCTTTCAGTGGTCTCGCTCACGCTACACTCAAATGTAATTTCCAAACCCTGGGTGAAATTGTGTGACTGCCATATCTGCACGGTTCTGACCCGCGACTCGTTAGCAGGTTGACTTGCTTCTGATAAGCGGATGCCACGAACAGCGGGCATTCCATTGAGGATTGCTCCCTTTCACCCAATAAGATGTTGTATGGTTCCTGCAACCCTATCTGGACTGTGAAAAGTCTAAAATTCCGGCTCTTAGGATTAGCACATTTCGCTGCCCAGCAATCCATATTGACCACGGCACTTGTTTTAGCCAAGGTACACTACGCAATGTAAGGCAATACAAGCATCTGCAAGACCTAGTGCCGTAAAATCTGCAATCAGTTGACGTAGGAAATCCACTTACGGCGGCGAAGCCGCCTATTTTTCGATTTCAAACGCAAAAGCGCTCTCAAGCTTCCAACGAAAATATTAAGATTGCTCCGCTGTCCAATGAAAATTGATGTCTAGAGACCCGTCCATAAAGTGAAATGAGTGGTTTGTTCGTGCGTGCTCCCAAAAGCTTGTGGAAGATTTTGAAGAATGCGCCGTAAGGCTGATGCCCGCATGGATTAGACCCGAACGAGAATCCCGTCAGTAGCATGCCTCAAGGCTTTGCTAGGACGCTAGATCTTTGCCTCAAGGCAAAATGTAATTTGCGCGCACCAATGAACAGCGCCGACTATTCATGTGTTACGATAACCGTTTTCATTTAACCTTTGTGCGCAGTGCCTACTATTAGTAGGATACCGCCGGAAAGGTTCACCTGCGTTCTGGCACTATATGCTGCGCAAAATTCTTAATGCCTTCTGCGGCAACAAATAGAATACGCCTACGAGAAACTTCCACTACGGTATCTATTGTGCCTGGGCATTCTCGATCGGTTAAATGGTCCGAGGTTCCGCTTGGCCTTTGTCCCAGTTCGACGGCGCATTGGCGAAGTCCTCGTGAAACTGATTTTGTAATCTGGTGCGGTGTAAGTTGATTGTAAATGTTTCCTAATTTAACTTGATTTGACCGTTTTCTTGGGGTGAGATTCCCCTTGGCTTGTCATTTTTCACACGGCTTTTTTTTGATTTTAATAATTACCAGGCCCCGTTTGACCTAACCTACTCGCCCTATTCGTCCTCCGCTTAAGCTTCCCCGTGCATTTGGCCATGACCTGGCCATGACCTGGCCATGACCTGGCCATGACGTTAGTCTGATTTGGGTTTAAATCCGGATCTACGCGTTGGTACTGAGCCCTTCGTATCGGGAGCATAGTAAAAAATACTGGCTTGGTTGGTAGAGTATATTGTATGATTTTCATGAACATCGAAGAATGTCTTGAAGGTAAAATGAACGTATACAAGGATGTTTTGGGCTGGAATATAAAATTCTCCTTGTACTTACATCAAAAAAGAACATCATCGTCATTTCTTAAAAGTCCTCATCGTCCGCCCAGTTTCCACTTGTTGAGAAATCAGCAATCATTTTCTCGAACTCGCGCTGTCTCTCTTCAAACGTCTTCGCGTCAACCTCCTGAACTGTACCAGCTTCCTTCGCTCTCTGTGGTTTCTGTTTGGGCTTTGCTTTCTCTTCTCTGCTCTTAGCAAGTCCGCGTTCACGTTCACCCCGTTTGGCTGCGTCCCTGAACGTTTCATGCTCGGGTCCCTTGTGTGCCCTATCATTCAAGTGCGTCTTGAATTGTCCTAATTTGCTCGGTTTTGATGGCTTTTCGGATTTCTCAAGTCTATCTGGCTTGACTCCGCGACTGGGTCTCTCTCCGTGCTTCTCTTCGTTCCGTATTCTCCCCTTTCCTGACTTACTGGTAACCTTAGGTTCGCTTCTTCCTTTAAAATCACTGCTTAAAACCCCGAATCGAGCAGCAAGATCCTGTGCATCCTTAGAGAGCTCAGATATAGGTTTCTGCACATCCTCTTCCTCCTCGTCTGTCTGCTCATCTTCCCAGTGTTCCTCTGAGTGCGGCTCAGGAACAGGTGCTGCAGTTTTCTTCGGAGATTTCACGGTCTCGTTCAAGTTAGTTGGCTCCTGAACTTCATGCTTGAAACCATCTTTCGAATTTTTATGATTTTTCCTTTGTCTCCTTGGTTCTCGCGATCTCTGTAATGTACCTTCTTGGGCGTCAAATGATTTTCTCTCCTCAGGACCAGACGCCCATTTCGATGCTAATGGGGCACCTTTTAATGAAGTCACTACTTTCGCAGGCTTATCGCTTTTGGAAACTGCCTGTTTTCTTGCCGGTGCTTTGTCCTGGATCTGTGCCTTTTTCACCAGCGTCTCATCGGCTGCCCATCTCGAAGCTAATCCAGACTGCACGAGTTAGTCATAATTCAAGATAAAAACAGATTTATAGCAACCAGTACAGAAACACTCACTGATGTCATTGTCTTTGAATTATTTGTATTTTTCAGCAGAATGATAGCATACAAAGACCTGATTTCTATGTGCATCTGTATCTATTCAAGTACGGAAATGAAATCCCTTAGCTGCCAAATTGATTACGGGTGTGTAGCCCCGGAGCGGAGCCATATTGATTTCTATCTTGTTCAAACCCTTGACTGGGAGAGAGACTTTGTAGATGTGAAACCGGTTGGAACGCTTTGAAAAGAATTCAAAAAGAGACTCACTGTTTTACTCGGTTCACTTCAGATGCTGCGCTTGTCCGTCCCCTTCGGCGTTAGAAGTTGGCAACCAACCGCAAGCCATGCTATCATGTATAGGGCTCTCCTGCACAGTTCTCGCAGTGGCCCCACCATGACCAGACTGTCGACGGTTAATTTGAAAGATTTCAGGAGGCAATTAGCCAATGATTCCGAATCACGTACAAGAGCTCCCTTGAACCGGCACAATGACCAAATATTGAAGGAAATAGGCACCACTATAGCCAATGGCAGGTCAAGCAGAGGATCTGGTGGTATGACGGCAGTGGTGCTCATTTTCGTGTTACCGGCTTTGCTCTCAGCTGTGTTATACACTGGATATAACACTTATAAAGGAACCCCTACGTTTTTGCCTGTGTGGTTCCAAAAGAAGTTTCCGATATCAGAGGTGTCTAACATCGAACATGTGGATCTGGATGTTTTGAAGAAGCATACTGAATATTCCGTGTTGGAGAAGCTGTCTTTGGATCACCGGATACGTTCTCGTTTCGGGCTTCCGCTACAGATGGGAGAGCTTGAGCAGTTTGATGTGTACGTTGAGTTCCACGATTACGGTTGCTCGGGTTTGCAGATTGATCCTATAAACAGGTTTCCTCCGAGCTTTAAGTGGATCACCAAAGAGGTGGTCATCCACGACAAGTTTCAGAACATCTTGGAACCAATGAGTGTTGGCGCTCAAAAAGGAATAGGAAGACGAGATGATGATAAGTTTAACATTTATGAAAACAACAAGGAAAAGAAGGCGACTTCGAAAAGAGATTACAATATTGTGGTTTATGGCAGGGTTCCATTGAATAGCATCAACTCTGCTATCACTGACGGTGCAGTGACTTTCACCGGGATAGTGGAGTTTGATCATACGAAGACAGTCAAGATCAAAAATGTCAAGCTAATCTACAGGGTCAACGGAAACGTCAAAATAGAACCATTATGGTGATCGAAATTTGCGTACTCTGTTATTACATCTGACGGAGGCAGACTGTGTACTTATCCCGTGGCATTCGCTAGTCCTTTCAATAAAAGCACATATATAAGGAATAAATGAACACGCCAATGAGTTATGAATTTGACAACACACTTGTTAATAGATTTTAAAAGAAAAAATCAAGCCCAAGGAAAGCAAAAAAAAATGTTACGACACCAGCAGGATTTGAACCTGCGCGGGCAGAGCCCAGCAGATTTCGAGTCTGCCGCCTTAACCACTCGGCCATAGTGTCAGTAAGCCTGGTAATAGAATTTCTAGGACAGTCAAGTTCACATTATGAGAAGGGGCGGTGCTCCTAACGTTTTTGTTACCTTTTGGTATTTGTCTGAACAATCGTGGTACTTTAAAGAGAAAAAAATAAAATTCATGGATGTTTGACATTGGTCTCAACAATCTTGCATTATGTTTTTCATTTCAAATCGCATTCCTGCCCGGATATTCAAGACTTCTATATTGCTGAGAGAATGGAAAGAATGTTTGTCTTCGCACGTCTTTTGAAGCAAGCGACGCGGTGCAGAAGATTGGAGATATCTAGCATGCGTGCGTTTCAACTCAGATAAGGTCTACAGGTTGACTTCGAGGTGAAATATCGGTTGCTTTGATTAGTGTCATTGCATTCAGTCGTTGACTGTGTCTGCCTTTTTACACATCAAATATGGGATCTGTCCAAGAATCTATGCAGAACACGTCTGATCCATCAGAGTGGCTACAGACTCAACTGCCACCCATATACCAGCTGGACTCCATGCTCAGGTGCCATATTTGCAAGGATCTCATGAAAGCACCGGTGATAACAGGCTGTGACCATTGTTTCTGCTCTGCCTGCATACGAAGAGCTTTGAGTACCAAAGCGCAATGTCCTTTATGCCAAGATGAACAGTACGAGACACAACTGAGAAAGGTGTTGTTACTTGATGAGACTATCGCTTGGTTCAGCAAGTGGAGATCAGAATTACTCGAGAAGGTGAAACTTGTCCAACCTACAGAGACGGTTGATATGTCGAAAACAGACTCCTCCGGTGCCACCTCGTCCCAGAGCCGATCAGTCTCCTCTTCCGTCCCCAGTGATAAACCCATCACTCAGTATTTTTACAAATCCCGAAAGGGTGAGCAACAGAAAGCAAAAGCAAAGGTTTCTGCTGAACTAGTGGAGTGTCCCATTTGTTCTGATTTCATGACGCTCGAAGAGTTGCAAGGAAGCCACATTGACGAGTGTTTGAGTGATCCCAGTACCGAGCCCAAACCTACTAACACACCGGCATTTTCAAGCGGATTTTTCACTGCACCCTCACCAAAGCAGTCACCACGGAAGCAGCAGCAGCGGATGCCATTAGTGGCACCAAAGACGTACAAGTTTGACATGGATAAACCTCACCAGACTCAGGCATCCGGCTACGCCAACCTTTCAAGAATGCCCAAACTGGACTTCAACTCACTCTCCACTACAAAACTGCGGGAGAGACTCAACACTTGGGCTATACCAGTCTCGGGCTCGAGACGTCAAATGGAAAGACGCTACAACGAATACATGATTCTCTATAATGCCAACCTGGACTCCCGCAACCCCGTTCCGGTCAAGGTATTATTAAACAAACTATGGCAATGGGACGCTTTACAAAATGGAACTCCTGAGGACACAGAGTTGGATGCAGAGGCCAAAAAGGACAGCAGGGAGGCGAGAATGGAGAGGAAGCGTTGGAGAAAGGAACACCGGAATGACTATGCAGATCTGATTCAACGAGCGAGAGAAAACGCCAAAAAGGTGAAGACAACTGAAGACTATAGTGATAATACTATTGGTGAGTCAAATGGTGATCTCAAGGCAACAGAAGTGGAAGAAGTTGAAGAAGAGCCGCTCTTCGTAGATGGAACATAGTGCATTTATCTCGCAGACTGTTCTGCCGCTTCAAAATGGAAGAAGGGTTGCCTTGTACTTGCGCAAATTTGGTTTCAAAAAGGTATCTCTGGACTGAACAATCTTGAGATCTGGAATGTAAAGTTTGTCCCTGAACTTCTGGTCCATTTTCGTTTTTGCAATTTCAATATCATAGCTCAATTGCAACACATCCTCCACCACAGATATGGTTTCCGACAAAGCAAGCAGAAGACAATCCAATCCCTGTTCAAGATCAGAACCCATTGATCTGTGCTTCGAGAACGAGTCTGCCAGTATGGCCAGAAACAGATCTCCACTTCCAGAGAATATAGCATCTAATTGGGGAATTTCGAAGTAGCACCAACTGGCTGAGTTCCCCTTTGTTGATCCAGCGCAAATTAGGTTGTCTATTCCTTTTATGCATACTGAGCTTACCACGATGTTTTTGACGTCGTAAATCTGGTGAAACTTCTGAATTGACTCCTTCAAAGAGTCCAAACAGTTAATTTTAACGCCAGTGAGAACCTCCATCTCAAACTGATTTGGGGTCACCAGTGTCACCAGATTGGTCTTGAAAAGATCCTTGTAGTGTGGAATTATATCCTCACTGACATATAATCTTCCATTATCTCCCAACACAGGGTCAAGTATCCAAATACATTCTGGATTTCGTTTCAACCGGACAGAACATATCTGTACAACTGCCTGTAGGGTCTGAGCCGATGCCACATAGCCTGTTAGTATTATATCATATTCGCAATCAATGTTCTCTAAACCTGTGTGTATTTCAGTTATTACCTCGGGTTCCACCTTGGGTCCCTTGAATTGTCCGTATCCCGGATGATTCGAAAAGTTGGTTGTATTTATGGCATCAACATCCCAACCTCGTAACTGCAATGGGAATGTCATTGCCTTGTTTCCAACATACCCATGCACCACATGCGAGGAAAACGTCAGTACCTGTTTTGTAGGTGGCATGGTGCTAAATCTATAGTTCTAAGCAAGTGTAGGGCCCAAGAAATCTCGGTGGAAAGGTCCGTGTTTCAAGAATGACAAACAGCAGATCAACTGGTCTATATTCTCTATATTCCCATTCCAGGAACTTTTGACTTGAAGGTGAACAGAGGAAAGAGCTTGTTTGAGAAGAGTTACGACTTGTGACTAACAATTCAAAATCGCAGTGTCGATGCAGCTTATCGATAAGGAAGGTTTGATCCTCCCCACTACCTTTCTTAATCTGGGGATCGATAGAGGGAATCAAAAAGGATTCATTGATGGTTAATGTCATTATATGTGAGCAACTCTAAAAGGCTTTATATACTCATTGTGACGATGAACAATTCTACTGGCTGCAAGTGGCACTGGCGCATTCATAGCAAGTTGAAAGGCTCGTGGACATTCGGTAGGAGGGCCATGGGTATCTGCACTTCTAAATGCAGCACACTATCTCGGGGTTCCAGCCAGTTAAGTCTATGAGCATTCAATTGGGCTGCAACTCATTCATCGGTCTCGAGGAAAACTTCAAACTTTCTTTGCGTTCCCATTGTGGCACCAAATCCACAGATCTTAAGACTTGAAAAGTCTATTCTGTGAACGACTTCAATGGTTCATCGCTGTATCTCAGATATTTTCCGTTCAGCTCTGCCGGAATACCACGCAGTAACAGATTTGCAAAAATGGTAGCCGGATACTCCGGATTTAGCAATGCACCGGTTTCTTTGAGAGAAACGAACTTCTTGACCGCGTCTCCCATTGCCTCGTTGAACCTCGTTCTAATATCACTCTGCATTGCTGTGTCAACAACTCCTGGTGCAATTGAGATGCTCGAAATCTTGGGTTCGTGTGTAGAAAGAGTGAGAGCAAAGTGGTTCAGCGCAGCCTTTGAAGAGCCATAAGCACCCCATCCACTGTATCCAGAAGTGGAAGCTCCCGAAGAAACAAAAATCACTTGACCTGAGGTCCTTCTCAGCTCTGGAATAGCATCGTGAACCAGTTGAACTGCAGAAAAGAAGTTGATGTCAAACAGCTTCTTCCAGGCATTGACATCAAGCTCGTCAAGTTGAGTAACTGGCTCTAAAACACCAGCGTTCAAGACAATTCCTGAGATTCCACCAAATTTCGTCACAGCAGTGGAAACCAATTTTTTTGAGACTTCCTCACTGGAAATATCGCCCTCGACGAAAGCAACGCGGTCTACCCCGTATTTGGTGACCAGTGCTTTCAGAGGCTCCAGCGATCTTGCAGTGACCACCAGTTTTGTGTCATTGGACTTGGAAAGAATAATCTCAGCTAGAGCCTTACCAATTCCTCTAGAGGCTCCGGTGACAATTATAGCAGGCATTTGTAAAAAAAAGATGAAACAACAGACGAATAACTAGCCGGTTGACACCCAAGGAAATCATCTCGCAAATTTCGTGGGGAGGGAGTGTCAAGCCCAAGTCTGTACTTTTGAGGAGGGAAACGCAGACAAGTTTCCAAAGTTATCCACCATTCATTCTTCCAACTAACCAGCACTTCACGCTTTGACAGATCGATCAAGCTATTGATTTATTTCAAGGCAGAAGCCATCGAAGTCTCCGAGGGCCTCCGCAAAATGAGTTCGCGGACGAACGATACCGGAAGTCGTATGTGAGGTACTCTCCAGATTGATCAACATAGTTACTAACACCTACTGAAGAAGAGGCATCATCGCAGTATGATTGGGCGAAAAACGTGCCTTGTAGAAACATCCTGATTCACGGTTTCTGCAAATGGGAGAACAAAGGATGTTCTTTTAGCCACGACACGGGAAAAACGCAACCCCAATCACAGCCACCTCCATCACAACAAGCGTCTTCTACCAAGAGTGGACCTGTTAGCATCACCGCACCTGCTGGCGAAACTTCTGCAAGTTTGGCCAAGTCGCCTTCTTCCAGTTTGCCTTTGAGCTCTGGCAATTCATCCACGGCTTTGGGCAAGAAAAAGTTCAACTTTGAGACCCCCTCATTCACTCCCGGTTCAGGTGGACTTACTAGCCCTTCCTCACCAAATGTGAACACGATAACTAGCAAGTTCGCAAAGATGTCGCCCAAATTGAACAATATTCCAGTTTTTGTTCCCAGCAGCAAAACACCAAACGTCTCAAACTCTCCCACGGCAAAGAAGGTAGGGTTCAACCCCGAAACTGCTCCGGTATTCACTCCTTCTGGACTGGACGCTGCACCAGGAGCCGGAATTGGAGCATATTCAGCTTCGCCTTCGATGCCAGCAGCTTCTTTAATGCCTCAACCGGATGTTGACGACGCGTATTACTCACAGAAACACATGTTGTTCCCACCAAACTACCATCTATATGCTCCAGCGGCCCCTCCCCATATACAGATCAAGCAGTACCCCAATGAGAGACTTGCAGAGGATTTGTTCATTCCGAACCAGTTGAGGGAAACCATTCAGAAGAAGAACGAGGAAAGTCTACAGGTTTTGCCAATGTCAAACCTGCCCGATGCTATAGATGTCTACCACTCGCTGTATCCAATAAGTCAGAGTTTTGAGGAGGGCTCTGATCGAAGAAGCATCATATATAAAGCTGTTTCCAATGTTGATGGCAAACTGTATGCTTTGAGAAGGATTGAAAATGTGAATATTCCAAACGAGAAGAGTCTGGCTCCAGTGAACTCCTGGAAAGATCTAGGGTGTGCCAACGTGGTGAGGTTGTATGAAGCCTTTACTACAGGAGCATTCGGTGACTTGTCTCTCGTGATGATCTACGATTACCATCCATTGTCGTCAACGCTGATGGAGCGTCATTTTTACAAGATGAGCGATCGCGAGTTCCCGGAGCTAATAACTGAAGACTTGCTGTGGATTTACATCGTGGAACTTACCAACGCAATCTCGATGGTCCACTCCAAGAATTTGGCAGTTAGAACTTTTGATCAGTCCAAAATCATCATCACAAATAAAAATCGCATACGATTCTCTGGTTGCGGTATTGCGGATATTCTTGACTTCGAAACGAATGAAGATATGGAGAGCTTGCAAAAAGCAGACCTGAGACTGTTCGGTTCTCTGATCCTCAATCTTGCCAAAAGCACCATTTTCCCGCAAAAAATCCAGAATCTCAGTGACCTGGAAATTGTGAATGCTTTGGGTTTGAGTTCTGGTTTCAAGGATGCTCTGAAATGGCTGTTGAACGAAGAAGGTACCATCAGGGACTTCCAGCAGATCATATGCGATCAGACCATGAAGGTGGTGAACGGTCTGCAGATGAGCTGTGATTTCATGGAGTCTGTGCTTGGTTTAGAGGTTGAAAACGCCAGATTGGTGAGGCTGATGACCAAATTGGACTTCGTCAGTGATAGACCCGAGTTCCAGTTGGACCATTCGTGGTCGGAGACTGGTGAGAGATACCCAATCAAACTGTTTAGAGACTACGTTTTCCACCAAGTCGACGAGGCTGGTAAACCCGTCCTGGATCTAACACACGTGATAAGCTGTCTGAACAAGCTGGATGCCGGTGTGGAGGAGAGGCTCTTGCTGGTGAACCAGGAAGAGACGAGCTGTATCATTATTTCATACAAGGAGTTGAAGAACTGTGTTGAGGAGACCTTCAAGTTCTTGAGAGGCCGTTGAGAGAATATATAATGTAGAATATGACGTGAAGAAAGCGTAAAAGACATCAGAGTGAAAAACATGTAGAAGCGTCATCTCGGCCCAAACGCCCGGCCCGTCAAAATTCGTGCGGCGCATAATGTTATCAACACCTTTGGGTCCCTTTCTAGTGTTCTTTTTGAATTCAGTTTAAACAAGGAAAGTCTGTGCAGTTAGATGAGAACTTCGGAAATAAAATAGTCTGATATCATCATTGTTTGGATTTGGGAAAAAATATGTTTTTTTATGAAATTCGATCCAAGTTCAGAAGACTGGTGATACATTTCTACCATCACAAGAACAAATACGGTGACGTTTGTTTTGAGCCACAAAATCTGAATTCGACGGTTAGAGAGTTTGAGGTGGCACAACTGGAAGACGGTATATTCGATCTTTACTTGGATTCGGGGTCTGAATCTGAGGATTTGCGTGAGGCCCTACAAGAATTTGACGATGGACATCTGTTCCATCGGCACCTACAACAAGACAATCTTTGCGAGTGCTGTTGCCACCAAAGCGAATATCCAAACGACTCAAACGACCAGAATTCTACTCCTTTGGCATCCAGAGAGCCTTTGGATCTTCCCATACTCAACTTTTTGAGATTGGCCAAACACGGACTTAGCTCACAACCCACTACCGGGGGCTTACAAGGAAATATTTCCCACGAGACGCAGAATCAGGGCGGAATCATGGAAGACAAAGAGAATAACCCTCCATTTTCGAGAAAGCAGAGGGCTCCGTCTGAGAGTCCGTTTGCTGCTGAATCAGCTCAGATCAGGAAGGGGAGGACTAAATCGCCATGTCTCAGACGCATGAACGATGCGTCGCTTAACGCCGCTCTGGTGTCCAGTGGGCATCAGCCAAAGAGAATAGCCTCTACATACTCTTCGGATTTTACCATGATTACAAACGAGAATGCCGGGCACGAAAAGGAGGGTATTCACCCATTGAATACTCAGACAATTGAAGAAATTCAAACCGCGCAGATCGAAGCCACCAGTTCTCCGGCTTTCGATGGGAGTGTTTCTAAATCTGAAACATACGAAGCTTAATGACTGCTGATACCGTCATAATGATGCAGCCTTGATGGCCTCTGACGCACCCTGGAATCGGGGATTGCTCCATCTCCACACCGAAGCAGCTATTTTTTAAGCGTGCCCCCTCATCTCAATCCGCTTCTAAGCTCTATTACATTCCTGGAACCGGAGTCATATCACAGGCAACAAAAGAAAAAAAGAAGATCCCGCAGTTATTGCTTTATGGGACTAAATCCAGAGATTCACCCCTGATCAGAAACCAGCATGCTTTATTAACCTTCTGCATGAGGCCTCAATAGGGTTTCAGAGTATCATCCCCTTCTAGGATGTGATTCCCGCCAACTGGGAAAAATTTGTGGAAAACCCTTCAAGACCAAGTCTCTTTCTATTTTTCTCATTGATACCAGGCGTTTGGCTAAATATAATCAATCAATCAATCGAATACAGTCCGGGGAAGACCGTAGGTGATACAGAAACTTCGTTTTTAAATACCCAGGAAAATGGGCTGCACTGCTAGTACACCAGTTGACGATGGCGACGACTCCCAATACCAGAGTAAGCAGGTCAATGATGCCATTGAACAGATGTTACTCTTGGGCCAGCAGCGCGAGAAGAACCAGGTCAAGCTTCTGCTACTAGGAACAGGCGAGAGCGGGAAATCAACCGTCTTGAAGCAGATGAGATTGATCCACCAGGGAGGGTTCTCTGGCCAGGAGAGGAAACAGTATTCTCATGTAATATGGGCTGACATGATCGCTAGTATGCAGAAGCTGATTGTTCAAGCCAGGAAACTGGGTATACCGATGGACTGCGACAGGGCCAACTCTCCACTTGCGCAGCATCGTGCCAATGTCTTGAAATACAGGCCCTTGGAGCACATAGATGCAGACGTAGCGGGGGGCTCAAATTTTCTGAAGAATTATGTGCTGAAATACTCAGAAACCAAAGAGGTGAATAGGAGGAAGATGAGCACTGGTCAGGCCGATGTTGGTTGGGGAGATCAGGAGGAAGAAGGTGCCAATGGACCCGAGGAACCTGCAGAAATTGATGATATCATGACTGGGCTACTAGAAGCTCAAGGAGGAAGTTCCACAAGACAGACCTCAAGGGAAAGTATTGCCGAGTCAATAGACCGACTGTGGAGATTCGATTCGGGAATAAGACAATGTTATAATCGAGGCAACGAATTTCAGCTGGAGAGCTGTGCAGAATATTATTTTGAGAAGGCCATTCAATTTGGTGATCCGTCTTATGTGTGCACTGACGAGGATATCTTGAAGGGAAGAATCAAGACCACCGGAATAACCGAAACCAACTTCAACATTGACTCGTTTAAGTTTAAAATTCTGGATGCTGGTGGTCAGCGTTCAGAGAGAAGAAAGTGGATCCACTGCTTCGAAGACATTACTGCTGTTCTCTTCGTCCTGGCTGTCAGTGAATACGACCAGATGCTGTTTGAAGACGAGAAAGTCAATCGTATGCACGAGGCGATAATGTTGTTTGAGTCACTGTGCAACTCCAGATGGTTCATCAATACTCCTTTTATTCTCCTTCTCAACAAGATGGATATTTTCGAGAAGAAAATTGGACGCTCGCCAATCAGAAACTACTTCCCGTACTACGAGGGGAAGAGTAACGATGTAGGTGAGGCATCAAAGTACTTCGAAAAGCTGTTTTTGAGTCTGAACAAAACCAAAAAACCGATATATATCCACAGGACTTGTGCTACGGATACAAAGAGCATGAAATTCGTTCTTTCGGCAGTGACGGACATGATAGTCCAGCAAAACCTAAAGAAGAGCGGAATCTTGTGACCAAAGTCTCCGGGTTAGAGCTGTGAGCCGCATGTACCACCGTCGGGGTGTGTACTTTCCAAATTTTTATTTTTTTTGGGCTTTGAACACGTTTCCTTTCGAACATACATAAATACTCTTATATCTCCCGTATTCCGTTTGGGCCAACCCTCTGCTTCTCATCAAAGAAAAGATGTCTCCTCAATAAACCATATGTGCAGTCTGAAGTGGTAATAAATGAGTCAAAACTTGTTATTAACGCCAAGGCCAAGCCCAAATGGGAAGGGACACACTTCATTACAGTCGAGGTCCCAACTTGTGGAGACGCTAATATTCACTGCTACTTCTTTGTTGTTGGTGAGTTGGTCGAATTTCAAGCCTGAACGGTTACAATTTTTCATCAAAGAGATCCTGAAGAGATCCAAATCGTCCTATCGTGTTGTACAGCTTGCTCTGTTCTATGTGATACGACTACAAGAACAGCTAGACAAGCCTGAAGATGAAGTTTTTAAATGCCCCAAGAGGTGCTTTCTCGCATGTCTTATACTGGCATCAAAATTCCTCCAGGACAACAACTTCACGATGAAATCATGGTCTTCGCTAACGGGGCTGAAGACCAGTGAGCTGCTGCGCAACGAGATGGTTGTGCTTAAGACCCTGGATTACCGGCTCAACATATCAAGTGTCACGTACCATGATTGGGTGAACCTACTATACAGAGTCTCGTCTCTATCTCACTCCGATGCTGAGCAGCGGCATGCAGCAATTCCGCTGTCGCCCGTATCTCCTTCGTGCAATGGTTTCCCTGCCTCCCGTCCATGTTCCCCCGTCCATTCTTCTTTTGAACCCTCAAATGTGCTAGCGACTTTCAGCAATAAGGCTGAATTGGCGCAGCTATTAAGCGAGTTCAAAGTTGAGAGATTGGGCCATGCGATGAGGGCTGTAACTTCTGATGCTACCAGAAAAAGGAAACTTACGACTGATGATAATGATTGCGCTGCCATGAACGAGACCGCAAAAAGGGCCGCTCTTTCGTGAACGAGGCTACGACGTTTTGTTATGTTTAGAAGAATTTGTACGAGTAAAATGTTAAGGTTTTATATACATGGGTTACACCTTAAGATGTGCTCTCTGTAACATGGCCTGCTTGTGTAGCTGCGCTCTCTTATCGAAACCAGACGACTTTCCCGAGTGAACCGCCAAGATCTCTTCTCCAAGCCTGACACCCAGAGAGGAACTGGCACGTTTGTTGGCTCCTTCCAGGATCCATTTGAATGCAAGAATGAGTCCCTTTCTAGGGGTCACCAGAACAGGAACAACCTGGTTCTTAGCGAAACCTGTCTTGTGCACCTTGGTTTCCGTTAAAGGCGTGAGGTTTTTCAGACTCGACTTCAAAACTTTGACTGGGTCTTCTCTTGTGTGCAGGTACACATGGTACAGTGCTTGACTCAGGCCCTTTCTAGCCTTCTCCTTCTTACCATGTTTCATGATGATGTTTATGCAGATATTCAAAGTATCATCCTGGAGTTTTGGAATAGCCTTCGCAATCAAAGCATCACGCTCTGCAATTTGAGCCTCGGTTGGTTCCCATTTGAATTCTTTGGTACCAGACAAGTCAGCTTCGGATTCTCCTGCTGAAGCCAGCAGCGTCTTTGGATCCCAAGGTTGCGAGTTGAACTGTTCACGCACTTCCTTGATTGCAGTCAGCCACATATCGTAATCTGAGTCTAACTCGCTGGTTACATCACCCTTTCCCAATTTATCAGCCATGGCTTCGAAAGTAGTCGAGGCTGGACCGGGCGCATTCGAGCTTTCCGTCGATTGGCACCTCCTCGATACCAACGGTAGATTTTTCACCGCAACTCTGCGGGTTAAAGCCTGCGAGAAACCACAATTTTGTAACACTCCGAGCCTCAACAAGCGGGACATTTTGTGTGTGGTTGGCTCTCGGAATCAATCTTACGAGTGTCTTGCCTGGCTCAAGTTCTGATTGATGGTTGAAAATTTCGGACTCATGATTACACGCAATACTGCGTAAATTTGAGCACTAAAGAATGATCTAAGGTCAATAAGCTATGCACACGGTACCGTTCTGTGTCACTATATTTTATAATTTTCAGTATTCAGAATACATAACTATGCTAAAATTACCATCTCATCATGGACATGTCGTTTCTAATACGGTTGTAGTCAAACAAGGCCTCGATCTGTCCAGTGCCCGAGACGGCAATGTCCTGGTCGTAGAGGGTAGCTTGGGCCCACTTGGTCACATCAGAAGTGGTCACCTTGTCGATTCTGGAAACAATCTCAGCTGCGGATGCCTCGAATCCAGAAACAAGAGCATCAGAGGCCAGCTTGTCGGAAGCCTCCAATGGAGTGACTTCTGTACCCAACAGCTCAACCTTCAAAGCGGACTTGGCTCTCTCGATTTCAGCCTCAGAGATGGAGGTGGACAATCTACCCCAGTCCTTCAAGGTGAAGTGGATGAGGTCATCCAAGTTGTCGATGTTGGAGCTCTTGGTGACAAATCCCCAAAGACCGGTGTCGGAATAGGAGGTAGAGAAGTGCGAGAAAGTGTCAGCCAAATGATACTCACTGACCAAGTCAGCGAGCTTACCACCCTGCAACTTGTAGAATGGGCTGGCAGTAGAGTAGCTACCGTTGACCTTGGCCGCAACCTTGGCCACATAGTAGTTTGGCGACAGCACTGACTCTCCCTTGGCAGCAATAGCAACGTAGGCAGATGGCAAAGTGTCGTCTCTGAGTCTAACTTCAGAACCCAAGAACTTGGCTGGCTTGGTGACTGGCTTGACACCGGAAGCAAAGGTCAACTTGGAAGCAAACTCAATCAACTTCTCGTGGTCCACGTCACCGGTACCAACCAAAGCCAGGTTGGAGTTGATGAAGTACTTTCCGAAAAAGGAGGTCAAGTCCATTGGTTCCAGAGTACCAACAGTCTCAGCCTTACCGTAAGTTGGCAAGGCCAATGAGGTGGACTGGAAAGCAGTGGAGGTCAGGTGCTCCAACACTCTCTCGATTGGCTTCTCCTCGAGAGACTCGGAGAAGCTAGCAGCCTTTTCAGCCTCCGACTTGATTAACTCGGCGTCGGAGAAGGTGGATTCAACAGCCTTGGTGGAAAGAGTCTTCTCGAAAACAGACAAAGCATCTGATAGAGCTCCGTTGGCGAAGGAGAATGTCACACCAGTGGTCTCCTTCGAGTTCGAGGAACTGACAATAACACCGGAAGCAAGCGACGAAGAGTACGCTGACTTGGCCAAAACTGATCCCAACAGAGTAGAAACACCCGAGTTGTATGGGTTTTCAGCTCTGGAACCGGCGGCAGAGTACAGACCTATCGTGGAAGTTGACGATGGCACCGATTTGGTAGCAACGGTCAAACCGTTGGCCAACTGGGTGATCTTGGCCTTGGCAACCGAAGTTGAAAGAAACCTTTTAGAAAACATTTAGTTATTCAAAAGCAAGACAATTGGTTGTGAATGAATCTTGTCAAAAGGTCTTAAAGCGGTCGTGAGATCCAATCACAGAGTTCGAATTGGTGAGGATGGGAGTGTGGCCGGGTAACACCTGTAGTCTCACTACCATCGAAAGAACGATGAGCTTTTCGAGTTGGTGAGAGATCGGGCTGGATATTTGAAGTTGGCGCCTTTTTTTATAATTGGAACGGACACAACAAAGATTTCGAGATGAACAAATTACAACCAACACTGAAACAGCTGAAACGTTTTCCAAAGCCCGTGGCCCTGCCCTCGACATACCTCAACGCCAGAGTGATAAAGGATCACTTCAAGCGTCAGATGTTCGCCGAGAACGAGGTCACAACCAGAGCTTTGAAGTTTATTGCAAGAAATACAGCTCTGCCCCCAAGAGCCAGATTGGAGGCCCAGGTGCAGCTGACGTCGATGCCAAACTACACCAGATTCACACAGGTGAGAGACAGATGTGTGGACTCTGGAAGAGGCAAGGGTATTTTGAGCGATTTTAGACTTTGCAGAGTAAGTTGAGAATCACCAGGGTATTGAAGAGGAGAGACCCCAAGTTTTTTGCTACCAAAGGCATATACTAACCTACATTTTTTAGTATCAATTCAGGATGCAGGCACGCAAGGGTCTTCTGACGGGAGTGACGAAGGGTCAGTGGTGAACCGAACAGGGAGAGTGGGTTATCACAATCGGATAATATTATCTTGTATATAATAGTTGTCAGCTGAAAGATTCAATTTCAACGCGTATGAAGAGCTGGCTCCAGATATGGAGATCACGTAGTGATGGCATCTCAGCCTTGACGAGACTGGAATTCACAACTCTCCAAACAAACCGATTTTAAATCAAAATATTCATAAAATATGCCAGCTTACAAGCTCATGCAAAATCCACTATTTTGCACCAATTACGTTCCAGAAGCTTTTTTGGCCAAGACTCATATAAGCTCAAATCTCTTGCACCTTAAATTTTGAGAGTGAGGGTCCCCCTTGGTATTTCCCTTTGCGGAAACCAAATTTAAGCTCTTCACTCCTCACCAACAGTCTGTTTCTAATACGCCATTCCTTCATCATTGGTGTTGAATTGGATCAGAGCTCAGAATTGTGCTAAGACCATAATTTTCTGGTAAAAGACCACAATACACAAATACCAGTTGCTCTCTCAATTTTGCAACGCACAACAACAGATCATGCCGAAACTCCAAATACGAAAACGTCTGATCCTCCATCACAAGACACACCAGGGAACAAAGTCGTCGCGAGTGATTTTTGGTTCCAGATCCTCTGATCAGCAGCCAGAGACAGTTGTACCACCCAATGGCACAGTCGATAAGACCGGTGTGAAACCGAGATTAACAACTAGGCGTAACAAGGGCAGAACATTCATCAAGATTTCGAAGGCAGATCCAGTGTCCAGAAAGAATTCAAAACCGGGCAGAAAGCCCAGAAATTCAATACCCAAGAAAAACCAAGAAAAACCAAAGCCCAGAGGGAGACCGCGTAAGGAAGCGGTTGGCTCGGCCAAGTTGACGATCAGAAAGCGCGTGGGATCTTATGGATCGCGTGCAATAGTGCAATCTGGAAGGCCGAATTCGAGAAGAGTGGTCAGATCAAATCCAGAATCTGATTCTGATTCAGAAACTGGGTTTGACTCAGAGTCGGACGACGATGCTGACGAGCCTCGTGGGCCTGGAAAGTTGTATGTAATGGCAGGTTTATTCTCCAAGGCTACTCATGGATCGACATACAAAAAGGACAAACTTGTCAAGGTCAAGCTTCCAGAGAATAGAGACCTTTTGAAGGTGAAGTCATTCAAAATCCCATACGATGTGTACTGTCCCTCTCCAAAAAGAATCAGGAAAATTGGGGGTTGGAAGACCATCAAAAGAAACATTTTTATCAGCTCCAGCAGGTCTGAATTGATAAATTCGTTGAGGGAAAATTATCATGGCAAACATTCGTCGTTTACGCAATGTGTATGTGAGGATAGATGTGACGAAAACTGTTTGAACCGTATAATGCAAGTGGAATGTGAGGCTGGCAGCTGTGGAGTGGAGCAGAGAACTGGAATTCCATGCGAGAACAGACCATTCTCGACGTTGGCCAAGCAGTTGGCAGCAAACAAGGCCTATGCTGCTGGGTATGAAGTTGTATCTACCGGTAATAAGGGTAACGGTTTGAGAGCTACGAGGTCTTACAAGCCCCATGACTTGATCATCGAGTACATCGGTGAGGTGCTGGATCAGAAAGAGGTAGCCAAGAGGCTAAAGGACTCATCGCGTTTGAAACAACTGGGTCCTTCTCATTTCTACTTCCTCTCTCTAGAAAAGGGTCTGTCTATAGACAGCAAGAAGAGGGGATCTTTGGCCCGTTTTGTGAACCATTCGTGTTCGCCCAATTCGGAGATGCAAAAATGGTATATACTGGGTGAACCAAGGATTGGCCTCTTTGCCGGCCCCAATGGGGTATCTGCTGGTGAGGAGATCACTTATGACTACAATTTTGATTGGTTTCCTAGTGCCGAGCCACAGAAATGTTTGTGTGGATCACCTCGTTGCCGTGGTACCATAGGTAAGAGATCATCCAAACAGGGCTCTCCTCCATCTCTTGCTTCACCACCAGCCGAGAACTCTAGAAAACACAAGCATGATAAAGGCAAGGATAGCAAGAGACCCAAGAAGCGTGCATTCCAAGAAGCCACTCCTCCGTCATCTCCTGTCACTGAGAACGCGTCTGTGAAAGATCAAACCCGTTCCAAAAAACGAGGCCGCCCTCCAAAGGACTTGAAAATGCGAAAGCGTGCTCGTCATGAAGACAAACCCCGCAAAACCCTAAGAGCTGGAAAGACGAACGCGAAAGTTGAGATAGATGCTGCTAAAGAACCAACCACAGAAAAGACAAGAAGGTATAATAGACGTCATTCGGACGATCTGACCCAGCTTGCCCAGACAATGCCGCACTCTCTCATGAGATCCCTGCGAATTGACATGGCACCTCCTGGAAATGTGGTTGATGATATCACCCGCGAGCTTGTGCAAATTTCCAAAAAAGTGGCCACCAAACCAACCGGAATACCCCAGAAAGTACAGAAGAAAGCAACAAGATTGGACCGGACACACAAGTCGAAACATCTACATGCAGAGATCCCCAAGTCTTCCAGATTCAAAGAGCAGAAGGACGATCTCAACAAGATTCAGGCAATTTTGAAAGCAAACTTGGCAAAGAGTGGGCCGTCCAAGCAAGAGCTCAACCGCCTCACAATTGACGATAAGCCACCCCTGGTTCTTCCGAGAGGAAACCGTGCAAGCAGAAAACCTGTGAACTACCACGAGTAGTTTCAATATTTGTACATTAATGGACTCGAATCTTTTTCTCAAAGCGTGTTTTCGTAGACGGTAATTGAGTGAATGGATGACGCAATTGACAGTTACTCAACATCCCCTAATGCGTAGGTTAGTAAACATCAAAACGATTGCCTCATTGACTTTTTTTCCTCTGAAGCTCAAAATTCCATAACGTTAATGGCAGTTTGTCTCGATTTCTTGGTTTTGAGCCCTGAATGCAGTCATTTACAGATCTTACTCGGCTTCAGTTCACGATTTTCTATTAAGCAGTCGCTTGGTCTAGTGGTTACGACGCCTCGTTCACACCGAGGAGGTCGCGAGTTCGAACCTCGCAGTGACTAATTTTTTTTTATATTTTGAACCATCTTGGGCATAACTAACAATGATATTGCTGATCAATGTCAAACTAATTTTTTTCAATTGAATTCTTATAGAATGAGCTTCAGATGAAATATTGTTATGACAAACTACGAAGGCATACTCAAACCTACGGAGACTGAGAGGTAACCAGCATTCTTCAATGAAATAAGATAGTCAGTATCTTGTGCAATGTACAGATTAAGTATTTTTGAACGAAATTCAGTTCTATGGCTGTGAGGCTTTTAACGCGTCCAAAGCCTTTGTATATGAGAGACTTTCGGACTTGGATATCGCCTTGTGAACATTGGATAACGATACATGATCTTGAATCGATATCAGGTTCTTGGAAAGAAATGATGATGTTTGACCAACACGAAACTTGTCTGGAATGCGGTTCAAAAGAGTGACAAAGTTATCAAACAATTCAAACACATCTTCTGTATTAGTGCTCTGCGAAGAACTGAACATGTTGAAACGATTCAAGAAGCTCTCTATAAGCTCTGTCTCGTCCAGTTCGAGATATATCTCGAAGATTTGGAAAAGAAGAGTCTCAGATTCTGCCTTCGTATTCTTTGTATCCTTTGTATCATCATTCTGCACTTTGGAGTCCTTAAGCGCAATAAATAGTGGAAATTCAAGACTAACTGCAAAGTTTTCAGCAGCTTGGTAGTCCCCCAGATGGCAGAACGTATTAACCACCATTCCGAACATGTGCTTCTTGTAATGAATTGCTGCAGTAAGATATGGCAGGACTTCCTTGAATGGGTCAAGTTTTCGGAAACAGGTATCGACAACTGTGGCCTCTTCGGTTTGGCTGGTGACGGTTTTGGTTTCGCTCGTCACGTAGTAGAGGTGACGCATTAACCGGTCGTTAAGATCCAAAAATTTCGTGATAGAAGCTCTCTCTGCCTCGTAAATCATGTAGGCTGGGAATGGCATTCGAGGTATACTCAATTCGTTATATGACTTCACAAGAGTCTCGAGGTGGTTGCGAATACCAGAATCGCCCTCAATCAGTTGGACCATTGAGTCAACTAGATGTACCACCAAATCACCTAAAAACTGTTTTTCTCTCTTCGAATTCACAATAAACTCCAGATACTCCAGTTTTATCTGTTGCAAGTCCGACTGAGACTTGCTGAGAAGTTTTAAGACTCTGGACTCGTTTATGTCAACTTTTACCCTGGAGTCACCCAGAAGAGACAGAGCAAAACGCGGGTGCGACTCTATTAACCACTCCACAGAAGTCCAAAACAGTCCACTGTCCTCACAGTAAATTGCAATGAAGTCAACTAGATGCTCTAGCGCTTTTTGAATGGGATCTGACTCTCCCTCAAATTCGAGCTGGAGATCAGCATCAACGATTTCCTTGGATATCAGCCTTTTCCATAGAGCCACAGCACTTGCAACTTCAGTCCTGCCCTCGTAGAGTTTCAACAATAAAACGTACTTCTGATGAGCCTGAAGCCATGAGACAGCCTCATCTGAAGCCATGACCACGCTCCCCACAACGATGTTGATCTGCTCTGCAAGTTCTGCCTTGGACGTCGGAGCAGGCAGGCATTCTCGAAGCAAGCACAACTCAAGTGTCTTGATGGTATCCTCCTTCTTTTTTCCTGGGAAACTCAAAGCTTCCCTGTTGCTGAGCCAAGTTCTCAAAAAGAATCTGTAGAAGACATGAATTGCAGTATTCAGCGAGTTTGGCTCATTCGAAAGGTCGGCCTCGTACTGTTTCTGAATAGCATCTATGAGGGGAACCAGCACCGAATAAACTTGAATGTCATCCTCTAATTGATCTCCAGAACCAAAAATGTACAGCACGAGACGAGGGTCCAACAGACCCGTGAACCAGTAGTCGAAGGACTGGTTAAAGTCATGGTACTGTAGAAGGATTAGTCCAATCAGACACTCCGAGATGTGTTTCTCTATTTCCCCGAATTCTGTGGTGGAGTCAATCTCTTTAATTTCTTCTTCAAGCTCGTCAACCACATTGGTTCGGTTTTGCTTTGTGGTCCTCGACGCAATGTTCATCAGTCTGCCAATACGCGATGTTGGGAACAGTACATAGAGCCCACTATCCTCACCGTAGACCAACACTGTGGACTTCTTCAATGACGATTGTCTGGCCAAGGTGCTGTCGGGACTGGTGACATCACGATGAAGTAGAGAAACCTCGGTTATTGCTTCTGCGAGCTCTGTGGACGGAGCCTGGAAAACGTGCGAGACCGTTGTCACTTCTATATGACTTGTGAAGCTTATCTGCTGGCATTCCAACTGATTGTGCAGAGAATGAACTAAGACTTTCGAAGAGCTCACAGCGCTCAAGGTATAGGGATAATCAATAATCAAAGTGGTTGGATAAGATGCCCAAGGAATGGTTCCTCGACTGATATCACCGTTGATGTTCACCACCATTCCCATTGCAGGATCCGAATTGCCTGTACCGCAGGCAAACAGAAACTCGGACTTTGCTACCGGTACTATCAATGGCTTCAAGATCGAAGAAGGCTCACCCTGAGAAACAGGGAAAAGAGGAATCTTTTGGACCTTCTCCAGATCCAACAGGTCGTAGTTTGAGGAGGTAGCTACAGCTGCAAACCCTGCTCGTCTGATACCATTGACTGAGTTAGCATAATTGAGGTCCTTGATTAGTCTGATACCAGCAGTGGTAACTCTTATCATTCGAATGCACTTCTTGGTGAATATCGTGAGCTCGACTGAGTTCTGTGTAGGATCATCACTGACACTTGCGGTCTCATAATTGTGTTTCTTTGAGTCCAGTTTCAACTGTTGCAAATCCAGAGAGACATCGTTGACATCTCGTATTCTTCCTATGTTGGCTGGAGAAAACTCGGGCAGCATGAAAAGAGATATCACCGAGCCACATTGAACCAATGCTCTTTGAATTGGGGTGAGAAGTATTATCTTCAAAACAGGCTTTATCTTGGCTGCATGAAATCTTTGTCTTGAAACAAGAATGTAGCCCATTTCATCGTCAAGCTTGTACATGTGCAAAATTTCACCAATTGAGGTTCCAATGTATATATTGGACTCCCAGGCCTCCACACAAGTTATCTGTGCATTTTCAGACTCGGGGATCTCCGGGTTTTTGACGGGGATCTCGTCGATTATCTTGGATAACGAGTAAGGTCCAGGGGATATTGAGGGAGGTTGTTCATGCGCGGAAGGCTCCTCTGAGGACTCAGCAGGCTTCTCTGAAGAGCCGGTATTTTGATCCAAAGACTCGGTTTCAACAGCTCTATCCGTTTGATCGGTGTCTATAATTGACTGCTCGCCTGTGGAAGTTTCTGGCAACATCTGTTCGGCTCCAACCACCGGTATTGTCTGCTCGACATTTGTGCTTTGGGGTTCTGAAATCTCATCTGGATGCTCTATAATGTCAGCACATTCCTCCTGAATTGCCTCATTGTCCTGAGTGGGCGCAATCTCTTCAATGCCTTCTTCTGCTTCTTCTATAGGTTCATCTGGCGTATTACTTCTGTTTGGTGAATTTTGAGAAATCCCATCAACTGCGGTTCCGGTACCTAACTCTGCGTCATCAGTGACCTTTGGAATGACAACGGCTTCAAACTGTTCTTCCGGAATCTGGGCTTCCTCTTCATGAGTTTGTTCAGGCATCGAAGTACCGTCATTTGCAGCGTGATCGTCTTGATCGAGTTGAGCCCCAACCAGATCCTGGTGCCTTTCTTTGTCTTCCTCTTGGTTTGCGGAAATCTCACTTTCACTCTCTTTTTTAGGACTCGCCGATTTCAGAAGAGTCAAATCAAAAATGTCGCCTTCTCCGCTGTCGTCCTTGTGCGCGGTGACGGGACTTACCTCAGCTGCAGAAAGTGAGCTCTTCTGATGTACTAGAGGGAAGTATGGAACAGCAGTACTGTCTAATCCAACGTCATTGTTTTGAGGCAACTGTTTACACTCGTTCTGATCACCAAATTGGTCTTGTGGTTCTATGCTTACACTTTCAAGCTGTTCGGGTGCCAAATCTTCTTGAAGGAGACCTCTTTCTGGACTGTCCTTTGTCTGATGTACAGTATGTTCCTCACTTCCTCCTTGGACTCCGGCCCTGGGTCTTTTTATTTTCTTCCCCATCAATTGAGCACCAGTCTCTTTCAGTTTTGGGTAATCAAAGTTGATTGGACGATTAGTTGAAGGTTTCCAGCTCTTCGATTGACATACATTGACATGATAACCGATGACTTTAATCTACGATCTGAGGCTCTTCTCCCCCCCCCCTTGGTATCGGTACATCTCCCATTTTTACAGATCCGGCCCCCAATTTTTATCTTGAACTTTTCATATTTACTTCGTCTATGCATAACATCTTTGCGAAATATAAATATACATTCTAGCCGAAAATTTGTAAGTCGTCGTTGATGATATCATCTTCGCTTTCGTCATCACTCACATCCTCTGCTTCACTTTCTTCGTTCATGTTCACCCTCTGGCCCAGAAGCGAGGCGAAAAACTCATCAATCTGGCTATCGCCCCAACTAATGGAGCCGGTTTTTGGAGCTTCGAAATTTTGCAATGGCTCCTGTGCGGTGTACCGTAGTTTCCGCCCCTTTGATGCCTTGCGCTCGTAATTTTTATGAAGTTTTGAAGTGGAAATCACGATCTGGGGGCCTGCTCCCTCATTCTGGGCACTCGAAAGCTTCTTATCGACCAGGTCATTCAACAACACTCTATAGAAGTCCTCGTCATCCAGAATGAAGGGCAATTCGTTGCCTGCAGTTTGGGTAATTTCAGGTTCTCTGTCTTCATCGTCATCGCTTCCGGATTCATTGTCGGACTCACGTGGTTGATAACCCAACGGCTTAATGTTTCTTCTGTTGAGTTTAGTCCTCTTCAATAGCCTTTCCATATCCTGCAAATTATTCTGGACTTGGACCAAAGAGTTCTGGTTGATAGCCTTAAACTTGGAATTGTTCAGAGCATTCGTACCGGAAGCATTCGAGACTTTATTCCACCATTTCACCAGCACTGGATCCCGGAACTTTTGCAATGTGGAGTCCAGATACTCACCATCTTTCTGAAAGGCCTCAAAGTTATTTCTCTTAAGTCCCTTTGGCTCTTTAAGGTCACTTCCAGCTGTGATCACCTGCTCCTTTTCAAAAAGGACAGTTCTGGTGTGATAGATTTGGTTTAGCAACGTGCATATTGAGTCCCTGATGGTGGATACGAGCTCGCGGGACTTTGGTGTGGAATGTTTTTTGAAAGAGGCTTTATCAAGCGGAAGTTCATTCACCGAATTCAAAGCTTTCTGAAACTTTATCCTCGTATCCAGAATGGAATCAAATGTCTTTTGCTGTTGCAGAACGGCATAACCTTTGGCGGCGTCGTTCTTGGCCGACTCTGACAGCTGCGAGATCATCACCTGTTTTTCTCTGGTTATCATTTCTTGAAGCTTTGATCTTTTCAAGGCCTCTTCTTCGGGGGTTTCTAGCTCTACTTCAGACTCCGAGTCCTCTTCTTCTTCTTGAGACTGCGAATCGTTGGGATCTTGGTCATCTTCTGATGTATCTGAAACCTCTTCTTGGCTGTCCTCTTCGTCTTCTTCGTCCTCTTCGTCCTCGCTATAGATCTCACTTCTCGAAGTCTTGGCACCTTCATACCCTTTTCCCAATTTTGCCTTGTTGTCTCTGAGCTTACTCTTTTGTGGTACGACATAGTGCTGCGTCTTGAGGCCATCGTTTGCATCATCAGAATCAGAACCACTGGCATCTGAATCGTTGAACTGAGCAAGCTCCTCATTTTCGATATCAAAGTCTCTCCCCTTTGGAGTCGCAGAATCCGCAATGCGTTCTCCTAGTGTCCTCTTAGCCATGATGTTGAGATATATATTTAACAAAGAACAGATATAGAATGTTCCACAAAAATTCATCGCCTAAACTTTTCATGCAGGAGCTCAAAAAAAATTATTTATCACGTGATCACGGTAGTGGAACAGGCTAGTTTCTAGCCGCTCCAAAGAACTAAGTGAGCACATGGAAATAGCAAACGGACATCTGACAGAAACTCCTCTGGGACTCCCCAATTTCGGCTCGGACTCCCCATACATTATTCACCCACTTCTCCTCAGCAAATATTGTGGGGAATTTGTGGGGAAACCGTCAAAACGGGCGAATGGGACTTTACTAACATTAAGGTGACCAAAGAGGTGCGCTGACGCCGCACCCAGGTGGACTAACCGCCGATGCTCTCCCCACGGATTTGTTGCCTCGGGTGGGGGCCTACGATTATTTCCCTATTTCATGTGAAACCCCGGAAATGAATCCGAATCAAATTCCCGGAGCATCGGGCAGAATGTATTAATATAGGACCATGTGAAAACGAACCCGCCTACGCGCCAAACCGGGCCTTTGAGCGCTTAGAATCGGCCATCGCCGACTGCCCCCGCATTTCCTATATAAAGCTTCCGAAAGTAGTGGGTGTACTTACATGCTGCTTTCCACCATTTCATCTGTGTATTATTGTCCGTGTGAACAGATATGGCTGGTTCAAACCCATTCCCGCTTCCTCAGGACGCGCTTGAAAACGTTGAAATCAGGGCAGATATTCCGGACAATGCCAAACACCTGTTGACGGCGGATGCATTGGCATTTGTCGCTACCCTTCATCGTACATTCAATGAAAGAAGACTGCAATTGCTCGAGGCAAGACAAGGTGTCAGAGCAAGTCGTAATAAAGGTGTTTTACCCGACTTTTTACGAGAAACCCAATATATTCGTGAAGACAAAACTTGGACTGGTCCGGCTCTGGGGCCGGGTCTAATTGACCGCCGCGTGGAGATCACTGGACCACCTGATCGCAAGATGGTGATCAACGCGCTCAACTCTAAAGTTGCTACTTACATGACAGATTTTGAGGATTCCATGACTCCAACCTGGCATAACGTGATTGATGGTCAGGTTAATCTTTATGATGCTGTGAGACGAGACTTGACACTGGTTGCTGGTAAGAAGACTTATCGTCTCAACACAGACTCTGGAAGACACATTCCAACTCTAATTGTTCGTCCTCGTGGGTGGCATCTCAGTGAGAAGCACATTATTGTTGATGGCGTCCCTATCAGTGGGTCTCTGTTTGACTTTGCGATTTATTTTTATCACAATGCAAAAGAATCCAAGAAGCAGGGCTTTGGCCCGTACTTCTACCTGCCTAAGATGGAGCATCATCTCGAGGCGAAACTCTGGGCAGACGTTTTCAGTTTCGCGGAAGCCTATATTGCTTTACAAAGAGGCACTATCAGGGCCACCGTTCTCATTGAGACGATTGAAGCGGTTTTCCAAATGGACGAAATTATCTATCAGCTGCGTGACTACTCTGCGGGTCTGAACTGTGGTAGATGGGACTACATTTTCAGTTATATCAAGGTTCTTGGTTCCAGTAGCGAGTTCCTATTACCTGACAGATCCCAGGTTACTATGAAGGCTCCTTTCATGTCTTCGTATGTGAAACTGTTGATCAAGACATGCCATGCAAGAAAGGTAAGTGCCATTGGAGGAATGGCTGCTACCATTCCAATTAAAACCGATCCAGAGGCCAACCAAAAGGCCATGGACGCCGTCCAAGCAGACAAATTGCGTGAAGTTCTCGCTGGTCATGATGGAACTTGGATTGCCCATCCAGCACTTGCAGATACCACTCTGGAGATATTCAACAAACACATGAAGGGTGCCAACCAGATCAGTTCCACTAAGGACGATGGAATCGCGGTGACCAATTACCATTTGCTGAACCCGCACATCCCGGGTGGGGTTATTACAGAGGCTGGTATAAAATTGAATTTGAGAATTGGGCTTTTGTATATTGCCAATTGGCTGGAAGGCGTGGGCTGTTCTCCTATCAATTACTTGATGGAGGATGCAGCCACGGCCGAAGTCTCGAGAATGCAGTTGCACCAATGGGTCAAACATGGTGCGCACTTGAACAGCGGCAAGCAGATTTCTGTGGATCTTGTCAAAGGTTTTTTGGACTCTGAGTTTGAATCTCTGACCAAGGGATTGGACTCCAGGAAACGAGCGAGTTTTGATAAAGCCAAGGAGCTTTTTTCAGCAGACGTCTTTGGTAATACATTCGAGGAGTTCATCACTTTGAGAGCATACGACGAGATCGTCAAAAATGATTCCAAGCGGGCTGTGAGTGCTTCAAAGATCTGATCGGAGCGATTATTATTGATTTGTAAAGTGTGCTCTGAGCTCAGGCTCAACTGGCATCAATGAACCTCCCCTGCCCATCGTAACTGTTGGACAGAGCAACCATAGAAGTTGTAGTATCACTTCTGCTGAAAGTTGGCGATCTCTGACTACTGTCAGAGTCACCAAACTCACCGCTATCGTTCAACTGGATGAGAGGGTATAAACCATCACCAATTAGAGATATGCCACTTTCTTCTGGTCCCCTCGGCAAAATCACGTCAGAGTACTGTTTGGTAGGGAAAATGAACTCGTTCATTTCAACCCTTGCAAAGTCCAGATAATATTTCAACAATGCTTCGAGCATTTTAGCCTCCTTCGCCCGCAACTCTGGATTGGACTTGATTGGTTCAGTGACATCTCGCATTATCCATCGAGTCAGCCGTACATCTGGGTCACTATCTATGAAAACCTTAACCGTCCCCATTTCCCTTATTTCCTTGTCATATAATGCATAATAACCATATAATACGATGACATCCGTTCTGGCTGTAATATACCTTTGGATGTCTTGCTTTATCTCAGTGAAATTGTACCTTGTGGGAGTGAGCCAGTCGTCTGAGTAGTTGGTGATACTGCTTGAACTGTATTGTTCCATGTCTATAGTAGTCAGTTGAAGTAAGCGTCTTTTAGAAAACCTTTGCTGGAGGTTTTCTTCAATTAATCTTGCCGCGGTTCTCTGAATTCGGTTAGTGTAAGCTCTTTCACTTGAAACTAAGATGGTTGCGCAAACGCACCTTTCCGGAGGCATGTCCGCCCGCTATTAACACTATCACTGTACCATCGTGCGGTAAACTCATTAAAGCAATTCTAGTACTTCTCGAACTCTTTTCCAGAGAAGATCAAGCTTTTCGAGAGTGTCAGAGCTGAAAGACCCTGTAGAGATCTCAAGGGGAGAGAGACAACGCGGACGCGATAAGGCTCATCGCAGCACGGCCTAAAAAAATTTCAGTGGCTATCTCAACTTTTCAAATTGAGTCTTTCTTCAGAAATCTATAAGATCAGCTTATATTTCAGACCTTTCAAACACAATATGGAATTTGATAAAGAATTAGACTCTACTCTGAGGTTCAAGTCTTCGAAAAACATACCGGTGGTGGCTTCTTTTGAGGATATGAAGCTGAAAGATGACCTGCTGAGAGGTATTTATGATTACGGGTTCGAAGAGCCATCAGCCATTCAGTCTAGAGCTATCAAGCCAATTATTGCAGGCAGGGATACCATCGCGCAAGCTCAGTCGGGTACTGGTAAGACGGCCACTTTTGGAATAGGTATTTTACAAGTTTGTGATACAAAGAGTAGGGAAACTCAGGCCATCGTCCTGTCGCCTACCAGAGAACTGGCACTGCAAATCCAAAAAGTGCTCAAATCGCTGGGTAGTTTTATGAACTTGCACTGTCATGCGTGTATTGGTGGTACCAGTGTTGGTGAGGATATGAAACAATTTGGCAAGGGCCAACAGGTGGTGAGTGGGACGCCCGGTAGAGTGGTGGATATGATCAAGAGAAGGACTCTTAATACCAGAAACATCAAGATGTTGGTGCTAGACGAAGCTGACGAGTTACTCAACAAAGGATTTCAGGAACAAATATACGAGGTTTACCGGTATTTACCGCCATCTACCCAAGTGGTAGTGGTGTCTGCCACGCTTCCCAACGAGGTGCTCTCCATGACCAAGAAGTTCATGAACGATCCTGTCAAGATCCTTGTGAAGAGAGATGATATAACTCTCGAGGGAATTTCGCAGTTCTACATTGACGTGGATAAGGAGGACTGGAAATTCGACACATTGTGCGACTTATATGACTCTATGACCATTTCGCAGGCAGTTATCTTCTGCAATACGAAGAAGAAGGTGGATTGGCTTTGTGAAGCCATGAGGAAGGCCAACTTCACGGTTGTAGCAATGCACGGCGATATGAAGCAGGAGGAAAGAGACAAGATCATGCAAGAATTCAGATCTAGTCAGTCCCGAGTGCTGATCTCGACCGATGTGTGGGCACGTGGTATTGATGTCCAGCAAGTCTCTCTGGTCATTAACTATGACTTGCCGTACGACAGAGAGATGTATGTCCATAGGATAGGAAGGGCCGGCAGATTTGGGAGAAAGGGTGTTTCCATTAACTTCGTCACAAAAGAAGACAAGCCCGAACTTCATGCACTCGAACGCTATTACAGCGTGAAGATCTCGGAGATGCCTGCTGACATCAACAATCTTCTGTAAAACCTTAGATACATTACGAATAGGAATCTCTCACCAAACTCGTAAGTTGTCGGCTTCGAACCGTAAACAGATCAGACAGCTTTTCTGCATATTCAATGTCCGCCTTGGGGACAAGATCGTTCTCCTCGCTGTTCTCCACCACCATTTCAGCTCCGCTGCCTTTGAGCAGTATGGCACGAGCAGGCCTGATAATTGCAGATGGAGATGAGTCAGTTTGTTCAAATTGCCACTCATCAATGTCAATCTCATGAACTTGCCAATTGCTGCTCATTGAAGTCAAATTTTTGACTGAAGACCCGTCTGCTGACATCTCCAGAATGATGAAGTTGTCCCTGAGGTCTTCCTTGAAGTCGTCTGGGCGTCCTCCTACCGGGCTTCGCCTCGGACTGTCCTCAAAGTTCACAGCAAGATCAATCTGCTCTTCACTAAAAGCATATCGCACTTCTGCAAGTTTTCTGTGTGGAATGAAGAAATTTCCGTTGTTTTCGTCATGGGAATCGTGTATGCGGCCACTGATCAAGGTGGAGCTATCCATTGCCACGATATAGCTATGCATAGTGTTTTCTGATGAGGGACTCATAGTGGTCAGAGAACTCTGGACACCTTCGGCCGACATATGCTGTGTTATTTTTGAGTTCCACTATTTTGTCAATTGGATGCCTGCTAATGATTGTTGTGAAACTGTTATCGCTGCTGGGACACTCCACATATCGGTTTGGTCGTGTACCACTTGGTCTGTATCGGAAGCATTGCTCAGGGGCGCGCGCGTTCCCCACACTAAACGGTTTGTTCACATTTCCTCTTCCCAGCTAAAACTCCTGTTCAATTTGAACGGATTTTGGAATAAGGGATAGACTAATTTGGACTACCTCTTACCCAAATCCGCATCACCAGATATGACCTCCTATCAAGGAGCGGCAGAAGCCTCTCATATACTCACCCCACCGTTGTCTTCATCTCAAAACGAGTCTTCTAAGATCGAAGTTATGAGAAAAGCCTTTGAAAAGATTTACATGTTGGACTCGAAAGAAGTCTTCTTGCCCTCTGGTGAGTATGTGGAGTCGTTCGATAGTTCACTGGATGATACCAGTTCATGGGATGGTATGGCTTCCACTGTGGATGTGATCACCAGCAAGCCCGAATGGCTGCTTCGCGAATCGGAGCTGGATGTGGATAAATCCCCTGAACCTCCTAAATTGTCTAAGCCTCCTTGTGAAAAGAAGGCTGTTAAAAAGCCGAAAAAGAAAACTGCTGGAAAGGCTAACGGTGTTGGGATGGTGCTGCGTTATGACGCCGCATACAGAGTCTGGATAGTTTTTATGGAGAGAAAGTTTCAACAAGAGGGTCTCCGTCACGTATTTCTGTATGCAATGGGTGACAAAAAAGATAAGACATTTGGGCCGGGTTCTGAAAGGAAGGCTTTGAAGATCCTTATTGAAAATACGGCTGATAGGTATCACTGGATGATGTGGGGGACATCCTCAGCGGTGTGGATCATTCGGGCTTTGAAGAGAAAATGTTCTCCTGAGAACCTTGAAAGGGAGGCATACTCCTCACTTGTGTCGATGAAGTTTGGTGATTTGGTTCGTCCGAGGTCATTCTTTGAAAAGGTGAGAGTGTTGTCTGCTAATCTTGGTGATGATTGTGACCTTCGCGATGAAAGCAAGCTGGTCAGCTTTCTTGTCAAAAAATTCCCCGAAGGTTATGAGGGATTTGGAAAGGGTATATCTAGAGGATCACTGGATGATCTAGAGAAATTTGTGACTGAGCGTTGTACTGCCAGGAAGCTGGCTCGTCGTTCATGACTCTTATCTATATGAGTGATCAGTTAGATACTGATATTGTTATTTTTTGATTTGGGGTTTTAGGTTTCAAGGTTTTGGGTTATGAGTTATGGGTTTTAAGTCTTAAATTTGGTTTCGGTTCAATAATGTTACTTCAATTATTATCTTATAAGTGGTATGAAGCCTCACTTCCTCTTCTGGGAAGTGGAGTTCTTGGGTAACTCCTTGATGAATGGGATAAAATCTGGCTCGCCTGGAATGTACTTTCTCAACACTTCAGGAATGACCAAACCGTCTTCATTCTGGTAGTTCTCCAAGATGCAGCACAAAGCTCTCTCGGTTGCACACAAAGTTGAGTTCAAACAGTGGACGTACTTCTTCTCCTTCTGGTTCAAAGCCTTGATACCACATCTAATCTCCAGGTTTCTGGATTGGTAGTCGGTACAGTTGGAACATGAAACCAGTTCCTTGAACTCCTTCTGGAATGGAAACCAAGCCTCCAAATCGTATTTCTTGGCAGCAGCATTGTTAAGCTCACCAGAGACGATACCCACAACTCTGTATGGCAATCCCAAGGACTTGTAGAAATCCTCAGAGGCACCGATCATTCTGTCGAACTCCTCCCAGGACTTTTCTGGTTCTGTCAAGCAGAATTGCTCGATCTTTTCAAAAGCGTGAACTCTGAAGATACCCCAGGCATCTTTACCGTGAGAACCAGCCTCTCTACGGAAACAGGAAGAGTAACCGGCATAACGAACAGGCAGTTGCTCCTGTGGCTTCTCAAACCATTCACCGGCATGGTAGGCTGAGATTGGCTGTTCCGAAGTGGCAATCAGGTACTTTTCATCATCACCATCAATGACCTTGTAAAGCTCTTCGTCAAATTGAGACAGTTGGGCAGTCTTAGCCATAACATCCTTGTTCATCATCACTGGTGCTTGCAAAGGAAGATAACCCTTGGATGCCAAAAAACTCAATCCATAGTTGATGAGGGCCTGGTTCAAGAAAACACCGTAGTTTCTCAAGAAGTAGCCTCTGTGGCCGACGATTCTAACACCACGTTCTGGGTCGTAACCATCCAGACGCAACAGAACTTCGTGGTGTGAAAGGGCAGCTGGCTTTCCGGTAGCAGTTGCAATGTTGGTGATTTTGCTGATATCGTAGCCTTCTGGAGCCCAGGTTCTAACAAGCTCATTGTTCTCCTCGTCATTGGAGATGACAACAGATTTGTGAACAATGTTACCAACTTGGTTAACCTTCCAACGCAACTTCTTGTCTGCCTCCTGCTCTTTCAAGAACAAGGCCTGTTTTTCCTGAACGAGAGTCTCCTTTTGGGCTAGAAGTTCTGTGGCATCTTCCTTGGCCTTAAACTTAAGACCAATCTCTTTTTGCACTTTGTTCTGCTTCTTGTTCACCTCGTCTAGCTGGAATCTGAGCTTGGTCCAATCATTGTACTCAGCAATGATCTCATCCACGATTTCCACCGAATCGCCTCTAGCTTTTTGTGACTCTCGGATCGCCTGGGCGTCTCCTCCCTTCTCGTCAATGAACGCTAGAATGTCAAGCATCTGAAGAGTTAGTACATTTCATGTTTTTTCTTCCAACGAGGTCAAAACCCCTTAAAAACGTGAAACAAGAATCTCAGGAATCGTTTCAGGAAATTTCAGCAACTTACCTTTTTCAAAATTTGTTTGGAATGAGTTAACTAGCCTGTTGTACTATCCACCGTTTTTTTCCGTGGTCAAGTGTCAGGACATCACAGCAAAATCTGCACTTCCCGCACGACGGTCGTGCTTTTCATGCCATTCTTATCTTATGGCGTAAGTGAGAGAGATCATGAGGGCGAGTGAACAATTGCAGAATTGATTGAAAAATAAGTGGATTCTACAAGTTATAGTGCCCAAGCTATCTTCACCATTAAATTGTACTAATTGTATTTTTTTTCCGCGCCTCTTTGCGTGTGTTCTCGTCAAATAGCCTGGGCGCTTCGTTCTGCAGGCCCTGGGTACACACTATTTCAATGCATAATATGAGCCGCACCACCATGGCAACTCTTCTGCGTATTTTTTTTTTTCGTCTCCGGAAAGAACTTCCAAGGGCTATTCATTAGTTTGCTACTAAATTAAGAGGATGAGTAGAAGAACCGGGCAACTTGCTCTATCTGTTTCACAGATAAAAAGAAGATTCAGCGGTTTGGCGCTTAGCGAGGCAGAACCAGAGTCTTGTGACCAAGGATCTGAAATGAATCCTCCCAAAAAAGACTATCAAAGCTCTGGTTTTGGTTCCAGAAGTTTCTCGGATGTTCTCTCAATACTCTCCACTGCCGCAAGAGGGTATGTTCCTGGTACGGTTTGCGACTTTCCAAGCCGTAACCAAATAGGCGCTAAACCAGATGACCAGTCTCAAGCACTGGAAAGCTCAGGTAAAGAACTCGGAAAGAATCAGAAACAAGCAATATCTAGTGCTATTAGATTTTTTGATTCAGTTAGAGACTCGGCAAGGGAAAAGCTACGATCCCTCAAGCGTTTCCATTTTGGATCTCGCTCGAGCGCTTTGGACGGCGAGAACACGGAAGAGGTCTTTTCATGCTATAGACGCTTCAAGTCTCAAAGCATTAATCTGAATCTTCATCAGAACAGCTGGAGATCAAATTCATCTTCAGAGGAGAACAACTTTGCAATCGGTGAAGAAGAGTACTTCACCTGCAATGAGAATGAAGTCTATCCACCAGTTTTGAGGCCAGTCAAGGTAGCAAGTCCACAGAGCGCTTCAAAGTCTCAAGCAGTTCAGGGTTTGGAGAAGAGACTCAATCCCGTCAATTGCCTAGACTATGGGGTTGATAACATCATTACCTTCATGGATGACAGCGACAGCGATCGGTCAATGTTTCTTGAACTCGAGGACGGAAAAGCACAGAATAACCACACGTCCTCCCTCAGCCCAATCTCCGCTGCTGGAACTTTGAATCCTGGCTCAGCTGTATCCGACAAATCAATCCCGTTCGCTCAAAGTGAGTTCATACCCATTTCAAAAGAAAGATCGAGACCCACTAACATATTATTGACTTTGACCCTTCAGAGCTTTCTACTGCTTCAAGGGAAGAACAAGGTGAGTTCTAACCTCGTTTATTGTTCTATTTTGGTCAGAGCAAATTATTGACTATTTACAGTGAACCAAAACTTCGATACTTCTGAGAACCCAGTCGTTGAAGAGCTGTGCTCTAGTATCAGCCGCTATGTTCCTGCCTTTAAAGAACAAGGGAATGACGAAGATTACGAGGTCTCTAATAACTACTGTTTTGTTGAACAATCCGAAAATTATCCAACCAGAGACCGCCCATCTTCGCACGACATCGACTCTCTCAAGTTCAAGGTGAATCCAGGGACCATCAAGTTTGACAAAGAAGCTCAACTAAACATCTACGATGCTGAGGCTGCATTAGTATCACTGGCACCTATACAGGACGGCAAAAAGCTCAACTCAGGTCGCTCGATTCTAAAAACAAAGCAGAACTCCAACATAGAACAGGAAGCCATGCAGGTAGAAACCGAGACACGCATGAATCTCGAGGATTTCTTAACTGAGCTTGAAAGGCGCGAGTTACAGAGAGTCGGGGTTGAGCCATACTTGAGCTCAATTCGGGAAATTCAGCTCGAGAACTATTACAACTACGAATAGAGAACACCGACAATTAACAGACATTATATTGTAGTAATAGTCCTCTTTGGGAAGTGCGGCGATATTTTATCCTAAATCCACAACCTTTTTGTCTGGCCAATGAAAGTCCAAAGGATCAGAAGCCCGTTGAGAAATGGCAGTTCAGCGAATCCTGTCTGTCCTTCGTCCAAGCCAACCGAGTTGAAGGATTGAACAAGATCATCTAAAACAGTGCCACATATTTCGGTTTAAATCAACAAGATATACACAATGTTTCGTCATGGATTGAACCAGGCTGCTCGTGCAGCAGCAGTTCCTGCTAGGTATGTTTACATTGGTTACCTTGTAACATCCCCTTTCTATAAGTGAAAACCCAACAGCGAATCGAGGTGTTGAACGCCGATAACTCCAAGCATTAAAAAAGCTTCGCGAATTATATTTCTGAACATTATATCTTGAGTGGAATACTTGCTTCTTGAATTGAGTTTATTTTCAGCTGTAATTGTTGAAAGTGAAAAACATTGAGATTCGAATGATAGGTGTACTGGTATTCAGCAAATTGCATTGACAACGCGAATACGTGTTTGGACGTATTGGGTTCATGAGGATCTGTTGCAGAACAGGGAATGTTTTTTTTGGCATTTGTCAATTAGCAATTACTAACCAACTCTTTTAGAAACTATGCTACCTTGCGTGAAATTGAAATGCGTCTCAAGTCCATCAAGAACATCGAAAAGATCACCAACACCATGAAGATTGTTGCTTCTACGAGATTGAACAAGGCCCAGAGAGCCATGGCCACTTCCAGAGCCTACCACGAGGCCGAGGGAAAGTTCTACGAGACTGCCGAGACCAAGTTTGTTGAGGAGCCAGAGAAGACTCTGTTCGTCGTTGTTTCCTCCGACAAGGGTCTGTGTGGTTCTATCCACTCTCAGATCGCCAAGGCTGCAAGAAAGAGACTTGCCGAGGTCCCAGATGCCACTGTGGTCACAGTTGGTGACAAGGTCAAGGCCCAGCTCCTGAGAACCCACGCTGCTAACATCGCCCTTTCTTTCAACGGTGTTGGTAAGGAGGCCCCAACCTTCACCGAGGCTACCTTAATCTCTGACGAGATTGCCAAGCTCGGAACTTTCGGCAAGGTTGAGGTTTTGTACAACAAGTTTGTCTCTGGTGTCTCTTTCGAGCCAGAATCCTTCCCAGTTTACGATGCCTCTGCCATCGATGCTTCCGAGAAGCTGTCCACCTTTGAGGTTGAGGATGACCTGAACGTGTCTGCCTCTGCTTCCGAGTTCAGTTTTGCTAATTCCATTCTGTCTGCCATGGCCGATGGTTACGCCTCCGAGATTTCTGCCAGAAGAAACGCTATGGACAACGCCTCCAAGAACGCTGGTGACATGATCAGCAGATACTCCATTCTGTACAACAGAACCAGACAGGCCGTTATTACCAACGAGCTGGTTGATATCATTACTGGTGCTTCTTCGTTGGACTAAGCAGTTGAACGCATTGGGGATTCCGAGTTCGCGCTTTGTGCTGTGGAGCTGGAATCTTCTTTTCTGGTCGTATAGATTGACACATTATAACTTTAACGATTGAAAATTAAATTCTCAAAATCATATGCGTGTAGCCAGAAACAAACTTTCAGCTACATTGAAAAATACCTAAAACCAGATGCAGGTGGAGAATTGGAAGGCACCAACGTTCTCCCACAGGAACTCACAATGAAAAAAAATAAAAAGCTACACAAGATTTATTCACAAGACCGACTGTCTAAGCTCAGCCGTTTTTTATTATTAGATTAACCCATTTTACTGTGAACCCTCGTTCCTATTGTAGCCAATCAAGCACTGAGGGAAGTAATGTTACCCGGATAGGGTTTCCCGATCCGGCCAGAGTCATCATCGAGGAAGAAAACGACCAGGCTACAGATACCTTGCCGGATGAGCCTAAAGCCTAAGCTATTGAACAAAATAACATACTCAACTTGCACCAGTGGTTTCTTGATATTATTAGTATCATCATCATGGAACACATTGCTCGTCAATCCATGAACGTTTGTCCTTTCGTCAGCTCGATGTCAGCTTCGGCTCTCAAGCAACTGTCGAAAAACTCTTCCTTGGCCTCAAAGGCCGGTGGATGCCCAGTCATGGGCCCTGCTCTGGAACACGTCAGACAATATTCTACCCCTTCATCTCCAGCGCAAGCTCAGGCCACCGAGCCCTTTGTAGCTCCCAAAGTTGAGATCCCCGTCTCTGCCGGATCCAACGAAGTGAGCTTTGACTACGATGGACTGTACCAGAACGACCTGGCCAAGAAACGTCAGGACAAGTCCTACCGTTTCTTCAACAACATCAACCGTCTGGCCAAGGAGTTTCCCCAGGCTCATCGTGAGCTGGAGGAAGACAAGGTGACTGTCTGGTGCTCCAACGATTACCTCGGGATGGGCAAGAACGAGCAGGTTCTCAACACCATGAAAGAGACCATGACCAAGTACGGTGCCGGTGCTGGAGGAACCAGAAACATTGCCGGTCACAACCGTCATGCCATCCGATTGGAAAGCGAAGTTGCTGCTTTGCACAAGAAAGAAGGAGCTTTGGTATTTTCCTCGTGTTTTGTTGCCAATGATGCCGTCCTGACTTTGCTCGGCCAGAAGCTCAAGGATCTGGTTATTTTCAGTGACGAGCTCAACCATGCCTCTATGATTGTTGGTATCAGAAATTCCCGATCCAGAAAGCATATTTTCAAACACAATGATTTGAAGGATCTGGAGGAGAAATTGGCCATGTACCCGAAATCCACTCCCAAGCTGATTGCGTTTGAGTCGGTCTACTCCATGTGTGGATCGGTTGCTCCTATTGAGAAGATATGTGATCTCGCCGACAAGTACGGTGCTTTAACTTTCCTCGACGAAGTCCATGCTGTTGGAATGTACGGTCCACACGGTGCCGGTGTCGCTGAGCACATGGACTTCAAGTCGCACCTTGCCTCAGGTATTGCTTCTCCAGCCCATGAGACCGTTATGGACAGAGTCGACATGATCACTGGAACTCTTGGAAAGTCCTTTGGAACCGTTGGTGGTTACGTGGCAGCATCGTCCAACATGATTGACTGGATTAGATCGTTTGCTCCTGGCTTTATCTTCACCACCTCTCTGCCTCCTGCTGTTATGGCTGGAACTAGTACCTCCATCCGTATCGTCAGATCCAACATTGAGGACCGTGTCAACCAACAATTGAATGTTCGTTACGTCAAGAATGCAATGGCAGGTTTGGGAATCCCTGTCATGCCAAATCCTTCTCATATCGTTCCTTTGCTAGTAGGTAATGCTGCCGATGCTAAGAAGGCATCTGATATGCTCTTGGAGAAGCACAACATTTACGTTCAAGCAATCAACTTTCCAACCGTTGCAGTTGGTCAAGAGAGACTCCGTATTACTCCTTCTCCTCACCATGGCCAGGGTATATCCGATAGCTTGGTTGAGGCCGTTGATGAGGTATTCACTACCTTGAACCTCAAGAGAGTTCCTGAATGGGAAGCTCAGGGTGGACACTGTGGTGTCGGTGAACCAACTCCGGTAACCTTCGAAAACCTTTGGACTGATGAATATTTGAAGCTGACCAACAATGACATGAACCCAAACATCTTGGATCCTGTTATTGAGTCCTTGGCCACTTCAACTGGTGTCACAGCCTAAGGCAAGCTGATCTATCAGTGTTCGTTACAGAGTTATTGATCCGATCGAATGGAGGTGGCTTTGACGAAGCTTTTTTGATTATTTTTATTCCCATAATAACAAGAATACTCTATTCACTAGCTTGTAGAATTTACTTAAAGGCTTATAAGGTGCTGCTAAAACTTGGTGAGAGTTGATGCAAAAAAAAATCGAATTATTTGCCTCCAGCCAGATTCGAACTGACGATCTCCTCATTACTAGTGAGGTGCCTTACCAACTTGGCCATAGAGGCGTTTATTCGAGTGAAAAATATTTTGTGTCAGCCATGTATAGCTGAAGTTATTTGTATTCTGTGCACGACTCTTTGATGCCTACTTTTTCGGCCAGGCATGGCCTTTTTTATGCTTTTTCAAGTTTCGGCCAATCATTTTGATATTGTTTACTATAGTGATTTCCAAAGTTGTATTGAAATTCACGTAACCAAATGATTAGGAGAATGTAAGGGAGCAATTATAGCATGCGTTCTCTCGAACGCTTTTGCATGAATTTCCAAGAAACTCTAGATTTTTACAAATTTCTGCAAGTTTCAAATTTCAACAATTCGTAAGAAGAAGTGATCGCTGCATTATTCAGACTACTATAAAAAAAAAACGGAAAACACGATTATCGTACAATTATGACTACAGGAGGTTGTAATGATAGCCCAAGAGAGCTCTATGAGAATTCATGTTCTTCTGGTCTAGGCTATAACTCGTCATGGGTATTCTCTGACTGCTCGTCCTTTCCAAAAAGACGCTGATTCAGCAAGTTGGTGATGGCGTCGTCATACTCAGTCCACTCAGGGATCTGTCTGCGAGCTCTATCCAGTTTTGGTTCCTTTGTAAGAGGGTTATTGCACAGATCAATGGTTTTTGCTTTTTTCAAGCTCTCATCGTTACACCATGTCTCGCACCATAACCATTCCTGAGGCAACGAGTGAATTTTGATTATATGCTGCAAGTTGTTTGGAAGATCTTGATCAAGGTTGGAGAGTGAGTTGGGATCAGCAGATAACGTCTGGTAATGCTGGCGGAGACGGTCACCTGCAGCTAACTCTCTGAACTTTTTCAAATCAATAACGTACAAGGCACTAATGTGATACTTCAGGTTTTCGCCTAGCAGGTTCTTCCAGTAACCCTGCTTCCAGAAACGGAACCCTTCCATCTCAGTTCTGGAATCGCACATTGGAGTATATCCGTAGGCTGCACCCTCTAGATCGAGGTCAACCAGCTCCTTGAGGTCAGTGCGTACGATTTGATCGGAATCAACAAAAATCACCTTATCCAGGTCCTGAGGGAAAAGAACGTCCAGAAAGAGGATTTTGTATCCCCATATGGTACGCTGTTTCTCTCTTTGGGATCTCAACCAAATTGGCCATTTATAAGTGATCAGTTCATACTGGAAATCATACTCTTCTGCAAGAATAGGCAAACTCTTTTTCAACAATGGGGACATGTAATTTTCTATGAGCCAGAACTTGACCGTGTGACCGGTATGTCTCCTCACTGAAGCTGTCATGATACCAAGAAATCTTTCATATAGATGACCACTGGCAACAGTGAATATATTGATATCAGCCTGTTTGGTCTTTTGCGTTCTGTCAAAAGCACCTTTCAGGAAGCCAAACCCTTTATTGATCAGAGAGCCCCCAGTTGTACCTTCTGGTTGATCCAACGAAATAAGAGATTCATTTTCTTTGCCAGGCTTCTTCGAAACTTTAACATAAACAACTAATCCTGACAAGTCTAGTATCGCCAAGTTTTCAACACGCTTTGGTGTCAGTGCCTTCACGTTAGCAGAGTACTCCTTAGTGACTTCTAGCAACGAGTATAGATCGGAGCTGGGAGTACCATCCTTTATCGAGAACTCCCACAAACCAGGGTTTGCCTTCAACTGGAAGTAACCCAGATTGGCCATGATGTTGGTATCAGAGTAAAGTTCACCGTTTTGACGCAGATCGACAACCATACCCATGGATGGAGAGTCTTCGGATCCCGTTTCGAAAGAGTGACCTTCTATCAAAATGTTCTTTAGCTCGTAAAGCCCACTAACGGGTCCTGAGAGTTCAAGTTTCACGTTATCCAAATCTGCATTGGCTTCTTTGATCATCACGATCCAAGACGGAGGGGCATCAATATCCAAAGTGAAGAGAGTCTTATCTGGGACTGATTCGAACAAAGCTCGTTTGGAGGACTCATCAATAGCGCCCGTCTCTTTGTCAAATACTAACCGGTAATCATAAACTCCTCTAAAAAACCTTTTGATAGGTATATCTTCCAGATCGGAGTGAGGTCTCAAAATGACTTTGAGAGACACAAAAGGCATTTCCTGGAACATGGTCGATATTGCAAGCAACTTCTGGGAATACTCAGTGATGGGATCCAAGACAATCGTAACTTGAATGCTGGATTCGTCTGAACCTACTCGTAGACTCGTCTTCGTGTTGAGATCAGAGATTTTGTAGCGTGGAGGTAGTCCACCGCTAATGTAATCGGTCTGTTTGTAGTAGTAGGTCTGAGTGAGTAGCATAACAAAGTGCTCAAAGACGTCAGCAGAAGACGTAACTGAAGGTATACCAGCTGATATGTCTCTGATGAAAGCCAATCTGTGCTCTTCCTCAAACTCTTTGAGCAGACTGAGATCATTTACGTCAAGCAGTTTGCTCTTGAGATCGATGAGTCTTCCAGCGAACAAAATGAAAGCACTTTCGGCTTGAACTTCGAGACCTAGAGTCGATTCAACGAGCTGAACAACCTCTCTGTCCAAATGAACGTCCCCAGACGAAATACCATGAAGTAAATCTGAAATTTTGCCCGATGGAGAAGCTTTTTCAAGATCAGTATTCACTATCAGAGCACGTACATTATCAGATGCCGAGCTCTCAAACCAATCTGCAATGTTCCTCAACTGTGCAGCGACTTGTGGATTTTTGAGCGAGCCAATGAACCATAGTGTATCAGATGGTATATTCTCGATGAGCTTCTCGAAAGAATGAATTTTGTCGTCCTGAACAGCACGAAGTATTTCCTCACGAGCTCCTTCACTGGTGTAAGTCAAAAACTCAAAGTTTTCGGCATTGCCTTGATCAGGCGCAATGAAAGTATTTCTGTGGGACCTGCTTCCAGATAGCAAGTAAGCTCTCAAGGACATCCCATCTGGAATTGAGCCCTCCAAATAGGCCGAGTGCAACAAGTTTATATCATACGAAACCTGGGAATTTATCATGTACTGCCATCTGGGGTTTAGCAACGAGTAGAACACACCATTAACCAATATATGAGGAGAGTCAATCTTGAAACGATTCTGGAATCTCCTGTTATGAGAAAGCAAAGCGTCAAAATCATAGTTTTCCGGTATGTCTAAGAGGTACAAGTCAGACAGCGAAATAGTTTCCAGTCCTTTTGAGAAGACTTCCTCATTCAGGTTGATCAGGAAGCTAATACCATTTCTCAAGCCATATACGTTACAGGCATATAAGAACTGGTTGGCAATGATTTCGTCAGCCTCACTTTGAATCAACGGCAGAACGCCGACTCTTTGGGGAACGGACCTGTTCAATATGGCTGTCACTGTTTGTAAGAAGTAGTACAGCTGAGCAGGATCCGAGAGGTTGATTGCAAATACCAGATCATGAACATTTTCCTTCACTGGAGGGAAAACACCTGGTTGAAGATCACCATATGAGTCTCTGGAAGTTGAGTAGTGCTCGTATTGGGGGTCTTTCTCAATATTGTTGAGGTATACAATGGCACCCTCAATGGACGAAACATCGTACCTGACAACCGAGCCTGTGAACTCATTCAAACGACCTGAAAGTTCCTCTGATAAGTTAGCAGCATTAGCAGCTGAACCCATTAACCTGGACAACAAATCCTGTAAGCCCAACTCCCTTTTAAGAACTGACATGATTTTGAGAGGGTTCAGTTTCTTTTCAGGAACAGGCACACCATTGATGTAAAGTCCGTCAGGGACGGGAACTTTCAAGTTCTCATTGACTGCACCCAGAATACTTGCGTAATCATCACCACTTTGAGCAATTTTGGACGAATACTTGGGAAAGTCTTGAACCAGATCCCGCAAGACCTTGAGTCTATCGGCATCTGAGTTTGAAGTGGAAAGAACATGGCTTGTGAGCTTCAGAGCCAAATCAGGAATATGCTCTTTGTTCAAAGGAGGGATATCATCAATGTAATCATTCGCATCTTCTGCTTTCTTGGAGCCTGCCGTGACCTGGTTATCAAACTTCCTATCATCAATGACAATGTAGTCAGTTCTTTTAAGAGTCAAGTCCACGCCATAGGAGTTGAGATATTCGGGCTCATCAGCACTCAGATCAGGAAGGTACCTCCACACAAAGCTTATTTTCCCGGCTCGAGCAGATATATACAGGTTGAGGAAGAATTGCTTGAAACTGGCAGACCTATAGTCACCGTATAGTTCAACGGTTGGTTTATTCTTATCTCCAACAACCCTGTCAAATGGCAAAAGTTCCATAGAGGATGAACCCGTTGTCTTGAGTGCAAATACATCATCTGGATGACAATAAAACTCACCATTGAGTACTGCCCAGGATGATGAGTCGGATCCACATGCAGTCCGGGCAGAAGACTGTGCTGTCTGAGTGTAATGACTGTATTGTGCTTGGATCCTCGGAGAAAATAACCTCGAGGACAGGCTAACATTGAAAGAGGCCCTCTCGAAGTCATTTTTCAGGAGTTTGAAAACGTTCAGATACGCTTGTTCATCAGACAGTTCGGAGATGTCTTCCAGAGAGAGCTCTGTTTCGTCGAAATCATCATTATCACCAGATGGCAAGGATACCCCCAAAATTATGGAAACAGCTGGTAAAAAGTAGGATTCGTTTTCATTTGACGCTGACTCACTAGAAACAAAAAAAAGTTAGCACGCAATCCAATACAACAAGCTGTCAAATCAACTTACATCAAGTTCAAGGCAAATGGTGTCTTCTTCCAGTTGCCAGCCAATTGGATATCAATTGTATGATCTGGCAAATCAGCAGAGCAATACTGGAATATCACTGATATTACCAGCAATCTCAGTAGCATGAACATGTTGGAGAATAAAACCTTGTGTTAAATCACAAACAAGAGAACCTGAACAAGATCAATGGGTCAGTTCTCGATTTCCTTCACCTCATCGGCAAAGGTCGTGGATCGGGTCCAACCGATAAGAGCACTTGATCGGTATCCCAAATGTAACTTAAACCCCTGGACACTAGAGTTCCTCGTTTTCAAGACAAAAACATTTTTCGTTCTGCCTTTTTTGCATCTCACTGACAGCCAGTTATCGAAATGATAGTGGCCAAAAGTGCTTTTAGAGCCAAACCCGTGGCATTGGCGTTGTTGCGATACCCTCACGTTTCTGCGTCATTTATACGCCTTCAAAGGACAATAGGAACTGCTCCTTCCGATTCGGATAAAACCGAGTCCGAAATGAAAGATCACAAGAAAGACGACGTATTTATTCCCCGTGTCTCTTTTAAAAGCAAAAGTGTACAAACTTCTGCTGCGCATGAGGATTTGAGCGAAATTGCTGGTCCGGGCAAGTTCTCCAAGAAGCACGGATTCTCAGAGACAAGCGAACACGGGATTTTTCTGGTAGATGACGACTCCACGGTTGAATCAACGCTGCGAGCTGATTTTGGTTTCAATGCTGCAGACTACGAAGAGAAATTGGTCAAGTTGCCTACCCCTCGCCAACTCAAATCATACTTGGATAAGTACATTGTTGGCCAGGACAGTTGCAAGAAGGTAATGTCTGTTGCAGTGTATAACCATTACATTCGGATCAATGACGCCACCATTCGTGGATTTGAGAAGAGGCAAGCTCTGAAAAAGGAAGCTGTTGAACAATTGTTCAGGAACACGCACGGTATCGATACACCACTTTCCATTGATGTAGAGAAGCTAGAGAGCACCAGCGATGTTCCAGAGCTGGAGAAGTCAAACGTGTTGTTACTGGGCCCTTCGGGATCGGGCAAGACTCTAATTGCCAAAACGCTTGCCAAGGTGTTGAATGTTCCCATTGTGATCCAGGATTGCACTTCGCTGACACAATCGGGTTATGTTGGAGACGACATCGAGAGCTGTATCGAGAAACTGCTGATCAAAGCCAACTACGATGTAGATCTTTGCCAACAGGGCATCATTGTGCTTGATGAAATTGATAAGCTTGCCAAACCGTCGGTGTACACGGGAACGAAGGACATTGGGGGCGAAGGTGTTCAACAAGGATTGTTGAAATTAATTGAGGGTACAAACATTTCCGTCCAAGCTAAAAAACAAGCACCGAAGGATGCGAATTCAGCAGGTGGCATGGATAGGCCAACCGTGTCTGTTCGTTCTGGTGGAGAAACATACACCGTCGATACTTCTCAGATTCTGTTCGTTTCCATGGGCGCGTTTATTGGCCTCGACGGGATCGTTGCATCCAGATTAGCAAGTTCTGTGATGGGTTTTGGCGTTGAGGACAACTCCGTGACAGCTGCTGAACAAGAGAGCGGCGACGCTGTTGAATACGTGACATTGCCCAATGGAAAAAGAGTTTCCGCGTTGGATGCCGTTTCCCCAACAGACCTGCATACATTTGGATTGATTCCAGAGCTGATTGGCCGGATCCCTATTGTGTCTGCTCTGTCGCCATTGACCACGCAGGACTTGGTCTCCATTTTGACGGAACCTAAAAACTCGATTATTAAGCAGTACGAGTACTTCTTCTCCAGGTTCAAGGTGCGTTTGGCAATCACACATACTGCAATCGAGCACATTGCCAGACTGTCGCTGAAGAACGGAACCGGTGCAAGAGGTCTCAGATCCGTATTAGAGAAGATCCTTCTTGCTGTAAACTACGATTGTCCAGGCAGTGGTGTCTCGTTTGTACTTATCGATGATGAGGTAATCACCAGTTTCAACGAACCCAATGAAGCAAGCAGCTCAAAGGAGCTCAAGGCGAAGTACTTCTCCAGGGGAGAGATTTTCAAATTTCTCAATGAACTGGGAAACGAGGACCCTATCTTGAAGAAACAGATCGAGGAAGAGTACCAGATTCCAAGCAGCGATAAGGTATCGGCGAGTCGGGGGAAAAAGAGAAAGGCGAGAGCTTGAAGAGGAACGGACTAGATGACCGATTGCATGCATTCTGACAGCTGTACTGGACCATCACCAAACCAGAAGATACAAGACAAACGAAATACACATAACTATCTGTTTGGTAACGCTCAAGAATAACCAGACGAGGAAAAAGCCTGCGACGAAGCAAACATTTTGTTCCCTGTGTCTCTTTATATGTTCATTTGGGTTCTTACGAAGAACCCATTTCTCACGTTTTGGTCGAAACTGATATATGTACTGAGTGTTACTATAGGAGGATAATTTCCACCTTTTCATTGCCTGAGGGCCTTTATTATGGGATATACGCGATACAAAAGATTCTACGTAGTAAATAGATACATAGATATGCACGTTTATGCATATCACAAAAAAGGTCGCAGTAATGGGAGCGGTACCAGTTGAAGAGGGAGTCCTACGCCGCTTTTAGTGAACTTTCCTTCAGGGCTTATCGCCGCCTAAAGAAGCACACAAAACACATTTAGCTAAAATGGATGTGATAAGTTTACAACCATCGGCAAATGAGGTAATTAGCGATGTGAAAAATGGGATCGTTAACGAAGACGAGTTTTGGATCAAGCTCAATCCTTCACCATTAACTGGTGGGGAGAACGCCATCATACAGGTCAAGAATGAAAACCAGTCCCTGACCTTTACCAATAAACTTGGGAACATGAAGCTTCGGGCAGCCAATAAAGCTCATGAATTAAAATTAGAGGTTTCGACAGAAAAAGTGTACGATCTCAGAATACCGAAAAAGTCATACACCTACTTCAACAATGTGGAGTTGACGGGGCTTGACATTTTCGAAGGGGGGAGGCAAATTGTGATTGGCGACACCAACGGGGCTCTGACGTTTGGCAAAATCAACTCTCACAACGAGTTTGAGAAAAGTTTGACCCTGGAGGCGCATTTTGCAGACATAGTCAAAGTGCTTTTCTTCCCCAGTGGAAAGGTGGTTCTAACTGCTGGTCTGGATTACCAGATAAAGATCTGGAATTTCGAAGATGGCCAAAATCCTCGGACCATGAGAAAGCACACCAACAGAATAACGGATTTAGCCATCATTGGTCGCGGTAGAAACTTTTTATCTTCGTCTCTGGATGGATCCATAGTGGTATGGGAATGTGGGAGCGGCAAGGCTATTGATGAGATGCGAAGAGTGAGAGACCTCTCTGACCCGGTGAATTGTATATGTGTATTCCAGGATCAATGGCAAACATCAAATTCTGGTGATCACCAACTGTTCTTCGAGATGGAAGGAAAGATATGTTATGCCGGACATGAATCTGGAGTAATCTCTACTTGGGACATGACGAAACGGCTGCCTCTTGGAGAATATGCTGCTGTTGACGGAGGAGCAGTTTCTTCAATTGCGATTGATAGCAGAAAGAGAAAGGATGGTTCACACCTGATTATTACCGGTTATTCCACCGGATATGTGAGGTTCTGGTCTTCGTTGAACCACGAGTCTCCTTTGCATGAGCTCAAAATAGCAAAGGACGAACTGGAAGACCGTTCAATTGGCTCTCTAAAAATGCGTGGATCGTCTTTGATTGTGACTTTCTCGCGCGAATATATAGTGGAAATTGAGCTTAAAGTTGGCCAATTTGAGAGTATTTTGCCAAAGACATTCTATGTCGGCCTAGATCAGGCTGCCCAAGTGAATCAAACCAAAATCATTGATAATGGATTGTTTGTGGCTGGGAGATTTGGACTATTTGCGCGATTCTAGATAGCAGAATATACAACTGAGACTACATTTGACATGACTTTGTCCTTTCTATTCGATTTTGGTCTTATACTGAACAGTTCCCTCGGGCCTAGATCACCTTCACCTCGTACAGCACAAACGGCTCGTACTCCGTGTCCACCAAAGAGGCATACTCGTGTAAACTGGAATCCTTGAGGACTCTTCCCTTTTTGTCGGTGGAAAACGCATTTCCACCAAGATAGCCGTATTTGGCGATTAACTCCTCCTTCGACTTGGCAATCGCCTTCTCGGGGAGATTCAGTAAAAAGCTGTAGAAGTTTGGAGGCAATCCGTATCTCAAAACCGACTCGACAAACGTTCTCAGAGCCTTGATATGGAAAGATGACTGAACAATCTCCGAGTACGCAGCCTTTGTGAGTCTGATCAAGTCGTTTCTGAGTGTTTGCTCGGCATGAGACGCAGTGGTGAACTCGTCCTTCATGGAACTGATGGTTTCCTCCGAGTAGTCAAACTCTCTAGGGGTCCATTTTTGCTCTCTGGCGGCAGCCACAAAGGCGGGTGCAAACTTTTTGAACAGTGTAACGTTGTACAGGACAAACTCTCCGTCCGAAGCAATAACTGACGCACTTCTTGGAACAACAAACTCGGTCAGGGTCTCGTACTTCTCCAGAAATGTGGACTCTAAACTTTTGGGAACAGCAACCAGCAAAGTCACCAGATGTTCCGAACCAAGAACGAAGTCACTTTCTTTGACTATATCATGCAAAGATCTCACAGAGAGATCGCCGGTCTTCTTTCTCTGGGCAGCCACCAGGTTGGACTTGGCAGTGTTATAACTGGTGTATGCTGAGCGGACATCGTTGTCCAGATTAACAGCTTCGGTGGTGATGGTTTCAATGAGATCCTTGATGGGCTTATCGAGACGATACTTGGAGGTGTTCCACTTGAATTTCTCAACATACGATAGGATTGGCTTGCCATCTACCACCTTGGCCGAACGAGCAGCAGCCTCATTTCCGTCAAAGATCGACGTTATTATATCCAAAATCTTCCCTATGGACCCGCTCAATTGGTTATCATACTTTGAAAGCTCCTCTGACTGCTGGACGAGCGAATCCAGCGTGCCCACCTTGAAGCTAGGGACCTCAAACGGAACCACGTCAACCCTGCCCCCGTTGACATGCTTGGATAGCCACTCAGAAAGTGCTGAGGAGTACGTGGCGGCCGACTCCGGCAGGGACAACAGCAAATATGTTGCAAGCGGCTCTGACATGGTCTAGATACTCAATTGGATGTGGAAGTTGGATTTGCAACAAGGAAGCTTCGAGTCTATCCGAGTGGCTTTCTTCTGTGCAGCACCCTGATCGAGTCCGGGTGATCTGCCACACAGCACCCGTGCCAACAATGAGCCGCATTATTTCGCCTTTTTATTTTTTTTGCCTGGCAAATTTTCAACAAGACAATCTCTATATCAACCCAACAACGTCTTCCCAGAACGGTTAAAATGAGTAATTCCTTGGAGGTATGTGTGTTATGGAGGCTTTGAATTCTTTGTGAAATACGCCTAACTCAAATTTTTCTTTTCATTAGGAGAGGTTGAAGACCAGTTCCACAGCCTTCGATGGCTTACTGTCCTTGATACCTGCGAAATACTATTTTGACGAAGCCACGCAGGATCAGTGGAAGCAGAAAAAGAAGGACAAAGATGAGATTAAGAGTATCAAGAAGACCAAGTTTGACCCCGAGGCTGCCGGTTCCAGTGCCAAAGATGTGTTGAAGAGCAGAGAAAAGACCGCACAACCGGTTGTAATTCCAGGGTCCAAGAAGGCGGCTTTTGCGAAGCAAGCTGAGTATTCAGACGAAGAGGAAGCTGAAGATGGAGAAGAAGATGTGGATGTGGACATGGATGCAGAATCAGAATCCGGCGAGGAGTCTCACTCAGATGATTCAAAGGACAAATCTACCCCGGAGTCTGATGAGGAGCATCTGGACATCGTCTTTGATGATGACGGAAATGCCTTGATGGAGACGTCGCTTATCGAAGAACCCACTCCAATAGTAACCTTGGCAGCAACGCCAACGCCAACGCCAACACCTGCTCCAACCTCCGGCAAACGCAGAAGAGAACTTTCACCAGAACAGCAAAAGGAAAAGAGCGATAACATAGCAAGACTCAGGGAGAAACTGGTTCAAAAAATCAGCGCAATGAAAGAGAAACGGAAGGCCCCTGGCTCCGGTGCCAGTGGAGCTGCCACGTCCAGAGAACAGATCCTGGAGGAGAGGAGGAGAAAAGAAGAAATCAGAAAGAGTCTTAAGAGGAAGAAGGGCGAAGACGAACAGAACGATGATGAAGACAGTTCCGACTCCGAAAAGGAGGGGGAGGAGGCCACGAATGGAGTGATCTTTGGAAATATCGAGTTCAAAGATGGTGGAAGAGTGACATCGGACCTCGCGAACGTGAGAACACTCAAGAAGACCGGACCTGCGAACAAGGATATTAAGGCGCACTTAAAGCTGGTACAAGCCAAGAAGGCCAAGCTTTCGTCGCTTGAAAAGGACGAGCAGGACAAGCTGACGGAGAAGTCGAGCTGGCAGAAGGCTCTGGCCAATGTGCAAGGTGTAAAGGTGAAAGATGACGAGAGACTGCTGAAGAAGGCACTGAAGAGACAAGAAGCCAAAAAACGGAAGAGTGAACGTGAATGGAGAGAAAGAAAGGAGACCGTGGAGAACACCATCAAAGCCAAGCAGGACCGCCGTGAGGAGAACCTGCGGCTGAGAAGAGAAAATAAAGGAAAGCCCCGGAAGAAGCAGCAGAAGATGAAGAAGACATTTAAAGGTGTTATCAAGCCAAAGAGGGCAGGGTTTGAGGGAAAAATTAAGAGGAAGTAGGGCCATTGCATTGGCAGCTACAAATTTGATAGTTACGCGCATACTTGAGTTGATCAAGAGAAAGTATTTCATTCTCAATTATGAACATGATGTTGAACGAGTCATCTGCTATAAACATGATGGTTTCAGGTTCGTTCAGCTAATCTCGTTGCCGAATTCGTCGTAGTCTTTAACGTTTTTCTGGTATTCCTTGATAGCCCAGTTCTTACCAATAAATTTCACATCAGGGCTGCTAACACCTTTGCTATGAGTGTATGCATGCCAAAATTCGTGAGTCTTGAGACGAGGATCCTCAGCCCGTAGACCAGTTGAAGTTCTCAAGTCGGAGACCAAGTTCCGCAGGAAAGAGCTGACATTTGCCCTCAAAGCCCGCGCTTCCTTGCCGAACTTGAGCTCTTCTGACATTTGGCCTGGTGACTCTCTGTCGTAGTATTTGTGGCATAGTTGGTTCCACTTTTCTCTGAACCCAGCGATCACAGAATCGTCAACGGGATCGCCCACGGTGATGCGAATATGAGCCCCTCTATTCTGAGGGAAGAACCTGTCCATTCCATCCTCAGCACTTGACTCCGGATATATGAGCTCGAAGCCCTGGGAGAATATGGGAACCACAATTGGGGCCACGGTTGGCTCGAGAATGAGTCTGGAGGTACCCCATCTGAAGTATCTCATGGAATTCGAATGTGGAGGCTCCAACTGGGCAACGTATCCCTCTGGGAAAATATGGACCCAGGAGGTCTTTCTTCTGAGTATGGGCTGCACGTAGTCCTGTTGCAATCCATAGCCAAGCAGCTTCTTAGCTTCGACTGATAACGCGGAACTCTGATTAGTGCGCAATATTTTCCACAATGGTGAATACCATTTCAGACTTTGATTCTGCTGACCTGGCTGAAACGCCAACGACAACGTGTCGTCAGGCGAGAGTAATCTAACGGCAGCATCAAGAGATCCTTGGAAAGGACCTCTGCCAAATCTCTCAGTCTTCAACACCTTTCCCAGCGTGAAAAACGTGCTCAAAACTTTGTTGCTGAAACAAAGATTGGCGGCTCCAAGTCCCCAGCGAATGTCATCGACGTCTTTGTAGTATCTCCATGGAAGAGTGGCCCATAGAAACGGATCATCGGCCACGGACATGTGGTTCATGATAGTTATCAAGCCTCTGTTTTCCCGCCTCGCACGCGCCAAAGCCGCATCAAGTTTCTCAAGTCCTGTTATCTGTGGATCATATACCATATTAACTATCAACTTGGACCCAGCAATCACAGCCACACATGTTATCTGAGAGAGGTAGTTGAACAATCTCGAGTTTGTAGACGGAGGCCTGTATTCGGACAGGAACTCGTCACCGCTCTTCAAAACACTCTGAAAGGACATTCTAATGATATCCAACGGGAATCAACACAATATTTACAAGATATTCACGGGTAGGGTGGTGCGTATGTCAGCCAAAGGGAGTCTTCAATTTTTTTCTTGAACGTCTTGCTATCATCGAGGCTGCTAAACATAGTTGGATGGTGCACGACCATGTGCGGTTCAGAACGTGGGCTGTTGAAGATATGTATTAATTTGAGTTTTGTCAGTTGATGATTGATTTTAATGATCATAAAACAGGTCAAGAACCTGAAAGTGATTATCTTTATAGCATTACCCGATTGAAAAAATTTGATCTCGGGATTTGGCCTTGCAGCGTGGTCTCATAGTTGATCCTCATATTTGATCTCCGTACCTGATCTCTATACTCAATCACACCCTTTCCTCCGCAATTTCCTCCACACATCACCAGCCCTTTCTCAATACTTGTTAACTGAGTTTTTACGGATAGCCTCCTTCACATCCCCGGACTCTCTGTGGTGTCTTGCATTAGAATCCTTTAGCTTCACCAGTGAACTTTGTAGCCTTTTCACTTTTCTCTCGATTTCATCCGAGTCCTCATCAATTTTGCGTTTCCCAACCCTTTCTTGGCCGGTAGGACTCAAAACATCTTTTTGGCCCAAAAGATCCTCTAGTTTCTTTATTCTCACCTCTTGGCTGGCCAGTCTGTTCTCCAGAGCCTGTGATCTGTTCTGTTCCACCATGTGCTCCACAGACAATTCTTGTTTCTCCCTTTCGAGTTGTATCACCTTTTTTGAAAGACCTTCTACCATCTCCTTTAATTCGGCCATCTGTGCGATAATTTCGCCCTTGAGCCCCATACTGGTAACCAAACTATCAGGACTTTTAGGCAGCTCATCTGTATTCCGCTGAGCGAGATACGATATTTGAGTTTCTGGATTCTCCGGTCCAGAAAGTTGAGATTCGGGAACCACCAGCGTACGATGGGAGTTGTAGAGATTGCCATCACTGTCACCAGTCTGCGAGACAACATCGCACCTTTTTTGTTCAGCCTCAGTTTGGCTCCTTTTTGACTCCGTCTCATCAACCCTCGGGACAGTTTCTCTCCTGACTGACTCTGGCTCAGTCTGCAATATCGTATCCATGAACCTTGACCCTATGTTGTTCAGCGAGTCCAGAAACTTGAACCCACCAGAGGAATGTCTGCTCTGTGATTTCTCAATTCTGTGCGAATTAGCGTGGTTTTTTCGGCTCCTCGAATACCGTGAGCTCTCATTCCCTCTGATACTTTGTAGAATTGGAGATTCTACTCTTGAACTCGACAAAGTCTTGATTGGAGACATTTGCAGGATCTGGTGCGTTCTCACCTGGTTTGTGTTCATCGAGGGGTTCCCGTATTTTAAATCATCCCTCGATCCATAGGCTTTATCCAAATACGGCGACGAGGTTTTTATCCCGGAAGCTTTCATCTCTGAGGAAATCCTTGTGTCCGATTCTGCTGGCTCTGCGAAACGAATGCCTTGTTTCCTGCCTGAGGTTTCTGAATTCTGCTTCAAGATAGACTTGAGCGGTCTTCTCAATCTCATTGCTTGTTCCATGGCAAGATATTGCTTAAAATATAAAACCTGTTCCCGATGACAAACAAGCAAATATAAAATGAAAATGAAAATGAAAATGAAACGGAATCCATAAAGTTGACCCTACAACAGCTATGTTTGTGTTTTGATATCTAACACCAAGTTCACGCGTAAAATATGGCAGACGCGTCCATCTTGTATCTAAACACGAACTTTTTTAAAGGAACAAGTTCACTACAACATTAAAACGTTCGCCCCAATTTTTATCGAACTATCAGCATGGATCCTATAGTGCTTCCTATATCTCTTCAACCGTCAAATCTACGACCTATAGCATACAGAATATTGACCAAGAAGTATGGCCTTAACATCCAGTCAGAGGCTCTAAAACGGTTGACGGAGGTGATAGGCCAGCGGTTCGGAAAGGACTGGAGATCGCCCAAGAGTCTGGCATTTCTCGAGAAGATTGGTCAGAGCTGGAAATCTCAGGATTTGGGCGTTTTCTTGCAAAGCGGAGACCAGTTGGACTCTGTGATTGATCAACTAACACATAACGAGAATGCCAGTGGTCGGACAGATGCCGGAAAAGTCACCAAGAAGGCTGCTTCACTCGACGAGCTGGTGGCAACTAAAATGGGGAATGATCCTGATTCCAAAAGCTTTGAGATCTACAATAGTCAAGCGGACGAAGAGATGGAGGTGCCTCCCGAAATCGACTGGAAAGACCATTTCAAAGTGGTTGATGCCTTCAGATTACCCGTTTACACGTACAATTACACGAGGAAACAGTACGAGTTTGTTCCAAGTTTCAACCCTCTCGAAGAAAAGAAGAATGGGAGCATTCCTATGACGGGGTTGCTGGCCAACGTGAAGTCATACGCAGATCTCTTCATCACCAGGTACAAGATATCCAGCGATCGTTTATTGAGAAACGACAATTTCCAGACGAGTCATGGCGAAAAATCGACACACAACTCGATAACAGGAAGCACAACAAAATCCGTTGCTCAGGTTGTTACCTCCATAAAGAACATGCTGGGTAGACACGGCCAGCACTTTCTGCTATTTGGACTCTTCACCAAGAGCAGTGATGGCTTCTGGCAATTGCAGGACGATACCGGAGCTATTCAACTAGAACTGAACCAATGTGTTTTTTCTAAGGACTGTTACTTCACACCGGGTTGTATGCTTTTTTGCGATGGAATCTACTCCAATGTGGGCAAGTTCTATGCTTCGGTCATGGGCCATCCTCCACCAGAAAAGAGAAGCATCTCCCTGGATGCACACAATATTGATTTTATGAAATCAGGACATGCCACGCTACCAAGAATCGATTATGAGCTACAAAAGCGACTGAAGTTGATGGAGAGCGAGAATTATGAACATAGGTTTGTGATACTTGGAGCTGATTGTTTCCTCAATGACTTGAAAGTTCTTGACGGCCTCAAGAAAGTGTTTGGAAAGTTGAACTCTGAAGTTGAAAATGATAACTTGTATGACTCGCTACCGTTGTGCATTGTTTTGAATGGGTCATTCACGAATCTACCATTCACTGCATCAGCATATAACTCCTCTGCAGTCTCATCAGCATCCACTGTGTCTTCCTCGGCGAATTACAAAGTGGCTCTGGACTCGTTGGCCTCGATACTAGAAAAGTATCCAAGGCTATGCCAGACTGCTACTTTCGTGTTCATACCAGGCACTAACGATCCGTGGAGCAGTATCTCATCCAAGGGCTCTAATGTTATGTGGCCACAGAGCGGCATTCCGAAAGTTTTCGGAACGAAGCTTAACAGGCTTTTGAAGAATTGCATATGGACATCAAATCCCACCAAGGTTTCGTACTTGGCCCACGAAATTACACTGGTCAGAGATGACATTGGCGAGAAGCTGCGCAGAAACGATATTGCCTATCTTGGAAAATCGGAACAGGACTTGATGGACGAGAGCAACGAGGACCAATTGGAGATCGACAAGTTGTCACAGTCACCATTGCATAGTCTTGCACCTGAAGTTCGTGAGGCCAGAAAGATAGTGAAGACTGTCTTGGACCAAGCCCACCTCTCCCCATTTGTGCAAAGCACCAGACCAATTCTCTGGAACATGGATCATGTTCTTCAGCTGCTGCCACTGCCAAATTTGTTGATACTGACAGATGCTTCATCACCAACGTTTGATGTGACCTATGAAGGGTGCCATGTCATCAACCCAGGCAAGTTTCTGCACGGCTCAAAGTGTTCGTACACTGAATACTTTCCATCGACGAAGAAGGCGCATAATAAGCACGTTTTCGTGTGAAGAAGAAAAGGAACGGTTTGCACTAGGTTACTAACATGATCATCTCATGTGGCCAATCTATATCTCGTAGGGAAATTTCTTGATGGTGGCAACCACAGCCTTTGGTAGACAATAGGATGCATCCACAGGTACTAGATCCTCAAACCCTAATAGACTCAGCCCGGCAATACCAAAAACAGTGTGAAAAACATCAACCTGGTTATCAGGCCTGTCACTGATCCCGCCAGTGACATCATCCTGACAACTCAGAATATATTGCCGTAACTTATCGTGGTCAACCCAATCAAGACAGCCCAGGATATCCATTCCAGTCAGTACCCACCAACTATAACAAACGTCCGGCAGCTTCTCGGGTCGACCATTCAGACCGCCATTGGCCACTTGTCGTTCACTCAACCATGACGAAATCAACTCTTTTTTCGATGTCAGTTTATCCAACTGACCTAGTATTGATAGCGTTCCCAGACAAACGAACGCCTGAGCAGCATGACTCTCTGCACCTGGAACCATTCCAAAACCACCATCAAAATTCAGACATCGCAACACAAAGTCTGTTGCACCCGATGCAATATTTTCGTCCAATTCCTCCAGTATGGATAGACATTGAATAGCAGTGTACACGAATCTCGAGTCCACCTCGCCAAACCGATCTCCTTGGAAAGACCCGTCTGGAAGTTGCAAATCTTTGATGAATTTCACCAAATCAGGCTTGAACGAACCCAGTCGATCCAATGAATTGTAGAGCTTAAGAATCTGAATAGCCGATAACGTGGACAGAATGTGCGCCTCATGCTTGGGATAAGGGCCAAATCCGCCTCTTTTTGGATCTCGGCATGACAGCACGAATTCTATCACTTCCTCTTTGACAAAGGCATCTTGAGAATCCATAAGAAACAATGCCATCAAACCCCAATAAACACCGTCTATTGATTAGTTAGGAACAACCTTGTAAAAATCTAGAAGGAGATCTTGTGTACTCACTTAGTCTCAGATGTTCCGTCAACCAATACTCCAATTGGTCAGTTTTCGTGTTCAGATTTTTGACGTAGTCAACATGTTTCTCTCTGAAAAGCTGCATTTGGTAGTGCTAGATATGAGCGAGTAATTGCCGTGGCCTTTGAACCACGCTGGGCTCACTTAAACCGCACCAGACTTGAGGATGGAGATATATACGTGCACCAACAAAATATATACTGAGTGTAACAACCAATCCAAGTGGAGCTTCGGGATTATGAAATAGTGGTCTGCTTGAGGCAACTGGAGTCCGTTTGGACTGAAAATGCAGCTTCAGATCTTCGGATTTCACGAGGCATGCTACCATTTATTTACGGTGATCTCATTGTTTCCATCATACAGGAACTTGGATGCACTGAGATACGGCTTTAAACCAGGGCTCAGCTGTGCCAAGCCCTGGGGAAGGGCGCTTAGAAAAGTAACGCATTTAGACATAGAGTGGCTGAGACCCCGCGACGAAGTATATATTTGTCCAAAGAGCAGAGCACCAGCGAGGATCTTGAAGAGGCCTAGATCCGCCAGTTTTACCCTCTGGGCAGACAATGCTGGGTCCATGGCGTAAAACTTACATCAGTTGAGGGACGGAATGCTACTGAAATTTACGACCTGGTTTGCCGCAGTACCCGACGCATTCCCAAACCCAACATGGCATCCATTGCCCAATCAAATGCCGAAAAGCCCCGCGGCATCCCCGTCCCTGTCCGGCTTTTGAGACACTATCTTTGTTTGAAGCACGACCCATATCAAGGGGCGATGTTTATGCTCTTTCCACCAAGTGTCGGGGGCAAAACCTGGATCAAGGTTCTCGCCCAGGCGGAAGTAATATTTCCGGGTAACTTTGCTGACGCGACTCTGTAGACGGTTGAAAAGCACCTGATTATATTCCGTTGCGCCATTTCTCAGTAGCACAAATTCTTCTTCGGACCGCTTGCATGGTGCCAAGTAGGCGCAGCGGCGTTCGCTATTATTTACCTGCTTTAAATGCCGAGCTCGGTAGTTTTTTGGTTGCCGGAGATGCACCCGCAGAAAAATTGCTCGCAGAGTACTTAACCCCCCGTGTGTCTCTGATTAGATTTTCTGTCTTTCTTTCTGAGATCTATATGTGTTCACTTAAATTTGGTTTTAATTTGTAATTAAATTTATCCAAATTATCCAAATTGCTCAGACTCTCATTGAACCCTATTCTTGAATCTCACTTGAACGTCACACCACATTCCTTTACATCTGACCAGGAGATTCACTTTTGCTACTGTTTTCTCACCACGTTCCGTTAAACTTGACCAAGCTTTATTCTTCTACCATTATAAAAGTTACCGTTTTCTGACTTGATGATGGCCGCAGAACAACCATATGCCAGATCGGGATCTGATCTTCAGCAGCAACAGATGCCCTCTTTCAGTCTGAATACTGTTGCCTCAAATCCCAAGGGTCACAACCAGGTTCACGGATTCGATAAGCTAGACCTCAGTCAGTCTCTGCCTCCTCTGCAGACTCAGTTGATGGGGTTTCAAGAATCGACAGGTGTTGACTACGATTTTTACCAGCAGCACGCCATGGTACACCAGCTGGGGTTACATCCAGCAGGATCTCAACAACTGGCTCCACAACAGGACCCGTTATCGCCATCTCAACTTCATCATCACCAGCACAATATAAGTAACAGGTCCAGAGCATGGAAAAGTTCGGATTACGCACCGTACGCAAATACCCACAGCTATCCTGGTGTCTCTTTGGCATCGCCAAACTGGTCGTCAGTCAATGCCTCGGCTGCGTCGCTCGGTGTTGCCGTACCAGATTTTGTGCCACAATTGTCATACTCAATCCCCACATCTGTGGGGTTTACCATGTCGTCGTTGTCGCCTGCGGCCTCGGAGCCTGCCTCTGCGCATGCTCCTATGCTGTCATCCACTTTCTCACATGATCCGCGCGAAAGATCGCCGCTGTCTCCTCACGAGATCTCCGAGAATGCGATATCAAAAGCCGTGGCCTCGGCAAAGGCTTTGGCAGCCAAAGAGCTTGGCACAAAACCAAGACGCAGACGCAGAACTGCCGACCAAGACAGCACTCCCAACTCCGACCCGGCTGGAACCGGATCAGCAACTGCAAAGTACGTGTGCGAAACGTGCGGGAAGTCGTTCAACAGGCCTTACAACTTGAATAGTCACCAGAAAACTCACAGTGCGGATAAACCTTTCCCTTGCCAGCATTGTGGGAAATCGTTCGCGCGGTCCCATGATCGGAAGAGACACGAGCGCCTGCATGATGGCTCTAAGAAGTTTAGGTGTAGCGGAATTTTACTGGATGGGACTAAATGGGGTTGCGATAGGACATTTGCGAGAGCCGATGCTTTGGGAAGACACTTCAGGACGGAGAGTGGCTGGCTATGTATTAAGCCGTTGATGAACGAGGCCAAGGAGAACGATATTGGCGAGATTACTCAGATGTTGACAACGAGGCAGTGACTTCGGCATTTGAAACTCGGTGTTTGGAATTCGGGATTCGGGATTCTTTCGGTATTTTTGTCTAGGTTTTAGTTTTAGGGTTGGGTTTTTACGCGCTTATACAGACTTTGTTGTATACAAAGGAATTCAAATAAATCTTTCAGAAAACCACTGATGTGAGCAAGCTGCATGCAGAATCAACCCAGATCAGGCCATCAATCGGCTAAATGAACAACGAGGCCTTCCCAGACTACTCTATTTGATTCATAATCAGCAGTATCAACTAGCTAAGCAAACAACAGAACTTGACAATTCGTATTGCTTATATCATCTATTCCTTTCACGATTTCTCACGCTTTAAAAATTCAAGCAGCTGAGGACGGTGAACTAAATTTGAAAGTGCAACCACCAAGTTTCCTAAAAGGGAAGTACTTTTAGCCCTGGCCTCAAAAACACGCCTCACTTGTTTATCATAGCAGAACTCGCCTTTACGCCACTTTCTTCTATCAATTAAAAACCACGCGTTCAGAAAAATGTTCACGACGAGAAATTTATCGATTGGCTCGATCCAGTCCTCAATTGCGGCATCGCTGCGTTTTAAGAGCACGAAACCGCTCACCAAGACGGCCCTCAAGCTGAAGGAGAAGCCAAAGAGACCCAAGCAGCCTCGTAACTTTTTTGTCGGAGAATACATCGTCAAAAACTATGGACCTGACAAGGACAGGGCTAAGTTGTTCTCGGAGGCCCATGCCGCTTTTGACTCGCTTTCTCCTTTGGAGAGAAAGAAGTACCTAGATTTAGGAGCTCAGGCTGCCGCGCAACATGCAGCTGACTTGGCTAAGTGGGAAGAGAAGTATCCCAAGAAGAAGATAACATCTTACGCGAAATTTGTTTCAGAAAACTGGGACGGGATTTACTCCGGCGAGGGAGGCTCGGATTTCAAGACCACCACCTCGTTACTTTCTAAGAAGTGGAGAGGATTGACTCAGAGTGAGAAGGACAGCTTCAAATAGGGTTAAACTTTAGTTTATCAATGTTGAGAATATCGCTTAGATATTGTATTTATCGCTGAAATGATACCGAATAACTTTCCTATCTCTTACTAAAACTTTAGCCAAAGCTGTGGTAAACTCGAAACCCTAAACCTAAACCTAAACCCCACAGGGTCGCGCCGCAGCGCTCCGCGAGCACCGAAATTAGCAACTTCAAACGCTCAATCCGCCCAATCCGCTCCTTTAAATGATGTAAAATGATCACCGCTCGGAATAACTTTGTCATACCCCGGTCGATCCAAGCGGGGGAATAGCGTGCACCAACAAGGAAGGCAAGCGTGGCGGTGTTCAAGTCACATCTGCAGGTATCATTCTTCGCACTCATCGGGCTTGGGACTAAGTCCAGATTTCTACATATTCTACATGTGGACACATTTCAATGCAAAAAAAAGTTTTTAGCTAACAGTATATAGCTAATAATAGATAGAAGTGATGATTGTAATAGATAAAAACCCAAACTTTTTTTTTCGTTTTGGAGGGAGAGATCACCAGTAAAGGCTGTGGTATATAGCATAGCAACTTGTTACCTAAAGAGGCAATAAATAACCTTTACTAGCACCTCTCCGACCTCGCGTTTTAACCCCGTGCAATATAAAAATGTTTTCTCGATTTTCGAGCATATTTTTTTTTTCGTAATTTCATAAATTTCTTGAGCCAGCAATAGTCAGTTGGGAACGCGGTTATATGAACATGTCCATGAACATAGCTATGACCGCGTTTCCGTTGTCAGTGAAGTTTCGATCAACTTCCGGGTTGATGCGCTTAAGTCTTCAACTGATTGTCGTAGACAACAACCATTTCTGATAGTTCAAAGATGTCGACGAGAGGAGATCCTTGATGGACCTCGTCACGGTCATACTGTTCAAGTCTAACTTCTCATCCTCCAATTCAGAGCAATGACAGTTTGAACTGAGCAAAGGCGATTCATATGAGAGGTCACGTATCTGGTTCTCCTGTATCTGAGTAGACTCTTGAGGCTTGAGCAAAGGCGAAGAAATATCCACCGGGGCCGAACAATCATTAGAGCGGCAGTTTTCTGAGCAGTAGAGAGATCCAGAGGAGGTCTGGTTTTCACAGACAATGCAGTAGTCTTCAAATGGTGATATGCTTGACATGATATAGATTGTTGTAAACTTTGAAAGAAACTGGTCAAAATAGACTTGAATTTGTCTCAAATTCGATTACTGATCAAGAAAAAAAAATACACCAGAAGCAAACCTCAAAGTATTTATATCGGCCCATGTACACGTGCAATGAAAGAATCATGGTACTTCACCCGCCCCAAATGACACATTTTTGTGAAAATTTTCTTAGGCAAGTGTGGCTGAGTATGGTGGATACGGAAATTAAGTGTGGGTCACGTGATACCCAACAATGTATTTTATCGGTTTCAGAGGCCCCCTCTTGGACCACCACTAGGGCCCCATCGTGTGTTTTGAATTGGTTTTAAAGCCCTAATGACCTCATTTCTTTGTCTTTTCGCGAATAAGAAGCCACGGGAGGGAGTATTTACTAAAACAAAATCGTGGTATGTGTAGAGTAGGCGATTACCAGACTGTGGAAGACGAGAGCAACTACGCGCTTGCATGTGTGTTTACCGAACTCCACCGCCACATATTGACTAGCCCACGATGACACATCGTCGGAAAAAATTTCTTAATTGTTCGATGCAGTTCTTCGCGTCGTGCACCGTGGGCATGGAATGATCCAGACTTAATTCTCAGACGTGTTTGATTATATAAATATATCTTTTTGATTAAAAATACTAGGGCAATTTACTAGCGTCTAGATTCCTCAGTGTAGCTGAAACCTTCTTCATAGCCTCTTTGTAAGCCTCCTTGCACGTCTACTTGCAAGCCCATTTGCAGACTCGGGAATTCCGGGGTCAAGCCACTAATTACCTTACGTTCGAGAGTTCAGGCACGGGTTGTGGGCCACGTTTAATTTAGCTCAACCGAAGAGTGGAAACAGGTGGATACATCGGGATTGGAGGGACGCGTCCGAAGGTGTGCATCGCACAACGTGCGGGGAGACGGGCATCTCGGCATTTTTGTACTATGCGCCAGTTTGTATTACCGCGGGGGGTAGTGCTATATTAATGTCGCGGGGTTCGTGAAGTATGGTACTATAACCACTATATATGAGTCACAGAGATTCTAGAACTCTGATCACGACAGAGAGCTAACCCAAGGACTTGTGCAACAGCCTCTGAAGCATGCAGTTGACATGGCCTGATGATCTATATTTATTAGCCGGTCTTGGGTCCCACAATTAACAGACAGTTTTCCGGACTTGTGTCAAAACTCACATACCTGACGAGCTTTCCGACAAGTCCATGGTTGCGAAGACCTCTCAGTCTACTCTCGTCGACGATCCTTCTGGCTTTGAGCCCAATTTCAAACCGTTCTTGAATTGAGCGTCCAGTAAAGTGCTCGGTGTTCTCGCCTTTTTTGTAGCTCTCTTTCCCACTGGTTGCCCAGGAAACCATCTTGATAAGCATGAGTTGGAATTCTGGTCTGGAGATCCCCAATTCAGTCAGATAGTCCTTGCTACCCGCCAATAACTGGTCGTATTGACAACAGTGTCTGCAACACATTGCAATTGTCATTCCCCTGAATTTGGCTAGATCACTGTTAATGACACATCTGAGGGTGAGGTCGGTGGCCACTCCACAAAGATGTTTTGAAATCCCGAAATACCCGGAAGTATCTTGCTCTGCTTCTTCTCTTAAAGCTTTTTCGACTATCAAATCCTTGATGTCAACCTTCACTCTTCGGGCATTGATGCCTGACTCTCTCATTTTATGGTCAAACTTCATCCTTGGATTCCCTCTATCAACCAATAAGAATTGGGTTTTCACCTTCTGGGTCTCGTTCCTCTTCTGTAGTACCTTGGAGAGATAGTACGAAAGTTCAGCTCTACCACACCCGAACTCCACAAAACTCAATTCCGAATCGCTGAGGGCACCCAGTTGCTCCAAATGTTGGATCATGGACGATTGCTGTATAACATGCTTCTGATTGGACTCCTTCAAGATCTCGAATCTCTCTTGAAGCCCTTCTTTTTCGTATGTTAACTGTTCTAATGGTATCTCTGCAAATCCACAAACCTCATATATTTTCTCCAGTTTCTCCACAAATGCCACAAACTCTTCATCGGTGGGATGGCCCTTTAAAACATTATCTGTCACTTTGCATGAGTTACAGTCTAGCTCAAACCACGATGCGGTAATAGGTTTCGCCAACGAGCTGCACTTTTGCACGTGTTTGGCCAATTTGTGCTCCCATACTGTGTGTTTAGGATCAACTGGACACGGCACTCTCTTGAACTCCAAGCCATTGGCAACCTGGACGGTTGGAGAGTGGTTTGATTTCGCCAGGTGCTCAGAGCAAAACTTGTTAGCAGCGTGTCGAGTCATCCCACAATGCCGTTTTTTGGCCTCTATGTAGAAGGTACATTGTAACCGCTCCTTCATTGTAAGTCTATTATATCTTCTGTTTATTCAAATAGATCGCGCTGCTTCCAAGGACTCTCACAATGCTCTTAATGATATCTCATTTCGATTTTTCAAATATTTTTTGGTCGTGTACGACCAGACCCCGGATTATAGATTTTGGTCATTCATTCCGCTGGGCTGGAGTCGAGCGATTTGGCTGATAGTCATGCACCAGTCCCAATTCACAAAGGGATTGAGGTCACGCGTCCGATAAACAAGTAGATCGATCTCAAGAGGGATCGACGGTTCACAATTAGTATCAAAATGCCAATTTCCAGTGTTCAATTGTCCAATTGTCCATTCGTTCATTGAACAATTGAATCTTGCACAAGCTTTGGTAACTCCAAAGACTTCTCCTACTTAGCACCGGCTCAGAGATTCTAGATCGCTGAGTCCAAACCTATCTCTACGTCCTGTAATATCTTAATGCCAATACGATTGCAACTAGCACAACTTATTTGAATAGATTTGACTTGGAATGAATAGTATATGATGAGGTCCAGCATTGAGTGTCGAAAGTCAGCAGAATCCGGTCTTTATAAGAAACTAACTATCATCCGTGGAAAACCATTTCTCCCCAGAATCTAGCACGAAACAAGACAGCTTTGTTCAACCGCAACAGGATCCGTGTGGTACTTTTGATGTTTTTGCGCTCACTTCTTGGTCGCATCCTCCAAACTCCTCACGTGGCTCTCTAGATTTCTGATGGACTTTTGCAACGAAAGAACGTCGGATACAACGGCATTACTTGAGCTCTTGTATTCGTCCACCAAGTAGTAGTACGACCCGAATCCGGTTATCGTGACACCCAACAGGAAGCCAAACAAAGTTCCTTTGAGTCCACCCTTTCTGGCAACTGGAGCTGTAGTAGAATACAGTCTGGCCGATTGGCTTATTATTCTGGATGTTGCGATTGGGAACATTGTGGTGATCTAGGACTGGATGGGAGTATCTCGCAGGCGGCTGGTTGGAGTGTTTGTATTGTTTGCGTCAATGAGACTTTATTCTGATGCCGATTGATATATGTTCTGTTTGGCTCGATGAATCTGCGGTTCCAAGAATATTCTTGATTGATGTGGAGAGGAATATCCGGAGAAACGAGTTTGGGAGATAGATGGAAGACGACTGAATGGTGGAGATCCAAGGGGCAAATCGTAATTGGAGGAATTGTCTTTGATTTCTACCCGTGACTCCCCGGGGGGAAGGATGGGTAGTGCAAAAACCATATCAGATTAGGCATGGGACACCGGAACGCGGGAACTTACAACTTTATTAATGTTATATTAATATCACAATGATAGGGCAATTTGGGAATAAAAGACTCGAAGTCAAATTTACGCGACAGACTTGTCAATGTCCAACTATAAAACTGATTAGGTTAGGGTTCGGATCTTCTATTATTTGAAAGTGCGCTTTTATGCGTCCTCCACTACAACGTTCTTCTTCTTCTGGCTATAGATCGCGGCCTGGACCTTGACATACCAAATGGTGGCGCCACCAATCACCACGGTGAGCGCAACAAGCACGAGATCGATGGGCACAGGGTTCATCTTGAAAAATGTGTGGGTTTCCTTGTCCAGGAAAGACTGCAAAAAGTTGAAGACTCCCGATATAGTCATAATGGAGCCATAGACGGTTCCAAAAGTCTCAAATCCGAACACCTTGGCACAGTAATCAGAGATGGATGTATAGAAGAAGGGTCTATACGCCACAAAGAAGGTCACATTGATCACACCAGCTGTGAAGCTTGGAAGTACTCCCAAGACACCAAGGACGAGCGAGACCGCGAACAGAGCACTCAGAACCACCACGGAAGAGCAATAGTCCAAAAACAAACCGACAAAAGGGATCGAAATGACACCACCCAAAGGCAGCGCTATGTCGAAGAATTTGTTAAGGCTCTCGGCAGCTTCCACTGAATGCAACAAATAGGTGTATTGCGAATTGATGGTGGCTACGAAATAGTTCAAACGCAGCATCTGGATGGTCGCAAAGAGACACATCAATACGAACCAGTACGTTCTGAACTGGTACGAGGCTGGGAAACCATGCAGAACACCAAAAATACTGTTTTCGCCATCGGTGACCTCTTGATCCTCGGCATAAACCGTCTTCATGGCATCTCCGAGCGAGGAACGACGGCCTTGAGGTCTTGGTGGTGGAACCAATGAATCTTCAGATTCTTGCAAAAGAGCAGTGGTCTCGGTAGGCTGGGAAAGTACAGGCAAGGTCGCGGCTGGGGGAGTCATGTAAGACTCACCAGGCATCACAAAGATCTGGACGATCACCATGAAGACTGGCACCAGCAGGTAAATCTTGAAGAACTTCTCAACAGGAAAGTTTCCGTCAAACTTGTTATAGAACAGCTTGTAGAACAGGAACACGGCACTCGAAGAGTCGAAAGCTCCAGTCAGCAACGCCAACACAGTTCCGGACTTTTCAGGGAAAGCGTTCGACAACTGGAATGAAGAGATGTAGGCAAAGGGGCCTCCCAGAGCCATAGAAGCGTACCCAACGAGGTATGGGTCAAAAAGTGAAATTTCTTTCGCATTGATGAAAACAAAACATGCAAAAAACAGGAAAAACGAACCAATCAGACCACACACCCTTGGTCCGTAGAAGTCTAGCGTTCTTCCAATGGTCAGGGCTGAAATGTTGGTGAGTACGGCACCAATGGTGAACATCATGTTCAACTTGAGATCTTGGGCCGTACAAAGCGCTACCGAAGCATCATTCTTGGAAACTTCCGAACCGAAAATTTGCGTCAAATAAAGCATCGGGGTGGATATTTCTGGAGGGTTGACGCTGGGGTCACAGTAATTTTCGTAGACATGCTGGCCAACCAGGACCGGCTTCAAAGCAGCAAATCCAAAGATTGGACCTCCGGAGAAAAGACACCAGACTATGGCACATATGACCTGAGCTAACCGTTTCTGCTTGCTCACTTGGAAAAAGAACATTTTGTTTCGAGAGCCTGCTGTGGAATCAGAAAAAAGGATTTGGAAAGTCTTCTGGGAAGGCGGTTGTTCTTAATGGTGTGAAATAATCAATGCAACCAAATCCGGCTTCGAGGGTGTAGATAAGAGGTCAATGCCTGGGCGGGCGCGATTTTGGAGGCTTCGGACTGGTTTGGTAAAATATGTACGGGACCAAACGGGAAATCACGGTCCAATATAAACCTTCGCAAAATATGAGCGGTTAATCACTTGGTATGGTGTAAACGAGAGAGGATGAGAAAATTTTTCGATAAGACTATTCAAATAGAAGAAAGCAGCCGTCCGGCTCACCTAAAGCGAAGCCGCCGTTGCCTAATTGGGAATGACGGACGGCTATGACCGCTAGCTTTTTAGTAAGTCTAAGTCATCTTCAAGTGGATTGAACGCAATGTGTTCCTCGGTACGAAGTCGAAATATGTATCGTTTGGAGTATTCAATGGCACCTAAATAAGTCATTATGATGCGACTGTGAAAGGATGCGGTGTTTTCCAGAAGGCTTTGAGGTTTTAATGATTTGCCAAATCTGAAAACTTTTGCATGAAAAATACAGCTTTTTTGCATTATTTACAAAAATTAGACATATTGAGTGCTTGATATTATGTCATATTATTTGATTATGGTACTCGATAAGATATTCGATTATGAGATTCATTTGTGTTACTAGCAAATGCTACTTAGACTATTTCAGATATTTCAGAATTGATAGCAATGCGGCGACTAATCCCTTGCGATTCTCTGATTTCTCAGAGATAGTATATAATTTTGCCGCAGTCCAGCGAAACCATAATTTTTGATCAAAAATCAACTCCATCCAAATTCAAAATTCAAATAAAAAACCTTCAAGAAGAAACACTTTCGCTAGACTCGATAGCAATGCGCTGATACTTTGCACTCTCAGGCTGTTCAGCCAACTTTGGAATGTTCAAAACCAGTACTCCATCTTCGATCTTAGCCTTGATATTTTCACCATCTAGCTTTGAAGGCAAAGTCACACGTCTTTCGAATTTCCCGGTGGTCCTTTCGGAATATCTGACCTCGCCCTTTTTACCTTCAGTTTCTTTGACAGGTGATGGGATCTCACCTTTGATGATGAGTTGGTTATCCTCTTTGTTGAAATCAATGGTTATACCCTCCTTTTTGGCGCCAGCAACTGACACATGGAGCTCATAATCCTTTTCGTTATCGACAACATCCACTGGAGGAGTCAGCGAGGCTGGCTCAATGCCGAATAAAGAATTGTTGCCAAACCATGGGTCTTCAAACAGGGTCCTGAATGGAGCCACTGGTCTAGCCACTGACTTACCCGAAGTAGGAGCCACTTGTTGAGAATTGGCCTCACTCGACTCAGCTGGCGTTCCAACTGAACCAACAGTCTTTTGTTGTTCGGCTTGTCCTCTGTTCCGTCTGTTCAAAAGACTGTTCACTGACCTGACCTCATCGTTTACGTTCTCAAAGAAGTTCCAGAATGGGTCGTTTTGGAAGAATGAGTTGGAGAAAACAGACATGTTGTAAATCGTAATATAATGTGTTCGAATGAAATATTGTATTTCTTTGAAGAAAGTATTGAGAAAATGAACCCTTCAACGGAGAATGTCCACCTCCTTATATATCTCTTACCCCAGAGTCTATAGAATTTCTGGAAAAACCCGGAAGCATCGCGAGCTCATCACGCACCTCTTGCATGATCTTTATTTAGCCGAGAATATTCGAGCAACTCAGATTTTACGTCAAATATTGCGTTAATTCTGTGATTATTTTTAACTGTGGCAAAAAACAAAGGTTAGATCGTAAATCGACCAAGTGGTTCTTTTCTGGAGTCTTCGGTAAGCGGGGCGAGCGTTCAACTTGCAGACCCCACTCGACATGGGATTGACTGGGGTCTGACCCATTGTGCATAACAATTGGTAACACAGCTCTGCGGCAAATATCGGCATAAACCCACCGCTTTTACCAGTGACCAAGAAAATTCTGGATTGTTACAACTCCTGCCTGTGCATTTTCGAATTAGAAAATGACCGGAATCGTCGGATACGCTCCCCATGAAAGACGTACGATCCCCAGCATAGCCTCCAGCGCTCCCAAGCCTTTGCGTAAGCTCGGAGTTCATGGAAATTCGTAGTTTCCAATTATAGCTAAATGACTTATGAATAATGACTTGTGACTGTAAAGGAGTAATAGCCTTGTACTTTTGCAATCACCTGATTGCGCCTCCTAGGCGCTCCCGGCTATCCATCTCACCACGTCCTCCAAATGCTGGCCAGACTTCAAGCTGGTCACGAATATCCCAAGCTCCATATCCAGTTCAACCAATTCCTCTGACTGATTTTGGTTCTTGACCGGGGATAGACTCTGTGGCTCAGCCTGCTTCACAGGGGACCTTGATCTAGATTGTGGCCCGTTGGGTTTTGCACCGGTGTTGGCGACACTTCCGTATGATGGTCGCTGCTCTTTCGGCACCATCGCATCTGTTTCCTTCGCAGTATTGTTTGAAAATGGCGTGTATTTCAACATCACGCGATTGGCACTGACATCCACCAAAATCCCCAAGAACTGCGCGAAAACATCCGCTTTATCTAGAAGGTTCACAGTGTTAGGCAGCTTGTCAATCGGCAAAAGACTCTTTTTTTTTCGAACAACCCTGTTGCTATTCATTACATTTGCCTTGTTGCTGGTCACACTATTTGCCTTTCCAGAGGATCCAGAAGTTTCCACCCCAAGAAACGTCGTAGCCGAGGGTATGAGGTCAAGCTTGTTGCCTATGATCAGTATCGGCTTCTTACTACCTCTCTCGTTTTCCAGTATAATTTCCACCAACAGCTGTTTTGCCGCGTGCAAAGTCAGATCATCACTAAGATCAACCACAAACAAAATCAAACCCGCAATATCAAGGTACCGTCTCCATAATCCTGTCTGGAACCTCTTCTGCCCGCTCAGATCGTAGCATTTCAGCGTGAACTCCATGGCAGGCAGCTCCGAAACATTATCACCATCAATTTCATCCAGAATAAAAGTATGTAAATCCATAGCCACAGTAGGAGTCATGCTAGTAAAAGTTAGCGGAATACTTAAACAAAATTCAAGAAAAAATAATCCCACTCACTCTTGCTCAAAAGGTTTGCCCTAACCGCGTTAGTATGTGTAACTTGAAACCCTTGCGGAAATGCTTCTTCTCACCTCTAATGCCCTCACCAAAGAGGTCTTTCCTGAGTTTGGCAAACCAACTACCGCCACCTCCATTTGCATGTACTATCATGGTTAGTAGCAGAACCGCCCAGTAGCCAAATTTCATCCGCACTCAATGCAGTTGTTAACAATACAAACACTCACCTCAATCGGCCTCAAACACGATCTAAACAGTGCTAAAACTCCACCGAGACAGCTCATGATGCGAATTGCGCTCAAAGCAAAAAAAAAAAAACACGTCTTTTTGGAAAGGGTTAGGACGTTTTAACCGCTTTGTCGCTGATAGCAGGGTTGCTTCTGCAATGATAGTGTGTATGAATCAAGATGAGATTTGGTGAAGTTCTTATCGTGTATATTCTTCAATTTGGATGATTTGAACTTTTGGTGCACTCTGGTTTTCGTCAAACCCGCATATTCTCCATCGTATATATTGTTTGAGATATATCTGATATCGATAACGACTTCCTAAAGTTGCTGAATTTTTTTCTCGTTTTTGTCATGTCATACAGAGGAGCATCCGTCTCACAGGAGACCATGAACAGTAAGTTAAAGAAGGAGCTATCTGGGATGAAATTCCCCAAAATCTTCAAGGAAAAAGTTGACTTACAGAATATCGATAAGATGGTTATTGATGAGTGGATACGGAAACGGCTGGATGAGCTGATCCCGGATGATGATATCCTGGTTGAGTTCACACTGGAGCTTTTGCATGCCTCCAACACCCCGGATATGAGAACGATACAGCTGCAACTACTGCCATTTCTTGGAGAAACGGACTCTCCCAGATTTTGCAAAGAGTTGTGGGAGCTGCTTTTGAGTGCACAGGACGACAAGGATGGTATACCCGCTGTTTTGCTAGAGGCTAGGAAAAAGGAGATCGAGAGACAACGGGCTTTGGAAGTCGCAAAGAAGGAAAACCGTACGAGAAAGGATAGACGGGAATTTCCAACCAACAGGGATTCAAATTTCAGTGAAAACAGGGCCAGAGACCACAGATCTAGCGACTACAGGTCTAATGAGAGATACGACGAGCGTGATGCTAGCGACAGAGATAGCCACACTCGCAGAATTAACCACAGAGGTGGATACCGCGATAGGGAATATAATAGAGACACAGGCAACAGGTCAGCAGGATATCGAAGAAGGGATTACAGAGGAACGGATGCCAAAGATAGAGACGAGAGGTGAAAGGAGAACCCACGGGATCCTTCGACATGGCTCTATTTTGCTATAGCTTTTGCAATAATGGAAGCCAAGCACTGCTGCCAAACACTGAATCACAAAATATTCCAATTAACGCCTGCCTGAACCGTTTGTGTTGACTCTCCTGATATAATATTGAAAAGTAGTGCAAATACCAATTAATCCAACCACCGCAGCACCCAATGTCAACTTCCACTTCACCATCTCCCAACCCCCACAGTGGTGGCCTCTTTGTAGGACACCTTTTTCACTGGTTTAAACGCTATTCAGCCGCATAAATTTGGGAATCACCACTTAAGTCGATCGCTGAAATCCCATTGACGTTGCATTTGACAAGACAATCCCCTTTTCAGAAACTGCCAGAGGACCAAGAAACAGGCAACCATCGACATAGCATGTCCGAGTACAGCTCTCAAACATCTTCACACCCAAGCGGTTCGGGTCGCCATCATCACCGTCGTGATGATAACGGGCCTCCATTACAGCCATTACAGCCACAGAATATCAATCCTTCGAATAGAATTGGAAAGTATCAAATAGTGAAGACTCTTGGTGAGGGCTCATTCGGCAAAGTGAAACTGGCGTACCATGTGACGACCGGTCAGAGGGTGGCTTTGAAGATTATCAACAGAAAAACTCTGGCAAAGTCCGACATGCAGGGCAGAATTGAGAGAGAAATATCCTACTTGAGACTTCTGAGACACCCACACATCATCAAGCTTTACGACGTGATCAAGTCCAAAGACGATATCATTATGGTGATCGAGTACGCAGGAAAACAGGAGTTGTTTGATTACATCATTCAAAGAGGAAAAATGGACGAATCTGAGGCAAGAAGGTTTTTCCAGCAGATAATAGCTGCTGTAGACTACTGTCACAGACATAAGATTGTGCATAGAGACCTGAAACCGGAGAATCTTCTTCTGGATGACCAGCTGAACGTGAAGATTGCTGATTTTGGATTGAGCAATATAATGACGGATGGTAACTTCTTGAAGACGAGTTGTGGCTCCCCAAATTATGCTGCTCCAGAGGTGATTTCCGGTAAGTTGTATGCTGGTCCAGAGGTTGATGTCTGGTCCTGCGGTGTCATTTTGTACGTGATGTTGTGTGGACGTTTACCATTTGATGACGAGTTCATTCCTGCTTTGTTCAAAAAGATCAGCAATGGTGTTTACACGCTACCAAGCTACCTTTCGGATGGTGCTAAGCATCTGCTCACCAAGATGCTGGTAGTGAACCCTCTCAACCGTATCACCATCCGCGAGGTTATGGAGGACGAATGGTTCAAAGTGGACTTTCCCGAGTATTTACTTCCGCAAGATCAGAAGAAGCAAAAGTTCATGGAGCTCGACGAAGACGTGATAAATGCCTTGAAGCAGACCATGGGTTACGGCAGAGACGAAATCGTGGAGGCCTTGAAAGCGGGCCATCGCCAGGAAACAGATGAAATTCTGGACGCTTACGAGCTGATGAAGGAGAATAAGATCTTGGTAGACGACTTAAAGAAAAGCTCGTCCAACATGGATCAATTTCTGTCCAAATCGCCTCCAAACTCGTGGTCTGGAATGGCTTCAGCACAAGCCCTATCTGCACCTAAAGAGAATTCTATTGCATACCAGGCATTGTCACCTACACTGGATCCTTCGAATGCACCAACAACCACGATTGCCATCCTGCCGTCGTCCTTGCCTCAGATTCACAGAGCGTACATGATCAACGCTCTGCAACAGCAGGGAGCTCAGACGGCCAAGATCAACCCCGTCTCTGCCAAAAAGTCCAAGACCAGATGGCATTTTGGAATAAGATCCAGATCGTATCCTTTAGATGTCATGGGTGAAATTTATCGTGCTTTGAAAAGTTTGGGGGCAGAATGGGTGAAGCCTTCGGATGAGGAGCTATGGACTATAAAGGTGAGATGGAGATACACACCAGGAACCCTACAAACCGAAGAAACGACACCCGCTATTACCGAGCTCATGAGAATGCATATCCAGCTTTTCCAGCTGGAGCCCAACAATTATTTGGTGGATTTCAAGTTTGACGGTTGGGAGAACCCCAGTGACCCAGAGGGTGCTCCGCTGATGGCAGCTAAGGATGAGGATGAGATCAGTTCGTTCTCGGCATATCCCTTCTTGCATTTGGCCACACGCTTAATTATGGAGCTGGCTGTGAATAGCCAGGGCTCGTAAAACGGATTATTACTTTTTGAAATAGTTAGGAGATGGAGTATGGGTCAATAAGGCGCAGGAGCATGCATAGCAGTCTCTCTATATGCTTGTATGAATACCCATAGCAATAGGCAAAACACACAGATTATTCCCCATTACCTCTGCGTAAGCATTAGAATTAACCATGACTTTTGCAGAAATATACTCTCATAGATATCCTCATATATCCATATATATATGCTCATATGACCTGTTCCTCATTCGATTGCGATAAGGGACCCTGTGATGGGTACACTACCTCATTTGCAGCATGCTCCTTGTCAAACGTTTATGCCAAGTGAATACAACTCTCTTGTTGCGAACACATCATTGCAGTTCTGAATGAAGAACAAGTGTGATTTGTTACTTCTATTCCATCAATTGTTTGTGAATACCATTTGTTCCAGTGAATTCCAGGTTCAGTTCTAATTTCAAGCCTAGTGATTCGCCCCGGAAGTCGCCCCGAACCAAGAGACTTGAGCGAATTGACAATGGCAACATCACCCAGGACAAGGATAGCAGGCGATATTTCGCCCAAACCTGACAGTCCTTTTGCTCATAGCCGAAAGTCCAGTGGGGGAAAGCGAGTGCTGTCATCATCAACTGATTCAGGCGAGCCCAAGCCGTTCGTGGGCCAAATTACACCGAGTCATCACAGAACCAAGAGCGACGCAATTTCCTTCTCGAAGCGCGGAAATAAAAGCTCGATATACTCGTTAGGAAATGCAGACGATACTCCAGAATACAAGACGGTTTCCACTCATGTTCCCCCCACGTTTTTGCCGACTCCATTGGCCGAACTACAGAATGTGATTAACCCTGATAGAAAACACCCCGTTGCACAGAAACCCTCTCTAAGTAAACACAGTCGAGACCCGAGGAAATACAGCAAGATTATTGGAGGATACCAGACGCGAGTTTCCTTTGATACGGTGAATCTCGAAGTTTGTGGGGATCTTTCTGACGACGACGACTCTGATGATGAATACTCCAGATCGTCACTTGGCAAAGATTTCTTGACCACAGGAGGATGGGGACCTTCCACGGGAAGACCGCCAGTCCCTACTACTCAGTTGACTAGGGGAAGATCGCTTTCTCCATTACCGCCAGCAGCAAGATCATTGTCGCCATTGCAGTCGCCAGAGCGGAGCTTTTCGCCTTCTTCGCGGTCTCTTTCGCCCAGAGGAAGGTCTTTGCGCGTAGACTTAAGTCCGCAACGTGGGTATCGTCGTGATTACCCAACAAGTCCGATAATAACTCACGACTCATGCACCTTGACAAAAGTGCATAAGGATTTCGACCATCTATACAAGGGCCCAATGGCCAAGAAGCCAGCCACTTTGCCCAGCAGAACCGTAATGGTATATGTAAGTGGCAGACAGCACACGTGGGTGGCTCTGGACTGGGCAGTGAGAAAATTGCTGCAAGATGGCGATACCTTGGTGGTAATTGCCTCTGTATCTCCCAATAGACGAAGTGCAAGAAGGGTATCCATGGGTAGTCGAGGCCAATCCAGAACCAGAAATGTTATACCGACGAAACGCAGTGAAGCAGAGCTGAGAAAGAGCCCCAATTACGTGAATGTTCTGGCAGAAAACATCATGAAGTACATTCTGGCTGTCATGAGCTCGAAGCTGATACTAAAGATTACCATCGAGCTCAGTGTCGGAAATACCAAGGACGTTCTCAAAGACATGTACCAGCTGTATTTGCCCGGACTCGTTGTTTGCTCTGCTTTACCACCCAAATCCTATGCTCTCAGATCTTGGAATACCTCAAGGATCACCGACAGACTAGTGAAAAATTTCCCCGTGCCCTTGATTATCGTTCCGGCCGCAAATATGGGAGCCTTCGAGAAAAAACTATTTGGACATTTGCAGAAAAAAATGTCGAACTATGAAAACTACGACAGCGACGCGGACCCCGAATTTGAGGGAGATGCACTAGATGAAAGCAAAGTCGCGTTCTCTATTCTTAGACACTTTATGAATGATGGACCCTCCAGCAGTGATGATGAATCAGATGGTGGTTACGAGAGTGAGCAGTCCTACGATACCATGGACAGCATTGAATTGGTCCGCGAAACGGTCCAGGAATCCGAGAAGAAACTACAGGATGACTTGATGAATATTAGAACCAAGCCATTGGACAAGAACACTTTCAAGGATACCTTGGCCGCTATCTCGGCTGCCGGGTACACAATTGGAATGAAGATGGCAGAAACTGCAAAGGCAGGTGGAGCTGGGGCTGATCTGGTTAGAAGCATCACAGATGCTCCAGACATGTCTGTGATGAAACCGAAGAAGTCCATGTTACTAGACGATCCTCCACAGATAAATATCACCACCTCGGGATCTGCTTCTTTCAAGCCTAGGCTGTCTCCAAATACTAGCTACGCGGGAGTTTCTTCTTCGAGACCGAAAAGCACCTCTCTCAAGTTCCAGGATCCTCAGTCGAGTCCAATTATGAAGACATATTCCAGAAATCTGGATGTTGGTGGCGGTCCTTCCATTGATTCCAGCATGTCCAGCTTGAAAGTCGGCTCTCATGCCAACCTACGTCCCACCAAGTCTCACTCTTCAGTTCCTACCGAGAAAAAATCGTTCTTCAAGGGCTTATTTGGTAAGAAGTAACTTACAGTATGCACGGACTTACAGACAGACGCAGAACATACATAACACACATATACTATGATACGAAATACGATTCTTCAGCAAATAAAATTCTCAATTATTAGTCATTCAAATATGATCTAGCGAGTTCTGATCACACCGGCAGCCATCAAAGTCATCACTTTCTTGTATACATCCGGGTTCTTCATGTGTTCTTGCAAGGCAGCTGGGTTATCTCTGGCCTGCTGCAAGATGCTGTTCATTACAGGGTCCTGGAGAATCTCCACAACTTCGGGGTCTCTGCTAATTCTGGCCTGAGTCTCCTCTTGAGTCTCGCCTTCAACAGCTGTAAATCTGGCAGAAAGAGCTTTCTGAGAAAGTTGCTCGATCTCTCTGGAGGAAGCACCACCTAGTTCGGCGTCCTTGGTTCTGGCCTCGGCCAGTGTGTCAATGCACTTGGTGTATTCCTTCATAGCCAACAAAGAGGTTGCCTTGCGGATATATGCTCTGATAAAGTTTGGGTCTTTGGCAATGGCCTTGTCGCAGTCTCTAACGGCTTCTGGGAAAGACATCAGCTTGGCAAGAGCAGCAGCACGGTTGGAGTAACCTCTTGGGTCTTCTGGGGCCCTGTTCACCATCTCAGTGTAAGATTTCACAGCGTTTGGCCAGTCACCCTTGGTGAAGTACTCTTTACCTTCCAGTCTTGCCTCTTCGGCCTTGGCTGGATCAACGTAGGCATCCTGCTCTCTCTTTTTCAGCTCCTTCTCAGCAGAACGCAACTTGTTCAATGTGTCCGGAGTACGGTGCTCAGTGAGAGACTTCTCAAAGAACTTGATGGCACTCTGCAAATCATCCTTCTTCACATATGTTGTACCTATTCTGGCGAATGCCTTGGCAATCAACTTGTAATCAGCTCTCATGTCTCTTCCTTCATCAACTGCAGTTTCACAGGTCTTGATTGCAGTGTCGTAATCACCCTTCTCATACTCAGCAGCAGCGCGATTGTTCAAATAGGTGATGTCCTTGAATGTTTCCCATGCTTTGTCGTAAAGTTCGATAGCCTCATCGAATTTGCGGCTCTTGTAGAGCTTGTTGGCCTCAGCCTTGTAACCATCAGCCTCGGCCTTCAAAGCCACAGACTGGTCTTCTGGTTCTGGGGTTGGCTCTGGAACTGGTTCAGGCTTGGTCTCAGTCTTTGGGGTCTCGGCAGGAGCATCCTTCATCTCCACATCAGCTGAAGGGACATTATCAGCATTAAAACCAGCTGGTGGTGGCCCTCCGATATCAACTCCCATGGCAACGCCCATCACAGTCATTAATCTCTGATCTGACATCATTTCAGTGAGCATGGATTGCGGATTCGATTGCAATTGCATGACCTTAGCAACCAATCCCGGGTCTTTCATCATTTCCGCGGTTTTCGGGTTGGTCATCAACTTCGAAATCAGCGCTGGATCAGAAAACATGTTACCCAAACCAGAAGCACCGGCATCCAGAGCATCAGAGGCAGCCTCCACACCCTCCTTGGCCATCTTATTGGCAGGATCCAATTCCAAAGCCTTATTGTAGGATTGTTTGGCTCCCTCAAAGTCACCTTGGCCGTACTGTGCAGCACCAACTCTGTTATAGCCCTTGGCCCAAGTAGGGTTGATCTTTACACACTCATTGGCATCCTCCAAGGCCTTGTCAAATTGCTTAGAAGATGTGTAACACGCAGAACGATTGGAGTAAAGAACATGGTTGGGGCTTGCAGAGGCCTCGATGGCCTTGGTGAAAAGCTCAGCAGCCTTTTCAAACTCTTTGTTGGTAAACGCCTGGTTCCCAAGGGTTTTGTATTCGTCAGCAGACATGGTTGCAAATATGAAAAGTCGAAAGTTCAAATCAGTCAATCAAAAACTTTGAATGCTTCGTTTGGGGAAGAGTGTTCACTGGCTTTTAACTTATCTCCAATTTGCATCTTCTCGAACAATCGATCGGACCCGGTACACGACCTCTCTATTTCTGGGGTTACGAGCCAGGTGGACTGGAATTATCAAATTTTCACCGCACGAGATCAGATAATTTTTTTTTCACTCATTTCCAGAACCAAAAATGAGTGGAACTAGTGATTTTGACCTGGAGACCAGCAATTATGTGGAATGGCTCCTAGCCAATTTGACTTGTGTTTCGCCGAAGGTGCAAATTGCCGATCTGAGATCGCAGGACCAGGGAAGAGGTGTGATAGCGCTAGAAGACATCGAAGAAGGCGAGATTCTGTTTTCAATCCCAAGAAACGTGATTCTGAATGTGGAGACGAGTCAGCTAGCCAGCCTGAGAGATGGCGAGGCTAAGAGTGTGTTGCTGGGGCTTCCCCAATGGGAAGCGTTGATTCTGTGTTTGGCCTACGAGCTGAGTCTTGGAACCGACTCCAGATGGTCGCCTTATCTGCATGTGCTTCCAAAGACCTCCAACACGCCAATGTTCTGGTCAGATGAAGAGATCAAGGCGTTGCATCCTTCTTATATGGTGAACAGAATTGGAAAGGCAGAAGCTGAGAAGATGTACAATCGTCTTTTCCCTGCTGTGGCCGAGCAGCTTGGAACCGAAAGTTTGAAAAATCTCACCATTGAGCAGTTCCACATCGTAGCCAGCATTATTTTATCTTATTCATTTGATGTGGAGCATCCTGGAAGAGAGGACGAGGAGGGCGAAGAGGAACTGGACATTGAACACTTCGAGGAAGTGCAGGAGTTACAGGAGGAGGAAGAGGAGGAAGAAAGCCAAGAGGCAGAACACGAGAACGAGCACGAGCACGAACATGAACATGAACATGAACATGAACATGAACATGAGCATGACCGCGATGATGTTCCCATGGACGATAATGATGGCCAGGAACCGGTTTTGACTGTTCTGGAGGACGATAACTACAAGTCCATGGTACCGTTCGCAGATACACTGAATGCGAACACCAGGCTCTGCAATGCGAATTTGAACTACGAATCGCTCCAGTTGGTGATGAAAGCCACGAAGAAGATCTCCAAGGGTGAGCAAGTGTACAATACCTACGGAGACCATCCAAACTCAGAGATTCTAAGAAGATACGGTTACATTGAGAAAGACGGATCGAAGTTCGATTTCGGTGAAGTTGCCCTGAGCGACATTTTGAGACACTTTTCTCAGAAGTACCCCTTTTTCACCATTGACGGTTTGCACTTTGCTGTTGACATAATTTCCAAATCCCACTATCTCGCCGAGAACCTGGAGAGCGAGGAAGGAATTATCTCTGATACTTACGAGTGTTATTACGACGGAGAAGTTGTTCCAGAGTTTGTTCTTCTGTTGCTCATTCTCACTGTTCTCTCACTTTCAGGCCAAGAAGACCAGAGATGGTTCAAAAGGATGATCAGACAGGCAAAGAGAAGCGGCAGCAAAGCGAGCGAGTTCGAGAAATTCATCAACAGAGTGATTCTCAAATGTCACCAGCTTACAGATCAAGACAAAGTAACTGAGATTACCGTGGAAAATTTCAAGGAGGTTGTTTCTGCACGTATGCATGAATACGCAGAGTTTATCCGTGGTGGTGCATTACCTTACGAGTTGAATGGATACCAACATAGCAGGGCCCATTTGGCAGCTGAGGTGCTCGTTTCTGAGCACAGATCGCTAGAGTCATGCCATGTCAAGGCGTTGAGTTCGCTGTCGGCTATTCAGGATGTGAAAATGGTGAAGAACGTGCTGAAGAGGAAGATGGAGGAGGACTCTCAATCAAGCAAGAGGCACAAACGTGTCAAGGCATAGATAGAATACAGTCAAAAAAGAAAAGAAAATGGTACTCAGTTGTTTACGAAAAAAATGGGCATTTTGGAAGAGCATATTTATCTCATACGAACATCTTAGATTAGCACCTTCTATGAACACGCTGAGTGGTATCGTATCCTAAACATCTTGAAAAGCACAATAATAGCAATTAGTGGAACTTGAATATTCCTAAAAAATAAAAGCAAAACTAGTGATAAATAAAGTAGAAAAAGGAGAAAATGTCATTATTTCCCATTGCCGTCGTTGTCGAAGCTCACAAAGCTTTCGCTTTCATCCTCGGAGCTACGGTTCTCGGCAGGTTCGTAATCCACAGTCGAAGACTTGGAACTTTGGAGGTGAATGCCTGGTTGGGTCTTTTCCGAAATAACGTCCTCCTTGCTTGAGAAGCTGCGACTTGTTCTCACAAGCGAAAGGGAGTCCTTAGCAGAATATTTCTCAGTATGCGATTCCTTCACCACCAGCTGGCGAGGTCTCATCACGTGGAAACCCTTTTCTGTGTCAGGAACAGCTTCCTGAGCAGGTGGTGCACCAAACTGTATCTTGGGCAACCATCTCGAGCGGTTTTGTTTTTTGGGGACTTGGTCTGCGTTCGCCGGTACATAAGGCTCCTTGTCCACAGCTGGTTTCGCATTAAGTCTTTCTTCTCTAGATTCCCACAACCTCTTGACTTCCGGATCGGGCTCCAGTATGCGGTAAGAGTTGTAGAAGACATCGGCCTCACGCGTGGTATAATCCACGGGCTGCTTACTGTAGATTGGATGAGAAGGTGGGAAGAATGAATGGTTCACACTGATTCCAGGCAGCACACGCTTGTCAGTCAATTGCAGCACTTCGGAAGCAATCGATGCAGCCTCTGAGTCCCGCTGGGTGTGCGATGGTCTAATCTCAGGGGAATCACCCAAATGGAAGTCGATAGGAGCTGGAGACCCAGGAGGCGTCAAACCCAAGCTCAACACCGAATCCACACGTTTGGGCCGTGATCTGTAGTACATCAAATTGCTTCCATCAACTTCAGGAACGATGACAGAAGAAGAGTCGTATCTGTAGCTTCTATCATCACCAGACATCGGCACCATCACCGGGTTGCTCGCATTGGCATCCAATGGCCAGACTGCCAGTCCGTTTCTGGCCCTGATCCACTCTTTGCTGACTGCGTACAAATTGTAGAAAGTAGGCAGAATAAAGAGGAACAGGAATATGGCAAGATGCATCACCATCTGGGCGTAAGCAAGATTAGACTTGGCCCTGATGTTCACGTTCAAAGACGGAATGTAGGGAAGAGCCAGCACAGCCACCAGCGTCTTGGTGGAGCTGATCACGAACTTCCATGGGTTCATCTTTGCACCAGAGTAGTACGGACTGATTTTGATCAGTGCCAGCAAGTAGACAAGCTCCAGAACTACGATGCAAACGATCTGAGCACCACCATTCCTCTGGACAGCTCCCACGAGCAGTGAAAATAAGAAGGTTTCCAAGGTGTCTATAAGGAAGAAGAAGACCTTACCCGTCTCGTACATGTGGTAAAAGCCTCCCCAAATCAGAATGATCTTGAGAGACGAGTAGAGCTTGCGGCGATTTTTCTTTGAAAAGATGTATCGTATTCCAAAGAAGAACACCAGACCAAGCCATAGAACCAACAGTATTATGCTCACCACAATGGACCACACCTTTGGAGTCTTTTGGTCCACCGTATCGAATTGCACACCTGGGGACGATATTGCTGAAAAAAGATAGAACGTCAGCACGAGAAACGGAATCGCAAATACCTCCAAAAACAAGATCACGACAATTCCAACAACATAGAAGAAGTCATTTAGGAAAAAAGCCTTTGCTGTGGTCGGACTGCGGTGTTTCCTGTTTCGTATACGATTGATTCCAACATTGATCTGTGAGACGAATATCACGCTCAGCATCAAGATTCCAAGACACTTGATGAAATTCTGGTATTCTGTGGTGGCCAGTGTGTCTGAGCTCGAAGTCATAAGACCGCGCAAACCGTTTCCGGTATAGGCGTAGTAGACGTGACCCTCAGTGGGAATGGCTATCCCGTTATTCACGTCCATGAGGGTCGACCATCTAAACGAGGACATTATTGGCTGATAGAAGCCCGGGTATGACAGATTCAGAGCCCCCATGAAAAACACATAGTGAATGTACCTTAGATAGTCGGCTATGGAAGGCGACATACGCGTCAGGATTGGCGCATTGCAAATTGTTGAAGCGCGGAACAAAAAGGCATTGCTGGACTCCTGGTAGGGCGAGAAAACCATCACGATCACGTTGACCACCCAGATCAATACTCCAGTAGTCACCACCAGGATGGCTACTCCCAGGATAAGCGAATCCGGCTGTTTCGGAGTGGCGTAAACCTTCGAACATGACAGAAGCGTGTGCTCGTGATCCGCGCTTATAAACGAGAATCTGGCAATGTACGAGCCAAAAGTGCGCGGCTCGCCCACATCGGTCCAGTAGGTCAACATCAGATGCTCTCCTTGCAAAACTGGACAGATCCCGATCGAATCCGAGTCTCTCCGTCTCAGCCGTGCAACTGCAGCTGCAGTTGTTGTGGGCTCCGCAAGGCCGGTTGAGGAGGCGGAACCCGTCTGGAGTCCTTCCAGCATTTGCGCCGGGGCAGTGGTCGTGGCTGTGGCGACGCCATCAGCAGTATCAGCAGTAGCACCAGAATTAGGTTCTAAGGTCGTGGTTGGCGAGTTCGAACCGTCTGGATACTCTGGTTCGGTAAAAGTCGAAGGTTCCTGCGAGTTCAGCGGGAGCGTTTCCACGAACGTCTCGTTGTCATAACTGAGAAAGTCGCAAAGTCTAAGATATTCATCCACAATCACGTGGTCAATATACTCGACCGTCACATGAAGCGTGGTGTACATGTTGGTGGTGGCATTCACGTCGGTGATGTTTTCTAGCGCGACTGTGTGCAATTTGTAGGTGATGTACTTGTCGTGTTCGTTGTAACCCACCTCCACCGCTATGTTGGAGAACTCAAAGGTGCTTGAGTCTACCCCAGGACATGGATAGGTGCCCACATAGGCCGCTTTTGCAATATTGGCCCAGAGCGCGGCAAAAATTATCGAAAACCACCATGGCGCCAGCCCTGAAGGTCTGGTGGAGCCTCCCAACATCGTGTGCGATTCGCGTTGGAACGCCTTTCGCGGGAGTTGAACAAAAGTTCTGGGCTGACAAAGGCAGTTTTGCTAGTCTGCACGGAAACAGAGCCCGACTCGCGGGTTTCACTATAGAAACAACTGGCGAAGAGTATCGATTACGGGGCAGAAACGCCTTGTTGGCATCAAACTTGGGAATCCCCCTGCTAATCGATATGAGCTGGACTGGTGTGCCTCTAAAGTGGCTGCAACAATCTGATAATGAGAATTTTTCTTAAGTTTGCTGCTGAAGAAAAGTGTTGTATCACGCCTCAATGAAACACACAAATCAGACAAGGCATCCTAAATTAGAGGGCCGAGAAAAAGGTCAGTCACGGTAGTGCACCGAAGAATAGAGAGCGTGTCTCGTGCAAACTACCCCTCAGTAGCGTGAGGCTCAGCTGGAAGCCAAGCAAAAGGGTCTATATTTATATTTATAGGTTTGAAATTTCTACTGGAGATTGGTGGTTCAAGACAATATTGCGCAAAACTGTTCTGAAATTGTTTAGAACTGTCAGATGCACATACAACAACATTAAAGGTATAGGTTTGTCGATTCGGCCGTCAGTTCCAGCAAAGTTCCCTTTTTAAATCACACTATGTCAGCTTCAACTCGTCTTTCCAAGACTCTCATCGGTTTCCATCTCACGAATATATAGTCTTGATCCAGTAACAGTGCCAGAATGCGCTTTATCGCCTGGACCCTCCATCACTTTGTAATCATCATCACTGCAAGCGACTGCGAGCAACTCCTTGCCTTCAGCATGCGCATAATCCAGAGCAACCACAGAGCTGTCAAAGCGCGCATATCTTTTCGTTCGCTTCTTCGAGTGAACGTCCCATAAACACACGTAGCCGTCTTTTCCCCCGGAAATCAGACTTCCACTTGTCCCATGGAATACCAAAGCATTGACAGGGTCCACGAGATCCTTTCCATCAGTAGTCGCCTGCCGATGACATTTAAAGCAGAAATTATCGCTCTGGTCCAAATACTCGACTGATATTCTTCCCTCGACTGACCCGAGAGCGTAGCCCTTCCCGCTGGGCATGCAGCTCAAGCTCCTCGCCTGGTACTTAAGTTCGTTTCGTCTGGATATCAACGGAGTGGCCATTTGTCGCACATCGTAGATATTGACAGTATTTCCGCCCATACTGGCGACAATGCAGTCGTCTATAGAGTCTAGAGCAAAAACTTTCGCCTCCAGACGATGCGTTTCTGCTTCTCCAGATCGCGAGTCGATCAATTGCATAGATTTATCCCACGATCCGGCAACAACAAGTCCACGTGAGTTCACAGTGGTCACAGAAGAGACCCCTAGCGAGTGCGGATCGCCCACACAAGACGCGGTTTGTCTTTCAAAGTCCACGACTTTCACTCTTCCATCGACACAACCAGCCACTGCTATGGTATCCAACCAATCAACACTCAGAGCCGCACTGGTCTCTCCCAGTGACACGTTTGCTACTTTTTGGGCCGATGAAGTACCATAAAGATTAAGGTTTCCATCCAGAGACGAAGCCAGTAGATGCCTGCCCGTAGGCGCAAACTTGATGCAACTGATCACGTCCTCGGACGGCCTGGCCAACTCAACTAAGGAGGTTAGTCATGGGATTCATACAGACCAAAATATTCAGCACAACTCCATTCTTGTACATACCAAACATGCTTGTAGAAACAGTATTTGAGAGAAACGCGTACAACCACGTACAAGTACGAGCCCTGTAAATAAGCATAGCAGATGAACCGTGATGAAATGACAGACGATGGCCCAGCCCCAATTCGCCCGTTCCAAGCTTGACAGCGAGCACATGCCTCTTTCCGGAACGGTCTTCTCGCTTACCACCTTTCTTCTTCCACGAGGTCACTTCTTTTGGTGTTTTCGGAGTCAGAGAAAGCCCGTTGTCGTGATCAATCTTGTTCTGGTTAGTACTGAGTGTCTCAGACGAGATTACTGTGTCTTATACCGCTCTTGAGGTATCCATAGCTACTCTCCACGCCTAGTTCCGGGGAAGCTGAAACGGAACAAGGCTTTGAAGCAGCTGCCGTTTGCTCTAACCAAAAAAACACTACGAATCAGGTCAAAATTTCGAAATCTGCATTATCATGGACTCCGTCGTGAATAACCTGTTTTCGTCATGGGATTCCATGGTCTCTTCTCCAGGTGAGTCAAAAAGTAAGCCAGAAGGCCATCAACATAACCACCATCAGCATCCACATGGTTGGCACAGGCGTGCAGGATCCAATGGTGCATACCCTACATCTTCGAATAGTCCGACTAGCTCGAAAGCTGGTGATACAAAACACAAGGCGTCCTCTTCGTTGTTGCCGGACTTCTTCGGCTCTATGTACAAGGCCGAGGGCGCCGAGGCGGTGCCGAATTCGTCGGTTTCGTCACAATTGACTGATAAGGTGGTTGAAAGATTACTTTCCATGGCATTGCCACCTTCTTCAGGTTCAGTGGATATTTATGAAGGTATAATGGAAAGAATCGAAATGCAGAAGGCAAGACCACCGTTTTCGGTGCCTCTGATGAGCAAGAACTTTATCCAGCTGAATTCGAGACTTTCTGTGCCGTTTGAGCTAATTGACGAAGTGATTAAGGTATTTTCATGGTCTCATCCAACGTACACCCTTTCCGTTTTGCTGATAGTGTCACACCTCATCCTCAGACCAATTCTGCTTTTGAGCGTACCCGCATTCTACATCGCATTCAACATCATGGTGCCTGCTTATCTCAAGAGACATCCTCCTGAGAAGAATAATGATCTCAAAAATAACCCGGTTCCAGCATATGGCCCCTCTCTGATCGACATAGAGACCCCCAAGCCTGTTCCAGAGCTTTCGAGAGAGTTTTACTTGAACATCACCGATTTGCAGAACCACATGGTGCTCTATGTGGTTGCATACGACATGCTAAATTACCTCGTGGTAAACTACTGTTACTTCAAAGATGAACCTATTTCGTCGTTTCTGTTTCTGGTGTTGACTGGAGTGGGTATCTTTACGATGACGTTCGTAACCACTTTGGCGCCTTTTATGACTGCAATCAAGCTCGTTTCTCTGTGTCTGATTTGGAGCACTTTTGTGGCTCTGCACACCTCAAATCGCAACAGGCTACTGGCTTATCTGTACAGTGAAGAGACCAGAATCAAACTACTGACTATAACCAATAGTCTGGAGCAGAAGATCTCTAAGGAGTTCAAGTACAAGGAGGAAAAGGAGGTAAGGGAAATTGAGATATTCGAGTTGCAGACTTTGGATCCGGAAAGCAAAAACTGGCAGCTGGTTTGTTATTCGAATGAACTGTACGCTCCAAATTCTCCTACCCGATTGAATCGACTACCTCTTGATGGTACACTTTCACTTAGGAACATTAAACCGCCTCTGGATTGGCGGTTCTTGCCTACAAGGGATATAGCTCATTCATCCTCAACAGAAAGGGTGACCGCAGGACTGAAGGAGAACGCCGTTGCCGTAGTTTCTCCCACAGCATCATCGTTTTCGGAAGCCTCCGTAACCAGCGACCCAAAAACCACGACTCAATCACAACAGCAAACTGCACCGGTGTCCCTACAAACAAACGGATGGACACTTGATCTTACGCCGAAAGAATGGGTAAGTGCAAACAACCTACTGGAACTATTGGACATTGATGACGACGAGAAATGGTGCTATGACGTGGTGATCCCATACGCCCAGGGATCCTCGGTTGGAATCGGAAAGAAGCCAAACCCAGCTTTTCCCAGACGCCGCGGTGATTTCAGGAGAAGAAGATGGATTCGCACTTGTGTGAGATCCTTCTTTGTGGAGAAACACCCTGCTGAGCACGATGAATCGAAGAAGCAGGACTCCCCAGCTTTGCACGGTCTGGTGGGATCGGACCCTGAATCAGACGCTGAAATCGACGACATTGACAACTGCTAAACCATTACGAACATGAAAACGAAAATGAAAATGAAAATGACGATTATCAAACTATCTGTAGAGTACTAGTCTGCAGCCGGAAGGGGCGCATTTAAGTGCGGCGTAAACTTAATACACACACACAACCCCTGCGTCGCGGTGTGCTTGTTTTGAAATTTCCCGATTAGGATATAATTCTCAGACAATTTGACCTGGCAGCAGACCGTTTTTGACAAGGCCAACTTTCTCTCTTTTTGGTGATACTTGGATGTAAAGCGTTAGTTCGTTCATCGACCCAGTCAATTGTATTTGCTCGGAATTAATGCCAAATTAGAGTGAATTGAAAGAATCATAACACTGTCTTAGCAGCCTTACATGCCGATCCCCCCATACACGTTAAAATGCAGGTGATATCGCTCAACACACAGGACTCCAGCGAGAGAATAAAACTGTCTTCTATAACGTCGTCAGTGTCGAAGTCCAGAAAGGTGGTCGTTCTGACAGGAGCAGGTATATCATGTAATGCCGGGATTCCTGACTTCAGGTCGTCTGAAGGACTATACAATATGGTTAAGGCCAAGCACCCCAACCTGGTTGTGAAGGGCAAGGACCTTTTCGACATCTCTTTGTTCAGAGACGAGGATACGATGAAGATCTTCTGTACTTTCATGGAACAACTTTATAGCCACACGATATGTGCCAATCCAACAGAGACCCACAAGTTCCTCAGGAGACTAATGGAAAGAAAGAAGCTGATTAAATGCTACACACAAAACATCGACGGAATCGAGAGAAAGGTAGGGATGAGGACAGGGACCGAGGGAAAGTGGAAAGATCTGGACACGGTTCAGTTGCATGGCGATCTGAACTCTTTGGCATGCACTCAATGCTTCCAGACCTATTCATGGGAGGAGAAACATAAGGAGATGTTGAGAGAAGGAGAAATGCCGGAATGCCCGGATTGCGTTGCCAAATTCGAGGAGAGGCTGAGTTGTGGAAAGAGACTTGCCAGTAGTAATATCGGTATTTTGAGGCCGAATATCATCCTTTATGGCGAGAACCACCCACATGCAGAGAGCATTGCGCGTGGAATCCAACAGGATGCCAACCGTGCTCCCAACTTACTTTTGATCTTTGGAACATCTCTCAAGGTTGATGGAGTGAAGAAGCTTGTGAGGACGATGGCCAAGAAGATCCATGAGAAGGAGAATGGCCTGGTGATTTTCATTAACCAGACCCAAATATCGACATCGTCCTGGGATGGAATAATAGATTATCAGATCCAGGCCGATTGCGACGAGTGGATCATAAACCTGAAAAAGGAAATCCCGGATCTTTTCCTGACACAGGCCCAGCTGGACCTGAAGAAGCAGAAGAAGGTAAAGGAGCAAGATTACAGCATCGCAGCATTGACACCTCCAAGCACCCCCAAGCACAAAGACAGGTATTTGAATCTGATTTTGAACACCCCTTCACCGAAAAAAAGCAAGCCAGTGTCCATATTCTCCGATTCTGAGTACCCTATCACTGCGTCGTCTCCCAGAAGAACACCTAGAAAGACCAGATTGATCAACGACAAGGAGAACGTGGAAAGGATATCACCCCCATTTTCCCCTATCGCCAAAATGAGCCCTTTCAAGAAACCGGAGCTGGCATCGCCTGAGTTTTCACCACTCAAAAAGTGTCAATCTCCATCCAAGAAACGCAAACTTGCCCAGGAGGTCGAGCTGGAAGAGAACAATGTCTTCATGAAACGCACACGCAGCACGAGATCGCTTTCACCGGCTCGTTGAATATCATAATGAAGTAATGTCGCACAACTGAGAAGAGTAGATATCACAACTGTTTAGCTTGTTGTAATGTTGTAGTGAAGGCTAGAGTCATGAGGTCACGTGACTAATCAAAAGCTGCTGCCGCAGATAAGGTGCGCATAAAATTTCATGGTGTTTATTCTTTTGAATGCTATTTCCAAAGTGACAAATTAGGGCTCAGATATGGAGAATAAGCGAGATTCTAGGGCCAAATACCTCTACAAGCTGGCACATGCACCTGTCCCGTCAAAGGAGTTGCATTCCAAGATCTCAGAACGACTGTTGAAAACACTCTTGAACCCGACCTCAACTGCACACAGAGATGATACGGTAGCGCAAGCACAGAGAAATGAAACGGCAAAAAACTCAAGGACTCAATTCTGTGAATCGTGTCGAAGCAGATTCATTTTTGGTTTGAACACCAAGGTGCGAGTAGAGATGGTTAAGAGAGAGCTCAGCAAGAAAAGAGATAGAAGACTGGTTTATCGGTGTTTACGATGTGGCCACAAAACCGAGTTCAAACACGAGTTGCTACAGAGTAAGCTCAAGACAGAAGAGCTGAAGTCAGTCCCACTTTCACAGAGCTCGAGCTGGTCGACTTTGGTGACTTCCAAGCTGGAAACAGAGGAGAAGACAGGCAGTTCTTCTAAAAGCAGGGCAAAAAAAAGGAAGCAGATGGGAAGCTTGAGCAACATGTTGAACATGAAGAAGGCTAAGGAGAAAGATAGGCCCGCAGAGTTGGACTTGTTTGGATTTATGAAGAAATAACGGGGAGGAGGAGGAGGAGGAGGAGGAGGAGGAGGAGAAGGATCAGAATGGAGTGACGGTATGGTGGACTGGAGCCTCCTTCCATGTAAAGTGATGATGCGAAACGAAGTATTGAACAGGCAGGAAAATATAAAGAAATATAGAAATTTGATTTTCGGGACGTTTCAAAGCGAATGAAGAGACTCAACCTGGATTTTTCAAGTTTTCAAGAATTCTTGAAGTAGACTTTGCGGCGTTCTTCCAGTCGTTTCCATGCTCTTATCAAGAAATTCTCGGGAGATTTCTGCATTTTTTTGAACAGCCCTCGAAACGTCTTCAAGTGAGTCTTTTTGAGCTCTCCGAAAAACGACAAATCTAATATCAATTTCTCAACACCTGCCTATACCTCTCCACATCGCTTCACTGGGATGTTCTGTTGAAATGTTTTTGAAATTTACAACGCAGTGCGCATAATAAAGCTTGAAATAATGATTGCCATAATGAGCAACTGTACGCTTATCTAATTGTTGGCTGGCGATGAATCCAGCAAAAGCTCAAACCTATGAATGGGATTTGCCCGAGTCTCGTTTCTCGTGATCAGCATAATAAATTGGGTGAAAAAAGTGTGATAAAAGGGAAAAAAATTCAAAGACCATCCATACATGTATATAAAAAACGTATAATCATAAAAAAAAGTGGAGGTCACGGAAGACTGCTTCAAAAGATGGAGAGATCTGAAGAATACTCGGGACGAGCACCCCCGTTCATGAAGGCGTCAAACTCAACATCCACATCCCCAATCTCGTAAGAATGGTTTTGGAAGTCGATCAGCTCGTTCATCACGTTGTACTTCTTGATCTCGTTATCTCTCTCCAGCTGTCTCTGCCTCACCTTGGTGTTGTCGTAAAAGTCTCCTTGGAACGTAAAGCCACTGCTCGTGTTGATGATTGGGTTTGTCTTGAATATTTTAGCATCATCGAGAGCCATTTTGGACCACGATACCGGCATGTCGAAATCCCCAGCTTCGGAGCTGGAGACATCCGTGGTGCCGCTCAAGCTCTGCACGCACTGGTTCGAAGACGGTAGCTCTAGCTCGTCTATTGACGAGTTCGTCTTCGTCAGAGTAAGCAACGAATCAGGCGTGGAGCTTATCAGGTCTGCTTCTTCGTCATCCGAATGATCCAAGCCAGAAGGTAAACATTCCGCTTGGCTAGCCCCACCAGTGGTTTTGGGCACTGGCACAGGCTCCACATCTGCAGGCTCAACAGCTGTGGTTGTACTATCATTGTCGTCGTTGTCGTTGTCGTCGTCACTGTTATTCTCGTCTTCCTTTTTAGAGGTGTGACTGAGATCCACCAGGGACAAAATCAAATCGTTCATATCGTCGTCGTCGTGCAATCTCTTCTTGGTTTGTGGTGGTTCTGGGGTCTCCAGTTTGGCACTGATCTCTAATTGTTCTTCCTTTTCGAGATATTCTTCTTCGCCATTTTCCTGCTTTATCTTTTGGGAATATGCTTCGTTAAGAACAGTCATTGGAGAGACCGGCTTATTGGCAATGCTTTTTAGTGGCTTTCTCTGCAGCATGAGCTCTGATCTCAGACTCTTCAGATCAGACACTAGTTTGATCACCTCCAGCTTGAGGTAATAATTTTCCTCGTTCACCTTGATGATTGCCTGTTTCAGAGGGTTCGCTGCGACATTTATGCTTCCCACATTCAGACCCTTGGGCTCCTGTTTGGGGGCCATGGCAATAGGCTTGGACCTGTGCAGCTCGACTTCGGGCGACACAGACCTCAGGTTGGGCTGAGGTGTCAGCAGCGGCAGCGACACAGAATTCGGAGAACCCGCTCTGCTGGAAATCTTAGAGGAGTTTGCCGAATTTGCAGAGGAAGAGGAGGCGGTAATAGGATGCAAAGGCTTGAGTGGGACTCCAGTTCCCGAGGCCGTACCTTTGGCGGCAGGCAACGAATGGGACTTGCCCATTGGCACCTCTTTGTGACTGTGGTTTTGAGTTGCGTGGTTCCCGTGATGGTGGCCAGTTCCGACCAGGTTTGACTGGCTCTGGCTATGCGATTGGTGGTTGTGGGACATCAGACTCGAGTGAGCAGCACTGGGCTTTCTGCCTGGCTTTGGACGAGGGGGAAGAACCCATTTTTTGCTGGTCTTGATCACCATGCTTTCGCTGGCTGGCTGCGAGTTGCTATGTCCATTCTGTGGTGCTGAGGTTGGCGGACCAGCATGAATTCGGTGATACGCCGTATCTGCCTTGACCGGGTGCAGCTGTTGTCTCGACGACAAAGGTATCGTTGGTGTTTGTTGCTTGACACCCAGCGGGACCGAGGATTTGGCCTGTATCGTCGTTGTGGCTGCTATCGTAACATTCCCAGAGGGTTTCAGCAACTGGGGTTGAGATAGCGCGCGTTTCTGCTGGAGCTGCTGGGGCTGTTGGTGACGATGTTGGCCGGAACTAACTATACTATGGTGTTCTGTGGCAGAAGGTGATTGGTTAGTATTGGGGATATTTTTGAAAGAGTGAAGGCTTTCCGGAAAAAGATTTGCCCATAAATAGCACGACAAAAAAGAATACACACCATTCAAAGTTGTAGTTTCAGACATCTTCGACAGATCTTTGCTTCAGGCGCATTAAAATCCCATAAGAGGCAAACTTCGGATTCAAGCAAATGACTGGCAATAGCAAATAGATGGGATATTCGGTAAAAATTGAAAAATCAAAGCGCGTGGTGGAGTCTGCCTGCTTTAGTCCGTGGTGTAAAGATCTTCGAGGACTGTTTCGGCTGAAGTTAAAAAAACGCTCGAACTGCTAAGAAGATGCGTGGCTCTGAGCAGTTGGTGTAGAATATGGTGAGGAGGATGAGAAGAATGCCAAAATATCAAACCTCGGAGAAACTCGTTGAACAAATCGTAAAAGAAAGATTGGAGAAGGAAAGGACCTAGAGAACTTGCCAGACGAGAAGTGGTATGGAAAATCGTCAAGGTCTCTGTAAATTGAAGCAGCAGTTTAGCGAAGGTTCCCGGGTGAATCTGTTAGTCGTGTAGGTGAAAATATTCCTGTTACGACAGGCCCACCACCACAGGGGCGATCCCGTTTCAAGATTGGTGCCGGGTTCCACGGGAGCTTAGTCTATTTTCTGGGTGTGTTTACAGGCAAATGAGCAATTGCCAAGGCATTGCTTTTCAGATACTACAGCGACTCGAGGTTGCTCCCTTGTGAGGCAAACAATCCCCGGTCGTGGGCAGTTGTAGCAAGCAACTTCCAGCATTACGTGGGCGTGTGATGCTGAACCGAGGCGCGCGGTTATTCCAGATACTACGGCAAACCCTTGTATCCACTTATGGAAGGCCATCTCCATGCTCGGTCCAGTGCGGCGAATTGGTGGGGCCGTTGCCCCTCCCCCAGTGTTTTGCGAGTTTCCGTAGAATTGGGGGTTTTTGGTGATTATATATCTGAAGTGGAACTTATGTATCCATCCAATAGTCCATCTCCAAATTTTAAATACTTTAAAACAAAAAATCAGTGGCGAAAACCAAACGACGCGTGATGCTTTCTCCAGTGAAAATTTGTTTATGGCTGGAAAGTTCGGAGCCGGGATTGAAATCGAGGTGTGTTTATTATGTGTAGTGTCACAGAGTTTTGCAGCGAAAATTGGATTCTGCAATGAGGTCACCAACAGACTTCTGAAAACGATTTATGGGGCCTCGCACCGGTTAAGAGGGGCCGGATCAAAGCTCCATTCCCAAACTCCCTGAATAGTAGAACCAAGCGCATATCCATCTTATCTGGACGGCTCAGTTCAAGAGAACCAGTTGCCGATCGAAGGGACATAGTCAATCAACCGAGAACAAGCGGTCAGAAGAACACTTCGAGCATCCTGAATGGCAGAGCCTGTGGCAGCGGTGAATGTTACAAAAACAGGTTGACCGACAGAATGGGTGAGTAAATGCTTGTTTTTCTTCCTTCAACCCGTTTTCCATTATCTCGAGCTTACAGAGGGATTTTTATTATACAATTACAGATAAGATATATGTCAGTATACTAACGAAATACATATTTCTAATGGTAAAAAATATAAACAAACAAATAAAGTTCTTGGAATTCGTGCACGAATTGTGTTTGCTTATACCTTAGCCGATATTCATTGGCTGCAGCCTCGGGGGTGAGGTGAAAACAAATTTTGGTGAAAAACGTTCCATTTGTAGGCTCATCGGTAAATACCGCAAGCAGAGGCCTCTCAGCCGAGAACTGGGTTCGCCCCCTTTTTGATATCCACTACCGGACTTTCGGGCTCTCGGGAACACACGTCTGCCGATGTACGAAAGGCCGCATTTCTGGCAGGGATAGTCGAACTGTTTCAAGGTTACATTCAGAACGGCTCCTCCGATCCATAACTCCTCGAAGACGGAGCACTGCAAACAATCGAAACCTGTGCTAGTGGGATTCCGTATGAAGCCGGGTTGTAATCTGAAAAGGAATGAGTGGGCGTGTGCTCCCTATATTGCCTGATTGGGTATTAGTCGGCTCAAAGAGCAGGCGATGTCAGTTCGTATTCGTGCGGCGTTGGGTTTGCAGACTTTTCTGCGATTGGAACTCACGGAAGAACATTACGAGGTATCTGCTCTGTTTTTGATGTTATACAGTGACGAGGTCGAAGAATGTGTAAGAAAACACCCCAATTTATGACATGGAAGGCCACTGGGCCGCAGAAGGCAGATCAGGTGACCACCAGAGTCCGTCAAAGCTCGCCCATACCATGCGAAATATTCTTAGAAACTCAATATTCATTCTAGTTGTAGATTTTTAAGCAACTTCAGCCGATTTGGGCCACATCCACTCGCTATTCAGAGCATTTTCACGTTGGACTTTAGTAGTGCACAACCGAAAACCTGCCGATGCTGGCAGAATCTGCTACTATGGGGTAATTCTACCTAGAGAGATATCTAGAAGATCTGTAGCCTGCTCGAACCGACTCATCTCACACAAAGATCTGATCTTGACGGACTCTGGTGAAGTTTTGTGAGCCTTTGGAATTCTGGCGCAAGACTGCATATACCTCTCAAATAAAATCATTTGGAATCTCGGACTGAAAGGCGCGACACTTCATTCCCTTATGGCTTCTGGCTCTCCGCGAAAGCCAAACCCACCACGATGTTAGTGAGTCTGGTGTCAAGATTGCTGCCCAAAAGGGTAATCTGGTCTCAAAAACAAACAAAAAACAATCACATCGCTAACATTCAAAAAAACATTAAATCCGCATATGTAACCTCGCTTTATTTCCACATAAAGCCCACATAAAGCCCACCTGATGCCTCCAGTGCCTCCAATGCCTGCCCCACGTGCCTTACCCAGGCTGCTGCATCAGCCTCTCTGCCTGTTGAATCTTATACTCTCCTAATGTTCCAGCAACCCCAGTGAATATATTCGCCAGGTCTCTGTACTCAAAATCACCTTTTATGAATTCCAGTTTAACCACGAAATTTCGTATTTATCCGACAAAAAATGGACGCTCACTTGCCAAAAACACTTGACGCATGTCGTGCACGTGCGCATCTAAACGGCGTCTGTAATTTGGCGTTGCCCGTTGTTAGTAGCATGTAGCTTGAATAGCCAATAACGTGTCTTTTGCCGCGTGAATATCCAAACTGAAAATCCTATTGGCACTGGAAATTTGGTGTGCGTCGATTTGATCTGAAAACCTTCTCGAGGCTCGGGCTTATATTGGGGGTGATTTGCTTACTGTGCCTTCAGCCAACGTGTAGTGCTTGCTACGCATCCAACTTTCTCCACTCCCAACCGCTTGCAATTGCATCTTTTTTTGCACTTTTTGTGCGATTGCGGTAAAACCCCGTGAAAAACACCTCATACCAGTTTGAAGCCAAAAACAACGCATTGGGATGAAGTTCGGCAAGTACCTGGCTGCTAGACAGCTAGAGCTCCCCGAATACGCGGGACATTTCATCAACTACAAAGCATTGAAGAAATTGATCAATGCGCTTGCTGCTACTGACCCTTCAAACCAGAAAAATGAGCTCTCATTGCAGGACAAAAAAGGATCCTTCTTTTTCAGACTGGAGCGTGAACTAGAGAAGGTCAACGAGTTCTATCTGGAAAAAGAGGCCGAGCTCAAGATCAGAATGGACATCCTGACTCAGAAAAAGACAAATGCTCTAATTGAGGGAAGACTTGAGAACTCGAAAAACTCAATTGCCTACACTTCGTTGTACGATGGCTTCAAGAAGTTTTCCAAGGACCTAGATAGACTGGAGCAGTTTGTGGAACTGAACGAGATTGGTTTCACCAAGGTTCTGAAGAAATGGGACAAGAGATCCAAGTCCAAGACAAAGGAGGTGTATCTTTCCACAGCAGTGAATGTTCAGCCGGTTTTCCACCGCAATGAGATTATCGAGCTGAGCGATATGATTGCAAATAACTTAATGGAACTGGAAGCAAAAGCCGAAGGCGATGTCTTGGTTAGGTACGAGAAGGACGACTTGAGGAAAAAGCTCAATTCTTCCAAATCGTCAATTGACGACGAAAAATCCGTTCCTTTGACGAACGATAGAGAGACTGACGAATTGCATACCGAGTTTGTGGCTTTGGCTACTGCCTCTACGGTACCCTCCTTTACCACCGGCGTGATATCTCCACAGTCTAATAAGAAGCTATTGGACGAGTGGATTCAGCAGGTCAGACAGAAGACTAAAAACGATCTTTCGGCAAAGATTTCAAAGATTTTCCTGCTATCAACCTCAAACCCTGCGATTTCAGACGACATCCTCAAGGATTTCTACACGCAGTTTAAACAGGAGATTAACATCAAGCTGGTGGACGACTTGTCCGGAAGAACGTGTTTGCACGAGGCTTCGTGTTTTGAGGACGGCACTGTAAGGTCCTTCTTAGTGGACATATGTCTGGAACAGGGTGTTGACCCTTTGATCAAAGACATCTCTGGAAGAACATGTCTTCATTATGCTGCCGAAATGGGAAGAGATGACATACTTGAAAAGCTCATAGTGAACATCAACTCGCCAGAGTTGTTTGATATCATGGATAACGACTCGATGACGCCGTTGCTGCTTGCTATTCTGAAGAACCACGTTTCTTCGATCAAGATCTTGGTCGATCACGGAGTGAACGCCTTTCCTCTACAGAACGATCTCAAGCCACTGTATCTTCCGCTCAATGTGGCATGCAGACTGGGAAACGTGGAAGTTGTGAAATTGCTGTTATCCAAAGCTGGCTCGCCAGACCAGATCACCTCGTCCCAGCTGCTGACCCAAAGTTTTCAGGCAAATGCCGAGGGATTGCTTCCATTGCACATTGTTGCCAGTGGAGGTCATTGTGACCTGATTCCGGGACTGCTACAATATGGTGCGGACATAAACCAGCTCGATAAGCTGAATAAATGGTCGCCCATATTCTACTGTGCCAAACAAGGTTATCCAGAGGCAACTGCAAAACTAATCGAACATGGTGCTGATTTCGACATTAAGGATGAAGACGGGTTCACCCCGCTGTACTATGCCATCTGGGAAGGAAATATTGACGTTGTTAACGTTCTTAATGATGCTATAAACAAGTCTAAGAGGGAATCGAAGGCCCAAAAGGCGGCACAGAAGGCGGCACAGGGCCTACAGACTGAGCAGTTTGTCGCTCCTCCTGCCCCGAGAATGGCTTTCAACGACAGCATTGTTTCTCCAATCCTGTCATTAAAGGACCCGCTTACCCCCATTCCTTCTTCACTGGGACCTGCTCTGGGACCAGGTCTCGACATGACCAACGTGGACATGATCCCAGATCTTTCCCTACCTCCTCCCATCATTCCACTACGGAAATATGGCCACAATTTCCTGGAGAAGAAGATATTCCTCAAATTGAACTTCTACACTAATAGGGACTCCATCAGACTGCATTCGGACCATTTCTTCTCGTCTGTTCCGGGCCGTTTGACCATTACCTGTGACAAAAACGACCTGATTCCAAGAAACCTTTTACTTCCTGTCCTGGACAGCAGCAAGATGATCACATTCCAAATTGACTCATTTGACGATTTTGCCATTGACTTTGAGCTCTTCCCAAGTTTTGGAACGAGACTTGTGGCCAAGGCAACGCTCCTGGCAGACTCGTTCAGCAACGTGTTTCCCGGTGTTGGATCTAAGCTCAATGGTGATGTAACTTTGGCGTTGTTTGATGTCAGGCTGAGAAACATAGGTTCTCTCAAGTTTAACTACGAGATCGTTTACCCTTACTCTGGAATTCCACTTGAGATCTCCATCTATGATACCTATTGGAAATCAACCAATAACAACAAAATGATCTCCGAGGGCCCCAACTCCAACGTCACCGACAATACGGTGACTCTGAAGTCCACATACATGTCATTCGTGACCGCGTCGTCGCTTTCGGGCCAGTATTTCAAGGTACATGTTTGCTTGCTGGCTGATTGCACGCCTATCGTATGCCCCAGTTGGACTGTGGACATTGGCCATAACACAAGATTACCGGTTGGGAACTTTTTGTGGTCTCAATTGCAAAGTATAGTGAAAGATGGCACACACAGCAGGCAATCTCCTTCGTTAGATCAGTTGGTTCAGGCCCTTTCCCAGATCAATAATCTCAGCTACGAATCAGAAAAGCTGGAAACAATTCTGCAACATCTCTACCTTCCTCTTGACCAATTTCTGGAACTTCTGTCCATAGATATCTCGCTTGACCTGGACATAACCTATCCATCTCTGTTTGAGATGGAATACTGCGGAGCGCAGGTCTATGCTCCTGGATTCAGTTTTGGAGCTACGTCCCATTCTGAAAACAAGAAGGTGCCCACCACAACCAACAACAAATTGAACTACTTTGTGGATATACTGTTGAAGAATGTTTTTGATCATGTGAGAGCCATCCGGAACAGAAAACAGGAAGGTGCTACCCGTTCGATCATTTTCTCCTCCAACAACTCGGCTGTTTGTACGATCTTGAACTGGAAGCAGCCGAACTATCCTGTTTTTTACAGCTTAAACGGAGCCACTTTGGACTCCAAGCTTGGAAAGTTCAAAGCGACCACCGCCAACGGATTCGATCTGGATCCGACAATTCTAGAGGAGCTGGAAAATGAAACGTGCAGGTCACACACCGTCCACAACCACAAGAACCCCACCACTACAAACACAGCAAATATTCAGCATCGTCTGATGAATACTCATCAGTCGGTGACCATTGACAATATTGACAGCATCAACAAGGATTCAAACTCGTACGGAAACGAGATGGTTTACCAGGACAGAATGACGAGGTCGATAAAACTGGCAATAAGCTTCGCTTGCTCGAACAACCTGTTGGGAATCATTGTTCCTAGCAAGTTGCTGCAGATGTGCCCTGAGCTGGTGAAGTCTATAAGATCACGGGGGTTGATCCTGGTGGCATCAAAAACAGCCTTTGGTGTTGAAGAAGACATTTCTTCGGAATCGAACGAATCCAGAGACCCGGACGATATGGATGAGGACGATCCATTTGATGAGCATGATGTGAATGGCTTAAGGTTCAACCGAATCCTGAGTTTCAAGGATGCGATTGATATGTGATTTTCATAGAGTTCAGAGGCGATGAATCATGATAGGCAAGCGGTGACTGCAAGTAGTGACTGCAGTGTAGATATATCTAGAATGCTACTGTTGCACTGAACGCTTTCACGTAGAAAATGAAGGTAAATTCGACGAGCACAACAATACTGGCCAATTCTTCATTACCTTCAAAAACCGTTCAATACTGTTCGTTGCCTCATGCATACTTCTGCATGATCTATTCCTACCGACCGAGATGTGAGTCAGCCGCACGCAATTTTTCAGTTTTAAATGATTCTTGACGAATGCTTGCCAAAAATCCACAAAATTTCAAACCAGCATCCATTATATACGAAGCCATGAAGCCTTCTGATAACATCTTCGGGTATCCAGGTTTCTCCGGAAATAAGCGGGGAATATGCACGTTGCAAGCCGAGCATCCTTATCGGTCTGCAGAGACAACCCCTGAACCGGACTTTTAGCAGCCCACGTTCCGAAGATAACAGCGTAGGCAAATAACTTTAAAATCGTGTAAACTTCCCAAGTTTGCTCTGAAGCCTTTTTTTTGCGTCTCGCTTTCTACACTTTTTCCCGTGTGGTTTTTCAAATTTTATTGACGCCATACCCTGATGCTTATCCGATCATCATTCAGATCAATGCTTGCCCTATAAACTTTTCAAAACCCACCCGTACCTAATCATGAAGCATAGTCCGCCCTCCTTGGAAGAAGGTCCATCAACTTTGCCTGCAATCACTGGCCACATCACATACGATCATGCTTTTTTTGCTTTGCCGCAAGCGGTTTCCCCATACAAACCGGGAATACTGTCTTTCTCAGCATCTCTGGTATCCACCACAGTTGGGTTTCCGCTGGATAGCATAAAGACCCGAATGCAAATCCACAAATTCGACTCCGCATTGCATTGTCTTCGAAGCACAATTCATCACGAGGGAGTGAAAGGATTATTTCGAGGAATCAGTGCTCCATTGATCTCCACATCTTGCTCCAGGTCTCTGGGAGTTTCTATCTTCACCGCCACCAAATCGTACGTTGCACAATTACAATTTGCCATCTTTGGCCCCACGTTGGTGAACAGAGATAACGTCAAAAATTGGAGCGAGCAGGACTACCAGAGGGAACAAATGATCAATAACATCCCTGTGGCACTGGTATCAGGCTCTATAGCAGGAGCTTCAGTCTCCTGCTTCGCATGTCCCTTTGAGTTCACCAAATTATTTTCGCAAGTATCGATGCTTGTGGGATCAGACGACCACATTGGAGGTAAGAATGTGGTCCCTCGGAACATTTTTCATGTCGCGAGGCAGATCGTAAGACAGGAGGGCATAAGAGGCCTATACTCGGGTTTCAAATTCCACTTTCTAAGAGACGGGCTGAGCTCAGGACTCTTTTATGGACTTTACGAAACCGTGAAACTAAACTTTCAGGCGTATGCGGCCAAACAGGAGAATTTGCCCATTTCAAGGGCCACTGCCGATGCCTTGAGTATCTCTCTGGGAGGCGCTTTTGCTGGCATGTTCAGCTGGATATTGGTTTTTCCAATAGACACTATCAAGTCAATGGCCCAGAGAGATATTGTTTCAAATATTTTGCGCGAAAGGTCAGGACAGGACAAACTGGAAGTGGTGAAAAGGAAGATTCAATGGCCCACCAAAAGAATGTATAGAGGGCTCGGACCGTCTCTCACGAGATCCGTTACTACCACCATGATATTTTTCTCTCTGTTTGAATATCTCATGAAACACATTGTGTGAACTTATATATATATCTGTACATAGCAATTACATAATTAGCAGCCAAAGTAGCGAGTCTATAGCGATAAGACTAAGCATCCAATTCCGAGGGCAGTTCCGGTCTTGGTTTTTCACCTTCCAGAGGTTTTTGATAACGATTGAAGTCTTCGGGGAATCGGCACTGGCGCCTGGTTTGACTGCGAAAACACGCCTCAAGAGCTCAGGGGAGAGTCGACATGTCTGAAAGCACACTGGCAGCAATAAACCACGCGTTAGAGCTGGGTGCGTACAAAAACGCAGCCCAACTGGTAGGCAAGCTGATCAAGACGAACCCACAATCTCCATATCCACGGGTTTTAGCAGCTCACATCAGTTTTTTGAGTGGGAAAAAAGATGAAGCGCTGAACCTTGCCAAGAACGCAGCATCTCTGAAGCCTACGGATCAAGATTCGCTGCAGTTGCTGAGCGACGTGTTTCTGGCATTGGGTATGCCGAAGGAAGTTTCAGAAATCTACGAGGCCGCATGCCTCAAGAGCCCCACCATTGCGCAGGCCTATATTTGGTTTGAGAGATGTTGCTACACTGGCGATTATTTGGGGCTACAAAAATCCTCGTTTTTGCTACCAAAACCTAGTGCAGTAAACCTGCGTCTGTTCAAATTCTGGAGTGCTGAATGTATGGTTCTTGCCTTGGAAACAAAGAGGTTATTGCCAAATCACCGGAAACTGTTCCCACTCTTGGGGCTGAAGATTGTGGATGCTCAGAGACCTTTTGTGAATGCCCAAGAGACGTATATCTACGTGAAATTGCTGATGGCAGCAGGACGTCTGTATGATGCTGTCGCTGAGATTAAAGCTTTTTCTGTCCAAGACGATGATCTCGAGCTCAGATGCATCCTGTTAGATGCTCTGAGCAAAGGAGAATTATGGGACCAGCTTTATGACGAGTGCAAGCAGTTGGTCACCGAGAAGGTTGTGGACGACTGGGATGTCTGGTCCGGACTCATCAAAGCAGCTTCCAAGCTGGGCAGGCTTGATGATGTCCAAAACATGGTTGATGTTGCTAAATCCTCTAGAAACCGTGATCTGGCCTATCTGGCCATTGACAGGGCGAACGATGTCGTGGAGTATGGTCATTTTTCAGCCTATCTACTCAAGTACGGCCACAAGACGTGCTGCTTTCCCGACCTGAAGATTTTTTTAACAGAAGACTCCCACGTGGATACCGGCAAGTTTCTCGCCGAATTGGAATCAGTTTCTCAAGAAAAACTTATCCCTGATGTTCTGAGGAAACAAAGAAAGGCCACAGAGGACGAAGCCATATTCCTGGTCAACACCATCAAGTTCGAGCTGCTCCTTGATCCGTCCCTGCTATCCTCCGCAGGTTTTGTCAAAAAATGTCAGAGAATGTACAATCTGACCAAACATTTGCTTTCCTCGAAGGAAAAGACCGATTATTTTATAGGCGAGGAGTTCTTGCTGGTTGCAGTACAGGCCATTCTGACCCAATCCGCTAAAGACGAGCTTAAGCTCAAGGACGTGCTTTCATGCATTTTAATCCTGGAGAATGCAGTTCAAACCGATATTCACGAGTTTCACCTTCGCTTATGGCTGGTACAATTATATTTGCTTATCAATTGTTTTGGTGCGGCTAAAGTCCATTATGACTCTCTCAGTATCAAGATGACCCAGCACGACACCTTATCGCAGGCGATTCTTTCCCGTGTGGAAACCCTCACTGCCAAAGAATATGCTCTCAAAATGCTGGAGAGCGCTGAAGACGTGTACTCGTATGGGGCCGAGGAAGTTCCGTATTGCCTAAAACAGGCTTTTCAAAAGGGAGCTTACAATAAGGTGAAAGGCTTCGTTGATCTGAACAACCGATTGAACCACTCTTTGACCAGACACCTCAACTCGATCTCGATGCTGAAGCTCAGGAGACTCAATGGCGATAAACAAAGTTTGCAATTTAATTTGGAGGGCTTACAGAAGGAGTATATGGCAACCTTGGTGGCCGAAGACTTCAATTCAAATGACCTTGATTTAGACATCAGGGTAAGCGATAACCGTGATGTTTCCACGATGTGGAAGTTTGGAACCGAGGAAATTGACAAGAGCTTGGAGAGTGCCATTTCAATTGGCCCCAGAACAGATGTTCATTACTTGAAAGTGAATGCTGCCAAAGAGTTATTGCTCACATCAAACACAGACACTGAAAGCTACATTTCGTTTCTGGAGACTGCCCTTGACCAGACGTTGTTCCAAAGTAAACTCACCAATGTCGAGCTGTGGGTACTACAATTGGAATTGGAGATTGCCAAGTTGGTCCAGAAAGATTCTGTGCATTCCTCAGAGATAATGGAGGTATTTAGTCGAAGACCTGTTGCTCCGGTCTCACCTTTGTCTTGGAAAGCCAACCATTATCACTTGGTTTTGGCCCACTCCATAAAGAGCATTACCATCTACATGTCCACACACAATACTGGCAGAAGCAAAAAGGTCTTCCACAAAATCAGGACCGAGCTCGCCAAAATCCAGGAAGAAACCAGGGAAAAGGCCGTGGAGTTGAGCTCCAAGAACAATGTGATTATTCCGCAATTTCAGAAGGAAATGCTCGAGTGGGTTTCAAACGATTCCCTTGGAAAAGAGTTTGGAATATCCAAGGCTTTCGTGAAAAGGGTTTTTGGTCAAATCCAGGCTTCTTCGGACGAGTCGTTGTCGGTGTTGATATCGTTGTAGATGTGGTGGTGGCAGCAGCTACGAACCTGTTTCATATTACAGTCAATTAATCCTCAAAGTCTCTATTTCTTAGCCTTCTCCTTCTTCTCTCTCACCTTTGGAGCAACCAATCTCTCAGACTGACCAAAAACCAGCTTGTGTGGCTTCATGAACTGCGCAACCACGTCCTCGTCAATATTGGCCCTATTGGTCTGATACTCCGTGATGAAGTCAGTCAGAACACCAATACACTCCTTCTTCATCTCTCCACTCAGCACCTCACCAGACTTGTAGCCGTCGTACTGTTTCTTCAAAAACTCATCGTCGTCCTTGAAGAAGGACATGTATTGGTAGGCAATATCCACATCTGGGTCACCTCCCAGCTTTCTGTGGTCCTCGATGGAAACCTGACCACCAGAGAAAGCGTACTTGTTGATCTTCTTCTGGATCTGCTTTGGCGTATCCGTGAGGTAGATGGAGGAAGTTTCGTCACTGGCACTCATCTTGGAGTTGGCACCCTGGAGAGCTGGGAAGAATCTGGAGTGGAGCAACGCTGGCTTGGCATACTTGAGTTTATCTGCGACATCTCTGCAAACTCTGAAGTAAGGATCCTGGTCAATGGCACATGGGATCAAGCAGGGAGTCTTAGGAGGAAGACCCAGCACATCAGGGAAAGACGAAGGGAAGGCTGTTGCGATCTGGATCGAAGCAAAATGTATCTTTCCAATACAATCGGAGTCTTGAAATCCAAACACCGCCTTCGCTGTGGAGGTAGTGATCTGTCTCGAGGTCTTCACAATGTTCTCGTAGAATGGCGAGCACATGTATTCTATGTCAGAGAAGATAAACGTGTTCTCTGGCTTGAAACCAAGGGCAATGATGTCTTTGGCATTCTCATGTGCAAAATGCTTGACGTCGTCAATGGTGAGCTTAGGCTTGAACAAAAACTTCTCATCATCTGTGAGTTCAATCACGAGTGGCACATCAAAGACCTCCTGCAACCACTTAGTAAAACTGAATGGAATAATATGTCCCAAATGCATACCGGCAGATGGTCCACGGCCAGTGTATAGAAAGAAAGGCTCGCCGTGCTCATACAGATCTAAGATCCTGTCGAAATCTCTCTGAGAAAAAAACAAACCCTTCCTAAGATAATGATGAGGTTCTCTACCGGTCACATCTCTGAATCTTTGCAGAGTTTCCTCAGTAATGGCCTTGGTACCGAACTGCTTGATCAGCTTGTCGTAATCGATGACCTGGGCCTTACCGTCAACCACGGCTCCTTCCACCTCCCAGGGAGTAATTTTCTGGTCGTTGCCCAAACTGAGGTTGGCAGTCTCTTTTGCAATTTGTTCAGTCATTTTTGACAAAGTAAGTAAGGAGGACTCTAGTTACGGCTTGTCTTTCAAACAATAACCCTTGTAGTATGCCGGATTTGGTCGACGGTTCGGTGAGGCCAAAATTTGGGGATTTTTGGATTGCGCACAACTATGAGCCATGCCTACGCAGGTGAAAAATATACCAAATACATGACGAACTTTTCTATTTTAACTAGGACAGGGGTACACCAGAAAACCCAGAGGCCACAGAATCTGAGTCTGTGTCATGCCCGCCCTCATCCAGCTCCTCCTCACTGATTTCACTCCAACTGGCGTAGGTTAAGACCCCAAAACCTACCACCACCAACAGGTAACCTAACAGTTGCGAAGACGAAACCTTGATTCCAAAGGCAACCCACTCAAACACACCCACTAACATAATTGTGAGCAGTGATGCCACGGAGGACAGCACGGGAGACGTGAGTGCCATCAACGCAAGGAATGAACAACTGAAACAGATGTTTGACAGTAGAGATGCGAGGATAAGTCCCCATTCTAAAGATGATGCTGGAAACGAAAACCGGTGAATATTCGTCACATGCACCAGTAACAGTGGAATCCATAAGCACGAAAATGTCCAGAATCCGATCACGGACATGGCGAAGTTGGAGAATGTCGCTTGTCGCCTAGCCGATACGGCTGAAGACGGAGGACACATCAGCTTCTTGTACAATACCTCGTAAAACCCGTACAAAACAGCACCGGCCAAAATGATTAAATTTCCCAGAAGTCTGTGAGGATATTTTGAGGAGTCATTGTCGGCGCCTGAACTTCCAGAGTATGCAACCACAAAGACACCCAGAACAGCCACCAACACACTGAGCATTTTCAACCATGAAAACCGCTCGCCCAGATATGGGACTGCAAACGCGTAGGCTGCAAATGCAGAACAGTTGTATATGGCAGTAACATCACTCCCGGTGGAAAGTCCCATGGCCACATACCACGACGATCCTGCTATATTGAGCACAATCATGATGATGAATGCGGATCCCACGGTATGTCTCATTGCCTGCGAAAAGAACATCAAGTAGTACGTTTTCGGGTGTTTGGATACGGATCCCTCATGGTGACGAACCAATGGCGATTTATAGCCAGGAACGTTCTCCTGTGCGGTCAAGTCAGCAGACTCAAAGATATTGCGGTGCTGCGCTTTCACAGAACTGGTGAAGGTCTTTCTGAAGCCCTTCCAAACTTTCCGACCTTGGCGATTATTTCCTTCACGTTCGTGACGTAGCAAGTCTGAGTAGCTTTCGATGGCGTTGTTTCGGTGGGCTTGGAACTTAATGTATGTCTTCCAAGTAGCAACACCGGCCACCTGTAGCGGCCATGTTATCCACCACATACCGTGGGTCATGTATAGAAGTAAAAAAGGCTCTTTGAAATTCGTCGACGAGTACAAGTATGATGTTGACTCTGTTTGAGCCACAAAGGCCACCAACGAGATGATGAACAAAAAAACCACAAACACAATCTTACCGGCCGAATACGCGATATCGCCATTGACGCTCGTTCCTAGACTCGTCGAAGGAGCCAAACCAAAACGAGCGGAGTCATGAGACGGCCTTTCTAGATTGAAACTTTCATCCTGGCCATCTAAGCTCGGGCTCATGAGTGGAGCTCGCAGCGTCTTGTTTGACATGTTGAAGCTCGACAAGGTTCTGCGCCTGTTCAGGAACGGGCCAGACTCTCGGACGATAAGAAAGAAGAAACAAGAAAAAGCCAAAAAAGTTCGCAAACAGCCAAGAGCGTCTCTAAATGACAAAAATCTGCAAAAAAAAGATAATAAATATGAGAAGAAACCTAGCTAATCAGGATTAAAGTGTATTGCTGTTCAGATAAGCTTCCTTCAACACGTCAATTCAGCAGCGTGCAGGACAGAATTTTGGGCCGGTAGTATGGCAGGTGCGCGGGGTTGGTTACCCCTCCTTCAATCTTTGAATAGGGGAATTAAACTTAATATTGTCGGAATGACATAACCCCTCCAGTTCCAATATTCCTATAGTAATGTGAAAATACCCGCGGCGAGGTCTTGATAATACTACTTAAAGCCCCAGATCAGAAGCTCTCAAAGCTTGATAAATAGATGAATTTCCACTACCTTTCATTATTGGTGCACGCACTACTAAAGCTTGTCTCTGCGCACACTTCTTCAAGAGGAGCTCAATTGTCTTGTCTTACCGACGTCTTCTCCTGTACCACGCCATTAGAGTTTTTATGTACCAGCAGAGGCAACAACAACAAAGGCGACAGCCTTTGCAACCCAATGAGGATGATACGCAGGACCAGCAGAGAAAGCAGAAGCATCTGGTGGATCCAGGCACTTCCATGGGCAGATACATGATCAACAGGTCGTTAGGAATAACAAAACAGCCGTTGGGCCAGATGAGGCCACAGATATCATTCCATACTCATCTTGGACCTGTCGGATCATATGCAGCTGATTCTTACATTGATTTGCCTACCAGATTCGTACACTTGGCAATGAACAAGTCGAGACATGCAATACATGCCCTGAAATGGACACCTGATGCCAGAAGAGTCTTGGTGACAAGTCACAGTGGCGAATTCACCCTATGGAATGGTCTAGCATTCAATTTTGAGTCCATCATGCAGGCTCATGATGGTGCGATCTACGCAATCAACTACTCACATTCTGGAGATTGGTTAATCAGTGGAGATCAGATGGGAACAATCAAGTTCTGGCAACCAAATTTCAACAACGTGAACATTTTACCGGGATCACACGAAGATTCCGTGCAGGATCTTGTATTTTCGCCCAATGACTCGAAGTTTGTGAGTTGCTCTGACGATAACACGCTCAAGATATGGAACTTCAACACTGCCACTGAAGAGAGAGTGTTGAAGGGCCACCATTGGGATGTGAAATCGTGCGATTGGCACGACGAGCTTGGACTAATTGTTAGTGGATCCAAGGACAATTTGATAAAACTTTGGGATCCCAGAAAGGGAGAAAGTGTGGCCACTATTCACGATTTCAAGCACACCATCACTGAGTGTAAGTTCAACAACACTGCTAACGGGTCCAAGCGAATGCTAGCTGCCGGTTCAAGAGATCATTCGGCGAGAGTTTTCGATCTACGGACTATGAAGAGTGTCTACAACTTGAGACGTAGCTCTGAAACTGATGCCTCTTCGTTACTATGGAACCCAGTTAATTCTAATATCATATCGGTTGGAGGATATGACGGTTCTCTCTGTACATACTCACTGGATAGACATATTTCGGAGGAATGGTCGCAATCCCTGCAAAACACCTCTGGCCTGGTTGCGATGTCGAAATCTGCAATCTCCATGGCACCAACCCACGAAATGCCGTATGCCCACGAGAAGGCAATCCATGCTATGGGCTATCATCCTCTCGGTAATCTCCTATGTACGACTGGGGCTGACAGAACGGTTCGTTTCTGGGGAAGGTCTAAGCCTGGTGATCCAACTGCTTTCAAAGAGTCATGTTACACTGGTGAGAGTCACAACTGGCACCAGGACAACCATAATGGTAATGGTGATCGCTTTAACGGTGATTCGAACCAGAATAGGGTTCCTGGTCTGAGTCTCGGAGCCAATGGAGGATTACCTGGACTGGGTAGTATACCAGGGTTGAGTTCGTGAAAAAAACTCGCGATTTTCTCGTTGCCATAACCTCTTTTAGAGAGCATTGTATTGATACACCGTATATGAGTATATATGAAACCGCAACCAAAAATAGCCAAAACTCTCGAAAACACAAGTAGAACCCAAAAATGAACTTAACAATATTCAAACATTTTCTGGTCGCAGCGTGCGACTCTTCTATTATCCGTCTTTTTCACGTTGCCCTTGACAACGGTTTGTACAATCCCAGGGTGTAAAATTTCTCCATATTCTCCAAATACGCGACACCAAAGTTCTCCCTATAGTTGGCGACAAAACTGGCTATCTGTCTAAAAACTCCGTCTTCGAAGTAGCCTCTTTTCTCGAGGTTGTTTTCCGGTTCATCGCCAGATCCGTGGTCCGTACCACAATCGTAGATAATTTGTTCGCCAACATTGGTTATACAGAGATAGGCGCACTGGTATTTCTTGAGCTCAGCCTGTGTGATGCTCTCAAAGTTTGACTCGTATTTTTCCACCCTCTGGAAGAAATCTTTCACAGCCGCGTCGCGTGCCAAATGGCGGTAATCTTGGTTCAGGGTTTTGCGCTCTATGTTGTATCTTCTCATTGAAGTATTGGTACACTTGACCTCTAGTATTAGCGAGCGGATATTGGGGGACCTTAACTGTATTTGCTGCGAGATGAATTTTCTTCTCTCTTTTGTGGAGTTGGTAGCGTCAAAAATCCCGATATCCGTCTGGTCGGATTCCAGATCGTCTAGAAGCTGGTTCAAAGCAATGCCAGCAAACTTCTCGCGAAGTTGAAATCCCATCTTGTTATGGAAATCAAACAGATCCGCCCGGTGAAGGGGGCTCTCAGAGAGTTTATACTGGTAGTCCCTGCGGACATCGCCCGCGTTATATATGCTTGTTCTCACTTTGTTGGAAGTAGCAACCGATATATACTCCTTGAGATGTTTTACCATAGTCGACTTGCCAGAAGCTGGGAGTCCAACCAGGGTGATACACCATTTGTCTGGTTTTAATTCCTCAGACTTCTTGGAAAATATGCCTGAAGCACAACATTTCAAATGGTTCAGATAATGCTTATCTGTGAAGCTATGTTTAGCAGCATATTGAGTCTCTCTCTCACTGCTTGAGTCATCAGACAGTATATTTTGGGTGAGAGCATCCGTGTCCTCCTCAGTGTCATCACAAGGATCTGTCTCATCTATCACCGTGTCACTTAGATCAAACCTATTGAAGTGCACATTCAGATCATCGAGCTCGTTATTGATCACGCTCGGAAAAAACTCAGGCGTCAACGAGTACAGCGAGCTCGAGGTGTTGTTTCTTGTAAAAACCGAGTTTATACTAGTTGTGGACTGGCTTCTGGAGGCTGCGACTGACGGCGCTTCAGAGTGCTCCGGAGAGGTGTCTTGCGAAGATGGGTATAGTGTATGCCGATGAAAAGTCATACCAAACCGATTAACAACTCATGTGTCTATAATAGAAAACTCACAAAACCAGAGTTGAGGGGCAGTCCAGAAAGAAAGAAAAAACACCAGAACAGCACAATCCAACCACTCAGACTATGGAGTGGATTAATCCGCTCCTAGACACGTTTTGGCCTTAATTATGGTAGTGCGCAGGTCAATGGTCATGCGCGGGCCGGAATTACCCCTCTTTGTCCAGCGAGAGCTCCGCTTTTCTGAAGAGCCAGATTTGTCTGTGGACCTCTCTTTTCAGATCCACATCTGAGGTTTCCAGAAGTTTAGTGAGCATTTGAAAGTCTCGCGAAGATATGTCCATGCAACTGGACAGAGGGGCGGACAGGATTTGAAGGCCCTTGAAGCGGATGCGTGGGCATCGCTCTCTATACTTCCTATAAATCATGAGTCCGTACACATCTGCGTCCACAAGCGCCCATAAGGGGGTATTTGGGAGCTGTAAACCGATCTTCTGCACAAGCGTTTGTGTCAGACGGTCTGGAAACCCTTTCCCCGTTATGAGGATCGCGTTTTTCGTCCCGTCGCAGAGATATCTGAAAACGGCCTTGGCGAAGTTTATCCGTTAGTACACAGTCGCCTGCATGTAGTTTATCCGGAGCGGGGACGTAAACCTGGATGTTTTAGGTGGTGCACATACCTCTTTTTCGACCACTGCTATGTACTCCACGCCAGGGCCCATCTCAACTGTCAGGTCGAGGTTCTTGGCCAATAAAGGTATCAGAGCTGGCTGTGAGAGAGAAAATTAGTCATATGGCCCGATAAAGGGAACTTCGGTTATTCTTACCCCCATGGACTGGTCAAAAACCATCATTTTGGTGCCTGCACTAAGCTTGAGATTCCCGTATAGGAGCCCTTTTTGGCCCGCAGAGGCATGAAGGTCGTCTTCAGTCACACCTAGAGTGTGCGAAATCGAGCCGATTGCTTCGTTGACGGTCCGTTGGTTTTTGAACAAAGCGACATCCTGGTAGTACACATCACGTCTGGTGCAGTGTTTTCCGTTCCGTAGATTTTCTGCCAAAATTCCTAGAATCCGCACATGAACGGCTTCACAAGTGTTAGTGTACAAAGTAGCTGACGTAATTGGGTCTCAGTTTTTCTTACCAAATTTCCAACATTCGTTTGGGGTATCACCAGGGAACCGCAGCTGCTGAAAAATGTCATTTTTCGAAGACCTAACAAACGTTAATATTCTCGTAAGTATTAGCAAATAATAAGCCTTAACGCACTTTGGAACGGTCTTTATCACAAGTCGTATCTGAGCACCGCTTGATATGCCGTTTTTGATCATGTCCAGAGCCCTGACCAGCTGTGCCTCCAGAGCAATGGGGCTAGTGAGACGTTAGTAGCGGGGAAACCAGCAAATCAGGCCAAAATCTGGTGTTCACGAACTTTCCAGGAGCAGCAGAGAACCCTTTCAAATCAATAGTTCTGGTACTCATGGCAGTGCATGCAATGTTAATTCAAACAACATGCACAATGTGGTACTAAGACCCAGAGCTGAATATAATTACAGGTTAATTGCACAGCCGTGATTTGGTCATGCACGCAAGAACCATGGCAGTGCAATACGACGCCATACGAGGCATGCGGGATGATAAAAGGGCGGAGGAGGCTTTGAATGTTCTTTGCTCCAGCATTAACGGGGCACTATGATTGGAGCATATTGAAATTCGTAGTCTTCTTGACGTCATCAACAGTACCAGCTCTATTGTGCTGATTTCTCACTCCTGCTTCAGCCTCAAAAGTACAGAGCCCGGATATAGCAAGCACTTTATTCGGGAGTGCACGACCAAATGCGCCACCTTTGGGTTCCATCGAACTGCAAGCTCTTTGTCAGTTTAAGTAATCCCGTTTTCGCTGTTCGACACTCTTGTTCCAGCTTCGATCTCGCTTTGTTCTTGTTGCTTTGTTCAATAAATTTAATAGCGCAATGGCTCCAATCAATCCCGAGTTAAGCAAGAGATGGAATTCTTACTGTGCGTTGTGATTACTATTTTTACGGCTGATCCCCTACTAACCATTGCAGATAACACTTCGAATAGTGCCAAATGGGCCTTCTTTGTGTTCTTGATCGTCATCGTGATATTTCTATTTGGTTACACTTTCCTGATCAACGTCAGAAGGATAAAAAGGGGCGCCAAGCCAGTTAGAGGAACCGCATGGATCACTCCCCCTTCCTACCAGCAATCGCAGAGACACTATAACGAGCCTGTCGTAAATCCGGTACCTCCGTATTCGCAAGAGGCTCGTCCCGAAGATGCCGGATACTACGATCAGTCTGGAGTATTCCATGCTAATCCGAACGTGCAGAAGGAGTACGAGTTGAACGGAGGTGTTACGCAAAACGAGACTGGCACGTCCAATATGCCATATCCTGATTCGGCCCACATCAGAAACGATTCACAGTCGCACCAGTATACAAGACCCGCCGGTCCCCCTCCTGGACTTGAGCAAAGGGATTACACGGCGCCACCGAGAGTTTGAAATCAAGGGAACGGTTGAGATTGTTAACTTGGTTGCCCACCAGGAGGGCCATGCTTGATTTTGCGCTTCTTTTTTTTTAATTCGCAAAGAGTTCCCGATGAAATGAATCAATTCGGGATTGGAACGATGTCGGAAGAACTTGAAATTTCTCGGGGCTCTCTGCTTCCGCTGCGACGAATCATCCTGTACACTCTATACACGCTTGAACGAATACTACTGTTCTTTAGGACTGTCACAGGAATGGGCAATTGAGTACGACTCTGTCATAATGTAGATACAAGTAAATAATTTTATGCACATGGTAAAATTTCATCAGTGGATGACATCCAGTGGAGGTATCATCAACAGATTGTCACCGATGGAATGGCTTGAAAGGGCTTGTAAAAGCCTGGAAAGAGTCTGAAAAGAGCCTGTAAAGCCCCAGAAATTTCAACAAGTCGTTAGCAACCTCTCAAACTTCCAAATGACAACTTCAATGGTGATTCTGCTGAAAGTCACTAGGACTCAGGTCATCAACATTCCACTTGCGTATGGGCCTAATCGACAGCTCTGTTGAAGCATTATAATTTTCAAACAACTCGATCCCAGCCCAGCCAATCATTAGCGCATTGTCAGTGCAAAGTGCCGGTGGAGGTGCACACACCTCGTACTGCTTGACCAACCTCGTCTCCAACATCTTCCTGAGTGTCATATTGGAAGCAACTCCGCCAGATACAACCAAGGACCGCACCTTCCTCACCTTGTATTTCTCCACAGAAAGACACAGGTTGACCTTATCAATAATGTGCTCAAAGATGGAGTCTTGGATTTTTGCTCCTAGAGCGCGGCGTATGGAATCGTCAGCTGGTCCTTGAGGATAGTTGGCAGCCATCTGCTCCGAAACTTGCGTGATAAAAGCCGAGAATGAAAAAGCAGTCACATTAGACCTTCCTGGCTTGTTCAGTAGAGGCAACTTGATGTTCAAGTCGACTGGAATTTTGGCATCTTCGGGACTTTCTGCAAGTAGCTCTTCCAAAGCTTTGCCAATCATATTGCCTCTAATACCTATCCGTCTGGCACATTTGTCCAGAGCATCTCCAGCTGAAATATCACGTGTGTTTAGAAGGATCTCGTGATCCAATAAATCGTTCGAAAGCACCAACATGGTGTGGCCTCCACTGGCTAACAGTGTGAGGAACGGATATGCAGGCTTTTGGCCATTCGATTCTAACCGTGGTGTCAATAAATGTGCTAGCAAATGGTTCACCCCGATAAAACGTGATCCCCAAGCAATTGCTAGGCCCTTTGCCACGTCGATTCCGGCACTTAACGAGCCAGCCATTCCGGGTCCATGAGTTACACATACAAGTTCGGGGCTGTTGGTCTTGTCTAGTCCGTTGTCCTTCAACACCTGAGCTATCAGCGGCGGAAGAGACTGCTGGATATGCACGTGAGCATCTGTAGGAATCACACCTCCTGCTTCTCGGGAATCTAGCGTGGACTTCATGTTGGCAAGCACCCTGGGCGGCTGGTTGGGGTCGAACCGATCTAACAAGGCAACGCAGGCATCATCGCACGAAGTTTCAACAGAAAGAACCTTGTAGTTGCGAAAGCCCAAATAACTGGTAAATTCTCTCGGTATTAGCCTTTTTTTCACTCGAAACATTGGGTTTGGCGGGTTCAGGCTGACGTAAATGGAGTGGTAAGCTTTCCATTTAGAGAGTGCTATCTACTTTTCACCCGATGAGCTGCTCGGCTGGATATGGCTTGAATCCGTTTACGGCCTAACTCCGGGCCAGAACGGTTATACTGAGGTATGAAACCGATAATTCCATGATAAATGTGTTGCACTATTCCAAATTGCTCAATCATCCACGTTGGTGGTATTTTTTGGGTGCTAAATAGCCAATTGTTGTGGCTATCCTATCGTTTTGTCTTGCGTATACCTCGGCCCGCCAGCGTAATCCCTATCACCAAAATCTGTAATCCCACACAAGCCGAGGTCACTTTCACAAGCCAACCAGTCCTTTCAACAAAGCAGAAGAACAAGCCAAATATTATAGAACAGCATACCCGGGGCAAAGATACACCCGTGGATATCATAGACAACCCCACCAAGAACTGAAATCCGGGTAATGCTACTGGGCCTGTGCCTCAGCTGATCAAACTCACGCTTCTCTCTGACCAGATGACCGAATCACTCTCTTCCAGCATACCCATAGGTTATGACCAAGGAATACCGTCTCCGATCACTCTGGAAGACTCTAAGACTGCAAACAACAATGACACACACACGCCGTTGCTATACAGTTTCCTGGCAGGAGGCTTTGGGGGAGCTGTCGGTGATTCAGTGATGCATTCTCTGGATACGGTAAAGACCCGTCAACAAGCCGCCCCGAATATAGCCAAATACAAGAGCATGATACCCGCATATTCGACGATTTTCACCCAGGAAGGCTTCAGACGCGGTTTGTATGGCGGATATACGGCTGCGATGCTAGGGTCGTTTCCTAGCGCAGCCACCTTTTTCATCACATACGAGTCGATGAAAAGACTCATGATAGATCGCTTCGGTATAAACGACACAGTTTCCTTTTTGACTGCTGGATTTCTCGGTGACTTGGCCTCGAGCATTTTCTACGTTCCCTCCGAGGTTTTGAAGACTAGATTACAACTCCAGGGAAAGTACAATAACCCTCATTTCAACTCGGGCTACAACTATCACGGGCTCACCGATGCTATCAAGACTATAGTGAGGCAGGAGGGCTGGCAAACGCTGTTTTTTGGCTACAGAGCCACATTAGTGAGAGACCTGCCGTTTTCGGCATTACAGTTTGCATTCTATGAAAAGTTCAGAAGCTGGGCATACTATTTATCACCAAACGAGACCACCGACGACAACCTCTCGGTGACACTTGAGCTCGCTACGGGAGGAGCTGCAGGTGGTTTGGCTGGAACATTGACAACACCTCTGGATGTAATCAAGACGAGAATTCAGACGCAATCGACATCTTCGATGGGATCGAGCAAACCAGAGCACCTGTCGTCGCCCTCCATCATGAGAGGACTGACTCTGGTGTATCGTGCCAATGGGTTCACGGCCCTGTTTGCTGGTGTGGGTCCAAGGTTTATCTGGACGAGTGTCCAGAGCAGTGTGATGCTGTTTCTGTACCAGCTTTCGTTAAAGAACCTAGAAGACACCTTTGGGTCCAAGGGCTCCACTATGTCTGCATAAAGGATGCGTTCTGATAGCAGTCATCGATCATCATATACATGTACATAAATGAAATGAATCGTTTGATTGGTTGTTCAGCTGTTTGGGTAGAAAGAAGAGATGCGGTTTTATCGTCTGTTTTCTCATTTGCATGTCGTAGACCAACTCCACGAACTGAGACGTTTGGTCCAACAGTCTCAGCATCTCTCGAACACCTTGTAGAGACCAGGAAGATTTGCAATTTCAACAACATCGCGTGTAGAGTCCGTGGTAGCCAAGAACCTTCTTTTGACCACTGGAAATACCACATCCTCCAACAAACTAGATACGGTTTTGTGCTTCTCGGTAATCTCCTCGCGACTTTCCTCGGGCACATCCTCTATGAGAGGCAGTGATTCAGGAATATAGAGAAGAGCAATTTGCTTGAGAATACCGGAGAGGCACTCCTTTTCATTGGACCAGTCCACTTTTGTGCCGATTCTGAAGAAGAATAGAGGTAGCTTGCTTAGTGGAGGAACGTAACCTTTGAGAAGAAGCGGCAAAGTCAATAGCTTAGGGTTGTTGGGATCAGATGTGTCCAATGAGATGGAGAAGTACTCTTTCAACATATCGGTCATTTTGACTAGCACCGATATGATATCTTCGATATCTGGCAACTGCTTTAGCTTAGAAATCTCCAAAAGATGGGTATCATTGTAGACTTTAGCTAGAAGACTTCGTATATCCAAATCTGTCTCGGACTGAAGCAAGATTCTCCCAAAATTGTTAAAATCAGACAGTCCAATCTGGTAAAAAAGATCATTGCACACTGCAGCATAATCTACCAAAAAAAGCTTCACATCGTATTGGACGCAAAGTAATCGTCTGTATTCATCCACAACACCAACGAAGGTATGTTTGGAAAACATTTCCGTCAATTCGGAGTGAGTCTTGGACTCCACCTCTTTTCGTAACTCCATCACACTGGTGAGCTTTACACCTATTCTCTCTCTGTCATTAACCAAGAGATCGGTTGTTGGCAAAACATCAGCCTCCGAAACTTCTATCACGCCCTCCACCAGGTCTATTGAAGATTGGTCGATGTTAGTATCACCACGCCTATTCAACCTCGAGCTCACCTGCGAGTTTACCTGCGATCGGTTCAGGAAGGAAGTGATCTTCTCCTGAGACTCATCTGTTCTCACCAGTTTGTTATCTCTCCTCTTGAACTCTTGAAGCTGCGATATCGAACGGACTCTTGTCGGCTGGTCCACGATCTCACTGATATCAGATCCCTGACGTTTCGAGTTATGCAACACCTGCTGCGTCAGGAAAGTCCTGGTCGAATCCAGGCCAGACAGCTTTTCTTGTATCGAGGAACATATATGCTGGAATATTTCCTCCTCATAGAGAAATCGCACTTCTCTTTTGGTAGGATGGACATTCACATCCACGTTGGCTGGGTCTATCTCCAGACTTAAGTATATGAAGGGTCTTTGGCCCTTTGGAAGAAACGCCGAATATAACTCGAAAATTGCGCGTTTCAGAGGATCACAAGCAACCAACCGTCCGTTGATGAAAAATACCGGAGCAATCACCTTCTTATTGGTATAGTTCGAGTTCGTTATCTGACCAATGCATTTGCGCAAACCAGCCTGTTCCAGGCCAGCTATGGAAATCTCCATTATATTATTGGCCACAGTGGCCCCAAACACTGCTCTGATACGGTCCTTAATGTTCTGTGAGTTTCGCGTAGATACCGAAGCGAATGTGTCTCCTATCTTTTTGCAGGAAAGACTCACACCTTCGGTGTGAATAGCATATCTGCCAACAACATCCAGGATTTTGGCATATTCTTCACCGGGCGACCGAATGGCTCTCAGACGTGATGGCACATTAAAAAAAAGATCCTCAACAGTTATCTGGGTCCCGTCTTTACCTGCCGTTGGTTTGGGATCAGATGACTCTTTTGGCTTGGGCGCAACCAACCTCCCATCCGAATACGTGCACTTCCAAGCGCAAGCAGACGCCCTTGTCTTTGTCACAACTGAAAGATGAGCTATATGTGAAATACTGGCCAGAGCTTCACCTCGGAAGCCGTAAGTAGCAATGCTATCCAGGTCCTCAAACTTCTCCAGTTTCGAGGTGGTGAATCGTTCACACAAGATAGGCAAATCTTCCTTGTTGATTCCAGATCCGTTGTCTGTTATCTGTAAAATCTTGAGACCACCTTCTTTCACTTGAACCTCCACTGAAGTTGAGTTCGCATCAATTGCATTCTCTAGAAGTTCTTTCAATGCGTTCGAAGGCCCGATAATGATCTCTCCAGCAGCAATCCTATTAACAACAGACGCAGCCAGAGGCTGAACAGGTTAGTTTAGTGTAAAATACAAGAAATGGGATTTGGGACAGTTCTTACTCTTATTCTTCGGGTCTCCGGGTCTGTTCCGGTCATGGTTAGTGGAGAAGTTGAGATCTTGGTTGCCATCCTGGTCGCGAGGTCTTTATCATGAGGTTCGCGTTTAATGTGCGATGCTCAATCTTGCGCCGCACAGACGGGAGATAGACGGTCACTGCCTGTTACTAGTATAATGTACACACAATATCAATCCCCAATACTCTCACAGAAACGACTCCGTGATATTGAACCTCTCAATCAGCCCTTGCCAATCGCTGTAGTCCAACCTGAAGATAATCTGGCTCTTTTTGATTTCTCCGCGCCGTTTCTTCTTCAACTCTTCGAGAACTCCAGGACTGGCCTCTTGCAAGGCAGGCACCCCATCTTCATCTTGAAGCAGAGTCAAAAGTCCGTGCGAGATCAGGAAACTAGTGTAGAAGAGGTTTTCCACAGAACGCGCAAATGACGTAGGGTCGATCATGAACTTGAAGAAGTTGATTTGCTGACCGTGGGCCTTATTATGGAGCACTTGATAAGATCTCTCCACGTTCTTCGATGTCTCTTTGTCCTCATTTGGCTTGACATCTGCTGCCGAAAGGGCTGTGGCACGTACAGTCTCTCCATTGGCATCTTCAGCCTGACGAGGCTTCAGATTTCGCGTTTTCTGCTCGATCTGAAGGGTTCCTTGAAGGAACTCGGTAGTAGCTGCCCTTCGACTGGTTCGACTGTACAAAGCACCGAGCTTCAGCCAGTTAAAATCGTTGTTGAACTTGCGGTCATTTCGCTCAACCGTCTGTTCATATTCCTCCTCGTCTTGTCCATTTGTCTGCAAAAATGCAGTGATCTTTGCGACGAAATCCTTGAAGTCCAGTCCCCGTTCACTGGCACCTAAGCGCAAGTTCCTCGTTGCAAGAACGGCCTGGTATCCTATCTGTTTTAAAGTGGCAGAGTCAGTTGCCATTATAGCCGATCCCTGGCTCCTCCGCATCTGGGAGAAGAGCTGGTTCGCTTTGGTGATGTTTTCGCTGACTAGCTTCACACCTCCTACTCGTGCGATTTCTGCGTTTTGGCCTGAAAAGTGTTAGTTTACGTCAGAAATCCATATAAGACCAAAACAATTGATGCTTACCTTTTATTTCATGCTGTAGCTTGTTATAGCTCACTTTGAGATCAACTGCTTGGTCAAAATGGCTTGCTTCTTGTTCTTCTTCGCTTTCATCTTCCTCGCTACTGTCTTCATCGTCATCAGAGCTGCTCCCACTGTCACTGCCACTATCACTGTCATTGTTGTCATCACTGCTATCACTGCTATCACTTTTCGTGTTTTCTGTCGGGCTCTCTCGTGTGTTTGTTCCATTGCTTGTTGGTACAGCCACGGGTCTGGCCGCAGTCTGTCGCAGTTCAGCAGCCTTCTCCAGCTTTATCCTTTTAGCCGCGCTAAAGGAATCTGTTGGCACTCTCTTTTCAGCTTTCATTTGAGTATTGGAAGCTGTGGAACTTTGTTGTGAGTAAAGCATTGGTAAGACGGTGTTACTGATTAAAAACGTTTAGGCTGATACGCGTCGTGCTTGATCGGTTTTCCGGAAGTCACGTGACAAATTTCACTTTGAAGACAGATATCCTCGAGTTTTAATAATTTACAGAGTGCTGAATGACGGTTAAATAATTTGGAAACGGCCGAAGCTACAAAAGCAGTATCTGGAAAAGATTACTCAGGATTTCCTGTTCAAGCTCCCGAGGTCTTCGTAATAATCTCAAGAAGACGGTTGGGGATGATGTGATGAACCGGGAAGCCCTTCTCAAGATCATCCGTAGCGAAAGCACAGCTTTTCATGTCTTTTTGGACTACTTCGGACTCAGGAGAGATATCAAAGTCGAAAATGTCCATGGGAAGTCCAATTGTGGTACATGAATTTGGAATATCGACAATGCCTGCAACGTGACCTTGGATAGGAGCGGTGGAGAGCAAAAGATAGATCTGGTAGTCGTTGTAACCGTAACGTCTCAAGTATTCAATGACCCTGAGGCATGTCTCACGATAGGCAACTGTGGTGTCCAGACAAAACTGCTTTCCAGTCTCATCTACGGAGAAGCCCTCAAAAGTGAGGTATCTGTTGGGACCATAATGAGGCTCAACAGGTCCTGGGAGATACATTGGACTTTTCATGTTCATTTTGGACATCCCTCCCTTTATGACTGAGCATTTCAGAGTGATACAACCATTCATTTCTATGGCTCCACAGAACGAAATCTCACCATCTCCCTGGGAAAAGTGCAAATCACCAACAGAGAGGTTAGCTCCTTTGACGTGGACCGGCAGATACACTTTCGACCCTCTTGAAAGATTTTTGATATCGCAATTTCCCCCATTCTCTGGACGGCCAGGAATAGTCCGCGCACCTTCAGCAGCAACCTTCTTTGCAATATCACTATCGGCTAAGGAACCAGCGAATGTGTTTTCAATACATGGTGGGTTTGCAACGATGAATTCGGAATGTGGGTTATCAAGGACAACCTGTTTCTCTCTGGAGTTCCATTCCTCTAGCACCTCCGCACTAGGAGCCGTTCCAATGATTCCAGGGTGGATAAGCCCTGCAAATCTTACCCCAGGTAGATGGCGGGAACTGCAATGGATGCCTTCGAAATCAAACACTGCTTTGGCTGCCTTTGGATAGAACTTGTCCAGAAAGCCCCCACCATTCTCTTTGGCAAATACTCCACAGTAACCCCAGGGGCTTCTGTCAAGGGGTTGAACGTCTTGGATTTCAACAACCAGAACATCTCCTGGTTCAGCAGATTCAACCGCAAAAGGTCCAGACAGATAATGGATCCTGGTCAGATCACAGTACTTGATGTCGTCAGCAGAGTCGTTGTTTTTGATCTGGCCTCCAGTCCATTCAAAACATTCAATTTTGTACGGCTTGTTCTGTTCCATTGTGTAACATGCGGGGATATCTGGGTGCCATCTGTTGTGTATCCCTGGTTGTTCAAAGGCAGGTTTGTCAAGGTCCACCGAGACGATGGTTGGGATTGGTTCTCCGTAGGCCATGGTTGAGAAGTTGACTAAAATCGTAGAAGACCTCGAATTCGAGATAGAAAGGCTTGTGTTGTTTATTGTCCCTTATTTAATCAATACTGTTCTCGAGAAATGAAAAATATACCGGGCAACAAACTGTGCCAACCCCTTCAAATCAGCACGGCTCGGTTGCTGCTTATCAGTCGCCGCACCTAAGGGCGTTATCAGATAGCCCACCGGCGGGGAATACTTTTGGCGATGAGCAGAGTGGGGGGTGGAGGGGTGCGGTCTGATCCTGGCGCCCCAGAAGAAGTTTGGGGACGAAATGTTTTGGGTGGTGAAAGTGGTATATTATTTTCCGGTTATGACATATAGAATATGAGAATGTCTGTCAGACCGCACTCACCAAATGTGCTGTTTTGGAGAGATTTGTCTGTTGTGAGTGTCGATCAGTTCTGAGAGTTGATTCCGTCATGCGGAATAATGGATGCCTTATGCGTCAAGATAACGTCTCAAGGTAACTGCAACCGTCAAGTTTCCGCGCGGTGACCCGTTTATGGATCGGATCTCGGATTAAACAAGGTTATTTCTGGGGAAACTGGGAGCGCGTGGCTTGGCAACTCAGTGCGATGCACATTTGTACTACATACTGGTCAGCATTGGCATGGGATCAGCTGTGGACAGGCAGGACTATTTTGCATTTTTTGTGACTCTGGACCTTCCCAAATATTGTGACACTCGCAACCTTAGACACTTGGCTTCCTTGATTTTTCCTAAAGCTTCCTCGCACACAGTTGCCTGTTGCAATTTCGGTTTGAGTTTAAGATCAAGCTTCTTCAAGGGACCGAATTGCCGCTTCAGGAGGTGTTCTGATGGGACGAATCGCGAATTTCCACATTTGGGAATTTCAATGTTACTCATTATGACATGCATCTACTGAACAATTCCAGATAGCGCGTTAGTCGTTCATACTTTGAGAAACCAATCGGGTAATCAAGTGGGCCACCAATAGGCATCGCATTTCCCAGCCGCATCGTTTAGGTTCATGACAAATAGCACATATCGCAGCACCTTATGTTCGGGTGTTTTAACTCGTGGAATCCGATTTGCAACCAGATTTGTACCTCCTAGTGGGCGGGAAGGTGGAGGTAGCGTCTTTGGAAAGAACAGTATGATACCTGTCTCAAAGCCCGAGCGATAAGGAAAGGGTCTTCAATTCTGAGATACTTTTTTGGCTTTGTTGCTAATTGGTCTATAAGCGTTTTATACTACGGGAAGTATTTATGCGCCAATAAATCCGTAAGTAAATTCACTATTACCTCAATTCTATGGAGATTATACCTAGACATCTTTCTGATTTTTCATGGTCGAAATCCACCCAATTCTCCCACAAGCTTATGGCTATGGCTATGTCATGGGTTTGGGTGCTGCCTTTGCCCTGCTAATGATCGGAGTCACTTTCATCCTCTCTAAATACGTCGGAGAACACCAGGACTCTGAGCATTTCTCAACTGCCTCAAGATCCGTCAAAACGGGTCTTATTTCTTCGGCAGTGGTCAGTTCCTGGACTTGGCCTGGAACACTTCTGACCAGTTCTGGTATGGCGTATAATTATGGAGTTTGTGGCAGTACTTGGTATGCATTTGCATTCACCATCCAGATCACATTCTTCTCGGTGATCGCTTTAGAAGTAAAGAGAAAGTCCCCTGGTGCTCACACAGTCGTTGAGGTCATAAAAGCCCGCTTCGGCCCCGTTGCCCATTGGGTCTTTCTATTTTACGGCCTTGGTACCAACGTCATCATCTCGGCCATGCTGTTACTCGGAGGTTGCCAGGCCATCTCGGTCGTCACCGGAATGCACATAGTAGCGGCCTCCATGCTGTTGCCATTGGGAGTTTGGGCATATACAGTCACTGGAGGGTTGAAATCCACGTTTTTGTCGGATTGGATCCATTCCGTGATCATATATATCATTATCCTCACCACTGTGTTTGTGGCATATTGCGGCTCATCCAAAATAGGCTCCATTGATAGAATGTACGATCTGCTCACCGCTGTTTCAAAAACACACCCATCTGCTGGTCACGAAGGCAGCTACTTGACATTCTCCAATAGAATCGCTCTATTCAACGGCTGGAACATAGTTGTTGGTGGGTTCTCCACCGTTTTCTGTGATCCATCCTACGGACAGAAGGCCATTGCTGCCAAACCTCTGGCTGCCATGAAGGGATACTTTGCCGGCGGGATCTGCTGGTTGATCATCCCATGGGCTCTTGGGACCGCTGCTTCTCTATCGTGTTTGGCTCTTATGTCAGACCCTGGTTCTCCAACATATCCTGATCCAGTTCCAACCACTCTGGTCAACGAAGGAATCCCAATGCTTTATGGAATGTTTGACTTGATGGGAAAGCCGGGAGCAGCAGCTGGTATGCTTATGGTGTGGCTAGCCGCAACTTCAGCCACTTCCTCGGAGCTGATCGGTTTCTCTTCGGTCATGACCTATGACGTCTACCGCACCTATATCAAGCCTGATGCCACTGGGAAAGAGCTAGTTAAAGTTTCCCATATCTTTGTTACCTTTTTCGCCATTGCAATGGGGGCATTGACCGTGGTCTTCAACTATATCGGAATCACAATTTCATGGATAATCACGTTCATCGGCATCGCGCTGGGACCAGCCGTGTTTGCCATTACCCTGGCTCTTTTCTGGAGAAAAACCACAGCTCTAGGAATGATTGTGGGACCTGTTCTCTCCACAATCATCGCCATTATTGGCTGGTGTGTTTCCGCAAAGACGCTCTACGGTGCTGTTAACAAAGACACTCTTGGAGAGCAGTACTCATGTGCAGTGGGAAATTTCGTGGGAATGTTCGGATCTCTCATTCTCATAGTGGGCATTTCGCTCATCAAGCCAGATGCAGAGCCATATGACTTCTCGCAGCTCAACTCTCACTTTATTCTGGGTGACGACGCAACCACTGAAGAATTCGAAAAGACTCATTTCAACTCTCCAGAGGAGGAGAAGAAGCTCAAGCGCGCTTCCACAATCGCCATTGTGGTCTCCTTTGTCATCTTCTTCATCCTGATCTTCCTCGTTCCGATGCCCATGTATGGCCAGAACTATATCTTTTCAAAGAAGTTCTTTAGGGGCTGGGTCATCGTCATCATGATCTGGCTCATTCTGGCTGCATGCTTCATCATATTCTATCCAATATATGAGAGCAGAGAGGTGTTGGTCACGCTGTATAAGGTTATGTCTGGCAAGCAGGCTGCCAAGGAACCGATTTTGCTTTCCGCGCAGAACACTCGGCAGGATTCTGATGAGAAGAATGTTGCTCTGGTAGATGTCAAGACAGAGGATGTTGTGAGTTAAACTGGACGGACCAGCGAGCAGGTGAGTTCATTATCAGGTCGGTATTCAAAATCATGACAAAATTAGTAGTCAAAGTTGTTCTCAAAGTTCTCAAACTGGTTGTCATGCTAGTTACCAAACTGGTACCAAACCAGGTCTAAATATACTTCCAAAAATCTTCGCCCGCGTTGTTTCGTTCAGAGGGCATTAGTAGGAAGATCTTCCTCATGATTAGTTCTCCTAAATCAAATACGTCTTCGGGGTTCCGTTAAACTCGTAAAGTGGGTCGGCATCAAGACCGAGGTCGACATCTGGTGCGTTTCTTTCTTCCTCCGCAGCTTCGAAAAACGCCATATCTGCTTTTGCCTCCGGATCAGGGAATTGATTTCCAAAGCCAGCTAAACTTCCTACGGTGGAAAAGTCCACCGGAGTCATGAATGGGTTGTTTCCTCCCATAACGGCCGCATCCAGATTCGTCAAATCCGTGTCCTGGTCAGTCAGCATCCCTGGTTCACCCTGGCCTCCCTGGTCTTTTGGAACTGAAACTTGCGCAGCTGCATGCTCGTGGAATGCGAGAATCGCATTATTCAGAAAACGTAGATATCCCAGTGATCCACTTAGCATGTGCGGGATTCCTTTTCCGCCTTCACCCACGTGGGCGCTCACCACTTGTTGGCCCTCGCTGAAGTCCTCGCAGATAGACCATTGGTTGGGGTTCTCTTCAGAGGAGTTTGGGTCTTTGAAGAAATGAACGGCAAACCGCGGTGGTCGGTTCACCTCGAGTCTCAGCTGGGCATCCAGTGGATTGATATCGTCCTCACGTATTTGCGGCCGCTGATTGTTCAGCAGGACACAACTGACAATACTCAGTAATGGAAAATATATCCGGAAAAGCACTTTCTCGTTTTGAAAAACTCCTGAGAAAAAGTAGTTCAATTCGTTGTCCTTGCGGGAGAGGATGATCAACAAGTCTGTGGTCATCATGAGCGTGTTGAGCACTCTTGGTGAAAGATTGTGCAGGTCTTTTAGCGCTGCATCGTTCAAATAGCCAGATTTGAGCCTTTGCCACGTTCCAACGGACAATGAATTGCAAGCCACGAAGCAGTACTTCTCGTTGATCTCGATAGGCAGCCTTTCCGCAGCAACTGCAGCTGCGCTTCCTGGAACCGAGTTCGCTCTTCTGGCAAATGCCTCGTCTGGCCAGTTGTTAGCAGAGCCAGCTCCACTAAATGACCCGTGCTGAGAAACTTCACCAGTGCCGTTGAGTTTCTCCATCTTCTTAGTCTTTGCGCGTCTGTTCTGGAACCAAATCCGCACTGATCGCTCGTTCATACCCGTCTTTGTAGAAATAGCTTTCCTCACAACGTTACTCGGACTGGGATTTTTCGCAAACTCGGCAATAAGATACTCTAGGATCTCTCCTGAAGCACGGTTGCGTTTCGTCATGTTCTTCTTGTCCTTTCCGGCAACGCTTTCCAGTGTCTCGCCTACACTCTGGCTGTACGGCACTTCAGTGTTCTGAATAAACTGAAACTCCGCTCCCTGAGGATCAGGAAGGGCGAAATCTATCTCGGGGTCTTCTGGGGAGCCTTGGGAGGGAAACAGCTTGTCGCTAAAGAGAGGGGTCATGTCATCACGGTATCCAAAAGCCTCATCCTGATAAAAGTTATCAGGATTTGGGGCGTTTGGAAAGTCATTGGCTCTATAACTCATCACGAGAGACTCAAACAAGGGCAAAATTACCACTTTCCCTGTGTTTGTGACTTGTCTGTTTGTTTTGCGGCTCAAAGCCTACAGATGGAAGTGATGAGGAACTCAATTTTGGATTTTCTTTAGCCCAAATTCGACTCTAAACTAATTCAGGCGTGGTTTGAATAGTTTAGATGCTTTCAGTTATAATTCAACCTCCATAAATCGAGGAAATAGCAAGTGTTCCAAGGGTCACCTTTACTCGAAGGTTGGTGGTAACAACAAGAGTGGTCACAGCTAGTTGGGCTTGAAATTCCGCAATAGTTAGCAGAAATGGGTGTTATAGCACTTTGCTCGCGAATTCAGACGTTTCCAGAGGTTTTTCCAAGGTTAGAAGAGTGTTCAGTGAGGGAGAAGACGTAAGACTCACCTACAAGTATGGAGAGTATCCCGGACTCCTGGCTTTTAAGGTCGTGTCCGAGATCAAAAGACCCCACCGGTCGGATCGGGTTTCGCACTTCAAGGAGTTTTCGGGCCATGCAGTTTTTGATTTGGTCTCCAATCAGTATGGTGGTATGGCAGCATGAATTATGTATACCAAGGCAATTGGTGATTTAATGGTCTATTTTTTGTCTCATTGTTCCCGAATCTGATATTTTCAGACGGTGGGCGCGGATCCGGGCCCGGGAACGAAGACCCGGGGACTACGGCGGAAATCTCCGACATCCCCATGTGGTGCTCTTAAGCGCCGCTGTAAACCATCGGAGGGGGACACCAATATAGAGTTGCAGCCTCGGGGAATTTGAAAGGTGGATTGTGTACATTTTGGAAGACGTAAATTGTGATGAATTTCGACGATCTCCATGATCCTCTCGGCCAGTTTCGCTATGCGCTGCTCAATTTAGCTGTGCATGAAGCGCCGCACCTAAATCGGTCTTTTTCCGGAATTGAATTGTAGACTTGTCTGGATATGGTGGCGTTTTTATGGTTGTGGCTTAAGGGTTGTGCTTCTAACAGAAATCACCGATCTGGCATGCTTCGCCAAAGTTTTTGGTACACTCCGGGATTTTTCAATCTCAAAGGGCCTTTTTGGGCGCTTAACTCGGGCGTGCGATTCTCAAACGGCGCGTTTACTACGTATCGAGCCATGTTGTAAAGATGTATTGAGTTGTTCTTACTGTAAGTAATATTCTTGTCCGTTTTATTGTATTTCTTCTTCTTCTCCTCCTCCTTCTTTTTCTTCTCCTTTAAGGCTCAACAGGCACTCGAATCGCGCTCTAGCTGGCGCATGCGATCACTTATAATCCGATTCACATCATCTTCTGAGTCTTCTTCTGCTTCAGGAATCACATCATCGAAACTGAGAAGCCTACGTAACCGTCCTTTGGTGTTAGCCCTTTGGCGTTTGCGGATCACCTTTCCGCTCGGCAACATCTCCTCATCGTAATCCAAATCAGCCGCACGAGTCACTGACGAAGGTGATCCAGGCGGCAACTCAGTGGGCGTTGGAAGTGTGCTGGAACGCTTCCGAGTAGCAGCAGATGGTCCTAATCCACCCTTCTTCACAAAAGACCGTATCTTCGCTATACGCGAATATGGACCATTGCTTTCGGCGCGAATTTGAGACTCGTGTGGCCATGTCCAACTATGATACAATTCACCAAAAGCACGAAATTCCAATCTCTTGCGAATGCTTGGGATTCGTTCAAGAATCTGGAAAGTTTCGCTCTCGGTGGGCCAGAACTCCACTCTAATACACCGTGCAATCACATCGATACCAACACCAATGACAATGAGCACTAACAAAGAGCCCCACCAAGTAACATCGCGGCCAAACTCCTCGCGAAACCCGGCAACAACGTAGAAGATCTTAGAATCCTTCGTCTTGTAGAGAGCAGAGATCAGGAGGTTCCAAATCATCCAGCCTCCGAGCGAAACAACCATTGATATGAGTGGAATCTTGGTAACATAATGCATTTCAAGAACGTTGCACTTCACGTTGATCACCACCACCAGGGTGGTGAACATGAGAACTCCCAAAGCCATCGTGGTGTTGTCCTTGGTGGCATTGGTTCCATACACATTCCAAGCGAGAAACGAGAGAGCCGTACTCTGAGCAGCTCCAAGCAGAACCCAATATACGAACAGTCGCAAGTTGAAAGACTCATAGTTGCGTCCCTTGGAATAGAGCTCGGGAACAGCCAATAGCGTTGAGGGCCGCAGATCCTTCTCGAACATGCCGATGCACAGCACCGGCAAAGACGTGAACAGCGTGTTAAACATGGATAATGACCAGGATTCGTACTGCGAAGAGCCCGTGAACAGATTCTGTCTCTGGTAAAGTGCCTGCGACAGATAGAACAGCAGCTCCTTGTAGAAAGTGCAGAGGACGAATTTGGAGGTTCTCTCGTAATTGTATCTTCCGTGAACGAGAAGAAGCTTCAGCAGATAGCGGAACTGGGCAATTGAGTAGTCTGACGCTCTTGCCGCCTGAAAGCCTTCTTTTCCTGTAATTCCAACTCCAATGTCCGCACTCTGGATCATTGCAATATCGTTAGCACCATCACCAATAGCCAGTGTCACCTTACTGGTATTGTATCTTCTGACATAAGATACCATTGTGGCCTTCTGGGAAGGACTGGCACGACAGCAAATCACAGAGTCTGCCTTGACTCCCAACTCCACAAACACAGTCATGGTGGTCAGATCACTTTCAATCTCAGATAACGTAGATCCATCCACCACCACCACACAGTGCGCGATGTTTCCCGCATCTACCTCTAAGGTGGCTGCGGTGATCTTTGTGGCAATATTTTCCTCATCCTCGTTCGATAAAATGATCACAGTGGAATAGTCCTTGATCAGGCTACACGAATGACCAATGTTGATGGCAGTCTCACGCTTGTCTCCAGTCAGCATCCATAGCTTGATTCCGGCTTTACGAAGCTTCTCAATGGCTTCTGGAACTCCATGTTGGAGCTTATCTTCAATCGCAGTGGCCCCGCAAAGCTCTAATTGACACTCCAGCAAGGCACCTATGGTCTCAATCTTTTTGGAACGGTCTACCAAAGATGTTTTGGCCTCAGTGTACTTCGCAGACCAATCCTCGAATTGGGCTTTGTCTAGCCATCTAAAGCTGTACATCAAAGTCCGCAGTCCCTCGGTGGAATACTCCTCGATGTGCTCCAGGGTCTTCTCCAACACGAACTCTTCATTCAGAATCAACGAATCCGGTGGAATTTGGGGCTCGGAGCTGTTCTTCGAGCTATTAACCTCATATCCATACTTCTTCGCTTGCTGCAGATGTAGCGATTTCCGAGAACTCATAGCAATCTCGTCCAGTTCAGAAGTCTCGCTACTGTCCTGCATCATGAAATTGTCAATTGAGTTCATTCCCCGGGTACTCACCTGGAAAGAAGTGCGACCAATGTTCAGACTTGAACGGTGATTGGACGAAAGCGACGATCTAGATTGCGCATCCATCGACTTTTTGTGAAGCACCAAGTTGGCCTCAGTATGTCTTCTGTCCTGAATCTGCTTTGCAAGCTCTTTCTGCTTTTTGGCAGCCAAATCCTTATTTCTCAGTCTCTCCAGAATGATGTTGTCTGCTCCTTTACACAGCAAACATATTCTTCCATCAGGAAACTTGACGATCACGGACATTCTCTTACGAGTGGAAGTGAAGTCTATCACATCCAACACCTCGTATTGGACTTCGACCGGTTCTTTGTCAAATCCGTCTGGATAAGTTTTCAGAGACAAAATGCGATTTTTGCGATCGTACAGAACATATCCCAGGTCGCTTGCGGCCGTTATGAGAGCCAGCTCGTCCGGAGAAGATGCCTGGTATTGGATCTCTATTTCATCATCGTCATCTTCGTCTTTCTCAGTAGGACCAACTCCCAGTTCAATAGGAATACTTGCAGTATCCAAAATGCTGCTACCGGAACCAGGAGGCATCTCTCTGCATACCTTCTTGGGCAAACACGAATGACAAAGTGCCAGAGAAAGTAGAAAGAAGTTCACCTTCTTGCTGAAAAGAGTGCTAGGATTGGTTTGAACATAACGGATCAGATCAGCAGTAGATTGTAAAGTTGGCTGTGTTGAAGGTGTGTTTCTAGGTTCATCCAGAGTTCCCATGCTTGGTCTTCTGGCAGAGATTCTTGAACCCTGCCTGGTGGGCACTTTAGAATTCGTCTCAGCGTCTTCGATATGGGCCTTTGATTGATCTACTCCATGAAGCCATGAAGTTCCCACCACAGAAAGATTGCGAAACAGCATCACGTTATCAGTCAGCGTTCCCGTTTTGTCGGAAAACACATAGCTGACCTGGCCCAATTCCTCCAAAATGGTAGCCGTTCTTGCCTCAGCAGGAGTGTTCGAGGGCTGATGATACATGTCGATATCCCATTGCAAAAGACACAATTGCATTACCTTTATAATCTCCATGGTCACGTACAATGACAATGGAATCAGTGTGTTGAACATGATGACGAAACCCATCAGCGTGGCAGCAACTCCCGCATCCTGATCATACAGATACCACGAAGTATGTCTGTGTTCACCATACAATATTCTCTCTGCCATCAGCGAAAAGCCAGAAAGCAGAACCACCACACAGACCATGAAGATAACGATCATGTTGATGGATCTCTGGAGCTTGGGTGCCTTGGTTCTTGGGTTCTTGATAGCGTTCATTCTGATCTTAGTCTCTTCACCAGTGAATATGACCAATCCCAGCATAACGTCTGTATTTCTGATGATCGAGCCTCGATAAATCACGTTGTCTGGACCAAGAGGATAGACCTCTTTGTTGGAGGCCTTGGTGGTGATCGACACTGATCCCTCGTAGTTATAGAGGTCAAGATTTGGGTCCTCCGAGTGAATTTCAGCAGAAACACCTCTTAGGTTTCGAGCAGTATTGCACGCCTTTTGTAACTCTGAATGCGCAGTCTTAGACTTGAGATTGGTCTCTCCATCTAGAGCCATGGTCTCCACAAAAGTTTCTCCTAGCTCGTTCGAAGAAGTCAGTAAAACCACATCAGCAGGAACCCAGTCGTCGGCATTCAACTTCACAACATCGCCAACTTTCACGTCCTTCCAGGCAACGTGTTTTGGATGAATCCCAACTTTCTCCAGAAGCCGTACGTCTTTGAACGAGTTTTCTGTGTCTTCTTCGGAATCTTCTGGACCAAAACTAACTGGGTCATCAAACTGGTCATCTTCCTCGCTGATCCCATGAGGTAACATGGAAGTGGTACTCCTTGCAAAATCAAAATTGAGTGCTGCAAGTGAATTGTTATGCTCACCGACTGAAAGCACACACGTGCGCTTGTTGTTCTCCTCCCTATCTAGTTTGTGTCTTCTAAAATCATCGTATCCTTCTCTGAGAATTGAGATGGTAATGAAGATCAAGAGCGGCACGATCGTGGTGTACGTACCGGTGGTTGACCACGAAGGAATCATCTGCATTATGGCGACACACAGAAAGTAACAATTGGCAACCTTGGAAAACTGGGCATATAGCTGCCTGGGTACAAAGCTGTAGATCGTATAACGCGACGATGTTATCAGGTTGTTGATGTAGGGAAAATTGTTCCGAGCATCTAGGAGCACCGGTTTGGATTCCTTCTTGGGAATAGTGTAAGGTAGTTCGGAATCGAACAGAGACATCGTCAGCGGAATATCACGGCCCCCAACAGATGGAGGCATCCGCCGTATGCCCAGAATCATATCATGTACTTTGTGGTAAAACTTACCCAGAGAAAAGCTCACCTTTGGCCGTTTGCCAAGCAAAAGAGACGGCTCTTCATCCGAGGTCCGAGGTCCATCGATGTCTGAATAATCAGGCTCAAACTTGAACACCTGACTATCATGTGAAGCATCTTTGTGCGGTTAGTATTTCAATCCACAAAAATTCCAAAGCGTCCAATCGAATACTTACAACTTCCGTCAACAGCCGTCAACTCTATATCATCAGTCTGAAACTCTCGTGTTGGCGATAACTTGTGAGAATAACTTGGGATTTCCTGTTCCATAAGACTTCGGTTTAGCAACTGTGTTCGCAGTGAAAGTCCCCTCTGTCTGTTTTTCGCGGCCCTTGGCTCTCTCAGTCGATCGGATCTGCCGACGGAGGCCTGGCTTGCATCCTCAAGGAAAGGGTTGTTGCTGAAGCCTGCGTCCTGAGACATTGCGCTTGAGGACGATTTAAAAGCAACAACTAGCAATCCACGTTTGGCTGTGCCTATTTGGCTGGGTTTTCTTCTCTTCTTAGCAAGTTGGGGAGCAGGGCTTGGCAGGGCGACGCATTAGACAGAATCATCGTGGTACTGATCGCATAGCCCCACGGGAACAACTTGTGTGTCATGACCAACTTTGCGCCGCAGCTGATTGCTGTAATCGGGGAAAGGTTTGGAGGTTAGGGAAAGAGCAACCGGGAAGCAGGAAAATAGGTTGGAAATCTGGGATAAGCGGGAAAGCGTGTGAGAATGATGGTATTAGCTCATTCCAGTACTTTGAAGGGGTTTTGGTTGGTTTCTGATGATGTTTTAGGCGCGATTCCAAGATGATGTATGGGTGAGTGATCAAGGGCAATCTTCATGTATAGAGGCGAAAATTACACGAATCAGCAGGTAAGACAAATCTTTGGCTCTCTTTTGTGAAATGTTACTGTAATTCATGGATTTTTCACTGTGTTTGATGTTTTGGAGTGCAATCTATGGGAAGTTTGTGGTCTAATGGCTGAGTTCTCAGACGAATAGAGCGTGAATACGTGGAACAGCACACTCTGAACAGTTTACTGCTCAAATCCTCTCTAAAATCTCCTTAAAATTCTGAGGACAAATTTTTTATCAGATTTTACCCAAATTTGGAAGTTTCGAAGCAAAAGCCCTGGAACATTGTTCATCCTGCAGGTGCTCCTGCAGGTGCTCCTGCCCAAAAAAATACCTTGCTTCTTTAACATCTTAAATTTAACCACTAATCCTACAAATAATATGTGCATAAAACCAAAATGTTCGCCTTCGTCACTGCTCAACATCCTCCCAAACCTCCATGTTCTTAGAGTAAAATTCATGCAGAAACCCGCTGTAATGGACTACCAGGTCGTTCAACTGCTGCTTGAACCATGCATGGAACGAAGTCAGTTCGGCTATCACTTCCCTATTGATCCTGGGATCATCTGCACTCACCAGCTCGTGTTGTCGCTGGAGTTGGTAAACACGAATTCTCAGTTCGTGGGCTTCTCTCTTGCGAGTCTCCTCGATGTTGTTCTCTGTCATCGATTGTAGCACACTGGTCACCTTCTTGAATCCTGGGATTTTGCCCAAATACGACTTGTTCTTTGCCGATGCCAATGAGTTTTGGAGATCCGTGTCCGAGATTGGAGAATTCTGCTGTGCTTGTTTCGCACTTGATCTCGCACCGTTGGTACCTGCTATACTGTCTGCAGTTTCTTCAATTCTTCTTAGTTCTGCCTCGCGTGCTTCAATCTCAATAATTTCATGCTGTTTGCTCTTGAGAGACCGTTCTATGCTACCCAATTGCACAATCTTGTGCTTGTTATAGTCAATGAGGTCCATCGCTGCCTTGGTAAAATTCTTCAGCTCAACGAGGCGCTGCAAAAACTCCAAGTTTATGAGCTCTGCCAGATTTTTGAGTCCAACATAGTTGTTGTCGAAAGCCCGGCCAATGTACTCTATCAAGTTCGAGTCCTGGGTCAATGAAAGGGCATTGAACTGGGATCCAAGCTCAGTCATATCAGCAGAAAGCTCCTTCAAGTGCTTAATCATCTTCTTATTGATTCGTGCAACATTCGAAAGCACGGTCTCGTACTGATTAAACTTCTCCTCGAACTGAATGAATAGTTCATTTTGCTGCTCGTCCTCTTTCGAGAGATACACGTTGCTCAACACTGCGGTTCCGACATTTCCATTGGATCCAACGCCATGAGGATTCGGCAGAGTCAAATAAAGCTGGTTATCGAGGTTGGAAAGTGGGTCAAATGGAGAAAGCCTGTATATGGAGGTCTTGGTGAGTGCAGAGCCCACACTGGAACCCAGATACTCATTGAAATTCGTTTTGGGGTCCAGAAAGCTGTTGAAAAGAGGACTTTCAGAAATATCCTTAATCTGGAGACATCTGTTCAAGAACACCCCGAGCATCCGCTTTCGGTACTCCACAAAGCTCAGACTTGACTCTCCATGGAGTCCATTCTCGCCATTAGAGACAATTCCCAGAGACGAAGTGGTTGTTGCAGTTAGACTGGATTTCAGGCTTTGTTTCTCAGGAATGGGGGGAATGATTTTAGTCGGCAGAAGCTTCACCAGGCAATTCCGCAGGTTCTCAAACTCGCTGTATCTTCTCTTAACCATGGCTCCAGAGCTTATGTTGATGGTATATACAACGTAGTTCCTGTGACTGTGGGTCTCTGTAGACTTCGAGGCCTCTGTTATTGAGATCGTTGGTGTGGCCAAGTGGGAATCCCCAGGAATTGGGTCAGTTATCGGGTATGCGTCTGATGGTTGTGGTTGTGATTCGTCTTCATTTGCAATTAGCTCGCCTCTAGATCCGCCAGAAACACTACTGGAAGCACCACTTACCCCAGCATTGCTCTCAGGGGGCTGATGAAAGCTTCCGCTGCTCTTTCTAGAGTTGTGTTCCTCTCCTTCGGACAAAGGCAAATCTGTGAACTGGTCTGCTTCTCCAGAGACTCCGTTAGAGAACGGGCTGTTGTCCTCCTCAAAAGACATAGCCAAAAGCGGATTTGCACCAACAAAGATATAATTGTGGGATTGAGACTTTTAGTTTGGTTCCAAAAGGTGTGATGGTGCTAGAACTCGACACCACAGTTCGTTAGTTTGGTTGAGAGAAGCATCACCAGGCGGGATGATGGAGAGTCGTGTCATAACTGAGATAGGAAGATAGAGGAGTAGTGCGATACACATCCGATCTGACTAACCAGGTAAAAGTTCTAGGGGAGTCCCAGAATTTGCGTGAAAAAATTGATTTTTTGATGGGATCGGGTGTTTTTAGTGAAGTAGATGCAGGTGCTGATATTCGGTTGTTTTTGTACTTGTTTAGTGACGCTGTGGAACTGGCAATTACTGAGGGGCATGGCTTATCGCTAATCAATTCTCTCCAGACCCTCTCATAATGAATTCTCAGCCATGATAAAGCCACTAGAAGATTGCGTTTCTATTCAATAAAAGTAACTAAGAATTCAAAAAAAAAATCAATGCTTTCACACCCATCTGCAATAGGTCAAAAACTTAACCAAAAAAAAAGCTTCCCCACCAGGAGTCGAACCTGGAATCTTCTGGTTCCAGAAGTGACTAAGAAATCGTAGCCAGACGCCGTGACCATTGGGCCATGAGGAACGAAGCTTAGCCTTAGTTGTTTTAAGTTGCCACATAGCCAGTTAAATTAATTTCCGCACGACATTTATGAACTTTTGGGGTTGAGACTTTAGTTATAGGTCTCAGTTTCCTGGTCAATTGGCCTGATTCCAAGCTTCAGTAGTCTATTCATCGACCCCTAACTACGGAGTTTAGGCAGGTCTCTACGAGCCCAATTTTTGGTGCTGTATGGCAAAGCGACCTCTCACTTGGCACGAGGCCAAAGATGACACTGGAAAGAACGTACTTGTGGGGCTTTGGTTCGCGCCTGAAAGTCCCCATCAGCGGTATGTTTTGACTGCTGTTGTTACGGACATGACAGATTTTTGGGTCTTGGAAAAAGTGACAGCTTCACGATTGAAAGAAATTACTGGTGAAGCAGGGGTAGAGGTCTCGGATGTGGGTGGTTTCCTAAGCCTGCTCAGAACTGCGAATGTGATTTCTGTAACAGGACTCATGGGAAGTACGAGTTTGGAGTTAGCTGGGTCTGAATCGGAGTTCAAAATAAAAATTCCCGTGTTCAGAGTGAGTGCTGACGATAAACAGGACAATTGGAGAAGGCTATGTTCACAGCTATTTTCCACCACGTTTGTGATGAGCAGACAGATGACCGCAATCCAAAGAGAGATGAAGCGAAAAGACAGGATCATCAACACAATGCTGGAGAAGCTCTACAGTCTACAGAGAGAGCCATGGCTTAGCTCTTCGTCGCATGAACCAGACGAAGAACAGCTTCTCAGAGAGACTCGATGGGTTAAGGATCTCATCAGAGACCCGCGATTGTCAATGTCATTATATAAGTTCGAATGGGAACGTTTTCAGCGAACTGTGGCGTCACGGCTTCCCCAGCCGGATGTTCCTCTGTGGAGTTTGATGAGGGGCATTTTTCGCAACCACTCTGCATGGGAGGCAAGTAAGTATGATTTTGATGGGAATGCTGTGAATGTGGAGTCTGAGACGTCAGAAGAAGAATATGTGGAAGCTGATGAAAACGACCGTGATTCTCAAATGACTGCTGCGCTACCAGTGAGAAAACGGACTTTTGGAACAGTTCAAAGCGACAAGACAGCTGAGACTGCTGAGACTCTTCAACCTGAAAGAAAACTAAAGAAACTGCGAAAGTTCGGGAGAAATACGTCATAAAAGATGCCTCAAACATCGCTTCACATTATAGTCTTCCAGAACCTGAACAGTTCCTTCAAATCATGTTTCTGTTTCTCACCTCTATTGGCATAGAGTTTTGTCAGTATCGGGATCCACAAGGCGGTGAATGTCTCGATGTCAGGCCTCGTCTTTGGTGGATTGGTATAAATCGGATCTATGCTTTTTGAGCCAAAAATCCTGCCCACGTCGCCGCCACGGGGTCCAATTATATCGGAAAAGCCAGTGAATGAAAACCGCTTCAAAGTCTTGAAACACGCATACAAAGTTGCGACATTCGATTTGCTATAATCCAGGAGTTCTATCTCATCGCCAAATTCCTCGTGAAGCTTTTTATCTATTGATTCCATCAACAGACTCAACACATGGTTGTAGATGGTCTGACCAGCAGAGACGGGGTCATGAATTGTAGCAGTCACGGAAGGATTAGACGGCACTTCCAATTCCGTTAGATCGTCAAACTTGATATCGCCATCAACGTCTGTATCATCAAGAACTGCGTCGTCTAGCTCGTCTCCAAATTCAGGATGCCGACTCCGATGTTCCTCGATGACCTTCTCGGCAATCAGACCAGCCGACATGTCCTTGCGGTAAGAGATTGTCAGCACGTCGTTAGTCAATGCCTTGACACAAAGGTTCTTATCGTTCGACATAAGCACCACCAGAGAATCGGTATACTTCTTCTGGAAGTACAGACAGCAGTCTAGAATAGCATCGTCTTTCACCAACATTGGATCAATCTTCTGGTGTAGTTTCTGACCCAAAACCACCGGATCGCTTCGCTGGAAATTTAAGTAGATCCAATCAATGGCCCAGCGAGCCAGTGTACCGAGTGGCTTGTCCTTGGAAGCTCCGTCCGGACCAACGAAGGTCTGGTGCTTTTGAGAGCTCTTGAGCCCATCTAGTTCCTGGATAACAGTGGATGGAATAATGATGCGATATGCCGTTTTGTAGCTTGCACTCAAGGATCTCAAATCAACAATAATGGACAGGTTTGACAACACGAAATTAGTATCCACAACGAGAAACGTGAGTCTCGCTTTATCGTCAAACACGGTGTCTGAAGGCTCTTCTATAGGCAAGTTGGACGAACCGGAGTGTTGCACCGTTTTCAAAATTTCTGTAATGGCGTCATTCTCAACCGTATAATCAGGTTCGTCCACGCTAATTTCCATGCTAATGTCCATGGGCTCTATGTTGTAGTCTTGTTGTCGGCTTTCAGGTTCGAATGACAGCGAGTCTAGAGGAACAACTCCTACTGGTCTATTGCTTTTCTGATGGCCCACGGTCAACACCTTCTTCTTGTCTCCAATACTGAGACCAGCAGAAGAGTGTATCGACGGCAATTCCGACATCTCGTGCAGTAAGTCGAGTGTTGTGGGGATGGAGATCAGGTCTGGAGTCTGAAGTCAAGTTTGTTCTCTGGGGCTAAATAGTTGTGGGTACACGACTCCTATTGTCTAGTGCATTACCGATTGATCTGCTTATTTTGTGCTCTTCTTGATCGTTAGCGAGAACAGAATAAGTGATAGTAATAATAAATAATCAAAGATTCTAATACAGGTTGTAGAATAATTGAACATATGTTGTGGGATTCTGAAGGGGACATGATCAGCGGTCCGATGGCCCATTTGTCACTCGTTAGGCCTCATGAGGCCTCATGAGGCTTCCTTAGGTTTCCTTTTTGATCAAAAAAGCACCATTACTCAACTCCAGCTCAAGCTCATAATAGCTTTGGAAGTCCATATAGAGAGTTTCTCTGTCTGCCTGAATGTGACGAGTGTACGCAGCCTCCTCGTCGCCAATATACTTCTTCTCAAGCCCATTAGAGGCCGCAGCGTCCGCCAAAAGTTGAATTTCGCAAGACTTCTCCATTAACATGAACAAGTAAGCGGCCTCGTCTACGGTGTACCCCACAGTTATCAAACCGTGATTTTGCAAGATGGCTCCGGCAGTGTCTCCGACGGCACTGGCAATGGCTTCACCCTCTTTTTTCTCAACAGCCACTCCACCAAAGTCGGAGTAAACAGCATGGTTCTCATAGAGCGTACACACGTCCTGGTTGAGCATCTCTAGGGGTTTTCCAAAGACTCCGTATGCCTTTCCATAGACGGAATGACAATGGCATGCGGCATTCACATCGGGTCTAGCCTTGTGTAGAGCGGAATGGATGGCAAACCCGGCTGAATTGATCGTATGCTGGTTTCCACCTATCACATTTCCGTCCTCGTCAACTTGCACCATATCTGAAGCTTTCAGCAGAGCAAAATGTCTTCCCAGCGGGTTGATCCAGAACGTGGTGGGATCCACCGGGTCTCGAATTGAAATGTGCCCAGATGATCCCTCGTCGTATCCTTTCCGGGCAAAAGCACGAAATGCCGCAGCCATGTGCTCTAAAGCCCATTCACGCTCTTTGTACTTGTCTTCAAACTGGGGGATTGGATATGGAGGCCCAAACCCCATCGATATGTTGTGGGCCCCCCTCTCAGTGATCTTGTAACCCCTCTCGGTGGTCACCTGCAAAGATGTGGGCACCTGTGTCTCTGTTCTTGTGGCTGACATTATAACTGAGTTTTTTAACGGGCTGGAGGCGAAGGAAGACGAGGAGTTTGCCTTTCTTTTATATATATAGGGTGGGGGACGTGTGTAAGCTATTGTGCATCCGAATCCGGAAGTTCGCGCATGGCGGGGCTTCTAATACGGATAAGACTGGTCAGTACACTATTCGACGGGCATACGATAAGAGGTGAGATAACGGAGAGTGTAATGGTGCAAAAAACCAGTGATACGTTGCTGAAATGGTGGAATTCAGTTCATAGCTCTTCCGGGCTGTTTTTCTGGATTTGTGTACTCCCTGGTGACCAGTTAGTCTTCAATGGTGAGGCTGATAGTATGATCAAGTGGTCTGCTTACAAACCAACCCTCAAGAAGTAGTCATATTGTCTTATCTTCCAAGATATGTTGATTTCAGGTTATTTACTGTTTTTGTACTTTTGAGGTTCTGCAACTCCAAGAATTCAGTAATTTTACAGATTTTTTCTGTTTTCTGGAATATCCTGAATATCATCGCTAACTAATTGCTTTTGTGTGTTCCTGCTGACTTACCACCACAACTACAAACCTGATGCCGTAGAAAAGAATATATAGACCCATATTTTGATTATAGTTACATCCAAGCATTCTCTCTCCCATGTATCTGCCATGTCTTTCCCTTTACCACGCCCATTTGCCAATTAGTTTCGCCATCTGTTTGCGTGCGGCGGTACAATCACCCACACACTACTAAAAGTCATCTACCATCACCAGCTCAACTACAACTCAACTCCCTCACCTCCTTTCTCAGCATCACGATCACCCCGATACACCCAATTGCAATCCAAATTTGGCCCAAATCTTGGCCACTACGTCAACTCGTTTGTTGCTATTATTCACCCGCTTTTTTGCTGCGAGGGAGCAATTTCAACCGGTTTGGCGGCGACTCAAGAAAACGTGTCGCTTCCCCGGCTACAAATCGCAACAGCTTCACCTCTCCAACAAAATTCGTCTAAAATATCGCAGAAGAGTCCTTAACAATGTTATCACCACATACAGATGATGTTGCTCCGGAATCGCCAAATAGCGACTCGCTGGAGTCGACCACACTCAAACCCCTTGACACGGTTTTGGTGACGAGAGACTACCAATCATCAGCCAGCAATGTGTTGAGCATCGCAGTCGGTGACATTTTGCAGGTGTTGTCGAAGTCGAGTACTGGCTGGTGGGATGGTGTTATGGTGGACTGGACCGGGGAAACTGTCCGCGGATGGTTCCCATCCACATATTGCCGGCCTGCTACAGTAGAGACGGCAACACGTGTGGGTGCCAGCGGAGAGGTAACCACAACTGTTGTGGGTATATCCGCTTCTCGAAAGAACAGTACCGTGTCGTTTGCGAGTTCGGAACGAAGTTTTGACTCTGGAACTGGCCCGAAAACGACCTCTGGGACGACATTATCCCGTCCGTCGTATTCATCGCAGCTCAAACACTCCATCACATCAACGACTTCATCGCTAGAGTCTCTGACGCGGCCCCGAGCCGTTTCTGCGGCTGATGTGGAGATTTTTTTTAACAATGGCGTTCCGGTAACTGCCGGAAAGTCCTCTACTGAGCTCACACCGAACTTTGCTCCGTCATGGACGCCATATTTAACTGAGTCAGAGCGACTTGTGTACTACAATGCCCGATTAAACGTGGTGACAGCAAGCCTGCCTTTCGTGGAAATGCCATATGTGGATGCCATGACTGATTTTGACGTTCCGGAGGCCAGCATCGTTGATCGGATGGATGCGATCTCCATTTCGGGAATATCAGAGCGCGATGACGAATCTCAATCTGAAAAACTCAACTACCAGAGTATGCCTCTTCAGCGAGTGAGCTTGGGATCTGAGGGCTCAGGACCCTATTCGCATGACTATTCTGACCGTGGGGTTATGCTTTGCGAGCCGGATGCATTCTACTACGATCCCGCTGATATTCGCAATTGGAACCAAATGAAGGCAGTGGTTACCATTATGGTGGATTTCTCGCTAGATGCGTTGAAAAAGGAATCCAAAGAGCTGTTTCTGTCCCATTTGGGTACTGTAAGTCGACTGGTGACGCTGCTCCAGCTAAGTGCACGGCTGTTGCACCGCGAACTGGCTATCAATGCAGTGGAAACCGCTGTTAAGAGGTCTGTCAAACGCATCATGGCCTCGTTGCTCCAGCTAACCGTCAATGGAACGCTCCATCTCACTGCGAATAAAAGCTCGCCCCATTTTATGGGAAACCTGGAGAGCGGGTCCAGCAGCAGTGATGACCGCGAAAAGCAGGAGCTAGACCTGTATTTAGAACGCGCAGAATACGATGCCCACCAGCTCCAGCGGAGATCCGCGTCTTTGTGCGATCTGTTCTTGACTCTGGAGCTGTCCAGTGGAAAGCCCAACTTCTACATGCCCCAAGTGTATCCTCGGTTTCTTAAAGATGAGTTTGATGGTGGTTTTTTCACTAATCCTATTTTCCAGGGTGAGGAAACCAGCAGAAAGGTATTTGGACCTCGGATCTTATTGGACGACGATGCCATTAAGACGCTAGAGAACAAAAAGGCGGAACTCGAAAAGTTACTGGACGATGTAATTGTGGTAATCACCACGCCGGTGCCAATGGATACACCTGTGAACCAGTTTGAAGAGGAACGGAGCATCAGCACAACAACTTTGATATACCACGCGATGCCCGCGATCAACCGTGTGATGCAGATCTTGGAATCGCTGGATTTCACATTTTTCGTGATGCTACGGAAACTCTTGGCAAATGCAAACGAGAGGCAGAGCACTGAGAAGGAGACGTTTGGCTTTGACACTCAATCAGACGTTGATCTTGATTATCAGAAAGAGTTTGATTTCGAACAGCATAGGTCTGATGATGAAGAAGAGCCGGAATCGGGTATAGACTCCGAGCCTTTGGCTGAATCGTCAACAGATTTGGAGCAAGGGCCGATCTCGGAATCGTTTTCATCGTTTCCGCCCCATAGCCAGACAACTTCCGGCTCAAACACTCATTTCTACGAGGCCTCAATGAAGATGATCGAGCCCACAGTTGAGGAGTTTCTGGAGGCCAAACAGCAGCTCTATGACAATTTTGTGGAGTTAGTGATTGACGCACAAACACTGACTTTGGATGACCCAGAAGCGTTCAAAGGACTAGTTGAAGACCCTCAAATCGACTATAATAAATCTCTGAAAGACACAGAAATTGAGCGTTTGGCCAAACAACTGGAAGAGCGTCTGATAGCCCATGATCTTGAATGCTGCGAGTCAGGCATCAATGATTTTGATGTTTTGACGAAGCTAGCGGACACCATCGGAAAAACAAAGTTGCGTTTGAGCGCAATCATTGAGGTGTCTGTATTGCTGAAGGAGCAGAGATCCAAGATCACCACCTATCTCTCCCGGTTGATGGACTCCGATTTCGACGTGGCAGCGCTGTTTGTGGCTGAGCGCCATAACACGATGTACTCGAGCATAGCTTCTTCTATGACGGATGACTATCTCCAGGATCGACATGCATACACCCGGGCAGATGTCGATTTGGATGTACCGTGGTTCCTGGAGGTGAGCGACGAAGAGAGAGACCTCGTGTACGATGCAAATGGAATCAAGGGTGGGTCCAAGACCGGCTTAGTAGCCAAGCTGTGCAACCCAGATCACTATGGAGAGGTTCGTGGCTCGTTCTCCAGTGTTGATCATGTCAAATTGGCCGCAAAGGTTGACGACGTGGCGTTTGCTCATGCTTTACTGCTAATGTTCCGGACCATCTTTCTACCTGAGGAGTTTCTGAAGGAAATAATAAGGCAATACACCTTGGTCATGCCAGAGGGACTTTCATTCGAGGAATACGAGCTCTGGACGGCTAAACGGTTAGTCCCCACCCAGGCGTGGGTCCAGGAGGTATTGGAGACGCTATTTTCAAGCTATTGGAATGTTCACTACTCGTCTCCACAGGTGATGGAAACCTGGAAGGCTTTTGTCGCCGATCAAGCAGCTTTGGGGGCTCCAATTAGCACTGATTTGGACAATAAGGTCATGACAGCCTTGGAAGTGAAAGACCAGGAGCGCTACATCAAAATATTTGGCAGACAAATTATCCGAGAGCAGGAGCAATCAAGACCACCAGCACCATTACTTTTCAACCGGGTTATTCTCAAACGAGGCAAGATTTCGCTGCGCGAAATCGAAGCCTTGGAGTTGGCTCGCCAATTCTCGTTGATTCAGTTTGAGTTGTACGAGAAAATCAACGAGACGGAGCTTCTTTCACGAGCGTGGTCGCGCAAATACGGCGAAATTGGCGACTCGCCAAACATCGCCAGTTTTGTACGGAATTGCAACCAAATCACGCACTTCACTTCGTATAGTGTGTTACGAAAGACAGATGCGCGGAAACGTGCGGAAATTATCAAATACCTCATTTTGGTTGCCGAAAAGTGTCTGAAACTGAAAAACTTTTCCACGATGACAGCAATTATCTCCGGACTCGGTTCAACACAAATCTCACGTTTGAAGAAGACGTGGGCGCTCGTTCCAAAGCACATGGTGCGGAACTTCGAGCGTTTGGACAGTGTGATGAGCTTTGGTAGAAACTACAGCGAATACCGCAGCATGCTGCGGTTTATGGAGGATGATAATGAGCCCTGTTTGCCGTTTTTGGGCATGTACCTTTCAGATTTGCGGTTCCTTGCTGATGGAAACCGGGACTACCTTCAGGATAAACAAACCATCAATTTTGGAAAGCGGCTCGGATTAGCTAGGATAATATCCGACGCAGTACGTCCCGCAAGGAGGCCGTTCAACTTTGAGAGGGTCGAAGAAATCCAGACGTTTATCCAGGAATACTTTGATGCTGTTCCTGACGAGGAGACTATGTACCAGCTCTCTTTGAAGCTGGAGCCTAGGGTGGCTATGGTGAAGGGAATGTGATTATATAAGCTCGGGAATCGTGCAAAGATTCACGATCCTTTTGGAGCTGTGGATTCTAGACACAGTTGAGACTTAGAGTCGAGAACTTGGAGTCAAGGCTGAAGTGTCGGAGTGAATATCCGGATGCTAGAGCCCACTGGGCCCTGAGCGTTCGAGCTCGCGGTGATCCACAGATTTAGCACGAGATATCAGGGACGCTACCGAGACGGTAGAGCCCACAAGGACGTTACGAAAACGTTTGCCCTGTAGTGAAGATTGAAGTAGACCGAATGCTTACATAATCCCTGCATCATTCAGTGGATTACATAATGATTACATAATCAAATACCCCCTTAGCATGTGACTCTGAGCTTCCCCGGCCGCATGCGAGCCCCAACACTTTGGCCCCAAATTATTCATCGCAGGCTCCAGTGCCAGCCGGGGGTTTTCTTTTTTGAAGCCAGAACCCGACGTTTGCCGCGCTTTCTGGTCAGATCATCAATTTACCTATGTCTTCCATCAATACCAAGGACCAATTGCGCTACTCTACGGGCCGTGCCCGTGATGGTTCGTCCTTCAAGGTGCCCGAGACTTACGATATGGTGAGATCTCTGTTCGACCCAACTTTGCCCAAGTCGATCTCGGACTACTTCACACTATTGTGTCTGACCTCTGTGCTAGGTCTTTATTGGATCACGCCGCAAAAAATACGCACCGTTCTGTTCATAGCGCTGTATTTGTTCTGGAGACTGGGCTATAATGTTGGTTTAGGCTATCTGCTCTATAACCAGTCCAAGTACGAGATGCTCTTCCGCTGGTACGAAAAATACACCGCGGAGGGAACGAGCCACACCCTGATCGCGAGACTTATCGCGCTGGAGCTGAAACAACGCTTGGGTGACCAAGTCAAGCAAACTCCGCTGGAATTCAAGACCTGGCTTGTGTACCGGTCCCTGGTCAATCTGATCCTGATGATGGACTTTACCACTTACATGGGGCTGGTGCTGGCATGTTCAAGCCACGCGTTTGACCAGGCTGCGCCACTCGTGATATTAAGATGGACACTTGGAGTGGCGTTCTTTGTGTTCAACTTGATTGTGAAACTGGATGCCCACAAAATCGTGAAGGATTATGCTTGGTATTGGGGTGATTTCTTCTTCAGGCTGCAAAACAATGAGGAGCTCATTTTTGATGGAGTCTTTGACCTTGCACCTCATCCCATGTACTCCATTGGCTATGCTGGATACTATGGCTTTGCTCTCATGACCAAGTCCTATACCGTCTTCTTCGTGTCAGTGTTGGGCCATTTTCTTCAGTTCGTCTTTCTCGAAGTAGTAGAATCTCCCCATATCGAGAAAATCTACGGGTCTGGGGACGCCAATTCTGAAGCCTTATCAGTGGCTTCACGTGATCTGGAGATCTGTAAGGAAGAGGGTTCCCGTCCAATGACAATGCTACAGAACTTTGATCCTTTGCGTTCTGCCGATTACCTCACGTTGGCGTTGGTGGCCTACACGGGTGTTTTTCCGTTCTTCCTGCCAAATACCCCAGTGTATGAATCTCTGCTGTTTGCAGCTGCCCTGGTGGTCAAGCTGGTGGGATCCTTGCTGGTCAACTCAGTTTTGTACTATCAGTCTCGCTTCAAGTCTTGGACCAAGCACTTCATCAGGAACTCGGCCCTCGACATGGACGTGACTGCCAATTCGCGCAGAGTGGAAATGATTGCCTTTAAAAACTGGATATTGTGCTACAACAACCTGACTCTGGCTTCTTATTCTTCACTTTTCGTCCTGGCTGTCCGGTCGCTGGTTTACGGCCCAGTTGAATGGACCAATTGGTTCATTCTCAAGCTCGTTTTGACTACTGCCCTTGTTGCAGCGCAATATTTGATTAACACGCAAATACTTGAGTCCATTGGTGTCTTTGGCTGGTTTTATGGAGATTTCTTCATGGTGTTTGAGGAGTCCAAAAAACAGTTCCTAAGAGATCTTTCCAGAACCGGAATCTACCGTTATCTCAACAACCCCGAGCGGGTTTCTTCTGTATTGACAGTGTGGGCATTTGTTGCGTTATTCGAGCACCATAGAGCTCGGTTCCTGGCCCTTGCGGTTGTGTACACCGTGAATAATATCGTTCTGCTGAACTTTGTGGAGAAACCCCACATGGTGAAACTTTACGGCGAATCCAACGTGACTCATAAATCTGGAATCGAAAGGTCCATCAACCAGCTGTTCATCCCACCAAAGGTCCAAGGCGAGCTGGTGAAGATGAACGGTTCGCTTGACCGATTGATCGCAGACACCTCCAAGATCATAGACGCGTTCATGAAGAAGGATAAAGGCAACGACCAGGTTCTGAACCTAAAGCTGATTAAGACTTCTCAGAATGATCTCACCATCATTGATTCAGTGGATGTTGAGAGGAAGCCCGGCCACTTAGAACCGATCCTGGAACTAGTTGCCCTTCAGGAAGACTCCAAATTGGGGTCCAAATTCTACGTCATTGGAGAGGAAATCCATGTAAGATGGACCCAGGATTCTACCGAGGATGATGAAAAGTCGTGGATTGGTCTGTACAAGTTTCTGGAGACGTCTTCCTCAAGGGATACCACTAGAGTTTCTTCCAAGGGCCATTGGGCTCCTATTCATCCTGCGGGATACCCTCTTTGGGCAGCTAATCACGAGGGCCATGTGTTTAAGGACTCGGCATCAACTGGCGAAGTCGTTTTCAAAAGCGATATCGTGTACTTTGAACCAGGAGTTTACGAATTTAGGATGCACAGTGGTGGAAGCCATAGAGTCACATGCACATCTTCGCCATTCGAGCTCAGGCTTCCAGAGTTGCAAACTCTTCCTCTGATTGGCTCATCGGACGAGGACGTGAGGCCACTGGCTAATGAGATCCACGAAAAATTGGTATCCAAGGTGTTTGGCACTCGGATTCCAGATTGCGAGTTTGCATGGGCAGGAGTTCTTAGTTCCAAGGAGAACGCTAAAAGAGTGCAAACGCTCGCAACGCTGCTTCAAAACGAGATAAAAATCGAGATCACCAAGACGAGACTGATAATGGAGCCAAACTTGCTGCTGCTAGTCAAAAAGATTGTGACCATTCGTGCGCTTATAGATGCGTTGGATGAGTGATGTTATAGAGGTGGTGATTTGAGCCGCACATGATAAATAGTTTGGGCTTAATACACGCTCTTTAGATAAATTGAACATACTGTACAGCATAATTAGACATTTCTAGATAATTTTATTTCATTAAAAAAGTGTCAATTTCGCGCCTCACACCTCTGGACTCCTCCTTCAGCCCTTCGAGACGACTGGCCAATCCCTCCACGCTGCGGCCTACCACCAGACCCACGATCTCGTCGTTCTGGTAGTTTAAAACCGTCAGCACAACTCCGTCATTCGCCACAGAAACTGGAACATCGCGCATCTCCAACCCGGAATCCACCAGTGCCACACTGATGCAATTTGTGGCCATAGCAAGAACCTCGTCCTCCGGCACTCCCTGGGGAAGTGAAAGGCACTGCACGTGCACATCTATGGTTGATTTGGGATATGAATCCAGTAGCAGACTGGCCAGAAATACATCACGGACACACACCGCCAGTTTTTGGGTATCTAGTGTAGCAAACCCAGATACCAGCGGGGACATTTCGAACTCCACATTGAAAGTTGCACGGGACATCAGCTCGGAACCTTGCGTAGCAGAAGGCGTGAAGTTCGGCTGCACAGGTCTCGGACCATATACGATTGCTTGAATCACGAGACCACGGGATTCTAGACATGCAGACCCGTTTGAGTTGGCTACAAGTCCTCTTTCCATGAAGAGTTCCTTTGGAGCCTGGGTGGTCTGGTCTTTTTCTTGTGTCTCCGCCACAAATTTCACGGGCACGGCATTTGGAGGTCCCAACAGACGACGTCGATCTATGATATTCATGATTGCAGTATATTAGATGTTGTGAGCTATGCCTTTGTGAAGGTGTTAGCGGTAGGCATTTGGGATGGGTATGAAAATTGATATTTATTTGAAGTGTGATAACCAAAGATTTTGAATTTTTGTATCTGGACGTGCACCACCAGATTCGATACAAGTTATCGACAGTTATCTTTCATTTTCCTATTAGTGAGTCACCCTCAAGTTTATATTTAATCTCCAATCTTTGGCCACATCTTCTCACAATGACTTTGAAACAAAAAAAGAACCCAAAGGTACAAATAAGCAAAACAAGTCAGAACCAATGCTGCCAGTTCACGCCGCTCTGATCCTGATTACCTGCTTAATCACAGCTTGTGCGGCTGACGATGATGATAACGAAGGAGGGCATGGGTTAGTGGCCTTTATCAACTGTTTGACTGAGGGAAATGTGACAGATAACTTATACTTGGTCAAACCGATTGATACCAATCTTCAACTGTGTCATTACGTGGGTGAGTTTAACGAAAGCGATGGCTATGAGAACTATTATGCTGTTCTATTTTTTATGAACATGTGCTGGATTCGACACCTTCCACATTCCAGTTTTTCTGTTGAAAGAGTGAGGGACCTTCGTGAATTACCCGAAGAAGCACACCACGTGCATTACTATAGCACAGAAGAATTGCTTAGCGCAAGACTAGATAGAGGTGGACAAACGTTTGATATTCTTCCGTTTAACTTTCCTTTTACTGACGAAGAGAGTATAAGTTTCAGTGACGAGGAGAATGAGATCTCTGGTGACGAAGCGCCTGAAGCTTCTGGTGACGAAGCAATTGAGGCTCCTGGTGACGGAGAGATTGAGAGTTCTGGTTATGAATCCTCTGGTCCAAGGGACTTCAATATAACCGATTTTCTTTTGTCCCATAATTATCATCTTCTTACTAGTGACGAGGAGAGTGAGACTTTCAGTGACGAAGAAATTGAAAATTCTGGAGACGAAGACATTGAGAATTCTCCGGAGACACAATCTCCTCCATCTGCTAGCGCTATGCCCCAGAATTCGGAAGGTACATTGACAAACCAGAATGTGAAAGATTGCGACGTCGAATTTTATGTGTAGATATCCAGTGCTTGGGATATCATGTAGTCGGGCCTTGTAGACTGTGGAGAAGCTCGAAGCCATCCGGTCACGTGATAAATTACGTCAAGCCTACACTTATGGGCCGCATTGAACAGACCCTTAAAGATCAGAGTCATTACTTAAGCACGGAACAGAAATGACAGTCCGAGCAGAAATAATGGATTCCCATGAGTTGAAGCTAGAACTCAAACCGGTCGCTATTTTAGCAGGTCCAGACTCATTTGGGTGGGATGGAACGTGATGTGCTTAAAATGGCGCACGCAAGTCGCTCAAACGGAGATTTCGCTGATAGAGGCGATTCCTTGCTCTGCGATTCCTTTTGGCAGTAGCGAGCTGTAACAACTGGAAACAATTGCTTCCTGTGAAGACTGTTCTAGACAGTCAAACCAGTGGAGTTTGTGGTTTCAATAGCTGACCAATATCCGTTAACAAAAATCATCCGATGTTTAACATCACACGAAAAGTGGGACGCTCCAGAGAATCATCCGGACCGGATAAAAACGGTCTTTTTGCGGAAACCGGAAAGCCAAGAAGTATATTTGGTTAAAGCACGTCTTCCATAACCGATTTTAATCACACACACGACCCGTTCCACACGTCTCGTAGAGCTCGTCGACACAGAGGACCGGGCACTTCCGATCGTCTACACATCACACTTTTCTGAAATAGTCACCAGCAATGCAGGAATTGAAGCAGTGGATTGACACGCTGTGGGTTTCTCAGGATACGCGGGTGCTTGTGGGCGTTGCCATTGCAATTGGATCGATATCGCTGGTTTCCTTGGCATTGCTCAGCAAATCCGGGGCCGCACAGCCAAAGAAGAGGAAGAGGAAAAGAAAGACCACCAAGCCCAAACCATTGACACCAATACAGCAGTTGGATGCTATTGTTGCCCATGTTAGGACGGAGCTTGCTCCAGGATGTGAGGAGTTTGTTAATGGCATTCTGGCCAGTTTGGCAGCAGGCGTCAATTGCAAGACCGAAGAAAACCGTTACCGCTACGACTTTTACAACGAGAAATTATTGGAGCAGTTGATGAAATTGGATGGAATTGAAGGCGATGGCGATATCCGGGACAAGAGAAAACAGTCTGTTAAGTACGTCCAGTCTTTCCATAAGCTCCTCGATAAGATCAAGAAGGATGTCTGAGCGGGCGTGTATAGATCAAGTTTTAGACGAAAGGTCGTTACTTGTCTGAGACGTCTAGTTTATTAGTTGCGATTAGATGCATGAATATTGAAGTTTTTTTCGCTTTTGTAAAAATATTGTTGTACTGATAACGCTTTTTACTGGCTTCGCAGTCCCTCTGGCTCCGTTTGCGCCGCGTTAGGCGTCCTGCCTTAACTGAGTGCCCCCACCAACAAGTATTAGAGTCAATCGTCTGGTGGACACCAAGAACATTTTTTCCAGATAAGGGCCGAATGTAGGCTAAGAAGCCATGACTAATTGAAATCTGCTCCGCCTGTTCCAGAATATAAACGTCCATTAGCCAATCTCTACTACTGGACCAGTACGGCTTTAGCATGCGGTGGTTCTGCCCCACCAAACTGGCTAGCGGTTTCTTCCGGGTTTTCCGGTTTCCGCAGTATAAACCCATAAAAAGCAATCAAACGCATCTGCCGGAGTAGCATCGCGGGTCTGTGTGACACTATACTTAACTACGACTCCAGAACCCGTTGACACGGCTGATGCATGTAGCAACTTACCGCGTGGTTTTTATTATAGCGAGTATATATACCAGCACGGTTTTCTGTCTAAGTCGTAGAAAAAATGAGCTCAAATCAGGAAGAGTACACTGTTATAGAATACAGCTTTTCGTTTACATAAAGCGCGCACATACATTTACGACAATGTCACAAGCCTCTTCGCTCAACTCGTCCCACCATGAAGATGTGGAGTCGGGCTTGGTGAAGGCCTATGTGCCAGCAGATAATGAGGATGCTATGAGTGAGCTGTCTCAACAGCAATCGAATGTTTCCAGGACTCAAAGTCTTCGGGTAATTCGTACAGAAACGGCCAGATCTCTTCGTGAGATGGGTATATCGCAAACATTCGCGACAGTTGATCCGAACAGACCGGCCGCACTAGAGAACCCGATATTCCCGGAAGAATATACGCTAGAGACACCTACCGGACTAGTGCCTGTTTCTACCCTGAACGACATTGGAAGAACCTCTGAAGCGGTGTCGAGGCAGAGGACGAGGGCTCTCAGCCACGGATCTGCAGACAATAGAGAGTCTGATACAACGTCTGATTCGTTAGAAAAAAAAACTTCAGGAGATGGTGGAGAAGGATTTTTGCCAAAGGAACAAGAGCTTGATCCAGAGATCGAACTTGTGACGTTTTTGATCAATGATCCAGCAAATCCACACAATTGGCCCAGTGGAAAAAGATGGCTGTACACCATTGTCCTGAGTTGCCTGGTTGTGGCAGTGGCATTTGGCTCCAGTTGCGTGACTGGTGCCTTGGGTCTGATGAACGATAAATATAATGTTTCCACAGAAGTGTCCATTTTATCGTGTTCGTTGATGGTGCTCGGATTCGCCGTGGGACCGCTGCTGTGGTCGCCTTTATCTGAGCAGATTGGAAGACAGCCGGTTTATTTCATCTCGCTGGGTCTCTACACCATATTCAACATACCATGTGCATTGGCCAAGAATATCGGAACAGTTTTGGTCTGCAGGTTTCTTTGTGGAGTATTCGCTTCATCCGGTCTCGCCTTGGTGGGTGGTTCCATTGCCGACATGTTCCCCACCGAAACCAGAGGAAAGGCCATTGCTTATTTTGCAGCAGCTCCATACGGAGGGCCCGTGGTGGGTCCACTTGTTTGTGGATTTATAAATGTCCAGACCGGTCGTTTGGATGTGATTTTCTGGGTCAACTTTGCCTTTGCAGGGCTGATGTGGATTCTGGCTAGTCTTGTGCCGGAAACTTATGCACCGGTCATTTTGAAGAGGAGAGCCAGAAAGCTTAGAAAGGAAACTGGAAATCCCAAAATTATGACTGAACAGGAAGCCACTGGTCTTTCGTTCAAAGAGTTGGTGCAGACCTGTTTGGTCAGACCACTCATGTTTGTGGTGCAGGAACCAGTGTTGGACCTCACATGTTTCTACGTGTGTCTTATCTACTCGCTTCTGTATGCCTTCTTCTTCGCTTATCCTGTGGTCTTCAGCGAGCTCTACGGCTTTAACGACGCCAAAGTGGGACTCATGTTGATTCCCATTTTGATTGGAACCGGATTCGCCCTGCTCACAACACCTGTTTTGGAGAAATACTACGTCAAGATGTGCCACCACAGACAGCCTACCCCGGAAGATCGTTTGGTGGGTGCCATGATCGGTTCTCCTTTCCCAGCCATCGCCCTATGGATTTTGGGTGCCACCTCCCACCACGGTATCATCTGGGTGGGACCAGCCAGTAGTGGTCTTGCTTTTGGCTACGGAATGGTGCTGATATACTACTCATTGAACAACTATATCATCGATACCTATGCCAAATATGCCGCTAGTGCACTTGCCACAAAGGTATTCCTGCGGTCTGCAGGAGGTGCGGCGTTCCCGCTCTTCACCATGCAGATGTACCGGAAACTGGGGCTTGACTGGGCCTCCTGGCTGTTGGCGTTCATTTCCACTGCCATGATCTTGCTTCCTTTCGTGTTCTACAAGTTTGGTGGAACTCTGAGAGCGAAGCTGTGCAAACAGAACTACGCCATATAATCGAAGAAGTGGGGCGTTGCTAAGAGCCACCAGTGAATGCATCCTTGTTTAGTAGATATTTCAAGAAACTAATTTATTATTGCCATGTCATTTATGAGAATATTGTAGACCACGCAACGTTGGACATCATCACTGCTCTTCGGATGCCCTTGCTCTAATCCCTGGTGAACCCCGTGACTTCGGCCTCATATAAGGCAAGCTGGAATAGAGCAGTCCGGGCTCTTTCCTTCAAATCAAGGTTCATCTCTGACGACAATGCCTGCAGACATGAGTAGAAACCCATCTCTATCAGCTTCATTGCACGATGACGCGAATGCCTATAACGTGTCTTATCCTCATCGCGACTGGACGCCTGTGTGGAGCCTCTGGGTCTGAGTCTTCTGGCAACGGTATTGCCGTCATCGATCTCCATCCTGTCATCCTGCTGCGTGATTTCATCGTCTTCATTTTCATCTCCGTAACCATTAGAAGTATCGTCTTTCCAAGTTAGATTGATCACGATCCACACACAACTCAACTTCACACTGTGGTTGGGGGTCGCATCTTCAGCACCCAAGAACCGCACCAGTTGCTGAAGGAGGTTGCTGTTTGACATGATCAACGACCTATTTGTATCATTAGAAGCAGCCAGGTGGACCAGGATATAGTTGATTGCAATAACGATATCAGGAGTATCTTCATGTCTGGCTAGGTTGTCGCACAAAAACTGCAGAAAATCGGAATCGCCATGAGACTGAGCAGCCTGGCATCGTGGAAACGTCTGCACAACCTGAGTCGAGTAGTTGAAGTTTCCACAAGTCAAGTTCCGAAGAATATTGAAGCATTGCTCCTTGATCTTGGGGTTGGGGTCATAACAAAGCTCAAAAATCTTCTCAAGAGTCACTTTCCGTATAAAATTTGTCTTATTCACGATATCATCACCGAACAGGAAATTCCTGATAATAAGCAGTGAATTCAGACGTATTATATCGTGTTCTGTGTTGGAAATGAAGTCAGCTAGGACAGAGATGATGTCATGATCCAACAACTCACTCTTCAAGGCACTAAAGTCCAGTATGACGTTACACGTGATCCCCAGAACGATGCTCTTGAGTAAAATCTCACCATCCTTTAGCTCTGAGTTCACATTGTCCAATTCTGGTAGCTGAAGAATGGCGATCAGTAGATCCACCATCTTAAGGTCGACGAGATATGTTCTCAGTAGGGCAGCAGATCTTGATAACGACCGGATGAGATAGCATGCAAATAGAGTAATCCGGTTCGACATTTTGAGAATGAGCTCTCCATTGGAATCGCCATGACGGGATTCTGAAAGCTTATTCGCTGAGAACTCGCCATGGATTTCAACGTGTCTTGATATGATATCAATCAATATCGGCCCTAGATTGTATTTAGCCACTTCCTCACGATACGCTTCTTTCGAAGCGCAAGCACATGACAAAATCAGCAGACAATCACTGACTTTGTGAAGGGTTCCTTCATCCACGAAGGTGGTCTCGCGATCTGTTCCCACAAAGTTGCAATTTGACATCACAATCTCACAGATCTTATCGATAAACTTGCAACCAGCGAGATAGTCATTCACGACCTCGTCGTCCTCGCTCAATCGTGAGAGAATGTACAAAGGCGACATTTTCCTAGACAGCTTGAAATTGGAGTTCAGCGTGAACTCATCATATTTTAGATCTTTTGTACGGCTTACCAGCTGAATTAGACTCGGGATAAGTTTGCGATAGTTCTGTCTCTTGAGCTCGCCGCTCAGAAATGTTTTTGAGTAAACCGTCATCACATTAAGCACCGAAAGCTTCACGTTGCTGTTGTCAACTTTGAGGAGCGAACAAAGTGTGTAATACAACGGCAACGGCATTCTGAAGTTTTCTAGCCGGCCATTGCTATGTGCTGTATCAAGAACATGGGCAAAGGCATAAAGCAAAGGCGAAAGTTCCGAGGTTATGAGTTTGGAAGATGGTGGTGAAGGAGTGGAATGCTTCCACTCACATTGCGCAAAACTAACCGAATCCACATCAGAGTTGTTTATTTTGAGAACCTGTGCAAACAATGGCGAAATGTGCACCGAGAGACGCCGCAAAATAGGCACTAGTAGCTTCACCATAAGCTCCGATTGTATATACGGAATCAACATACATGTGTTAAACAGAAGAGTGGAATCTGTGGTATCTGAACAGATGATTGTCACAATTTGGTGGATAACTCCGTTCCCAACCTCGCCATATGCATCCAGGTTGATTTGTGACTCTGAATGGTATGCCAATAGATCTATCAATGTCTTGAAGTTGGACTTGCACAGTGACGGGTGACGAATCGAGCTTCTTAGCAAAACTCCGAAAATATTCTTTTGCAACACATGATCAATATTTGTCTTGAGATATGAGAAGGATTGGACAATTATAGCCGCCAGTTGAAGTTCCTCGTCCTTGTTTGATGTCTCCAACACCTGAACCACCTTGTCCAGAAGGTTGTCTCTCAGCAGTTTGTCCTTTTCTTTGTCATTTCCTAGAATGGACAACTTGATCTCGTCCAATGTTGCTACACGCTCTGAGAGTGGCAACGACTCCAGGTTTGCCAGCTTAACATGAGCACTCATGGTTGGCCAGGAAAAAGGAGTTCAACCCGTGAGCTGAAGGCGATAAGGACTTAAGGAGACGCGGAGATGTCGTGCGAAATACATTTATCACACGTGATACAAAATCTGTCAGAGATGAAAGTAGTCAGAGTACACATTCTGTGGAAATCAGGAATGTTTCTGGGGGTAATATTTTAACTAAGGAAAGCTTTGAATTGAAACCCGCAAAGAAGACATTGAAAGTTGAGGAGGTTTATATTTCAACATGTATGGTGGTTTATATCACCTGTCTGTGCTCTGACCTATACCTACAGGCTACAGCCATGACCAGCACTTAAGCCACTATTTCAGGTGTCGTGTGCAAGCTTTAGCAGCAGACCATTATGTACTCAGTCCCTCTGCTACACAACGCGCTATCATCCAGATACCACAATCTTACTCCCACTTGGCAACATTCTTGAAACCCCGCGCAATTCCTAGTCGTGTTTTTTCGATTTTCGGAATTGGCTTTCCCACGACGAAGCTAAAAAGTCACGAATTGGCCAATATTAAAAGCCGCAAAATGCATAATTAAAGTTTGACCCTCCCAAAAATTTCCTATTTAGGCAAAACCCTGAAAGTCAATCCCGTACCCTAGTTGGATGGAAAATGCCCAAGTCAGGTTCAAAAATTTGGCGAGGATTGCCATGACGTTAGCGCAATGTATGGCGTATCATACCGAGCCGTAACATAGAGTTAGCATTCGCAATTGAGGCATCGATGCCACTCAGCGTTCGGAGATGATGGCAGTAGGAGGTGTGTTTCACTGCACTGCTATAGCCTCACTTAAGAAAACTTTGTCTAACCCGGTCAAATTATCTTCTGCATCTCCGTTCACGCGCTTTAGGAAACTTCCAAAATCTACAGTGGATCTAATAATGATGTCATGGTGTTTCCTGGTGAATGTTAGGCCCGGAGTTGAAGGTACGATCAGCAAGTCCACATAGGTCATTGGCCGGTGCATGATACCGGGCACGCTCCCACATATGGAGAACTACGATCAACACTGGTGACCATCAAGAGCTGCAACCAGTGGATTTCATGTGGTGCCGGCTTTGGTCCTAATGCACGACGCGAAAGTTGTCCCGAGGATTAAAGAGATCTGCATGGAGCGATATCGATGCTGAAACTAACACGAAACTCAGCAAACAATTCATGATGAGCTTGATGACTGGCTTCATATTAGTGGGAATAAAGACCAGAAAACATTCCGGGTTTACATATTAAGTCGGAATACCAATGTGTCCAGATAAAACAGATGCCGCATGCGCGTATGAAACCCCGGGAAACAGGATACCTGCAAGGTACGCCAGGGCTGTAGAATAAGCGAAATTACAGAAAAACTACGTCTGCTTTCGAAGGGGGGCTATATATCTGGCGGACGCTTATGGAAAAAACCTAAGTATGCTACGCCAAATATTGCCATCTTCGCCTACCTCAGATCCCATGGCGCTACAGAAGGTGGTGTACTGAGCAGGGCGGTTACGCACGGCCGCGCATTCCAAGATGGTTTGAGAACCCCCTTACATGTGAAGAGAGATCTGTGCGAGATTTCGCACTCGAGTTTCACACCAGGAGCGCCCGCGATGATGTAGCTATGCAGAGGAGATATTTGAGTTTTGGGTCGGTATGGGAGATTTTGTATAAAATGATTTGCTTGCCCTTGACGTGTTGGCAAATTGTTGATTAGTTTCATTTGATGGTTAGGTGTGATTTGTGACCCATTTTTTTTATTACAGCAAATTGTTGTGTGTTTCGTGCGTTGTATCTCATTACCATCATTTATCTGCAGTTCCAAGCAGTTTGCGCCAGTTCGTTCAAAAACTGTTGATACCAAATCCCCCTCCAGACACCCAAAATTTCAACAAGATTCCTCAAATACAATGCCCATACTTGCTAGGGGGCTCATAGCTGTGGATTCCTCGGCGCTTTCCAGTTCTTCTGCCACAGAGGCGTATTATTCGGACCTGCAACAAGCTTCGTTCGTGCCGTCAGCTACTATCACGGCCTCAACTTTACCAATAACCACTTCGATAGCTTATGTGTACTCCTCAGGACGTGAGACGGTTTCAAACTCGAAAAAGCCTACCATTACAAGCAGTCCTTCCCTGAGCTCAGGCAAGGTGTCAACATCATCCTCCTCGGCATCCACGACGTCCTCGACATCCTCAGCAATCGCGTCGAAATCGTCCTCGGGTGCGAGTCCCGCTTACAACGGCAATTGGAAAGTATCTGCGATGGTCTGTGGACTTTTAGGCTTTGGCTTCTTATTAGGAGGCCTTTAAGGACCCCTGGAATTTCACGCTACCTCGGATTCGTCCCCCTAGCCTCTACTCCCCCATTCGAGCCGCATACCGTGTTATGTTGCCCGCATGCTTACGAATCAAGTTTATTGAATGCTCGTGTTTTTGTCTTGCATAATGTCTATATAATTGCGCTGGGATTGATTCCCAAAAGTTGTTTTTATCTCTGCTCGAGTAGTTACCGTGGACCGCGCCGGATTGTGCGCGCAATAAATCAAAACAAGCTTTCCGCCTTGCACCCTGCAGTAAGATTTTCAGGTAGTGTCCCAACCACTTTAGTAATGTGTATTTTTCAGACCATTATGCGCATTTCTCAGCACACGCAACTTTTGAAAAATTTCTCCATACTCAAAGTGAAAAATACTCTCACTCCTTCGCCAACTCCTACAACATATACCAACCACCAACAACTACAAAATGGCTCCACAAGTAAGTGTTTTTAAGTTCTGTGTCACAAGAAGAAGGTTATAGTGAATCCCGTCAAGCGAATATCATGTGTTTAGGGTTCATATTTAGCCTGATGGATGAAGTGTGTTTGTGAGGTCTAAAAGACGTAACCAGGGGTTACATTCTCAAGATCCTCACGTACCGTTTCTGGTCCCCCATCAAACGTAAGATTCACCCCCACATGATCTGTCCATATTCCACCACGGTTTTGCTGCCATGCCTCTTTTTTTCGCCCAGGTTTTTCATCGTGCGCTATGAGTGCAGTAGACTAACTTGGAATCCCCGTTCAGATCAAGAAGTCCGCCAAGGTCGCTAGAAAGTTCACCGTCGACACCTCTGTCCCAACCGACAACCAGGTGTTTGACCCAGCTGCTTACGTTAAGTACTTGACCGAGAACATCAAGATTGATGGTCACACCGGTAACCTCGGTAACGACATCTCGGTTACCCTTGACGGAACCACCGTCACTGTTGTTGCCACCGCCAAGTTCTCCGGAAAGTACCTCAAGTACCTTTCCAAGAGATTCTTGAAGAAGAACAACATTAAGGAGTGGATCAGATTCGTCTCTGCCAAGAGAAACACCTACCAGTTGCAGTTCTACAACGTCGAGGAGGACGAGGAGGCTGAAGATGACGAGTAAGGTTTGTAAAATCTTTATAATCGGAAAAAAACTGGCATAATTTGAGAAATAAAAATGGTAGAGGAAGAATCAGAGTGGAAGTCAACAGGGCGATGTGTATGCGATGATACTCTTTTGACATAAAACTATTACTGGGTGGTGTCCGAATATTCAGAATGCATACCAGAGTTCGAAAGCTTTCATAGAGTCTGAAATACTTTAAAGGTATTTGGCCAGATGTTCTCATCGGATCGTTGTGAGGAATTATCGAAGTCTCCTCAAGTTTATAATTTGCTTAAGCCCGTCAGGCATGCCTTTGGAGACTCCAAGAGCCCCAGACTATCTTCGAAATTGGCGCTCACAATAATTCAGCTTGTTGGTTCGTAGCCCAAAATACAATCCTTGGCCTGGTAGCCAGCTGCAGTCATTATACCTGGAGATCTGCCTGCCCTAACGATCTCGTTAGAGCCTTTGCTACTTTGTAAAAGGTTCACTAGATTCTTCAAACAACGCTCAAATTTGACATTGAAAAAATGAATATGTTTGCATAGACTAAATCATTGATATTCCGCTAAGAAAATTTGGTTATTTTCAATTTTGCCTTCTTTTCTTCCTTCTCCATTCCTCTTCGTTCATATCGAATTCAATACCCTGCCTATTTTAGGAAGGTCCACGCGAGACCATCATCATCACCTTAAAACGATCCTAACAGCACCGCGAGAATGTCCCGTTCAGTACACCCAGTTACATAGAAAACACACAAAAAAGATCAAATTTTTGTGTGTGCAGCCTTCTACATGACTGACCAATCGGCTCCAAGAGCCTCGACAAATTCAGTCTCTTCTGGAGCCGACCACACGCATACACTGGCCGCGGACGACGGAACGGTTTACGTGTTACCATCTCCTCTGGAACGGGCCTTTACCTACACCACACACAATAATAGCACTCTCAGTGTTGATGGTGGGGATCCCTCGATCCTACGGTCAGGTGGACAGGTTTATTCAGAGGATTCTGGATCAAGGCCGCGACTTTCATTAGCGTCACTGGATGGACCTCTGGAAGAGGCCACGAATATCTCAGCCCAAGACCCGTTTTCTGAAGAGAATACTAGTACACCCCAACAAATAAGCATTGACGAAGGAGATGGATTTGTGGAGTTCCATATGGGAGGGGATTCTAGTGTGGTGACTCGAGATCCTCGTGAACTGGAACGACTCGAGAAACGGTTGCCTCAACTGGTGAGGCTGGGAAAGGGAAGCGGCAGTTCGCTGGATCTTTCTCGAGCTCCTCAAAATGTAGGCGAAGAAGATAGTGGTGATTTGAAGCAATCTCGGATTGAGAGTATAGAAGAAGGACCTCACGACTCGGATTCAGACTCGGATTCAGACTCCAATTGGCAGCAGATGGACACGAAAATCTCTTACGACATCTACAATAGCAAGGGCCAGAAATTAGAAGATCTGGTGAATCCTTCGGGTGAGTCTCTGGGAAATGAAGACGGTGCTACGAAAGGATACACGCGAGTGGCCGCTCAAGAGCAGGCCACTAAGTACTCGAATATCGACAAGGAGTTTGCTTTCTTATTCAAAAACGAGGGCTCCAACCTCAAGACGCTACATGATGAGAATGAGCAGTATCAAAAAGAAATCGAGGAAGATGTGAAAGGAAAAGAAAGCGACAACGACACAGAAAACGACACAGAAACACACTCCGACTCGGAAGAAGACGATACCTTCGTCAAGGAATCGATGTCTGCTGCTACCCAGCTCCACTCAACCAAGAAGATCCTCAAAGACTCCCAGAAAATCGCTTACGTTGGGTTGGTTCGTCTCGTGATCGTGGATATGGCTACTGATCTGGCCATGATCAGAAGCACCAACTCGATCTCCACAATGAAGAAACTGAGTGCTGTTCAAGGCAGTTTCGAGAACTGGTCAATGAAGATAATGGGAAGACTGTACACTCATATGGATTTGAGTACGGAAGAATTGAAGATGATTGAGACGTTATCAGCGCATGGAGTCGAGCCTCGTGATCTGGTTCCTAGTCTGATAACTTCGGAAACGGTTCTCAATCCGTTGCATGAAAAAGAAAACACGGATAAAGTTGAAGCAGGTTCAGAAGATGCTGCAGATGCTGCAGGTACAGTTGATTTAAACGATCCCGGCATTATACGACCAGAACAGATCGCCAGCAAAAAGACCTTGGATATCGATGTTAGATGGACTGTCGTCTGCGATCTCTTCCTGAACCTTTTAGCAGATTCGGTCTATGATTCACGTTCCAGAACGCTTCTTCTTCGATTCGGAAAGCATCTTAACATCTCCAGTCTGGAGATATCTCAGTTTGAAAGACGCATCACAGATGCAATGGAGATCGAAGAGAATGCTGAGCAGACCTGGAACGAACGAGAGATTCTGAATATCCACCGCAAGCGTTCCAAGAAGCGCAAATATGTGGCCATTGGTCTGGCCACTTTGGGTGGTGGTTTGGTAATTGGACTGTCTGCTGGACTGCTGGCTCCGGTCATAGGAGCCGGTCTGGCAGCCGGTCTTTCAACTGTGGGAATAGCTGGAACCTCAGGGTTTCTTGCCGGGGTTGGTGGAACCACCATCGTGACCACTGGAGCCGTTATTGCTGGTGGAAAGATTGGTATGAGCGGAATGAGCAAGCGAGTGGGTTCCGTGAAAACTTTCGAATTTAGACCTCTCCACAACAACGGAAGAGTTAACCTGATTGTGACAGTCTCTGGATGGATGAGCGGCACTCTTGATGATGTGCGGTTGCCCTTCTCGACCGTGGACCCAGTTATGGGCGATCTGTATTCGGTTCTGTGGGAGCCGGAACTACTCACTTCCATGGGTCAGACTATCAACATTTTGGCAACGGAGGTGTTGACACAATCCGTTCAGCAGATCCTGGGAAGCACCATCATGGTTGCGTTGATGTCTGCTGTTCAAATACCGCTGTTGCTAACGAAATTGGGCTATTTACTTGACAATCCGTGGAACGTTTCACTGGACAGAGCTTGGTCCGCAGGACTGGTTCTGGCAGACACACTCATCAACCGGAATCTGGGTGTACGGCCTATCACATTAGTGGGATTCTCTCTGGGTGCAAGACTCATATATTCGTGTCTCTTGGAGCTGGCAAAGCAGGGTGCTCAAGGCCTGGTTGAGAACGTGATCATTTTTGGAGCTCCTGTGGTTCACAAAACTGACCAATTGGCCCTGGCGAGAAGTGTTGTCAGTGGAAAATTCATCAACGGATACTCCAAGCGAGACTGGATTTTGGGATATCTGTTTAGAGCAACTTCTGGTGGTCTAGGAACCGTTGCTGGTTTATCCCCAGTGGAGGGTATAGCTGGAATTGAAAACTTTGACTGCACTGAGTATGTCGAGGGTCACATGGAGTATCGTAAGGTGATGCCCAAACTGCTGGCACAATTGGACTGGGAAGTGTTGGACGAGGAGTTTGTTGAGATCGACGAGCCTGATCTGGAGCAGTCTGAAAGGCAGAGAAAGCTGATCAGTGACTTTGAGGTGGCACGTGAGAAGATGCAAAACCAATCTAAAAAGCCCAAGGGTTGGGTTTCGTGGTTGAGACCAAGAAAGAAGGAGTGGTGGGAGCTGTATGAGGAGGGAAAGCAGCAGATTGAGCATGGCGAAGGTTCGTCTAATAACGAGGATGCGACTCAAGTGTCTGACCCGGAATCGGACGTGATGTTCGATCTTGGTGCAATCAAAGACGAAGTGGCCATTATTGAGAAGGCCAGTGAAACCAAGAGCTTTAAACTTCAGCCTAACACGGTCCTCCTCCCTCCCATGGATACCAGCAAGAAACTTGCTGAGGAAGAGGAGGAAGAAGACGAGATCAAGTTGGACAAAGATATGGCCAAAAACCGCAAGTCCCACGCAATTTTTCAGCTATCTCCTAAACGGGTGAACACAGAAGGGTCTCTAGATAATGACCCAGCCCTACGGAGCTTCAAGACGAGAGACCATGGTCACGAGTCCATGAGATCGCCTTCTTTGAATTTGAATGTGATGGAGACTCGCGAAGGTACTCGCGAATGTGTGGGAAAAGACGAGGAGGTGGATGAGCCAAATGAAGTTGAAGAAGCCGCACCGGTTGCAGAACCGCAGTTTGAGTATCCAGACGACGACGAGTTTGGGGCTGGTGAGAATATCCAGATGACATTTCAATGATGGTGAAGGTGAAAGTGTTAGTGAACTCACCAAAAATTTCGCAAGCCGCACACCAGCCAATTTTTCAGTTGAAAGGCTTCGTGCGTGTTTGATGGCATAACATCACTCAATTAGTGGCCGCTGGACTAAAATCGCACGGTTTATTGAAATTTCACCACCGTCTAGGTGAATGCTCTTTGACATGCTCACAGAGTATTATCCAATGAATGCCTGGCATGGTCTGACAACCATTGGTCTCACTATTCATGGCTCCTACGTCAAAATATCCACTTCTAAAACTTCTCTTTATACACTATCTAAAGGAAAACCTCTGCATCGATCTCAACGGTTGACGCAGCATATGGAATCTCGTAAAATTGCAACACCTCGGGGTGCAAAACACCGAGAGCACCAATCACATGGGCCTCACCACCTTGGACAGCCCTGAAAAAGATCTTGGCCCCTCTACCTGGGAAGAAGGTCAGGTTGGCTGGGTCTTCCTCGATCCAGTAACCTCTGGAGTCATCCTTGGCTGGGTCAGCAATCCACGTCGTTCTCATTGTCTGCATGATCTTACCCAACAGACCTTGAACATACTCGAAACCAGATGTTTTACCTGCGTAAATGGCAGCCCAGTTACGCTTGTTGAAAGCTCCTCTTTCAAGCGATGGGTCCTTGAGCACAATGTCACCACTTTCGAAAACCTTGATTGGCAACGAGTGCTTTCTGTTTTCCTTAACCGTCTTGAGGATACCTGGAAGCAGTGTAGTCCTCACCACCTGGTACTCAAAGGTCTTGGGGTTGGCCAACTTGACCGCCTTGGTGTTGTCGTCAACCTGTCTTAAGAACTTGAAGTTCTCATCGTGCGAACACAGAGTCAAAGGCAGCACTTCCGACCATCCACTTTGCGCAGAAGCCAATCTCAAGATGTCAGAAACCTTGTTGATGGGCAACGCCTTAGCAAGCAGCAGCGCCGACTTGACGTCAGTCTTCTTGAGGTTGTTGAAGCCATATCCCACGGCAGCATCCTCCATTATGTCACACTGATGTAGGATATCTGGTCTGGTGATTGGAATGGAAACGTCCAGAACCAGTGGATTCGACTTAGACACCGACGATTCTAGTGCCATCTTGGCCAACAACGCGGAGATCTGCTCCGGGGTCAGCTTGAGGTCAAGACACGAGTTGATGTATGGGATCTCGGCCTGCATTATTCTTGGCTCAACAGAAGGGTACGCTCTGGTGAGGCCGTTGTGCTCGGAAACCACTTGAACAGGCTCAATGGTGAAAGGTTCGGAGCAATAGACCGAGAACATGGCCACCAGCTGGTTCACGACAATCTCCAGTTTGGTCCTGTCGGTTCCAGTGATATCCAGGAACACATTAGTGGTCTCTAGAGTGATCTTGCTAAGGTCAGAGTTGATGATAGGAGGCATCGAGCAGACATTTCTGTTCTTGTCCAAAATGACTGGGTACACAGGCGAGTCGCGAATGATGTGCAAGTACTTGCCGAGGTTCTTATCCTTCTCGTAGAAGTCCATGAGTTCGGCTCCTGTCATCTCCTTCGTCTGGTTCAAAGGCGTGAACTTGAAACTTGAAGGCTCGAGGGCCTCGTAGGTGAATGGGCCCTCGATCTTGTCATAATCATGGGTTCCCATTGCAACAAGTGTTCTGTTACGGCACAGATTGGTGTGCAACTTGTCCTGGAGGGAGATAAAAGAGTCATACGACCTTTGAGTAAACTTGATACCCCTCAGGATGGCAGCAGCAGCATACGGTCTCACTGCTAGAGTGGACTCCTTGATGGTGAGCGTCTCGACGGGTTTCAATGGCTTTAGCTTATAGACTGGAGGAGTAGAGCGACCGAGATACTCATTCAAAGCCTTGGCAATACCTTCGATACAAAGCATATCGTAGCGATTGGCCGGAATCTCAATTTTGAGCTGAGGTCTCTCGCCCGGTTGACAGTCGTCGGTGGTGTCTTCATCCAGCTCGATCCCGAACTCGAAACATAGCTCGTCAAACTCCTTGGTCGTGTAGGATTTCCCCAGCAGATCAAAAAGGTCCTGCTTATCAACTCCAATGGTAGGCATTGCTGTAGAGTCTCTTTAGGCTATCTCAGCTTAAAAGTTGGTGGTTTAGTTGAGGTTCCAAACTGATTAGAACATTGTGACCAGGTTGTGGCCGTTCAACATTTTCCCATTTAGTGTGTCACTCAATATATTCTTGGCCGGGTAACTTTTTGAATTCGATTTGGTTTGCCACTACCCATTAGAACAGTATCATTTCGGTGTCACCTGGGAAAGGGGATCGGCCCTTTTCATCCCTCCACGTTACTCGTTCACGTGCACAAATCCATTGTCGATCGATATCATTCCGTTCAATGTCAACCAGAACCATGTCGAGAGCCTACGATATGACCATGAAGCTATTGCTAGTGGGAGATTCCGGTACGTGTACTTGCTGCCTTCCCGTTTGCTTCTCTACTAACTTCGCGTAGGTGTTGGAAAATCCTGTCTCCTATTGAGATTTGTCGAGGATAAATTCACCCAGTCGTTCATCACGACCATCGGTATAGACTTCAAAATCAGAACCATTGAGATTGGTGACAAGAAGATCAAGCTCCAGGTATGGGATACCGCCGGACAGGAACGTTTCCGCACGATCACGATGGCGTACTACCGTGGTGCTATGGGAATCATCATAGTGTACGACGTTGGTGATGAGAACTCCTTTAACAGCGTCAAAAAGTGGTATCAGACCGTGAACCAGCATGCCAATGACGATGCCCAGCTGATTCTTGTGGGAAATAAGTGCGATGACGACTCCGCCAGACAGGTGTCGAAGAAACAAGGAGAGCTTGTTGCTCAAGAGCTCGGGGTTCCATTTTTGGAAGCCAGTGCAAAGACTAACGAGAATGTTGACGCTGTGTTCTTTCAACTGGCCCAACTGATTCTGGAAAAAACTAACGTGGCCCAGCTCGCGCAAAAGGAGAACAACCTTGATGTTACTCAGGGTAACAAATCGTCCAGTAGTGGATGCTGCTAATTGCAGTAGATCTGTGAGTTTTGCGTGCTCTACGCCGCCTACGCGGGTGGCTTGTAGCACGGTGCCGTTAACCACTGTATATTCAAATTTGGGAAGGTTATCTTATAAGTCAAATATGACCGTGGCCGTAACCTAGTAGAATTTGTATACTATTAACAAATATTAGGTCTCATAACCTATAGAATTGCGAATATTCGTCTTCCGTGAGTCATTAGCGCGTCATTTTACCTTGGTTTGCAGCCCCGGTTATCTCTATTTAAGCAGTCAATCTTTACTAATATCACTTCCCCATTCTTAACTAACCAAGTCAGAATATCAACATTCTTGCCGAATAACCATGAGTTTGCCAAAGATTACCTCAATTTCTATCCCTTCTGTGGGATTTGGTACTGGTACCAAATGGTTCAAGTTTGGAAGGGATGATCTGGACGAAAACCTTGTCTCCAATCTCAAGCTTGCTATCTCCAAAGGCTTGACCCACATCGACGGTGCCGAGGTCTACAATACAGATCTGGAAACCGGTAAGGCCATTGAAGGTCTAGACCGTTCCAAATTGTGGATCACAGACAAATACTTTGCTGGTGACGAAACCTACACCGCTCACTCTACATATGCCAATCCATACGAGTCTTTGAAAGGCTCCTTGAAGAAACTGGGCACCTCCTATGTGGATTTGTATCTTTTGCATGCTCCTTTCATCAAAAAGGAGTCGCATGGTTTCGACTTGAAGGAGGCGTGGCAATTCCTTGAGAAGGCCAAGGATGAAGGACTTGCGAAGCACATTGGAGTTTCGAACTTCGAAGTTTCTCACCTGAAGACAATCCTAGAAGGTGCCAAGCACAAGGTTGAGGTTCACCAGATCGAGTTCAACCCATTTTTGCAAAATCAGACTCCAGGTGTTGTTGAGTTCTCACAGAAAGAAGGCATCGTCGTGGAGGCTTACTCCCCATTGGGTCCGCTTTATAAAGGTGATGCTTCCAATCCTGCTTACAAGCCATTCGATGCCTACCTTGGCGAGCTCTCTGCCAAATACGGAAGATCGAAGACCCAGATTCTGCTCAAGTGGACCCAGCAGAGGGACATTGTGCCTGTCACCACCAGTTCAAGACCAGAGCGTTTGGACGAGTTCCTGAAGCTTTCTGAGTTTGAATTGACTTCTGAAGAGGTGACCAAGATTAAGGATCTTGGTTTGGCTTACTCTCCCCCCTTAAGACAATACTGGAACCCAGAGTTCGGCAAGTATGACTAATGGGTTCTAGTACTAGATTTATCTCTTACAGATATGTGCACATCATATAGAGACATAAATACATCTAGTCCTCAAATTTACAAGTATGTATGCAGTATGGTTTTTCCCAAACGAGAATAGGCCAACGACCATTCGCAGGGAGTAGGAATATACCGCCACAACCCAGAAGACCCCTAAGAACCGAACTCAACCAAAACAGTTCCAGAGAACATAATAGCGATTTCTCGCTTTCTGTTTCTCCTTCTCTGTTGAGGGAATTCAAAATTCTATCGGAGGAGTCTTCCAGACCGATCTCTTTACAATCCCACGACGAGAGTCACTCTGTTCAACTGATAATAAACTAACTTCTCAAGCGCCGTCTAGCACTCAAGGGCCCACACGTACTGCGGAGGTAGCCGATAAATCGGTACTTCCCACGGCGATGCCCAAGGTGAAGATTGGTTGAAGGAAGAAGAAAGATCGGTGAGAGTGAGGAAGGCTGAAATTTTTTTATAGCGAGCAAAAAGGACGTGTCCAAGCGAGTTAATACCTTGGTTATAACACGCATAAAGTATATTTTGTATTTTGCACTACTCCAAAAAGTTTCATCAGGCTCCCTTTGTGTGAAGAAGCTGATTAGCTCAAATTCCCACAAAATCAGCATTTTGTTTTGGATAAACTTAGTTTTATTTGCACTGAAGTTACTCCAGTTATCATCATGCGAAAATCTGAAGCTGATATGATCCCGGAGCAGACACCGTGGCAGCTAAATCAGCAGGCCATCATTGGTCTGTATGAGTCCTGTTTCCACGACAAGTTTGAGGATCTGGAAAGGCTAAATCAGGACGTTCAAACGGTAAAAGGCCATCTATATGAAAGGGAATATATACAGGCATTTGATGCTGCCTACAAACGCGAAGCATATGTTCTGCGGTGGTCACCTTCGCGATCGCTTGCATATGCCTCATTGTTCTGTTATCTCGATGATGTGAGACAAGTCCTGGTGAATGAACCAGCCACCAAAGTTCTTGCCATTGGTGGTGGTGCTGGTGGCGAGTTGGTGGCTCTAGGAAGTGTTTTCTCACAAAACGATCAGAATCACCAATGGGACGTGACTCTGATGGACATCAGTAATTGGAGCGACACAGTAGCGAGACTGACTCATTCTGTCCACCGCGAACTTTGTCTGAAGCCTGAAAATCTGCGGGTTGATTTCAAGCTCGGTGACGTGCTTGATCCAAAAATGGGGCTGGGCTTGGCTGAAGTCAACCTGATCACGCTCATGTTCACTACCAACGAATTGTTTAAGGAGAATAAAATAGGCTCGGTCAATCTTTTGCACAGACTGAATCGGGAATGCAAAAAAGGCGCTCTTTTGCTGATTGTCGAGAGCGCAGGTTCGTATTCCAACATTGATATCGGCAAGAAGACCTTCCCGGTGACGTTTCTTGTGGATATGGTGTTGTGTGAGAAGGGCCCATGGACGAGTGTTACCGAGGAAGACAGTATCTGGTTCAGATGTCATCGCCATTGGCAATATAAGTTCAACTTGGAGAACATGAGAGTGCTTTACAGGTTGTACAGACACGAGTGATTAGATCGTGGATGGGCAGGTTTTCTGCCGCACGAGTTTTCTGCAACTTCTGCACAGCCTCAAACGGCAATTTGGACATCCACGACCGGCCCACGTGGGCCCAATTTGGCTTGCTTGCGTCCCACGTGGGGTCCTCGTGCATATCGCCAAGTGCCAAACTTTTCACTCCGGCTTGAAATGGATTCTGCTCGTGTGCCGTATGCAGGGATGATTTGCGCTCGTGTGACCTTATAAATAGAGCAAGGATCGCTGTTCCTGTTTTCTCGGTTGTTTATCCTGGGTGTACTTTTTTGCCATACAATTGTATCAAACTCACAGAGAACTCTTCTAGCACTCACAATGGCTCCCAACACCAAGAAGGGAGGAAACGCAGCATTCCACGATTTCGTGGAGGATTTTGCCCATATCGATGACCCTCTAGAGCGTCGCAGACTGGCCCTAGCCAAGATTGACGAAGCCAAATTTTCCTGGTACCATGTTCGTGCCATTATGGTTGGAGGAGTCGGGTTTTTGACGGATTCTTACGACATTTTCGCTATCAACCTTGCGGTCACTATGCTTGCATATGTATTCTGGGGATCCAAATACGGCGGTACTGGAGTTATTCCGGATTCGACGGCTACCCTGCTTAAGGTGGCCACATCGGTTGGAACAGTGATTGGTCAACTGTGTTTTGGAAAGATTGCAGACACCATCGGTCGTCAGAAGATCTATGGTGCCGAGCTTTCGATCATGATTGTTGCCACCATTTTCCAGGTGTGTATTGGTGAGTCCCCTGCCATCAATTTCGTTGCAATGTACACATTCTGGAGAATTATCATGGGTATTGGTATTGGTGCAGACTACCCTTTGTCGTCTATCATCACCTCGGAGTTTGCTACCACCAGAAACAGAGGTGCCATCATGGGTGCTGTGTTCGCCAACCAGGGATGGGGCCAGCTTTTGGCTGGTATTGTCTCCATTGTATGTGTGAGAGCTTGGAAATCCGATCTTGAAGGTGCGGCTAATGCCACTGAATGTGTCGGTGACTGTGTCAAGGCCATTGACCAGATGTGGAGAGTACTGGTTGGTCTTGGAGCTGTTCCTGGTTGTTTTGCTCTCTACTTCAGACTCACCATTCCCGAATCTCCTAGATACAACCTGAGTCCTGAGGAAGTTGAACTTCAGGAGGATAACAAAGACATTTCTGCTTCTGGCGAGATTGAGGTGGTAAATGCCAAAAACACCAAAAACAAAGCACTTACTGAAGAAGACAGTTTCAGTGCAAAGAATGTGGAGGTGGAGGCTCCAACCGGCCCTGCTACTATCCGTGACTTCTACGATCATTTCAAGCAATGGAAGCACGGAAAGATTTTACTCGGAACTGCTGGATCCTGGTTTATGCTGGATATTGCTTTCTACGGTCTTAACCTGAACTCTGCTGTGATCCTCGAGGCTATTGGATTTGCTTCCAAGAAGAACGTGTATGACCATCTCTACAACGTGTGCTGCGGTAATTTGATTCTCATCTGTGCTGGTTCATTGCCAGGTTACTGGTTCTCGGTTGCTTTGGTCGACCGCATTGGACGTAAGCCTATTCAAATTGGTGGATTTATCATTCTCACAGGTCTTTTCTGTGCCATTGGTTTTGCCTACGACAAACTTGGCAAGCATGGACTTCTCGCACTTTATGTTCTGGCCCAGTTCTTCCAGAACTTTGGTCCCAATGCTACCACTTACATTGTTCCTGCCGAATGTTTCCCAACACGTTTCAGATCAACGGCCCACGGAATTTCTGCTGCTTCTGGAAAGGTGGGTGCCATTGTGGCTCAGACTGCTCTGGGAACTCTCATCAACCATGGCTGTGCTGCTGACAACCAGAACTGCTGGCTTCCCCATGTGATGGAGATCTTTGCTCTCTTCATGCTTCTGGGTATCTTCACTTCGCTGTTGATTCCGGAGACAAAGAGACAGACGCTTGAGGATCTTGCAGAGAGGCTTCACGGTGAGTTGTCGCCTGAGACCTTGGCCCGAATCAAGGCTGAAAGAAACGGGTCTTCGTCTGGTGCACTCGAGGTTTGATTTGAAGCCTAGTTGAGATTTCATTGGGTAAGGATATTTTGTTTTTGGATATTCATGTTTGAACGTGTTAATGGTTTGTCATATATTTGCATATTTAATAGAGCAATAGATTAGGATTGTTTCAGAACGGTGGAGTAGAAAGTTGATAGTCATTGGAGCTTTGGTACAATCGTTGGTACAATCTTTGTTATAAGTCAATGACTCGAATAGGAGGCCAATAGACCCTGAATTTTATTAAAAATTATAAGTATTATGGATATTACCGTGGAATAGGAATTTAAACGTAAATCTGATGTTTTACAGGTTTTTCAAAAATCTCGAAATCTCCAAATATTCCAATGATCTCTAAAATTGCAACACTTTCACAAAATCAAAATTATAAAAAATAACAAACACTAAAAGTTTCAGAGAATTACTCAAACATATGATTTTCTACAATGAATGATACAATAAAACAAGGAAGTTGATTTTGCAGGAAGTATCCATGCTTTTATATGACCGTTACTACTTAAAAACCCAAAACTAACCCAAATTAAATACCAGAAAGAAGAAGCGTGAGACCAACAACAGAAGCAACAACAGCCTTTCCCTTCCAGCCATTTTCGTTCTCGTACCTTGTCAAAAACGTACTGGATCCACCAGAAGTCGAGTTGATAGCAACACTAGCCGATGATGATGTTTTGGTACTACTCTTTGACGAACCTGTAGAAGCACTGGAATCACTGGAGTCACTGGAACCTGTCGAGCTCACGGAAGTATATGTAGTGATCGTTTCTCCCGATGTAGTTATAGTGGTGAGCGTGGAGGCCGCAACAGTGGTAGAAGGAGTCCACCATTGAGTTACCGAGGGAGTCCACCAAACGGTGGTACTTCCACTAGCAGTTCCCGACGCAGCTTCAGAAGCACTTTCAGATATGCTGGCTGCAGACCAGCTCAATGCTGTTTCTGCGGTGGTGGTGAATTTCCCCGTGGCCGAGGCTGAGATCTGTGAAGCTGAGGTTTCGGACGTGAGTTCTCCCTGGAATGTCAAAACCGTCTGTGTGGCTTGGACGGTGGTCTCATCAGTAGCTTGGGATGTAAGAGTTTTAGCAGCAGCGGCAGCAGCAGTGGCAGAGGTGACGGTAACAGCCTCAGTCTCAACTTCGCTTCCTTCTAAAGCTCCACTGTCGTCTCTAATCACCAGAATGCTATCAAAATCTCTCTTGAGAACCCTGACTGGCTCGGCCTGGACGGCACCAAAAAATACTGAAGCTGCGGCAGCAATGTGAAGTGGTTGGTAATTAACAATTGACATGGTTCTATGTGCTAATCTGACTGTATCTAATCTTCGATAAAATCTAATCTGATTGATATTCCCATTAAAAGTCCAGTATAGGCTGGAATGCCGGGCATTTTATACGGTCTTGGGGTGCATCTGCCGGCAATTGAAATATGCAAGTAAGACCAGTTGTATTTTTAGAACTAGGTGTCGCGTCCAGAAAGATGGCTGGTATTTGGCTTAGAACCGCGTCTTATCAGCCTGTTTGGGTTAAACGTAAACTTTGGCGAGGCAATCGTTTGACACGCGCGCACGACTAAGCCTTGGGGGTTGGCATTCCGGGACAGAGCAACAGGGCTTAACCGTTAGAACGGCTAGCTTTACTATATATATTTTTAGAATATCACAGTCAACAGAGTTTAAATTCAAAACTAAGCCCTCAATTGTTGTTTCACAGAGTTGGCCCCAGGTGGAGGAGTCGTGTCAAATACAAAACCTCGCCAGGACTATTTATAGACATAGGCTGATTTGACGTGATACTATGCTGAACTCGAATCTTGATTTGGAACCCTTTCTCAATTCGACTTCCAGGCTGAGAATGATAGTAGATTGCACACAGCCACACTGCACGATAAACCCTTGCATATAGATACCTGCCAATCATGTTTGCGTGGTGATCCTACTAAGCATAAGCTAGCATATCCATCCAAACCACCCGACAATGGGAAGGCCATTTTCCGGGCCTCACAGATCGAGCCACTTTTCTTCCACAGCAGATCTACGGAATTTGCTGAATTTTGAAATGCAAAAAATTGTTTTAAGACTTGTTATAAATTAGAGAAAACCGAATAAACGCTAGCCGCGCAAACCGTGACTTGAAGTGAACCAAAAATAATAATCGTGCAGTTTAGGATGTTCGTACAACAGGAGGAGGACCACTGGCCTCGACCGTGTGGGCCATTGATCTATTCAGACCAACGATGCTGGGTTGATTTTCGAAACTTTTGAGGTCTCCTTACATGGAGCCGATGACCATGGCGGCAGCAGTCAGACCAACGAACAGGGCAGTGAACTTGGTGTTCGACTGGTAGTAGGCTGGTGGGTTCAACGAGAAAGCACCAGAACTAGAGGTGGCAGAGGCCGAAGAAGAAGAGTTGGCAGTGGTACCGGCGACGTTGGTGTTACCGACCAGAGAGACAGAAGTGGAGTTAGCCATTGTGTATTGTGAAAGGGTGTGTGTGGTAAACGATCAAGATGTTTATACTGAAAAGCGAAGAAAAAATGTTCGGAGGTGAGGCAGACCTGGCTGTATTTATAGTTTAACCATCCATTTTTGGCGTTGGGCATTCGTCGAGAAATGTTTCTTAAAATAGTTGCAGCGCGTCACGGGCCCCTGCCAATATTCCCGATTCGGGAAATTGGATCAAACGAGCCGATTTGCGTGCGCCACACATACTAGTTCGGGCAAATAGTAAACAACCGCAATATAACCCTTTTAGAAATACACACTTGAAACATGAAAAATGGCTGGAACAGTTTACGAACAAGTAATAGGGGACAAAAACCTTTAGTAGTTGCAATTCATAAGTTATACACTCAAAAATCTACGTGCCATACCAGAAGTTTCAGGTCAAATCACAGTTAAGTGTTTAACCGAACATGTCGAATCCCATGTCGTCGTCAGACTCTTCCTCCTCCTCAGCTGGAGCCTCCTCCTTGGCGGCGGCAGCAGCTGGGGCAGCAGTCTCAACAACAGCAGCGGCGTAAGCCTCTGGGTTGGCAATTCTGTCCTTGATCTCCTCAGATCCCTCGAAGGTGTAGTCGGTAGCGATGGACAAGGCCAAGACGTTCTTGTAGTGGTTGATGACGGAGTGACCAACGGATGGCAAGGTTGGGTAACCGGCAGCCAAAGAGATGGTGGCGATAGTGGTAATGGCCGAGACGAAGTGCTTGAGCAGCTCGTCGTCGGTGATGTCCAAAACCGATGGAGGGAAGATCTGACCGTCGTCGTATACGTGGAGAACACTCAAACCGTAGGTGAAAGGAGAAATGTTCAACATGTTAAGCAAGGAGGCCTCAGATTGACCGACCTTGGAGTCAGCAGTCAAGACCTGGAAGTCAGCGGTGATCTCAATAGTACCTCTGGCAATCTTGGTTGGGACACCGAGGGCCTGGAAGAACGAGGTCTTACCTGGCTCCATACCAGTGTTACCGGCTGGAACCCAGACATCGGCTGGGGCAACGGCACCAGCTCTGGCTGGAGCAGCAACCTTGTTGTCGATGATGACGTCTCTGATGGTCTTCAAGTCAGCGTTGGTGAAGATGAAACCAACGTTACCTCTGATGTAAGGCAACAACTTCTCGTACTCAGGCAAGTCGGACAAGAAGCCACGGATGGCTCTTCTGACCATGGTGTTCTTACCCATGAGAACAACGGCATCTTGACGGAGGGCCTTTCTGATCTCGTGCATTTGTTGGGACGAGACGTTGTCGACACCGACGACGAAGATGGACTTGTAGTCCTCCAAGAGCTGTCTAAGCTTGATGAAGTATTCGGCTTTCTTTTCACGAGTTCCTCCCATTGCGACTCAAATTATAATATAATCAAGGATAGGATGTTTAAAGGCACTCAATTATGATTGGGTTCTAAGAGGAGACTAGGAGGGTTTGCTATGGAGCTCGAATATAGGTGGTGAAAAAATCGAATCCAAAGGTTCTAAAGCCCTTTGTTTCACCACGTGACCTAAGATTCCCCGAAATCCAGATAATTAATAGTTGAGTGCTACACGCCAAAAAATTGAGCCTGGCTCATGCATTATCTTATCTATGGTAGCGTCAGTTTTATTCCCGTCGTCCTCGTTTTAATCGAAATGTCCCCTGAATTGAAAAGCAAAACTCTCAGCTTTTTCATGTAGTTTTCTCTGCAAATCGGCTTTTCTTCCTTGTTTGAAGATATAGCTGGGCCACTTTATGTGGGTGTGTTGAAACGACCGTGCGGCTCGAAACGCTCTTCTTCTTCCAGCACCCTTTTTCTTGCGCACTCTTCTGGAAAGATTCCCAACCACGTATTGCCTTGGTCCTTTCCTTCTGTTATTGGAAGTGGATCTTTGGTGGTAATGTGCTTTGGTCTTGATGCCTCTGCTGGCAGGTCTCTCTTGAAGTGGATACCAGTAGTTCCAGAATTTCTCTGAAAACCGTGCCCAGAGCACACGGAATAGACGGCAATGATCTGCATAAGACATCTCCTTTTTTCTTTTATCTGCTCGGACAAATTTGGACCTCAAATTTTCCCAGAACCGTTCAATCCCATTTAGCTGCTCACCTTCAGTGGTATGAGCCTGTGCAGTTAGCGTTTGGTTCAATCTTCCCGAGATACCAGTGTTAACCGTTTTCTGTGTCAGTTGATGTGAAACAGAACCAATTTCCTGATACCTTTGTGTCATCCTTGTGGATTTATCAGCGTTAAATATCTCTATCCATTTAGGTTCCTTCGCGATCTGCTCACCCATCACGTAACCGTTAGAGGAGTGTAAGATAGCAGAATTTGGGGAGTTAGACCCCAAAAGACCTGATCCGGGTGTCTGTCCTTTGTAGTACTCAATGTTCAATATCTCTGTCAGCGGCTGCACGAATTGCTTGAACCTTGAACCATGTGTGCTCCTCATAGAAATAACCACATCCTCCCTAAAAGCGCTTAAAACGTGCTCCGGTAAATCGCTATTGGAGAGGATGCCGACAAGAGCACTAACGGTAACATCACCACGTTCGTAGTCCTCTTTATACACAGCAATACAGCACTTCCATAGCTTCTCCAGTACGTCGCCGGTTATAGCCACCGGAATGGAAGAATGATAACTGCATCTGCAGTATACAATCATAATAGACTCGCAACAGCAAACCAATGCGTTATATTGTGAGCTTGTGATTGCCTCATTTTCCTTGGAAGCGGCGTATTGCGCGAGAAAGTAATCAAGACCAGTTATCAAAACTTTCTCCAGAAGCCTTGGTAATCTGATCTGCAATTTTTCTTCAAACTCCAGATCACTTGAGAACTGAGCGAGAATGGCCCTTGTCTGAATGCAAGCAGACTCCGGACTATCAGCAGGCGTGTTGAGGATGATACGTTCGAGCGTCACGATTCCCCGTTTGGCGTTAGACGGGACAGACGCTTGCCTCTCATGCAGATCAGTTTTGAGCGTCACTTTGGTGGGCTCATTCCCAACAATAATGTCGTGATCAATGGTCATAAAGAGGCAGAATATTTATGATGGCACTTGCGAAGAAGATGGTGGCGGTTGTAGTGGTTTAGAGCTGAATTATAGTGCGGCGCTTGAGCCGCACGCTACTGCATATCACCTGCATGAGGTTCACGTGCCAAGTCTTACCTTAGATGGTATTTCCAATTTTGAAAAAGAGGATACTTATTCTAAGTTCCAAAATTTGACCATTTTGATTTTGAATAGCAGCTATATACCTCTATTCTGCCATCAGCTCAATCATATCGCTCATTGTTTGGGAGGCCCAAGCTACTCTTTTCTTCTGGTGTTTTCCTTTGATGAGGTCACTCTTCGCAATAGTGTCCTGGATGAAAAATTGCAGCCCTTTCAACAGCACAGGCTGTTCTTTGCATTTCCCCAAACTTTGGAGAAGCTCGCGTTCATCATACTGGGCTTCAGCAGCATGCATCTTGCTGGAGTGCTTCTTCGAAGCGTTGGCGATTTGATCAAAGTAAGAGATGAGCAAAATCTCAACAAACAACTTTGTGTTCGTCGACGCTGTAAGAAAGTTCACCGTCCTCAAAACGTTCAACGGGAGACACCCCTGAGCAATCAAAAATCCGAATAAACGTCCGGTGTTCAAAATCTTGTGCAACGGCAAAGAGTCATTCTCTAGAGCTCCAGTGTCCAAGGTGAGTTCATCCTTGCCCTCGTCTTCGTCCTCCAGATCTTTGAGGAAATCCCAAAGGTTAAATTGAAAAGTCTTTTTCAAAGAATGCTTCTCACACAATTTCTTGGCCAGAAAACCATAGTATGGGTTATACACGGTTTCCATTGAGACACAGTGTAGAACAATGTTGATGATCTCCCTTTCCTGTTGTTTTTTCAACTGGAGCTTTTCCAATTTGTCAAAGCTGTCCATGAAGTCGTTTGCAGACATTATACTCACAAATATGGCTCTTCTGATATCTGTGTTCATTCTCTGTTCTTTGGCCAACTCCAGCCAATTGGGCTCTGCAGAATCCAAGTAATCTTCCATGACGTTGATATTGACGCTTGGTTCGTCCTCCGTCTTATCGTTTCCCTTCCAAGCAGCACCAACCAACCACCATTTGCCCTTTTTATCAACATCCAGAATATCCTGAAAAGAGACTTGCATCACCTCGGAAGAGGCGGAGCCTTTGATGGAGCCCACAGCTTTCTTCAACCTCACGAATAAGTTGGAAGAAGACTCGTCATCAGCATCTCGAATTTTATTATTCTTCAAGTTTGTGACAGTATCGATCAAAAATCTTGCTCTTGGAGCAGCCTTTATTCCAGTACTCTTCTCCGTTTCTGTAACCTTTTTGGTGAGAGAAAGGATAATCTCTTTCAACGAAGATGGATCATCTGTTCTCATCTTCGTACCACAGGTCTTGACAACCTTCAAAAGCAGTTCAATATTTAACTCATTGATCTCCGCTATCAGACGTTTCTCAACAATGTCGTATATCAATTTTGAACCGAAAAGTCCAAAATTATAGGAGTAGCTCAAAAAAGCCATAAGATTCAAACTCTCCTTTCCCTGCTGAACCACCTCGCCTGTGAAAAATCTCTCCAGTTTTTCAACAGCAGTCTGCAGAATATGAGCACCGAAATCAGGTCCCTGAAGTTTGAACAATGCCACTGTTATACAACTGTAAAGCATCACATAGTTGTCCAATAGTCTATTGGGGACAGATACAGTCTCCAGGATGAGATTTGTGAACGCTTCTGTGGTCAGTTGGCGCGGATTATCGTTATAAGTGCCATTCAGCTCGTTGACTGTGTGAGGGATTGTAGTCTCAGACATTCTGTTCAAAGGTCCCCTGATTGACCTGGTGATCTTTTTCAATTCCTCGGAATGATCAGACGAATTCTGGAGACGCCTTAAAGCAGGAGGGACGTACTTTGAAGTTGCTGATCTGGCACCAGGCGCAATGTATGGATTTTCCTTGATCTTAGGACCATCATCTTCGCTACCGGAGTCGTCTTCAACCTCTTCCATTTCACGAAGGAGTTCTCGGTCCTCTTCATCAAACTCTTCATCGTCGAAATCAGACTCGTTGATTTCATCATCCGAGGAAAAAGGATTTTCACCGTCGCTTTCGCTATCACCCCGCTCGGCATTTTCGTCCCCAAAATCCAAATCAAGGCCATCCAGCAACCCTCCAATGATGTCGTCATCACCGGCCTTATCCAGTCTTGCTGAAGCCTTGGTTCCGAGCTTTTTGGCATAGTAGTCCAGGTCATCGTCCACACCATCCAAGATGGAGGGATCATCATAGACTTCAGCTTTAGTCAGAGACTTTTCTTTTCTTTGTTTTTTAGATTTTCCAGGTTTCTCAGCCTTCTCAGCCTTTTCCATTTTTGCATCCTTGGTCTCTTTCTTTGGCTCTTCTAAATTCTTTGACTTCTTTGCCTTCAATGCCGCCAAAGCAGCATAAGTATCATCTACAGTCTCAGGATCATTATCAGACTCAAACTCAGCCCAATCATCCTCAGAGTCGCCAAACTCTTCAAAAGACCCAGATTCAATTTCAGATTCAGATACCAGCTCCTCTTGGGTATGTACAGGTGCCTTGGGCATTTTCGAGGCTTTGAGTTTGGCAAGTGCCTCCCAAGTTGCCTCTTCAGTCAGTTCTTCGCCTTCAGAGAACCCTTCATCGGAAAATTCCGTTGCTGTTGAAATCTCAGAGTCTGAATCTTCAAAGCCTGAATCCTGCACTATGGCAACTGGCTTTGATGGCTTCAAGATTCCCTTCAATTTCACAGGCTGTTTCTTTTCCTTTGGTTTCACTTTGATTGGTTTCTCAGTTTTCTGTGACCTCTTTCGTTTTTTGGTTTCACGCTCTGCCTTTCTTAGATCCTTCCTCGTTCCCGTTTCCTTCTTCCTCTTCTTTGTGGGACCTCCAAACCGGCTAGTGTCTTCGTCATACACGCCACTCTCCTCTCTGTTTCTGATCTGATCCAGAATAGATCCAGGTATCCTAATACTGTGTATCTCCTTAGGCTTTGCCATGCTTTTGTGCTCTGGATAGACTCTATCTCAACTCCATTCTGCGATGTGAAATATTTCAAAAATATATTTTGGAGATGGGTCGTGTTACCAACAATATATTTAAGTGGCGCACGCGAAAGACATCTATCTTCAACAGATATCAGATTAGGCTACTCATGCTTTTAACGGACTGACCAATCTCGCCCAATATTTTTGCAAATAGCTATGTCAAGGGCTAAATTCGATCCAAAAACGCTCACAGACGTGGCGTTTTTTGTGGGTGCCAGTATATCCATATATTATTTACTCAGCCACATTCTGAATGATGGTCAGGGTGCAGGCAGCAAGTCTAAAGAGGCAAAGAAGAAAGCTAAGGCTTCTATGCAAAGGCTAAAGGCTCTGAATCCTGAGTTGAATTTAGACTTGAATGAGTATGAGAAGGTTGTTTTGGCGTCTGTAATCACGCCATCCGAGATCAACGTTTCGTTCAAGGATATCGGTGGATTAGAGCCTATCATTGATGATCTGAAAGAGAGTGTGCTCTACCCGTTGACTTGTCCTCAACTATTTACACAGTATTCCCAGCTGCTCCAAGCACCAAAGGGTGTTCTGCTTTACGGACCACCCGGATGTGGGAAAACGATGCTTGCGAAGGCTTTGGCATGTGAAAGTGGTGCAAATTTCATCTCCATACGAATGTCTTCAATTATGGACAAATGGTACGGAGAGTCCAACAAGCTGGTGGATGCAATTTTCTCCTTGGCCCAGAAACTCCAGCCTTGTATCATTTTCATCGACGAAATTGACTCGTTTTTGAGAGAAAGACAGTCCATGGACCATGAGATAACAGCAATGCTGAAGGCAGAATTCATGACGTTATGGGACGGCTTGACTTCCAGTGGCAGAATTTTGGTCTTGGGAGCCACCAACAGGGCAGATGACATTGACAGTGCGTTCATGAGAAGAATGCCCAAGAGATTTGCAGTGAGTCTGCCGAACGAGGCTCAGAGACTGAAAATCCTCAGGGTTTTGCTGAAGGAAATTAGAATCGACTTTGAGCTTTCGGAGCTCTCGAGCAGGACTAACGGCCTGAGTGGTTCCGATCTGAAGGAGCTATGCAGGAATGCTGCGATCAACTCCACGAGACAATTCATTAGGCAGAATATAAAGGAGGGACGGAAGCTGGATGGGGACGAGAAGATAGTGTTGAGACCGTTACGACTACAGGATTTCGTCGATAGCATAAGCACTAGTGATAAGGTTGCAAAGCACCTGGACTTGCATGTTCCATCGGTTGACTAATAGATGATGGAGGAGGGTGAGATGTGATATGATAGCAAGAAGACAGTCTATAACGATCAACGGTTAATAAATGTCCACTACAATGGTATGGTATGATAACCAGATAAGAAGGAAACGATTAGCGTAAATTTCAGTGTAAATTACAGAACATCAGGTAAAACGGTCAGAAGACAGTATGGTCAAGAGGACATCCTCTCAACCGGTTCAAGCTTTTGTATTGGAAGAAGCTATTTATATATATGAGTATACACGCTTGAAGCTCTATTGGAAAGCTTCAGGGGGAATTTGAGCCTTCGAGGCCTGGAAACTCTGTAGTGCTGCCTCGTAGTTCCATTGGCTCTGCTCACAAAGCATCAGGGTGAATTGAGCACTCAGCCTGGTCTCATTCATGACGGCAGCTGCCATCTGTTGCTGAATAGGAGTCAGTTTGTTCAAAACTTCTGGTGAGATCACATTGGCGCTGTTGCTGGGTGCTGCGGCTACCGGAGATGCAACACCGGATGGTGCACTTGGAGCTGGGGTCGGTGACTGAGTAGACCATGCTTTGGAGCCAGCGTAGACACGAATAAGCAGCAAATCAGATGCAACAATTAAAGAGCCGTTTGGACCCTGAACGATGACAAACGTACGGTCAAAAGACCGTTTTTCCAGAGACCCTTCCGTGCGATAATTGCCCGGTCTTCTATGGGCACCCTTTGGACCTCCAGTGGAGTGTGCGATTTGCTCAGGAGCCCCAATTTCTTCGAATTCCCCGTGCAAAACCACCATTATACCCTGAAGTGCTGGGAACGACCATGCTTCCATAGCAAATGCATCTGGCTGGTCCATGAGATGGTGCTTGGTCTTTGGCAGATTTTTGAAAAGTTTCGATATCGCCTCGGGGCCCTTTGCCAATCTTGCCATTCTGGATCTACCCGCAGAAACACGTGTAAGATTCCTGGAGTTCGGAATATAGTATCCCCAACTATGTGGCTGCAGATTTGACGACTGTGAGACAGGATCTGCGATATGTGTGGTGTCAATCTGGTAGGAAAACTGAGAGTCTGGTGTGTACAGCTGGAGCAAATCCGCTCTTCTTGTATCCCAAAGGTTCAGGAAATTAGCCACGAATCCAGTGGCAGTGTCCTGGATGGTTTTGCTCTCAAAAAACATCGAGGAAGACTGAATGGGGAAGGTCAGAATGGCATTGACCTTGGCCTCGTCTCTAACGACCACACCATCTAGGATCAGAAGTCTGGGAAACAGCTTGACCAGATGGGGCTGGGGGTTCTCGCTAAGCACAGGATTCCCAGAAATGTACAGCTGTCTCAATTGGTTGAATCTGCCCTTGAACTGATCGAAATATCTCGTCTTGGTGATGTTGTTGTTGGTTAATGCAAGGTTTTTCAGGTTGGGAAACGTCGTTCCCAGTATAGACATGGTGAAATTGATCCCTCCGAGATTTGTGCTCGACAAATTCACGGACTCTATATCCAGTTTTTCAATTTCAGCCAGCTTCATGAGGGCAGGAAACATCTTCGAAGACGTGTTGGCAGTTGAAAACAACCCGTTGGACACCAGTATTGGGTCGTTGATCATGTTCTCCAGATTCAGCATTTTAGACTGGGAATCGTACCGGCTGGCTAGAAAACTCTTCAAGAGGTCCATAGTCGAACTGGTTTGAAGACCCACTATAGAAATCTTCAAGTTGGCACCTGCAAACTTGGAGCCGTTGAGTTTCTGAACTTCTTGGGCCTCCTTGTCATTGCGAACGCTTGCTCTCAAAACATTGGTAGTGGCATCAACCTGGATATTTCTTATACTAACACGTGTCTTTCTGGATATAAATGACGCAAGATCACTGGTGGAAGCGTTGTTCCAGTTAAAGATTTCCAGAGTGACAGCGTCCTGGCCCATGCCGTTCGTGTTGTTTGAATTCTGGTTGGAATAATTGTTGTTGTTACTATAACTATTGTTATAGCCACCACGGCCTCCTCTTCCGCCTCTGTACATCTCGAGATTGCCTTAAAAGCGGTTTGGACTTTCCAGTGGATACAAGAACTGGATCAGAAAGGCAGAGTGTGTAAGTAAGCATCGAAAAATGAGAGAAAAATAGAGGGGCATGGCTCATAACCAAAATCCATACCTTTCTTCGGCTGGCTCTCCGCTTAACTCAGCTTGTGCATAATTCACAAGAACATCTACATTGGGAACAGAATAATTAAAGTCACAAACGAATAAAATATAAAAAATGATCGACTATTGAGCCCTAGATTCAATTTGGCGAAGGTTGGGCTCGGATTTCCATAATACCACCTCACTCATTGGGTAATCTCCGATCAGCACCCACTCCTTCTTTTTTCCTCTCCAGCATCAAATTGGCTGCACCATCAACCCCAGTTCTCCGGATAAGTTTGGAATAGAACAATCCGCATGCATTGCAAAGAGTTCTCGCACCGTGGGGCCCTTTTCTCCACTCCGGAGTGGTACTTGAGCCGCACTGGATACACTTGATCTTTGGCTTCATGCTTAGTTCCTGGTGAAGATTCCCACGAGGCGTGATGCCCGTGGTATCAACTGTTTGAGAGTTGGTGATAATGAACGGTTTTGGAGGATCGACTCGCAAAAGCACAGACTCATTCACCCCAGTGTGGCCTTTTGCTACGAAGGCATCAGCACTGCTTTCGGATTTGGTGCTCCGATGTCCTTTTGGAACGTATCGCAAACCTGGTTTCTTTATTGTTGATGGTGCGCGCTTTTGGAAAATGGCTTGCGACGGTGATTGTGATTGTGATTGCGCTTGCGATTGCGATTGCGATTCTTTGGCCTTTTTGGAACCAGCAACAAACAGCTTCAAAGTCCGCAATGCTCCGGCAATTTCGGTGGCTTGTTTTACACTGTCGTCCAGCAATTGTTCTGGAACTATCTCTGCAATATTGTTCAGTGTCGAGATGTCCTTCGAGTCGTCAATTTCGTGCGCTAAACTTGCCCTGAGAGATCCGCAGTTGTTGGAGAGAACAGGAAACATCTCGAACACTTTCTCCAGACTGGAAACCACCACTGGATCAGAAGTAGTATCAATACTGACCTGGGACGAGTTTTTGAGAGATTCAAATGATCGATCGTCCGACTTTTCAGTGCCACTATAGCGAAGGGCAAGTGGAGACATCGGATCTGAGCGCTTTTTAGTAATGCGATTCGATCTGTCGAAGGAGAAAGAATCGCGAATCCTCGAGTCTGGTGACTGTTGCAGTGATTGTGGTGACTGGGGATCCCTCTCCAGAACATAGTAACGTCTCGGTGTGTCGCCATGTTGGTATGATGTTGTTGGTGAGCTAGGTGCGTCCTCGGCGGAAGGATAGAGGTGATAGGAAAGTGTTGCTCGTGGAGGCGGCAACCCATACATCGGAGGAACCTGTGCGAGAGATCCATTTTGTGAAAAGCTTTTGAGGTTTGGTCCCAAAATGTCTTCAGGGATATCGTGGCTTCCCTGAAACTTTGAAGTGAGTTCTGTGAACGAAGGTAGTCTAAGAATGGGTTAGGATTGCGTTGGAAAGAGTTATTATGGCTGCAAAGCTGATTACTTACTTGACCTGAGTCATTGGAGACGATTTGAACGTCATGATTAACGTTTTGCAATGCAGAAAGACTGAGACTGGTGTTCGAGCCAGACCAAAGGTTTTGGTATTTCCTGAGGAATCTCTCGCTTCTTATGCTCCAGCGGCAAATGACGAAACGGAGAGCTTTTGAGATGTATCTGAACGCTGCTAGCGTAAGAATTAAGCATAGGCAGTGTTTCTTTTCGTCCACCGGCGTGATCCGACAGGAGATTATATGATGCAAGGCCTTCTGATCGGACGAAACGCGAATCAACCTATGTGAATTTCAGCTTACAATACAAGTGCCGAGCTGCTGTCAATAGAGTTTACAATATGCACAGACGCACCACGTCTTACGTTGGCTGTGTCAGCATGGTGTCAGCATCCAGAGGTCAAAATCGACCGATTAGAACACAACACACGAGCTGGCCATGCGGTCGCTGCATGCTGCCAGTGACTGTTGCACCCTAGATCATTAATCGCACAGTGCATGGAACACAAAATCAACCAATCCTAGGTTTTGAAAGCACATTTGACAGCACATGGGGAGTATGCAGGGAAACTCGAGCGAATCGGTTATGCGTCAGTTTGCCGCCTTACACAAAAACCTCTTGCTTTTACGTCCTCCCCCTCGCGCGGGCAGGCAAGAGAAACAAAAATAATTCGTCCCCTCCTCAGGTTCGATTGTGACAACGCCTCGTAAATCTGGATCAAGTGTTATTTGCGTGGAGTTGCGTCGTGATTGCTCCTAGGGCGACGGAAATGCAGCCTTGCACGATTGGCTTGCAGGCTCTTTGTTAAGAGTATGACACAGGCCTAGAACATGCAAGACTTAAAGGATATCAACTAATAGCATGACAATTCGAGTGCAAGAACAGCAACCAGGCAACTGGTGTTCAAGTGGAACGCGGCTCTATCTCGTTGGAATTGGATATTACAGATGTGCCATTCGTCTCCAAGACCGATACGGTGGGCCGAATCGTGCAAAGGCGCAAACTTTTATAGATAGCCTTCAGGAGTACAATGGGTCATTGATATTGGCTTCGCTTTGAATCTTTAGACCACGTAGAAAAGGTGCTAAAGATCTTCGAAGAGGCCGTATAACTACGCGGGATGGAAGAAGGAGAAATCTAATTCAGGGAGATAAAACTATCATCTAACGATGTCTAGAAATTCAAGCAGTCATTGAAAAAATGGCTGCAATGGTTCCAGTGGTTCAACAGTACCTACTGAAGAAGAAGACCGGAGATGGATCACGAACTCAAATTTTCGCTCTGGTCAAAAAAAGGGTGTGTCGCACCCATCGGGCTCCAGAAATTGAAGTGCAACAACCAATGGGAAGTGCGTTTCCCAATTACGAGCCCCGGACCCCCACGATTTTAAATCTCTCTACCATTGCCCCGCTCAGCGGGTCATTGATACCGCGAGCCGACCCAGACGCCTTTCGAGCGCTGCAGATGTCAGCATCGGAGCCCGAGAATAACCACCATCTCTGGATAATCAATCTTCCGAAGCGCTGGAAACTGCAAGAAAGAACGTACTGTAGCCGTATTTGTAACAAGCAGGAAATTGGCGAAATCCCTAAATTTACCGGCCAAAAAGGCGGATTCGAGGCGGTTTCCGTGTTAGCCCATAGTCGACCCCACCATTTCCCCTCGAGAGGCTAGAGTGAAACTTTTGGACACTCTCTCCCCCGAGCAACTTGATCTGTACCCTTCTCCAAACCTTTTTTCTTTTGAGATCTCGCTCAATAAACATGTTTCGCTCCAATTTCATCAGAAATTCGAGATCTGCATTCAAGCAGTTCTCCAAACGGAGTTATTCATGGAGATCAGTTTCGACTAGCCCCAGGCTGGCCAAACATGCCACCTCCGCGTTGGCTATTGGATTGTCCAGTGCTATTGTTTTGTCAGTGACTTCTTCCATCATCTCCAACGACATCAAGTACGAGGATAAGCTGTTTCCTGAGCCCAAACTTATACCTGTGGACGAGTTCCTTAAGCACAATAAGCCAGATGACTGTTGGGTGGTTCTCAATGGCTGGGTTTATGATATGACTGAGTTTAAGGAGATCCACCCCGGTGGTCGCAATGTGATCATCAGAAATGCCGGCAAAGATGCTACGAAAATTTTCACGCCCATCCACCCGCCAGACGCGATTGAGAAGTTCCTTCCTGCCGAGAAGATCATTGGAAAGTTGGACGGAATAATTGAGCAGGAAGAGGAGGAGGACCCTGATGAACTTGAGCGTCAAGAGAGAATTAGCAATATTCCTAGTCTCAACCAAGTCTACAACATCGCAGACTTCGAGAACATCGCGAAGCAAATCTTGCCCAAGGGGGCATGGGCCTACTATTCTTCTGGAGCAGATGACGAGATTACTCTTCGTGAAAATCATTATGCCTACCACCGGGTTTTCTTCAGACCTCGTATTCTCGTGGATGTGAGTGAAATTGATCTTTCAACCACCATGCTGGGCCAGAAGACCAGTGCTCCTTTCTACATTTCTGCTACTGCCCTTGCCAGACTGGGTCATCCAGACGGTGAGGTTGCTATTGCAAAGGCTGCTGGAAGAGAAGATATCATCCAGATGATTTCCACATTGGCCTCAGCATCGTTGGATGAAATTACAGAGGTGGCCACCGAGGACCAGAAGCAATGGTTCCAGCTGTATGTAAATGCGGACCGCAATATCGCCTACAAGATGGTTGCCAATGCCGAGTCCAAGAAGAGCATCAAGGGTATTTTTATTACTGTAGATGCCCCTTCTCTCGGAAACCGTGAAAAAGACAAGAAAATTAAGTTTGAGGGCGATACCGATGTTGATTTGGAGGACAATGCCGACAGGGCCAGTGGTGCTTCCAGAGCACTCTCCAGTTTTATCGACACTGCCCTTACCTGGAAAGATATTGACGTCATCAAGCAGAAAACCAAATTGCCAATTGTTATCAAGGGAATCCAGAGAGCGGAGGATGCCCTAAAAGCCGCAGAGCATGGCGTAGATGCAATCGTACTGTCCAATCACGGAGGACGCCAATTGGACTTTGCACCTGCTCCTCTGCAGCTGCTCAGCGACATCATGCCAGTGTTGCGTGAAAAAAAGCTGGACGGAAAAATGGAAGTTTTTGTAGACGGTGGTGTAAGACGTGGAACAGATGTTTTAAAAGCACTTTGTTTGGGTGCAACGGGAGTTGGTATTGGCCGTCCAGTATTATATTCGATGTCTGCATATGGTGAGGCAGGTGTGACCAAAGCAATCCAGCTACTGAAGGATGAGCTGGAAATGGACATGCGTCTGCTGGGTGTAACCAAGATCTCGGATCTAGGACCCGAATTCGTCGATACGAGGGGCCTAATTGGTGTCCATGCGAAGGATATGCTGTACGATAATTTGTACGCACCCCTGGAACCGGTTAAGTTCAAAGACGAATGACCGCCCCCGGAAAAACTCTTTTATCCGGCTTCATGCACCTTTGCGGGGCCCCCTGGAGAAACCCGGAAAATTTGCCGAACCCCCTTTCGGAGCCTCCGAATCGTGAGACTTTTTTCTCTCCCTTTCTTTGGATATTTAGACCACCTCCTCAATAAATTTAGAGAAAAGCTCTGACGTTAATTATATTTACCCGCGGGGTCTAACCGGATAGCGATTCGAGTTTCTTCCATAAAAGTTTTGTTACGGGAGCGGATCATTAAAGCCCCGAATTACAAATCGCCATGTTTGTTTCACCAATAACCTCCTCGGCCGATCCAAAGGCCCCCGAGGAGTTCACCAACAACGCCAGGAAAAAAGTTCTGGATAACCTGACGAAGTTCAAGCCTGAACAACTACAACATCCGTCCCGGAGCGACGGATTTATCTCGCGTTTGGCAAGTCACACTGGTACAGTTCTTCCGCCAATACGCAAACAGAGCCTTCCTGATGACTCGCTAGCAAAAACCACCACGCAGGATTCATATGCTTCTTCGATATTCAGTGCGGACTCCAGAAGAACTGAGGCTACAGATGTGTCATTGCCCAGTTTGCGGGAGTATATCGCAGGCTCGAAAAGGGGCAGCTCTCCCGGTAGCGTCGAAGAAGAGGTTGCCTCAACCAGCCGGGTAGACTTGACTCTTCCCAATGTTCTTAACGATATCATAAAGGCGGACGAAATCAGCAAGCCGTTTGTGAATCTGCAGAACATGGGTCACCTGGTATTTTCCCAACTCAACGATTTCATTGCCCACAACTCTGCCAACGTGAATACCGAGGGCCTAATAGACTGGAATCTTAATCTGGTAAGGTGTATGTTATTTATTGAGAAGATACCCGTCAACTGGGGGATTACCTTTATCGATCCTGCCAAGCCAGAAATGGTACAGGTCCCCAAAAATTCCAGAAGACTGTTGAGATCGGAATTGGTCAAGTTCATGCGGTCTGTACGCAAGGCGGAAAAACCTGCCAACCCGGAAAATGTGCAGAAGTTTCTGGCTAAAGTTGCCAATCCAGCAATCGCCAATGTGGAGTCGTGTTGCCAGATGCTCAAGCTGGAACAGATACCCTATCTCACCAATGATGAAGCTCTCATAACCAGACTAGTCGACTCGGATTTGTTCATAGAGTACAATCTGACTAAAGACTTCAGATATCGTGTGGCCCAGGTGTCACTGGAGCGCTCCAGGAGTCTGGTTCAAGATTTGGGTGAATATCCATCTATAGAGACCAGGGCACTTGCACTGAGAAATTACTTTTTGAACCTGTTGGTGGCCTGTCAGACTCTTTTTGAGTATAATTTTTATCTTTGGCAAAAGTCCAATGACAGCAAGCGCAAGAACAAAGTCTCCAAGGAGGAGAAGACAGTGCTGTGGGAGAGACTAAGAGAAAGGAATTTCTGCAAGGTTGAAGTGTTTGAGAGATTAAACTGAAAATTGCAAACACAACTGGAAAGTTTTAATTAAATTCTCCGAGGCGCTGTTCAGGATTGAATTAAGAGAGCTGATTCGTGGGAGTCTTCTTCTTATGCGAGTATCTTTGAGCTATATTAACTTATTAACGATAACACATTCATGACTATTTGGAACGACAAACGTAGAAATTAACATGTTGATGAAGACCATTAAGACGATCCAATTTCGTAGAAGTGGGATAATATATATAACCACATGAGGATCGTTCTTCATCCTCAAAATTTCTTCCTTTGCTGTTTCAACTTTCTGTAGTGATCTTTCCTTCCGGAGGTTGCCTTTTCTTGAATCTCCTGATAACGTCTCTTGAAGTACTTTTGAGTTTGATCATCGTGAATAATCTCATCAATGAGACCCTTGCCTTTGGCCCTACCAACAGACCTTCCTTCTATCACACCGTCTGCGTTCGACAGAAGTGTTCCCATCTGGAAGTGTTCTGGCACTTTCCATTTGTCCTTCTTGTAAAACCTCTTAGGATCAAGAGCAGCACGATTCTGAATAATCATCAAGTCGCGTTTGATTTCAGGCGTAATCTCGGTTTTGGGCATGTTAAACCATTTGGACCCAGCTCCTTTCTGCTTGTGATCCTCTTTGGCAGCTCTCTGTTTTATGACCGGGTCGTCCTGGATCCGCACCTTCCTGCTATTAGCTCTTGTACTCGACTTTGTCTTTAAACTTGACTCCTCGAAATCGTCCAACGATGGCACGTTATTCACTTCGTGCTGGATCTGTTCGAAAGTGGGTTTCGTTGTAGTGGTATTCTGCACTGGCTTCAACTCTTCTTTCAATTCTTCAAATAGGTCAGCCAACGATATCCCAGCGCCCAAATCCGGTGATGCCGCCTCCTCGCGTATCTTCTCTAATTCTGCGTTACTTCGTAATTTGGTAGCCATTCTCCAGTTATATTTCAGCTTTGTTGGACCTGTATATTCTTGCACTAGATAGAAAAGAGGTCCCTAATTTTTTTTTCGTCTATTGGCATTACATAATCATTTTGAGTTGCGCACTCCGTCACATGAATTTATCCGCACCCCGAATCTCGTTCTGCAAAATCGCGTCCAATACCAATTCTTTCTTCACCCAGAGCTTTCTTCTATCTTTGATGTTGTTCTGCAATTCCTCAGATGCCAGCTCTTTGAATTTCAGCAGTTTTTGGTAGTACTCCTCCAGGTTTTCAGCCAGGGCTTCCAGGTCTTGAACCTCATCAACGTCTATGTCATCAACGGAAACGTTCCCTGGCAGGATTTGCTTAGTAGATTCCATTGCCTGATAAATCAGGCTTCCTTTCAGTTGTGTGTTGGCATCATTGCCTTGAATGTTGAAAACTCTTTCGTAGAGAGCCGGGTCGTCAACTGCTATAGAGCCATCGAGCACCACCTTTTGCAGTAGAGAGAATCTTTGGGAAGCCAATTTCTCTCCCCTTAGCCTGGATGTATCTTCCAAAAGTACATCAACGTCCAACCCGTCCTTACTGGGTTCAAATTTCCGAAAATCAGTACCGTTTCCGTCACTCCCAGCAAACCACCAAGGATCCACTTCAGTATCCTCAACCTTTCCAAGATCCACATCATGTACGCTTTTCAAGTGCTTTGTAATGGCATCCGATCTCGTAAAGGTTCTCACACAGTTGGGAAGAGGACAACAATACGGTTTCTCGCCAGTATGCGATCTCAGATGGGTGATCAACGAAAACCTACTTGGTTGCAATATCCCTTTTCTTGAACAAAACAACCACTGGCATGCATACTGCCCAGGATTGTTGCCTACATGAGCATCATTCAAGTGGTGTGCCAAACTGTCCACGGAGGTGTATTTTTTGCCGCATCCTTGCCATAGACACTTCAGGTTCTTGACCTCCTCCATGTCCTGAAGTTCTTCCATAGTAGACGGATCCTTGGACCATTTGCCCATGTCTTCGAAGTCGGACAAATCTGACGAATCAACTTCGTCCGCTGTCTCAGAATGTTCCTCCATTGCGAAATGAATTGTTGTGCTGGCAGCTTATGAGATACAACAAGCTATCTTGTAGCTTTCGGAGACCTTCAGTGATCGCGAGGTAGTGTGGGCACCAAATGTTCACAGCGATTACCCGGCCGATCCCATTTTGTGAAGACCCGAAGAGTTGGGCACCTGTTTGGAACATTTCCAGGATCAACTTTTTACAACTGCGTATTGTCTTTATTCTAGCTAAATTGTCACGATCATGTCAGACTTGCAGTTGACGATATTGAAAGTTTTGAACTCCAAGGGCGCCATCGCGGACACTTTGGCCGAGTTCCCAGATGTTAGCTACCAGGTTGTCCAGGCAGCTGTGACTTCGCTGGCGGCCAAGTCCATGGTGGTCTTCAAGATCTCTGAGAAAGAGAGCTTCGGGCTGACTAAAGAAGGTGAAGACATTGTTACCAACGGATCCCATGAATACAGGCTTTTAAACAAAGTGATTGAGTCGTTGGAGGGGTTGAAGATCTCTGAGGTGGGATCCATTTTTGGGAAAGACGGCAAGGTTGGTCAGGCCAGAGCTTTCAAGAATGGCTGGATTTCTAAATCTGGCGACACTCTTGTTACCAAGACTGATGCGGACCATTTGCCTGAAGATACCACTGCTGTTCAACTGAAGGAGATCAAGTCTACTGGAACCCTATCCACCAATCCTAAGGATCTCGCAGAACTGAAGAAGAGAAAACTCATTACGTCCACCAAGGTGATCTCCTTCAAAATTGAAAAGGGTCCTGAGTTTGCACTGGAAATCGTCCAATTGGATACCGATATTACCAGCGACATGTTGCAGAACGGTAGTTGGAAGACTGCCAAGTTCAAGCCATACAATTTCAACAGTGAAGGTGTTTATCCAGAGAGCGGTGCTTTGCATCCCTTGAACAAGGTGAGAGAAGAATTCAGACAGATTTTCTTCTCTATGGGATTCACAGAGATGCCTGCTAACCAGTATGTGGAGTCTGGATTCTGGAACTTCGACACCTTGTTTGTTCCTCAGCAGCATCCAGCCAGAGACTTGCAGGACACCTTCTACCTGAAGGACCCTGCAGTGGCCAAAAAGCCAGAAGACGATGCTTACTGGAAGAACGTCCAACAGGTGCACCAAGATGGTGCATATGGCTCCATTGGATACAGATACCCATGGAAGGCCGAAGAGTCGTTGAAGACGGTGCTGAGAACGCATACGACCGCAATCTCTGCAAGAATGCTTCATGAGTTGGCGAAGAACCCAGGTCCAGCAAGACTGTTCTCGATTGACCGTGTCTTTAGAAACGAGGCGGTTGATGCTACGCATCTCGCTGAGTTCCACCAGATCGAGGGTGTTATGGCTGATTACAACATCACGCTGGGAAACCTGATTGGATTCATGCAATCTTTCTTTGAGAATATGGGAGTCACTGATCTACGTTTCAAGCCCGCTTACAACCCATACACAGAGCCTTCGATGGAGATTTTTGCATGGCATAACGGCCTAGGCAAATGGGTCGAGATCGGAAACTCTGGTATGTTCAGACCCGAAATGCTCGAGGCCATGGGCCTACCAAAGGATCTGAGAGTGCTAGGATGGGGTTTGTCACTGGAAAGGCCAACCATGATCAAGTACAAGGTGAGTAACATCCGTGAGCTTCTGGGTCATAAAGTGTCTCTGGACTTCATTGAGGCCAATCCAGCAGCCAGGTTAGATGAGGCTCTTGTATAGAAATGCTTAATTATCGCATATAATCGATCTCAAGTAGTTCCAGGTTACGCTCTGCATATAGAACTGCTGCATGTTATTTCAGCCTTAGGTAGCCATAGCATACAGGAGGCTGGTAGAGAGGGCAGGTTAATCGTGTCTCTAATAATATTTTTGAGTATCTGGTGCATCAGCAGAGACCGGTATAAAATATGGGCTCAATTATGATATAATTGACCTCAAGTTGCTACTTGGTTGTTATGCAAATTAAGCTTTAACACTGCCGCAAAAATCTCTGCATTGGCTACGTTCTGCCACCTACACCAGGCCTGTAATATATGGTAATTGCAATGGTACCATGGCTTATAATTAACCTAATTCTTTGCCAGATCTATAAATTCTACTTTTCGAGTCCAGAACCATGAAGTTACTGCTGGAGTTCAGTGTGGAGCTTCCTATTTGGAAGAGGCAGTGCAATTTCGGCCATATGCATGCGGGTTGAGGTTGCTGTTTGAGGCTACGCATAATCCAACTATATAAACCCTGGCTTCGTGCTCTTTTGGAAAATCCTAAAGCAAAAAAAAACAAATTCCTGGGATACTAAACTTCAGTTCCAGCTCTAAAAATCCAAAATGGCTGTCACTTGTTCAGATATCTTCAAGATTATAGCTGGTGAGTAGCTACATTGACTTTATGCACTAGTCTGTGGGTGCGTTCCTCTAGCCATGAAACTAACTCAGCCTTCAAGCAATCATCTTGCCACCTCTCGGTGTTCTGCTCGAAGTGGGATGCGGTCTTTCTCTTGTGATCAACATCTTGCTTACGATCTTAGGATTTATTCCTGGTATTATTCACGCGCTGTACATTGTGAGTATCAATTGAGGATGAAATTCCAGTCTTTCCAGACTACTAACTTTTCGTGTTTAGATATTGCGGTACTGAGAATAACTTCCGATGAATGGCTCAATGCTAAATTTAATGTCAGACCCCTTTTCATGCTTAATATCAACGGAGACGGATGTTGACTTCGTTTCGCAAATTTGCGCTCATCCCAAATCCACCGGTTGCCAGGGTCGGTTGTCTGTGTAACTATTTGTTTTGAAATTTTTCTACTTGAAACTTTGCTCGTAGATATCTTGAGATTATATGATTCAATGACAGGAATGATGTTAAGGTCCAGATACTTCTTTGAACTTGTTTCCAGGCAAGAGTTTGGACAGGGTTCGTGTGAGACTGTTTCAGCCGCATCTGGTACTTATTTTGTGAATACACGTATCTGTTCCGGCAGACCGTTTCGCTCTATATAAGGCCAGTCAAAGTACGCTCGACAATAGTGACCCAAGAAGTCTTGGAAGGTGCCTACGTAATGTTTGATCGTAAATTTTACGAGATTAATTGTTTTTTTTTTTGACCTCGAACGATCTGGCGAGAATGTCTCAATGGTACTGCCTATCGTCGATACCCGGTCCGTCCCCCATGCCTATATTCTCTTATTTCCTTGGCTTCTGGTCATGGTGCGCTTGAATCTTCAAGCCTTTACCTTTCAGTGTGGTGGAATATCCCCCATGAAATGGTATATAAAGTTTACCTATGGATTTGGTCTGCCGGGGGCGCAAAAACAAAGACATAAGCTTCCGTCGGCTTCTTCCGATGCCCATCGATTGTCCTCGGAAAGGGCACTTTACTAGAATTACAAGGAACATTGTAAATTATGTTCAACTAATTGCATAAAAACGGTGCCATATAGAGCAGTTGCGCCGGATACCATAAATTCAGTAATTTACTCGTTAATCTCAACGTGAACATAAGATATTTCACAATTCATCTTCCACCAGTCAGATCTTTACGCTTCCGAATGTGTCATGCAGCTGCAACTTGCCCACCAAGATAAGCAGAGGGTGCCGTCTTTTTTTTTCATTCTCCACCACTCGATATTTAACGTACGAAATTTCCATCTTTTTTGCAAGATATTCTCCTGCCCACCCCCTTCACTTAACACAATCATAATGTCCTCTGAGAATCCACTTCAAGTCATAGACGTTTCAAAGGCGGATCAGGCCACTGCTGATGAGCTTCTCAAAGCAGCTATGGGTCAGGGTTTTCTGATGATTGAGGGACATGATTTCACCCAGCAGGAAGTGGATGAATTGTTTGTTCTATCCAAAAACTACTTCGAAGCTCCATTCGAAGAGAAGATGAAGTACAAGATTTCTGAAAACAACCACGGTTATACTGCGTTTGGTGCTGAGAATCTGGATGAAGAGCACCCTGATAAGCCAAAGGGTGACCCCAAGGAGGGATTCAATTTTGCCTGTTTGAATCTTGCCAAAGGAGAAACCGAGGAAAAAGTTCCTCCTTTGTTTCTAGAAGAGGCCAATGCTGCTAAGGTGAAGAGTGCAATTCTCAAGTTCAAGAAATCCGTAGATAAGATTTTGGTGCTGCTCGCCATGGGCTTGAAGGTGGACCAGGCCAATGGAGGTGCTGATTATTTCTTAAAGAGACATGCTGGTAACAAAGAAAGTGGTTCAGCCTTTAGATTTCTGCATTATCCGAATCCCAAGTCACTAAACCCAGAAGAGGTGATCAGGGCTGGCGCACATACGGATTACGGTGGAGTTACCCTTCTGTTCCAAAGAGAAGGTGAAGGTGGGCTTGAAATTCATTCGCCAATTACCAAAACATGGACCCCTGTGCCTTTTGTCGGTGCGTCGCCGAAGTTCAAGAATGCCGGATCTGCTCCTCCTCTGGTGGTAAACATCGCAGATCAGCTTAGTTTCTGGACCAATGGTATCTTGAAGTCTACTATTCACAGGGTCAAGTTCCCTAAAGAGGCTCAACTCTCGGGCAAGAGCAGATACTCAATTGTGTTTTTCTCCCATCCTAACGATGACACATTACTTGAACCAGTTCCCAGTGAGATTGTCAAGCAAGTGAAAGGTCGCGGAGCAGGATATGATCTAGAGAAGTTTGGCAAGTCGCTTACTGCTGGTGAACATCTGTTGAAGAGACTGGCAGCGACATACACTTATTGAATATGCGAAAACAAAAAACTGTATAAAGGTGTTAAATTATTTAATTCTGGTGTTTCTTCTTTGCCTTCTTCTCGTCAATATTTATTTAAAATCGTCATATCGCGATATTCTACTCCATATATATCTAAAAATCGCCGCAGTCCAGTTCTGGCTAATTATTATATAAGTAGTGTACCGGAGAAATATTTTATCCAACATATCTCCAAACAGTGCCAAGTAACAAGACATTGATTGAACTTTCCATCTTCCAGTCCTTCCAAAAGGTAACAGTTTAAGCTGCTAATTGGGTATTGGTTGAGAAAACTCTCTCTCTTCAATGGAAGTGCACCACCAGTTCGTCGCGCCGTCGCAGTGCTCAGACTCGCTATCATGCTACTTTACCAACAACGAAAGGCCGAACCTGATAGTAGCAAAGCACACGGTGCTTCAGGTATTTGACATCCTGGAAACTTCGCACACCGATGATGCCCATGTGAGAAAACTCGTTCTGGTAGCGGAATACCAATTGAGTGGATTAATAACCGGGATGGCCAAGGTGCGCACTCTTGAAGACGACAAGCTGGACTATCTTATCATCGCCACAAAATTTGCCAAGATATCGGTGATAAAATGGAGTTTCCACCTGAACTCTATTTCCACTGTGAGTCTTCATTATTATGAGCCCCAGTTTGAAGCTTTGTCCATAGACAAGTTGTCTACAGCCAGATTTAGAAGTGATCCTACTGGTCAAGTTGCGTGTCTCGAGTCGAACGGGATATTTGCATTCTTGCCTTTTGAACAAGAGATGGATGACGATGATATCGATTACGATGGTGATAAGAAGAGCAAAGAACCAAATGGAGCGAATGGCACAAGCCTTTTCACAGGCAAAGACATTGCAGCGAAAAAACTGACAGGCTCTAGTTTCTTGCTGGATGCCAGAAAGTTGGAAGCGAATATCTCCACACTTGTTGATTTCACTTTCCTCCATTCCTACAGAGAGCCTACTGTTGCCGTCCTTCATTCTTCTTCGCCTGTTACATGGGCTGGCTATCTGCCCAAGATCAAAGACAACCTGCGTCTTTCGGTTCTGTCCCTCGATCTGGAGTCCAAATCAGCAACAACCATCATTGAGGCCTCCAACCTGCCGTACGACATCGAGAGAGCAATAGCTTTACCAGCTCCGTTAAATGGAACCTTACTTATTGGATGCAACGAGATTATCCACGTCAACTCTTTGGGCTCGCTGAGAGGAATAACCGTCAACGAGTTTGCTTCCAAGTGCACCAATCTGCAGTTGAAGGACCAGTCGAGCTTGAATCTCCAGTTGGAGGGAGCAATCGTTGCTCCTTTGGTCGAAGACAAAGTTTTATTAATCACGGCCACTGGCGAGTTCTACGTTTGTGTTTTCGAACGCATGGGAGGCGCCTCTTCCATATCATTGATCGTTAAAGTTCCACAGGAAAATTACGCTGGAATCTTGTTGACTCATCCAGTGTCGGCCACTGTAATTGAAGGCACAAAGTCTATGTTCGTGGTCTGTCATGGTGGGGAGAGTGTTCTCTTGGACTGGCAGTACGGATCCGGGTCCGCCATGAGTCTCGCGAAAGCCGGTGTAGCTCAGATAACAGATAACGAAAAGGCAGATATTGATGACGATTCTTACCTCTACGCCGACGATGATACACTCGGATATGATCAGAGCATGGTTTCCAACGATCTGTTGGATGCCTCAAAATTGAAATTTTTCAAAAGTGATTGGCTGGCGAACTTCGGCCCTCTTTCAAATTTCACTATTGGCAAAGTGTCGACAACCAAGAAGTTCTTTGGTCTGGCGAATCCAAACCTTGACGAGGACTGTCTCATAGGATGCTCAGGGATAGGAAAGTCCAGTTCTCTCAGCATATTCCATCCTTCGATCCAGCCCACCATCAGGTCCACTCTCAAATTCTCCAGTATAAACAGAATGTGGACTTTGAATGATAAGCACGGAAAAAGTCATTATCTAGTGACTTCTGACTTTTCTAACTACAAGACACAGATATTTTTGATCAACAAAAACTACCGTGATTTTGCATCCAAGGACTTCAACACTAAGGAGATCACTGTTGCCATATCTGTCGTTTCTGGCTCTTCTAGAGGGCACAAACATGAATGCATAGTACAGGTGACCTCGACGAACGTTTTTCTCTACGATTTCAAATTTAGAAAGTTGCAAACGATCAGTTACGATGAGGAAATTACGTTTGCGCAGATCGGCGATGATGGCTATGTCTTGATCACGAGAGAAAATGGTGACATTGATGTTTTGGAGTACACAGAGAGACAAAAAGAGATTGAGGAGGCAGAGCCTGAAGTTGAAGAACCTGCACCCAAAAGGCCAAGAAGAGGGAGAAAGGCCAAAAACTCAGAGCCCGAGCAAGAAAAAGCTGAAGAAACCGCTCCAAAGAAGGTCAAAATTGAATTCACATACTCTATGGAGAAGATTGAGTTGCCCATGCTTCTTAACAACACTATCATCGTGAGTGGTTATGTCACGCTATCTCGTATCCTGCACAAAGTGAAGATAGGTGATCAGACCGTTGAAAGACATGCTAGCAAAAATCCAACGCCCTGTTTTTTCCTCGTCACTGCTGATAACAGAATCCTGGTATTCGACAAACATCATCGCCAGAAGATATTCGAGCTGAATACTGCAGAGCAACTCACTGAGTATCTCAGTATTGACCTTATGATGGCCAACAAAGAGGGTGTTCCGGACCCCTTTTTCAAACAGATCATGGTGACTCAACTAGGGGACCAGTTTCACAAAGACGACTACCTGATTATTCTCACGATGGGTGGAGAGTTGTTTCTGTACAAGATCTTTTTTGACAAAGATGAGGGTGTGTTCATGTTAATGAAGATGAACGAGCAATGCAGAATGCCGATTACTGGTGCTCCTGACAATGCTTACTCTTACGGTACACATATCGAAAGAAGACTTGTCAAGGTTGATTCCAAGTCATATTCGGCTGTTTTCGTCACAGGAGTTACTCCTTACTGTATTTGGAAATCACATAATTCCTCTCCTCGTGTGTTCCAATTCACAGCAAAACCAGCCCTTGCGTTTGGTGGCTTTTCCACGGAGAAGGTTGTGGAAGGTATCATGTTCATTGATGATTCCAAAAATGCAAGAATTTGCGAACTGGATACCAGTTTTGATTATACCAATACCGTTCCCGTTAAGCAGATTCCCATCGGTCAAACCATGAGAAACGTTGTCTACCATAGCCTCTCAAACACATATATGATATCGACTATGGAGGAGGTTCCGTTTGAGCTAAAGGATATAGAAGGTGAGAAAGCGGCCTCGCTCAATGAAGAAATAGAGACTCCAACGGCCACGTCGTTGAAGGGTTATCTCAAACTGTTATCTCCATCCAATTGGTCAGTCATTGATCAGATAGATCTAGAAGATAACGAAATTGCGATGTCCGTCAAGTCATTGAATCTGGATGTGGTTCGCTCAGCTACGATGACTCAGTTCAAAGATCGCAAGGAAATAATTGTGGCTGGAACAGGAATATTCGAGACCGAAAGCACCTTTACCAACGGATCCCTCAAGATCTTCGACATTATCGACATTGTGCCCGAACCAGGACGCCCCGAGGCAAAGAACAAAATCAAGCAGTTGTTCAGCGAAACCAGAAAAGGAGCTACGGTCACGGTATCCGAGGTCAGTGGTAGAATTCTGGCCGTCCAGGGCCAAAGAGCATTTGTATGGAATCTGAAAAACGACAATAACGTTGTTCCTGTTGCGTTTGTGGACACTGGAATTTGGACCACAGAAACCAAGAGTTTCCAAAATCTGATCCTTTTTGGAGACACCCAGCAAAGTGTGTCGTTGGTCGGTTTTGAAGCGGAGCCGTACCGCATTGTCCAATTAGGAAAAGATATTGCCAGAGTGGACGTTCTGGCAACTGACTTCTTGGTCCATGATGGAAACTTGTACATTCTTGTGGCTGATGCCAATCAAGTGTTACACATTCTACAATACGATCCAGAAGACCCGGCTTCCCATCAAGGTCATAGACTCATCCGCAAATCTGTGTTCAGAAATAACTCTTCAACGACGAATCTGGTTGCGGTTGCACGTTCCAAATCTCTTTTCTCGGCATCGCGCTCTCTGAAGGAGAACCTGGTTGCAGAATTTGAGTGCATTGGTTCGAATGTTGATGGATCTTTGTATCGGGTTACTCCGGTATCGGAAACCACCTATAGAAGACTGTATGCAGTCCAGCAACAGATCTATGACAGAGAGTCACATTTTCTGGGACTAAATCCAAGACTCAACATAATCGGACATATGGAAAATATCATGGATAATGTCAACAGACCGGTTCTGGACTTCGATGTGCTGAAAAAGTTCATGACACTGAGTGAGGAGAGAAAGAGGGCCTTTGCCAAACGGATCGGTAATAACGTCTATTCCGAAATATATAGGGATTTCATAGGGATCTCTTAGAAGCCAAAGAATAACTATATAACAAGAAACAACGAAAACTGAGCTAAGTTTTCAGGCAAAATTGCAGGCAACAGGGTATAAGAACAAACTAACGAACCAACGAACGAAGCATCAGTCTGCTGCTTCCTAAAACACAAAAGTCTTCCTACCAAATTCTTCAAAATTGTCCCACCATGTCGTCGTAGGCCCTTCCTCTGCAAATTCAGGAAAAGGCTCGAGATCAAATTCCAGTTTGACCTTCAAGCTATCCTCTATCCTCACCTCTGAAAGCCTTTCAGTTGACCTTGCCCATCTCTCTTCCAAGAACTCGATAATGAGACGAATACTTCCAAAAAATAGATATCCGTAGCAAGTCATACAACTTGACCGAATTACGTCCCGTTGTCTAGTGTCCTGGGTGTGATAGCCTGCTATCAGTAATGGGAACAGCAGACAGTGCTGCAAAGTATCATTGGAGGCTGAGATCAAGTCATCCACAAACATGGAGACCGCGCATTGGACCCTGTCATCTTCCAGCGTGCAAGACCACAATGCACGCAAGCAGTAGATCATTGCCGTGTTGGCATATGCTGAACAGAAACAGGACCATGATTGAAAAGAAGATCTTTCAGAGGTCTTCACTATGGCCTGTGCTGACCTCGCTGGGAGAATGAACTGGGCGAGACGTTCCTGAATCTCCAAGAGTTGGTCCATTGATGGTGGTCTATGACTTGTCTTCATGGAATGACCCAGAACCGCGAGTGTGGTTAAAATACTCATGATCTCCAAAAACGGGTCTGATTGATCAACGTTTCCCCACCAAGCATCACAGCTACCAAATTCAAACCAAAATTGGGGTTTGAAATATGGGGACGAGCCGGTCAGAAGCGAATAGGTTAGGTCCATCGTGGCAAATACAGACATTATTTCTGCGTTCACTTTGTCCTTGAGAGTGACTGCCGTATTGTTTGTAATCTGGTCTCTATACTTATCCAATATGGCACGGCCACCATTGATGTGTTGGGTGGGCCTGTACGAGCTTGAGTCCGGCTCAATGACCCCATCAAGAAGTCCCAGAAGAACGGATCCTCTGAAAATAGCAGTTGGGTTGATTTTTGATTCTGCTGAGGGATCCAACTGTAATATCGAGCTCAAGTTCTTGAGAGCTGAAACTCGTGCAATCTGCTTAGATTTGTATAGCTCAGGCTCCTGCTTAGTCTGTACCATAAAATGAGCACAGCTCATAGCATCGATAAGATCCTTCAACAACGTGTCTTTGGAAGCAAATTTGAGACTATCGTAATCCCAAGGGACGGACCTGGCAGTCAGTCTCGGCGAGATGATCATCTGGAAGTACATCATCTTGCTGTCGGAATTGAAGCGTGGAAGCGGAAGCGACATAATTTCAAGCTTGGCTTCCTGTTGGCTCGCAGATGAACGTTTTTTCTGACCAAACTTATCTGGAGCGACAATAGCTCCCCATTTAAGTCTGTACTTGCCATACTCACAAGACAGTCCCTTTTTCAAACATCTGGAGCAGTTGGGCTTTTGAAGTTTGCACTTAACTCTATGTTCCCTGCACGCCCAACACGAACCTTCCACAGTGCGGATTCTTCTTGCCGGTTTCGCTACAATCTGCATTGTTGGTAGTGGACGGAAGTAACGATTGTCTTGCCAATACGGGTTTGAAGTCGAGATAACGGCCGCATGCATCGGTCGTGGCGTACCCGATCACCCCACGATTGTTCCACGCCCGAATTCCGGGGACTGACGGGCTTCGTTTCTGCGGATGGAAAGGTCTAAAAGAACCTGGCATAATTTATTGGAATGCAGAAAAAGGACTGGATGTGTAGTTAGCGAGCCAGTTTTTTTATTTTCCTTAGGCTTTTCGATGAAAAAATCACCTTTTGAAACCACTGATAGAAACCCCTCCATCGCCATTCAAAGAGACGCAACAATGGCAGAGGAATAACATAATCTCCAATTTGTTCAAAAAGCAGTAATTTCAGAAAAAAGTCCATTTTGAAAATTGAAATAAAGAAGAATGCACACCAACAAATATTCGTTATTCCCCAACCTTCCTATTTATATATAATTTGTACCATATTCCCCCATATGCTACCGGTTCTCCCATTAGTTTGGTCCCGACAGAATCCTTATATTACTCGGAGAGCTGCCCCACAGACATTCAGAGGCTACACCAATTGGTTCCAGACCACGCTTTATTACAATCTCAGAAACGCAAAGTGATCAATTCTTGAGTTATTCGTATAATTGGGTAAATATAGTTCCAAAGGCACATTTTTTACCACCCAAAATTGACTATTTGAGCCTCAATAAGAACACTTAGTTTCACCCTAATAATGCCCAATCGGGTAATCAACCGAATTGAGAAATCCAACATCACAAGGTGAAATTAGAACTAACAAGCCCATTCCTAGCTTGGTTAATGAGCCGATTTGGACACAACTGCATCTTATTAAGTGTTTTTTTTCCCGCTCTTTTTGCTGACAAGTTCTGTTGGCTCATACAATTGTGAACTTATATTTCTTGTTAAAGGACACCGTGATATTGGCTTCCATTACAACTACCCATTACAGCCGTATATCAGACCCCCTTTCGCGTTTAAACAAGACAACCCAACGGAAACCATCACCATTCTCCGCAACAACACCATTCACCCAGACCATCACAACCACCCGATCATATGAGCACCTAGAAACGTCGCTGCGTATATACTTGCCGAGAAATTGCACATTAGCTCCCACGTAACCTCCAGGACGCGATGTTGGATCCTTCCGTTCGCCTCCGAAAGGCGATAATTGAGGGAAAACAACTCATCGTGTCCCGTTTGTTAGCGAGGTTTCCCGATTTACTTGAGAATATCAACCCGGAAGACGGATGGAGCAATTTGCATCTGAGCACCTACTACAACTACCTGGAATTGACACATCTGATACTGAACCTGGTTGAGGAGAAGAGTGCCAGGATACACAGCCATCTTGCCGAGCCTGGTGAGATTTTGAGTCTGGAAGATGTGATTTGTGGATTCGAGGGTTACACGGTGCTGCATGTTGCTGCTGTCCAGAATTCAGAGGCCTGTTTGGAACTGTTGCTCCAATACTTCCACCTGGTGCTGAATGCAAAGGACAAAAAGGGCAGGACTGCTTTGCACTTAGCCTCTATGAAGGGATACACCGGCTGCGTTCAGCTTTTGATCAACAATGGAGCCGACACAAATCTTCAGGACCAGGAAGGGAACACCCCATTGCATCTGGCTGCTTCGTTTGGGCATTTGGATGCTATCAAGCTGCTGCTGTTTGGAGACTGTGACGATGAAATGCTCAACAGCCAGAAGTGGAAGGCACTGGATCTGTGCTCTACATTTGAACTTCAAAAACAGATGCTTTCATTCAAGGCTTCACTGGTGACTGCCCATCCTCCTTCTGCGCCTGTTTCAGCCTCTTCAAAGTCTTCTCCCAGAGAGCCAACTTCACACCTGAGACCTTATTCAAATTCATTGCCTCCACTACCTGCTATCACGACAGCTAGGCGATGCTCTGTCAGCTCGCAAATTTCTGCCAGCCGGTCTTCGAGTTTCAGCTCGGAGTCCAATAAGCCTTCAACCCCATTCACGGAACATGCCCCTTCAAACTACACATACCAATCACCCCTCCAGTCGGAAACGCCACAACTTGCTGATTTGATAGACCAAAACTCGAAGTCGCCACTGGTTCCAGCAGTTAAACCCTTTGCGCCCAGTTCTGCCAGAACGCGCACCATGTCTTCTGCCTCTTCAATGTCTTCCACATCATCACCACCTCACAGCAACACGAAGAGAAAGGTGCTGATACCAGCACAATCAAGCGAAAACTCGCAGCTGGTATTGGGGAGATCAAACTCTTCAACTTCGTCTTCTCCTACAAAATCTTCAGTCCAACAGAACACCTCGCCGAACTCAAAGCGGTCTTCCATGTCCACGAGGACTTTCCGTTCGAATTCATCTACATCTCAGAACTCAGCAGGAAATGGGACAGGTAATGGAATCGCAAATGGCCAGACGAGTCTTTCGTCTTCCCTGGCGGAACCTAGGTCCAAAAGCGGGAGTTTCAGCTCCACGCTTTCGAGTTTCACTTCCACGTTCAAAAGTCTCGATAAGAAACCGTCTCAGTCGGGTTCAAGCAAGATGAGTGCCATCAGTTTCCGACCCCAAGCTTCGAGAAAGAACAGTGTCGGTAACGACAACCGTTTGGAGAGAACGAGGTCTATTTCTTCGGCAACTCTCATATCTCCGCTGCGGTCCACGAGGACAGCCGCTCCAAGTTCAGCAACATCGTCTTCGCACAGACAGCCGCTCCTTTTGAAGAGTGCCAATAACTCGAACATTTCGTTGGACTCGCAATCATCTGGAGCAGAGTCTTTGCCAGACCGCTCTCAGGACTCATCATCGACGCTGAAGTCTTTCAAGGCTCAAAATGCCAACCGACTGAAACTGAGCCTCAAACTCAACACATTGTATCAGACAAACACTAACACTTCGGGAGCTGAGAGTGATGGAATTATCGCTAGCCCGACCAGGTTGGAACCATCGCATACTTCCAAGATCCTGAATATCTCTATCAAGTCCAATAAAAGGAACTCTTGAGGAGAACGGAGACATATCCGCCTATTCGAAGGCTACACATTCCTTTGGTTTCCAATATTTATAATTCATTGCATACTAACACATCTAAATTGGGTTATCATGATATTTGTAGATTAACGGTTCCTTGCTGGCTGGTTTGACCTAGCTCGTATTAGATTTTTCATTCTCATTCTTTTCACTTTTCTTGGGGTTGGATAGCGATAGAGACGAAAATACCTCCTTATTGGTATTAAGCCAATCCTTAAATGCATCACCAATCGTAGAATACCGCTCCAGATTCTCCACGATTCTCATAAAGTCATCCGCATATGAATCCTCAATCATGTCATGCTCGTTCTTGAATTCTGGATCCACCGAACCGTCTGTCTTTCCAACGCTGACCGCACTTGCCAGAAGATCTGCCTGGTCATACCCAAAATTCGTGTTCAATGTGTTGGGAATTACTCCAAGACCCTCACCCTTATTAGTAGCCTTGAAGACTTTGTCCTCGTCGTCGCCAAGCTCTGGCTTGATAACTTTCAGCTGCATGGTGTTGTAGCTCTTGCAGTTATCGCATCTAAGACCAAGAACATGGTACTTGCAGATAGACATTCCACCACAGTCTATGCACTTGATAATACACTTCCAGTTACCAAATGGAGGCGGTAATGGTTGCTCGTCGATTTCATTGTCCATAACGCGAAACTGGGTTTCCATGTTGGTGATAGTTCGAGAGCAGATGGGACATTTGTACGAATGCTGCGTATACTCATCATAGCACGATTGGTGAATGGCATGTCCGCATGACATCACACAAACAGTTCGGGTAGAGTTGAACATGTATTCCTCGCAAATTGGACAGTCTGCATGTGTTGAGTTCTCGATACACCGATGACCACCTTCTTTCAGCTCTATGGAAATGCAGGCATCACAGTTTCGGCAATGGAAGAAGTCCTGATTTAAACCGAGCCCAAGACGACAAATTCCACAATCGTCACAATGGTAAATGTCTTTGACCGGATCATTGTCGAATAGCTTGCACTTATCACAGTAGTACTCTGCTAGGATCTTACCACAGTCCGGGTTGATGCAGTATTGAGCAGGCCGCTGAGGCGTAGAGCAGAACATGCACAAAACATGCCTTATTTGATTTCTGGGGAGAGCATGGTCCTTGACAACAGCATCATGGCAAAACCTGCAAGTAAACCATCTTTTGCAAATGGGACATTCCACTTTGCAGTTCCTCTGGTAGTGCTGACACCCAAGTATACCGTCCGCATATTGTGTAGGAGCTTTGTCCATCATAGTTAGTCGTACGCGGTGATCATCATTAAATGCCTCATCTTCAGAACTGAACAACGACGACGTATCTGAATCGCCCGAGTCACCGGCCACATCCTCGATCTCAGCCTCGATGGGCTGGCCCTCCAGCTTCTTCTTCTGGTAGTAGCTCTGTGTCATTAGTTTCTGTATCAAAACACTCTTTTGAGCCCCCGAAAGCTCCGCCAGTCCGAGAATATCCTTGATTTTCTGCCGCATGACCTTCTGATCGGCAAAGTCGCCTGGCTCCAAAAGAGTGAGCTTCGCGTATCTGTCTAGCAACGGTTGTTCATCGGGTATCACCAACGACTCTATAATGGGCCCAGCTTCATGGATTACAACTGGACGAACTCCACCGGGTTCGTGGTACTTTTCATCGTCTTCTCCTTCAATTGGCAAATGAACGGCTTCGTTCACCACCTGGGACAGCTTTGTCGTAACAGGCTGGATTCGATCAAAAGCGCTCTGGAGCGAAAACCCTGAAATCAAGTCATCAATGAATGCCTGAACAAGCTCTCTTCGAGAGCTGAAGTAATTATCTATAGCGAGCGAGCCACTAGCAAAATTTCGCCTCGCTGCATCCCGCAACAGCTCCGCCGACATCGGCAGGCTCTTTAGCGATTCCAGAGTCGGAAGCGATATTTTGCCAACCTGCTCCAGATCCATGGTCAAATCCGAGTCATCAGAGTCTGACATGGCGGGACTTCATAAAAAGATGCGACAAAACAGTAGGTGAATGTAAAGACTCCAAAGATAGATCTCACCTCCGCAACCTGGCGATAGGATTCATTTTCTGGGCGATGCGGCGTGCATACATCAAAAGGTGATGACACAGGGCTCATCACCTGCTGCACCCTGTTGTGGAGATTTGGACTTACACGTGTGCTAAGCTCTCATGACTTCTCTCTTTTTTTTTTTCATCAATTGATCTATAAAAAACAATGGAATCATACGCCAGAGATGCAGCAACCCGTGCTGCAACACAGGCGGCAAAGGATACGGGCAAAAAGGGCTTCCAGCTCTTCAAGTCTGACATGAGTTCTAGGAACTTCAGGTAAGTGCACAGACTGGGAGCAACGCAATTGAGGCATACCGAGATACTAACACGCGAAATAGTGCCTATGGAAGATGGTGAGTTGTCCATTAGAAATGAAAGCCGACTTATTGATCTGTTTCTTACTAACCTTCAGGCTCGGATTGCTATCTGGAGCGGCTTCCTTCGCAACAGGGATCGGCTACATTCCCCGTCTACATTTGATCATCCTCTTTGGCATTCTCGCCACCGTTCAGGGGATAATTGTTTATTTTGTGGAGATTCCATTTTTGTATCGGATTTTCCGGGTTCCTGATTTTTTCATTTCCTTCGTCAAACGGTTCGAAGTTAACTGGGCCCGTGCTCTGTATTATGCAGTGAATGCAGTGATACAGTGGCTTTCGTTGTTTGCGTATGCCAGTGCTCTTCTGTTTGTGGCCATACTGTACAGTCTAACTGCGGTCTGCTACGGAATTGCCTGGGCTTCCAGGCAGAGCTTCCACGATGGCGAGTCCAATGACGAGATCGTTGACGTTGAACCTGGCGATCCTGAGTTCAGGACTGCGTTGTAAAACAGGTGAGAGAGGAGTGAACACAGATGCCAACCAGAATTATCACCAGGAACGTCAATTGAAAGCTAATTGAAGGCTAAACGAAGGCTAATCGAAAACCCATGGCAAGCCATCGGCTTTCGCCAGTACGAATATCACATGAAAGGTTTCTTCTTTATATATGCAGACTAGTTCAAGAAAAAGCGGCTCTGCCGCTTTGAGAAATCATGATAGGATCACCAATAGCACAAAGAAGGCAAAAAAACACACGGATATAGAAAAACAGTAAATGAGACATAATAATAAAATGCTGGACAAGGAATTGTCTTTTGGGTGTAACGAATGCAGTTGAAAGGCCGTTTGGGCCCGTTTTCGGATCATATCTCTTTGGTCGGGGTCATTCCGTGGATCTTACGGAGATGTTGCTTGAGATTATCTTTTCGGTTGAACTTCTTGCCGCACTCATCGAGCGGACACTCATATGGCTTTTCACTCGAGTGCGATCTCATGTGTCTTTTCACATGCTCTGGCCGCTGGAACTTGTTGTGGCAGATGGGACACTCGTGGATCTTCTTCTTGGCCTTCAGCTCGTCTTCGGCTGACATGGGCACGTTCGGAACCGACGATTTTGCTCTCCGATGTCCTCTGACTGGTGTTACAACGACCGGAGCAGCAACATGCGCCTTGATCGAAGGCGTGGATTTGGAACCAGACATCGCAGTGGGAGGTGGAGTCTGCTGCTGCACTAGGTCGAACGAATTGCCGCTTCTGCTGTAGGGCAGATTGGCAGCAGGGTTCATGGATATGTTCATGTTCCTGGAAGCAATGGAGCTTTCTTTCGAAAGAGCTATGGCCGAAAGATTGATAGAAGAACGCGATCTCTGCAAAAACGAACTGTTGTGCGGCTGAGGTATCGAGCCCATTGTGACACTGCCCACCAGACTTGGACGGTGCTGTGGCTGTGCCGAAAAAGATTCAGTGTTCTCAGGGTCCACAAGCAATGACGAAGAGTGCGACCGCGAGAGCAATTGGGTGTCAATGATCGGCTGTTGTGTTTGGAACATCACGAGACTCGGGTTGACTGATTCCTGGTGCATTCCAGAGTTTCCGTAAGACATGTGCGACAACAATGGCTCACTGGCCAACTTTTTCGCACGCAGTCTGCGCATACCAGGTGCTCCGTCATCGTTTTGGTGGGAGTATTCCTCTTGAACAGGTGTGGATAGAATTGTGTCCGACTTCATTAGCATTTGCGGCGAAATACTGACAGGAGGATGAGACGAGAACAAGTCAATTGGAGTTTGCGACATTGGAGACTCCAGCTTCGGCGACAGAAATGAGGGAGGAGTGTAGAATGGATTGGTGCCCATGGCATGGGAAGCGTCCATTGAGAGTCTGGACCGTGTTCTGGCATGGGATCGTCTTCTTGGAGTGAAACTGCTTGATCTTTTGATAGGAGTCTGGTAAAGAGTGTTTGAAGCAGACTGAGGCGTAGCAGTGATCAGTGTCGTATTGGGTCCGTTGGAACCAGAAGTAAGTGTGGAAGATCGTCTTCTGGCAACTGTGGTTCTCACGGGGGTAGACAGAACCGTATGGGATACCAGTGGGTCTTCCTGAGAAGAGTGACCGATGTTCGGGTCGGAAGACGTGTGAAGCGAGTGACCGGAGAACGAATTCGACACAGATGAAGAGAGGCCCGGGGGAATTGAGTCGTACGAAGAGATCGTAGAATTGGAAAGTGACTCAGAGATCGATCCAAAGGGCAAGAGACCTTTTGCTGTGGTAAGGTTCGGGTCGTTCATGTGGATCATTCCCATAGAGTGGCCGGTGACCGGTGGAAATTGAAGATTCGAGTGCATTCCGGAGTTATTCGAGGCCGGAACAACATCATCCTCACCAAGGTCCAAATCCGAATGAGACCAGCTATAAGATTTTGCCAAAGTGGGGTTTCCGTTGAGCAACGCGTGCAGTTGGGACGCCTCGCTGGTGAGGCCGTTCTGCCGTAGGTCCATAAAGTCGTTGGTATACGTCTGGAGCGATTCCAAATGGTGATAGTCAATGTGGTCGCGACGGGGCGAGTGATCCGAGGAGATCAGGCTGTCCATTATGGGGGGAGAGGCCATCTGGCAGTTCGCAGCGGGCGTTGTGAGCTAGCAATGGTGGAACAAGGCAGCAGTCAGGAATCCTTGGCAGTGACGCGAAAAAGCAAGTGGAAGGGCACGAAACCAGGGGATTAACGTACAGAAGCAGAAATGCTTTATTGGGTAGTACCGGTGAGCTTTTTGCTTGGTGTGGTCGGTTTGGAAGAAGCACTGGTGGAAAACGAATTGGTCTAAATGGAAGAAAGAGTGTCTAATAGCGTGGAAACGGGCATTCCCAATCGGGAAATAACGCGTGAGTGTTTCGAAAGGGCACGACTTGTGGGACTCGGAGGTTGCACTTGGCGCACGGTTAAAAATGGCAGTGAGATTCCGACCCCGAGTTCAGACTCAAGGTCCATTCAGATTTGATGAAGAGTTGTGTTTTATGCCAAAAAAAGTCCAATTTAGGATCCCAAAGACATATCGGGTGAGCGGAAAGTTTGTAGATCGGATGCAGGGCAGAAAGGAACCTTCAATGATATCTCACACGGTTAAAGTCTGAGTATGAGCCAGACCTTGAGAGAGCCAATTGTTCGGCAAAGTCGAAGAGCCAAATCTGAGATGTCGCGTATGGTCCTTTGGAAGTGTAAATGTGGTAAGATATTCTATTTTTGTAGTCGGAAAACTGACAGTGAATAGTGGTTCGATGTGTGATGATGTAGCGGAGCTTAAGTCTGCCAGGTATCTGCTTATTGCTGTTAGACCATGACTATTACTTTAATAGGCTCAGTGATACACTTCTGTCATCTTGAAACTAAACAAAACCATCTACCTTCACTTCCACCACTCAAATATCTCAATTCTATCAGTGTTGGTCAGTAAAAGCCGCACGCCTTTGGTAGTGTACTCTTCGAATCAGGTCCTTTTAGCTTAAGCTATCACGTGAAAGATATTAAGTCCTTGAAAAATCACCAAGCTATCATCATAACGCTAGAGCCTCTTTCGAAGAAATGTTTAACCTAGAAGTATCATTAATCATCAATTGATTCAGACTAACTGTCAATTGATTATCCTGCCTACTATTCATTCTAGCTCTCGCATGTTTCACCTATATAAATATATATCTGGTCATGAATAGATATCTGCGAGCCAAATTCGAGAAACTCGAGCGTCAGCTTCGAGCCGTAATTCAGGGCACCATTTATGGGTTAGCCTTGACGAACTCAACACCCTTGGCGATGTTCTTGATCAAGGTCTCCTTGGCAGTAGCAACCATCTCCTCCTCGGCAGAAGATAGAGAGCCCAAAGCATGGATCTTCTTGACACCCTCAGTTCCAAGAGTCACTGGCGAAGAGAAGAACTCAACACCCTCAGCCTTGAAGAGAGGAGAGTCGACGAAAGTTGGCTCGACGACGTCGGCCTCACCAGCCAAACCGTTTAGGACCGAAGAGGCGAATCTGGCACCGGCCTGGGCCATAGAAAGAGTGGCAGAACCGGCACCGTTCTTGGCCTGGACAACCTCATCTCCACCGAACTGGATTCTGTGGACGAGGGCATCGTACTTGTCCTTTGGCAGGTCCTTGTGGTTGGTCTGGGAGAGCAAAGGAACAATGGTGATACCGGAGTGACCACCGACAACGGTGACTGGCTCGTGGTTTGGATCAGTTCCAACAACCTCAGACAAGAATCTGGAAGATCTCAGCACATCGAGGGTGGTAACACCGAACAACTTCTTTGGGTTGTAGGTACCCTTGGACTTGAGCACCTCGGCAACAATAGGAACGGTGGAGTTGACTGGGTTGGAAATAACACAGATAGCGGCGTTAGGAGCGTATTCGGCAACAGCCTTGGCCAGGTCTCTGACAATAGAAGCATTGGTGTTGAACAGATCGTCTCTGGTCATACCTGGCTTTCTTGGAACACCGGCTGGGATGATAACCACATCGGCGTTGGAGAAGGCCTGGGCCAATCCGTCGTCTTCTGGGCCGTAACCCTTGACAGTAGAGTTGGTTGGCACGTGCGAAACGTCAGCAGCAACACCTGGGGCGTTTCTCAAGTCGTACAAGGCAAGATCGGTCACCTTGTGGTTGAGCTTCATCAGCAACGACAATGGTTGACCAATACCACCGGCGGCACCGGCAATGGCTACCTTGTAGGCAGAAGAGGCAGTGGAGGAAAACTGACGGGCGCTGACCTTAGAAATTGAAGAAAGCATCTTAAATATTTTTGCTTGTTCGGAGGTTGATCTGGAGAACTGAATCAAGAAACTTGTCGCAGCCATGAACAAACTTGGAGGCAGATTTCCCCTTACTTATAGCTGCCATTTCGTTGGCGGGTCCCGGCTAACCCCAGATGACCTAATTGTTGTCGGCTCCGGGAATGGGGCAGTCGTGGGCGAGGGAAATGTTCTGCGTGAAAAATTAGGCAGAAATTATATATTCTGGGTTAATTTTTGTAGGGTACTGTTTATGTTTGCAGATATAAGTAATTGTGCGAGTTTAGACAGGTTTCCTGTGCGTTCTGGTTGTCAATGTCCAGTACTACGTTAGCCGTAACTTTCCAAATGCCTCTTGAAGAGGAGCCTAAGAGGAAGAGCTTTGATTCGGCGTCGGAAAAACAGAAGCGTGTTACACCCAATACTCCCGATAAAGTTATATTGATGCACACACGCTACCAGAGTTTTCGTTAGGAAATCAACTGCGGCTTTTGGGTCTTGTTTCTTTCTTGCTATTAGTTGTTGCAGCCCAGATGAGCACAAAGTCGAAGCTTCTAGGAGGCATAAACATTGCCAAGGTGCTGGCAGCAGAGACGCCTCTGGTTGCGAAACGACCACCTAGTGTGCCGTCCGCACAGAAGACATCACCCATTGACGGGTCTTACCTAACGGCCCATTTCAACAACTTCAAGATTTCGCCTAAAGATGCCTCCAGAGCTAAAAATTTCTTCAACTCAGCCCATGTAGAACTTGAGTGGTCCATCTACGATTATCTGAAACTACCTGGAGAGACCGAGAAACACGAATATGAGAAGCTGTTAAGATCGCGGCCGACGGAAATGGATGCTGAAGAAACTGAGAAACTCGAGGCTGAAGTTGCTGAAATGAAGGCAAAGATGGTCAAGGCTCGCAATGATACTGTGCTGTCTGAAGTTATGTTATTGGGGAGGTGTAATGTCGGAAAGTCGTCGCTTTTGAATGCCCTGCTATCGCCCTCTCAACTAAAGACACCCGAATCATATGCGCGTGTCAGGGATTACGCGGGATACACACCATGCTTAAATTTTTACAACATCGGCAACGTTCTGAGAATTGTAGATTCTCCTGGATACGGAAAGAAGGGCCAGGCATGGCAGGGCGAGCTGTGCTTCCGGTATCTGGAGAGACGGAAGGAGATGAGACGGTGCTATCTATTGATGAATCCACTGGAAGGGATGAATCAATACGACCAAGCCATCTTGGAGCAATTGAATTTGAAAGGTATCACATACGATATAGTTTTCACTAAGATCGACCGAATTCGCACCGCGGAAAGGGTTAAAGAGATTCAAGAACTTCTGGATTTCGAGCCTACCCGCGAACTGCTGACGGTGAAACCGAGATTCTATTTTGTGAACTCGGAGACCGGAAAAGGTGGTTTGAACACTCGGACAGGATTTGAGGAACTACGCTATGGAATGTTGGAGAGTTGTGGTCTTGGTTCTGGAGTGAAACCCAAGAGACTGAGAGGTGTTTATGATAAGAAGATGGAGGCTCAAAAACAGGCTCGAAAGATGAAGGATAAGGAAAAGGAAAAGAAGGAGAGACAGTGAACTTTATGCGAATGGAAATTGCTGAACAGTCCAGAAGACTACCGAGTGCTGAAATCTTCTGATGAGATGAACGTTAACTCTCTATCATACTCCATATTGTCTAACTAATCATGTACATAACGACTCTAACGAATAATTCATTATCAATCCTGAAAAAACTTGTCAACACTGTTTCCCAAGTAAACTCTAAGTTGCTTTCTAGTGCAAGGTAATACCTTACACCTGACCATCTGCTCTTTACCAGTATCCCTTGATTTTTTCTCGTATGCCTGGAATCTGTGACATCCACCAAAGGCAAAGTATCTGTCCTTTCCGTTTTCGCGCACTAACAATACGTCGATTGGCGGCAATTCTCCGGCTGTGATTTCATCAACATTTGGACATGTTGAAGAGGCCATTGGTACACCGTTCAGTGTACTGAGCATGGTATCTATCTTGGTGTAATCCAGAACAGGTGGTATCGGCCTTGAAATCTGCGAGAGGGGTAACTCGGTGACCTGGCGAAGGTTTCTAGTTTGAAGCGACATGGTGGTAGTGAAGAGGATTCTTGAACTCTAGTTGTGATGCAGAAACATGAAAAAAAAAACAGGGGACAAGCCAGGCAAACCCCGTATACTTATACTCTTTATCTGATTAATTAACCTTAATCAGCCGCAAAGAGCCTGGAATCTGGGATGGGGTCGTGCATTTGCTGAAATATTTGAGAACTTTTTTGTTCGCCCCCGTGACAAATGGCAGACGTCACCCTCTCCTTTACTGAAGCCTTTGCATCTGTATCTCTTCAACATCCATAACACGGTTGTCTACACCAATACGCCTTTGTTTTTGAGCCAGTTTTCCGGTGCATATGTCTGCTTCTGTTAAAAGGACGTCTGAGACAGACCTGCCTTCTGCCAAGAAGCCACATTCCTCGAGCCCCGGAGCGCCCGCGCGCTCGGGTCCATTGACCCAGGCAGATGTAATTCATTTTAAGAAGCAGGCGATATGGAGATGTCTCAATCAATCCAGGACTCGCGAAAGCCTTGTTTCCAAACAACTGGAGACGTTCCAGAAGGAGAACAAGAAGCTGGCAGTTGCTGTCAGTGTGTTATCTGAGTGGTATGAGCAGATTTACCGAACTTTGGCTGAATTATATGCTGGAAAAGCTTTTGAAAGTCACACAAAACTTTTGGATATTCCACAAGACATAGGTGAATCCTTGCAAGACAAGCTTTCTGCTGGAAGATCGCAGCTACTTGATGTTTTGCAAAAGTTGCCTTTGGTTCCTGAGGAGTTTGATGCCTCCAAGCTGGAGGAACTAAACGATACCATCTCCAATTTGGAAGTAGAAAAAAATTCCGTGTTACTGGAGAACAAGACGCTACAGTCTAACCTTGAAAAACTGGAACAGGAGCTTCTCTCGTTGCTGGGAGAGCAGGATAGGGCTGGGAGTGACTCGTTACAACGCGTCAACGAGACAGCTGTTAAGAAGGAGACGGAAGAGCAAGAAGTTGCCGCTGTTCCATCTACAAAGAGCGAGGAAACGAGCGAGATTACCAGCCAGGAAGTTGAAGATCTCAAACTCAAGGCTGGCGAGCTGGAAGCGGTGAACCAAAAACTGACTACGCAGTTGGATATAGAAATCAAGACTTTGTCGGACTTGAAGCTGAAATACCATGAACTGAACGCCAAAATCCTGAACCTCACAGAAACAGATCTCGAAACGTGTGTTGTTCACCAACAGATTGTGAAGGATAACGAAAGACTCAAGGCTGAGTTGAGCGGGTTGAATCTGAGGTACGAGGAATTGTGCCAGAAGTTGGACTCTCTCAATGCTTCCACCAGCAACTCTGAAGACCAAGAGCATGAATCTGCTGCTACGAAGGAGCTGGCTCGTGTGGAGGGTGATTTGGTAAGAATAAGAACTCAGAGAGACGAGCTTCTGAGCAAAAACTCAGTTCTCGTGGCTCAACAACCGTCTGAAGAGATTGTTGCTGAACTTCAAAACACGATCAAAATTTTGGAACAAAGACTGGCAGACCTTGAACGGGAGAAATCTGTTCTTACAGACGACCTTGACACAGCTGATGCTGAACAGATAAAGAAACAGAACAAGATCCTGGCAGTTGAACTAAAACAGCTAGAAGAAGTCTTCAAGAATACCAAGGATCTGCAGCTGAAGAAGATCAACAAGTACGTGGAGAATGAGCAGATAATTAACAAGCTCACTGTTGAAAGAACCAAGGCCGTGGAGAAGTACTTTGCAACCATGAGGTTGAACGAATCGTTGCAGCAGGAGAACCGAGCCTTGAAGTCGAGCATGTCAAAACAGGGCGAGTTGATAAATACCCTAAAGGAAGTCGAAAAGCAGATCTCTAAGAAGTCGGATACGCTGGAGAAACAGCTTCAGCTACAGTTCAGCTCCATAGAGAGAGGCCTCGTTGCGGAGAACAAGCACCACACCTCCAAGATAGATGCCCTACAGAACAACATCAAGATATTGACCTCGCAAAATCAGTCGGTGACCAAAGATTTGAATAAACTAAGACAGGAGGTCGAACTAGAAAAAGATAAGAACAAGGCGTTGGAACTGGAGTCATCAAAAGTGGGTGCCAAGCTTAAGGAATCCCAGAAGCTGATCACCAAGTACAGAGCAAACGGTCATGGTGTCACGTCTAACGAGGAAGATGACGAGATCAAGCAGGCACTGCTGTCGATGGCCAAATGCTCTCTGTGCAACAAGAACTGGAAGGATACCACATTCAAGACCTGTGGTCATTGTTTCTGCAGCAGTTGTGTCAAGGATCGACTAGATGCCAGAATGAGGAAGTGCCCTTCTTGCAACCATCCCATCTCGGCGTACGACGTGTTGCCGATCCACCTCTAGGGCCGCTGTGGAACCCTTTTGAGATCCTTTTAGGCCCCCAAGTGTATAGATATGTGTGTAATCTTAGTATGAATGATGTGAGTTTCATGAAAATTGAAAATTGAACATCGGTAACAGGGCTCGTACGTCAGCACCTGGTGAAATTTGGAGTGTATTCTTGAAAGCATTGTAACATTGTCATTGTCATTGTCATTGTCATTGGAAATCTTTAGTTGTATCCTTAATTCCACATTTATTCTGTAAGTTTGCTCGTTCTCGTTTCCTAGAAGTCTGGGAACAAATACCCAAATTCATCCTGCAGGTCAGTGACTCCATAATCATAATCCTCTTCTGGATACCTCTCAAACTGAGAAGAATCACCAACTCCACTGGGGATATTGGGCTCATAAGGCGTCTCAATGTTTCCCAAAAGAAGGGTCTCCCATACAACCTCCTTGAACCAAGTGTGGTCCTTGATATCCTCGACTCCATTTTGGAGGTTTCCCAGGCGAAACGTGACGTCTTTCTTGATCAGTCCACCCAGCAATTCAACGGCATCCTTCTGGAAGTGCGCAGGAAACGAGATTTCGCACTTGGTGATATTTTCGTAGGTTTTTATCGGGGACGAGTCATAAAAGGGCGTTATACCGGCAAGCATCTCGTAGATCAGGATGCCAAACGACCACCAATCCACAGCCTTGTTGTACGGCTGAACAGCGATAACTTCCGGCGCAATATAATCAGGAGTTCCACACAGCGTGTAGGTCTTGGAGTCTACCTCCTTTGCAAACCCGAAATCCGTAAGTTTGATGTGGCCAGACCGGGCAAGGAGGATATTCTCAGGCTTGAGGTCCCTATATATGATGTTTTTCGAGTGCAGATACTCCAACGCCAGTAACACCTCGGCTGCATAAAACTTGGCCACCTGATTCGGGAAGGTTCGTGATCTTCTCAAGAGAGAAAATAGCTCCCCGCCCTCTATATAGTCCATTATCAGAAAGATCGACTTGCAATCCTGGAAGGTGCCCCACATCCGGGTGATGAAAGGGTGCTGTAAAACTGACAAAATCCTCCTCTCATCATTTGTATGTTCCACCTGCTTCGCCTTGACCACTTGCCGCTTCCTAAAAACTTTCATGGCATAAAAGCGGCCGTTGTGTACAGACCTCACTAGATGAACCCGGCCAAAGGAACCAGTCCCCAGCGTCCGTATCAGCTGGAAATCGTTTATCGAATAGCGTCCTTTGGTGACCCTCGTGGGAAGATTCGTATGCACCGGCTGCAATTGTTGCTGCGGCTGTGGTTCCTCCAACAATTGGGATGTTGGCATGGTTGATTGAGTAGATGATGATAACACAGGGGGCGTGACTAACTGGCTCAGCCTGCTTTGATAATCCTGCTGCTGTCGATCAAACTGCTCCTGTAACGACATCTTATTTGACATGATTGGTCTGTGAAGCTTGGTATGCCTGAACTATGTCGATCGTCCGAGGTAATGAGCAGCCTTCAATTTAGTCCCAAAATCGGCTGAAGGGCCGTTTTCGTGGAAAAAAACGGTTTTTCCTTTCTTTTTCTGGAAGTGCCCCACACAATCTTTATCAACACTTGCAAATCAACGCTGAGGCTTGTCGGAGAAATAATTATGTCAAAGTACGCCACTTGTGAGACTGCCTTGTGTCCAATATTTTTTCAATGGGAGCAGCTGCATCAAAGTCTAGGGTGTTGCCCAAGTCGTCTGTTGGCAGTGCGGTCAAGCAGATGAAGCCGGGTTCCCAAGCTCCTGTGCCCAGTGGGCAGCCGAAGGACGAGGACTTCCTTTCAAAAGCAATCTCCCTTGGAATTGTCCAGGTCGAGTCCAAACCCCAAATAATCAATAAGACGCACAAGTCTGTGACCAATCTCGAAAACAGGCGGAAACTTGAGGAAGAACACGATGCCTTGATCGGAAAAGTCAAGGCGAATCAGAACCTACGCTCGTTTGGCAAAGAGACCGAAACAGCAGAGAAGCCAAGTCAGGCTCCTATCCCCAGAAGCACCCTTCAGAAGTATGTGAATACTGAGCAATTAACGTCGATGCTCCAAGACGCTGAAGATTTGAAAGTGGGTGATTTTAGCAAGAAGTACAACTTAGAGCCTGGATTTGTGCGGACCAACCTGATCCCGATATTCAACAGGAGGATAAGATTGCCCACACTGAGGGCAGAGCTTCCAGATGATTGGGAGACTCACCAGACGAATTTCTCCGTGAGAAGGATCAGGAAAGGAGAGTACAATCTCGAGAATAACCAGCAATCGTTCCAGACCAAAGGTAATCCTTTGCTTTCCACTATAGACCAGGAGGCTGACTCTACGGATATGTCACAGACCCTCGATACCACGCTGATGAACATGTTGGATAACGGAGAAAGGGTGGACCATTTCAAGGGTCATGGTATCAACGGGCCTGTCAAGTCAGATGAGTTTAAGAGAGGTAAGAGACTGCAATCGCAGATCAAAGAAGTTAAAAGGGTTATATAGTGTGATTATTCGTCCGACATTAGTACATAGCTGAGACCAATCAATGAGATTCCCAAACATGCCCATGTCAAAACCTTGCTCTGAGAGCCGCCGAATGCGATGGAGGAAGAGAGCATCTGGAACCCGATAATGGTGAGGAATCCAGATGTCACGCACATTAAAGAACCAAAAATCATCAAATTCTTGGGATCATCGAGGTTCAGGAACTTCCCGCGGAAAATGAGGTATGAGCACAAAGCACCCACCGGCTGAGCTAGACCACCTAGCAGGCCCACTATTAATATTGCCTTCACTCTTGAATCGAGTGCAATGTAAAGAGGAAGGGCCATGGTGAAACCCTCCACGAAATTGTGGATAAACATTGACAGAAAAATAGACAATCCAGTCTGCTCATCTGCATTTGATGTGGAATACACGATGAATCCTTCTGGGAACTTGTGGAGTGTTAATGCCAGAACTGTCTGAAGACCTATTGATAGCAATCTTGACAAGGGTGTGGTTATATGGTGGTGATGGTCTTCCTCTTCATCATCTCTGTCTGCTTCGTCCCCTTTATATGTGGCTTCATCCGGTGATAATGATCTAGCCTCGGAAATTGGGGGTTCATTCGTGATCAGCGGTGACTTCACCGTCATGTTTGGATGTGTTAACGAGATCACTGACGATGATCTGATCAACTTGCTAGCAGTAAAAAAAAGATGGTTCTCAGATTGTGGCAACTCTGTGTAATGCAAAGCCTTCGTTGTTTCTATCTGAACAGGTACTTCTTCATTGTGAACGTCCTCAAAGGTATGTTGCTTGCATACACAAACTCCGTTTGGAAGATGACAGCTTTCGATGGAATTATATCCGTAGCACTTTCCTGCCAGCTTTGAGCCTCTCAGAGCCCTTAATGAACGATCAAATATGGATTCGCGTCTCTCAAGGGATCCTGGTAGCAAAGGATCGATCTCCGTAGGCACCGATATCTTTCCCTGGTGTGAGTGTGAGTGAGAGTGCGGTTCTTCATCCACATGAGAGTCTGAGTGCGAATGTGAGTGCGAGTGTGAATGACCAGGGGAGTGAGATTCAGAATGAGAACGTGGATGGTGCTCATGAGTCTCAGGACTATCGCGGGAGGCTCCAAGACGTGCCTCCAAGTCCTGGTGATCGCCATGATTGTGCTCGTGATCGTGGTGATGCGCATCACCATGTACGCAATGAACTATACTTTCTGAAGTCATGAAGTGAACAAACGTGTTCAGCCCTGCGCTCAAAAGTATCCCCAAAAGATAAAACCCCATAACATGTGCCATTAATGAGTGCTTTCCTTCTACCAAAGCAGGCACTCGTTCAAAATAATCTTGCCCCGAAGGCAACAATTTGTACATCGAGGTAAACAAGAGGCATCCACCCGATAGTGCTAACGAATTGATCAAAAAAGAGGAGTTATCGGATATAGTAAAAGGATGTGCCTTTGAATAGCTCGGCAGCAGCTTCGCGTATAGAACATCAAGCGATATCACCAAACATCCCAACACGGTTATGAGTGATGATAAGATCACCAGAAGCCATCCTTCACTTATATACATCACTTTTCAATAATATGGATCAGAGTATGGACTTTCAAGGCAAGAAGTGCCTGTGTAAGATAAGTACCCTGGTGGCTGTTACTGGTGATGAGACAAGACGAAAACAGATGGATCCTTGGATATTATTGGACAGAAATCCTGTAAATTCAGATGGAATATCAGATGTTCAGTTAAATAGCTTATGCAAATGTCTAGTGTTGTAAGAGAACACCAAATAGAAGGTTGAACGAATGGCTATAAGATACACGCCAACGTCTTGTTCTAAACCCTTCTTTGGATGAATGTGAATTGAGTGCCCCACCCAAATTGACGCCTCACATCAATCTCTTGCGTCTGGGGAATTCATATACAGCAGAGCCAATCAAGGACAAAATCACGAAAATAATACAGGTGACTCCGTAGATGGCACCCAGAACTCTGAAGGACTCCATTCCAGATGCTCTGTAAACCTCGCTGAGACCCAGAGACATTGCACCGATAGGGAACGGCATGGGCCACCAGCTCTTGGAGAACGGCGCCCATCCATGGTAGAACCAAACTGCGAAGGCCAGAAAGGTAAGGAAGAACCCGAATCCGAGGAAGAAAATTCCTATGGGAAAAGATATAATTTTCAACACCATCCCAATGACAGCTTTCTGGTCCAGATCCGTGTATTCCACGATATAATCATTGGCATTAATACCTTGCAGTAGGATACCCCAGGAAGCGTGGCCAATGAGTCCGATGGGAGCAAACACCGAGAAAATTGCGGGCTTGGGTGGAAGCTTGGACGTCAAAAGCTTCCAGAAGAAGATTCCAATGAAGCATGAACCAATGAAAACGGCAATGGACCAAAGCAGAAAACTCACCACGATGGTCAGCAGCTTCAACCTAGCGTTGGGAAGATTAGACACTATGAGAGCACCAGACGAGGCACTCACACTCAGAGGTAAAACTGGCAGTATTAGAGACGCCTGCAGAGTGTGATAGTCCAGTTTTGATTTCGCGAATAATTGGAAGATGACTGCCCAGCTTATGACCACTGCCAAAGCAACGTTAATCCACCATAGTACGAACGTTCCTATAGGCCAATGCTCCTGTGAGATGAAATGCACCATATTCACTATTGTAGAGAATCCCATGGAGTAAGGCCCGAGGAACACGTTCAGGCTCGGATCTGTGAGTAGCGGCCAATCTGGTTCTTTCCAAAGTCTCCAGGGTGTGAGGATGGTCACGATGAAAAAAAGCAGTAATGAGATTCCCCACATTATGTAACCGCATATCCGTAGCCATTCCGCAGGATAAGGAAAATTGTACAATATGCACGCTGTAATACCGGTGGCCATGAACGCAACATTCCATATTGGATGAAATTCATTGACATACAATTCGTGAAACGTGTTGTGAAGAGGCTTTTCGTGTCTTCTGCCTTCGAGGTCTGGTCCAAGTGAAGGCTCTTTGGGATGTGTACTGCTAATTGACATTTCGGTAGATTCTATAATTTTGTGTGAGCAACAGCCATGAGATGTTCAGTATTCTGCTGAAGATCCGATATTTATGTTCTCGGAGGAACTGTGAAGAAATTTTAAGATGAAGGTGATTATGCAGAGTCATATATGGGCTACCATCATCGGGCCGTAGACTACATGCGGAGTACGATCAATTCGGGCTGTGCTGGTGATAGTGGCCCATTTGGGTTAGAAAGGTGAAATTTTGGGATAGCAATCTTTAACTAGAAAATAGAAATAATTAAGCGAGTAGTTTATGGTTCTGAAAAATTAATCCCTGAATTTGTTTGAGTATGGCTTTGCGGTAAGCGGATGGATATGGTGTACCGTCGGTTAGTTATAATGATCGCTAGAAGGTGGAAGGTGACGTGATGAGGCGGAAATCACTTTTTAGGTCCAGCCAATTTTACACTCAAGAAGAAAAGTTACACAGTCTCAGGATAATAGTATGCTACTGAAACAAAACAAGTTATTATTCGCTGAAACGCTTTATTATTCCTGATCCTGGAAGAAGTGAGCATCTCTACGGGTGGTACTCTGAAGAACACCTACTGGACCAGTCAAGACACTATTTGTTTTCCGCAAAATGGCCACATAGAAGGAAAGCGCCATTGGAAAATACAGCCAGAAGCGAATATCGCAAAATTAGAACCTCAATCAATCCAGAAATCATGCTAATCAAACAAATAACCGATCAATTAACATGTTTTCTGGCGATTCTCCGTGTACATCTGATACTCGCTCGGGTGTAAATATGAGACCGGGAGTTTTCACCATCGAAATCAGTCGGTGGTAACAAGAGTTCAAACCTAAACTTATCAACCCAAGTCAAATCACAAATAATGAGAGGTACCACTAAGACAGCTGCTTCTGGACTCTACCGGACTCAGCGGATGTTTCTCTCGACAATGGAGACTTCCGTTGGCCGCAAAGTCAACGAGTTTCTTTTGTTTCACAATACGCCAAAGAAGCTCAAGTCCTTGGTGTACAGGGCCAAGAATGCTACCAATTTACTGGCTCAGAATTTGATCACCTCGGAAGGAGAGCCCATTGTTCCCAGAAGCCCGGTACAACCTATTTCCGAAAACGATATCATCCAGTGGATAAGAGAGTCTGAGGACTACGACGACCTTTTGAAGGTGAAGAGCAAACTCCCATTGTTTCCAACCACGGGTACGACCTCCAGATTGACCCCAAATGCCACAAATGAGTTTTTATTCCGGTCTGTGGAGCTTCAGAGGTTGCCTCATGGATTGGCAACTTTCTACAGTCTCAGTGGTTTCAAGGGTAAGGTGGGACCCAGGTCGCTACATGCCATATATCTTCTGGAGTACATCAAGCTGTTGAAAACAGGAAATCCAAGTTGTTATGAGAGACTTGAGAGTAAGCTCCAGGGACCCCTCAAACATACTGGAGAGCAGGTAATCTCCCACAAAAACGGTCTTTTTCACACAGCCATTGCTACGTGCAAGCTGAGATATCTTGCGAACGACGAATACAAGGACCAGGAATTGCTGAAAGAAGTGCTTAAAGAAGTGGAAAATGTGAAAGCTCCCCATTCCGTCAAAGATGTCCTGGAATCTGGTGATTTGAAGGCAATCGAACACACACTGAAGGCGAACCAGGTGCTCCACGGAGTGTTCACCGCTTTGGTAGAATCAATTGAAGCGGCTCCATTGGCTGCAAACATTCCTGCTGCTACTATTGAGGAAATAAAGGCTTATCTTGCGGATGTAAAGCTTTTGGCTGAGAAGTCCGGAGAGCAGCTTCTCATAGAAAGACTCAAGGAGAACGCCCAGTTCAAGAAAATCGAGGCTGACGCCGAGGCTGAAATCCCCGAAGAAGCATCAGAGACTGACACTGCAGAATCCAAGTGATCTGCTAAACTGTATATAACCAGTGTAAGCATATATGTATATATTTCACTTGAACCGCAAAGGAAATAAAATTCACCGCTTGCTCGGGTCGGTACACTACTTGCAAACATCCGGGCCCCGGCTTAGATGCCGACTTCAAGACTACAACAAAGTCCGTTTGCAGTTTCACAGTCATTCGTGGGGCTTCAATTTTATTCTTGGTGCCAAGTATATTGTTTGTATTTGGTGATAATAGAGCCTTGAGCAATCTGCCACAGATTTTTAGTTGGCCATTGCCTTAATCGCGGCTACTTTATTCTCTGTTGTAAAGGGATCAGCACTTGCCACAAAAATCACAACCTCTAAACATGGTTGCACTCAGAAGAAGGAGAGAAGAGCCCGAGGATCAGTTTGATTCCGGTTCATCTTCAGAATCCGAGGAGGTGGTTGTTTCGACCGAAAAGTCCAGAAGACCTGCTGAGAATGCGTTTAGACAGCAGAGGTTGAAAGCCTACCATCCGATTCTCACACCCAAGACCATCATACCCCTGTTACTGGGGTTGGCCGTGATCTTCATCCCTCTGGGAGGAGGAATGCTGTATGGATCGCGCCAAATTGAAGAAATGGTGATCGATTACACACAGTGTGAGAATCTTGCCTCGTCTGACTATTACTCGGAGATTCCAGTTGAATATGTCAAAACGGAGTTTCACAAAAATGCCTCTATTAATGCACAATGGAAGTATGCCACAGATGAGTCGCAGACTTTTGAGGACGAAAGAGGACTTTGCAAGATCCAGTTCACCACTCCTAATGATATTGGTTCTCCGGTGTTTATGTACTACAAGCTGAAAAACTTTTACGCCAACCACCGTCGTTATGTGCAATCTTTCAGCGAGGACCAACTGAATGGAAAAGCCGCCAGCACCGACAAAATTAAGAACAATGCGGGTCAAAATTGCAAGCCACTCTCAACAAATCACGAGGGGAAGAAATACTACCCATGTGGCTTGATTGCCAATTCTCTGTTCAACGACACATTTTCCAGTCCTTTGGCAAAGAACGGGACATCCAAGGACTATTCCATGACCAATGAGGGAATCGCATGGTCCTCGGACAAAGACAGGTTTAAGAAGACCAAGTACAACGTTTCCGAGATCGTCCCTCCTCCCAACTGGTACAAGAAGTATCCTAACGGATACACTGAAGACAACTTGCCGGATATATCAACTTGGGAAGAGCTACAAAACTGGATGCATCCTTCGGCTCTTCCTCTGTTTTCCAAGCTCGTGCTCAGAAATGACGTTAGCGCAATGCCCGCTGGAACCTACGAGGTCACCATCGGATTGCATTTCCCCGTTACCGATTATAATGGCCACAAGTACCTGTACATCTCCACAAGATCGGTCATTGGAAGCAAAAACTCCTTTCTGGGAATTGCGTGGATCGTTGGAGGCGGAATCTGTTTGATACTGTCGATGGTGTTCCTGATTGTGAATATGGTTCATCCGAGAAAGACCGGTGATCTGAGCATGTTGAGTTGGAATAAGCAACCTGAAGAGCACCGAGACTAGTCACAAGATTAGTCATCTGATTCACGTGTATTTCCTACTTATTTTTGTATAACCTTGAGTTTGATACCTGTTAGAATATATATAATAAATTCATAGCAGCAATATGAGACTCACACGACCTCCTAACTGGCCCGATGAGATGGGCTTGATTTGTTTTGGTTCGCGGCGTTTTGTTCGTATTAAATTGATAGGTGTCAATCTGACGAGAATTTTGATACACTATTCTCAGGGCATCTTGACTTAAAAGCCTAGTTGAAACATTTTCGCCGTTTCAAGTTCATTTATCAAGGTACTGGTGTTGCATTATAGTTTAACCAATGAGCCTAGATCATGGCCTTCAACTTGACACCATCCCGCCATGGTCAACCGCGCGTCGTGGATACAATATCGTTCAAGAACAGATACACATTCAAGGAAGTCATTGGGAAGGGAGCATTTGCAATTGTGTACAAGGCATATGACACTGTTTCAAAGGAAAACATTGCGGTGAAGCAGGTTGAGCTTCAAGACAAGGAGAGCATGGAGTCGCTGACGAGTGAAATCAACCTTTTGACTGTTCTCAACCACAAGAATATTGTGAAATATATGGGGTTTGATCGAACACATACCACTTTGAATATTTTGCTTGAGTTTTGTTCGGGTGGGTCTTTGAGGGACATGTACATACGACGTGGATGTGGACTGGATGAAGCCGAAATACTGCGTTATACGAGGGAAATGCTGGAAGGATTACAATATCTCCACCACCAAGGAATTGTGCATAGAGATGTGAAGGCTGCCAATGTGTTGCTTCATAAAAGTGGTTCTATCAAGCTGGCTGACTTCGGAGTTTCTTCACGCGTGGAGCACCTTGCAGACTCCAAAACCAGCGGATCGCCTTATTGGATGGCCCCCGAAATAATTAGACTTCAAGGCGCTTCTACTGCATCTGACATCTGGTCTGTGGGGGCCACTGTGGTAGAGCTGGCCACTACGGTTCCTCCGTTTGGGGAACGACCAGCTTTGGCAGCGTGTCATGCTATTGTGACGGAGGATGTTCCTCCAATTCCAGATTCTCTAAGCAATTATGGCCGGGATTTTGTTCTGCAGTGCTTTCAGAAAACACCGCAGCTTAGATACTCCGCTAAACGTTTGCTTAAGCATAATTGGTTTCGAGAATCCAAATCAAAGGGATCTACTGCAGTCCTCCACAAAACTGTAAAGCCCAATTTGAGGTTTTCAGACTTTGCAGAATCGGATGAAGAATGGGATAAAGACTTCGAGGGGTTGCTTGATAACAAAGCTTTCGCATTGAAAATGGCATCTAAGGGTGACAAACAGAAGCAAGCTCCCGTCAACGATGAAAACATTGGCATTAACCATCCAAATGATAGGGACCATCTTATAGGAAACTCTTCTCCCTACAAAGACCACGATGAGGATCAAGAAGATGGTTTTGTGGGCATTTTGGATGTGTCGAAATTGAAGATAACACAGAAAATGGATATGGCACGTTATCCTCAACAGGATAACTTTGCATCAGCTTCTCAGAACTCCGAATTTGTCGATGTGGACACAGGTGTCTCAGCCAAAGTAGGAGAGTCTCAAGACGATCCTTTCAGTAGTTTTGACAGGGAAATATCCGAGCCAGAGGTATCACCAACGAATATAGAGGTCCAGAGACAATTAAGAAAGATCATGATCGGTGACAAGAGTATAGCCAAGAGGATCCGCAAACTTCACCACCTCATAGAGAAGAGTCTTCAAGAGGCTATGAAGGGTATTCTCCAATCTCCCATGGCCATTATTCACCTGAGAGCCATTTTGGAATACCCTGAAACGCAGATCTCGCCGTCCACGAGATTGCATTTGGTTTACGTTCTGGTAGCCGTGTTTCAGCAAAATCAGGACGAGCTGAAAAAGTTTTGCCTCGTTGGAGGTCTGCCTGTGATGTTCTCCTTATATCCAAATAGGGCTTTCACGGGCCTCGTTGTGACGTTTGGAAAACTCTTAGTTGGTCACTCAGATCTGCTGAAGATGTTGGTATCAAGCAATTGTCTGACGTATATAACACGGTTTTTTGAGGAGGACATTTCATCGCCGCCTCAAGGCCCACTTGTCTGCATCGACTTAATTCTTGAATTGCTGGAGTCTGAATATCACTATGTACGGGATTATGTTGCCAATTGTGTGTCAGCTTCGAGCATTCCGTCTTTTTTCGCTGTCTACCTGGAGTTCTTGGACGCCAAGGGCAACACAGAGTATGTGGGAAAGCTCATAAAAATGTTTTCATCACTTATTCAGGTAAACCACCAAGCAAAAGAAGCTCTTGCGGATGAGGAAGTGTTCACTGGAATTATATGGAACGTCCACAAACTCTCCACGGATGATCAAACTAAGGTAATACGTCTGCTGAATGCATACTCGACCAGCCCAACAGCCCAGCTGAAGATGAAATCTTCTCCACAATGTTCAAACATGCTAGTGAAACTTCTGGAGACATTTGGAGATGGCCACACAGGTGCTGTCTATTCGTTATTGCAATTGCTATACAATTACTGTCATGCAGATGCTGACGCGATAGAGGATCTACTGCGTGGTGGGATTACCAAAGGATTGCAGAAAGTTCTGAAACAGGACAGCGTGCCTTGCAAGGAAAGCACTATTCCACTGGTGTGCGAGATCATCAGTACTTCATCTTTGGCCAGACAAGAATTCATCAAAACCGGACTGTACGTTCAAGTATTCGCTATTCTCATAGATCCAATCTACCAAATCAACGTGCTTGACGCCCTAGTGATCTGGATAGCGGATACGGGCGTCTCCAGCGCAATTGAATCTCGTTTGGTACAGGAAATATACTATTTAGTGGAGGGTTTGGAGCTGCCATTCATCTCTAACTATGACATAAACCTGGAGAAGGTGCTGACTCTGTTGTCCTACAAAGACATAAATGTGACTCTGTTCCGTACACAATTGACTCGTCACTGGTTCGCGATGTTCCGGGAAGCCAAACCCGCAGTCCAAATCGCACTCCTCAAGTGCCTCAGGGCGCTAATATTGGCCCAATTGGGCGAGCCCAGAGATGAGCTGTTGGTGAAAGAATTTAAGATTGAATGGAACAAGTTGAAAGGCTACACACACGATTCTGTGATTGTGTCACAAATAATACAAAGCGTAGCAATATGAATATAATCAAATCCCTTGTACAGAATGTAGCTAATCCTCCATTGCACAACCGTTTGCGCGATCATCTTATCGGCGGGCAACATCGCATATTCTCTTTCCGAATGCGGGAATTAGCGTCCTGCCGATTCTTATCACGGCGCGCATATGACTCCCTATTAGGAGTACCTTCACAATTAATGGCTGTCAGAGTAAATATATAAATGGGAGATCCGGCTCTGGCTCGTGTTTTCAATTGCGGTGAGAAGTCGCGATTTTTTATTGCTAACAGACCCATCAAAGACATTTTGAGATCTGCACCTTCACTATGACCGTTGACGCACCAGCTAAATACGTCTTCCAGGCAAAGGTTGGCGAGGCCTACCCAAAAGCTGTTGCGAGTAAAGGCAACTACATCACTGTTGAGGATCCGGCCACCAAGGAGACAAAAGTTTTGCTCGATGCCATGACTGGTGCTGCAGTGGGTGCCCTTGGACACGGTGATGCAGAGATTGTCGAGGAGATGAAGAAAGCTGCAGCCAACTCCACCTATACTTACGGTGCTTATTATTCCAACTATGCGGCCGAGGAACTCGCCAAGTTTATTGTGGACCATTCTCCTTCGGGTGCATTTGCAGCTGCATTGTTCACCGGATCTGGATCTGAGGCTAATGAGAATGCAATGAAGATCTGCTACCAGTACCACCTGGAGAAAAACGAGCCTCAAAGAGTCAAGTTTATTGGAAGAAAGCAGGCCTACCACGGTTATACCATTGGATCGCTTTCATTGGGACATGGACCTCGTAGAACAATTTTTCAAGAAATTTTGTGCAAGGACGAGAACTTTCCAAAGGTGTCCCAGTGCTACCCATACAGAAACATGAAGGAAGGCGAGACCGTTGCCGAATACTCAGCCAGATTGGTGCAGGAATTAGACGACACTTTTGTTGCTAATGGTCCCGAGACTGTTGGAGGTGTGATCATGGAGACAGTTGGTGGATCTACCTTTGGAACCAGTCCACCTGTTCCAGGCTACCTTGACGGAGTCAAGAAGGTGTGCGAGAAGTACGGTGCCTTGCTCATCATTGACGAAGTGATGTGTGGTATGGGTCGTTGTGGAACTTTGCACGCTTGGGAACAGTTCATGGACAATTCTAACGGACCAGACCTGCAGTCTATTGGTAAGACCCTAGGATCTGGGTTCGTGACCTTGGCCGGTTTGTTGATTTCGCCAAAGGTTAAGAAGGTTTACGATGAAGGCTCTGGTTTTATTGCTGGAGCTCAGACATACCATTGTCACGACTTTAACTGTAAGGTTGGCCTTGCTGTGCAAAAAAAGGTTGCTCGTGATAACCTGGTTGCCAATGTCAAGGAGACAGGTACCTACATGGCCGATGGTTTCAAGAAGGCTCTTGCCGAGTCCAAGATTGTCGGTGACATTAGAGGTGTGGGCACTTTCTGGTCCATCGAGTTTGTCAAGGACAAAGCGACCAAAGAGCCTTTTGATCCCAAGCTGGATGTTGGACATATGATCCAGGATCTGTGCACTAAGAATGGAATTACCTCCATGGGAATGCAGGGCACCATCGATGGAAAGAATGGTGACCATATCACGGTTGCTCCAGCATTCATCTTTACCAAGGAAGATGCCGATATCATTATTAAGGCCATGGTTGATGCCGTGACTGAGGCCGAATCAATCCTGCTGGCATGATTTTGTGACTATTTTGGATTTTTTAGACTGTTTTGAGGGCGTTATCGAGTATGTATAGGATATAAACAGTTAAATTGCGTTTGAACACTACATGTAGAGCTGATGTAACATATATCAAGACGTGTTCAATATTTTCTTTGATACCTGTTCTAGTTTTAGTTTATTAGGAGTTCTAGCGTAAGGTTTGTTATCGTCAAGAGCCGCATGTATCGGTGCATAAATTGCTGCACCATAGTTGGACATAATGCATGGCGGAAATCGACAAACCCTTAGCTAAAAAAACAAAAAAATTTCATATCATTTTCATTCGAAAAATAAAACAGAAGGGCTAATTATCGGACGGTCCCTTGAAGTTCTATCTCACACCAACTATATTTGTATCAAGAGTGTAGGTATGAATATTGCTGGATGCTCTGACTGAGCCAATTATGCTGGTCTGCTTCAAGGATGAAACAGAATGATCAGGCTAATTATCTTGATTAATTCTGGAGTCCTTGAGTCCCAAGCTTGTCCAAAATTTGGTCTGCGCCGGCACTTAGTTCGGGATGTCTATCTAAATACACCCTCACCCTATCTGGGAAGCTGGTCCCATTCCAAGTATCATCCTCCAATTCTGGCATTCCAATCTGCTCAATGGCAGCTCCACTTGCAATATTGGCAGCAACACATGAAACTTTCCAGTCCCCTTGGGAAAGAACGTATGCAGTGGCAAGAGCACCAATGAATGTGTTACCACCACCAGTGGGATCTATCACTTTATAGTCATTTGCGGCAGCATCCGAATGGTAAGCGGGGAACCATTCGCGAAACCCTGAACGGCTGACAGCAAAGCATCCCAAGGCTCCACATCTCAGAACAACACCAGCGTTTTTGTTCTTGGTCATATATGGCAGAAACCTATCTGCTATGGTCTCTATAGATAAATGGTCTGTGGGCTCTTCAAGTCCGAAGAACGCCGCAGCCTCTTGGGCATTCGGGGAGAGTATATCCACCTCTTTGAGGATGTTCAAACACCGAGGTAAGGTCTGTGGGTTGCAGTCATCCGGAATAGGCTCCCACACTATCACTGGTTCTTCTGGTCTCAACGGGCGCAGCTTGCCAAGAATCTCGGTACACCTTTCAGGAGAGCAAAGTAAGTGATAAGATTTTGAATGCAACAAATTGCTGTGCTTTATTATATCAGGAACGTCAATTCGCAGTTTCGGCGTCAAATACTTAAACGATCTGAGATCGTTGTCTCCATACATGTTCCAACCACGAGAACATTGACGCTGCGAGTTGTACCTCATAATAACCCCAGTATTCCAGCTTTGAAGCACTCCAAGCATTTGCTGTGGGAAGTCATTGCCGATATCAAGAATCCAACCTGCTCTAAGAGAGTTCTGCTTCGTCAGAACCATCCTCGATCCGAGAATACTGAACGTTCCACCTCCTCCAATAACATTGTACTGCGATGGCTTGTTCGGAAAGTGGATTTCGTCAATTATAAACATCCCCATCGATGCAAATACCGCATCAGGATAGCTCTTTTCGTCATACGGATTTGGCATCTCGAGGCATGCGAAAAGAGTATTTTGCTTGTGCTTCCAAGATCGAATCTCCCTTCTTTACTTCACAGCCTTATCAGTTAACGTGTGAAACTCAATCCAGGTAATCTGGAGATTTTTCCTGAACCTTATAAGCTTTATATGTGGGCTGTTTGTGGCATAAAATCACAGTACTTATTTTATTTATTTGGTAGCTTTTTTGACTTTTCAAACTGAAGGTACCTTGTTACTATGCAAGATCCGTTTGACCAAAAGAAATCTCAGATATTGAAAGATATCTACGACTCAGAAGGACCTGATGCGTCACCTAAAGGAACAATCGATGAACTGTGTATTCCTATAATGGAACTTATCAACACTAATAAGGACATGGTTACGACATCTTCATGTTCGGGGAGAGTGAGCGTTTTTGTGGAAGGTTCGAAAGGAGATTACCAGGATAAAAACGGTGTCAAGATTGGAGCCAAAGGTGATGGCGGCCATTGGTTATTTGTGACCCATGACGAAAATGAGGTTCCCAATTGGTGGATAGACAAAAGCTTGGTCTTTAATACTTCAGCAGCTACTCGTGAGGGCCTAAGGGATGATACGAGGTATATCCTGTACAAGTTCGAACCTTTGATTCTACATGTGAAATGTCGCAATCGGGAAACGGCACAAAAACTCTACACAACGGCCATGGGATGTGGATTTCGAGAGTCAGGAATTGGGACCAACAATCTAGTGGGAATAAGAATATCGATAAAACTAGATGTGCCTATTGGCCTCTATGATGCGTCAACTGAGAAATGTCACATGTTCATGGCGGAGGATTACTTGAGCGTGTTGACGAAACTGTCATTGGATAGGTTCAAGGAGAACAGGAGGAAGTTACAGCAGCTATACGATGCCATAGAGCACTCGTTGAAAGAAGATTCTCCCACCAAGAAAGAGTCAAAACAGGAGAGGGCCAACCGGATGATGGAAGAGGGATTGGCAAGAAGAGAAACCGTCAGGTTGAGAAAGCAACAGGAGAAAGAGTTGAAACAGAAACTTGCTGATGCTGCTGTGTCTAACTGAAACCACCTCTATATACTGTAGATGAAATGAAATGACCCTAATCACGAGAAATACAAAAGAAAGCGTCACTCTATGTATATGCGGCCCCATTTAGTTAGTACACTAATTTGCACTGAAGCCCTGGTCATATTTTTTCGCCTGTTCAACATCTCCAGATGAGTCAAAGAACGACATAATCTCTCTTCAAACCATAAAACAAAACAATGTCTGAAGAGGAACTCAGCAAAAAGGTCGAGGAAGTGTCAATCTCAGACTCTGCAAGTGAGGTCGTTTTGGGAGAGGATGGTCTTCCTCTCTCCAAGAAGGCTTTGAAGAAGCTGGAGAAGGAGAGAGAAAAGGAGAGAAAGAAGGCAGAAACCGCAGCTCGTGTCGCAAAAGAACAGGCAGCTAAAGCGGCTAAGTCGGCTAACGATCCAGCTAAGGCTAACTATGGAAAACTACCATTGAACCAATCTTCCACCAAAACTGGTATTCCAAGGGTGAAGTTCCATACTCTGTCTGCTGCTGACGATGGAAAAGAAGTCGTATTCAGAGCACGTGTCCATACATCTCGTCAACAAGGTGCCTCCATTGTGTTCTTATCGTTCCGTCAACAGTCAGATTTGATCCAGGGTCTTTTGAAGGCTGAAGGTGACTCTGTTTCCAAGCAGATGATCAAATGGGCAGGTTCTTTGAATCTGGAATCCATTGTCTTGGTCCATGGTGTGGTCAGAAAGGTCGACGAAGAGATCAAGTCGGCTACTGTCAAAGATGCTGAGATTTTTATCACGAAAATCTTCACGATTTCGGAGACTCCAGAGCAGCTGCCTCTTCTGATCGAGGATGCTTCCAGATCGCAGGCTGAGGCCGAGGCCTTGAGCTTGCCAGTCGTTAACCTCGACACCAGACTTGATGCCAGAGTTATCGACTTGAGAACTGTCACCAACCAGGCAATCTTCAAGATCCAGTCTGGTGTTTGTCTGCTTTTCAGAGAGTTCCTGATTGCCCGTGGCTTTACTGAGATCCACACCCCAAAGCTGATTGGTTCTGCTTCTGAAGGAGGATCCAATGTGTTTGAGGTTTCTTACTTCAAGACGAAAGCTTACTTGGCCCAATCTCCTCAGTTCTACAAGCAACAGCTAATTGCTGCCGACTTCGAGAGAGTGTTTGAAATTGCTCCTATTTTCAGAGCTGAGAACTCTTTCACTCACCGTCACATGACCGAGTTTGTTGGTCTTGATCTGGAAATGGCCATTGAAGAACATTACGACGAGACTGTTGATCTGTTGGCTGACCTGTTTGTGTTCATCTTCAGTCAACTGAAGACCAGATACGCTAAGGAGATTGCCGTTGTCCGCAAGCAATTCCCAGTTGAAGAATTCAAGGTTCCGGCTTCCGGAGAAATGGTTAGAATACCATTCAAGGAGGGTATCAAGATGCTGAGAGAGGCCGGTAAGGATGTCGATGACTTTGAGGATCTCAACACCGAGAACGAGAAGTTTCTCGGAAAGCTGGTGCGTGAGAAGTACGACACCGACTTTTATATCTTGGACAAGTTCCCACTAGCTGTGAGACCAGCCTACACTATGCCTGATGCCGAGGACCCAAGATACTCAAATTCTTATGACTTTTTCATGAGAGGAGAGGAGATTCTTTCTGGTGCTCAGCGTGTTCACGACGCTGATCTATTGGTTGAGAGATTCAAGGCTTTGGACATCGACCCTACTCAACCAGGTCTTGATGACTACGTTGAGTCCTTCAGATACGGCTGTCCTCCTCACGCCGGTGGTGGAATCGGTCTTGAGCGTGTCGTTATGTTTTTCTTGGACCTCAAGAACATTCGTCGTGCCTCGTTGTTCCCACGTGACCCAAAGCGTCTTCATCCATAGTTTCGACCGTTATAATTGATGTCGTGAAATGTATATTGCATTATACTGATCTGTATCGGATCGTACATGAAAAAGTAGTGTTTTCACTAAAGTAGTGCAAAATCAAAATAACCATGTTTTTCCGTTGTGGCGCATGGATCACGGTGGCTTGACTGCCTCATGAGTCGGGTCAAAGATATTCCATATTCCTCGCGAAGCCAGGGGCCTACCCCTCCTAGGTTGCCCCTCTTCTATTACCCCTCCATTACCGTTGAACATGGGGTGTGGGTTGATGTATAAAGCCTGTAGTTAATCCGGGTCCCTGAGAACCTGGTGTTCTTTACATTGTAAACCTGGATTTCCGAGTATTTGACCACGGAAAAAACGGTAAACTTGGCAATGATAGGACGCATTTTAGGATGAAGACCCGGGAAACTCTACGGCAAGGTCCCGGACAATTACCGCCGTAAGTTCGGGCGATCAACCCCAGTATGAATTTCTTTGCTAGATTTTGCTTGCAAACCCTAGCCTCAGCGGCTGCCAAGTGGCCATTTTTCCACGGCCCTTCCCCTATTGAGTAGGCCGAAGCCTCCGATAAGTGAAAATATCCCTGGTTTTGACTTGCCGCTTTGGGTGCGCTGTGGCGAGGATTAGTCGACCTGCGCCGGCTATATATGAAGGGCATTCCTTTTTCCAGCGCAGAAACTATTTTGCATTTTTCCGTTCTCCTGAGATCATTAAACTAGCAAAAAAAATGACCGTCGGTGTGAATTACCCAGAAGAGTTCGCAGGATACGCAGTCCACGATGTCAAAGAGTGGAATCACCCCAAGTACACTGCCTATAAGCCAAAGACCTTGGATGACTACGACGTTGATATCGAGATCGAGTGCTGTGGTGTGTGTGGTTCCGATCTTTTGACTGCCCAGGGTGGTTGGGGAGACTTGAAGTGTGCCCAGGTTGTTGGTCATGAGGTGATTGGCCATGTCGTCAAGACCGGTCCAAAGGCCAGTTTGTACAAGCTGGGCGACCGTGTTGGTCTGGGAGCCCAGGCTTTTGCCTGTTTAGACTGTCCTCGCTGTAAGGCAGGTAATGAGCAATATTGTGCACATTCTGTCACCACCTACGACGGTGTTTACCCAGATGGTTACGTCTCGCAGGGTGGATATGCATCTCATGTCCGTGCTCACGAGCACCTGATTTTCCCTATTCCAGACGAGATCAAGTCCAGTGAGGCTGGTCCTCTGATGTGCGGTGGTCTGACCGTTTTCTCGCCTTTGAAGCGTAACGGATGCAAGCCTGGTGCCAAGGTTGGTATCTTGGGTCTTGGTGGTCTGGGCCATATGGCCGTGATGTTTGCCAAAGCCCTTGGTGCTGATGTCACTGTATTCTCCAGAACTAATGATAAGAAGGAGCAGGCTTTGAAATTGGGAGCAGATGCTTTTGTTGCGACTGGAAAGGAGGGTTGGGAGTCCGAACTGTTCGATTCTTTCGATATTTTGTTGAACTGTGCCATTGGTCTTTCAGGGCTCAACCTGGATGCTTTCCTTTCAATCCTTAAAGTCGAGGCCAGATTTGTTTCTGTTGGTCTTCCAAGTGTTGATGAAAAATTTAATGTTTCTCCGCACACTTTTTTCTCCAACGGAGCTCACTTGTCGACCTCCTGTCTCGGTTCCAGAGCCGAAGCTTTGGAGCTTCTTGATCTTGCTGTTAAGCATGATATCAGGCCTTGGGTGGAGGAAATTCCTCTCACTGCAGAGGGTGTTTCCGAGGCCATGACTAGATGCTGGAAGGGTGATGTCAGATACAGATTTTGTCTTACTGACTTCCACAAAGCTTTTGGAACTGGTACTTATGCCAACTAAAGCGTCTTGATGGCAACGTGCCCTATGAATATGTGATAAACTAAACCCAGCGTAAAGTGTCTTTATAGAAATGAGTGATTTTCATATATCTGTCGTAAGCCTGTCATGTCACGTTAAGTAGTGGATGGGTCTCCAGGTGCCATGTTGCATGCATCATGCCTCCTTCTCCATATAATCATCTGGCCCATGGGGCTTTTGTCGGTACTTCTACTGATCCCCTCACAGGTGGAGATCTCCGAGAGAACTGACTGCCATGGGTATTTCGCAAGGTGGGTTGGTTGCGAGCATCAAATGTTTGGCTGTCCTCCACTCCTGGCGATGCTTCTGTGTCAAATTCTCCACCAGTTTCTTCAGGTGTTGTTTCAGGAAGAGCTTTACCGGTTGCCTGGTCCTTCCATGGGAACAAAACACCACCAAAATAGAAGTGCTGAACCACAGGAAACTTTGACAGCACCTCAGCATAGTACATTTTCACCATGCCCTTCGAGATCTTCTCCCAGGGCTTGGAGCTGCTGATGTCATATAGCACCGGAGAATGTTCGTTGAAGGGACCAGACTTGACCTTCTTGATGAACGAAATGGCATTGAAATACAGGTTCTTCGTGCGGTATCTGCGCAGAGACGTCGAGTTCAAAACCGATCTGGGTGCAGGAGTAAGTCTCTGCCGCATATTCTCCTCGTTATGCCTTCTGTTTTCGCGAGAGTCTCCTCCATTCATCACCTCAGAGAAATTCACTAGCTGCGCTGCACCAAGGATGTAGATCAGATGGAAATGGTCATCCAGGCCCCACACTCCGTGTGATCCAGCAGGTTCAAGAGTGTACGACAATATAAGCTCCTTCACTAAATCGTAGTATTTGCCAAACATGGTCAATATATCTGTTCCCTTTAGTTCTTCAGGCTCGATTATACCACACATCAAGAGACCCGAAACGAAGGCCAAGAACGAAAGTTCGTGTCCTGTTCCGTAATCAAGGCGGTTTCTGGATCCAAGTGATCCAACAAGATAATACTTAGCCTCACTCACAAACTCCTCGATGGTACTTGTTCCAAAGTGAAATAGAGGTCCGAATGCCTCGCCTAGTATCTCGTCAATCTCCTCTGCAAGAGTATCGTGGAAAGTACGGAATGCCATATTTCCAAACCTTCGCGGTCCCTCCAAAGGAGGACATCTCTTCTTAACATCTTCCAGGAAACTCAGGACCTTCAGAACAGCTCTGACTCCCGCTGGATGGTGAACGTCCTGGAACCCCGGATCCACTGTTGTGGGAGGAGCCAGACAAACAACACCATGACTGCCATTTCGAGCATTTTCCTCAATTGATACAATAGAATCGTCCAAAACCCCTTCAGGGACTTCCTGAAAACTCACTAGCTGACAAAACTCAATAATCGTGGCTTGTATGTTGTGCAAAGCAACTGACTGATGGAAGTACACTAGATCCGATGCTTCATGAATACGCTTCACCGGTTGTTTCCACAAATCACTCTGGACGGTTGAAGGGTCCAGTCTCAGCAGACCATTTTGTGGTTTCTGGGCAGTATTCTGCATTTGCGCATAATCAAAACTCTTGTTAGATGATACAAATGTGGTAAATGTTGTAGAAACTCAGATATGCTTCATATTGCTGCACCAGCCCTCCCAGCACCAGCCGCTGCGGCGGTGCAATGTTGATTTTTTTGAGACCAAGACACTCCAATGTCGCGAATGCTTGATTCATATACATATCTTGAAATCCAACACCACGCTCCTGAATATCTAGTCTATTCAAGCAGGATGTCAATCTGGTCTGCTGCTCCCTTTTCGCGGCTGTATCAGGCAATTCAGACCGAAGAGCAAGATGTCATAGACCAACTTGTACACGAGCTGGGAAAAGATCTTGGCCAGCTGGTGATACATCCAAACAAGGCCAGCAAAAGCAGATCCAAGCTAGAGTCCAAGCAAGTGACTTTCTCTGATGGCCTGGAGTACGAATTGAATGAGGAGTTTGTTCTTGAAGCTATTCAGTTGGCTGAAGATCTTGATCTGGACGAGCTTGCCGCGGCCGAAACGTTGTTCTATGCCACCGAGTCTGAACAATTGGGAGTTTCCACCGCAGATGCGGCCCGTGCTGCTTTTTACATACGAAGGCAGTACATTTTGATGATTGTGTCTTATTTTATGAACGTTTCGCAAAATCAGGATCAAATAGACTTAATTCTCGGCACCTCAAACGAGTTTGCCTTGACCATACTGAACGGCTTCAAAGCCGTTGAGAGGGATGTCGATGAGCTAAAAAATCAGATTGAGAGAAGGAGGCTTCTGGCTGGAATTGTTGATCCTCTATTCATGAAGACTATCTCCTTCAAAAGGGAGTTCTTGTTCATGGAACACCAGGTTCTGGGCGAGATCTTATATGGTCTGGTGTGTAAGGAAAAGGTATCGAAGGACCAATTTTTGGCGTTTTATGAGTACACATTTCAATACGATCCAGAAGATTTGTTTGTCATCAGCATTATACCTGCTGCTTTTGCGTTCTGTGCAAATCTGGCCAAGCTTTCCCAGGCGGAGATTACCAATTTGCATCAGAAGTTTCGCAAAGATTTAGAAAATGGAGACTCCACATCATCACATCCAGTCAGTTGCACTATCATTATGGTTTTCCTGGTCTATTACATAGCCTGGCTAAAGAAGAGTGAGCCCGATATCTCTGATGCAGAGTTGGATGAAAGTGTAATTGCTCCAATGAAGTCTACCATTGAGTATGGTTCCATGGAGCAATTCCTCTGTTTGGCTGCCGAAACTTCGGACATATCGTTGACTTTGAGTCATAAAAGAAGTCCGTTTTACGATTTTAGAGCCCTCCTTCAACAGCATATCCCAAGGTTGATACCTAAGCGTCTCATGGATGTTGACGAGGCGGCCACCAAGGAGCTGAAACGGGCTCTTGATCACCAAAGATTGAAAATAGGGGCGTCTACTCTAGATGAGAAGGAGGTTGACAAGATCTTTGTTTCTGGCAATGAGATTAGTCTTTCAGCAAACTTCGTTGCCCTTTGCAGCAAAACATTTAGTACGCTCATCACTGACTTCATCGCCAATGCAGCTTTCTTATTAACGCAGCTTCAGGACTCTGAAGAAGATATCATAGTCTCCAGCGAGTCTTTTTCGCTTGATGCTATTTCTGAAAGCGCGGATCTTGAAAGGTTCTACCTGGCAGCATTCTATGTCTATTCGGACAGGCCGCAACTTGCTTCTCAGTTCTGGGATGATAAGAGCTCGAGTTCTTTTGGGTTCCTTCAATGGGCAGCACAATGCAACTCCCCCCTCATCTCATCAACATTTAGTGTGCTTTTATCTGCTCTTTCTTGCAGTGAAGATAATGCTAATGAGGTGTATAAGTTCCTACAGACCGCCCACTCTGACGGTGCATTCAACGGTTCGATGGGTGTTTCTGGCAATTCATCCCGTATCAGTTGGCCTGTGATATTGGAGTCTCTTGCATACTATAACAAGTCGCTTTCGGAGGTGAGTGTTGAAGAAGACCCTCTAACCGGTGTTTATCCTATCGATTTGCAACCGCTTAGCGGTGTGGTGACTCCCGAATTGGGCGATGACTCTGTCCTGTTCATTGCAGGATACCTGCAACTCGTCTTTCAAGTATCTATCCACAGTACGGCGGCTAGAAACCAGCTGTTTACAGGTGACGCCTCGAGACTTCCAAAGCTTCTGGGTGAATTCCTAAAGTTCCAAACCAGTTTGGTTGGTGCCACCCTCACTGTTCTTGGAAGTCTTGTTGAGGATGAAAGAGACAATAAGCGTTTTGTATGGAACCTGATTGAAGACTGGATCTTTGCACCTCGTCCGGACAGAAGACCTCTGGTCAATAAGGGCTCAGTGATTACCAAACATGTCTATTACCAGTGCCTCACGAACTTTGCAGAGGTGTCTGGTTTTGCTGACCTGGTCTCGTGCCTAATGAGCCCAACGCGGCCTGATCCTTCAAAGCCGTACGAACCATTGGAATACACTTTTGATCTTCAGATCGGAGGTGACAACAGAAAGCAGGGTGTTTGGACTTATATTGACTTTTTGATGACTGAAGTGTTTACCCATTCGGATCCGGATCATATATCAGAGACTGAGAAGATCTCACTACAGATTCCCTTGCTACAAATCATGCTAGACTCGCTAGCCTCCTTTGACCCTGATCTCGTCTTCAATGCCACTGCCTGTGGGCTTCCCGGTTTGGATAACATAGTGGATGGTAAGAATTTCGTGGAGTTCATGCAATCGTCACCTGCTGGTGCAGTCTTGAACTACCTCTACACACCCAACGTTCAAAAGGTCCTTTTCAAAATAGCAGGTTTGGGGATCGATAGAGTCTTCGAAGGGCCTCATCACTCTGATAAGATCCGCCTGGTAACTTTGGCGATCAAGCTTATTGATGAGGTACTCAGATTGGAGAGATTCTACATTGATGAACTCTTACCCATACTGAAACAGGACTCTGTCTACTATATACCATCTGATGTTGGCACGCACGGGCTTGACTCGTTCTATGATGCGCTTGCTCTCCAGCTGCCTCTGGTTGCGGAGATCTGTCTGTATGTAGGCACAACGCATTTGGACTTGGTATTACCGTGTATCTCGATTCTGGCAAAAATTTCCCTATCACAGCAATTTGCAGTACCGGGAAACTCTGGGAAGTATCCCTTGATCAATGAGAGCAGACTGTTGACGATGCTTGAAACTGTCGATGAAACTCTCAGGATCAGACAGGCATTTATGGACCAGTTGGAGTCTCCAATTGAGGACAGTTTGTCAACCTCCGTCAAGGTGGAGCTCTTGCAGTTCCTCAACAACAACTTGTCAACGAATGGAATGAGCGTGGCGCATTTCTTGATAGGATTCAACACCAGGGATGGCGATTTAGGCTCAGAAGATGATGATGGTACAATCAAGTCTTCCAGAAGCCTGCTGAAATCGTTGACATATGTTCTAAAATCCAGTTTGAGCACTTTGAAAAGTGGCTCTGATATCATCTACACTCCCCTGAGAATCAGCTCCTTGATCTTGGAAATCATTTTGAAGCTGCTGCGTTCACCCAAGTATGGTAGTTTGGTTCTGGAGGTTTTGAGAGATGGTGAGAATCTTTTCATGGAAATTGCCAATCTCGAACCCAAGGTGGATTTGCATTCGTATTGGGGTAACCGCGTTTTCGAAGGGGTCTTGAACGAAAAAAACAGTTTCACAGCCCATGGAGAAAGTATTGGCGCTTTGATTGCGTTCATTATTCAACGTGGGTTGATGCTTCAATTCTTCGGAATGGAATTACACAGTATGTCTCTTTCTGGTTCGATGCTGATCACCAAAGAGTATGTCGACGCTTTAATCGACACTAGACAGTTCGTCGCTGGATCTGCCAAGGTATTGGAGTTCCTAGACGTGTTGGAGTTTACTTTCGAAAACCAGCTGGAGAAACGTGATGACCTGTTTGCACAGTATGATTTCGACTATGTTTTCGCCAAGGTCAAGCTGAATCCCGACGTTTCTGGAAATGATCTGCTTTACGACTTTGAGACTGTGCAGAACATGATCAGACTGAACGCGATTGAAAGCCGTGCCTCTGGTGTGATCACAGATGCTGATTACGCTGAAAGTATCAAATTCTTTGATCATGAGAAGGCCTCTCTGATTTCGTTTCTGAACAATCACCTATGTCTTAGCAACTTCAAACGCCAACAATTGCAGTGTCTGCATTCGTGGGTGACGCTAATTGAGGTCATTATCAGTGACGGAAAGCTGGATAATATCACCAGGTCTAACTTCATCCTGGAAGTATTCCAATGCATTCTGCCCAAGATCAACGATTACTTGGAGCTTGATGGCAACTATGCCGAGGAATTGTTGTCCCTTTGTGTTCTTCTGCTCGAAAAATACGAAAAGGATAAGGGCACATTGTTCACTAACCAGCAAAACACAAATCTCTCATTGGATGCAGACAGACTTTATCCAATCTTCAAGGTGTGCATCAATGGTATCTTCTCGTCTCAGTCAACCCCCAACATGAGATCTGACATGTACATTCTGATCAACAAATATCTGACACATGTGAGCGAGAACAAGGCAGTCACCACGGCCATCCTAGTTGCAATCAGGGCCTCGGATAAGAGATTGTTATCTACCATCTGCAACGATTCGTTGATGGGAGAGGGCTCTTCAAGGGTAACGGCGCTGCTGCTACTTGAAAATTTCGTCAAGGTTTCGTCTAACTTGCCTACTTCACCCCTGGTTTCCAACTTTATTTTGGACACCATGAAACGGGATAATTATCTTCTACTGCTGACCCAAACCATCCGCCGCGCAGATAGCGTGTTCAAAGCCACTGAGGGTATCACCCTCGACATTCTGCTCTACGAATTGACCATCTTCAAGACCTCGGCATATCTTTTGCTGCGAATCGCGCAGTCGAACCCTGGCGCATCCCACCTGATGCAGTGCGGGGTATTCAACTACCTGCGGGATGCGGAGTTCTTGAAAATTGACCCGGACCTGGGGCTGAAGCTCAGTATCGGCGATGGAAGCGACTCTGAAGCAGCTTTCATTACGTTCTCGCTGGACCCAAGAGGAACGAAGGGCTCAATCTCCTTCTATGACGTGCTGATCCCGGTGTTCCAGCTGGTCAGCGCCATGATGATCTCCCTCGGTCCAATGAACAAAATTTGCCAAACCCAGATCAAAGAATTGTTGCAGACATATTCCGCCCTTGTTGTTGGAATATTTAAAAGAGACACAATTGCCACAGAACAGCAGAACCAGGACCCCCAATTGAAAGAATTGACCAATCTTTTCACCCTATTGTATAGTTGTGTGGGGCCCACTTCCCAATCGGGTAATGCGGTGGCTTCCTCAAATATCGCCCATTGACTGTTTAATTTATCGAATATTATTCTTCTGTACACCTCACTCTTTTCCCCGATTGACGCCAAATGTATTTGCCCACGGATCTCGGAAGGGCCCCGATCAAAACCAACGGTCCCTCCCAGTTCCAGATCCTGCTGAACACTAACATATGTCCCATACAGACGATTGACCCCAATGCTGTGTACAAGCCTTCGGAAAGCGACTTCAGTTTTGAGAACTTGGACGGACTATACAAGCCGGATATTGGCATCCGAGTATCTCGTTCTCAATTACTACAAGACGATCCTAACACGTATGTTGCTTTCTCGAAATTTGTCGAGCAAAACCTCAGGAAGTACCACACCACTCTGGGCAACCTCAACCACAACTTGATGACCACTCCCGTGACGTTGCCCCCTGAGACAGTGGGTGCGCACGATGGGAAAACGGAGATTTTGCCAATAGGATGTTCTATCAATCCTTTGGTTTCTGATCCATTTAGAAATGTGCACTTGACGCCGGGTTGCATCACCACTATTGTTCCCCTCGATGAAACCCCACATTCGTCGAATGCGAACGGAAAGGGCTTTTCCGGCAAGATCTGGGGCAAGAAATCGGACAAACAGGGCCATGGTTCTCATATTGACGGCCTGGACTTTTTGAAGCAACCACGGTCTTCGTTGAGCAGGACTACCTCAAATTTCGTCGCCAAGGTCGCGACGGCCGATAACATGAGCAAGAAGCTGAATATGGCGAAATCGGTTCTGATAGCTGGTCATGGACGATTAATCAACGTGATTAACTTATCTCCAAATCCCAAAGAGATGGAGGTGGATGCGCCATTGCTGAGAGTCACTCTTACCGTTGGTGTGATAACGTGTGTTTCCACCTTCAAATACGTCACTTCAACAGGCGAGAAGAACCTGGATGTTCTGGTTGGACTCTCGACAGGTGACATCATCTGGTTCAACCCTTTTAGAATGAAGTATTCGCGGTGGAACAAAAACGCCAAGTTGATCAGAAAGTCGGTGATGTCGTTGGCTTGGTCAAGGTGTGGGAGATTTGCCATTGCAGGGTTCTCCAACGGTGAAGTCATGACTTTCAAACGCGACCAAGAGGACGAGGAGAACTATAGTCATCATGTCGATGTCTTAAAGAAAAACAAGTACATGAGATGGTTTAGAAGTGGTGAGACGGCCCACGAGGCCAACCCGGCCTCCCACATAAAGCTGTGCACGAGGGCAATAACCAGCATCAAGATCCACCCTCATCTGCACAATCTTGCAGTTATTACGTCAGACGATGGTTTTTTCAGGATCATGGACCTACAGAGGGAGTTCATCACGGATGTGGTTCCCTCCTACTATGGAGGGCTTCTGTGCTCTGAGATCACGAGTGATGGAAAATACTTGTTAGTGGGTGGAGAGGACGACTTCGTGGCGATCTACGAGTTTCTGTTATCGTCTGCGCAGTCAAGTTTCCAGGGAACCGTGAAGCTGGTGGGAAGACTGCAGGGAAGTGCGTCATGGGTGAGGGGGGTCACAATTGACGAGTTCAAGACCACCAACGGAATTCTGTATAGAATAGGCAGTGTTTCGGATGATGGAAGGCTGCAATTGTACGAATTTCAGCCCAGGAATTTGCCAAAGGTCAAGAAAGCCGTCAACTTGCAACCACGAGCCGAGGAAATTGAGAATGGCAATGCTTCCAGGATGCAGTTGACATCCACAGAAAGCATCAATGACGGAAGTACAGGTACAGCCGTCACTTTGGCCCAAAGAAAGAGGTTTGCTTTGAACAGACAGAAACGATCTGACTCCGTTTCGTCGCTGACCTCATCCACTGCCCAGCAACAGTTGTCTATCATCGAGCTGATCAAAAGCACGTCTCAGGTATCATTGACCTCTGCCGAACACCACGCAAACGGTTATGGCAACGCAAATCTCAGCAATGCGCTCTTCAAGTCTTCAACGAATCAGGAGGACGCGATGGTATTTGGGCCTTCAAAAACTGTGGTTCACAGGGTCATTGGAGTCAAGGAAGTTCCAGTGGTGTTTCCCATTGGAGAGGACAATTTGAAACTCGGCAGGATGGAGGGTGTTTATTTCGAGGAAAATTATATTTGGGTTTTTTGCAGTACTGGCGACTTGATGAGATATTTCAGGCCATAAAAATATTGGAGTTCAACAGACTAAAATGGAAGTGCGATTGGTAAAGTGATCAAGCGTAGTTGACTGGTAATCGAATTGGCCTTATCAGTGATGCAGTGGTGATTGTCGTGCACGACCCAGCTGTATCCTATTACCCGGCCTGATCATTATCCGAGTCCTCAAAAAAAAAATTTCACGAGGCTGTCTTGTCTAAATAAACAACCTCACCAAACTCCAAGAAGTAAAATCACACAATGCTTATTTTCAAAGACGTTATCTCTGGCGACGAACTTTTGTCCGATGCTTACGAGCCAAAGTTGGTTGACAACGCTGTTTTCGAGGCTGACTGTCAGATGATCACCGTTGGCAGCGGTGACGTTGACATTGGAGCCAACCCATCTGCCGAGGATGGTGGCGAGGATCTCGAGGACGGTGCTCAAACCGTGAACAACGTTGTCTACTCGTTCCGTTTGCAGCAAACCTCCTTCGACAAGAAGTCCTTTTTGGTCTACATCAAGGGCTACATGAAGAGAGTCAAGGCCTACCTTGCTGAGAACGACCCAGACCAGGTTGAGGCCTTTGAGAAGGGTGCTACTGCCTACGTCAAGAAGGTTGTCGGTTCTTTCAAGGACTGGGACTTCTACACTGGTGAGTCGATGGACCCGGATGCCATGGTTATCTTGCTCAACTACAGAGAGGATGGTACCACTCCATTCGTTGCCATCTGGAAGCACGGTGTCAAGCAGGAGAAGATCTAAATTAGGTGCGATTTTGCAATTTCGGCTTTGATGAATCGGGAGTAGCTAGGATTTGACATAACGTCCATACTGTTCCATGGTTTGTCTGCAATTTAGTTTAGCAATAATTTTTATTATTAATGAAGGCAGTAGATGGGAACAAGCCCGTAGTTGGCTGGATGGGTATAGCTATTGCAACAGACCATATCCAGCTTTATAGTTGTTGTAAACGTTAGTTACATGCCAGAAGCTGATGTTTCTAATTTTGCTAAACTCGTCAATTGTATAATAACGATTGCCGGCGTAGGCAACAATAATGATATTGAACATGGCCACTGTGCATAGCCATTATGGCCTTAGCATGCACAACCCGCAGGCACATCTGCAAGCTTGCCTAACACACCTACTATATCCAATTTCCTTCTCACTGTTTGGATGCAAAATAGTCATCAATTCCGCCACTAGGATTGTCCAATTGCCAGACAATCATATGATCTAGTGCCTCCTTCATCCAAGGTCCTGGCTTCTTCCCCAGCTTCAACCCCAAGGTCTTTCCATCCATCAATGGCCTGAGCTTGTACGTTTCCGTCAAGTTCTGTTCGACAATCTCCCTGTATATGTGTGAATAGGCCTCCAGAATGGTGTGATATTGAGGGCTTTCCGTGTGGCTCGCCTGGAAACTGTCAAGTATAAAACATGTGATGATGAACGAAGGCCAGTCCTGGCCAAAGGGCATTATGGCCAATCCCAATTGCGACCTCGCAAGCCCATCTGGAGACTGCGCGACTTGGTGAACAAAGGAAATGAATTTGGGATAGTTTTCAACAATTTTTCTGGAATGGGTAACGTCTTTGGTGGGCATCCGTAGAGAGTATTTGAGGACCAACTCCACTGGTGACAATGGTGTAGACTTGCTGAGTTTAGTCTTGAATGGTGCCACGCCTGACCAATGGCTCAAAATCAGAGATATGTAATAGAGGTATTGCGATTCAGGCTGCGCCTTGATACTTCTATAGCTTTCCTGAAGGTTCGCATTATCCGTCAACAAAGTTTCCAATTGGGGTAACAACTCCGTGATCAACTTCAGTGTGTCCTCTTGTTGGGAGAGCAAATGTTCATCAATTTCTCTGATTCTTTCAGGATTGACAGTCAAAACTCCCTCTTGCGCCTCACCGAAGTTGAATATAGCCTTGTAAATTTTTGTGTCATACATTAGCCTTAAACACTTCTCGACATTAGGACCTCTCAACATTTTACCAACCTCGATGCCTACTCTTTCCTTGCTAACCTTTGAGACCAGAACATCGTGAATCTCCGAAGTGGACATTGCAGCCTTACACTCTTCCACAATGTCAAAGTTGAATCTTCCTGCAAATCTGATCAGTCTCAAGCATCTCAATGGATCGTCCAAGAAGGTCTGTCTTGGAGGCAGTGGAGTTCTAATCAAACCCTTGGCCAGGTCTTCCAATCCTCGGCGAGTGAAGTCTTCAACCAGCCCAGTATGTAGATTATAGAAGAGAGCATTTATTGTGGCATCTCTTCTAAAAGCGTCCTCTTCTGGAGTACCATATTCCACCGTTGGAACTCTGCTTTCCTCGGTGTAGGTCTCGTTTCTAAGATTCACCAAATCAATCTCCTGTCCCAAAATTTTTGTCTTGCAGGTCTCCAGATGCTTTGATTTCTCGGGGTTCTTGTCGATTTTGTGGATTCCGACCATCTTGTCCTTTTGTGAAACATCATCATCATGCTGGACATACTCCTGCAAACCCTCTGCAAATTCAACCCCGGTGGTGTGGTCTATGGCGATATCGATATCATTACTTTCCAGACCAAGCAACTTGTCTCTGACCCAGCCACCGGTAATCCTCAGTTCTAGGCCTTTCTGTTGTTCATTTTCAAGTAAACTGGAGTTGTAATGGTTGGTGTAATCTACCAATAAGTCACGAATCTTCGATTCGGTCTCGGTCAATATTATCTTCGGGGTAGACATCCTTCTCACGCTATGTACAAGTCTGGCAACGCTGTGTGGTCTCCGATACATAAACTATCTGGGACTAGCGGCGGTGTCTAGGAGAAAGAGCGTCTAATATGAACTGTTGGGCGTCTATTAAGCGCTTGAATTATCGACAACCGCCAGAAAATTGCGTACAGCGTTCACCTCATCGGGCTTCACATGATGAGTTTTCAAATTAGCCGCTCAAAGCCATCTCGAATTACGAACATCTCAGAATAATTCCAAAAATGTGTAAATTTCATAAAATAATTTGGAATAACTTGACATATTAAGCTTGACTAATATACACTTGTTTATGCTGAATTTACTCAAAAACAACTTTTTTACCCTGGAATTTGGTATGGAGTTCTCTCTCCTTAGCCTTCTGTTTGGCAACCCACGAAGGATGCATTTCCTTTTCTTTGGGAGGTTCCTGGGCCTTGAGTCGTCTGTCGGAGACCTGAGTAAAATTGGGATTATCGCCCTTGAGTCTAGCCTTCTCTTCTCTCTTCTTCTGTCTTTCCTCAAACTGCTGCTGTCTGACCTCTCTTTCAGATTTGGCCCTTTCTCTTTCCTTCTGGACATGATTAGCACCAGAACCATATTTCATTTCCCAAATCTTCTGTCTAGCACGCTGACCCCTCCTGTTTTTTCTGACAGTTGTGGCCTCCTTGACCACCTCGTCTTCGGCCTCAGAGTCGGAACCTCCAGAGATATAGCCAGAGAGGAGAGAAGGTATGGTGACTTTCTCTTTCTTTTCTTTCTTTTCCTTTTTCTCTTTCTTCGCTTTCTTCTCTTTCTTTGAGATTTCAGCCTCCATCGCAACCTCAGCATCAGAGCCATCGATCTCACTTGGTTCCTCGTCAGTCACCTCGTTATAATTTAGTGCAGAATCCAGCATCTCTGGTTCCTCCTCGTCAGACGAAGCCGCCAACATTCCCTCATAAGCAGAGAGGTCTATATCTGACAGATTTCCAGCTTCCTCCTCGTCAGACCCCGAATCCGAATCTGAATCCGAATCTGAATCCGAGCCTGAATCCGAGTCCGATTCTGATCCCGAATCCTCCGAATCCGACTGTGACTCCGAGTTCGATTCAGCAACATCCTTATTATCATCAATCTCCTTGACATTCTCCTTCTTCACTGGCCCTTGGACCAGTCTCAAACTCAGCTCCGAACTTTTCAGCAACTGAACAATCTCTTTCTGATTCCATAGTTTCGAAATCTGGTCATTGACCAAAGCCGAATTTGATTTGAACTGAAACTTGGGATTATACACGTTTTGTGGATCACTTATCGAGTCCCTGCACCATTGAGGCAAGTACTTTGGGGGAGTTTCCCTGGACTCTTTTGAGTGAATGTACACTTTCTCAGCAGTTTTGGTCAATTTAGCGCGCACGAGCACTTCAGGATCAAGACCTTCCAGAATCTGCAGCTGTGACTGGATTTTTGCCTGCAAAGAAGGATCTGTGGCTTTGGAGGCCTTGAGGTTAAGTGTTTTCATCTCTGCTTTTACCAGCTTTCGTAGACATCTTGTCAGCTTGGATAGTGCTGCATAGAACTTTCTTTCGCAGAGCTCTTCTTTCAAAGCGTCTATTTGCTCGTAGGCCTGTTCTCGAGAGATATCCAAATTCACAATCGAATTTACCGTCTTTTGGCTCTTGGCCCGTATTAACGTCTTTGTCTTGGGATACCTAGCCTTTGCACTTTTGAACTTGAACTCCAAAATATCCAGTTTGAGAGCAACATTGTCTCGTTTTGACATCGTTAAAAGGACGTGATCAACTAAACGGCTGTACTGACCTACTCTTTCTTGCCTAAAGTTTCACGGCAAAAATCTTTTTTCAGATGATGGGGTAGTGCATTGACGCTTTTGACGCCGCATGAATCTTGACTATAGAGACCCGTGAAACAAATGACAGCTCATGTTACGTTGCATTTGGCACCCCGTGCAGGAAGATAGGACAAACGGTCACCTCTCAGAGATTGCATGGTTTGAAACAACTAGACCAAGTTCACATTGAACAGACAGGAAATCTGGTAAAAGGCAATGAGCGTACTCCTTGTAATCCACACCAATCAAGAAACCACGCTAAACCCCCATATTCCCCGCGCGATCATGCCTTTTTCGCATTAGTAAGTAACCCCAAAGGTCGTTTCTGAGCTAAAGGCTAAAAAAAAATTCAAATTTCCTGGGGAGCCCGCATGATAAAGGAGGGGTGCTGCTGAGCTAACGTGTGTCCCTTTAACATTCTTTTCACCTTTCCTTTGGCTCTTTTTCTTACAAGACAAGACTTTTTGCGGCTGAAAACAGTGTTGTTACTGCTATTGTGGTGTAAGGCATACAAAAGACAGTTTGTGAGTTTAAAAAGCCAACAAGACAAACGCATTGGTCCAAAGTACGTTAAATAGAATTCAAGCTGATTCAACTACAACAAGAGCGCTGTGATCTAAGATTTTAAGTTCCATTCTCTTCCAAAAACAAAATGCCAGGTACGCCAAAGCCGGAAGGGGGCTTTGAGGTTACTTCTGTTCAACTAGAAGAGCAGCCCGAGGTTCGTGATACCGCCGTGCGGTTTGTGGAAGAAGCTGAAGTTTTTGAAGATTCCTTAGAAGATGAGGATAAGGCCAAGGAAATTTCGCAATTATACAGAAGAGCATCAGTTTCGACTAAACCTTCGTTTGCTCCGGGATCTTTTGACAGTTTGACACCTCTTTCGAGACCTGGTCAGCAGAGTCAGATTGGGTTTCCTCCTCCGATCCCAGAATCGTTGCCTACGACGCCTGGTTTCGACCTCAGTCCAGATGCCTATTTCACAGATCAGAACTTCTCAACGAGTTTTCCACCTCAAATAGCTTCAGAACGGAAAATAAGCCCTCCTTTAGAAACTTTAGCTTCGCAGCCACCAGGCGAGATGTCAATCGATAACCCTCCAAAGAATAAATGGAGGACCATTGCGTGTGTTATGTGGTCTTTTGCAGCGGGGTTTTCAGATGGTGCACCTGGTGCACTATTGCCACATATTGAGTCTTATTATCATGTCAACTACTCTGTTGTCTCCCTGATCTGGCTGGCGAATGCAATTGGGTTTGTGGTCGTGGCCTTCGCTTCTCATCCGATGGACAAGTATCTTGGAAGGCAATGGTCTATTGCAGGTGGATGCCTTTCACTGTTGGTGATGTATGCGATGGTTTGTGGTGGACCATCTTTTGAGGTAGTTGTGGTGGGTTTCTTCTTCGGAGGAATAGGTTTGGCAGCTGCGTTGTCCCAGATCAACATCTTCCTCGCGCTTTTGAAAAACTCAACCAAATATCTCGGATTCTTTCACGGTGGATATGGCTCGGGCGCAACAGTAGCACCTCTGGTGGCAACAGCTATGGTCAACCATCATATCAAATGGTCCTACTTCTATCTGATTCTGTTGGGGTTGATGTCGGTGTACTTCTTCAATCTGTGCTTTGCCTTTTCTGGTTGCAGGGAGGATCTGGCTCCTTGGGATTTTCAAGATGCTCAAGTAGAGCAGCTGAATGACAGGTCACCCGACCAGATTGAACTGACAGAAATGGACAGGGTAGAGACCCATAATCTGAGAAACAATATCACTCGTGCAAATCTGGATTATAGAGATCCAACCTCGCAAACGGAGCTGGTGGAGCCCGTGGTTCCAAAGGGTGTAGTTCAGCTGGCACTTAAGAACAGGGTGACATGGTACTTATCACTCTTTGTGTTGTTTTATCAGGGTGCAGAAGTCTCCGTTGGTGGCTGGATTGTTACATATATTCTCGATTATAGAGGTGGAAACGCGACTTCTACAGGTTATGTTGCGTCTGGATTCTGGGGTGGCCTGACCGTGGGAAGACTCATGTTAACTTCGGTGATCCATTCACGAATCGGAGCCAAAAGGGGGGTCACAATTTTGTCACTCTCGGCAATTGCAACCGCTTTTCTTACCTGGTTCATTCCTAACGTTATTGCGGAGGCTGTTTTCGTGTCGCTTTTGGGTTTGTTCACCGGCCCTGTCTACCCGTTAATGATCACAATTGCTGTTAGAGTCTTACCCAGAAAAATCCAACACGTTTCGCTGACCATTTGCACGGCATTTGGTTCTTCTGGTGGTGCTCTATTTCCGTTTCTTGTTGGTTTGATATCGCAGTACGCTGGTGCCTTTATCGTGATGCCCGCTTTCGTCATTCTGTTTTCTGCAACCACCACCCTGTGGTTTTTGATTCCTAATCCAGACAGAATGATTGTGAAGCATTGGTGGCAGAGAGCACTGTAATGAAACAGCGCTGGTACTGTCGCTTTGAAGTAGGTTCGCTTGATCGGAAGATAGCTGTTTTTCTTATGTACTACTAATGCTCAAAAGAGGCCCTACTCGTCGGGTATGTCGAAAATCAATCCGAATATATGTTCGTATATTCCGCGTTCTAGCATATTTACAGAAATAGACTTTGTAAGTCTGACCCTTGAGAGAACCCAATCATTGAATCATCCTTCTCGCAAGTCTAGTTAACCTTCTCAGGCAAGAATTTCATCACCTCTTGCTCTCTTCTTCATTTCTTCTTCTCAACTTTGGGCGTGTAGTCGTGATGCCAAATCTGATTGGGTGGATACTCTGTAGGAACCCTTAGCTCAAGGGGAAATCTCTTGGAAGGTTCTCTGGTGTTTGCAAAGCTGAAAAGCTCTTTGCTGACACTCTGGAGGTCCTCGTTAGCAGCCCTTATCGATTCGTACTGCTTTTGTAAAATGTTGGCCTCTTCAGCCTTTTTATCTCTGACGTAGAGATTCCACGATTTTTGGATCACCTGATGCTTGACATAATCTTCATTGGAAAATTTCAACAACTTGGGCTGCTTTCTGTTGGCAGAGAGCACAGACAGCTGGGTAACCAATTTCCTCACCTCCGACTTGTCGGATCCAGCCTTCTTTCTTTTTGTCCTGATAAAATGCAGTTGCGTTCCCGACGTGAGGTAGTCAACCTGACGTATTATGCTGGTTCTCACGTTCGACAACATTATAGCACAGCTCGATAAGGGTTGACTGGATACTTTCGATATACACCGACGCTTTTTTCTTCAAAGATAAGGTCGTGTACCGGATTGCCAAAAATTAATTTTGCAGGGCACTAAAGGTCGTGCAGCAGAACCGTATCTGTAGAAGTAGCTGTTTTTACCAAATAAGGTTGGAGTATGACAACTCGAACATTTGTTGCGCAGGTCCTAGGCTTTGAAATTGAGCATGCAAACACCCCTAATGGACTCAATTGAAACCACTAAATTCGCAAATTTGTAACAACAAAATCGTACGGCGTTGCGGTTCGTATCTACATGCTTAATGTTAGTGACAGCCATCGAATAAGCTTTCCCTGGTTGAGGGTGTGGTGCTTTCATAAGGTTATACCGAGTCAAATTCGTTTGGATTAGGGGTCGGCAAAGGTCGGAACTAGTGCTGCAGAGCTTTGAATTGCCCACCACAGTTGTAATTCTCAATAATTCTGAGCTGCACTGAGCCAAGCTTTCTCCAAATAGACCACCGAGGGTATACACATCACGGCAGACCGGTGTCACCTGAGCCAACTATGAATTCTGACATGAATGCACTACAAATACACGTCATGTACGAAGTTCTGAGAAGCCAAATATTCTACTAGTTCGACGCTCCAATGGCTGTGAACGGACCACGCCTTTACAAAAGAAATCCTTCCGAACTACGCCTTACTTGTTTACAGCTGATACGAGTTCTTGTCCTGATCAGGTTGCGTGGGGAAACAAGAGGCAATATGCAAACCCTGAGTCGAAGCAGTTATAGTAAAAAACCGGGTGCCACTGAAACCAATAACGCATATCAGCGGTGCATGAAACGAAGATATCCGTTCAGACTCTGCGCCTTAAACGCCAAAAAAACACAGAACTTTAGAGGTTGGAAATTATAAACATTCTTGTCCTTCAGAAAATTACGATACAGGGGGGTATTTTTAGTCGACATGATGTAATGGTATTCATTCACTGAAAATCGGCAACCGTCTATACCCTATTGTCGGCAGAACGCAGCCGAGATCGCTTAATTATATGCTTGAAGCTCTGCAACAATAGAAAGCTCAAACCCAATTGCTAACAATAGCTAAGCCCTTTGAAGTCTTGGTAAAGATTCAAAAAACGCGTCCGCTTTTTTGAGATGATATTGCCGTTGGCACCACTTCCGTACCTGTTTCACTTATGAGTAATAGTTACTACTCGTCGTTGCGTTTCCTTGGACGGTCATCCGAAAGTTTATTTGAAAGCTTATTATCCCCCTGCAGATTGCTCCCTAATACGGGTGCGAACACGTAGTGCAACATACTAAAGCAAACGATGCAAAGCGGAAGGGTGCGTAACACCAGCACAGGTGCATTATTTACTGTTAATCCCGAAGAAACTATGTAATTCAGGTGATGGCAACGAATAACATGAAGAGAAACTATTGTTTATTAGATCAGGTTTCCATACTTACATCATTCTAGAGGTAGTCTGGAAAAAGTTTCTAGGGACCAAAATCTTCTCAAAATGCTATTCCTGCGGACCCAATGAATCGGTTTGGATGTCCGTTTGCTAGCGGCTTATCATTGTAAAATTTGCGTGTTTTACCGTGCTGAGACTCAAATTCACAATAAAATCATGTCACCATTACCAAAAACAGATCCGGGTACTAATTGTCTTGAATTCTACCAGGTATTAGTTTAACGAGGTGAAATCAGCACGAGGCTCCTAAATGGGTATTTGCCAGTACAGCATGGAAATGCGATATATTCTATTCGAATCTCAAACCATAGGTATAATCACATTATTTCACTAGTAATAAAGAGATTTAAATAAGCTTATCTCTTTTTTCCTCAAGAACCGTATTCGAGAAGCCAAGAAAATAAAAACTATGATCGGGGTATATTCAAAAAGTGGCCAATCAGAACGACATATGTCCCTGTGCACTTGCCTGAATGGTAGTTTCGCCATCCATATCCGGACTTCTTATGTAAGTCCGGTGTTATTGTGCTGAACAAACGACCATGCCCAGGGAATATGCAGATGATATTCTTCTTTCCGAGTTGCTGCTGGCAACCGCGGAAAGGTGCATAGCATAACCAGCCTAATCGTCTGTAAGGAGGAGAAGGCTTATTTCAAACGGCTCGGCCGTGATTAAATCATAGAAGCTTTCAAAGGGGCTTCAATTCACCGAGGTCAGAAGGCTAGTTTTAAAAAAACGTATTTAATACTTCGTGGACCATGTAAACCTCAAAATAGCTTCATCGTTTTTTGGCTTCGAAGTTTTTTTTAGCTCACTTTCATACTCAAATCTATAATCTCGGAATTGTGAGCAAAAGCTTGAAACAGCAGACGCCAACTTCCAAGCAGAGATTTTGTGTGCGCTGACCAATATTTAAGCCCTGTTGCTTCTTTGCGAAATCGAAGAAATTTAAAAAAGCTTAAGCCATCGGTAGGGCCCAGAGGAAGGACAATCATGAGGTAGTGTTACTCGTGCTAATGCACACCTTGCGCATAGATGCGTTCCTGCGTACATACATTTCTCAAAACTCGGCTCTAACACGAAGACATTCGTCGATAGCACCATTTTCCGCTTTAACTACTTATTTTTTTTATTCTGCTGATATTGCCGTATATATCCACTGGAATTGCAGCTGTTTGGCCCAGTAATTTCCGAACACTACATTGAGTGGGTGAAGTGAGGAACGCGTCTCGGAATCGGCAACCGCCCTTTCAATGATCTCATCGTACCTCTCTGAATACTGCACCGTCGCCAGTGCACCTTCCTCAATAGTAACAAACCAACGGACCCTGACCGGCAACAATATACGATTGGAGGCAACTGGATGACATTGACATATCTACTCTTTTCTATCATAGGTGATGATCAGCAATTAGAACATTTTGGATTCGAACTGGAAATTCGCTTGGACTTTCTTCGGTTTCTTGACTTAGTTTCAATTACAATGTTGCTTCTTACCATACTTGTAACTTGTCAGTGGTTTTGAGTTTCCATTTTCGAATCGATCTATATGCTCGGAAGGAGTCAATAATCTTTTTCCTGAGGTAACTTGAAAGAGAACCCCCAGGTGTAAAGCTTAGAACGGATTTTGGTCCCAAAAACGCACACCCCCGTGTTTGAAGAGAACCGTACCTAAATTGAAGGCGGTTAATAATGGGCTATCGATAATGAAGGAAACTTGGCAAGGAAGGGCGGAAAGGAAGAAGCACTTGAGAGGAGTGTTCGGCGTATATGCCCGATGCGGACCCTCGAGAAGTCCATGACAAACTATTCTGTGGTATACAATCGTTTTTAATTCTCAAGCAACCACGTACAACTTTCAGAGACTTAACCAATTATATTTATATAAAAAAATGAATCTTAAGGTATCTAGGGTGAATTAAGACCCAAGATAGTGTTATGAGTTTACTAAGTTCCCCGTCTCAGGCTTTGCGAATGTTTCCATTTAACTCGCAAGAAAAGGGGGTTTTCGAATCGGAACGTTTTCCATCTTCAATACAGCTATAACCGGCATAACAAAAGAAAGTATGCGGAAACCTATGCAAAATTTCTGTTTTGTACTTGGCCCATTTCGCGCGACATCATTATCTTCCATGAGGATCACTGCTGGGTGAAGAAAAAACTGGTTCTAGCGCTTGCAATACTGACTTCTGCTTACTCTCATTATTGAATAAACATGGACAATACACTGAAAGAAATCAAATAATATTGGAAAGGTCGCGAGGTCGGTCGGGTTCAGCAAAAATTGAATGACAGACCATCTCGGGCACGGTAGGAGTAAGATAGGATTGGCTGAGGTATGGTGGATCTCGAAATTGAAAGTACTAACATTCCTGGAAATGCATGACTTAGTTACCTTTGAAAAGATTTGACTTACCTTTTCCAGATTTTGAATCAGTGATACTGTTTCGATTGTGCATTTCAATATGCGAAGTGCCCACGGCAGCGAGGCAATAACAACTTTAAAAAAGAACACGTCTCAAAAACTGAGTAGAAGAAAGCAAATGAAGCAAATCATAGCTCAAAACAAATTACATTGGCTAGTTGAACAAACAGTAGTACTTCACTTGGCTATTGAGGCGCCTGTGGCAGTTATAATGTTAAACTAGCTTGGTTCATGGATACTAAGACCAGGATTGAATGAATCCGACCGGTCTTGTAGTGCAAGAGGATTTCGCATTAGATATTTCAACTCGAGTCAATTGTTGCTGACTACTTAGTATACTGCTCGGGCTAAACCCGTTTGGTTTCTTTCTCCAAGTCTCTATTTTGTCTCTACTACACTGTATGTGCCTGTTCTTTAAGCTCTTTTGTATGCGTGCACCCTCCAAACCTGTGGCCCCACATTCTTGAGATGCGCTTTTAGTGTTTGCAGTGCTGTTCCGGATATGCACGTTTTGTGTGCAGCAAATGACTTTTTGTGTATCCGACGCTGTGCAAACCGATATCCGGTCCTAAACCCAATTTTGGAACCTGCCTCTCTGCCAAGGGGATTTGCACCCCGGAAACGCCAATTAACGAGTCCTCTTCACTTTTCCACAATTCAATAATCGTCAACACTGGGAAAACACTTAAGTAGTAGCATTAACGGCACCTTTGTTAGTCAGACAGACGCTGAATGTTAGAAAGTTGTTCAAGGCCTGTACCTCTTTTTCGTCCCGTTCCTGCGCGCAGACTGCAACTTCAGGTGCTCATCAAATTTAAAGTTCATATCGAGCTGAAGCCTCTGGTTATTCTTCATTCGTGTTGATCCTCTCAAATTATACGAAAATCAAAATCAGAATTGGATTTGGGCTATAGATAGCCACCTATTTTTCTGCCAGGCCCATATTCCGTCCAATTCTCGACTACGTCTCCACTATTGATTTCCACAGTGCGCCTTCATCCCACCACTACTTTCGGAATTTGCAAGTGTCAACCAAAAGGGATTTCCAACCGATTCATTTTTGATCTTTTTTTAAAATCAAACTTCCTTTCGTTTCATTTTCTCATCCACTCCTTATTTTCTTCACATAGAAATAAGTGTTTGATCTTTTCATTGGATAATATCTGAGGCTTTCATACTTGGCTGGCTATTTATTCGTTGGGCTCTATTAATTTCTACGGGTTTTCAGTGTTCTATAGTACTCTACTCAAGCCGAGCCTTGCGATTGAAGGTTAGTGTTTCAGTGTGAGCATTTTAGGTTCTGATACTATTTTTTTGAACTGGTTTTTTAATCCTGTGCTCCATCATTGAGTCAAATACTCATTGCCAACCAGTCATTCAATCACGGTGAACATTGCTATAGCCATTACCATTCCATCTCTGAAATTTCAGGCAAGCTAGAGTTCCAAGTTTGCAGATTTCAGCCTCGAGGGCTCTTTACCAGCACTTCCAAATTTATTGCAATATTTGATTTGAATATCTGATTTCTGGAGGCCATTTTTGCATATCCGGTTTTATACCTTTGATTTCCATCTTCACCTACAATGTTGCCCTACGGATCGCAGTATCCTCACTATTCCAACGGACCATCGCCTTACCAGTCCCAACAGGATCTCCACCAGGCCTACGGTCAGATCCCCCAGACGCCGTTTGACTATCAGTATGGCCAGTCCATGCTTCCAAGGCAGCTCTTGATGGGTTCTCCGTTCATACAGAATTCTATGCCTCCCCAGTCGCCGGTACGCAGCGGGATGCCTCCCAATGCCAGACGAAGATCCCACTCTAGCCAGCTGAATTCTCCGTTGATTCCCCCCAAACTGGGCAATCCGAAGCGCAGCTCCAGCGGCTTTTCTAACCCTCCAATTCATGCTTTGAAGAGCTTAAGTGTGGCCTCTTCCACCACTTCGCTGAATGACATGTACCAGAACGGGAAACAGCAGATACCCAACAGCTACAACCTGAAGAACTCCAGAACGCTACTTTTCCAAGACCTACCTGAAACGATAAGTCTTCAGCAGTTTTTGGACTCTATTCGGTTCGGCCCTGTGGAGAACTGCTATTTCAAGGATAATGAGATCGACTCGAACGAGGTGTCGATCGTGCTGTCGTTCGTGGATAACCAAACAGCCTATATGTGCTATGAATCAATAACGGATAACCACGTGCTGGCCATCAACCTGAATGCTCCTAATCTCAAGATATCGTGGATGCTTTCACCCACCATGTTACCGGTGGTGAAGACGGCAATCGAGAATGACTCGGCCACCAGAAACGTCTACATCTCAAATATCCCTCCCAGCATCACTGAGGAGATGCTTATAAGCGAACTAGAGGTATTTGGCTACGTGGAGTCATTGCACTATCACGATGACCGGAACGTTGCATTTGCGCATTTCACCAGCATTGCTAGTGCCATCAAGGCAGTCGAACAACTGGCTCTAGACTCCAACATATTGTCCAATTGCAAGGTGTTTTACGGGAGTGACAGATGCATTAGTCGCGAGAGTTTGGACACTTTTGATTCCTTCCAGTACCAGCAACACCAAGAACTTGCTCACCATCGCCAACAACAGCACTTGCACCAGCAGTACAGCGGCTTCAATGCAGCTGCTGCTGTTGCTGCCTCAGCCGGAAGCTCAAATATCGGCAACAGAACCGTCTATCTCGGAAACCTCCACCCAAACACAACGGTGGAGGAGATATGCAATGTAGTGAGGGGTGGACTGCTGCAGTCGGTGAAGTTTATTTCCGACAAGCATATCTGCTTCATCACGTTCATCGATTCGTCGTCCTCCGCGCAATTTTTTGCGACTTCCAACATGGACGGATTAATGGTTCACGGCCGGAAATTGAAGATCGGCTGGGGACGCCATTCCGGCGCTTTGCCCAACTCGGTAATGTTGGCTGTTACTGGTGGTGCTTCTAGAAATGTCTACATTGGTGTGGTGGACGAGGAGGCGGCGAACAAGCCCGACGCTGGACAAACCGTGTCTGCTGGAAATGCCGGTTCTAAGGTGCCAGACGTGGACGTTTTGAGAAGAGATTTCTCGGTATTCGGTGAGATTGAACAGATCAACTTCTTCAAGGAGGGAGCATGTGCGTTTGTAAACTTTCTGAACATATCCTCAGCCATAAAGGCGGTGGACGAGTTTAACGGAAAGAACCGCAAAGACGTTCATGCCAATTTCGATGGACGCTATTTGGACTACAAGATTTCTTTTGGAAAGGACAGGTGCGGCAACCCAGCTAAGCAGAGGAAGTCCAAGACCAAGAAGGCCAAAGGCAAGACGATCAATGAAGATAACAAGCCTGAGGATGGGTCCAGTGACGATTTAGCAAAAGAGCAAGATACGCAATCCAAGGATATCAGTCCTGCTCCTAGCGATGTGTCTGGATCCTCCAAAGGCGATGTTGGTACCACTACCAGCACTCCCAATACAACTGCTCACACATCTGAAACGGATGCTGTAGCGTTTGCTGGGATTGGGATCGTTTCCAAGGCCTCTGAGAAGGATCCAGTAGCTAAAAAGGACGTTGTGTCGGTTGATTTAAAGCCCGAAGAAGTCGAGGAGACCCAGGAAGAGATTTTCCAGGTTGAGAATGGCTTATTACCAGGCCAACTTCGTGATGCAGACAGTTACGATTCCGACTCCGAAGAGTCAGGTTCTATCTCCATTATTGTCGATAAGGACCCAAATTCCCCGGAAGTAAGAGCAGACTCTCCACTATCGGTTACTGTTCCACCCCGCCAATGGAAATCGGCCAATGGCCAGAGCAACGGAAATGGGACAGGCAATGTGGCCCCTATTAATAGACACAACTCCAGCAATAGTTCCAGCTTCATCTCCAAGAACTACAATTCGTCCAGGTCTTCTTCCAACGGATCCATGAACCTGTACCAATTGCCTTACGGGAACTCACAGGAAAACTTCTATAAGAGGCAGCAACCGCCGCAGTCTCTTCAGCATGTCCCACCGATACAGCACATGCAACAGGTCCCTCAATCTGTGTATTATCCAGGGTATCAGATCAACACATATCTCAAACAGCCAAGGACGGCTGCCTACATGCCCAAACCTGCTCAGTCCCAGAGACTGAATGGACATTCTTCGCATTTCGGAAACGGCGCTGTTATGGGCGGAGTCAGTTCTGGTTCTCAGGTAATGGCCCAGTATCTAGCACAGGCCCAGCATGAGAATCTTCTCTATGCTGCCGCTGTGTTGAATGCTGAAGAGGAGTATGGAATGTCAGGTGACGAATACTACTTTGAGGAACCGGATTATAAGTACATGAACGGTTATTATAAGTCTCCGCCAATTATTGATCTGCCTAGTCCAACAGCGAGATTGTCAAGCAAGTCGAAGAAGAGATAATGAGGAAAACATTTAAGGCTGGTTACCTAAATCAATTTTTGTCGGAGGGTTAATTCGTCTTAAGGACCGGCACTAATATGAATGCCTGGGGTTTATAACTTATGAGTACTAAAATATGATGTCTTTATATCTATGCAACAATTGTATCACCTGTCTTGTGAAAATAAGCAACTCAAATGACATATGATGAGCAAAGTGCGAAAGCAATTGGTGATTGGTGATTGCATGAAGGGTTTCTATGAGAAGAACCTTATTGGGGAAGACTAGAATGGTCGCTCCATAATATTATTTTTAAAAAATTATTATGAAAAGTACGCCATATCCAGCGCTAGTGAAAGCAACTAATTTTTTTTCACTCAAAATAGTAAATTTGGACCGAAAAATAAGGAAGACTGCAAACGAAAACACCCCGTAGATCCTTTTCTAAAGATCTGCATAACCTTCAAAGCATAAATTGACAGGAGTCCAGGCCGTCCGACGGTATACAAAACCCCCAAAAAGGCTCTTAGATTTTCTTCTATGCCGCATGCCAAACTCCTACTCGACCACGTTTATCAAATGCAACACGGCAGTAATCGGTATCTCGGATCTGACATCTGACGTTTATGTGCCTGCGTCAGGACCAAAAGCCAATGATAGCAACCTTCCTCGGGCAAGTGAAATTGTAGACACTGGACACTATTTAGGGTTGTCTAGCGGTTGCTTTGACAAAACATTGGCTGGGTTTACACCGAGGAAAGGCTTTATATCCAGCCATGCATTTCTAAATCTACTGCCTTTGATTCAGCGATGCCACACAGCCTAACATCCAAATCTTAACTTTACCTTTTTTGCAGCACACAGCCGCCCAAGCCCGAACAGGCAGGTCCGCGCGGAGCCCGGGCTTATGTCTTTATTGTTTTAACTTCCGATAACTTACCCCCTGGAATGAATGTGGCCGATTTGTGGTGATCTGTACTGTCAGCGGGAATGCCGTGGTTACTTTCTTTGAAGAATCCGGATTCAGGATTCCGCTCACTGAAAGCTGCTTTTCCGACACCCCTTCGGAAGTGCGAAGACGAGCATGAACAAGTCTAATTGAAAAGGTTATTTACTTGATATAGTAATATTGCAAGTTCTAATAAGGAGTTGCTGAGAATAATATACGCATCTGGTGGAAGTTGCGATGTTGGAGAGCCACCTTTCACATAGTGTAAGGCGACATAATCTGTACTGATCGTAGACATGGGGTGTGCATAGTTTTGATGAACATCGGTTTTCTCGTATCAAAATCGCTACGATGGGCTCTCCCGCCTACCTAAAAGGAATCACCTTCCGAGGCAGCTGTCTAAATATACTGCTTTCATCAGCCTTCCACTTATTTCCACGCATATTTGTCTCAATTAGTTGAGCCCTCCCATTGCAACTTTAGATTTCCAATCGAGTTCGGGGTGCATCGCCAAATCTTACCATCTAGACCTTGAAACGCTTGCTGACTCCTTTCCACTTCGTCAATTCTGTCAAGCGTTGGCATGAGTTTTAAGTTTTCACGTCATGCGACGCGTTCGCCTTGATTGATCTAGATCACTTTTGATATTTGCTAGCTGGTGCTAGTTCCACAATTGTGTAACCAATTGCATTCCGTTGTAAGCCCCAAATGCATTCTGCACATTCCACACTCGTCGTTGCAGGTTACGATTGTGCTCCGAGACTTGGCTTTCATTAAAAACCATTCAGAGCCCAAGTGCGGTCGTCATCATTATGTAATTGCAATGCTCCATTATTATTACAAATCTCGATGTCATCAGTTCTCATTACTATCGTCTGTTCGATATTTAGTATACATTGTTAATTCAAACCTATCTAGAACGCTTTGGACTGCGTGAAATGTTTGAGCTTCGGCTCTTTCATTGTGCAACGGCCTGAGGCGGCTTTCCGTTCTCAAGCTTGGATTGAGCTACTGCCTGGGAAGTCAATGATTGACTATCCTTCGAGGATGGAACTTGCGCTTGTTGAGGTCTCAGTTGCGCCTGGACTTGGGCCTGGGCATGTGCTTGCTGTGATTGAATCTGTTGGGTCTTGGCCTGAGCTTGAGCTGCATTCTGCTTTTGAGCCTCAATGGCCTTCTGTCTTGCCTGGTGCATTTGATCGTAAGCTTTCGTCAATAGCATGCAGCCAAACCTGATGGCCTGTGTTTGTGAACTAATTTGATTCAGCTTACTAGGATCGATTGGGTTATAGGCTTCAATCTGCGAATCGAACATGAATCTTGATTTGGTTCTCAGGCGCCTGTCATGTTTGGAGTCGTAAACGTTGACTGGCCCTCCCTTATCAACATCCATGTTGTCTGCATCTTGTTCTTCTTCAGAATCTGACGAATCGAATTGCAGACAATCATCAATATTCAGCTTTCTGTCCAGCCACATACCTCTGCGACCAAATCTCTTTCGGAATTTGTAGACTGGTTGAGTTATGGACAGTTGCTTGTTGTTGATCAAATCGTAATGTTCAACAGCAGGAACTTCGACGGGATCACCTGAGGCAGCACTAAAAGCCAAAACATCTGGCAAAGGTGACTTTTTATCGCTCAAAATTTTGCTCAAACTTGGGTCTAAGAACCTTGAGTTCTCAACCTCAAAGATAGAAGTCGAGATGGAAGAGTATGGGGTGTGAGATGGCTCCTTGATCAAGCTATCTGCAGATGCGATATCGAACAGAGGATTTAGCGGATCATCAGTGAGATTGATCCAGCCCTCGTCTTGCAACTTCCGCTTTTTAAGCTTCTCAGCAACAGCTCTAGTGATTGCATCTTTCTTTTCGTGCAATACTGCGGATACAGTAACGAGATCCAAGTCTGGGATCCTTGATACAGGCAGCTTAACATATGGCTGAACAGCTATTGGATTTAACGAACTGCCAGTTCTCCGGAGAGCCTGTGGATCGAATGCGGCACCATTGGCACCACCTGTACGGATTCCTTGAACTCTGTCCTTGCGATCCTCGTCCTTAATATCTTGCGCAACAGGGATGACCTTCTTCTTCTTGTGGGCAATGAGGTCTTCTTCTTCACCTTTGATGCCAAGCTCTCTCTTAACTGACTTCACTTGGCAACGCATCTTGAAGATATCATTCTCAACCTTCAAAGACTCCTTTCTCTTGACCTCTCTTTGAGCACACATAAATACAAGGTTATACGCATTTTTCAGTTCTCTGTGAAACTTTCTCAGCCTTTCGGATCCCTGCGTGTCTGACCTTCTTGTCTTTCTGGCCTGTCTGACCTCTCTTCTTCTAAAACAAACGTATGGATCACTGTCATCCTTTTCGGAAGGGTCTTCAAATTTGAGGATTGGAAACACAGACCTACCCTTGCGCTCAATCCTCCTAAGCTTCCAGTGAGCATATACTTGTTTTCCAAACTTCTCAAACAACTCGCCGAGAGGCCTGGGTTGTTTCCCATCTGGAGGAGGGGCGTCTAGCAAAGTGATGAAAGGATGGATATTCAGGGTTTGTTCCAAAGTACGAGCCACGTCCTCAGGCGACGTCTTATCCGGTTGTAATGCAATTGGTTTGATTTCATCAAAAGTCAGAATGTGTTCTGGGTCCATAGCCAAGAACGGCTGTTTCTCATTGATAACAGTTTCAAATCTATGCGATATGATTTCAAACTCTGTTTCCGTGCAGCGTGGGATATCCGGTGGTAGTTCCTTGTTCATCTTTTCCAAATATTCCTCGTCTTTTTCATCCATGTTATAAGGGCATCCTGCTGTATCTTCAACGGTTGCGGAGAACCTTATGTAAGATGCAGGAGCTATGAACTTCTGCGTGTAATATTTGGAAGCATCCTGCCACACTTTTGAGGCGTCTGGGGTGGGAATGTACACTTGCTCAACTTTGGCACCAGAGATCTTGGCTTGAGCCGCATTGATAACTGCTTGCAAATGATGCTCTTCCTCTTCCCCTTTCTCCACACCGGTTTCAAACTGCTGTAACTCTCGCTGTTGGTCCTCGGTTTCAAGATCAGGCAAATCAGATTGCTTCCATATTGAGAGCGTCTGCTTCACAGAGATCTTTCGCTGACGAAACCGGGCACCGGCAGCAGATGGAAGTGCCATTGTGTGTGCAATCTATATGTACAAGCAGACGAGTTGGTGATATTGGGTCTCACACACCAAAAACAAACAAAGGAAAACGAACCAAAACAAAGCAGAAAAACAGGGGAAAAGGCTCCAAAGTCTTAGAAAATTGGCAAAAAAACAGCTAATTTTCACACTTGGTTAATAATATGTTCAAGCTATAGCTCAGAGAATAAACTCACTTCAACTGTCTGGCTCTGGCAAATTCTCGTCGGAGGGAGGGAGGAGGTGAACAATAGAAAAACGGTTACCCGGCTGTCTATCGGTGACTCCAAGGGGCGGTTTCAAGGAGATCTGTAGATATATCAAATAAATGACTTAATAATCATCGAACCAGTCGAAATGATTATATCTGGGATACTCCTGAAGATGTGTAGATTCAAACTACAGCAAATTTGAGCCAAATAAATGGTGTAGATGTGCTGAACTGATGATGTCTTGTAGTGGGTTTTGGTTGGTGGCGACTGACCGCCCCTGAAGGCTGATGGCCGACGACCACGGAACGTGAAAATTTGTTTCGGAATTGGAGGTGGTTATGTGGCACTGGGCCGAAGCTTTGGCCATGACATTAACAATGTGGTGCCTTAAGGCTTCTATATATTTTTCTTATACGTTTGCTAGAGGATTACTATACATCAAAATTGGTTATATATATTGGAAATTATTCCCCCAGGGTGTTTTCTCAGGTGTGCATAATCTTGAGTGGTAATATTTGCATACCATTGCATATACACTGATATATCGTCTCCCTACTGGTATCCTCACTTGAGTTTATGCTGTATCTTTCTTGGCATCCATTCGTTATGTACAAGTGGTATTTTCTATTTATTTCGGTTTTCACTCACTCTTTAGCCACTTTGATGTGATAGTTGCCGAGTGCTTGCTGGGTTACCTTGCTGGGACTGTTTACGACAGCGTCAACGCCAGCCTGGTTCTTTGGAAATGCAATGACATCACGAATACTCGTGATTCCTAGAAGCATTGCACACATTCTATCGAATCCAATAGCCAATCCGGCATGGGGAGGGCAGCCTGTGGCAAATGCTTGAAGAAGATGCCCAAAGAGGATGTCTGGGTCTTCTATCCCGAGAATGGACTTGAAGATGTATCTCTGCAGCTCAGGATGGTGCACTCTTCGTGATCCACCTCCGACTTCAACGCCATTGATCACCAAATCATAGTGTTCCCCACGAACCTCTAGTGGGTTGGTGAAAAGCTGATCGAAGTCATCAAGATGAACCATGGTGAATGGATGATGTGTGGAGACGATCTTGGACTCGTCGTATGTAGGATACCCGCTCTTATCCGCGGATTCCTGCTCGGAAGGGCTGAACAGAGGAAAATCCACCACCCAGCTAGCAACAAACACATCCTCGAGGGGCTTCTCTATGAGCGTGCCATTTCCATCAACAAGAGCTCTTCTGTACTGTTCAGGCAGTTCCTTGATTGCGATCTGTCTGAATTTCCCGAGAGGGGTTGGGTTTTCGTAGGGGAACTCCGCTCTGGTAGAGCCTGCAATGACATCACCCTCTTGAAGGTGCAACTTCAGTTTCAGCTCTTCCAATCGGGTAGGATCGAACCTGACTAGTGGCGCAAACGCATCCGTCCAGTCCTCCGTTGAACGAATCTCAACAACCACAGGTTTTCTATCCCTGTACTCCAAATCGCTGAAAATCTCACTTGGAATCTTCCCGGAACACTTATTTTTCAGATCGCGCAAAATACAAACCTCGAAAATCGGAAATTTCGAATTTCCTTTCACCTCGCTGGTGAACTCGGTCAAATCGATAAACGTGTGGGTGTACCTCAAGTCAGGCTTATCAATTCCGTACTTAAAAAGAGCCTCTTTGTACGTCAATCTTGGAAATGATTCTGTTGCCTTCAGTTCTGTCAGCTGAGTATCGTCGACAGCTTTGTATAGAGGTAATTCCCTTGTATCCCTCCATATGTTGATTACAACCTTCTCGACTACCTCGCGAACGTCTCCGGCATCAGCAAAAGCCATTTCCATATCGATCTGGGTAAACTCTGGCTGTCTATCCGCCCGGAGGTCCTCATCCCTGAAACATTTCGCTATCTGGTAGTAGTTCTTGACACCACTTGCCATGAGCAACTGTTTGTACTGCTGGGGCGATTGAGGAAGAGCATAGAAAAACGATTTTCTTCTGGTCGGAACAAGAAATTCTCTGGCACCTTCGGGTGTGGATTTGAACAGCAGAGGTGTCTCTATTTCTGTGAAATTCAGGTCGTTTAGCGTATTTCTCGCAACTTTTGAAACTTGGGCTCGAAATTTCAGGTTCTTCTGGAAGCTTTCTTGACGCAGCTCAAGATACCTATACTCTTGTGGGTATGAGGAGCCAGTTTCTCTAAGTTTCAGCAGCTCGGTAGGTTTCGTATTTGACTTGTTAAGAATGTTGAGTGATTCGACTTCCAAATCCCATAATTCTCTAGTTTTGCCCGAGGTATCTGACTTCTTAGCAAACCTGGGGACAATTATGCCCTGAATGCTAATTGCGTCTTCCGGTTGAAGAGACCTCAATTTCGAGGCGTTTTCGTCCCTGGCCAAAACCTGAGTCGGCTGACCGTTGAAATCACGAAATTCGCAAAACGTCAGGTTTTTCGAAATCTTCCTGGGTTTGGCGTTCACCCATCCTTGGAGGGTGACCTGTGATTTGGATGAGATGAGATCCTGTACGGCCTCATTGACTTGGTTCACAGTGTGTGATGCTTTGGGCAATATGACTAGGTATTTCAAATTAGTTACCAAGCAAATATCGCACTGCTCATCATTCTCTCATACTCACAATTCTTCAGTACGCTCTCTTTGTCTATCACTGGCGCAGCTGAGCTTGACAATCTCGATTGGCCAAATCTCGCCGAGTACCTCAATCCTTGAGACAAGATCCAAATCCCCTTCATGAGCCAAATAAACCTCAAGGCAACCAATTACCTTGTTGCTTGCACAATTTCAACGGACCACCCGCATAATTCGACACCATCAAACGATTTGGCCAGGTGAAAAGTTACGTGTGCCCACCACTGCCATGATCCATGTGCCACTAAAATCAGAGCATATTACCCGGAGATCACACAATGTTGGACGAAATTTTCGAAGAGCTCTCTCAGAAAAATCCCTTCCTGACTCATTCTTGCTTTTTTTCCTTTTCCCAGCTTTCATATATCATCCTCAAAATGTCTTTAGGAACGCTTTACGGTAAGCCGGCCACCCGTACCATTGCCCCAGTTGGTTTGGTCAAGGCTCTGGGTCTTGATGTCAAGATCATTGACACTCCATATGAAAACGACGTTGACTTCCCATTGAAGAAGTACCCAGGTTTCATCACTTCCAAGAACGTGAAACTTTTCGAGGTTACCGCGATTGTCTACTACTGTAAGTATTTGGCTTATTTTCCAGTTTTTTGAACCCCACTGAATTGACTCTTGTTGGTCCCTTTTGAAATGATGAGAAACCTTTTTTTTAAACAGTTATCCCTGTCTTAATAAATCATGTCGAGGTAATATTCAACGCTGAAACACAAAGAAGGGATCAAGGAGAATAATCAATTCATCTCAATGAAAAACAAGCAACCTATTTGTGTCCAGTTCTAACACCCTTTCAGTGATCAAGTCTCACGATGTCAACTCCCCATTGCTCGGCAAGACCGACCTTGAGTTGGCTGAGATCCTCAAGTGGATCTCTTTGGCTAACACCGAGTTCATGACCGCCTCCTGTGCCTCGTTCTTCCCAAGTGCCGGAAGAGCCCCATACAACAAGAAGGTCGTGGATGAAGGTAACGCTACATTGGCTCTCATTCTCTCCGTTCTAGAGACCAGACTTTCCGAGTTCACCTACTTGGTCGGCGAGAGATTGACTATTGCTGATATCATCTTTGCCAGTTACTTCCTCAGACCATTGGAGTACATCTGGGACAAGGCTTTCATTGCCAAGCACCCAGTCGTCTTCAGATGGTGGAAGACCGTTGTGGCAACTCCATTCTTGAACTGGAAGTTTGCCGACATCAAGTTCCTTGATGCTCCTGTCGAGCCACCAAAGGCCTCCAAGAAGGCTCCTAAGGCTGACAAGGCATCTGCTCCTAAGGCTGCCAAGCCTGCTGCTGCTGCTGCTGCTGCCCCAGCTGCTGAGGCTCCAACCGAGCAGAAGAAGGCTCCACACCCATTGGCCGCTTTGGGTAAGCCAACCATTGAGCTTGACGAATGGAAGAGACATTACTCTAACGACGACACTAGACCTGTTGCTTTGCCATACTTCTGGAATGAATTCTACAACCCAGCTGAGTGGTCTTTGTGGAAGGTTGGTTACAAGTACAACGATGAGTTGACCTTGACCTTCATGTCCAACAACCTGGTTGGTGGTTTCTTCGCCAGATTGTCTGCTTCCACCAAGTTCCTGTTTGGTTGCATGGTTGTCTACGGTGAGAACAACGCCAACGGAATTGTCGGTGCTTTCTTGGTCAGAGGTCAAGAGTTTGCTCCAGCCTTTGACGTTGCCCCAGACTGGGAGTCTTACTCCTTCGAGAAGCTCGATGGCTCCAAGGAGGAAGACAAGGCTTTCATCAACAACATGTGGGCCTGGGACGAGCCTGTTGTGGTTGATGGTGTGAAGAAGGAGATTGCCGACGGTAAGGTTTTCAAATAAGCGTATATTTTATTTGGTAATGTAATGGTCAGCCTTTAACGAACAAACGAAAAAGAAAAAAGTAGGCTCTGAATGCTTCACAAAATAAATAGTAACTCTCATATTTTTCAACCTCAATATCGATCTTTTGTTGAAGATCATTTTTGTGGTTACGCAGCACGGGTGTCCACAGTTTTTGTGTGGATTCAGAAACGGACAATTTCTAACACGTTAACCTTCCAAGTTGTATTCTGATTCCCTTCGATTCAGAGGTTTTTTCTGAGTTGCTTAACTGTTTGTGTTGGATTAATCGGGTGCTCACTTACACCAAGCATTAGCCAATAAATCGAGTTTCTCAACACTCCTGATCAGCGTGTTGAATTAAACGTTATCCTCATTTACACATTTGGCGAACTCCGTGATTTCAACCTTTGTCGGCTCCATTTTTTCATTGAATTCCTCTTTTCCTCATGGTTGTCGTCAAGAGTCCTATCCTCCGTCACATACGAAGGAAACCACTCCAATTTGTAGCACCAGTGGTGACTCTCATACTGGTGTTGTACCTGATCGTGGGCAGGTCCTCAGGGAAGACCAAGGGCAAATACAGCTACAAGTCCAGGAGCAAGGGTTTGTTTTCGAGACCTAGAGATGTGATCCCCAGAAACTTGCCTAATGACCACATATCGCATTACGATTTGAACAAACTTGCGTCGACGCCTATGGCTGCTTACAACCAGGAACGTGTGCTGATCTTGTCGCCAATGTCCAGATTCTATGATGAATACTGGGCCAATTTGTTAAAATTGACATATCCCAGAGAGTTGATCGAGTTAGGATTCATTGTCCCAAGGACCGCAGACGGTGATGTGGCTTTGAAGAAACTGGAGAAGGCCGTCAAGCTGGTCCAGAGCCCCAGGAACAGTAAAGAAGCCAAATTTGCCAAGATCACCATTCTGAGACAGGACAATGAGTCGTTGCAATCGCAGAAAGAGAAGGATAGACATGCCTTGTCTGTGCAAAAGGAGAGAAGAGCGAACATGGCGCTGGCGAGGAACTCGCTTTTGTTCACCACCATTGGACCTTACACTTCATGGGTGCTTTGGTTAGATGCTGATATAGTAGAGACGCCAAACACGTTGATCCAGGACCTGGCTGGTCACGACAAACCAGTCATTTCTGCCAACTGTTACCAGAGGTACTTCGACGACGAGAAAAAAGAAGACTCCATACGGCCATACGACTTCAACAATTGGGTTGAGAGCGATGAGGGCTTGAGAATCGCAAGTACGATGTCAGACGACGATATCATCGTGGAGGGTTACCACGATATCGCCACATACAGACCCTTGATGGCTCATTTTTACGATCCCAACGGAGACGTGAACACTGAGATGCAATTGGACGGTGTTGGAGGAGCTGCCGTAATGGTGAAAGCTGATGTTCACAGAGACGGTGCCATGTTCCCCAGTTTCCCATTCTATCACTTGATCGAAACCGAAGGATTTGCCAAGATGGCGAAGAGGCTGGGTTACGAGGTATTCGGGTTGCCAAACTATCTCGTGTTTCACTTCAACGAATAGAAAATGTGAAGAGGCGTAATACTAAAAATCACTAAAAAAATCCAATATAAGATGGTTGTGCAGTATCCAAAAGTGTGTATGTCTGAGCCATGCCATGTAGCCTTTGCGAGACACAAGCACAGAGCTTCTGGGAAGGTTTAACCGATCTTGACAAGTTCAGTTACCAAAAATCAATATTGATACCTGGTCCAAAGTTTAATCGGACCAATACTCGTACCAATCAAGCCTGTTCTCGGGCCTCTTGAACCGACTTAAGCAATCGCACATAGTTTGGCCCAAGCAGGATTTCCGGGTAACCGTCAAAATCACGTCAATCATAGATAAAGAATGGCGTTCCATGTCACGATCAGCAGGAGCAGGGCAACTGAGCAAGTGAAAAAGAGTGTTTTTAGCCCTAGAGTTTGAGCATGTTTGGTAGATTTAAATGTCACATTGTAGCGATTGTTCTTGATTTTCAAACGATAAAAATTCCTCCAAAGTCGGTAATCTGCACACTTTTAACGTCTCACCCGAGTCTACTGATAAGAGCGCACTATTAAGCAACACACTTACATCCTATCCTAGTTTGGCGTCAGTTTTAATCCGGGTAGTTTTCATCCCTCTTTCGATATATTTTCTCTTTTTCTTCGGGACTCACATTATAATCACCTGAACCGTCTATAGAAGCCGGTTTTATCTCAAACTACAACTCCTTGCGTTTCCATTCCATTCCCCCGGAAACCCTGACAAATCTGATAGGAAGCATCCCTGAATCGCCCCGTCTTTTGCTTATCAGTGGACTCTGAAATAACTATTTTTTTCTCCACAAGTTCCACTGTTTTCTGCAGCCTCAATGCAATCGAACTTGATGGAAAAAATCCCAGACACAGGTCCCAGTCATCGTCAACACCAGAAACGCGAAGCCTTCGAGCCCCGTACCATGCCTCAGTTCTCCAAGAACAACCGGTCTTTTCCTGAGGTTGGCAACCCATTGGGCAGACATGCGAATGGATCGCAGAAAAATGCAGCTCAGGATTCGAAAAGTTCATCTAGAAGTGAGTTGAATTAAAAAAAATTGCTTTGCCCCCTTAAAAAAGCAGTTCATGATACTAACTCTTACAGACCTTTCACACGTCCCTTGCAAGTTCTTCAGACAAGGAGCCTGTCAAGCAGGCTCTTCGTGTCCTTTCTCGCATGCGACAGATGTCGCCACAGATACAGCTCCTTGCAAGTATTTCCAGAAGGGAAACTGCAAATTTGGCGTGAAATGCGCCCTCGCGCATGTTCTTCCGGACGGACGCAGAATTAATCCGAAGTCCCTGGCACAGGCATACCAACAGCAGCACCAACCATCTTCTGGGTCCAATTCCAACGGATTATATCAGCTGCATCAACAGCAGAATCGAGTGGGTTCATATGTTTCCAACTCGTCAAGATCGCCTTCTAGCACAATTTCGCGTTCGATTGGAAGCACTAGCAACTCCAACCCTACAAGTACCTCCAACTTCTCCCTGCAGCAGATCAACACGAACGGACTTTCGCAACCGATCAATATTTCTGAGAACCCAGACGGTTCTCAGGTTTCACAATCGCCTCATCGGACATTCATTGGCTCAAACAACTCCCCTATCGCAACCTCTCCGTTTGCCAATTCCATATGGAGTAACCCCCAGAGTGCAGGCACTTCGGTAACTGCTATCAACTCAAACCTTCATAGTACCAGTGTTGGTAGCCACGAGAATTTTGGAAATACAAACCCCACAACACCTACCAACTCGAATGGAAACTCGGTCAACAGATCGAGCTACTACAGGACCCTATCGCACAACGCAATTTTGCGTCCGTCGTTCCTCTCATCTTTGGCTAAGAAGCAAGAGCTCATGGAAACTCCCATGTTTTTGCCCAACCAGCATCAACCAATTCTTGATGGGAGTGCAATTGCAGACGACGATGACGATGATCAGGGGCAGCTAGATTTCGTGCCTTCGAGTCTTTCCGATTTGCTCACCCCACAGGAGCTCAAGAGACGAAACTCAAGACCTCCGTCCACTGCTCCTACCCCAAATTTTGGGCAAAGGACAGGAAGTGGAAGCGCAGCTCCTTCATTTTCGAGCTTCTCGGAGACAACTGGTACTAACGTAATTTCTCCAAAGAATTCGTTCAACGTTTCGTCAATCGGCTCGTCACAGAATTTCTCCTTTCAACAGCCCAGTCAACAGATCTTCCACACCCCAATGGGCTTGTCTTTAAGTCAAGGGTATACGCATACCGAGGATGATGGAACACAATTTCTGATGGACGATGATATGCAGTAATGACGCAATTGATTTCATGTTAAATTACAAGAAACTAGTATGGTGATGGTTTTTGTTTTAAAAGGATTTGGGATTGTACAAACGCAAGTATACAAAAAGGTCGGTTTTACTCAAAATTTCAAGAAATCGGGCAAGTTCAAAAGAATAGAATAGTTTATGATTGGTCCAAAAAATACTCATGGTGTCTCTACTGCTTGTTTTCAACTTAGCTTCCTATTTTTCTATCTTTATTCAGGTATTTTTTTTGATTTCTCCTGTTGTAAAGCAAAGTTCTGCACTGCAGAATGTGCATGCAGCACGCTGCATGATGCCAAACCTGGATAAACTGCTACTACTCATTACTACTCCTTCGCCAAATGATAATGATTAAAGAAATGTTTTATACACATTGACACCCATGAATGCAAATACCAAAGATCGAAAAGCGCAAAACACGAATAAAAAACACAGGATTCTCCTTCTAACGACGGTCTGTTTTACCAATACCACGCTTACCAGCAAGCAAGTGCTTGGGCAGCGAAGCAGTGGAATGTCTATCAGCCTCACCAGCTCTTGCCTGTCTGTTTCTTTCACGTCTTTGCATTTTGGCCAAACGCTCCACTTTCGATCTGAGAGCTCCGTCGCTAACACCGTCGTTGAGACGATCGGCCTGGAATCTGCCTGGTCTACCGGTAGTGGAGGCAGTCTCCACGTCCATGTTCATCTCGTCCATAACGACGTCGGTTCCTGATCTCTCTCTCTTATTAGCCATGGCAGCAGTTCTCTTGGCAACAAGGGCCGAGGTATCGTGGCCCATCATGTACATGTCCTTCTCCAAGTCAACGAAGTTCTTGGTCAAAGACGATCTAGGCATGATTGCCTTGTTGTGCAGATGCTTCTTGTTACGGGCCTCGTTGATCATCTTCTTCTGCTTGTCTCTGATCCACCTGGCCTTCTCCTTGATGTCTTCCACCTCGTCGTCTTCGATCTCCGAATCCGAGTCGTAGAATCCTTCGCGTTCGAGCCTTTCTTCTTCGTCCTCCAAAGCCTGCAGCTTGGCAGCAATCTCAGGGTCTAGGAAATCGTACACGTTCTTACCGTCCATTATCTCGGGCATGACGTCGTTCTTCCACTCCTCATCGTCTAATAGGTATCTGTCCTTCAAGTTGATGTTGTAAACACCAGCACCACCGTTCTCGGCTTCAATATCTCTTGCAAGCTTGCGACGGTTTTCATCGTTTGCATCATACTTCTTCAAAGCCTTAACAGCATCTGGAATGTGCGCTTTACGTTCGATGTCGTCTCTGGCGGCTGGCTGGGCAACATGGATTTTGTTCAAAACATTGTTGACTCTGGTAGAGCCCTTGAGCTTAGTCTCCAATCTTGCAGTCAGCAGCTTCTCACAGGCTTTGTTTCTCACCTGCATCACGTTGTCCTCCTCGATACACGAGGTCTGCATTATCTCAACACCTGGCAACGCGGTGACAGTCTTGATCAACTCCTGTCTCTCCTCGTCCAAATGCTCGATCTTGATGATGTCGGTCTTGTTCACCACGACCAAAACCGACTTATTTGCGAAAAGAGGTTTTATCGAGTGAAAAAGCTTGACCTGGTCCTCGATGGAGAAACCACACTGCTCAGATAGATCCATGAAGTACAGCACACACGATCTCAAATGCGCAATTGCATAAATAGACTGCATCTCGATATTGTTCATCTCCTCAGTGGGTCTGTCCAAAATACCGGGCGTATCAATTGCCTGGAATCTGAGGTACTTGTAGTCGAAATGACCAACGTACAACGACTTGGTGGTGAACGCATATGGCTGCACTTCAACATCAGCCTTGGTTATGCAACGAAGGAAAGATGACTTACCAACATTGGGGTAACCACAGATCAGTAAAGTTCTGGTGTTAGGGTCAATGGAGGGCAAACGGCCCAAATGCTGACGGACTTGTTCCAGGTAGGTGAGCGAATCCTTCAACTTTTTGGCGATGGTAGCCATTCTACCCAAAGCAGCCCTTTTCAGCTGCTTACACTGAAACAGCGATTGGCCAAATTTGAGCAATCTCACGTAATCTCTGGAAACCTGCTCAATCAAGGTCTTAGCCCTAGAAATACTGGCAAGCGAGACTTTGTAGTGGTTCTTCTCGTACAAAGTGTCCATCAAATCTCTGTGGAAAGGATGAACATCGTTAATGTTGGGGAATCCACTTATGATGTCGTCCAATTTCTCACCAAAACCCTCAGCGGTGAACTTGACTTTTCTCATGTAGAAGGCCCTGATACGGGTGATCTTGAAGCCTGCCCTGATGACCGTTGGCGTCTTTCTCTGGGTTCTGTTAAGAACAATATCCAGCAGGTCATTAGACTCTGGAACTGTAGGTATATCCTTCCATGTGAGCTGCATTGTGAATACCGGTAACCAACAGGGTGATAGGGGGAGTGGTTCTGAAGGCAAGACAAATCAGCTACACTGAGGAAAATTTTACTAAAAAAATTTAATTTTTTTGTGATATTGTGTGGTACACGGGGCACACATATAAAGACAATTACGTGCAGACAACAAAACATGCGAGGTAGGGTAACTATTAACTAGATATGGAATATGGGTAGAACACGACTCACCTCATCTCTCGATTAGACCTTGGACTGTAGACCTCTTTTAGACCTCATTTCAGACATCATTTTAGACCTCAGTTTAGACCTCAGTTTAGACTGGTCTAGTCTGGTCTACAGGACTGCAGCACATGCAGACCCAGCCACCTCTTGACCATCGCCGGAAACAACGGGAAAGGGGTGTAGCTTAACGCTCGTGTGACCAGAATACAACAAAAATTGTAAATGCTCATCGCCATGGTTGTCAAGAAGGAATATGCATTGACGGTCGAGAAGTCGAGAACAAGCCGCCTTTTCCGAAGTTAAGTTATGGTTGACCTAAACGAACACCAATTGTTTATTTTCAAACATTATTGACAGGTATTATTGTGGTCCGGGATTCTCATGTGCAGGAATACTAACAAAGTCTGACCATAAACTTGCTTTTGAGCTGGCGATCTTGATATCTGAACGGCAGAAGAGATACGGAATGACTGGTAGAGTAGATTTCAACTCGAATCACGGGCTTTTGAGAGGTTACAGTTGTTTATGAGGTCCGGAGATTTTCCGCAATTCTCTCTTCAAATCACGAAGTCGAAACAGCTCAGTCCGAAAATAGCGACGGGTTTTTGCCATTGAGCACAGATATAACCCAAGATGCACAGTCGCGATATGTAGGTGCCTCGTGGTGAATATACACGGCAAAGCTGTCTTTGAGGAATGGCAGACTAAACGTTTTAACGGTGGACCCTATCGATGGGCCCTAACGATGGGAATTACCGCAGCAGCCGGACCCATATATGAACATGCTGTCTCTGGAAACTTAGACTACATCCCCCAAAGTGGAGTAGGCTACATGTAGAATTAGACTGGTTCAGATATATTTAATATACTTTGTCGATGTAACCAGGGAGATGACGCTGGTCATGTTCAGCTTGCTTCAGAGAAAAGAAGCAATCTCTCAATTATGCAATAAAATTTATGAAAGAGATGATCAACGATTGTAACTTGAAGAAATCATTTCAATTGAGTAGTTCACAACTTTGCTGGCAGTTCCTCCGAAAAAACTCGCCTCCGCTCATATGTGGCTGGAAATGACATTTTCGGATCGTCAGACCCGAGAGCACTTGGAGACCGAACTTTTGCTCGGGGCGGAATTATGGCAGTTAACAGGGGATGAGCTCACCTCCAATCAGAATCAGAACATTGACCTCGAGAACATGTAATTTTCATCGAGAATCAGGATGGTCGCACCACCTTGAAGATTTTCATGTTAGTATAGCAGCCGCATTGAAATACCCAACGATACCTCCTCAATGTCCCCCTCAGCAAATTTTAAGCAAGATTAGGTATTAACTCGGTCCAAGTCCGTGGCATCGGCATCGGTAATGGCCTTGAGACATCCAATATCACACTGATGTAAGGAAAGCCTTAAGCAGGCAAACCCGGGACAAGTCCGGTGACGTGCACCGTCGGATCTAAAAAATAAAGTGAGACAAAGCGTCCGGTTTGATTTTGTAGATTAACAAAATATCATCAAAAGCATGCTGTCAGAGGCTGAGTCGGTATCATGCCATTTTCTAGGTCAAAATATGCGTATAGCTAGTGGGCAAGTAAGCGTACAGTTCTATGCCAAGGTCCGAGCGAAGGGCATCATAGCAGGGAGACCTTTTGGAGGAATAATCGTGATTGATGTACGCTGAGTCTGAGAATGAAGCCGAATAAAGGGAGAGTAGTCAGCTGGCTCAATCACCTGAACAACACTGACACATCTTGAAAACTCTCCTGAAATTATCACTCTCATGAAATTTCTACGAACAGAGCTCTCGAAACACATGCACTGATAGAGGTCCGCCGCATTACAGATCGTTGGGTCAAATTGCTAAATCCGAATTTGTCCATTCCCGAGTCCCCTACCTACTGACCAAAACGAATCTTACATAAATCCACGGCATTGCTTTCGCGAGGTGCAAATTGTTTGTATGGTTAGCTTGTCTCACAAAGAGCTATACTGCGTGTTTTTCGATTGTCTTTATGATTGTTTGGCCCCAACAATCGGACTTAGGTCTGGATGACCAGTTTTGGAGCAGGCAGGCCGTATCGAGACCGAGGAGGCAGGACCAAGCAATTCAATAAGACGAAGATTCGGAAAGACAAGGTTGTCTCGTATAACGAATTCAGGCGGGAGTGTGTGAACTTGTATATACCCTTTGAGCCAGAGTGTAATTCAGTTGCATTACTGGTTGTGAAATGAGAATCTAGTTGTGTGCATTTGAATGTAGGATGTAGTTCCTAATCATATCTAAATACACAGTGTCACATATATTCGTTGAAGAACAACCCGCTAACATTGCAATATCCAAACCTTTTTTTGCAGTCGACCCCTGGCATTTCTATGAATCACAAAAATTACCAAACCAGGTATACTGGTTGAAGGGTATGTTGGATTACCGATACGGACGCAAAGCGTCCTGCTGCAAGTCAGGCATGTACAAGAAGGGGACAAGCATCCAGAGCCAGCATGAAAGAAGTCCCCGATTGTTTTTTGATAATCAATAATGCAATCAGGGCTTCCTTACTTGATGGTGTTGAAAGTTCATGAACATTTACTAATAAAGTATCAGATCATTTGCTGACTGGTTCTGCTTTCGTTTTAGAATTCTTATCACTTCTCTCATCTCGTTTGTGGACCTGCGGCTTCGCTGTAGCTACATGAACCGGATACCAGTTTCCGGAGTACCTGCTGCTGAAGCGTGGGAGGATCAATTGAAGCGCAGACGGCTTTGGTATGAGTTCCTACCACACTCCTGAGCGGCCCAAGATGAAAAGAAGGGTCGCATAGGCATATCAGGTAAGAAGAGCTTAGCAGAATTTAGAGCATCAACAGTTTTCAGGGGGGACAGTAACATAGCGCCTACCTATTCTGCCCTCTCTTGGTGGTGGCACATGAACTGTTCATCTTAGGAAGGAGTCCATTTTCTCGCAGCATGAAGCAAAACTGATATACTCGTCAATAGTCACTATCACTCAACTAGTTCAGTAACTTCTGAACATTTGGACTTCGGGACTTCGACTTGTCTCCAATTGCGGTCGTATAAGCCATGAGTAAGACAAACAAATAGAAATCACCAAAATGATGCAATCCAGGGACAATTCTCTTTTTGCACGGCTAAGGAACCAAACATGACTTCGGTAACCGCCGATTACTGTATCGGGATTAACGGCAGTGCTTTGTCCAGATCGGTAACATTTGAGTATAACGGCCCTTGTAGACCATATGAGGTCTATTCCACGTGGTCGAGATGTATTGAAGAAGTTTGAGATATGACGGAAGCTTTTGTATCACTAGCATCAGCATAATGACTCAGTGCCTCAATTTTATGTCGGGCACGTGTGGCTTTTTTCGTGAGTCCATAAACGTGGGCTTATACAATGAACTCAAGCCAATACGGTATCCATATGGTATCCACACTGATATCACGTTCAGTCGTGTCTGACAGAACTTATTTTGTTTTATGCACTACCCAGATAAAGTTTTTATGAAAGTCTAAGGCGCGTCTAAGTTTGAAGTCGGTTTTTAGCGACCATCTGCAGCTGGGAAGGTGGAACTCAAAGCGATATTTGGAAAAGCAAAAGGACTATTAGTCTTCCATTTGAAAATTTGGTGTAGTTCGATCATAAAAAGTTTTCTGGTAAAATACTCCGGAAAATTCGCATGTACCAGGGCTTAAATGCACGGTGCGAGAAATCTGAAAATAGGTGAAAAGACGCTGTGGGTGTGAAGAAAAACGGTCGTTATACATTGAGGGGGACTAACTCAGGTCGTTCCAAAAAAAAGATCGATCTCAAGACGATGTATTTGTGACAAACTATCCAAATAATTATTCAACATGTTCGCTATATTTGTGGCACCAAATATGTCTTAGCGATTTCACGAGAAAGACAGAGTTAAAAAAAGCATTGTGTTTAGCGTGAATATGAACAAAGAGGGCAGTTGAGGTCTTGTTTCACTTGGACTAATCCTGCTATTATTACATGTAAAAAGCAACATTAATCGGCATTTAAAATTCCCTAAATCTATTCAGCACCATTTTCACTCCGAAAATATACTTCCTAAGAGAATAGACCCCGAGAGTGCTTTTTTTTTAGGACCCCTCCCAGCTTCTCATTAAGGTCTAATAAGATCGAAAATTTCATCTTGGCCTGTTTTTGAGGTCGCCTATGTAAGTAATTAGACTCAATTTGGGTCTAACGGGTAATTTAGTAAGCGCACGTTTAAAACGGTTTGAACCACTCTGCACACACATTTTATGGTATTCTACTTCGATGTCGGTTTGCTTTTAGCATAGTGTGCAAAAAAAAAATTCGTGTTCGCTGGGCACATAGCCGACTCGCTCACTGCAACGAGGGCAATATTTTTTTTGCTCCAAGCCTGATTGAGGACTGATTTGGCTTAGATCGAAACAGCAAGACTAAAAAGACCTCTAGCGGGCTTTCTTCTCAAACCAGACCGGTCTAAAATTGCTGGCTTTGGCCACGCCCTTTTTGTGCTTGGTACAAGCTTCTCTTTTGGGTCGTCTCGGGCCTTTTTAGTTTGACATATGAAAAGTAGCAAGGAAACGTACGATATATCTAACAATCAAAATATTTATCAAAACCATCTTAGCGAACGTGACTGCCAAAACTTCAAATAACTTGCTAAAAGAAAAGTATCCATAATTGACACCTGATCCAGCTTGCATAAGCAACGCCATGTCACATATCGAGCAAGACTATCTTCTTGATCCCAAACAACTACTGAAGCCTACTAAAACAATTTTTGGAGACCTGCGCGAGCATTTTCAGTAATCTCGAGAAAGCCTATCCTCCTCCTGAGGTGGTGTGAGCATTTTGACTTTAGCGAAGACCCTTGTTCTTGCTGAAGCTATGGTGTTTTCTTAGGCTTGCAGGTTATCGAATTATTTAGCAACATACAAATGCAGCCAAATATTTCGGCTTAATTCAACAGCTGATCATATTAATAATTTTCATCGTAAAGCATATTAACATGCATTGTGGATTGCTTTACAACCAGTAGCGAATTTACATCCCTAAGAATGATCTTGTCGGTTGGTTAAGATCGTCTAGATCGAGATCCATACTCAATTCAGACTCACAGGTTCGGCTTTGTCACAAACGGATAAACATGTAGGCAGTATTGGGTCAGACGACTAAATACTTTAAGGGGCTAAGTCACCGGCCCGACTGGCATCTCCACCAAAGATACATCCATCATGCCTCCATACATACGGAGACCTTTATGTAGCCCAGCTCAACATGTTAAGGTTGGGCTAGTGCATTGCGTCAATCTACGGTACTACCGGTTTTTGATGATGAAAAGGTAATCAGTCTTACGTTTAAAGATGTACAGGATTAAATGTGAATTTTTCCGACTTCAGAGTTTTTCTTAAAAATTGCAAATTCCTATAATTTGCCAAATTATGACGGTGCAAGATATATCCTTAATGTTCATCATAACCAACAATTCTGGATGCTGGAACTTCCATAAAGACCCTGTAGAATACATAGCTTGACCGAATTGTGGAATACTATTGCTGCTGTGCATCGAGAATGGATACGACAGTCTGCACTGATAAGACGTCAGTACTGGGTGAAGATTCGGCCTGTAGTCCTTTCTTGAGAGACCTTTTGGGGCCTAAAATCGGCGGGGGTTTGGTGCCGTACATGGTCTAAGTGGTCAAGTCCGAATCCATCTTGCACTTCAGGAAGAAGACCGATGAAATTGTATAGTACGAGGAGAATGCTCTCCTGATAGCTAAGGTGGGCCTAGGCTACTAGCATTCAGCTTTCTTGCATTTGAATACCCTGTTGCCCCGTGTACAATGGACTATGAACTATCTAAAAGCCTACCCTACAAAAGCCGCGCGTCACTAGAGTAACATGAATTGCACTTTCGATCCGTTAAACTGCAAGCCGGTCAAATTAGGGGGGGAGGGGGTCTGCAACGTCACCATGGAGAGAAATAGGTATCTGAAGTAAGGGGTGAGTGTTAAGGATTGGAATGGATAACGGACGGATTGTAGCGGATACCCAGATTTAGCTAATTCATACCTCCTGCATAATGCATCTTGCTCAAAAAGCATCTTTAAACTGTGAACTCCAAGGATACGATGCACGATGTGAGATTTGATATGCAGCATGCACAGCGGCTGCACAGAGGTCGAATCGCACTTCCCTGAAGTATGCTTTCTTTTTTCTTTCTTTTTTTCCCTCCAAGGGATAAAACTCCTGCGCATATCAACCCTCTGGTGCATATCCATTTCTGTCAATCTGGGTTATCTAAGTTAGAAGCCATATATTTATATAACCAATGTATATCCCATTCTTGTGCTAAGCTCAACGCTCCTTTCTAGACCATAGGAACCTATTCTTTGTTTCTGTAAACAGCGAACCTTTGATACATTGATTCACTCTTCCTGAAGAGTTACCTGGCTTTTTGAACCACAGCTACAAACTCGCCTCTTCAGCTACCAGCCTTATCGACAATTTTTTCAATTTTTCACACTCAACTCGAATTGGAAATTCCTGTATCATACACGTTTCCTCGATACGCGAAAAACACCACACCTTTTTAAATTGCTGGAAATATTTCGAGGACCTAGAAGGTGTGAAATATCTGCTGGCATATTTATTGTGAAACATATCCGGGATATTGGATATACGGACTTTTGGCTTGATAACTCAAAATTTCAGCTTGACAACTTTCAACAATTCCATAACAGCAACCATGACTGATTTCTTAGGTTTCGACGACCTAACCACCAGCATGTTCAAGCCAGACTCGCAAATAGGCGACATCACCCTGGTCAAATCCAAACCCGAGGACGAGTTTCTTGACTCCCACCTGCGTTTCCACCAGGGCCTTCAGCTGTACACTCCAATCAGTCCGGTTTCGTGCTGGGAATCTGAAGTTCATGAACAGTCGGAATTTCCGTACTCTGAAGATAGCGAAACCCTTCTGAGCGGCCAGCTTTTCACGGAGATGGCGCTTCCCTCGCTTATATTGGAACCTTCCTCGGGCTCGATAAGTCCCGATTTGATCTCCAATCCGACGACACCTGATTCGTCGAGTTTCGACAACAATTTCCAGGTAACTTCGGGTAATCTGGACTACTCGCAATCCTTTCACCACCACAGCCATGACCATGAAAATTATGACCACCACGCCAACAGCGATATCGTTCAGGACAAGCAGACACAGGAGTTGGAACACCACAATCACATGAATGGGAGTGATCTACTGGAAGGATCCGAATTGAAGACTGAAATGGTGTTGGAGTTGGGGATAAGTTCAGAGCCCGAAGTCAACAGTCTAAAACGCAGGGCTGCTAGCGAGGGTCTTTTTGACGAGGAGGAACTAAAAATGAAGTTCAGTCGGAGACACACCACAGACGCAATCAGACAGCACGATGTGCCCAATGCTCTGATCAGAAACCGATGCGCGATATGCAACAAACAGTTCAAGAGGCCGTCGTCTCTGCAGACTCACATGTATTCGCATACCGGCGAGAAGCCGTTCAAGTGCGACTGGAATATGTGCGGTAAGGTTTTCTCAGTGAGAAGCAACATGGTAAGACATTACAGATTACACGAGAAGGACGAGAGAAAATTGTTTAAGTTGCAGGACAGCGTGAAAAGAAAGTGAAGAGTGATAGAACAGTATTGAGCTACAGAGGCTGGAAACTTTGAGCTCGATTGTGTTACACACGTCTAGTTGGGACCGGAAAAGTCGCCCTTTTTCGTGTTGTATAGTTTTTATATATTGAGGCAAGGCTAGAGTTTTCCTATCTGGACTCCAAGTCTTCGCCAGGTTTTTTCTGGGTTTTATTAATATTACAGTTCTGTTTTCAGCAGTTGAATTTTTCAATAACAGCAATTTGGGGCTGAACGTAAATTTTTCATGTGCCCTCACTCAATATCGCGCGTTATACGGAAAGCACCTGCCAAACCGTTAATGCGTTACGCGGAAGAATGCAGCATCTACAACGATAGTTGAGATAGCCCGATATAAACCGCGAGAAATTTTTTTTTGCAAACTCAATTGGTTGCTTTGGAATTACGTTTCACTGCAACTTGAGAGCTCATTATGGAAACGAAAGCCACTGCCGTAAAGTCTTGTCTAGAACTTCTGAACAGAGATTGCATCGCCACACTAACATGAATTAACATAACTTGCATTGAAGCGTATCAGCAGGAAGATACGATTAAAAATCTCAAAGCCCGAGCGATGGCTTTCAATTGATTAGGTTAAGAATCCACGCAGAAGGAATGCACAATGGTCCCATTATTGCCTCAAGTATGTGCGCTTTTCCGTCGTATCCACAACTCAGAGGCATACAGACGGCTAAATGATACAAAATGAGGCACCCCATGAGCACTGCCATATTTAACACGAAAATTTGCCTTATGATTTAGAAAAGGAACAGGAAGTACCGTTGACGCGCGCTGAGTTGAGTCCACTCGGGGTCATTGACAGAACCACAACCGAGAAAGGGAATGCCTGCGACCTCTGTGGTGACGGCAACAACACAATAAAGGAACTTAAAGTGCGTTATAAATTTGGTTGTTAAATGATTCAATTTCACTGAGCGAATTGCTGTATTAACATATACCAAACAAGGCTGGTTCTACTTAGTGTATCGAGAAAATGTACGTGGGTACCCGTTGGAATATTGACAGATGGATGATCTCGCGCGGCTCAAGTTGCAGGTTACACGACCAAAGTGGCGGCCTTGAAGCCTTCTGCTTTGGGGTGAATCGCATTCACCATCAACTAGCTCATCTGGTCCGTAGTTTGAGTCCCATGAACTAACTTGTAGATCAATTGGGTCAATTGACGTTGGTTTGGCAGTCCATCAATTACGATTCCCTTTATATCACCCAGCATACGACGGTGAAGAGTTGTATACACTCTCAAAGTTATGGATAACAGATAAACCTTGGAGGAAATGCAGGAAAGCCTGAATTAGGAAGTAGAGCTTGGGTAATTTAGCGTAAAGCTGAGGCTTGGATGCGATATCCCCAACGTCTGGTGGAGGCAGCACGGCAATAATATTTACTTCCAAATCACACCACTTCTCGGGTTTAGTTGCATCCTTTTCAAAGGGTAAAAATCCGGTTCAAGCGGAAGCTGAGACGGACCAAAATCAGTTTTCCCAACAAAATCTGACAGCATTCTGTCCCGACTTTAGAGATTATTGTGTACGAGGCTGCAAAAAAGCTGCGGCTTCGCGAGTCTCGTATAAAAACACTCTATCAAAGCACGACCAGACTGTGCTGCACAATTGAGCCTCGGTGATATCTACGATTTCCAGAACATTAAGTGATACTCCGAATTGGGCAGTCAAGATTGTAATAATAGTAACTGTCGGTAAGAGGGTCGGAATTGAGAAGCCGCTGCGAGATCTTGACTTAACTTTGGGTAAAATCCCGAGGCAAGTAACTCTTTCAGCGATTTTCCGATAGAGCCTTCTGTTTCATCTGTGTCTTACTGCGATAGACGACTACCATACATATCGTGAAATAATATAATAGCACAATGACGGTAATTGATCTGTTCATAATATTTCATCAAAACAGAGGAAGTGGTTGTGCAAGCCGAATCAGTTGGTGCGGGTCGGATCCACTTCCTGCACATCACCGGGGGCGGCGATATCATGATCAAAAGCTAATCCTGTTTTATGATTGCGTAGACTAATACCGTCAGATGCTCTAATTTTCCCATGTTATCATGAAAGAAAACTGCCGCTGCCTACTTGCTCCGTTATTTGTCCCGGATGCCTTTCCGACAGATCCTCGCCATCTCGCCCCATAAAGCATGTTGATGCAAGCAGCGCTCGGCTTAAACTTTGGTAAAACCTTAATTGCTCGTCATTGCATTGAACCAAGAGTTTAACATAATTGAAAAACCTCCATATTGGCGATCTTCGAGCTGTGACTATTTACACCAAATTCCTTGATCCAGTTGATGCCGGATAGCAAACGGAGTTTCCCGATTCCTTCGAATTAATCTTCTTGTGCAAAGTCACTCATGTGTTAAACTTCATCTCAACTAATCCGATCTGATTAGCCGCTGTTTGGATACACTTTTTCAACAAGCTTTTTTGAGATTTAAAATACAATATATTTTTGAGCGGTTGTGTCAATTACGCACCGTTTTCGGTATCGAGAGTATGCATAGGATTTGGCTGGCAATTCAAATCATATAATTTTATTTTGTAAGTGTTATCTTGGTGGGCCATATGATGTCTCAGACAGTCTGTGGCGCTTGGCCGTGGATCAAACAGTATCGCCGCTATCTGCTATCTATATACCTTGATTCTTCCTAATCTTCCCAGATTCCGTACTTTCTACTTTGGCAATCAATGAATCCAAAAGAAATACTGGGATAATCACCAAATCGCACGGTAAATTTTACAATTCCTGATAGTAATTTTGAAACATTTTGGTAAGTTCATGGCTACTCGAATAGAATCTCAAAATCGCCCTGGTAGCTTTTCCATGAACGCTCTCAGTGTGTTCTTTGGACTTCAGAATAAATATCAAGTCATAAAGAATCTGCCCGGCCTCCAATCCAAATTATTTTCGGGTAAAGATGGCTTAAATGAAGCAGCTTTTGTTACAGTTCCTCTGATGTTTATTTCACGAAGACATGCTGTATTCACAATGTCTTAGTCAGCCACGTTTACTTGGAACCACGATTGCTACAATCGTCATCTTGAACAAGTTAAGGTTATCTGGTAAATTGCCACCCTTTATTTTTGTTTGTTTTGTTCTACAATAAACATCCCGTATTCCGCTTATTCTCTTCAAATCCATATATGACTTTTGACCGAAGCAGCAGTTTCCAATACATGCGTTCTCGTATCACCGCGGTAAGCATGCGCTTACTTCGTTTCTCAAACATTCAGTACTTCCGCGCTGCTTAACGCATAGCTCTGCGTAACCATAATGGAATCTGTGAGCAACAAATTCCCAATTAGGGAGATTTTGGAAGCATCAGAGTTATGCCGACTGTCTGGAAACTCATGTGGAAGGCTTTCTGTGTATTTTTATTCTTTCTGCAGCGGCCAAAACTTGGGAAAAGTCATGAGTTCATCATGTTTGTTGCTCGGTCAACTGCATTGTCCTGGAAGACCTAAAAGTACGTTGTCATTCTCCAAGTGTACAACAATCAAGCAAAGAAACCGAAGGCTGACTAGAAGAGGTTTGGAATCCAATAGAAATTCCAAAAAATAACGATAATAAAAGCTTGAATTTCTGAGCCTGCTGCCTTAATAAGGAATGCGGTTTCGGCAATTCGGGCAAGTCATGTTGCTTTTTCATAACGTGGTTCAACAATAGGGGAGTCGTTCAATTTTGAAACGATGATTTGGTAATAACTTCAAGCAGAAGAAAATCTACTCTACAAATCCTACAACTTTTACGGAGAATCTCCAAAGAGCATTTTGTAATTGCCTCAAGAAATTGTGCTGAGTGCTTCTTCGAGAGCTTCAATTGAGTTCCACAAGGCTGCCTAAACAAAAATAATTTACAAATCATAATTTTCTGCCCATTCAGCCTTTAGGGCTCTACGGGAATTGATACAGTTTAGTGATGCAAAATGATTTTTTATGTTCTTTAAATTTTTTGAGGTCACCTTCTGCCCAGTTTATGCAATCATCATCACGGAAAATGCAAGAGAAATTTGGAACAAAGGCTTAAGCATCTTCATTAGTTTCTAAAGCATCTTGCCATGACCACCAATTAAGCCTTCTTGCAGATCAATGGGATCTGCTCATCGTTGACTCCCCTTTGGGTAACCCTGGTGTAATGCATTAGGGGTTGTAACCGACATGCTTTGGTTTCCACTAATGACAAAAATTGCCAATAGCTAAAAAGTATAAATATAACACTGTGTTTGAAATAGCGGTGGCGTGACCTTTCACCATATAGAGGGAACTATTCGGTGTACAATTAGTTATACAAGAATTGGGATTCGTACGTGTGACTTGTCAGCCTCGATAGTTCTTTAGAAGTACCAGAGCAGTGCCATGAGGGAACTATCCGATGATGTTCCGAGGAATAGATGAATGCACAACCCTTATTGCCATGGAAAACCCTAGAGCGTTTCCGTTATTCTGTATTCGTAGTTTAAAGTAACTGGTTGCGGCTACATCAAACTCTACCAAACTGGAAACTCCGATTAGGGAACAGGTATTACTTCAATGGAGAACAACAAAATTCTGCTGGGTTCAATCAAAATTTTGCCGTCCAACTCCACATTGTGGATTATCTCTGCGGAGGTCTGAACAATTGATCATCGAGCATCTCATCATTTCATCATCTCAAGTACACCCAATTGGGGTGTATGCGGCTGGGCATCAAAGCGAAGACCTAAGACCCCTATGCATATCCCCATAGTTGTGGGACATCCGTTTCCACTCTCCTTGTTTTGAAGGGCCCCATCGCGTCCACGACTTTATTTATCGTCTCGGGTCTTCGATTTCGTCTGATAGCAAAATAGACGGGACTTTAAAAAAGACTCTGGAATTACTTCCTTTTCCGGGGGCCTTGCAACAAGCCATATAAACAACATGACATTTGAGTCGGACTTCGCGCCCAAACTGGTCGAGCTCGCCAGAAACCGAATACCACCTGCTCCGACTGTCACCAATAAAGATGGGGAAGAGTCTCTTCTATTAAAGACCACTATCAAGGCTGTTTCTGAGTTGCACATTGGTTTGCTCACAGAATGCCTTGAGCTGGTAGATCTGAATTTGTCTGAATACTACACATCAATAGAAGGCCCGGACTGGAAGGTAGACAAATTGCAGGAGATGAAAGAGGATGGCCTGGTGTACTGTATGTTCCATTCGTCCCTTACTGGCAAACCCGTGGCCTTTTTTTCATTCATGGTGACAATTGAAGAAGGAGAGAACGTTGTGTATTTATTCGAGATCCACGTCTCGCCGAAGTGGCAAAATGCCAAGCTGGGGACAAGATTACTCGAGTATGTCTCAGATATAACCAGATCACTCTCATGTGGCTTTCCAGACATAGCGGGAATCATGTTGACAGTGTTTCCAGAGAATAGGGCACTCGGGTGGTACTTCAAAAATGGGTTCACGTTTGCTTCGCATTCGCCAAGAGATAAAACCCTGAGATTTGGAAAAGTTTTGAAACCAGATTATTATCTGCTTTTTAAGAACGTTGATCCACGATGATCCTCCTCCAAAGGCTGGTAAGGCACCCATAATGAATGTGCCATTCTAGATGAGGCCATGAAAAACTTCTACAATTGTTTGCTTGAAATGGTTGTTGCTTTGAGCAACCTATGGACAGTTTTATTAATTTACAGTTTTCTTTGCACGAGTTCTGCGGCTCTTTCTCTGTGGCTTTGGTTCTTCCTCTTTCGCATCATGTTCATCCTTGGCCTCGTCATCGTTGGACTCGGTCTTTCTGGACCTCAATCTTTTCTTGACTGGTGTTTCAGGATGATCTTGAGGCTCATCGGCCGCGATTTCTAGTTCCTCATGTCTCGTCTTAGAGCGAGTAGCCATTCTCTGTGGTTTCAGATCAAGTGAAGAATTAGAGACCTCCAAGTTGGTTTTTGGGATCCCTCCCTTTCTTGTGCTTGACCTCGAACGAGTCTCGACGGTCTTTGGTTGAGAAGCAGCACTCTCTGGATTGGATACATTCCTCTTTTTGGACCTGGACCTTGTAATTACAGGCTCGATGTCAATTTCCGCTTTGTTTTCGTCTTCTTTAGCATCAATATCCCTCTTCCTCGATCTCGATCTCGCTCCTCTTGAAGCCGACCTTAAATGGTTGCTCTCATCCAACATCACCGGTTCAAACTCCGTATCTCTTGATCTCGTATGCCGGGCTGGACTGTCCGAAACTCCTGGAGCTGCTTTCTCAGATTGGTCTGGGTTGAGGGTAGGTATGTCCTTCTCCAACTCAGCATCCTCCGGCACTCTATACTCGAAAGGCTCTCCCAAAGTCTTTTGACTTCTAGATCTGGTTCTTCTGGCAGGGCTGGTCAGCCCAATTGAACTGGACGCTGAACTCTCTGGGTTAAGATCTGGAATAGGCCCAACATGTAATGTTTCGTTATCATCATCATCATCATCATTTTTATGTTCTCTCGATGGTGACCTCTTCTTTGGCGACAACAGTCTCTCCTGAGCCGTTGATATAGACCTTTTAGAAGATTTGCGAGTTGACTCTCTAAGTTTCTCGAACACAGCATCATCAATAGACTCGGGGACTAACTTTACCTTTTTGTCGAGCACATAGTCGCTTCTGTGTTGTTCTGGAGTTTGCTGCTCTTCTTCCTCGTCGCTTTGTATGGGAGTGCTGTCCCTTACAGGTGACTTCACCGGCTCATTAATCACTTCAATGACCTCCGTCTCAGGTTGAAGATCGGGAGTGGTACTTCTTCTCCAGAGAGAGAACAAGGTTTTGGAGATCGGTTTAATAGAGTTGAAGAACGGCTGAAGCGGACTGGACGAAACACTACACTCTGTGCGCTGTTTCTTTGGAGTCTCTGTATTATCATCACTTGATACGACTCTCTTAGTACCTCTTATTTCGCTGTCAGAGGCGTCAGTAACGGAATTCTCTGGAGCTTCTGAGTCCGTTTGCGGTTCATCTGAAACCACTCGTTCCTCTGGTACTTCGGGATTGACAGGCTTTGCAGGAGGTGTGATCACAACGGAAGATGTGGAAATATCTGCCTCTTCTGAAATTGACTCCACCGGTGAAACCTCCTGGTCTTTATCAACAATGTCCAGAGCATCTCCAGATGGGGTATTTTCATCGTGGCTCGGAGCAGCATCTGGTTTCTCAATTGACTGATTGTCGTTATCATTTTGAATTATACCATCGTCTACAACTTCTGCATTTTCATTTGCTATAGGAATGTCCACGGGCTCGGAAGCGACAACTGCAGTAGATTGATCCAACGCCTGGGAGTCCTCTGAAATTGCGGGAAGCTGCTGAAGATCAGTCGTTTCGATCACCTCGTTGTTTTCATTCTCACCATCCTCTGCAAACTTTAGCAGATCTAGCTGTTCATTAGCAACTTCTCCTCCTTTGGGGTCATCTTCAGCATCATCATGATTTTCGAGATTTTCTAATCCCGTAACATCAATCTCTAGTGCAGTGTGAAACTCATGGAGTGAATGATCATCCCCTAAGATGTTGGAAGATTTCAAAATTGAATCTTCCTGGTCTATGGGATCCTCAATGCCAGTGTTGAACACTTCCAGACTCTGTTCCTGTTCCTGTTCCTGATCAAGGTCTTCGCCCTCTTCCAACTGTTTTTCCATAACAGCACTTACAAACAACTCGGGATCAATAAAACCAGATTCAGAAAATGCATCCTCTTCGGCGTTCTGCGAATGCTCAGTCTCAAAACTTTGGTTGTTATTCTCTCCTTCCGGTTCATTCTCCACATTTTCATGAATGTCTTCGCCATTATAGTCCATATCATCGTTCTGATGTAGTGATGCGGTAACATATCCGTCAAACTCTTCTCCAACTTCCTCGAATTCACCGTTAGATGTGTTCTCATCTTGGATGGAAGCAGCAACGTTACCTTTATTCAGATCAGCATCTTTCGGATTTGTATCTTCATCATTCACCACACCAACATCCTCACATTCTGCCTTTGCTGACTCAGACGTAAAAGCCTCAATTGTTTCACCCTCAGATCCACTCTTCTTGGCAAACTCACTCAAAACGTTGTGCTGTTCATTAAATTCATCGTCTAGATCCGGCTCATCCGCAGTAAAAGATGTACTCAATCCACTTGGAGCCCTTTTATTTTGAGAGAACTTTTTCAAAGGTGAGGCTGGCAGCGATAGTCTTATGTCAGATTCAACGGAAACAGAAGAAGGATCGCTGAAGTGACGCTCCAGAGACTTCACCAGACTACCCAGAATAGATGATTCGGTGATAGGAGGAGGCGGAGGAGTCTTAGGAGGTTCGGACTCTGGCTGTGGTTCTGGCGTAGCCTCTTTAGGTGCGATCTCAATTGCTGTTACGAACCCATCTTCCATGTCAGCATGGGAGTCATCTTCCAAGAGGTATTCATCGGTATCGGGTATAGCATCCGCATGCACCAGGGACTCTTCCTCAGGATCATGCTGCTCCAAAGCCTCAACTGGAGTATCATGCTTGACTGAAGACTCGAAACTTGAATCAGGTCCAGCAGGAGATTCAATTACAGGATCAATCGCAGTCACAAAATTTTCCACTGATCCCTCAGAGTCATCTTCATTTTCAGACTCAGATTTATCGGCGACCTCTGCATCCTCTTGAGGTTCTTCAGCATGAAGATTAGGATCAATATTTTGAGGGGATTCAACACCATGTTCGTTTTCATCTTCCAGAGACTCAGGTAACTTATTAGAAAGAATGTCGTCATAGACATTTTCGGAAAGGTTCTGCAAAACTTGTGCAGTTTCTATCCCTAATGCAGAGTTGGCAATATCCATAAAAGAATCAGTGTTAGGTATTGGTTGTTCAATTGCACTCAAAAACTGCTCTGTGCTTTGAAGGTCATCCTCTTCGAGTTCCTTTTCTGAACTGACGCCTTCCAATTCTTCATTTTCAGGAGTCATTTGGTTCTCCTGATCATCATACTCTTCCTGTTCATTCGATTCATTGGCTTCGCTCAGATCTTCATTTCTCTGTTCTTCGTCACTGGCTTCTTCCTGCTCAGAGCTTTCTACCTGTGCCTCCAGGGTTTTCTTAGACGAACCGGTGGTAGTGCCCATGGAGCTGAGATACTCAGTATCTGCTTTTCGAGCATACAATTGGAGGTATGGGTCTTGGATTTCCTCCTCAATCTCGTCATCGGGAGATTCCTGAGATCCTTCATCCATCTCTTCGTCTTCATCTGCATAACCGTCCGAATACCTCCCACTTTCGGCCTCTGGACTGTCTTCCTCACTTTCTTCCCTTTCATGCCAGCTTTGATACCTTTGAGATTCTGTTTCCAGATCTTCGTCGTAATGCTCCAGATTGGGCTGAATTTCGCCTTCTGGGGCTTCGTCGCTTTCAGAACCGAGAACGATCACCTCGTCCTCAGAAGCTGGAGCCTCAGGAGAGCTCCTTTCCTCTTCAACATTAATATCCACATTCTCCGAGTCACAATCATCAAACATGGGATCAATGCTCTGATCGACTATTGGCTCCTGCTCTTCTTCTTCTATGAAAGGTTCTCCGTCATACTCCGGACTCTTTGAAGTTTCTACTTCAAACACAGGCTGTGACGCAGAAAGGGCAGAAGGTTCTTCCGTTTGTTCTTCCACATTATCTTCGGCATTCCTAGGTCTTGTTAACAACCCGTTCCGCTTCAACTCCTGCTCCAACTTTTTGAATGTGTCTTCGTAGATGTGGTCTTTGAGATTGTTTTGCCTTTCCTCGAGATGCAGTTGTTCTGTAAACTGTTTTTGCTCCAGAATGTTCTCCGTCTTCGCGTAGTCAGCCCTGGTCTTCAGGGATTTCATCCAGCTCACCAAGTTTTGGTGCTGGTCGTCAGATACACGAGACGAGTTGAGCAGCAACGACGTATTCAACGTAGCATCACCACTAAAGCTCGAGTTGTGCATCCGGGACCTTTCCAAAAGAGCAGAATAGAAAGGTGATGTAAAATAAGCATTGTTCAAATTGTGAGATTTCCGGATTTGCGAGACATTCTTTGACTTGAAAAGCCTCTGTCTTGTGGTGTTCAAAAAGCTATACTGAGATGGAAGCGGCAGCTTGTTGCCGCGACCAACAGACTTCCGATTGGCGGAACTCTGAGATGTGTTATGGCTTCCCATCGCTTTTTGAGCCTAATAATGTTAAGAAAAGACTGTTCCACCTTCCGTAAAAGAGTGGTCAAAGGGCTTCGAAATGTTTCAAAACTGTGTTAGTGTTGTGTTTTGTATTAGTTTGTTGGAGCACTACCATCGCCAAAAGCCGAGCCTAACGGTCAGCTAAATACAACTTGGCGTTCATTAGAACAAAGATCATAACATTGGTCACATTGCGAGGTTTTCAGGTTGCTGAATGCTCATACGATGATTTCTAAATTGAAGGAACCCTCCGAGCGCAACACCGTGACTGTTGACGTTGCATTCTATGATCCATTCAACGTACACTCTATCGTGTCTGAGTACACAGAGAAGAACAGACGATTGGCCAACTTACACTGGCGGCCTTCGGATTCTTTCCCGCTCAGACCACTTCCAATAATAGATCTCAACTGGATAGAGGAAATACCGAGAGCTCCTGCGAATATCTCAACACAGGTGCGACTTTCCAGCACGGCAGATTCCCCACCACAGAATGACCAGTTCTATCACGACATGTTGGTTCAGGCCTATGAAAAGAGAAATTCCTACATCAAGGTCATGCTTGTGATATGCCGTGATGTTGATGATTACAGATCGCGGGTGAGACCGCTTATTCGTGAATGGCTCAAACAGACCATTGATTCGCGAATCATCAAGCCTTCGTGGTTCATTGTGTTTTATGACAACAACGAGGTGAGATCCACTTTGGAGAGAAATCCGTTCAACAAGATGAAGTCCGATTTTTCAGCATATGCTACAGACGGAAACACAGATGCTGTTTTTCTGAGAATACGATCCAAGTATACCAGCAAGGCAGAGGGCCAAGAATTCCTTACATCTCTTAACTACGCGTTGAAGGCTAAGCTTCTTGACTCTGTCACCAGAAGATATGCATTATTATCAAAAATGCTCAATCGTGTATATCAGGAGCAATTTCCGTTCTCTGGAAACCCACGGTTTCCTCTGTCTTTGAAGGCAGCCATGGGAGGCATACTTCATGATATCGGGCTTTATGAGGATTCGTTGCTGTGTTTCGAGGAATTGAGAAACATGTTTTCTCAACTAAAGAATACTGATGTTTTGGTATTGGAGAATGGTTTTGACGAAGGTGTGATGTTGAAGACTCCCACGTTTTTGTACAATGAGAAGCTGTTGAATCTTGATTTGGATAAGAGCCTCGTCAAACACACCCTCACCCAATTCGAATTCTTCTCTTTTCTGTTTCTGAAGGAGTCGCAGCTTCTTTTGGCACTCTCTACATACGAAAGTTCACTATCTCTTTGTGCCATCCACTTCGGAGAACTCATGAAGAGGGTCAAGAATTTTCTGCTTGATATCAAGCACTTATCCACTAGTTCGTTGGAAAAAGTGCGACTTAATGAACTGGGATTCATGCTTATTGACGAAATAGTGGCCCTTCCGAGAACGAAACAGCTGATATCTGAGACGTTAGCGCGCATAAATGAAGGTGTCATCCTCCAAAATGACCGAACATCCGAAATTCTTGAGTTTCTAGCAGAACTCAAACTTCAACAACGCTCTGAGCTTGTCGGGATAGGCGAATATTTGGGTTTTAGAATCAAGGGTCGCATGATGGACATATCAATTGATGCTGGTGAAACGCCAGGCTCGTATACTCTCACCTACGAGCCTTTGGCAGAGCATTTGAAGTCTCAAACCACCTTCGAAAAGTTTTTTGCCAATATAACAGAGGTTATCATACATGATTACGCGTTGGCTGGGAATAGACCTCGTTCTGTTGATATTCTTTCCACTGAACTGGCAATAATTGCATATGGAGATGGCGACTATCAACAGGCAGCACGCATAATGGAAGATTCTTTCGTGTATTATCAACAGCACGGATGGAAATTCGTGAGTGGTTACTTGCTGAAGATCTACGTTGAGTGTTTGCAAAAAGTGAACGAACAAAGTACAGGCAATCCGCAAAATGCTCGCTTGTTGAAGGCCTATTTTGATCTTTTGGGAGCCAACATTTCTTCTCCAACTGAAACTTCTGAACTCATTGGCAATATAATGAGACTCTCTGGACAGTTAAGTGAAAAAACCGAGTTGTCTATTGACCAGTTGTTTGATCTCAGTATCAAATGCTTTATTTCCAGCGACCGAAGTGATCTTTACAGTATACCCATCATTTTGAAGAACCAAATTCTGTCTAACGACAATCAGCTTGAGATCGGTCATGTCGAGCTGATTCTAGAGACTGGCAACGAGGGCCAGAATAAAGAAATCATATTTGAGAAAAATGACAAAACCATTCTAAAGCATGGAACCACTGAGATGCAGTTAATCTCTTCAACACTTAGGACAGACAGTTTCAAGCTGAAAAAACTGACAGCAACGATTGGCAATGTACTTCTGACAAAGAGATTTGAAGACAATGCTTTGAGTGATTACTTGATCAAAATGTATCAAGTGGCCCCCACAGATGTGACTTCGAGTTTAACAATTCGTATAGGGATGCCTCTTCATCGGGAGCTAAACAATGACAAACTGTTGATTAGCCTTAACAATGGTTCCCATGCAATTTCAAAAGTCAAAATGCAATTTCAAAGCAGTGGTGCTACAATCTTTGACCTCGAAGATAACGCAAATGGATATCTTGATTCAGATAATAGCCAGTCTGTTAAGATAGGAACTACCCGTGATGCAAACGATCAGGTCATTTACTCCGTGGGTCAGGCTCTTGAGCCGTTGCAGAAACTAGACGTACTGATCCCTTGTTTCTTCTCAATCACTAAGGATGGTCAGTCGTTCCAGATAGAGGCCAGGGTCGACTTTGAGGACGATGCTGGGAACAAATATCAGAGCCATGTCACTGAGCGGGTAAAACCTTCACTTACAGTTGCTGTATCTGTTCAGGATATTTTCAAGTCATCAACACTGTTTTCCAACTTTGCCATTGGTACAGTCGACATAAACAAACCACTGCGCATAGAAAAGGTTGAGCTAACATCCAGCGAGGATGACCAAAGTTCTTTCACAATATCAACAGGAGTTTCTCCAACATCCGTTATTGCTTTTGGTGAACAGCCAGCCAGTTACTTTTTTAAAGTCGTCAAATCTTCGAGGAGGGCTTTGGTCTCGGGCGAGGGCTTGATTTTGAAAGCTTCCTACCGAGATGTAACTGAGGAATGCTTCAAAATCGCGGAATCGGTTTTTCGTAAGGCTGTGGGTTCTAATTTGAAACACCTGAGAAAATATGAGATTCTGCTGAAACCCATCTTGGAACAGTTGGCTTACAGAGTAAACCTTTATTCCTTATCAGGAGTTCTGCAATCGCAACCCATCAATTTGAATCAGTTTGAAACCGATATATTCAATCATGTTCCTCCCGCAGATTCGCAAGACTTGGTCAAGGTCATGACCGAAGTTACAAATCAACTCTCGAGTGAATCCGGAGTCAATTGTGGTGACCTCTGTTCGGATGTGTTATTTGAAGATATCAATCGCAGCTTGACGATTGCGGTTCCTCTTCGCATCATCGACGTCATCGAGTGTGTGGAAATGAAATACGAGAGACGTCCACAATACGTCGTAGGTGAACAAATCAGTGTCACGCTGTATATGCAGTCGATCACTTCGTGGGGGAGAACAGAAGATGACAATAAAGTTCCCCCCTCGAAAACTACAAAAAAGAGCAAGAAAAAGGTAAACTTCCGAGCATCTGTGCCAGGACAAAGTTCGTCTTTCAAGCTTCAGTTTGAGATTGCACTGTTGGAAAACTGGCTGATATCTGGAGTTAAATCTGGAGAGTTTGATGTCTCCAGGAATGCAGAGGAGATCCAGATCCATGATCCTATTGAGATTATTCTGTTTCCCTTGAAGGTGGGAAGAATACCTCTCCCTAAGATTGAGATATCGCCTATTCCGGGAAGCGATGATATCAGCATAGAAATCGACTACAAAAACGATTCCGAAATGGTACTGGTGGTTTCGGAGTTGAATAAAGTGACTTTGCCATTTTGACGAGTCATCATGAATGAACAATTGCATACTATGTACATAAGGAGTCATGCGCCATACATATTGATGCTTTCCAAAAGGGAAAGAGCCTCAGGTTTGAACGATACCACGTTGGGACGAAGTCCAATATCCAATAAGTAGGACTCAGTTGTAGGGCCAATGGACGCAATATTCAACCCTTGAACCGTATCTTGAAGCTCTAGAAGGCTTTTCGTTATAATCTCCGTACCTTGTGGAGAAAAGAAAATGATCCACCTAGAGTCAAAACGACTCGACTCCTCGAAAGCACGCTTGAATCTCTCATGAGCATCACTCATGGTGACAGTTCTGTAAATAACTTCCTCTTTTAACTGGAAATTGCTCGCTAAAAGCTTCTTGGGTAAGGTGTCTTTTCTGGTCTCTCCAGTGAAAAACACAATTTTCTTCTCTGCTTCCGACAAGTTTGAAAACAGCTTATCTTCTATGATAAGATCTGCCAACAACGAGCCATTACCAGCGTCAATGCCTCCTCTTATATCGCTGAAACCGATGCGGCTGAGAACCTCAGCAGTGGCCGGTCCAACAGTGTACGATGGCTTCTGCAGAATCAGCTGGAGAACGCCGTGTGGTTCTTTCTCGCTCAACAATCTCAGTGAATCATCCAAAGCCTCAACAGCCCTCTGTGAAGTAATAATCAAAGCCTTAGTATGCTGTAAAAACTCCGCACTGGTGAGGTATGCACATATATCTTGCTTATTGAGATGCTCATGATTCAGCAGTGGGATAAACGATGTGTGGTAGCCCTGCTTTTCAAACTGAAGCTCATAGGGATCAGAAGGCACGGTCTTATTCTTCAGGAACAGTACAGTTCCTTTTGCAGGGGATAAACTCATAAACAAGAAGGCGGAGTCAGTGACTATATACGAAAAATGGTTTCACCGCTCCAAGGTCTCACATGCAGAAAATGTGGAGCGTAATGTTTGCTTACGTAATATCAGGTGAAAAATTGGATAATCGACTATACAAAATCTATTGAGCATCTGAAGGATGTGCTGGACGCTCTTTCGAAATATGGAAGGGTCTCAAATTAATTTCTGACGCCGAAGTAGATGACTGGTCGCTCTCCAAAGGCTCGGTGGTATCGAGACCAGACAGGTCCGTCGTGGACTGCGGGAACGCTTCGTCAGTCTTTTTGTCCTTCTCCATGAGGGCTTCCACCATTATAGCAGTACCTTGGATGTTCACATGTAGAAGATCATGTAAACTTGATATACCGCCAACACAGTCATCCAGTAAACATACTCTTAAGCGGTGGATCAACTCCCTGAGTTCGTTCGTGAGCTTCGGCCCAAAATGTTTGCTCTTGAAGATTTCAAATACTTGATACTCCACATTGTCAATAGCTCTATCCAAGGTTGATCTTACGTTGGCTTCGCTATCAGCTAAAACACTTGACACCACAACAGAGGCATTTTGCAGATCAGACCTGGAAAGCTTAAACAGAAAGAACTGCAAGAGCAAAAGCACAGAGTCGTTGAAACAGTCATGGACAGCCTGCTGTAAAGATTTCATCGCTGCAAGCAACTCCTGCTCATGGATTCCAGAACACTCCGCTCTATCCACTCTCAGAAGGCTTGATTTGAAGCTCATCAGTGCCGGAAATGATCCTGCCGTTTTTGCATCCACATAAAACGAATAAGAAACTCCCAAGAGAGTGGAAAGCCACGAACTCCAGTTTTCCATAGTTTCCACTTGAGAGGTCTTGAAAGTATTCTTTAGGCTTTCAAGAGTGTGGTTGAAATCCTTCAGCACATCGTGCTTTATCCTAAATTCCAGCCGATCTAGCTGGCCCAACTCAAAATTGATTAGAGACTCGAGGGCGTTGAGCCGTTCATTCATGCCGTGCAGAAGAAGATCAGTTGAGTCTTTATCAACGCCAGATATATCCAAGACACTTTGATTGGCATACGTATTGAGGTCTAGCAACGGCGGGGTCATTGATGTTTCCACCGGCAGGGTGGGCAAACTGAAATCTTTAGCCTCATTTAGCGGCCAGAATAGCTGTTGAATGATCTCTGAGTCGATCTCCGATCTTGATTTTGGAGGAGTTGACATGTTTCTGGCTGATACCTGATCGAACTTAACATTAGTCTCAAAAAGACGGCGAGTCTCACGTAACATCATATGTGACTTGCACAGTTTGACATCGAGTTTCTTCAACGTCGTCTCAAGTTTACCTTTTTCCTCAGAGATGGTGACTAGCATTTCAGCACTTTGTTCATTGGCAATTTTCATCGCTTCCTTCACAGAGGCTGAATCAGACTGAAAAACCAGCAGAAGACTGCTCAGTTTGCGTTCAGCTGAGCTGATTTCTTCGGATATTTCCTTCTGATTGGTGGTCAGGGCCTCCTTCTGTGACTTGGCATCTTTGATCAATGGTTTCAGTTTTTCAATAGCACTATGAGTGGCCGCAGCAGTTCTCATTCCCAAAGCCTCCAGCTTGGCTTGAGCTTTTTTCGTCGCTTTTTCAATACTGGCAAGAGATTTTTTTTTTGAAGACTGAACCATCTCATTTACGGATTCAAGTCTCGTTTCCAGGTAGTTTTCGAAATCCCTATGGTCTCTATCGACTCTTGATAGGCGGGACCTAAGAGTCTCAACAGATGTAGAAAGGACCTCATTCTGAGACTGAACATTCGCATCCTGCTTGAATTTCCAGCAAAATAGTGACACCAGCAGAATGTCAACCAAAATGAATAATATCAACGCCGCAGCGCTCTTTCCAGAGTGAGATTCAAACATCTCTTCAAGAAGCATCGGCGATGATGATACTTCGGAGACCACGGCCGCATCTACAACCGCTGCCTTGATATTTTCCTCGTTTCCTTCAAGCAAAAAGGGAGAATACCGATACGTGCCAATGTTTCTTCCAGAGAAATAACCCACAGTAGCAGCCGTAAAAGCGCTCAATACAGTGCAAGCAGCCCATGCTCCCAACTCAGAAGAACCCGCGAAAGTGTCCTTGAAAAAACGGATTAGTTGCTGATCTGATAACATCTTTGCGCTGAAAAATAAAAGAGTATAGGGAAGAAAGAGGGATAAACGCGAAAAACATCATCTTTATGTTTATCCGGAGATTGGTTTGCATACCCTCACTGTGTGTGACCTGTACTATTTCTCGTGAACGGAGCGCGCATAAAGCGACATGTCATGAAAATTCTTTGGAAGCTTTGATAGTCTCGAAATCCATCATGTGATACATATATTCTAATCACAAAATAGAAGGTCACGCCCTTCTATTTTTCAAAGCATAACCAATGGCTGGCCCGCAGACTTCACCGCAGCCTCATAGACTGTAACTAGCACTTCTCTCGAAGGTATTTAGCAAACTTTATACCTCAACCAAAGACTTCCCTTCAGAAAGTTCTTCCTTAACTTCTGGTTCATCTGCTAGACCCAAATCCATGCTCACATCCTGTAACATATCATCGCTCTTGGGTTCCATGGTCGTCCCCGTGGAGTCATCCCTGTACAATAACTTGGCTCGTTTCCAAGTAGTCAAAAACGTGGAGTATCCACTAAAGCTCTTTATTTCTTTCTGGAACGGAACCCATCTTTCTGACGGACGACCCGAGCGATCGAGTTCCAGTAGGCCACCATTAGCACTGGCAGCAAGATTCACACGCCCCGCCGCAGTCCTGGAAACTTCACTCCCCGCTGGAGATTCGGGTGCTGGAGAGGATGCTGCAATCTTCTTGAAAACTGTCTTTGGACCTGAATTAGCAGGCTTGGCTTTCTTCTTCTTTTCAACTTCTAGTCCATTCGGCGTCATTCCGACACCCTCTTCTGCCTTGGCTTTCCTCTTGGTTTTCAAGGATGTGGGCAGTTCCGTGAAAGAAGAAAGCAAATCACCGGGTAATCGCAACGAGACCAGCTTCTGAGGCATTTTGGGAAAGTTTGAATGAAGTTTGATGAAGTTTGAAGTTATAGATATTCAACGTGGAGATAGGCCTCTGAAAGTGACAATCTCTGAGATAACAGTAGCAGCTTGTAGTACCAGAATGGCAGGATACAAATAACACTAATTAACGAAATCACCGGTGATTCGGATATGTATCAGGATGCCCGTCGTGAGTACCTGTCACGTCGCTAAGGCATGATTTCGTTAAAGGTAGCCATCTTTGAAACTGAGATTGAGTATTGCACTGAAGTCCACAATACCCTAAGAAAAAATTGGTCACTACAGTTGCACTTTCTAGCTTGTTAGATAAACAGTTCCTGTGGAATTTGTTTCCGTAAGTAGAGTGACCACTGAGCTCACTCAGAGCAAATATAACCCAATCAAAAGAGTTACGGGATAATTGACAAATTTAGTGTGTCGTGACTTGCATAGGTTTTATCCTCAAGGGTGTACAAACTATTTTGAGAAAAAAACATCCGAGATAGTTTAGTGGCTAGAATCCCCGCTTGTCGCGCGGGGGACCGGGGTTCAATTCCCCGTCTCGGAGTTTTCTTTTTGCAATTTTTTTTTGGCTTTTTGGTAGACTTGACGAGAAATCGTTACCTGAATCGTATTTTCCGAACAAGATATAGTTGTTATTCTATCCAAAAAGGCCAGCGATCTGCTGGATTTTATGAGGTCGTGTGCCGGTGAAGTTTTCGGTTCTGCAGGTTGGCAATTTTCACTAGCATTCGATCTCGTTAAGAACAAAGACAAAACACTCCTATTTCTTTCACCACTCTGCAATCGCTATTCCGCAAAAATGTCAACCGGTGAGAATGCTGCGGGCTCCGCAGCCGCAGCTGGGTCAGGCAGTCTCGGTAAGAAGGAACCGCCAAAAGGCTACAGTAACCCAGCTCTGGCAGCTTTGGGGCTCAGGACAATCCGTCTTCCTTCCAGAAACTGGATGATTTTTTGGACGGTTCTTAGTGCCGGACTAGGAGGAATTGCATATGATAAGTATCAACAGAAGCAAATCCGCAAGCACTGGATGCAGTCCTTTGAGCATTTGGGACAAGAGCCTGCACCTTCTGGGTTCCTACCACGCAAGATTAGGGTCTACGTTTCACCACCTCCATCAGATGTGTTGGACGAGTCTTTGAAAGTCTTCAGGAGGTATGTGAAGCCACTGATAAATGCAAGTGGAATAGATTTTGAGGTTTTCACCGAGGAAAGAGTAGGTGATATAAGAGCTGGCGTTGCAGAAGAAATCAGAAATCTCCGCAGGCAGAAGTTGGGACTAGTCAAAGAAGAGAAGGAGGATTCTCCGTCACTCAGTCTTCGGAATAACCTTGGAGCAAGCATGTTGAGAGCACCAGCACTGCAGCAGTCTGCCAAAGACGAAGAGGATCAAACCAAGTCTGTGTCCGAACTGTATTCTCCATCCAGCTTGTTGGGGATCAGGAAGTGGAAACCTGTAGCAGATCCATATGTGAGCGAAGACTCGTTGGTGCAAAGTCCTTCTGAGGCTGGTGGTGTGATTTGTCTTGGAAGAGGGGCTTTCAAGGAGTATATGCTTGGTGTTCACGAGGGTCTTCTTGGAGCTCTAGATCCTCCAGCCGAGGTGGTTGAGACGAAGCAATCTGAGTTAGAAGCTCCCAAAGTGGAGGAGCTCAATGAGACAGCAAAAGAAGAAGACTCTTCTGAAAAGACCACTGAACCAACACCTACAACTGACGAAGAAGATGAAGAGAAGAAACGGCCTGCTGTACCAAAGCCATACATATTGCCCAAGGATTACGCAGATGCTGCCGTTGCACCTGAACTGGACCTTTCTAAGCCATTATTGGACGATAAAGGAGTGCCAGTATTTTTCCAGCAGCCCATTTTGGTGCTGAGATCATACCATCTTCTGGGCTTTTTGAGAACTCCAGAGAAGATATTCAGGTTCTACACCAAGCGGTCACAAGCCACTGAATATGCCTCAAAGACTGCCACTTTGATCTCCAAATCCACCAGACCGTTGACACTAGACGATTCTTCTCAGGCGTCTGATGAAGAAGCCGATTGGCCTTCCAAATGGGTCGAGCAAGCCCATGAGAAGGATAATGACTGGGTGAGACAGTTCAGCTTTGATGAACGGGTCATCAGCAACATGTACATATATGATGAGAAGAAGTGATAGAACTCGAGCATGAATAGACAACTGAGTCAAAATCGATTGAGGTGAACCGGACCCTTCTACGATAATGTCTAACTGAATTAATGATTAGCAGCAGTAACTATGTGTCTAACTATATGCCTCCACTATACGATTTCACCTAATTGGCTTTTTCGGTTCCCTTGACCAAACCATCTGGCTTCAACGTTGGGAAGAGCAAAACCTCTCTGATGGTGTTGGAGTCTGTCAAGAACATGGCCAATCTGTCGATACCACATCCCCATCCTCCAGTTGGAGGTAGACCATACTCCAATGCATTGCAGAAGGTCTCGTCCACCAATTGGGCTTCGTCGTCACCTTGGTCTTTCTGTCTGGCCTGCTCTTCGAATCTGGCCCTCTGGTCAAATGGGTCGTTCAACTCGGTGTAAGCGTTACAGATCTCCTTGGTAGCAACAAACACCTCGAATCTCTCACACAAACCTGGGACGTCACGGTCGTACTTGGCCAATGGGGACATCATCTGTGGATGGCCAAAGATGAAGGTAGGGTTGAAGCAGGTATCCTCGAGTTCTCCAATCAGCTTGTCCAACATTCTCGCGTTGGTGAGAGGTGGAGGGCAGTCGAGCTTGTGCTTGATGAGGATCTTCTTCAAGAACTCACCAGTCTCTGCGGTGTGAAGTTGGTCTCCAGCAGGGAACTTGACGTCGAAAACCTTCTCGAGCTCTTCGATCATGTTGATTCTCTTCCAAGGTCTGGAGAAGTCCAGAGTCAAAGCTTTGCCCTCAGGGCCGTCTGGGTGGTAGGTAACCTTGTAATCACCGGTGATCTCCTTCACCATTTCACTGAACAGAAGCTCAGTCATGTCCATCAAATCGTAGACATCTGCATAGGCCTGGTAAAACTCACACGTGGTGAACTCAGGGTTGTGGGTCATGTCAATACCCTCGTTTCTGAACTGTCTGCCGATCTCGTACACTCTGTTCATACCACCGACAACCAGCTCCTTCAGGAACAGCTCTGGAGCAATACGCATGTACATGTCCATGTTGAGATCGTTGTGGTGCGTGATAAATGGCTTGGCAGTGGCACCACCAGCAATCACGTTCATCATTGGAGTCTCAACCTCAATGAAGTCTCTGGAGTCGAAAAACCTTCTCAAGTAGGTGATAATCTTAGATCTCACAATAAACTTGTCTCTAACTGACTTGTTCATGATCAGGTCCAGGTACCTCTTTCTGTATCTAGCTTCCTGGTCCTTGAAACCGTAGTGCTCGGTAGGCAACATGTGCAAACATGGAGTCAGCAATTTGACGGTCTTGGCGAACACGGAGACCTCACCCTCACCACCTTTGGCTGGGTTGGTTCTTCCTGGGTATCCCACAACACCAATAATGTCTCCTCTTCTAATACGGTCGTTCATTTGCTGGTAGTCTCCTTCGGCATCCTGAGCCTGGGCCATGATCTGGACAGAAACACCCTCTCCTTGAACACTGTAGAACTTCAACTTAGAACCAACATCACGCTTGACCATGACTCTTCCCGCAACAGCAACAGTGATGTCGGTCAGAGTTTCGCCCTTCTTAAGATGAGCATACTCCTTTTGGAACACATCCAGTCTCATAGTCTCGGAGAACTTGTGGGGGTATGGATTGGTTTCCGTGTGGGGCTTTCTGAGCTCGTCGATTTGTCTTGAACGAATCTCAAAGTACTGGTTGGGATTGAGATCGGCCAAATCGTCCGCATTCTTATTCACCTTTGGAGCAGTGGCAGCGGCTTTGGCAGCCTTCTCGGCCTTCTTGGCCTCCAGAGCTCTAAGCTTTTGTCTCTTCTTCAACTCGGTCTTGGAAATTTGTTCACCAGTGACCTCATCGAGATATGTTTTTTGCAAAACCTCAGCAACTTCGTTAACCTCAGACATTTTTTGCGTGGTGGAGTGTGCTTTTATCGGTCCAGATCAACGTTGTAAGACTGACTGTTGAATTTGGAAGGTCGAAAAAAAATGTGTGCACCACCCGTCCCGACTGTGCATGCGACCGGTGCTGCGATGTTTGAAATTTTCATCTTTGAAAGCTCAAGAGAACAAGACACTGGAAGAACCACAACTCAACCCGCAATAATGTCTGTTGAAATTAACTCCTCGGTGGTGCTGAAGCTCGTCAGGGTGTCTGAGGATGCCTTTCCTCACTCCATCAGCGGTCCCGTGTACGGGTTCGAGAACTCTGTGTCTCACGTCTATGCATTCCCAGGAAACCATTCGGAAGACGCCACGGTGCGTCCAAACAACGTCAAATTCCAATCTGAGGTCTTGGACTTGCTCAAGCAGGCCCATATTGGTGCTACTGCGAAAGGTTGGTTTATTTCCGCTGTTGGCGGCAAGTTTTTGAGTCAATCTCTGCTTGAGTCGATGTTGAGTCAACGCGCGGCTAAGCAGGAGAGTGGTGATGATTCGCCAGTGCTGTTGTTGGTGCATGATCCTTCCAAGCAGCAACAGGGAATACTCAGTCTCGGTGCCTTCACGCTTTCGGAGAACTTTTTGAACGTGGCCACATCCAAAGAAAAATACACAACTAAGAACCTGAACGCCAACGATTTGTCCTACAAGAACATCCTCCAGGAAATCCCAATCAAGGTGCACAACCCTCACTTGATAAACCTGACCATCCAGGAGCTTACCATAGAAGATGACCATAACATCTTGAACCTTTCCAACAGCGCAACAGCTGCCTACACCACCATAGATCAACTGTTCGAGACAGTTGACAATTTCAACTACAACCAGGGAAACTTTCACTACTACCAGAGATCTTTGTCCCGTGAACTCCCCAAAATTTCACAATGGAAGCAGAAGGCCAAGCTGGAGAATTTGAACAAGCTCAAGGCCAACCCAGAACTCACGGAGAAGGACTTGGTCTCGCTGGACGACTGGAGCAAGCACATCAAACTGCCTACTGAGCCATCGCGTTTTGAAAACTTGGTGCTAAGTGGTTTGCTGAACAATTACTGTAATGATTTGGAATCCAGTGGAGTTTCGGAGCTGTTGAAGACGTTTAGCACGCAGAAGGGCTTGGATATATAGATGGTGTATATCTCATGTTACTACTCTACTCAGTTCAATGATCTTCATCTCACTTAGGAATGCTCTATTTATTTTAATAACCCTTTCCTCTTCATCTCTAAAGCTTTCTTGTAAGGTGGTGCAGTCGGCATCTGGACTGGGTCTAAGCTGGTGCTGGAGAATCCCTCTTCCAGAGTGTAAGTGGCATCTGAATCATAGGCAGATAGATCACCACATGCGATAAACGGCGCAATTACCCGTTCTTCTTCTTCAAGCTCCAGATCGTCTCTCAAAGAGGCTCTTCCTATTCCTGAACCTTCAAAAAACTCTTCGGTGGACCCGTCCTCTCTGAGTGTTGGGGTCCAACCCGGTCTTGGTCTGTAGCCCAAGCAAACGATGAAGCTCTCGAGACTGGTACCTCTGGAGGCACGTGGCTTCGCGCAAATCACCTTGTCAAATAAATATCCGAGCTGTGAGTAAAGTAAATCGATGTCTCTTCCTCTGAAAATCTTTGCCACGAAGTTTCCACCAGGTTTTAGTATACACGTTGTGAGCTGTAAAGCACACAGAATCAGTTGTGCCTGAATATACTCGTCCAAATCGTGCAATCCTGTCACGTCTGGAGCACCGTCGGAACAAACGAAATCGGCCGGTTCTCCTCCGAATATTTCCAGAATTTTTGCCAGTGTTTTTGGGTGTGTGATATCTGCCTGTAACGTGGTGACATTCGGTATGGAGGCCATGGGCTGCAAGTCTACAGCCACAATCTTAGCGTCTGGTTCGTCCCTGCTGAAGATTTCCCTCGACAGAACTTGCGACCACGAACCGGGAGCTGCACACAAATCTACAACCCTTTTCACGTCCTTGAACAGCTGGAATTGCTCGTTCAACTGAAGCAGCTTGAAAGCTGATCGAGCTCTGTAGCCCTCTTCCTTCGCCTTACTGTGAACTCAGTTAGCTTCATTCCGAAAAAACGCAACAGCTGTAGCACTTACCGATAGTAGAGATCTCTTTTATCTTTACTGCTTTTTCCCATTATGCCTCGGGCAAACTGAATTAATTTCTTCTACCGAATATCTGGCCTCCAGCTAGTATTATAGCTAATGCATGAAAAGTTCCAATTTTTTTGATCCGGGTAACCCATCGCCAGTCCACATCGCCGACTGGCGAAACTTTCAATAGCCTTCTGCCTGTGCTCACCAGATCAAACGCCCGACACCGAGACTAATAATCATGTTGGGGGTTCTTTCGATAGCAGCGAAAAGGAGAAGTCCTTTCATGTTGACCTGTTGTAGACTCAACTCCACCCTCAGGCCGGCCAGCCAATCCAAGACATCCAAGCCCGAGATCGCATACGACCCGAAGGTTCTCACCGAGCATGAGAACGAGCCGGCTGATAGACCAATGCCATTGAATGTCGAGATGAATTATTACGCTCCTTTGAAGCACAAGGTGAAACATGGTGATTTGAAGGCAGAAATTACCCTTAGATGCTACGATTCGAGAAACCTGGACTTCTACTGCGACTTTGCATTGAGAGCAGCATACTGGCTGAATATCCCCGTCACGGGTCCAAAGCCCTTGCCGGTGAAACGTGAGCGTTGGACAGTAATCCGTGCTCCTTTTGTTCATGCTAAGACCAAAGAGAATTTCCAGAGATTGACAAAATCAAGACTGCTTCGCGTGTGGGATACGAACCCAGAGGTTATAGACGTGTGGCTCAGTTTCTTGAAGAAGCACTCCTCGTGGGGTGTTGGTGTGAAGGCACACATGTATGTGAATGAGGCTGTTGGATTTGGTGATAAGTTTGATACCGTGGCAGACAAGTCGTTCGGTAAGGGTGCTGGAAATGCCTTGAATTTCGCCAACCATCCTAACCCAGCCGTTGCCGAGAGAGTGTTGGAGCTTTTGAACGATCCTTTGATCAAGAGGCATTTGGGCCCTGAAATTGGAGGTGAGAAGGTGGAGGAGAAAGAGCAGTGAATCGTGTATATATTATGACAAAGAACATTCATTCGAAGAGTGGAATCCCGTCTTCAATGTAGATTATACACCAGAACTATACAGCTGAAAAGAGACCAATTTCATCGAAATTTCATCCGGAAACGCACGTTTTTGTCCTGTTCACGATTCTATATTGTGACTGAAGACATTTCAGCCAAGAAATCCATGTTATTTTGACTTTCATATGTCCTGACGTTTGAGTCAAACAGTTCATACAAGAAACCACATTCCCGCAAATCTTGACCAGAAAAATCACCAGGACGTTGCCAAATTTTGTTCTTCTCTTCTGAGATAACAGTTCTTCAAGTTTTGCAGTCTCGTCTTCTAAACTACCCAAAGAAGGCCATATCCTCGTCTTCTTCACTATCTGGTTGCGCGACTGCCTTCTTGGGTTTGTCAAGCTCAGTTCGACAAATCGGACATGTATTATGCTCCTTCAACCAACTCGTCGCACATTCGAGGTCAAAAACGTGGTTCTTGTGACATGGAAGTCTCACCAGCAACGGGTATGGGTCCTCCAGAAATTCGCTCGCGCAGATAGGGCACGTCTGGCCCGGCCTGATTTTTTTCTTGTTTATTCTTTCTAGAGAGTCAAAATATGCCTGGTCCATTCCTTTCTGGGGACTTTTGAACATTTCGTTGTCGTCTAGATCTGTTCTGAACTCCAGTCCACCTTCACTGACAGCACTCAATAGCTGCTGGGCTATTTGGTGGCTTATTTCGCCACCGTTTTCCAAACCCAAGTCAAGCTGCGATTCCGAGTCTCCAGCTGGAGTCCGACTCAAATGTTCAGGCGAGACTAGGTTCAGAAATTGAGAAGCATGGCCTACGCCGCCCCGTGCAGGTGTGGCAGTCTGGCTATTCCCAATACCATGTTCGTCTTGAGAAAACCGGTTAAAATCGCCATATTAACATAATCTTCGATATCTTGAGTCATACTCACCATTGTAATTTGACATTGTGACTTCGATTGGTGAAATTGACCTGGTAATGGTGGCAATTGTAAATGCAGTAGATATCAGAGATCGATGCTTGAATGAGCACGTGACATCTCATCGCCTTATCCCAGCCAGGAGTGCGCACGCTTCATAGCTATAAACTGACTCTACCAATCAATACTTCTTGGTGTTCACGGCTTTCATTACAGTTCCATGGATTGTGATACAGAAATTACTGTGATAGCAAGTGTGACACTGCTTATTGGCTTGGTGGTAGTTTTGAGACTGATCTACTGCCTGCCATGTGTCTACTACTCCAGCACAAAACGCACGATAGACGAAGCCATGAGAATACCAAAGGGAACCAAGATCATGATTCTTTTGGGGTCCGGAGGTCATACTGGCGAAATGATAAGGATACTGGGTCAGTTTTCAAATGACAGTCTTGAAAACTTAGAGAAAACATACGTGGTTTCAAGTGGTGATGAGACGTCTTTGCTGAGAATCAAGCAGCTCGAAGAAACACTTCGCTCCGGCAAAGATACAAGGTACATTATTCTTCCCCGTGCCCGGAGCGTCGGGGAATCGTCTTTCAGTGCTCTCTTCAATACTCTGAAGTCTTTTCTGTACACTGTTCGCACTTTTGTGGGCGATTTTTCACTGATCCCTGATGTTCTTTTACTGAATGGTCCTGGTACAGCAGTTCCATTGGCCTATCTTGTGTTCTTCTTCAAACTGATAGGCTTGGGTCATACAAGAATTGTGTACGTGGAGAGTCTGGCACGAGTAAACAATCTCAGCATTTCCGGGAAATGTATATTGCCATTGGCTGACCGGTTTATTGTTCAATGGGAGAAACTGGCCCATGACTACAATAGATGCGAGTACTATGGTGTATTAGTTTAATGATGCAAGTGCTATCAGAAATCGTGTGTGACCTTCATGGACTTGTAATGAACATTGCCGCTTCCTGGTGGTGCGATCTTCTTCTGCGTGTCGTTCTCCTCGTCGTCTGCTCGTTTTCTCTTGGAGCTGGTTTCTTTCAGGTTGCCATTGTCTTTCTCCGCATATACCTTCATCTGCTTCAAGGCCACTGCGTTGATCTTGTAAAGATCAGAGTTGGTAGTGCCTATACTGCGTACTTTGCCCCACGCTACCCTCAGGGGGGTTGACTCAACTAATAGAAGACATGGATTTTTGTATGTGGTGGGCAAAAACTCAGCGTTTCGCTGTGTTTGCAGGTCCAGAATGGTTTGAGCAACGGCCTGCGCATTGGCTCGGCTCTTGAAGCTAACAAAGCCACATCCAGCTTTATGATTTAATACTACGCCTTCAACATCCCCGTTGAGCTTGCGTTCAAAAACACTGGCCACCATATACTCAGCAACGTCATCCGTAACGCCATACAGAAAAAAGGATTTGACAGTTTCGTCCTTGGGTGGGGTCAACAACGTTCCGTTGAATGGTAGTTTTCCAGCTGCTTTCATGAGTTCCACGGCAGTGTACTTCTGTTGCATTTTTTGCTTGGTCTTCGACTCTTTTTTGTCAGAGTCTGTGTTCTGTGCGCGGTGTGCTGATTTCTGTGCCAGTCTAGAAAGCATCTCGATTGCTTTCGTCCTCTTCTCGCCTTCTTCGAGTAATAATTGTTCGTCGTGTTTCTCGTGTGCTAATAGAGCCTGATCTTTGAACTTTCTCTCATTAGCCTCCGCAACATACTGTTTCGAAATCGTATTGACAGGTTCCCCAGGGCCAATACTCTTAACGCCTGCCAGTTTCAGCACAGCGTTTCTGGTCTCCAGGTCTATTCCATAAGTTAAATCCAGCATACACGACTGACAGCAGTTCTTAGCTCTTGAACATGTCCAACATATAATCGTTTTTTTGTATTTTTGATCTCTTCTTGAAGTATTCCATCTAAACACTGTAAAAGGCCTGGTGCACAGCTTGCACTCGGCACCTTCTCTCTCTCGCTGCATTTCCAGATATGGGTTTGATCCTAGGCAATTTTCGCATACTGCCGGAATGTCCTCGTTTTCCCAAAAGTTTTGACCGGACATTATGAACTTCTGTATATCACCTGAAGTTTAGAACGGAGGAAGATCTATCAGTTTTGTAATCCATCTTATTTTGATTATTTAACTTTTGGTAATGGGACGACTTTTTTGTGAAAAATCAGCCATATCGTGACGGATCAGAAGGCGTTTACGAATAGGAAGTTCATGTGCTCAAAAACATTGATTTCATTAGTTAGCTATTAATTTGGGGTTCATACTCTAATAAATATCTAAGAATCCTGAGTTAGTAAGTCAGACTGGAAAAGCCGATCCAAGCTTTGCTCAATGCCAGACATCTTTAGAAAATCCATTGTTTAGTTTCAGAATTAAAAAGCTCTGTTTGTTTGTTTCCACATTAAGTTCAGTTGAAGAAATTCAAAAGTTGCAAATTGATCATCAGTTGAAACATGGAAGTTAATTAGCGAGATTCGCGTAGTCTAGCAAGACTGGCGAAATCTCTGAGACTGGTCTGGCGCTGCACAAAGCTCATTATAAATTGAACATACCAAAGCTTTGAGCAAACCGTTGCAAACTATCGGAGCATTCAGATTATTCTGAACACTCCTATGATCGCAACGCTTATTCGCGAAAGAAAGAAATTGAAAGAGAAAGAAAAGTGGAAGATTTAAATGACGACGAAACTGCGAAAAAATGCGTGGCAAAATGACCCGGGTCATTTTGGCAGCCATGCAGAGCCGTATCCGGATACTATATTCAATCCAGGAAAAAGTTCTGATGAATAATCTCGCATGGCTGTGGTTGTTATTCAAAAGGCGAAATTTGAGGAAGGCTTATATATATTAGTATGCCCTACCACATTTCGTTCACTCATAATACTTGGCTTCCCAGGTGTTCGCCCAATTGATCTTCTTCTCATCAGAATGGTTGAGATCTTTCACCAGCTTCAGTATCTCACTAGTTTCCGCAGCCAGTCTTTTCAGTATCGTTTCTGCTTCTTCTGGATCCTGCTCCACCATTATTGCACATGCCAAGTCATCAATAATCTCTCCAATACGTCTCTGAGACTCGAACAAGCCATCTATCTGACTAGCATACTTCTTCTTTTCATCTAACGAAGACGTTGACTTGGCAGCAGGTACCGATTTTTGAAGGGAAAATATAAGCAACTTGACCAGCTTGCTTTTCTGTAAGCACTGGTGTCCAAACGCAATCGTGTCCTCCGGGATTTCCGTTTCAGGCTCATTGTGGCTATCGTTGTCGTCGTCGCTATTAAAACTGGAAATATCAAATGGATCGCTCAATTTCTCCGGACTCTCTAGCCACTCTCCGAGCTCTGAAATGGCATCAGTCATGATGTCGATGGTTTCTTTAATCCTCGAGACCAAGACGCCATGACTACCACCTTCCAACGTACTGATAACCGCATCGCAACCATCCCATACCTTACCCACAGATACTAGTCTTGAAGACTGATCATCCACCTCATCTGCGTTTACAGCAACAATTCCGTATTGGTCGACCAAATCATCTAAACCGTTCACCAAATCTCTGAAATCAGTGATAACATGCACGATTTTGTCCTTGAGTTCTTTTGCAAAGATCACCGAATAGCTCGCAGATTCAACATACAGCTGGTAGGCCAACGATACCAGAAGAATCACATACCTGATGGTCTCTCTCAAAGTCTGTGTAGCAGTGCTCACAGTATCGTCCTTGATTGGAGGCTTGAACACTATTCCCAGTTTCGTGGTTTGAGCACGAATCAATTTCGATATCTTACCCAGTTCTTCTAATGCATTGTTCACTGTGGATGCCCTAGCTCTTGCCCTTTCCAGAGTGTATTCATTCTTTAGCTTCGCAATCTCCAGATCTAGGATTTTTCTGCAGTCATCTATTATCTGCTTCAACTGTTCCCCGTTATCATTAGTCATTGTCAAAAGAATCTCACTAGAATAAAACAAAGACTGACAATAAACTCATTGAGTCTTTCTGTAGAATTATTGAAAAATCTCAGGATCTTAATGAACTGCAACATATTGACAGAAGTTTTTAACACTGCATGATAGCACTGCATGATACATAATTTATGTTCTGGTTCCATACGAAGATAGATCCCTTTGGTAACCAGAATGAATCTGAGCTAGCAGAAATGTTTGAATCGATCTCATATACGGAAACATCACATTCTACGGAGGGCCGGCGGCTTCTAGATGAGCATTTAAGACGGAAGTTTAACCGTGATCTCCAAGAAACCAAAGATGACCCAGGTCACAGACCGCCACCTCGCTCGAAAATACGAAAAGGAAAACCTTTTCTATCAGAGTCCTTTGAATTATGGCATGAACCCGATGAGCCTATCGCTGAGCCGGATTATGAGGAAGTACCACTTCCTACTGTTGCAGAGCAGGAAAAGCTAGACCTTACGAAGGAATCGTTGAAGTCACGGGTTACTGTATTGGATAAGGGCGTTGAATTTTTGCCAAAGAAGCACTTGGTCTCTCGTCGATTACTTAATCAAAAAAGAGAAGACCCCGACGTTTTTTCTGAGTATGTTGCTAAGGGATTTCTGAGATACCATGTGAGAACATTGTTTGAACTGATGCACCTATCCGTACTGAAAGAACGCTGGAACCAGGCCTACAGATGTTTTGCTCTTCTCATCCGAGTTCCCAGAATGGATATCCGAGATTTTTGGACTGTTGGACTTAAGATTTTAAAGAAACGCGCGGAAACTAGTTTCATACGTGTTTTTGAAGACGTCATGAAAGAAACTCCAACTACAGCAGAGCAACTTGAAAATTCGGCCGGTGCCGCTTCATTTTTTACCAATCAGCAGCTTTCTATTCTCAGCAGACTAAGAAACCCTGATTTTGTCAGGAAAAATTATTCTAACAGTGATCTTCCGAGCCGTGTCATAGAAGAAGCGGTGCGCATCAACATCAGGACTGGAAATAAACACATTCTCGAGTACTTGAGCTGGTTGTCCAGGTTTTGCAAAGTCTCAGACTCTGAGGCATCACACATATATCCGCAAGAGCTTATGAACGAAACCCCAGTTCTTGAAGAAGATGAGACACGAAAAAAGAGATATTCTTATCATCAAAAATATGCCGCACCGCCTTACAGGGCAGGCACAAAGAACCAGCCGAATCCATATATTGCAGTGATGATGTGGGAACTATTGGTGGCTGGTGATCTGAAGAGATGCAAAGATATGACATCGCAGTTAGTTCTTGAGCACCCATACAGTTCTGATGGCCTATACTTCTTCATACAGGGAATGGCCCATTATGTTGAGCTTCAGTCTCTGGTGACGCCTCTCAGGAATTCTGGAGAGTACAGTGATGTAGAAGATTACGACTTCGATGATACTAAGGTTTGTTCAACTCAGTTGAAGGAAGCTATTAATCTTTGTTTTGCCAAGGCTGCGAATCTGGGATTCGAGTATCCCAAGGGGCAACTTCTCAGAGAGATGATGATGATTGACCGTTTGTTTGAAGAGAAAGAGGCCAGTGGTGCAAATGTTAGTTATCAATCTGATCAGGGTAATGACAATGATGAAGACAATACTGGGCAGCATGGAGATATCGATTCGTCCGACCTCGAGTGAAGCCAAACTTTTATCTTCTGGCTATACCAAGGCTATCAAGCTATCCACCTTTTCACCTCCTAATTGTGTCCAGACTGTTGACACTGTTCAACATCATTCTCACCTCAATTCCATCCTCCCTCAATGGCTCTCCATAACTGCTATTCGTAACGCATTCCCTAATAGACAGTTTGATGCTATCACTGTAAGCCCTCAAAGACTTTGCAACTGGACCTCCTCTTTGCATCGTGTCCTTGAATTTTGGCTCAAATGCCGTAGCCACATCCTTCCAGAAAGAAGACAGCAAATCTTGCAATTCCAGCACATTGGAAAGTTGATTTAGCATGGAGACATGTTTGGTCGATGTATCCTCGTCTCTATCTGACAACGGCCACCTTATGTTACTCATCACCTTCGAGACCTTCGATATGAGTCTACCCTTTTGTGCTACATCTTTCATCGCGTTCTCAAAACTCCTGGGACTGGTAAGCGTTCTGGTGAGGATGTTCAGAGACGTCAATGCCTGGTTGCTGACCAGTTGCTGAAACGCATTGTAGAGAGCTTCTGGTGAGCTTATTGCCAACGACAGTAAGGAATTGATCATCACATTATCGGGAGTCTCGGCGTTGAATTTCCTGATTGAAGTTTGACTGATGTCTATCACCCTCTGCTGTCTCTCCTGGACCACATCATCGTAATCCCTCACCAGTTTTAGACTCTTCAGAGAGGGCGATTCAACCAAATGCTGTCTCAAATCATACTGGGACTTGCAGCACTTCAGCAGATGTATGTAGGGAATTTCGGTAAGAAGTTCCATCTTGAAATGTTCCTCCACCTGTTGCACCAAGTAGATAAAGTACGTGACACTTCTTAGTAACGTAGATGTGGCGTGAATCCTCTTCAAAGCAGTGTGAAGAGTCATTGCCTCCTCATAAGGCTTGACAACGTCATTGTCTAATCTGGCATATGAAACGTTCAAATGGTCCAACGAGGGCTTGACGGTGCCAATCGTGGACTTGACCTTATCGAGTCTGGTGATCGACTGTATTAATTCGGGGTAATTGTCGGATGCCTACTTTGTTAGTGCTGAAAAATTCATCTTTCAATGCAATTGCAGATTTTGTGCGAACTCACCGTTTGCTTGATTCTTTTGTCTGCCTCTTTCAAGTCATATCCCAGCCTTTTGGCTGGTGTGGCCAGATCGATAGAGGTATCGTCAATGTTGTTGGTGGAAAGTATGAGATCATTGGCAAACTCCAACGCATTGAAGTCATCGCCGAGAAAGGACTCAAAATCCGAAAAATCCATAGCCATTTTTGAACTTCAGCGTTTCGTTGTGTTTTTTTGGGGATCGTTGTAGTATAAACTTTGGAGAGTAGGCAGAGCGAGACGTACATAGTACATGATACATTTCCAAGGTCGTGCGTGCGCGGACCTTTGGCTGATTTTATAGAATATGCTGATCCCAGCATTATAAGTTAGCAATTTTACTTAATTAATGATGTGATATATAATGTTTTGGCGTTATTGTAGATTATAGAGAACAGAAATATTATGTTTTTCAATATGGATACGTGTGAGCGGTCAATGAATGTACTGTTCACACAATGCTAGGAGAGGGACTGAAAAGTTCACTCTGGAATTTTAAAAGAGGCCTCGGTTTATGCAAATCTGCTGTTACGGCCAATTTTCGCTTTTTTTTGAGAAATTGTAGTTTGGAATCGTTCTGTGGATTCCTCTGTTATTTTCTCGCTAGTTGCCAACTTTGGATATTATTAAGTGTGATTGAATGCTGTCAAATGCTAAATATACAAATCGAGAGGCTTAACGGGCTCTATACTATAGAACTCATGAACTCAATGCTAAAGTACCCTGTGAAGTGCATGCTTATGAACTATCCTGGATAAAGACGATACACCTTTTCAGATTTGCATTGATTGTCTGCACGTCATAAACCACATCCGTATAAGGGCCCATAGTAACATGCAAACGGTCCTCGAGATATCTCAGAAACTCTCCAACAGAACCACCAACGCCAAAATAGATCTCCTTAGCTGCCACTAATGCACAACACGATTCCTTGTTCCTGATCTTGTGTAGTAGCTCCAGAATGGTCTCAGCCACTATGGGAAGAGTCTGTGGAGAATATATGGTCTCAGACGAGATTATCAACCCCGACCCAGAATACTGGACATCCAGTACATCCAGGAACTGTCTGCCCCATGATCCTGAGACCAACTGCACAGAGATGTTGTTGGATAAAAGAGCATTCACGAAGGAATCTGTCAGCGCTTGGGTCACCTCCAACTCCTCGTCGCGTATAACCGGTTCCTCATCTGGTGTCTTTCTCTGCAGCTCTTCTCTGACGTTAGAGTCTAATGTTAGGGCCCAGTTGATCAACAGGTTAGGCAGAGTGACCAGTCTCAGAACAGAGGCATTGTAATCGCTCAATATCAGCGACACTGGCTTTTCCCTGGGTTTCTCATGAAACAGACGCGGAAACAGATGGCACGAAGGTAACGCTGTGCCGCAACCAAGCTCCAGAATGTTATGAGGTTCTTCGGATTTGTTGCCAAACAGCAGGCTGTCGTTCATTTGGTTTAACCTCTCAATAGTATCAAATGAGCACTCCCAGCTCTTCAAACCACCTTCGTAAATTCCGTTTCTCAAGTCCTCGGGTGTATCACCAATCAGGATATCAAACTCTTCCTTGTCTTGCGAATCGTCTTCAAGCATGAGTTGGTGCTTGACATCGTAGAGTTCACGGCGATAAACCGTTGCCTCGCCAATTGAAGACGGCGAATATGAGACTCTGTGGCCAACTAATGTCTTCAACAAGATTCCTATATCCTCAACCTTTGGAAGCCGTTTGGGGTCAATCTGCACCACATCCAGCGGGTTGTTAAAAGCGTCCACTGTTGCAGCTTCCCTTTCGTTATCGCTGAAGTCCTCCTCAAAGTTGAATGCAAACGACATTTTACCACCAATGGGAAGATAAAAGATCGATTTTTCAACTCAACTTCTCAAGAGTCACTCTGTTATAGATCTTTTTAATCCCCGTGAGGCTGAATACGCGGAGTGGGTCTCAAATTTTTCACTTATCACACTACCATCTGTGGACTCCTGAGAGTTCGGCAGAAAAGCTGGGCTAGATAAAGCGAAACTCAAGCTAGCTGATCTGTCTACAAACATAATAATTTTTAGATTTTTTGCGTAATCAATTTAGTAATAATATGCTGGCATGAAGTGTTTTGAGAAAACAAGTCCAAGCACTTTGGTCCAGCAGCACTCTTGCTTTCAAAAAACGGGGAATTGAGCCGGTCAACATAGGGCAATATTAATCAGCTGAATCGCCCAAGCTTTTCAAGGCTTTGTAGATAACCTCACTCTTCCAAACGTGGGCCGTTCTCACAAAATCCATCTTCAATTGTGTTGTCTTTTTTTGTTTTTTTCTCTTTCTTTCAATCGCTCTGTCTAGAGGTACAGCTTCTTTGAAAACTTGGTGAACGCGGGAATCTCACAAGGGTACCCTGGTATAGAAACCCGTGCCAACCAATCCAACCATTTCGTCAAGATTGAACCATCTATTTCGATTGAACCTGGGAGTAACCGGTGAAAGGATTGGTGTTTCTCTCCTTGAGAATTTCGTCGGAGGCCTCTTGCCACTCACGGTTCATTGTCTTTGGCACATTACGTTGAGAACGGAAGGCCAAGAAGGTGGTCGCCGAAAGAGACAAACCGATAACAACACCCCAGAAGATGTAGGTCTTGTCAGCTGAAGAGTGAACAGGTCTTCTTGGTCCCCATTCACCAAAAGAAATGTACCAGGAAGCCTTCTTCTCGGCGTTGGTCAAATCAGTCCATGGCAATTTCTGTCTTTCGCTCAAGGCATCAATGATATCCTTCTGGTCCGATTCAGGGATCTGCTCCCATCTGGCTTCTATGTTCGTCACCGTGGCATTCGACAGGGCACTGGCGCATCTAACCGTGCCGAATCTTTGGGTGGATCTGGCGGCCGTGTTCAAAGAAGTTCTCAACATCTTGATAAATTTTAGAATGTGATTGCAGTAAAAGGAGAACCTGGAACGCTGTGTTGATGAAGGAGGACAATAGTTAAAAATCTTGACCAGCTGAGACTGTTGAGAATCGTAAGGTTCTGCGTGTCCTGAACAGGTGTAAAAGAAACAGCTCTGATTGGATGTGAAACATGGTTATCACACTCCCAATAATGTATCAGGTGGGACACGACCCAAAAATTGTCATCACGCGAATGACGCTCAGGTTTTGATCTGGATTACTTCTCTCTGTCTCAGTCAACATTTCACTAAAAAGATAAAAATCGTTTGTTCTAGTTTTCAAGTTTTGTCGCCTTGGCATTAGTTCATCATGTGACGCTACTCTATGAAACAACCTTCTCTCTCAATTGACCCAAGTACTCCCTGTAACTGTTGCTTCCGTTGCTTCTGTCCTCGACCAATCCACTCATACACCACATTCTGAGAGGAATAACTTCCCTGTTGGCGGTGGCAGCATATGCATTTTCATTGGAAGATGGACCCCTGATGATGTACAAGTTTTGATACACAATGGTGTCATAGTGCTCTCTGATCTTGCCAATGATGTTTCTAACTCTCACATTGAAGTCTGAATCCAGCTCTGGAAGGTCGACCTTACCAATAGGGATCTCGGAGATGTCCTCAAATCCAAACAGGTCGTTTACCAACTGCGGAACGGCATCACCACCAACCCAGAGGAAAAGCTCTGAGGTGTTGCAAACTAAGTAAAGACCGTACTTCTCGAAGTTTGTGATGGTGGCATTCAATGGTGTAGGCAAAACGGTCTCACCAACCTTCAAACCTTCTTCAGGAACATCTTCCTCTCCAGTGAAAGGCAATCCACAATCATCAGGCATATCATGTAAGGAGTAGACAGATGGATATATGTACTTGATCAAGTATGGCAATGGCATAGAACCCAACAGATTCAACGCATTTGCTCTGTGATCAGATGGTACTTTTCCTGATCTGAAGCCAATGTTCTTGGTTAAAGAGTGCAACAAAAGGGGCAACATCCTTAAGTTTGTACATATCTGGACAGGAGAGCTTGATCCAATGTTACCCGCCACCAGCTCCTTCTTGTAGGTCTGTAGGATCTCAATCATGGATTTGTTCAAGTACTCTCTTGCATCGTTTAGAGATGAGGAATAGGTCTTCTCAATAGCCTTGTGGGTGTAATAATTGGCGATAGCCAGTTGGTCAGCACTGGCATAGATATCCTTGATCTCCTTAGACGTTGGCAATGCCAATGTCAAAACTCTAATTCTCCTTTCGCCAAACGCGGTTGTATGCAACACAGCGGCCTGGACATATGCATATGGTTTGGTCAATGTTTCCTCAATCGCCATTTCAATAACGTAAGATTGGTCTCTGGCAAAAGTGGGGAAGGAACACAGGTCAGACGATCTGTTGAAGAAGTTGCCGTAGAAGGCAGACATTCTTGTGCCTGTTGAACCTCTGATTCTCATCACAGCCTCCAGCTGGATTTCCATCGACAGATGGTTGGAAATTTCCTTGGATAGCTTGGTGATGTCTTCCATACGGGATGCACTCCAAGCCGGGTAGAAATGTGTTTGACCAGCTGAATAACGAGGCAAATTCGCCAGCGTGGCGACATCTTGATACGAAGACCCAGTCAAAAACATGTCAACTGTGACTTGAGACTTGTTACAGTCAACAGCAAATGATTTGTAGAACGCATTGTTAGCTCCCAACAAAGCCGACGCCTCCTTTGGCTTGTCTGCGACACTTTCTTCATCTCTGACAGTCAGCTTACCAATTCCGATGTTTGGCAATGACGATGTGAAACAAACAATTTTACCTCCCAGAGAGTTGATGAGACGGTGAGCAGATTTCAAAGCGGGACCAAAAGCAGAGCCTTGGTCGCCACTTCCGGCAAAGTAATCGTTGAAGTTAGCCAACAGCTTCTCCACGTTGGAACGACAATCGGCCAAGTTCACCAGTAGACCTTCGGCGGCAGGAATGAGAACATCGTCCAGGTCGGAAACAACCAACAACGAGGTCTCTTTGTCTGCTTCCTCATCGGCCGGGATTTGGAAGAAAGTGAGGGAAGAAGAAACACCGATGAAAGAAACTCTTGCTCTTCCGTCCTTGTTTGGAATACGGTCCAAACTGTCCAATATAGTTCTGCTTACCGTTGCCAGAGCACCGTTGGCTAAAGCAGCTGCAGAAACGTCCAAAACAAACACAAAAACCAGAGGTTGTGGGGCTCTGACCATATATTCAGGAGGTGCAACAAACTCCACAACAGCGTGGTTCAGCTCGGATCTCTCCAATCTGTTGACAGGGGTTGATGTGGCCTGGTTGAAGTCAAATCCCATTGGCGTATCATTCAGCAGGTTACACAGATTACATCTCCATCTCTTTCCATCCTCTTGGAACGTGACAAATGGATTGATATAGGTACGGCAACGACGACATCTTGAAATCAAAGCATCGCTGACCACTGCAACCGGAACCTCCGAGTTGTGCAAGGAGATGTAAGGTCTGACGACCAAGGCCAGAGGCAATTTGGTCTTCTTGAGCAAGTTATTGGTAGTTGGCAGTACGTTCAGAGTAGATCTGAAGTACTCCGGGGGAGAATTCGAGTCTTGTTGGCCCGTAAGTGAAATGCCAGGAGCCAAAATGACTGGAGGGGGCGGTAGCTGCAAATCAGAGATCGGAGGAGGCAATTCCTTCAACAGATCAGTCGAGTAGAGTTGGTTCATTGGAAGTGCAGGCAATTGCGATGGAGTGGATCCATACGAACCCAGCGGTTGTTGCGATGGTTGTGCCGATTGGCCATAGTACGCTGGTTGTGAATTCAGAGGTGGATACGCTGGATTCCCGTATGCTTGAGCAACTCCATTGAGGCCAGCATTGACACTAGGGTCAACGACTGGAGCAACCTGTTGAGCAGGCTGCTGGTTCAAATTCATAGAAGCAAAGCCCTGAGTTAATGGATCCACACCTGGAACACCGGAGACGCCACCATAAATCTGAGCACTTGGTGTGCCCACCTGGGGGGCTCCAGATCCATATCCAGGTTGCACCGATTCAGCAGGGTTGAGGTTGTACTGAGCACTTGGATAAGCTCTTCTCCTGTTATGACTTGCCATAGTTCAATGGGATATATATTATCCGGGATCGAATGTGATATATGGCCAAATAACAAAAAAAGTGAAAGTATATAGCGAAAGACTCGGGGTAGAACGCATTTGGCATTCGTTCAACGACAAAAGGACAACACTCATGTGGTTAGGTGCGATGGGCTCAAACAACAATGTGTGCGGCTCAAGAAAGGCACAGACAAATGGATAAATCGAACAGATCAATGGTTTGGTTGTACTGCTTGTTTTAACAAGAGTAAAATGAAATTGCGTTCACTATTTTCATCTAAGAGCGATGCATCTATTCCAGTTTCTTCTGCCCCAATGTTTTCGCCATATATATACGCTTGGGCTCGATCTAATCCGCACTACCGAGTCTCTACTCTGAAGCAAGCACACGAACTGGGTCTCAGCTGTGTGACTCTGGCATTTGTGACCGATCAGAAATGGGATGAGGTTGAAGCTTGGATTGATGACATTGCTGCTTTTGAAGGGAAAGTGATCATATCATTTGGTGGTGCAATTGGAACGTATCCTTCTGGATCAATTGAAGCAGAGTACAGAAGGGCGAAGAAACTCATTGTCAAGAGCGGGGCTTATGGGGTAGACTTTGATATTGAAAACGATCAAATGATCTTGCCTGTAAATGTAGCCAAAATTGCTTTGATTGCAAAGCAGCTCCAGCAAGACCTTGGGTTGTACGTGTCGCTTACGCTTTCTGTATCGCTATCAGGCTTGGAATCAAAATCTATAAACGTAATCCGCACCTTTGTGAGACAAGGGGTGGATATCACAGTGATTAACTCCATGACAATGGACTTCTACACTCCAATCAGTACTTCGTGGGGAATCAAAACCGTTGAAATTTTGAAATGTGTGGAAAGGCAGCTAGAGGGAATATACAAACACAATGTCCGCTCCAAGGTTGGCGTTTGTCCCATGATTGGTTTCAATGATGACGGGACTTTTTTTAGTGCAGAGGACATGCGACACGTTACAGCATATGCCAAACAGAGGGAATTGGGTATGGTGACGTTCTGGGCTTTGAATAGGGACCAAGTAGGAAAGGGAGACATAAACTTGTTTTCGGGAGGAATGGATTATGAGTATACTAAAATAGTTCTTGAAGGGTTGAAGGAGTAACAGGTTATACAAAGAAGTTCATTAAGGGTTTGGCTTTATTCTTTGAACTGATTGAATTGATCCGGAAAGGTTGGACAAGAAAGATTCCAGAAAACATTCAATTGCTAGTTCTGTGTCAAAGGTTTGCCATCTTCATCATCAGATCCTCACATCTCATGATGTCGTTGATCTTCTTCATTACGGCTTCGTTCAATTCTCGATCAAGTTCAAGAGATCCGGGCTTTTCTTTTGGACTTTTCTCTTTACCTCCCATATGCTTGAACAGTCGCCTCAGCTCCTTATTACATGTTTTGACCATTCCACGGCCAATGGCCCGGGACCTCTCCTTCTGCTCTCTGTTAACAGAAGGTTTTTTTTCCTCCTCTGACTCCGTCTCTGCACTGCCACAACCCATCCTCATCCAATTGTGCAGGATTTGATCCTTATTCATCATCATGGCTTTATGAGAGTCGTAAGACCAATTGCTAGAAGCAGTTGAGACTGCTGAGCAGACAGATTCTCTGGATTCATTCAGGATAGCAGTTTGCGCACTGATACCGCTAGTACATGCCATTGTGGAAGAAGCATCTGCAGACTGCATCCTGGGAGCTTCCAACTCTTTTAGAAGCTGTTCCTGTTCAATCCTGGTGGTCTGCCTTTCCAAAATTCTTCCATGTTTGTCGAGATTGACCACAGTGAGTTTTTCTGATCTTGTCAGATCACTCCTGGAAGACTCGTTGAAAATAGGCAAGGATATTGGGGGAATTTTGCGACCATCTTTTCTCGGTGTGGTGTTTTTTTGAGCCGATTGGGATGCAAAGAGGGTTCCTCCCACTAGGGCTTCAAACGAGCTCATCAGAATAGAGCGAAAAATTCAGACACCAAACTGAGAGAGGCGGTGTCAGCAAATTTTTTTCTATTTCGCTGAAAATATAATTATATATAAAGGGGTACGGCTTTTACTTATGCTGATTCGAACAGTAACAGAATATGGCATTCCTTCAGACTGTTCTGCTGCAGCTTGGGATCAGGATCAGGATCCGGAATCAAAGGTTTTCTCACGTGCCGTAAAGCTGACAACACCTAAACCTCGCCAAAAAGACCACTCAAAATGCATTGAATGTATTTTCAAATGATCCATTTCTCTGCCACGGAGTAGTTCATTGAACCCAAACCATATATGCGCGACCTTTTATAAAAGCTTATTGTGCATGCAACCTTTTCCAAAAGCTTATTGAGCTTGCATGTTCTGATGCGGCTGGGAGAGTACATTACTATAGCTCTATATAAGGGAAATTCAAAGATAAGGATAAGCCAAGTGTCTTTGAAATCTTAGCAAACCTTCCATTATTTTGTTATGAAAGGCTTCTTCAAACAAAACGGAGTTTCTTGCTCTCGTGCGGGGGCTTAATGATTGATACACGTATTTTGACGAGACCCCATTTATGCCGCGGCACTAACCGAATCAGCAAGTCATAGAACTTCTTCCTAAAGACACTTGACAAAACTAGAATGTCACTGCCATACGTGCCAGTGGGCATACCAGTCTACAAAACCATTGAGCACAACGGCGCCAACTTCAACACTGTAATCTGGGTAAGTGGGTACTAAGACCTTGATCTCTTCCAAAATATCGCTAACTTTAGCAGTCCCACCAAGGAGCATTCAATGGAAAAAGAATCCTTTTTGTTCACGGGTTTGGTGAGCGTGTTGAGGTGTATTCTCAATTTTTTGACCGTTTGACTAGTTTCGGGTTCGATGTATTTGCCTTTGACCAGAGAGGTTTTGGCAAGACTGGCGAAGAATGGTCAGCTCGGGGTTTCACTAATAATTACCACACTTTTGATGATCTGGAGTTCTTTATCACTTTGAATCTCAATGAACTAGCAAAAGAAGACAAACTGTGTCTTGTGGGTCATTCTATGGGTGGAGGGATCGTTCTTGAGTACGCCAGTGTCGGGAAACAGAAGGACAAACTTTACAAGATTGCCTGTACCGGTCCTGAGATTTTGCTTAGTCCCGAAATCAAGCCTAATCTACTATTGGAATGGACAGTCAGAGGACTTGCTCAGCTTCCCTACCTCAAGAAGACTAAATTCTATCCCAAGATCAAATTTGAATTGGTAACTCACGATGTCGGGTATCAGGACTATTTGAAGGCTGACGAACTAATGGCCCCAGTGGGAACCTTGGTCATGTTAAGAGATATGGTTCTGCGAGGTCGTGGGCTGCTTACCGAAGAGAATATGACCAAATTGAGAGGCGATTTGCCTTTACTGATTGTTCAAGGTGAGGAGGACAAGTTGAGTTTGGCGGCCGGTGCTGTTCAGTATTGCAAGGAGGCTAATAGGGTAAAGGGAAACGATTTGAGATCAGTGATTTTGATTCCTGGATGTTATCACAGTTGTCTGATAGAGTCCCCAGAATACTATGATAAGGCCGAGGCTGCTATAGTCAACTTCTTGAGCTCCTGATGGTACTTATCTGACCCATTCAGTTTTTTGCGCAGTTTTTTATTACTTCTAGCTACAAGAGCGAACCATTGCTTGACACTACCTAGAAAGAACAGCCTGGTGATTCTGACTGATTGACTTATCGCGTACTGTGAGTGCACTACAAAAAGTCCGACTCCAGAAACTGCATCACGTGCTTACCGCCTAACCGACTTCAGGGTGCCGACTCATAACGACTATATACTTAATCTAAAACTTTAGATGCTCTGTAAACTGGCAACTGGTGTTCTCTTTGCACGGCGTACAGAGCTGGGCGTTGAGGTCACTCTTGACCACCCTCGACCCCTCCAATGTGGGGTGACTTCTTTCGGCATTCCCATGTGACAGATTGGGCATAAGTGCAGGGCGTGTGCATTTGAAGGCAGGAGGTGCATTTAGATGGTGGGCATTGGAGGACAGTACTTGTCAGTCGAGGAAATAATCAGAAATTACAACAAGATGAGGAGTTACTTTGTTGGGTAAATGTGCGTATCATGTATTTTGTAAAAAAAAAATGGGTAAACCCTTTTCCGATGGCGTCTGCGGCCTTAACAGCGGTCGTCACATGGCTAGTATGGCCGAATGAACAGGCTTCATCACCCCAAACTAACCCAGACCAAGGGTACGTTCCGTTTTAACCCCCAAAAATTGACTCCAGCCCAAGAATATTTTCGCGTGGGGAATTTCGTTCCGTTCCGTTGCTCCACATTACTCCGCTTTTTGATGCCTTTCACCGGCATTGCTACTGGTCCCACTTAGGGCCCAGCGATTAGTCGCCTGTCACTAATGCAGACAAGTATTTCACCCCTCTCTCCGCTTACCAGGCAAGTTGTATATATAAAACGTAGTCCTCGGGACAATTGATAGCACAGACATGTCTGAAATCGTGGACACACTTTTTTTGCCCTTTCGTTCACAATGTCTTCTTCAATAACACAGCTAATAAAGTCCCAGACTAACAATGCGGCTGATGGCACGGGAATCAAGAAGCTGGTCAAGTTGACTCAGAACCTTCTCCATACCAAAACCATCCCCAAATACCTTGTTGATTACGTTCAGGCCCAACAGCAGTCTCAGTTCGGTGGTTATCCCGATCACAAAGACATTGCTCCTAGTGCAATCTTCACTGCGGTGTTCGCAATCTTCTTCATTGCTCATCTCTCAATCTTCATAAAGAACTACTCTAGAGGCCATATTTTCTGGCCTGGTTTAGCTCTGGCATTCTATGCGCTATGTCGGTGGTTGGGCTTTGCTTTGAGAATTGTGTGGGCCAAGAATATCATGAAAATTGACGTCGGTCTTGCCTCTGAGGTGCTACTGGCGCTGCCCATACTGTTTTTGGCCACGATCAATTTGATACTGGCACAAAGGGTGTTTACTTGGGCTCATCCTGCTGGTGGAAATAGTCGTCCATATTGGATATTCATGTCTGTGCTCTATTTTGCCGTTTTCGCAGTTGTGCTCATGACAATTGTTGCTGGTGTGATTCCTTATCTCTACTTCCTGTCTGAAAAACACTTCAACATGTGCAAGAACGTGATGAAGGTTTCTGCAATCTTGGATGTTCTCTATACCTTGACTGCAATTTCTTTAATCCTGCTGAGTTGGATTTTGCCTACTACTGCCAATGACAGGGCTCAAATGGTTTACCAACCTACGTGGATTGAGTCGTTCCATTTGTTGTACTATCCTCCTCGTGGGGCAGCCCAGAGAGCTGAACGCGAGTTTGTTGAGCGTCATGGAACACACGTGAGACCAGCGAGGACAATTACTTTTGTTCACACCAAAGATTCGAGACTCATGAGTTTCTTCAAGTTCAACAATGTACATTCTGCGTCGCTATTTCTGATTGCAAGAACCTCTTTCCTGGTATTGATTGGCGCGGTCTTCAGAGCAGTTGGTCTGTTCTTGAACAGAACCGCTGGTCAAAAAGACTGGATTTACAAGCCGGTGGTGATGTACATCCTGTGGGGTCTGCTGGAAACAATAATTAACATCTGGTACCTGGTTGACCGTATTGATCTCAGGTTTTACAAGCCAAGCGCCATCAGGTGGAAGAAGTATGGTGAAGTGGAACCAAAAGCCCCCGAAACTGACAGGCCTTTATCTGATGACCATATCGATGACAAGCCTGCGATTTCCATGAGATCGAGTGCAAACACGGAAGAGGTCTAGGAAGAGTCCCTGTAATATGTAGTGTTCTTTGTTTGCTGATTTCTATAGTCTGTTTTGCCCAAATTCCAATATATTCGGTTGCACATTAATTTACGAATTTCTCCAAACTTATGTTCACTTGTCTCAAACGCTTCTTGAGCTACAAATCTTCTTAATGGTATCACCGTGGCTACTGAGTGCCCCCAATGGAGTCTGCCTTCTTATATTCCGTCTCCTCGTGAGACTCTGTCTTTTCCTCGTGGGAGCTGATAGTACCGTTCTTCTCGGCCAAGAACTTCTCCAAATTGGCAGCTCTCTCAGCTTGCTGAGTCTTCAATCTCTCCAAGTGCTTTACATCTCTCTTGGCCTGCTCCAGCTCCATTCTGTGGTTGGCCCACAATCTCATTCTCTCTCCATACTTGAGCACAAAGAGTGGGAAGGGAACACCCAGGAGAAGAGCGATGAAGCCACACAGGGAGTTACCCCAGCCGTAGTTGAGTTTAGCGTACATCTGGTCTGCAAAGAGTGGGAATGCGAAACCAAATGCTGATCTGAAAACTGTTGCAGCACCAATGGCAGAGGCAGCAAATCTGGGGTTCATGTCGACAAGATAGTTCTGGATGGTTTGGAACACAACAGTTAACGAGAATCCAAACAAACCTGATCCAATACAGGACATAATCCAGTGGATCTTCTTCTCCACAGACCAGCCGTACCAGAACAACGAAATTGGAATACCAATACCGGCAAAGATGAGAATTGGCAATCTGTACTCCGGCTTGGGGACTCCGTTGTTGGCAGCTGTTAGTTTGAAGTAGTAATGATCGATCAGCTTGGTCCAGAACAACAGTCCAGCCAAGAAACCAATGGAAAGAGGTAGATACATCAATCCAGCGATTCCAAGGGAAAAGCCGTAACTGCCTTCATATACACCTGGGAAAGTCACCAACAACAAGTACATGAATCCGTAGCAGAAGGCCATGAATACTCCCAATCCAAACACCATTGGGTGCGTGAATAAAAGCTTGAGCGGCCGTTCGATGTTGAAGATAAACCTTTCCGTATTAGTCTCACCGCTCGCAATGTCGTAAATGGTGATGAGGTACGGGTTTCCAGTTTCCTTTCTCAACTTTGCGGCCTTTCTTCTGAGAAGAGTTGGTGGATAGGTCTCTTCATAGAAAATGAGACCTAGAACAGCCATGATTCCAACAGCAATGATGGAGACATACATGACCCATCTCCAGCCACAATTCTCTGTGATGAAACCAGAGATAACAGGAGCCAGAGCTGGGGCTAAGGATGGTCCAACAGCATACACAGCCATGGCTGCGTTTCTGGTTTTAGCATCGAACAGATCACCAATGACACCGGCTCCGGAAGACAGAGGAGCAGCTCCAGCGGCACCCGAGAAGAATCTCAAAACGCAGATTTGCGCGACGGTGTGGGTTCTGGAGACACCGATGCTGAACACTAGCAAAGCCCAGACGGAAACATTTAACACGATGGAACGACCGTACATTTCCGACAACGGGGCGACAAAAAGAGGTGCGAAAACCCAAGCCAGGATGTAGATCGAAACAATTAGAGCTAGGATCGTGGAGTTCGACTCATGGAACTCGACTCCGATCTTAGCAACTGCAGGCGAAATGATGGTGGATACGAGTGGAGACATGAAGGTGTATGCAGCGACCAAGAGAGTAACCTTCCACTTCCGCCCATTATTCCAGTTTCTAGGATAATCTGGATCATCAATTCCATTCCAGGCAATCAAGTTAGGGTCAAGACTCAAAAATTCCTGACCACCAGCCTCGGCTTGAATTCCAGAACCAGGAATATTCTCAGCACCGTCACCGGCATCCTCTTCAAACTTCTGACTCTCCATTTCGGCGTTCTTACCAGTCTCAATGTCCTTCTGGAACAGAGAGTCACGACGGCTCATGCTCTCCAGTCTGGCTTCGGTCTCGGTGGCCCTTCTTGACAAAACCTCGAGAATGGACTGTCTGGTCTGGGTTCTGATAAGAGCATCTTGAGTCTCTTCCACATCGTCGTTGCTCAGTCCAGCTGGTCTTACGCTTGACCTACTGGTTCTAGAGGTCATGCTGGACAAAGTCCTGCTTAAACTGAGACCATGGTATGCACTGGCGCCACCGCCAGTGGTAGCAGCGTGCTCGTTCTGCAGCGTATGAATGGACAGAGTCTCTGGTTCGGCAGCATAAGCATCTTCATCATCGGCCGAGTTGACAGAAGGAGCACCTTCGGCTTCTGAGTAGTTTTCTTCGGCCGAATAATAGGCGTCGGTTGACGAGGAAGTCAGTGTGTGGGAATCAGACATGATTTAGTGAATCTGTAGCAGATCGGCTTGCTGCTCTGCACAGGTCTGGATAAAAACAGGTGGTGAAAAATGTACCGAAAACCACTGCAATCACGGAAACTCGGTATAATAATGGATCCGACGAAGCAGGACAAAAATTACCGCACAATGGTGTATGTATATCTAGTACACTCCTTAAAGTCCGAAATTTGGCACACAACAACTGCCGAAAATCTTCAACAATTCTTGTGATCTGGTGATATGTTTATGTTCCAGCAAATCCAACACAGGGCAGCGGTTTAAAGATGAGGAATATACCAAAGATCAACAAGCAGTGATGAATTCTATCAAAGCAAACGTTTCAGCAGCTTAAATTGTATAACTGTCCCCAACACACCAGAGTTGAAGAGTGAACCAACAAGACCAGAAGCGGCCACACTGCTCTATTCCGAAAGAAGGAATTTTTGGCTCGGTCGTGGGGTTACTAGGATCTCTACAAGTTTCCCTCTAGGGCTCTTTCCGAGATACGGAAATAAAAGAAGAAGATTATATAATATAGTTATCTCTATATATTGCTGGTGCAAGCCGCAAAGTCGATTTCCGAAAGAAAACCCATGGTTTTGTGCTTCGGTATTTGGGGCAACTTAGACGAGTTCGGCTTTCAGTTTTCTCCATCGGGTCGCTTAGCCGTGCGTGGCAGGGAAGGGCTTTCCGTTTTCGATGCAGCCGCGCCGGCTTGCCAGGGCTCTAGATTTGCCGTTTTGGTTATGGCTACGGCTGAAATCAATGCCGATGGTTTGGCAGGGCACTACTATATTATGTGGGGATCTAATGTTGTATTTGAGGTTTCATGTTGTAGATATCGTTTGTCCTTATTTTTTTACCAAAGAGCGCCAACATAGTTGGCTATAAATTACCCAGAGATATTTTTTGCTGTGACCCCCTGCTGTAATGATCAGACCCTTCTTTTTTCTTAGATTCCTCTCTAACCTTCGATTCAGAGCATGCCTATTGAAACCCAGCCAAGTGACCTTGACAAGGACTTCGAGTCGTTTGTAAATGAAACAATGCACTTGACAAAGGAAGGCATTGCTGGCACTGATATTCTTTCCCAAAGAGATCCAAGTGCTCCTGAGTTTCTTTGTTTTGATCATTTGACAATGTACGTTGGTTGTGTTAGCACAACCGCCAGCTTCTTCATTAACCAACTCGGCTTTGTTCCTTACTGCTACAAGAGTCTTGAAACAGGCTCAAGAGATGTCATGGGAAAAGTACTTGTTAACGGAGATATTGCCATTCAACTTCTTTCTCCTTTGAGAGAAGCTTCTGAGGTTGGCGGTAAAGTCTCCGATTTGCTTGACGAAATCCACGATCACCTCAAAAAGCATGGTGATGGCATCAAAGACATCGCCTTGAGGGTTTCCGATTGTGCCGCCGCATATGATTATGCCGCTCGCAATGGTGCCAAGTTATTGTCTGGGGTTGAGGAATACAGGGATGAAAATGGCAGAATCTTCAAGGTTGCAAAGGTGGGAACTGCTTGCGATGTTGTTCATACTTTTATCCAACGCGATCAAGGATTCCATGGATTCTTACCGGGTTACATCTTCTACGAAGAAGGGCAGTATCCAATGCCTGAAACGGGTGCTCCCCTGGTCAACTTGGTTAAGATTGACCATTGCGTTCAGAACCACGACTGGGATAAAATGTTGGAAACCTGCGAGTTCTACCGAAGAGCGTTTGGATTCCATCAATTCTGGTCCGTTGACGAAAAGCAGATATCCACAGAATACTCATCTCTACGTTCAATCGTCATGACCTCTGCAAATGACGAGGTCAAGATTCCCATCAACGAACCAGCCAAGGGTCTTTGCAAGTCGCAGATTGAGGAGTTTTTGATCTTCAACTCCGGTCCAGGTGTTCAGCACATTGCGTTTCTGGTTGATGATATTGTTTCCGTTGTAAAAGCAATGAGAGCACGTGGTGTCACATTTGTTAGCATTTCGGATGCTTACTATGACTCTCTTGCAAAAAGACTAGCGAATGCTAGTGTTCATGTTCAAGAGCCATTTGACGCAATCAAGAAGCTGCGGCTTTTGGTTGATTACGACGAACATGGTTACTTGCTCCAGATCTTCACGAAGCCTCTGTTTGACAGACCAACGGTTTTCTTCGAAATCATCCAACGCCACAACCACAACGGTTTCGGCGCCGGAAACTTCAAGTCTCTGTTCGAAGCATTAGAGGCAGATCAAAGTGCTCGGGGGAATCTCAACTGAGAATCTTCACAGGATAAATGCAGCAAAACGGGGGTTCGCAATTTCTGGGTTTTGCTCTCGTGTTTCAAAAATCACAAATACAAAAACATATATACAGTTTACAGTTAATCACAGTTACAGTCAGGCATAGAATGAAAAAGATAACAAAGTCAACACTATAAATACAAAAGAACTTATATAAACACTCACAAATCTTGAAAGTTGTTATTATGATTAACTCAGCAATTCGAAAATAAAAATTAATGTATGCAAAGACCGAGCCCACCGTTTTACCAGGTTTGCATCTCCTCAAAGTAGTCAATTCTGTTCTTGTTTTCACCGATGGCATGGGCAACAGCAACTCTTGCTTGATCGGCCATAGCTGGGTGACCACAGACACCAATAGCAACAGAACCGTTAGCCTCGGCGACTTCCTCAGAAATGACTTTTTCTATGTCTATGCGTCCAGTTCTGAACTCGATGAAGCCAAAAGTTTCCTTGAGCTTCTGCAACTGGCTGGTACTGGTATCCTTCAGATCCTCTTGAGAATCGGTCTTTTCGTTGTCACTTGAACTAGAGCTCTGCGAGCTTGAGTCAAAGTTAACACCTTCCAAACTGGATTGGGCGTTAGAAACATAGATGACTGGTTGCACGTTGGTACCCTTCAATTTCATCAGCTCATCAAAGAACCAGTTCAAAGAGTAGTATTCTCTGATGGACCAGTACAGCTTGACCTCGGTCTTCTCCACGTCTCTGGTTCCCAGCATCATGGCATGCGAGAATGGGCCTGGAATACCGTTTCCACCAGCAAGAAGAACAGCCTTGTTGTAATGTTCGTAGTGGTTTCTCTCTCCGTAAGGACCTTCCACCGAGACATGGATATTCGTAAAGCCCTTCCCGGACTTCTGGATTCTGCTTGCCAGCTTCTTGGTGATACCGTTCTTGATTTTGATGTAGAAGTGGATATTTTGGTCGTGCACAGTAGATTCCACCAGCGTAAAAGGGTGCGATTGCCAGAAAGTAAGAGGAGTGACGAAGTGCACGAAACCGTGTGCACCTGGGTATGGTTTCCAGAATGCTGGTCTTGGAACTGTCACCTTCAGGGTTTCGTTGGCAATCAGCTCAACCTTAGAAGTTCTGACGCCAAACACGGCAATTCTAGCAAAACGGATCAGAGTGTCGAAACACCAGACAGCTGCGGCGGCGTAATAGTACTGTTCGTATTCTTGGTCTAGACAATGGATCCAAGCACCAGCCAAGAAAATTCCACCCAGAACGAAATGGATAAGCAAGAACACTTCATAGGAGATTCTTCTGGCGGTGTAACCAGCACCAATGATCATGAGACCACCAGCGACAGAAGCAACGATACCCCATCTGTACCAAAATACGGCCAATCTGGTGGCCCATTTGCCAACAGCTTGTGATGTAACTGCCATAGCACCGCTATGGATGATGATCTCGCACATATACAATCTGGCAAGCCATTTGTGGAACGCAACGAAACGACCATATGACCAGCCAGTACACCATTGCAAGAAATTGTTTCTTCCTGGGAACAAAAAGACGAGAGGAGTCATGTAACTGAGAAGAACAGCAGAGTTATCACCGATGTATCTGGAAATACCTCCCATCTTGGATGTGAAGACAAGATCTCTCTGGTCATAACTGTAACCAATTGTGTTGCAGAAAAGCAGGAACAGGAAATTAACCAGGATCACAACACTCTCAAATCGGGTTGGTATGTACCCAAAGAAACCAACAGACTGAACGTGATGCTTTCTAAATGTTGGGGCCAAACCCAAATACTGACGAGCCTTTCTGGTCAAGGAGTTGTTCATGCTCTTCAGGGTGGCAGGGCTCATTCTGGTGAACCAGTTGGAAAGAGTCGCAATCAGAAGCAACAATGCCCAAGCAGACAACAAAGACATTCCTTGGTAGTGGGACCTGTCTACGGTTCCATATCTTTTTCTGTACGAGACAATGTATCCAGTGAAGTACTTGGTCATGTTACCGTTCTTGACTGGACGGTATGAGATCGCGGACTTATTGTATCCGGCAGGTTTGTGGTCAAGATCGACCCAGTAATCGGATGCGTTTTCGTAGGAAGCATCCAATTCTTCGACGGTTACGGTCTTGTTGACGGCAGCACATTGGTAGACAAACCATTCTTTCAACACTTCTTGGTCCTTGTCGGTTCTGTCCGCAAGACACTGCATCACAGAAGCCATAGCAGGCTGGTTCTTGCAGGCACATGCAAATGTTTTAATTCCACCACCACAGAATGTCGCTGACTTGAGCATGGCAGCATTACATCCGGTAAGAGTGTATGAGTCGTCGTTATACACTTTCCATGCTCCAGCATTTGCACTGGCCAACAGAGCTGCTGCCACAAGCAATTGCGAGACCTTCATTGTGTATAAGCGTGAAATTCAAGAGGAATGAAAGAGACCTCCCTAATACAATGGACTAATATAGGGAAACTAGGGAGGTATTTATAAAAAAAGGGCGACCAATTTTCATTTTTGACCGCATGCTGAAAAATTTATTCCCAATCAGATCGATCAGATAAAAATTTGGGTGTATATGCATGTGTGGTTTCCATCCGAGCTTAGCGGTTTGGCCTGTTTATCCGATTGTGATTGGGCTTCTCTCAAGAAGTCCCCACGAGCGGTCCAATTTATTACAATGGATCCTATTTGCAACCCAAGCTATTGGCTACACGCATGTAATTAGCAACTGCCAATGAGGATCATTACATACATGGTTTGCCCATGTCTCGAACACCCCAATCTCGGATTAACACTGGAGGCTTGGCTCAACCGTCCACTCATCGATGGCTAATCTGGCGTGGCAGGCATAAAAAAACGAGCAAATTATGGTTTTCTCGGCATCGCACGTAAGGTACCCGCCATGATGAAATAGATATCGGGGAATTGCAAGTTTTAGGCTTCAGGGTCTGCCATGTCTCTTGATGCTTCAAAACATGCTCATTTGCCTCCATCTGCTCTCTCTGGTTCCCCAGAAAGGTCGCCGTTGGTCCTTATTGTATACTCATGTAGCGGTGTTGTTCGATGAATCCCTCCATGTGAATTTAGCCATTTTTCATAGGTAGACTCTGTCCGATAACCCCAGACTTTCCGACATTCGGAAACCTCAGCGCTTTCTGCAGTGACTCGCAGTCTCTGGCGACTCAATAAACTTTTGGGCCCTCGGGAATCATCCTTGAACTTTATTTTCCAAGCCCAGAAATATATGATATTGCTCATGAAAATTCTTGGAATAAAAAAATTGCTCAGCTTCTACGGTATATATAATAAATTGATTGCCACGAACCCCAGCCGCTTAAGATAGGCTCCTGATAATTTTCATGATTGACAATTTTAACCACGGTCTGTTCAAAATTTTTAGGGGGGACTGCGTGATGCAGTCCAGTCCGGATTGGAAATGTGTCTGCAGCCTACACAATCTTTTCAATCAGCATTTTGCCTGATTCCTCGAGGCCTTGGCCTGACCGAGTCGGTGCAAAAAGACAAAGTTGAGATATTCAGTCGTGGGATCTAAGATCAGAGCCTAGACTGTTATTTGTTCATTTGTCAATTTTGATCTGACTGCTTTTCGTGTCCTTTTGTGCAAACATAGAACCCCCTGAACTCAAATTCAAGGCCAAATCCGAGCGTTTGCAGTTCGGCAGACTAACATACGTCCCTAACTAAAACCACCGGGCCTATGTGATGACCGGTTACACAAATGGACCGAGCTCAGATTTACAAGCTCACCAATGAGCAGTGGATAATCTGAGACGACAATGACACAAAAAAAAAGCAGGCTTGGTTGCTAAATTTCTGGAGACTTTTCCCGAGGGCACAGTCTAACTTCGGTATGATTTTTTGCCGTAAATGTCGTTACTATTGTGCCGGCTCAGAGAATCAGCGTACGCAAAAGGGTTTTTTCAAACAACACTAGTATAACGGTGCATTTCAGGTTGAGTCTTCAAATCTTACCATATTAAAGTTTTGTCGGATCACGAGTATCGATCCTTTGAACAATTGTATACCGTTCCGGTGGGGACTGAGATTATAAGACTGTTGTTTCAGTTTGTTGGTTTTCGCAAATTTTAGTTTCCGGAAGGCTTTATGGTCCAGGGCTCTCACCTGGAAGGGGCTGAAGACTTTGGCATCAAAATATGACAGGAATACATCAGTAGTGATGCTTTAGGAGTTGGTAAACCAGTAATGAAGCAGTATTAACCAGTGGTAACCAGTGGTATCAGTAGCTTGAAATGCCAATCTTCTGTTCGAATCATCAACAAATATTCATATCAAGCCCATAAAGTCTAGACTCTGACTCGGAACGAGCCGCTCTAGGGTCCAAACCTAAATGAAGTTACTTTTTACAAGACAGCCTTATATGGAATTGATCCCGAACCACCTATTCCATTTTTAATTCTGCGGCGCATAAATAATTAGAGCACTACCATTACCCGGATAGGTAGTGCCCCGGCGAGTCTTCCCCGGCTCGTCGGTTCTCTGCTAAATCTTCGAGTGGGCGAAATCGGCCGTTTCTGTTTCTCCACCCCCCCGCACTTTTTCTGGTGTGTGTGTGTTTTCTGAGCTCTTTTGCCTCTCTTTCTTCCCTAAAGTGCATCTGCTCACCAGCTTCGTACTCTTTTCTCTTCCCCAAAGTCCGAGACATTTGAGTGCCAATATCACTGGTTGTTTGAGCACACATTCCCACTTGTTTCATCTGTCTGGCTTGTTTAAAAGCAAGCCGCAAACCCTCACGTCCATTCCCCCTTATTTGAACTCCCCGAAGTTGACCTCCGCGGATTGCAGTTTTTGTTTGTGCACGCCCTTGTTAGAGAAGCAGAAAGAGGCTAATTTTCAGCCAAGAGTCTCTTCTTTTCCATTTTTCCAGGTACTTTTTCCTTCGAAAGCGATTACTCGGTTGTTGAGAGTGCTTTGACTTCAGCGTTGGAAATTTGGGTCCGAATTTGGCTCTTGCAAGGACGTATTCTCGTTCTTCTTTCGGAGCACCTACCCCCCGTTTTCCTGGGTGAAATTTTTATTGATCTTCCTCGTCTTTGACACACCCGGCCTCTCCACTCCAGTTTTGTCCAGTGCTCTTTTGTGAACTCGAGTCGCCGTCAGTTTTGATTCCGGATTAATTGATAGAAGCCGGATCTATTGTGCACAGGTTGACATTTCCTTTTTCCGGAGTCTCGACATATTTTTTTTCATATCCCCGGACACAGCTGTTTTCGGTAGCCGTTGTTATCCCTACTTTATCCAACAAAATAGCCTCAAATGAGCCCTTTTCCGGCCTCAGGAACTGCCACTGTGCCGAGCCCTGCCCCATCTTCATCTTCGGTGGCTAGTTCGCCTTCCAGTGCGATTGCCAAAAAAAAGGCTTCGGCCGTTGTTGCCGCCGGTCCACAGCTCCCCCGGCCATACAAATGTCCGTTGTGTGACAAAGCTTTTCACCGATTGGAACATCAGACGAGACATATACGCACCCACACGGGTGAAAAACCTCACCAGTGCAATTATCCGGGCTGTTTCAAGAAGTTTTCTAGGTCCGACGAATTAACCAGGCACTCTCGAATTCACAACAATCCGAACTCGAGGAAAAGGCTTCAGACAGTCAAGTCCAATGGTTCGCTGAACTCGGTGTCAAGTGGTTCTTCACCATCTACTCCCCAGCAAAGAAACACAAGTCCTACGAGCAAGAAACAAGTCAAGAAGGAAAAAGGAAGCAATCCTGATTCGGAGGACGAGCTTGACGAGGCCGACTTGCCGCAGCACCAGCAGCAGTACGGAGACGAATCGGTTAAAAGAGAATCCGATTCTGAGTCAGATGAGAACGAAAACGAGAGTAGTGATGAGAAGCTGACAATTCCAATGGGCAGTTCTTCGAAGCTGGATATAGACATTCTTGCGACTGCCGCGTCTCAAGAGCTGGACAATTTGCAGAAAGATGAAAAGAACTTGCCGTATGTGAAATCGTTGCCCTCTTTGACGAGATACTTCAATGAATCTGCGCAAGGCCAGCAACTCCAGCCGATTCAGCAACCCCCGGTGCAGCCAGTTCATCACCATCCACATCCAATCAGGCCGCCGCTGAGTTCGCTGGCTTCGCTTCAGAGAATGACCCCATTAACAAACCCTGCATCGTTGAACGTTTCGCGATCTCAGGTGTCGTTGTCTACCCTTGCACGATCGTATTCGAACACAGATCTTGAAGAGGCTGGAAAGTATCAGCCTCCCCAAATGTACTACAAGAAGTCCAGGCCGAACTCGCCCTTGCTACCGAAGTCACCAAGCACGGCTTCGTTCTCGCAATCGTCCTCTTACTCGAATTTGAACCATATGTATCATCTTCACCAGAAGGATTCTTCTAACGCGTTGCACCTATTGGCCGGTCTGGGAAACCAGATGATGCATCATCAGACTCCAGATGTGACTCCGTTGCAGACTCCTTCGGTTTCGCCAAAATTGGCACCAGTGGGATCTTCAACGGCACTTCCATCCCTCAGGAGTCTGAAGCTTGATTTTCCAGAGGACATACCCATCTACCAACAACAGCAACTAGGCCAGCAGGTGCCTCAAGGTATGAAAAGTCACCAACCACAGCAGATAAAGCCTCAACAGAACACATCAGCCTCTTCATCGGTTTCATCGCACTCTAAGCCCATTCCGCTTACACCAGGAACCCCTACGACGGGATCCTCGATTCCCTTTGGCTCTTATAGCAGCAATGGTTCTCCACAGCAAAAGAGGTATCCGTGAGTAACATGGTTATTTTTTTTCGATGCTCTCAGTCGCGCATGCTGCATTCTGTGTATTGTCTTTCTTCGTTTCTCCATTCAGCTTTTTTTGGTTTTTTTTTTTTGGACGTTTTCCGAGCCTTAGAGTCTAATATATTCTTTCTCTCGACATCCCGTGTCTGAAACTATTACATGACACACCTTGATTATTGTAAGGAACAACTTCGCGGCCATAAAAAGAATTTTTCGGTCCAAGACCTGTCTCTTCTCTGTTGACTGAAGACTAGCTCATGCTAGGTTCGTGGTTGATGCCTCCCACAAATGCTATCAATAACTTAAAACTAGAGCTTTCTTTTTTGACATGTCAGCTGTCTCTATTCTTTGATGAATATATCGGTTCTATGAGCTATTTTATCAAAACTATTACCAAATTTAAGGTTATCGCTAGGAGCCGCACGCCTCGGCTATGCCTGTAGTTTATGTCCGGTGCTGTCCCACTTAAAGTCTTGTTAAACTTTCTCTTGTTCTCTTGTTCGATTTTTTCCTTCTCCTTCTTCACCTTCTTCTCTTTAAACATATCCGCTTTGCGCTTACTTGATTTTTCAGGTCTATCTGGTTTCTCTTTGCGCGTACCATGCTCATCAACCTCAGTATCCGCTTTGGTTTCCTTGTTGGCCTTGTTGCCATGCTTGGCTTGGTCCACTCTGCTTATACCCCAAGGGTAACTTCAGACCTCATAAAATGTACCTCCAAACTGTGCTAACCATTGCTAACCACTGCAGTCAAACACCGGCTTCACTTGTGCAGGTTGCGTTTTGATCACCACTGCCTCTTCCCTTCAGGGTACATCGGTAACAGACACTGCAACCACTGAACAAACAAGTGAAAGTACTTTGGAAAGCACCAGTGAAACGACCACTGCAACAACAAGTGCGTCAACAAGTGAGTCCACTGCGATTGTTATAACTGGAACTACAGCCTCAACAACTAGTCGTCTCACTACAGCCACTTCAGTCACTTCAACTGCTTCCACTGCTTACACTTCTTCAAGCCAGTCAAAACTCACCACTGCTCTTACTTCTACTTCCTCCACATCATCAAATCCATACATTGTCAGAACAACGACTGCCGTTGTTATAATTGTCACGGCTACAGAAACTGATACTTCAGTCACTGAGAATTTGAATTACGAAACGGTAGTGGTATCGGTTCCCTTCACAACACGTTATCCTGTTGCAACAATCACCGAGTCCGTTCCAGTGAACACTCTTACACTCAATTTTCGAAACTCTTCAATAGCGACCACAATCTGGTCTCGGTCTGTTCATACTTCGTTTCTGCCATACAGTTCATATACCTTGGAGCAATCAGTGAGGACTTCGACCGAATGGACCACAAACTACAAGACTTATTTAAGCTATCGGACTTATGTCTCTTTTGAGACAGATCTGATTACTGAGTCCTCTACATCTACCACCAAGTCTAGAGCATCTGCCACCACATCTCTGGCAACCACTTCAGTTGCTACCACCCCTGTCGTTCCCACCTCAGTTTCCACTACAGCAACCCTCCCCCTCGTGACCAGCACAGCATCCACTTCTCCGCAGATCGTTACTAGCTACCATACTGTTACATCAACGATTGTGGCTTCAAGGTGTCTTGTCTGGGATGTCAGCAGTGAGATTCAAGTTTCAACTTCAGCTGCTACATCGACTCTGGCCAACGTATTTGGAATCGAATCCTCTGATGCAGCCAAAATTGTCATCAAGACTCCAATACTTAGGGCTTATGCTGCCATAATGGTGATTTTGCTTGTTTCCTTCATCTGAAAAATTCCATTTGCATTAGCTATATATTCTTTCGGGCATTTCCTTTATATCCCAGTTATACTATCCAATCAAACATGCTAATCTTTACCAAAGACTGCTGCAGACTGTCTAGTTCAAAATCTAACTATACCACTGAGGCATTGTTGCAAGGGTATATCTGGAGTCCCAAGACTTAGCCAACTTAGATATTTAAAGTTTCCCTTAAACAGTAAGGTTTGTCGGCTTGTCCAGGCCTCAGGCCAGATCTTGTTTTCGCAACTTCGGAAAGAAAGATGGCCGGTCGTATAGTAATTCAACGCTTTGGCTCTCTTCCTGTTCATCCTTCGACTCAGCCTTTTCACGTGCAGATTTGAGTTGTGAGAACAGCGCAATTGCAGATGATACAAGCTTTCCACTTGTGTAGAGGTACACCAACCAACCAATAACGTTTAGTCCAACGGACGATTTTTTGATTGTACAGTCTGAGGAGAGAGAAATCAGCAGCTTGGATTCCAACTCCGAGATATCAGACTGCGAACCCAAAGTCTGCAGGATAGACGTGACGTTGAGGTCATCAAAAGACCCGGTGGTGTTGTATTGAAGATCCAGGTCTCCAAAGAATCCATCCAAAACTTCTTCTGATGCGTCGCCTGTCAAATTGTACTGTGAAAGCAAACTTTCAACCCCCTGGCAGTTCCATGAACCGTATTTGACAAGCTGATACAATGCACTTGCAAACCATAAGCCGTGAGAGCCGAGTTCTGAAGATGCCAAACTGGTCAAATATGATGTTTCGGTGGAGGAAAGTCCATAATTCCACCCTCCAAAATTGGTTCTCGCAACAGAGGAGACACGTCCGGATGAACTTTTACGCGTGAAGAGTTGGAGAGCCACGTGATTGGCCGGAAGAGAGGTGACTGTTAAACTTGAGGCACTCAAGGTGAGTGCAGACGGTTTCCAATCAGTTGACACGTAAAGAGGCTCAGTATTGTAGTCATATGAGTCCCTTTCCACAAGGTTGGAGGAGCTAGTGTAGGAGTTGAGAGCATCAACTTGCGACGAAACACCCGACTTGTTGGTCAGTAGCTTGGCAGAAAGTCCCATTGTGACGCCTGCGATGGCCCATTGGAGTGTTCTTGACTTTGAAGATAGTGAGAGAGAAACCATTTTGATAATATAATGAAACCGAGGAAAACAACAAATATGGCATTAGAAAACAAGACTTACAAGATACACAAGGCAAAGCCCCCAATGGTTACAACACTAAAGTTGTTGTAAATTTTCGGTTGTGCACGCCCCCCTTAATGGTGAACCAATCCACCTCCACTCCACTTAGTCACTGTGATTTTACGACTCAAAATGTGAATCCGATCGCCAACATGGATTTGAAAATTTGAAACGTCCTGGACGCAGTAGTTCCCGAAACATGCCAGTTTCGCTGCTCCACTGTCCACCCTTCTGTAGCTCATCAACGTCTTTGAAACTGGGAATTCCTTATCTGAAACACCAGTAACAGGGTTGATGTCTGGAATCAGGCATCTCATACATTTGCTGTTGCGCGTAAAACTATGTTTTTCCGAAGTTGTGTGATCCTCGATGTCAAAACGATTCCAGGTGTCAACGTCGTATGGACGCGCGGTTCCAGATAACAGTAGATTAGGGCGGAAGGCAGTGTCAATAATCTCGCGGTTAAGATTAAACCCCTTCTTCTTGATTCGAAAATTTAGATCGCTCATATCCTCCTCTGTAACAATGTGAATCGGAAAGTAATCCTGGAAATGCGTACGTCTGTATTCTTTACCATGATTGGTTGACGGGTCTTGGTAGAAGGTGGATTTTGGTGGAGAAGTATCTTTAAACTCCTTTCCTTTGAGTGACAAAACCAATCTTGTCCCAGAAGGCAAGTCCATTTCTTCGAAGAACTTTGAAGGAATGCAGTGTGATACGTCATAGCATTGTATTCCGTTGGTCCAAATGCTCATTTGAAGAGGTTCTGAAAGATTAATATTCTCTGCAATGAATTCTTCCGTTATTTCGGCAGGGATTCGGAAAGAATCCATCTCGTTTTCTTTTTTAAGCGGATATTTGTATTCAAAGCAATTCTGCTCAGGAAAGTAAGCACATTTCAGAAGCGTCAGTCTAGTGGAGACGAATTTCTGTGATACTATGGTGTATAAACCTGCCTCTTCGTTCAACTGTGCCAAAGCATACTGACGATCATGTTTAAGGCCATGTTCGTCCACTTGCCATTCTTTCACCTGCACTCCGGGGCCACAAGACTTGATTGGATAAATGATGATCTTGGAGATCGTTGGGATTTGCGACTCGTGGTATTCGGGGTTCAATGTCCGGTATAGATAGCTCTTTGTGGCGTAGCTGGCATTTACGATGGCTCTCAGGAGTTTTATTGTCTTGGTGTTTTGGTTGGTAAAGAATTCTCTCTCGTCGATGTATCCTGTGAAAAGTCCTAGCAGTCTGGGGAACGCGAGGAAACAAGAGGCTCCTAAGGTGAGTGCCCCAGAAAATACAACAGCGTAGTTATTCATGACAGAACCAAAGTGAATTTAACAGAGAATGAATGGGAACAAAGTTTGCGCGTGGAGAGATGCATAGGCATACATATATATATATATATACATATATATATAGCTGTGGCTTATCTCCCGCGCGGGATCTTATCAGCGTCACGAAACTTTGCACGACCTCACAGTATTAACCGACCAAATTTGCCCCTCTCGGACGGAAAAGGAGCAAAATCATTAATGGGATGAAGGTCGATGTAATTTGTTTTAAACCCAAATAGCATTATTTCAAACGTTTTCAATTTGATACCGAACAAACAAAACGTGGAAAATCACGCATTACGAATCAAGCAGATAGCACATATAGATGCATAAAGTAGGGTGGGACAAGCGCTTGGACATTAGTTGGATGCAGTAGGTCTAAACTTACATAACGTGGTCCTACGAAACATATCAATAAAACATGTGATGTTGTAATATTTTAATTTAAAACATCAGAGCTCGAAACATCAATTCTTATGTAAACTTCAGACCCTGTCCGACGAGTCCGGGACATGATTGGAAGCCTCAATCTTCACATTTGTACAATCTCTGATATCGCTTTCTATAAGTTTCTTCTCCCTTTTTTCCTTCAAAGAACCAAATCCCATATCCTTGATGAATAAACTAAGCACAACATTCAAAGCAGATGTAGCAATAATGAAGTAAAAGGCGTGGCGGTATCGTTCCATCATCCTCTTTTGGATTTCAGTAGTCGTACCAAGTTCAACATCACCCACAATCGAAGAAGTGACACCAGAAGAAATAGCTATAAACATCTGGACACTTGTCATTCCCATTCCAGACACAACTCCCTGCATTTCAAGAGGTGCTGAGACAATCACCGTGTTAAGACAGAAGTAGAAGATGAAGCATTGAGAAAAGGCACTGAGTCCTATGCCCGTTAGTCCATACCTCCACCAGGACTCTGTCGTATTTCCCAATCTCGATACTATGATCGAACCAGCAAGAGAAAAAAGACTAGCGGTAATAGTCACGTACTTTGGTGGGAGTTTTCCAAACGCAAAAGAGGCAGGTATTGAAGCAGTGAATAGACCAACTGCACCTGTTAAGCCTTTGAGACCTGAGATTAGAGGAGAGTTCACTGCAACATATTCGAAGACCTCCAATGACATCAACATCGTGGAAAATATGTTAGAGTAGCCTATTCCATTTACCAATAAATATGGAATAATGTTTGGAATCGTCCACGTTTCCAGCGGTATGAGCAACTGCACGCTGTCGAAGCTTTTGAACTTCCGCATTATATACAGTTCCCAGGCAAAGAATGTGAATAATAGCAGAACCCCAAAAATAATTGGAACGTAGGCTGATGGAGAATTCCAAGAGGTGCCTCCCTCTGTCAGACCAGTGACCAGCAATAGCAATCCCGAAAGCATTAATGCAACCCCAATATGGTCCAGGTCTTTCAATTTGTCTCCTTTAACGGAAGCAGGTTCAATGCATAAGGAACCCAGAATCGCAACAAGAAGGGCCAGGCCACCCAGAAGATAGAAAGTGGCTCGGTATCCAATCGAGGTCAATCCAAATGCACCACCAATGACGCATCCCATTCCAAAAGAAGTAGTCATGAATACAGTGAGTACAGAAATCGCCAAATTCAATGCTCTTCCTGTGAAAAGGTTACCAACTAGGGCATAGGAAGACGGTATCGTGGCGGAAGCAGCAATACCCTGCAGTGCCCTAAACAC